AAAGCTGGATAATAAACAGATTAGCCTCTTCCAGATTATTATAACCTAGAGTATAAATATATATAAATTACATCTATCTCCATAATTTCAGAAGCTATATTCTATCTTTTATATCTCTCTATTCAAATCATATCAGGGTATAGCTAGAAATGCTATACCCTCAAATGTGATCCTTATAGATGATGAGAAAGAGTATGAAGTAGAGGAGATTCAACAGGAGAGAGAGCTTTTAAATAAAAAGGAGTATTATGTTAAGTGGGCCGGTTACTCCAAAGAGAATTACACTTAAGAATCATTTGATAGTATATAAGATACTATTGCCTTTAAGTGATACTTACGAAAACCTATGAAAAGACTCTAAAAGCGGATAAGGAAATAACTGTTTTCCATTTCTATCTGAATTTATCTTAATATGGGGCTTAATATATCTATTTATATTAATGAACTGAGATAAATAAGGGCCAAAGCCACTTTTATATTTAGAAAAAAAGAGATTTGATAGACTAATCAGTCTTTATAATAGGATTATTAGAAAGAACCTGGCCTATTACCATATAAATCTGATTTATAATTATAGGGTCTAAAAGAGTAGACTCAAAGATAAGACTTATAATAAGATTAAGAGTTGGATTCACTGGGGCTGAAAATATAAGAGAAATAGGATCTGAAGGGAGTTTTAAGAAAGTAATAATTACTGCTATCAGATGAGATAAATAAGAAGCTCTATAAAAATTATTATTACTATCTGACTCTAGTGAATTCATACTGTGATAAACTCTTTTTTATTCTTTTAAAGGAGTAGCACTATTATTAAAGGAATAAGAACAATAACATACGCGGTGTTTACTCTTCTTAATCTTTGACTTATTAGTTTTCACAGCTTCTAACTTAGAGGGACTATTCTTAAGGATATCATTAGTCTTTACATCTTGCATCTTTAGATTAAGTCTTCTAATCATCTGAAGGCTAGTAGTCGTATTATTAAGAAAATATAGCTGAACAGCCTTCTAAGCGCGGGCTGTGAACTAGAGAGGAATCTTCAATATATTAGTATAAAATACTATATGAATATAAGAATCTACTTTTAGACACTAGTGATGCTTCTATTTACATAGAACGCATATCTTTCATACTGTATTATCAGAGCGGAGGTTGTCAATGTAAAATTCAGAAATTTTGGTTGCTAAGCTTCAGACGCAGGTCTGGCACTAGATGAGACATTTAGGTATCTTATTACGTTCATGAGAAGGCTGAATGCGAATAGAGAGAGACTCGGTACTGTTAAATACATTATGGGAATATCAACTACAGGAGAATGAACCTTTACAGTTGCCAGCTAGAATACACTTTGTATAAATAACTTTAATGGGTGAGAAAATGTAGGGAGCAATGCGAAGAGGTAGTGTATCTGAATCTGAAAGATCTTTGAGCTCTGGGAAACGTTTATTGGATCTTTGAAGGCCAAATATGTTTTAATAAATCTAATTAACGCGTTTCTTCTCTTTATTCTTTAATAAAAGCTTTACACCTTTCGAAGATTTGTCTGTAAGAATGGGAGCAGTCGGTATATTAATAGAAGTAAATGTATGAATTAGAATCTTAAGATTCACTGGTATATTGAAATGGTTAGAAAGATAAGACTGATGATTAGTAGTTGTAAGAGCTTACTTAGCAGTATATGCGACATATTCTAGATCAATATATAACATCGATTTAGACCTAAGAGTGGCAGTCTATAAATTATCAGCTTATTTCAGCATTCAAAGCCAAATGCCTCTTTTAGGGGGGAATGAAGGCACAAAAGAAAGATTCTGAACTATAAAGAAGAATTCAGGGGATGAATCTAATATTAAAATAAACAAAACTTTTAAAGCATCATGAACTAATATTAAAATCAAAATATTTCTAAATATCATTCCAAAGCTTATTTGAATCCATTTAAACGCGAGAAATAATAGCCTAAGCATCAATATATTGAATGCCCTAAGTAATAAGCAAAGCAGACGTGGTAGGGGTGCAGGGGATAGTCAGAGAAGTGAAGCAACATGCAGCAACCGCCCATAAGTGCTTCAAAACACTAACATCCCTAAATATCGCCCAAAAATAGCGCTGAAAACGTAAAGAATATGGCAAATAGCCGCTCAGGGATTAGAAGTCAAGAAAATCCACTTATAACAGCAGTAACGACCTCAGGAAGGCTAGAGGGTAAGAATATAAGATTCGAAGCCATATTGGGAGAAGAAAATTATAAGGCAGCAGAAAGGTAAGATTTATATGCTATCTAATAAGATGTAAATGTGTTAAATCATACCTCCCACTGTTAGGAGAAGCAAATTCAATATTATAGAGCATATCACTTCACATATAAATATCTTTATCACTATGCCGAATTGACATTTGTAATTTGTATAGACCATAGCGGCTAAAAAGGCCTATCTAATGATATTAAGCAGGGCATAAGGCCACGCCCTTTAGAGAGGAGAGATAGCTGTAATGCCCCTATTCGAATGTATAGAGGTTGGTGTTGATTCTATATAGTGCACATGACGCGGGCGCTAGTGAGTCATGTGTCTAGAGATACTGCTCATAAACATTGGACCGAATCCTCATAGTAAAAGGGGGTAGCAAATAGCTATTCATACGCAGGGCATATACTAGTGAAGCCTCATTCGACATAGGAATCAATATATTCACGCTCTACCAACCCTAGCCCTTACATTTAGATAAAACCAAACCAAAAATCCAAACCGAACCAGACCTAAATAGGCTCTAAAAAACCATATAGTTCTAGACTTAGTGAACTGAATCACTTTGGTTCACTGTATATAGGACCAGAACCGGACCATTTGGATTTCAGATCGGTTTTGGTTCGGTCCGAACCGAACCAAATGACAGCCTAGAATCAATATATTCACGCTCTACCAACCTAGCCCTTACAATAAAACCTGATTATAATATATAAAAGTTTCTAATTATAATCTATAATATTAATTAGGCTGTCATTTGGTTCGGTTCTGGTCCTGAGTTTCTGGACCAAACCCAAAAGTGGGTTGATTCAGTTTAGTCTTTAATATTGGAACCAAAACCAAAAATTAAATGATTCTGATTCTCTAAACTGAAATCAAACTACACTAAAAAAGAATTATTAATTATAGTTAGATCGATTCAAATCTAATCTAATTTTTATTTAGATAATCGAATCATATTAAAGAATTTTTAATTATAGTTAGATTTTATTCTTAAAAATATATTAAAATCTTTCTAAATTTTAGTGAATTTAATAGATAAATAATATAAAAATTAGAATTAATTATTTAAATTATAATTTTCTATCTAATTATTGAAATATATTTAAAAAATAGATAGGTAATGATAAATACTATAAAATAGATATAGAAATATATATATATTTTTTTTTAATAGATAGATTGACTATATAATATAATCTAAAAAATATAAATAAAAAATAGAAAAGATATTATTATTATCTAGATAATTCTTAGATTATAATCTAAATATTAAGAATTTATTATAATATTTATAAAAATATCTAAAATAAAATCTTAATTTAAAAAATAAGAATTTAATTTATGAAAAGCTGTTTTGGAAATGATTATATAATTAATAATAATTATAAAGAATTAGGGTTAATCCTAAATGTTTTAGTATTATTAATGGAAATCTGCTAGTATTTAGATATTTAGATAAAACTAAATTAAAAATCTAAACTGAACTAGATCTAAATAGGCCTCAAAAAACCATATAGTCCTAGACTTAGTGAACTGAATCACATCAGTTCACTGTATATAGGACCAGAACCGGACCATTCGGATTTCAGATCGGTTTTGGTTCGGTCCGAACCGAACCAAATGACAGCCTAAGTATAGCTTACTACACTCAGGTATTTTGGTTAGAATTTTTATATTCTTATAAAATTATAGAATTACTTAATTAATAGTAGAATATTTTAAAATTTAGTCTATAGAATATCTCTTTAAAATTATTACTTTATTAGACTGATTAATCTTTAAGATAAAATAATTTAGATATTGTCGGTTTATTGAAGCAATCGAGATTCCGCGCCTTCTGACGCGCCGGCCGCAGGGCGCGCGAGGACTCACGTGATCTTGTTTGGAATGGGGGTTATATCAACACGTCGGTGTCAGGTTCAGATAGTACACAGAATAAGATACGTTTTACCATACTAAATTGGGTACCCTCATAACACTACGTACGCGTACATTCATTTGTTACCGTGCACGTAGACTTCTTGATAAGTCATCCCACAGATATATAAAATATATTAATATCTTTATTCTTAAATAGATATCTTAAATATATTTTATATCTAAAAAGATAAACTTTTTAATATAATCAGATTAAACTATAATTTAGATAAATAAATTAAGAAGTTTTTTATTATAATAGATACTAATTATTATATTTATAAAGATAAAAAACATTTTAATAAAGCTATTAAAGCTTAATAAAGCCCTAAAAAAAGATTAATAAAAAAAACTAAAAATAATAAAATAAATAAAGTTTTTTAATCTAAAAGACTCTAATGTAAATGATATTTTTAATATTATTTCTCTGAGTTAAGATGTCTAATAGTTCTTACATAGACAATAATAATTTAGAATAAAATAATCTAATGATCTCTAGATAGACAGTAATAATATAAAAATGAAACAATCTAGTATTCTCTAGATAGACAATAATTAATAGAAAATAAGATCTAATAATCTTTAGATAGATATATTAATAACTGATTAACTATATAGCAGTTAAGCTACTATATTGAAAAAATATTAATATCTTCTGAGACCAAATATTGAATATGTTATCAATATTATGACCTAGAACATATATACATTCTGGTTATATATAGAAGATTATTCTATTATATATAAGATGGACTTAGGGTTTGTATATATAGCCACACAAAGAACATCTATCTATAGCCTGGAGGGTTTCACTATGGTGAAAGCCCTTTGATCATGACAGATGGTCTTTGGTCCAAGGTGAGAGACCAGTTCTGTGGTCTAGAAATGCCACCGAAACCCACTGGTAATCTCGCATATCGTGTTACGCTACGGATAAACGAAATTAGCGATCCAGACGTTCTGGATTTGGTGGCAATGACGGCACTCAATATCTGGATTGGACCCGGAATGCACGCAGTAGGATATAATGTCCGCGGTGGTGAGCTTTTCAATATGGTTCTACTAGTTCCTGACGATCTTCCTGAGGGAGTAAAAAGGCAACAGGGAAACACTGCCGAACTACGAAAGCTATTTGAAGGGTGGGATCCAATGTATGTTTCCTTTCTATCAATGATTCAGTTTTATGCGAGGGACTGAAGATAACTAACTGGTCAGCCTGACTAAATTAATCTCTAGAATTGACAACACGGAAAAATGGAAGCTGATGCATCGTGAGCAAAATTAACCTATACTGAGCGTGTCTTCTTGATAACTAACTGAGTAAATTTGGTAGATCCCCCTTTAAAAAGTTTGGCGACAAAATCAGGCCGATTTATCATGGCGTAGGCGTATCAAAATCCCATTAACGGTGCATTATCTAACAGAGGAACTTGGCAAAAATTGATATAGATGTGATTCGTGTCATCCCATGCTTCCATATTTTGCGCAAGGCGCCAATTCGTCTTCCGAAGATGCAGCCGTTCTAGGCGCCCTGATGTCAAAAGTATCCTCCGTGGATGACTTGCAGAAAATTGCCCCTATCTACGAAAACCTGCGTCGAGAGCGAGTGAAGCGTATACAAGCTGAGACATTTATACATCGTGACCGTTTCTATCTCCCGGATGGTCCTGAGCAGATACAACGTGACAAGCATTTCGCGCTATCATTTAATTCAGATTCATGGTATTTGCACGGTTTTACATATTCTTATGTTTCCCTACTGATTTGCGGTAGGGCTCACCCGAATATCCAAACATGGTTGTTTTCTTATGATGCGTATCAAGATGCGGAAAAGGCATATGAATCGGGCTAGGCAATACAGCTCTTCCCCGACAAGTGTAGATGAGCGTTAGTTAGCTGCTTACAAACAAGGATGACGAAGATTTAATTCAAGAAACATTGATGGATTATCAATTATTCATGTTATAAATTGAGGTTTAACGAAAGAGGTATAACTCATATTCTCTTATGTCAAGTAATCACATGGTGTAAAGGTCAAGCAATAATCAATAAAAGATTATTATTGGTAGTGCATCGAAATTCGGGAGTCAAAAGAGAAGCTTTTTAACGGCATTGAAATTGGAATAAGCTGACTAGCTTATCTGTTATTTCTAGCCTCTTAAATCTGATGGGTAATGGTGTCGCTCATGACGGCACCGTGCCGGTTTCTTGCATGATCTAACGCTCGTAGCATCTTCCCTAGTTTGATATAGTAGTACATATGAGTCTGTCCAAAGATAGAGCCAATGGATCAAAGTCTACGTACTAAACAAACATATTAGACTAGTGTATTAGAAGATTATGAGGCATGCTGTATCTAACGATTCGTATTCTATTAGATGTACCATCGCGGGATATATGCTTCTCCGCCAAGGCCAAGGCCAAAGGGCAGGATGCCGCTCTGCATGCTGCTTTACCACTAAATTCTTAGTAGACCCCTGGTCGAGTGTGCCGAGACACCCGTTCAACTATAGCTCGGCTTGGACGTGGTCAGACTTGTTCAGAAATTACCTCGGAGCAGCCTCCGCTTCTCCGCCGAGGTCAACCGTGGCATGCCACTACAGAGCGGGCCGAACCTTCATGCAGCTTTACCACTAAATGTTTAGTAGACCCCACATCGCGCGTGCCGAGATATCCATTCAACTATACGGAGCAGCTCGGCTTTAGGCGTGGTCTGACTGCTGCTTAGAAATTACCCCGGAGCGGCCTCCGCTCCTCCGCTGGGGCCAATCGGAGTCTATGTTTAAGGAATGGTTGTTGATGCCGTAAGTGCGTATATTGTAATATAGAAACGGTATCTGACATTACAATAAAATTTAACCAAATTTACTACACTCCTTGAACGGTCCCAAAACGATGTTTTACTTTACGCTGCCCAAAATGTCCATGATACATTGGAAGTTATTACACTTTGACTAATATTGGTTCTGAGGGTGTTTAGTTAAAAAAGAGGGAGAATGACAATAATCATTCGCACACCTATAAGCTGAAACTAGCGTTTCTTGTTATGAACTATGGGATGCTGTCTATACAATCATTTAGAACCCCATGGATGGCCTTCGGGTGAGAGCTTCGCGTGGAGAAAAGAAAGCTTCAGAAGCTTCTGATCTATAATTTCCTCTTTGTGGGCTGCAGTCTCATCTAATTCCCCTGAGCTTCTTAGCCTAAAGAATAAAATCGTGAAAAGACACACTTACAGTTTGCACTGAAGAAACAGCCCCGTAAATGCTCCGCTGTAGGACCAGCAAAGTATAAGGTAATTCCGCCTGTCATGATACCCTTATCGCGGGCAAACGGGGTGAATGTGTCAACAACCATGCCTCTCTTGGTCTCGGTCTGCTGGAGTATACCGGGATGTATAGCGAATACTCGAAGCTGGGGGTGTTCTAAGAGATCACTATATAAGACACATATATTTTGTTCCCTACTCTATTTGTGTACGTACCAGCATCCAAATATTCAGCCAACTTAATGACTGATAGTTTGCTTGCTGAGTAGGAGCTGATACCGGGTACTGTGAATGATGCGCCCATGCTAACAATAAAAATTATAGTCCCTTGCCCACCGCCTGACTTGATGAAATTATGGGCAATGTTGTAGGATCCTTTAACATTAACTTCCTGAACAGTCAATAATCAGTCTCGGCCAAATGGCAGTCTGCTAAGGGAGACTTTACTTACAAAGTCTCTGAACCACTGTGACGGCTCAATTTCTCCAGTTTTATGGCCATTGTTCATGACCCCGCATGCATTCATAACTACGTCAATCCTCTCAAAAGAAACTAGGGCAGTTTCAAAGACAGATTTGACAGATTGCTCAGAAGTCACCTCAGTCGGAACTGCTATCACCTTCGTTGATGGGGACAACTTCTTGACAGCATCAGATGGTTCCTTCAGTCGCAACTCCGTTCGCCCGGCAAGAATAATTCCTTTTGCACCTGCTTGTGCCCATGCCCTTGCTACTTCCTGTTTTGGTGACCATCAGCAGAGGTAGGAAGCAGAGAAGCGTCTTAGAACATGAATTGCTGCTAGAACAGGACATATTGCAAACTTACTCCTCCAACTCCACCTGTAGCTCCAAATATGAGAACCACCTTTCCTGTCGCTCTTCATGCCGGGTTATTAGGATTGATTGTATCATATAGATCTCGATGGAGGGTTTTTGTGAGCTGAAAAGGGGACGTATAAGCGTTTGGGTCCATGACTGAAGCTGTAACACGGATTGAAATTAAACAAATTTTTATGTTATTCAGGCCCTGTTTACAGTATTTTGAGTAGATACAGCAGAGGTAAAGATGGTTTTATCTCGTTGCAAAATAAGAGAAATCAGGGAAGCCAATTATACCATCAGTACGGTATTATACGGTATGATACAATGAAATTATTAGCTATATTAGAGACCTAGCTCTCCTAAGCCAATCATGGTATGGTTACAGCACAAATAAAGAAATCACTGTACTGAAACAAATCAATAAACACGATTACGATATGAATTATTAATCACATATTCAAATTAAAAAGCCCACCAAATCTTACTATCTTCAAACATCACATTTCCTCTGCGCGCGCTATAGTATACATTAAATTGAAATATCGATATATATAGATGTCTCTTTTTGCCTTCTTCGCACCTCAATTTTTACCCTTACACATATTCCGAAATGGAGAAGAGCAGCGAAAAAGATCTCTCCAAAACGCTACAAACCAAGCCACCAGATGATGTTGATATTTTCCCTGATGGCGGCTTGAAAGCCTGGACTGTTGTCATCGGTGGTTGGTGTTTACTTTTTGTAAGCTCAGGCTGGATAAACTGTAAACAGATCTCCTCTATGTGTTCAGTCAGCTCATTAATAGTTAAATCTTTTAGGTATTGGCGTCTTTCAGACTTATTATGAGCAGAATCAACTCAAAAATTACTCGCCGTCGACAACTGCGTGGATTTTGTCCCTCGAGACCTTTATGATGTTTGCTAATGGTGCGGCTGTCGGAAAGTTCTATGACAACTTCGGTCCTTTTTACGTTATGCTTTTTGGTTCTATTTTACACGTGTTTGGGGTGATGATGATGTCACTCTCGTCGGAATACTACCAGTTCATTCTAGCACAGGGTATTTGTAGCCCGCTAGGGGCGAGTTGTTTGTTCTATGCAGGTATGTGAACAAAATGTGACAAAAAAAGATTTGGAAATTAATAAATGTCACATAATAGCCATCAATGCGGCCAGCACATGGTTTAAGAAACGTCGTGCCCTAGCCCTCGGCATTGTTGTTAGTGGCTCCAGTGTCGGTGGCGTCATCCTCCCGATTTTCCTTCAGCGGCTCTTTGCAAAAGTCGGATTCGCCTGGTCAGTACGAGCAGCTGGATTTCTCATGCTCGGCCTCTGTGTGATTGCACAAGTGACGGTCAAATCACGTCTTCCTCCAAAACCCAAGCCACTCAATTTAGTGGAATTCTTTCGACCCTTGAAAGAAGGCCCCTTCTTGATGATCACCTGTGGCGGATTTTTCTTCTTCTGGGGTATGTTTGTACCCTTCAACTACGTTATAGCTGAAGCTCAAAAGATTGGAATGAATGCCGAAGTGTCAAGCTATCTCCTCGCCATGCTCAATGGTACCAGGTATGAAGGTCTTTTGTTTTCCGCATCAAATTAAAGTCTAACAGGGCCAACAGTCTGTTTGGAAGAATCTTCTCCGGGTGGCTAGGAGACGAATTTGGCCGCTTGAATGTTACCATTTTCATGTCTTTCCTAGCCGGCATTCTGACACTTGCTTTGTGGCTGCCTGCTAAAGGCAGTGCTCCGATAATCGCTTACGCGATTCTTTACGGCTTCTCCTCGGGTGCCTACATCTCGCTCGTGCCAGCAGTGATTGCACAAATTTCCCCAATCCAAGAAATTGGCGTCCGATCGGGCTCCTTCTTCGCATTGACCTCTCTGGCCACCCTCACTGGGAATCCAATCGCAGGGGCCATCACAACGAGGCAAAATGGCGCGTTTTCGGGTTTGCAAATTTTTACTGGCGTCATTTTGATTGTCGGTAGCACTTTCTTTTTGCTCGGTAGAGTGTTGATTGTTGGGTTTAAACCTCAAGTTGTGTAACATTAACTGGTTATTTGCTATGTTACAAGCTCAAACAATATGCGTAATAACCCTAGTGACTCCCAACATTTATTTATTTTCTAATAACTATTTTATATTCTAATTACTCTATACCTCAGGATAGAAAATTAATAAATATTTAAAAATAATTATCATTAAAGATATATCAGTAGCCACTACTCCTAAATAACTCTTAAGTAAATCGGATAAGATAATATATTAATATAAATTTAGAAATATTAAAGAGCTTATAAACATATTATAAAGAAAATATCAAGAATATAAATCTAAACTAATAGCTATAAATAAAATCTATATCTAACTTATTAAAGAATAATTAAACTCTATAACTCTTTCTAAATTAGAAAAATACTAATCAATGTCTAGAATAACAAATCTAAATAATAAAACTAAAATAAAATATATTATAGAATTAAAATTAAATTCAACACTCTATTTTTAAAAATATAAATATTAAAAAAAAGTATCTTTAAATTAAAATATTTAAAAAAAATTTCTCTAAGATTTAAATTAAATAATTTTTATAATAAATATAAAATATTTATCAAAAAACTAAATCTTAATTTAAGAAATATTTTGAATAATATAATATATATCTAGAATATAAAATTAATAAGTAAAAGATAATCTAGATTAATCTTAATTTTTATAATACTTCCTATTCTAGGCTGTCATTTGGTTCGGTTTGGACCGAACTAAACCCGAACTGAAACCCGAATGGTCCGGTTCTGGTCCTATATACAGTGAACCAAAGTGGTTTAATTTACCAAGTCTAGACATGTGAGAGGGAGGGCCGATATAGCAGCAGCCGGACAGCCCTCTCACAGCTATATTTATAATTATAGAAGGGTAAATAGGGTAGCCTCTTAATTCTATGTTAAGTATCTAATTATGTTGCGATTTCTCCTTATTAGATGTTAATTTTTGTAAAGATGAGTGTATTTGAGTGCGTTTAGGGTAGCTTTTTATGTGCATTTGAAGTGTTATTTTTGATATGTTAAAAATAAGCGCTGTACACTGCACATTTGTAATTTTTTTGGTTTTTAATGTGTTAATAGTAAGTGCAAGTCTGTCTTTATAGTTAGAATTGTATTTTGCAGTATTTGGAGGTATTTTGGGATGTTTTGATGATTTTAAAGAATATGTGGTTGATAAATTTGAGAGGAAAGTGGAGTGGGTGGCCGTTTATGGGTAGTGGCCGTTCATGGGTGAAATATGTTAGTAGATAACCGTGCCACCGCGGGATCCGGTGATTGCGCAGGTAGCACAGTTAGTTGCATTTATTTTTGATCTGAGAACTGTCTCACTAGTGTGGTCCTAATGGCTGGGCGATCTTATAAATCATTCTACCTCGCGAGTCTCCAATACCTAAATAATAGGCGAGAGATTGCCTGCCTACCTTTTCTTTCTTTTTCTCTGACTGCCACTAGACAGACTGTGTACACTGGTGCATCCTCATGATGCATTATGTCGCCCGTCACATGCATACACAAAATTTAGGATATATTTGTATGCAACTAAAATATCATCTGCTTTTTAACTTAGTCACTTTCGCTATGCCACTATCAGTAATCTGTGGCGGTGATATTTTGATCTCTCGGGAAAAAAAGGTAGCTTTGGCCCCCAATATTTTTATATGTTACGTGGTTCTTCCCGTATTCCCATTCGCAAAACTGCATTCTGTAGATAGACTAGCACTCCGCCCCATTAGATAACCGTTGACCTACACCAAGAAGGGGTTCCCTCATTCTGAGGGCGATTAATTTGGCTGGCTGACAATAACTTACTCATATTGGCGATCTACCAATCAGGAATAAATCCTATTTTATTAGTCACAACACAAAGTATACTATTCATGTTTCAAACTGGACTTGAAAGTTCCACTGTTCTGAGTTTATATTCCGATCTCCTGGGTCAATAGTCGTATCGCTATTTTTATAGAGAGCGAGGCGAGTTGTCTTAAACTGTGTTCACAGCAACATATCAAAAGAGCGTGGCCTATCCTATGAGAACAATGGTAAATACCCTGGAGTCGCAAGTTTATGACCATACTCTTGTTGTGAAAACCCAATTTTGTGAGATCCGCGGTTTCGAAGTAGGGCGCTGGTCTAGACTCGGTATGGAATTACGCGCCCACCTGTACTCTGCGTTTCGCATGAAATTAGCTGAGTTTGGATATCCAAGTTAGTCCTAGATAGGAAGCTCGAAGATTTTTCCCTTCTTGGCGTCCCTCCGGTGAAGCCTCGTGGGTTCACCTCTTGGATGGTAACGAACGGATGACCAGTGAGACCAAATCAGGCCAAGCTAGCACTAGTCGGAATTATATTGTGCATTGTACTCCGTAATTTAGAGATAGGGATCCCAAATTTCTGCGGCGGTAGTTGCGGCTAGATTCGATAGAAGTGCTCCACAGACTCTAGTCTTGATCTCTCAGGATACAAACGAGAATTCACCTGTTGAACGGCATATTTGGTATTCCTATTACATCCTATTATTTCATCAATGTATTCTAAATCTGAATACTCAAAAAAGTGATCATTCGTAAGCAATTGCTGACAAGCATTCTATGTTAGTGAGATCCAATGTCGGATTTTCAAAAAGCTTGCTATGGTATGAAACAGGTGGCGTCGACCATCTATGCTACATTTGGTCTATCTCCGTAGTTATTCTAAGTTAATCTGAAATACTTGCGCTATGCTCCGACGGATTAAGGTTACACTAGGTCGTAGATCATGGTGGGCCGAAAAATGGACAGATCTAGATTATTATTTGTGAAGCGGTTTATAATTCTTGACCTGTTTGTGACTCCCTTTCTGACAAATATATTACAAGACATTGAAATACCTAAGATTTAGTATTGGCTTTAGACGAATGAGCCAATATATATGTTATAATATTGAGTATAGGACAACCTCACTTCAGCAAGAAAAAACTCAACGGATCTCCGGGTTAGCACATCATTGCCCAGAAAATTCGGCCCGAGGGATGCTCAGACGCTGCGTTATCTTTATTTTTTTCATTACACCAGATTGGATACAGTAATGCACAGCCAATGAACGGCGTAGCACTACGGTAACTGACTCAAAATTGAGTGGCCGTTTCGAGAGCTTGTTAGCTGAGCCCAAATTATGGCTATCTATTACGGCCATTTGAACTACGAATTAGAGTAATTGTGAGATGTATATATAACTGATATACGTATAACTGATATACGTATCATTGGGTTATGAAGAACTCAGACCGGGAATACTTCCATTTGGGAAACCGACCAGCATGTTAAGGACTTCAATTTTTACAATCTGTTTTGCTCTCGTTTGGAGCACGGTTGCTAGCTCAACAGCACCAGCCGCATCAACTCCAAGCATTGCTAGCGCACAGGATGTTGTAAATGAGTACAACAATGTGCTGGCTAAGAACTATAAACTGGATACCTCAAATCGCCCTAACTCCAGACAAAATATTCGAAAGCTGAATTGCGGCACTGGCACCAACCGTCTGCGCGAACGTATGGGTTATCCCGACACAGTCGAAGTTTGGGATTGGAATACTCTCGCTAGCATCACACAAATAGATATTGTGAATCACTATACTACCGATGTCGGCCCCGAGATCAACACAGGTCCTAACGACTCGACTATCAAAGCCATAATGTCTACTGCAGTAGCGCAGGCGTCCACTGAAGGATGGGTTATTGGAGGGACAGCTTCTTTGACACTAGGAAGCAAAGACTTGCCATCCGGGACTGTGACTTTCTCAGCGCAGCATACATCTACTTCTACAACAACAATAACGGAGACAGAAACAGTTGAATACGATGCAACCTGTCCAGCAGGCTATACCTGTTCAATCGAGACCGTAACTTTCGTCGCTAATATCGTTGGCACTTGTTATAATCAAACGTGGTTTGATTTCAGTGGATACAATGTTGGCACTGATGTGCAACTCTGCAGTTTGCTCAACGATAAGGACGGAGGCGCTGGAGATTGTCCCGTACTTAGCACACTCTACGATCATGTTTGTACCCATGGCGTCGGGACTTCTCAACCGAATATTCCATGCGAGGTCAGCACTCCTATCTGGAATGAGAGTGGTAACCTATTAAGTGTTGTGGTTGTGACAACCCAGAAAAACTAGCGCAGGATTCATTACTGCACGTCATATGTGCGACGATCAACTCTTCATAGCACCTATTCTATTCACTATTACTCTCTATTTTCTTTTATTCAAAGTCCTTTCAACAATGACATGTAGAGATTTCTTATACAACTATAGCGAGTTTATTTAGGGAGAAAATTAACTATTTTTTATTAATCTTTTTCTTATTAGATATAGATCTAATTAATAAAACAATAGTTATATAGTATAATATATTATGGGAGTTGATACGTGCACTCAAGATAATACAGCGTACACCCGAACTAACTTTTTGTGAGGAAGGCGTGTAATCAGCTTGTCTAATAACTTACTAGTAGTATTGATCGCTTCTTCGAATCATTGTTGTAAAGTAACTACTAGTGCATTCATTTAGTAGATCCTTCTGTGTCTAGATCAAGCCTGATACTAGCTTCCAACCAGTTACTAACTTCGAAAATTGAAACTCTCGAACAATCACTGGTCGATTCATAGGCGGTTTGAATTTTCTGATCACCGCATTTCCCTCCATATCAGCAAAGACTGACCCCAGAAACGACAACGAGGTACCAAGAACCATCAGAAGAATTTCAATTCTTTTGTCTGTCTGGGTATGGCTGCTACATATCTATCTAGTAGAAAGAGATAGATAGGGTATCATTGATACTTAGGCCGAGCTTTTGGCGTTCAATTCGGCACTCAAAACGCGTGGTTCTGGACCAGAAACGTAGCCCAATGCATTATGCCGTAGACCAGTGGGTCGGTTTGAACATGGTATTATCGGCTACTAGCCTATCGCTTTTGATAATATTATGATCATGGTGCAATGCTAGGCCTTATTTGAATGGTATCAGCTGCTTGACTTACTGCATGACGAGAATGATGCAGAGGTTGACAATGTAATCCTTAAAGCTAGTGCGTGAACCAGGGACCAAATTTGGGATGACGTCACGTCCAGGAGTACCTGTCCTGGATTTACTTCTCACGGATGCATCGAAAAATTCCCGAAACACCTTCCGGGCCGTGAGCCTTGAGAAACGTTACGAGATCCAGTCCGTCCATTGTGACGTGTATGTTTCAGCTTGTCAGCCTTGGGAACGACGACCTTAACATCGGCGCCGTGTGCGCATTGGTTGTGTCACCAACCTACATAGAAATCTGGGCAGAAATTACATCGTTCATCCGGTCACTCACGTGGACAAAAATTTAGTCATTATCAGTCACTCATGTGGACAAAAATTCAACCATCATCCGGTCATTGCCTTAAAGTAGCTTAAGACATCCTAATTTGTCCTTAGCTTTGCATATGTTGGTTTCGTATCACTAGTACGGGCATTTTGCATTGGTGATAGGCCTTTACCTCATACGGAGCTAGGCTGTACATTATATAAAATCTATCCTTTTAGGTGGAGGATAAACTCTCGGCTCGGGCACTTGCAAATCCCGACAGCCCAGCTCTCATAATGCCCGTCCTTGAATTTTCAATCCGCATAGATCTTACTTTACAACCATTCATTCTATCTTCAACTAAAATCAAATGACAGAACCATACGACGTAATTATCGCTGGCGCCGGCCCTGTCGGTCTCTTCCTAGCCTGCGAACTAGGTCTTCGCCACATATCAGTCCTCGTACTGGAACGAAACGCCCAACAAGAATCGCCCTGGAAAGTCGAGCCACTCGGTCTCCGCGGACTAAATATACAATCCGTTGAAGCATTCTACCGGCGCGGCTTACTAGGTAGATTATTCAACCTAGACGATAGACCGCAATACGGCAAGAAACCCGGTTTCCAGTTTGGGGGCCATTTTGCCGGTATGAAGATTAATGTTAACCAGCTGGAGCCGGAGCGCTGGATATATCGATTACCTGGACCGGCTTTCGGTCCTGGCCCGACCAGCATGCATCAAATTGAGAAGGTTCTTACTGAACAGGCGGAGAGCTTAGGTGTGGAGATCTTGAGAGGGTATCCCGTTACTCGTATCGCGCAGGATAAGAATAGCGTTACAGTTGAGGCTGCTGAGCGCTCCTTTAAGGGCAAGTGGCTCGTTGGTTGTGATGGTGGTCGCAGCTTTGTGCGGAAAGAAGCTGGTTTCGACTTTGTCGGGACAGAGACAAATTTGACTGGCTACGCAACGCATATCGATTTAGATTCGCGTGAGAAGCTAAAGACTGGCTTTAACGTCTCTAAGACTGGAATGTACATCAATGTCCCAAATGGTGCGTTTCATCTGATGGAGTTCGAGGATGAGAGCTTCGATCGTTCGCAAGATATTACGTCGGAACATCTCCAAGAGGTTCTTAATCGTGCTATTGGCCGCGACGATGTGAAGATTATGAAGGTCCACCTTGCTTCTTCTTATACCGACCGTTCAATGCAAGCTACAAGTTATCGCAGGAACCGTGTTCTCCTTGCCGGTGATGCTGCGCATATCCATTCCCCTCTCGGTGGGCAGGGAAAAAATGTGGGACTGGGAGATGCGATGAATCTGGGTTGGAAGTTAGCTTCTACGGTCCGGCGGGAACATTTGGAGCAGAGCTCTGAAAGTCCGCAAGATCTGAGCCTTTTGGATACATACGAGAGCGAGCGATATCCGATCGCAGCGTCGGTTCTAGATTGGACTCGTGCGCAAGTCACGGCGTTGAAGCCAGATGCTTTCGGTCGTGCTACACGGGCACTTCTAGAAGATCTTATTCAGACGGATGACGGAGCAAATTTGTTCATTGATCGTATTTGGGGGCTGTCGCAGCGGTATAGACTTGATGAAAATGCCGCGAATGCACACCCGCTTATTGGGTCTAGTGCACCTGATTTTGTGTTTGAGGATGGGTCGAGATTGGGCTCAAAGCTTGAGGGGGGAAGGGGGTTACTCCTTGATCTTGGAGGAGATGCCGCGCTAAACGATTTGGTTGAGAAGTTTGAGGGGGAAGTGGATTATCTTGGTTTGGATGCGAAAGAGAAGTGTAGGCTGAAGGCTTTGTTGATTCGGCCCGATGGGATTGTTTCCTGGGTCGTTGAGGAGAATGCTGAAGCGGACCTTGGTGCTGCGAAGGCTGCGTTGGACAAATGGTTTACGCTATGATTGAAAAAGCACACACAAGCCTTAAATTGACACACTTCTCAAATTGTGGTTTTGCTTTGATGTCAGCTCATAATGATGCGAGTTATTCACACTGCAACCTGCTATACAAATGCCGTGGCTTAATTTCTTTATTTAGGGAGAGAAAAGAGGGCCGGCGCTTACTTGGCTATTTTTATTCGCTGAAGCACTCACCCTGACCTAGATATGGTGGATCGAGCACCAAGATAAAGAATTAATTTCTAAAATCGTTCATAGAGAGCTAAATTGTGAAAATTTATGCATCAATCAAAATAGAAGGGTCCAAATCAGTAAATATTTCTATTTTTTCATCGAAGCAATTCTACTGATGTCCACGTTCCGAGACATCGGAAAGAGCATATTGAGAGAAACAAACAAACCCATTCTTTCTCGTGATATTCAAGCCGTTTGCAACATTGCTTTCGATTTTCTGGATCTGAAATGCTCGGACGTGCTCGGTTACTTTTACGAGAATGGCGGTCATTGATACCGCTAGTAATTACCAAGGGCCGTACTGAATGGACTTGATTATGCCTAAGAGAATGCCCCAGTGTAATGTTCACAGCCCATTTGAAACATCCAAGTATAGTCTGTACATATATTGATAGCGTATTCCATTGCTACTACTAATCGCGTGCTTCTCCTCTAATCAACAGCCTTTATTGAATAATCATTCGATCCAGCCCGACATCAGTGCAAGTCCCATATCGATAATCTTACTATCGGGTCATGTCCCATATAGAGAACGGCGCGATTGGGAAAAGTTTCCTAGCCACAGCGCGACCATCCAATTGGAGGAGAAAGGATGTAGCCGCCACGTATTTTAACAAGCCACGAGACTGCATCGACGTGATATGAGGATCACGAGCGTCCACATTCCCGCTGGTACACGGACTATTACGGTCCCCTGGGCTATCAACCGCTCGCAAGATCTCTGGGGACCCGATGCCGAGAGCTTCGTCCCTTCTCACTGGATTGATAAAAAGAACGGCAACCCGAACAATACAGGTGCTGCGAAGAGTAACTATTCTATTCTGACGTTCTTCCACGGCTGGTGGAGCTGTATTGGCCAAGATTTTGCGAAAGGGGTGCTGAGAGTGTTGGTTGCGGCATTTATGGTTAGCGGATCCGGATTATGTGCCTGCGCCGTATGGAGTGGTCACCGCGAAGCCGAAGGATGGAATACCTTTAAGGCTTAGCAAAGTGGGCGATTGGTAGCAATTCAGTGTAGTCTGACTTGATATCGGTTACGAAGTAAGGAACGGGAAAGTCCGTCACTAGTGTGTAATCGTCACACATGTATACGATCAAAAGAATTCCTTAGGGTCATAGTTAATTTATTTTCCCAATTTATTTTCTAGCCTACAAGAGGAGAAGCACTGGAAAGATACAAGTTACAGTCCACAGGTCTCAGGATTTCCGTGGCCAAGCGACTCTGGTTGCAACTGCAGGGTTTATTGATAGGTCTGATTAAAATGTCTATCTTGTACATAAATGATCAGCGACTTGTAGATTTAAATGATTTGTGTTCACGTGGAATCCACGTAAGGATAGGAATAGTTCCGTCTAGCTTCTGTTATCACGCACCCAATCATAGACTCAATTACAGCAGCGGTATTTTCACAGGATTTAGGTAGTCGATATTATACCGGTGCCCCTCTACGCGAGGCAAAGATGTGTGGAACAAACAATCTCAAAGGCGGCTCTGTTTGCCGTAATTATAGCTGTTCCTCCAACCTCTACGGTGGTGAAGATCGTGATCTTCAATCACTCCTTCCACATCGCAATACCTCAACAACCAAGTCCATAGATTCACTGCGGTAGCAAGCATACGCAGACCGCTATGACCCAAAATTTCTGTGAAGGCTACATATTGCTGGCAAATCCACCATTCGTAGAAACCGAAGGGGATTCCCATCAATTTCATTGTGCCATAAGTTATGAGCGGCGCACCGACCATGTCAAAAAATTCCTGCAGCAAGTCCGCATAACCTGACAAAAGAGGATTTGGATGCTTTGTCGGGTGGTGAGTTCTGTGGAACTGCCAGAAGTATTCCATTTCGTGTGCTGAGCGGTGGAATAGGTAATACCAGAAGTCAAGTATTACGGCATAAATACCAGTGTCAAGTATGATTCATGACCACCGGAGTGATGATGGGCCTTTATCCGAGCGATAGGAGAGAAAAACCATCATCATCGGTCGCAGTATGACAATGGACACTAGTGACTGTACAGTCTTGCTAACGCCAGCATCAGGCACACCATCACGAGCATGTTTGTCTCCATCGAAAAATCCAACTTTGTGCCCAACGCGACGGAGAACATGTATTTCATGTATGGAAATGAGTTGAAACGCCAGGCTGTAGAAAATAAATACAGATAATGGCGAAGGGTTGCGACCGAAGTAACTAATATAGAGTTGATGAAGAAATAGTGGGATGCTGGCGTGGATGAGAACCCAACGATGGAACTATAGTTCGGGTGCGTAAGGAACTTTGTCTACTTTCTAATGAACTAGAACTTCTTTGTCAAGATCCACGTGGTGCATGTTCAAGAGCTCTATAAACCAATGACCTGCATTCCACCGCGTCCGATCCCCACGAACGCCACGTCGACTTCATTGAGTTTTTAGGATTATGTATGAGTGCAGCCATAGGTACAGTAGCAATACTCAGAAACTATTGTATATTAAGTTTGTCTTTATGATAGTGACGATTGGGTTTTATACAGAACGTTTGCGCATGTGACAGTTGATGATGCCGTTTGTGACCGAGGTTTTTTGATATTTCTTGTCGAGAAAAATGCCTTCGGGTCCTATCCACAGTCTGTGAAGTTCCTGGAAATAAAGATGTGACCGGGGATAAGAAACGTGGTGGAGAGCAGGCGGTACAACCATTATCCCGGGGAGTAGTCGATCCAAATGTGCCGAGGTAACCTAACGCTAATACCTAAAGGGTTACAGCATATAATATCCTTAACTCTCTGCATCTTTTGTCACTCGTATGATCATAGATTACCATTTCAAGGATGGGACAAGTCTGGAGCCTAATATTTCTGTCGCCGCCAGCATTGACGGAGGATAATCTCCCAGACCAGACCGGCAAAGTAAGTATTCTGAACTTAACAGCTCCGCGTAAGAAGCTTACAATTTAGGTATTCATTGTCACTGGTGCCTCAGGTGGAATTGGTCTCGCACTTGTTTCAATCCTCTACGAACGTAATGCAAAAGTATATTTGGCGGCCCGGTCTAGAGACAAGGCACGTAAAGCAATAGAAAACATCAAATATGCGTACCCAGATTCTTGTGGACACATTACATTTCTCCAACTTGACCTAAGTGACTTAAGAACCATTCACAAGTCCGCTGACAAGTTCTTAAGTAAAGAGTTGCGACTTGATGTTTTATGGAACAATGCAGGAGTTATGGTACCACCACAAGGATCGAAAACGGCTCAGGGATACGAATTGCAATTGGGAACAAACAATATCGGCCACCATCTCTTTACAAGGTTTCTTCATCCCCTATTGAGTCAGACAGCAAAAATAGCACATCCGGGCTCGGTGCGCGTCGTATGGGTATCCTCCGGTGCTGCTATTAGGGCCCCTATCCCGGCAATCGACTTCACAAATATGGATTACCACCATGAGGAGTTATTTACTTTCTATGATTCTGTTTTTAGAAATAGGAGAATATACAAACGTGAAGTCCAATCTAATAGTGGGTATAATTAAGTTGATATACTAGTTATTCACAGAAATATAATATTCATCACATGAAATACTCATCTATTATATTTTAATATCCTTCTATATGTTATACCGAGTGCATAGCAATGACTCAGCTTCATTAACAGTTGCATAGAATTGGATATGATCACGAATAGATGTGACAATATGACAATGCTTATTATCCTATTCATAGCCGGCCATTTGTACACTTCTTCTACTAACTTCTTTAAAGATGAAAAGAATTCACATATCTATTTAGGCGTCCAGTGTCAACCAAAGTTTTCTGATGTTGGATCAGAAATATCCATGAGATGATCATGACCTTCTGCAATGTTTCGAGAACTAATGCCTACTCGAACAGGCAAGACAAGATCTCAAGGTGCTTTGGACAGCCTAGTCCATGACAAGAATGGTATAGACGGCCTTTTCTTGTGAAAGACGTGCGATTGAGATAAATTAGAGGTCGTAGTTATGACACTGGCCAGTAATGTCGCAGTGAGCGCTTTCAACAAATACATGTTTTCCTCTTCTGTATACAGAACAAATTCGACGGTACTGTAACCTTGAATAAAAATATTTGATTTATGAATAGACCGCTGGTACTGTACATGAGCTCTGCTGCAATTTTCTCATAGCAAATCCAGGATTGATCTAACCCATTCAAGATTAAAAGTAATCAGTTTTCATCATCTCCTCTTTAGCAGACGTATATTACATTACTAGTGTCTACGGTCTCTCTCTAAAGATGTGAGGGAAACCCGAGTGGATGTGTCAGCTCGCTATCACTTAGCAAGACGCAGGTGGGAGATCACTTACCAGATACGGCAGAGGTTGCCCTGAAAACGGGTCGATGATCATCTTTTAGTGTGAGAACAGGTCTCCAGAACCTAGGTATTTAGGAACCCGACAACAAACGGCTGAAAACTTGTCTGTGCTATTGCTGATCGGATAGTTGGCAGTAGATGAACTATGTTGTGAACAGGAAAACAATTCCACCACTAGCACTTTGTACTTAAATCACCAACACGACGGTGTTAGGCTCAAGAATGTTCTGAACACCCGCACGCTTAGTCAATATTCGCGTGTAAAGATTTATGTCTGATTCAATTTACCTTATCAAGGTAGTCCCCACTGTGACCACGGAATTGAACTCTCCTATAGGTAGCATTTCCAACTGCCCGATAATAGGGCACAAGTTTAACCGTATCAGAGCACCTATTAGACAGGGGTGCTTTGTTGATCTCCACTTATCTAGGCAGTTGAATACTCAATTTTCGTCTTCTTGGAATAACGAAATCAGGCTCGTGTAGGGCTTTTTTTCAATCTAGTAGATATTATGGGCCACACAAGCTTTTCATATCCCACCTGCGCTGTGCGCAATTCATCTGAAAATTGAATCGGAAATCTATTTAGCCTGTTCTATGTCAGGGAAATGAGCATCAAACATATCCACTTAACAATATTTTTTTTTAGGCTTTAAGGATCAGACCCATCAAATAGGTGCATGACATTGCTCGAAATTCTCCCCTCTGGTACACGGAAGGCCTGTATACAGATTCTGGGAGGATGTAACGGACGTAGCAATCTTGACCAACAACTCGAGTACATCTTAATCTAGAGGGTGATTTTTTTGGTCTGTACACAGCCCGGTGCAATAAGCAGGTCAAATCGGGAATACAACGACAAGTGAAAACTTCCCTCACCTGAGACATTCCACTTCGATAGGCAAGTGAAGCATGCTATTTTATGAAGATCCTTATTGTTTACTCGGCATCTGGTCGGAACATTAGTCCCTATATTCCACCCCTGTCATGTACACTGTAAAAGGCTGATTTCGAGCTACAAGATCTCCCGATTACTGAGACATTCGTAATGGAAAGATCCGCCCAAAACATCACCGTTGTAACCCTCCTGTAATACCTTTCATTAGATGTAATGTTTAATTTTGTTTCTTCCACATACACGGCCTTGTGCTACTCTCCCTACTCTACACTTCCACAATTTTCCCAACTCAATCCCGATACGGGTTCGTAGAAGGAGTATTAAACGGTTTTGCGGCACAAGCATCCGAAACTTTACATGTATCGTAGAAGCCAATAGCCCAATAGGATTATGTGAAGATCTTTGTTCGAGTACCTTTTGCCTTAGAGTACAATTACTGTAATGAGGAATGGAATGTTTTTCAAAATTACAAATTGTACCTAGTTTGTCTAGAATGGATTGACAAACCTCTATACTGCTTTCTCTTAGCGTCACCGCTGCGGTGTCTCGAGAATATCTATTTAACAGGACTAAACACGCGTTCCGACGTCAACATGTCAGGTATCAACCTCTTAACATTTGATATTCTAGATAGTACTTATTTAACATCTCACTCGAATATGTTACTCTATCTTCTCTTCGGCTGGGCTGCTGGCGCGGCCGCTTTGTCTATGCTAGAAGTGCACGAAAAGCGCAGTATCTCGAGCACCCAGCTCTTCGATATGAATCCAATCCCCAAGGATTCAATGCTACAGCTGCGGATTGGTCTAACACAGAGTAATTTGGACCGTGGATACGACTACCTGATAGATGTGGCTGACCCGTCCTCGAAGGTAATATGGTCCCCATTTCAGGCCGAACCAATTCTGACAATAGAGGCCTCAACAGAACTACAGCAAGCATTGGACTGTTGACCAAGTGGTTGCCAGGTTTGCCCCTAATCGGGAATCAGTGGATCTTACCATGGAGTGGCTCACAGAAACAGGGATCACGGACGTTCGTCAAAGCTCTAACAAAGGATGGATCCTCTTGAATGCACCTGTCTTCCAAATTGAGAATTTATTGAATACCAAATTCCACGAGTATAGCTCTGCGGACGGCGTTGTGAGGATCGGTTGCGAAGAATATTCCCTACCGCAGCACCTCCGCCAACACGTGGATTACATCTTTCCCGGCGTCAAGTTGTCTCCGCCAATCAAACGGTCCGGGACGCGGAAGCGGGCCTGTTTCGGCAGGAAGTCTCCTTCGAACGTGGCTATCGTATTGAATACATCTTCCAGCACTGAACATTGCGGAACATCCATTACTCCGCCATGTTGGAGGGCACTGTACGATATACCAGAGCAGGGCAATGTCAGCATTCCGGACTATACCATGGGTGTATTTGAATATGGGGATACTTATGCACAGGAAGACCTAGACGAATACTTTGCCGCCTACGCTCCGTATGTGCCAACTGGGACTCACCCGAAGCTTGTTTCTGTGGATGGAGCTCAAGCCCCTGTGCCAACCAGTAGTGACGAAAACGACGGTGAATCTGATCTCGATTTCTCAGTTGTTTACTCTCTGCTCGGCGCCATCAATGTGACGCTATTCCAAACTGCAGATACGAATGCAACACTGCTAGACTCGTTGCTTGATGCGATTGAGGGACCGTATTGTGCTGAACAAGAACTGGAAGCAGGATTTCATTGCGGCGTTGCTAGTCTGCCTTCTGTCCTTTCAATATCTTATGACACTCCTGAGTTGTTTGATGAAACATTTCTTTCACAAAAGAGGGCTTGCAACGAGTTTATGAAGCTCGGGCTGCAAGGCCATACCATCATTGTGTCGAGCGGCGACTATGGAGTTGCGAGCAACCCCTCGTTTGGATCATCTGGTCCTTGCCCGAATGGATGCATTCCCCAGGGGCTTAATAATACTGGAGAGCACTCCTTTCACGGAACCATATTCTCTCCTTCATTTCCAACGAACTGTCCCTACGTGCTATCTGTGGGTGGCACGCAGTTGTCACCCGGACAGACAGTGAAAGATCCGGAGACCGTAATGAACACTGACCGTTTCATCATTGACAATTGTTCTTCACCGTTCTTCTTTGCCAGTGGAGGCGGTTTCGCCAATTACTTCCCGCGCCCTCCATACCAGAATGCCGCAGTTTCCACTTATCTAACTAAATATGCCCCAAGCCACCCATACTATTATTCGAATTATATCGACGTGCAAGATCGGACCACTACCATCGGACACAATGGTGGCGTGTACAATCGCGGCGGCCGTGGTATCCCCGATGTATCAGCCAACGGAGCCCACATGCTCGGATACTTTGGTGAACTCAATGAAGCCGATGGAACCAGTATCTCCGCACCAATCTGGGCTTCCATTGTGGCCCTAATCAATGCTGAACGCACTGCGCATGGTAAGAGTAATGTAGGGTTTATCCAGCCGACATTGTATCAAAATCCACAAATGTTTCATGATATTACTACAGGCGGGAACCCGGGGTGCAATTCTACGGGATTTCCGGCAAGCGTGGGCTGGGATCCTTCCACTGGACTGGGAACTCCCAACTACCCTGCAATGTTAGAACTATTCCTTGGTCTGCCTTAGTGTTCTCAACAAATCATCGAGCCCATGTTCGTGACGGCAATACACAAGTCGGTTCCCTGTTAATGCCAATGCTGTGCTTAGATAGATATGGTGAGTTAAGACATCTGGCATACGGTCACGATATTTTATTTGATAGCAGATGTCTACCAGGGAAGGAAATGGAAATGGGTTTGATCATTAATTTTCTAAATCAGAAACGAAGATGATCATGTCTACAAGTGTTGTAATTGCAATCAACTAGAATCTACTTGTATTCAGTGTTTTTTTATCCGGTACTGATTGCTAACTTTTGTATTGCGAGCTCTATCTCAATTCTTAAGCGGATCACATTATATCTATTAGATTTTTTTTAGAAAAAAAACAAAAAAACAAAAAAACACAAACACATCCTCAATTCGCAGGGCTTAAACAACGAAAAAGGAGATTGTTCGATTGCCCCTAACTGAGTCATGGAGAACTAAACCCTCTTGCCGACAGAATATCATTATCGACACGGTGGGAATTTGTATAAGTAAACTGTGTTACCAAACCAATTGAAATTTCAGCTGCAGGGGATTGCAGGGTTTCAAGCGTGCAGTGGGTGGCAGTGGGAATCACGGACATGCTCCTGGAGAGGGAGAGAAAATCCATCGCATGCCATCAACGAGGCAATAGTCGGTTAAATGATAGATCTTGAAACATGGGTTGACAAACCTAGCTGCGGGCGGCCATGATATTGGCCTATAGGGAATTAAAATACTCAGCACTCTGCAAAATTCATGTCGTTTTTTATGCAAGCACCGTTTGGATGAAAGACGGTAGAGAAGTAGTTGAACACTGCCATTGCGGGTAATGTTTCTTAAGTGGCCACTTTACTGTTCTCCTATAAGAATGAACCTTAGGATGCCTCATCACTAGCCATGATAGTGATGTATACCTTGTAGCCTTGTATGCTAAAGTTATCGATAAAGCGACGCCAGAAGTCACTAAACTGGTTGGATACATTGTTCCCTGTTGGCGACTTTGGTGCAAGACCTGTGCAGCAGGCTGATCGGTGTAGAGAGATGCTCGCAGATGCCACATGTCGGACGGCCGGTGGTTCGTCGCAGACTATCGAGGGAGCTGCATCCGGGCCCACTGTTCAGCCAGATAGTGAGTTCATTTTTGGCCGCTAGGTTTGTCAAAGGGAAGGAACCAAATAAACGGCTCGAGTCTACATAAGGTATTAGAGAAAGTACAGGCATACGATTTATCGATGTTAGAGGGGACCAGGGAGAACTTGCGGCCGTCGATAATAAATCTGACACACTGGCCAGACTCCTACGCTTTTCAAATGACCATTTACTCCGGATTGATTGTCTAGAAATTAAATTTAGCAAGATTTCCCAACCTCGGCAATCCGCAGCCACGAGGGAGCGAGCACGCTCAGAGCACGCATTGCATTGACGTCGCTGTTCAATCAACTGTGAAATGGAAGTAAAGATACAGTTCAGTGATCCAGAACCTGACCTACGTCTGATAACTATGTAACTTCAAGTAGTCGGTGTCGCCTTACGGGATGGGCCAATAAGAGATTCGAAATTGATTGGGCTGTAACTTCAAAATCTAGACATCTTATATGATTTGCGCTGTTTCTCTTATTGTGGGGTAGTAAGTGGGACTAAGCTCGCGTTAGTCCGGTCCTGTGCAGGTAACGATCCTGGACTTATCATTTGCTACTCGGGGATTGCCGAGGTGGAGAAACTGGGCGCATATTAGTCATTTGCTGATAGAGACTTTTCATCATAGTAAATCTTAATCGCTGCCTCATTGGTAATGGGTCCAAATCGACAATAAATAAACAATTATCATAGTTTAGGCTTTACCTTTAAAACAGAGTGAAACCTGGTCTGGAACAAGCCCAAATTTCCATGCATAGACGAAGCGTCGTTAATAGGGAGAGATACCTTTCAATGTCATGATAAATATTGCGTCTCTACAACCACTTTAGATCCATCTATGTTATTAGGACCATGTCCCTTAGTAGCAGCAAAGCTAGGTCCGATTATTCAATAATATAAGCGAATAGCTTCTTGAGACAGCCCAGAAAGTCAGCATTTGGCCCTCTCTGAACTGATAAGATATCGGGTCTAGACTTCTCTGCGATCCATTTCATATCTGTCCAAATAGGAAGGTGACTATAGATACAGTGGAGAATATCAATGCTAAAAAATGAGAGAACTACTTCTGTTTTATAGCATCATCCATAAGATAGATCCATAGTATGTGGAGGCACAGAGCCTGCTACTTTACCGTACCAAAGGGTAGCTTTGCGGAGGATCGGCACTCTTAGCGCGCGCTAATTTTACTGCACTAAGGAAGCATCGGCGTTTCGCTGGTTTTGGAGGGACGCCAAGGTAATTACCCGAATTCCCGTAAGAACATTGGGCCATACGTTAGCTTTGATTGACCAGAAGCTTAAAATATGGACCAGAAGCACCTCACATTACGCACACAACAGCAATTAAAGCCAGCCTCATTAATATATCCGCAGCCCAAATGGCGAATGTGAGACTAAACAAAGAAGATTAGCAAATATTCACCATTTAGGTTCCTAACCGGTGCTATAATTTTTCGAAAAGTGTAGACCCATTTAAAACCTATTGAAAAAACAATTTCCAGGTACTATATTATGTCTTAAATCAGCATCCCCTAACGAATTGGAGTAGTACGATTCCATATAACCCAATTCCGACTTTAAAAATAAAAATAAGAATATCCAGCATGATCATTATATACTGCTTAAAAGAGCAATCATTACGCTTCATAGATATATTATATCTCATCAGACCCAATTTCGTTCATTATTAATTAAAATACAGTTCGAACTAAGCTTTAGAGGCGTGCACTGTGTACTTCTCATAAGAAAATCTCGCTGTAAATCGAAGACTTTCTAGTGTAATGCAGGCTCATTTCCAACAGAGAAAATATTTCTTGGCACGGTAGTGTTCACCGGTTGTCAATTAAATATAAGATTGAGTAGATGCTTCTAGTCCAATGGACCCCATAGGCACCTCATTTACTATCAATCCATAAGTACCGAAGACAGTGAGTACAATGCTTCCCATCCCCAGAGAAAATCATAAGCGAGCCGAATACTTTCGTCGGCGGATCACTCGGGCATCGATAGCATGCTATTCCTGTCGCAGTCGAAAGGTACGATGTGATGTCGTCTACAAGTCGCCGATTGGATTGTATAGAGTGCGTAGCTCCGAAGGCCAAACGTGTTTCGTAAGTCAATCTATGCCTTTGACACAGATCATGAACATTCCTTGATATGTTTTTGAAACAGATCAAAGTCGCACACTAGCATAAGAATTCTAGGTATCTCTTCTACCAATCTATCATCAATGATACAGTGCTCCTTCGTTAAGAACCTAGCATCAGATAAGCAACAACCAAAACAACCATCTCTACATGAACGTCTCTCTTAAATACTTCAAGGTAACCAAATCACTGCGTATTATCAGAAGCTCTTAGATCTTTCACTGTCTTACAGCTCACCCTCTTCTCTCCCAACCCATTCATTTCCCACAAATCAATCACTACCAAATTACGTCCAAGATGTTCCTCTTACTCTGTCGAGAAACAGACTTAAATACATGTCCACCAAAGGTGCTTTCACTATTCCCAGTGATGATTTACGGGATGCCCTTCTAGAAAACTACAACAGAAACATTCACCAGCCAATACCCTTTTTTAATTTTGACAAATTTGTTAAAATATCACTCAAAGTCACAGCATCTACAGAGTAAGTCTATTTCTTTTACAAGCCGTGATATTTGCTAGAGCTGCCTGTATAAATATCATCCATCTACAAAGAACGGGCTATCTATCGCGAGGGCTCGCTCAAAGGCTTTTCTTTCAGCAGGTTCAACTACTCTATGATCATGGATATACAGAGAAATAAGATATTCTTAACAAATGCATACTACTCCTCTCACAAAGTGCCATATTCATATCTCTCAACTATACTTTTCTCGGGTCTAAAAATTCGTCCTATTTCCCTCCCACTTCTTCTACTTCCTTATCCTCCACTTCTGTATCACCTAAAGTATGCTCTCTAGAATGCATTACTATCCCGTCTCACCCATTCCCAGACTGTTCATTCCGTTCAGGCAGCATGGGAAGGTCGTTAAACACGGCCAACTCTGCTATCCAGACAGCAGCATTAACAGGATCAGGATCCATGCTGAACACCGTTTTATGCCCAAGCAGTTGGGGTGCAATAATGCCAATAAATGAAATGAATGTGTATTCTTCTCAAAATGAGATGTCTATTGGGCACGGATTTGTAAATACTTAGCCGTTGGCGTTTTTTTCTTGTGCAATCCCAATTTTATCCATGTGTAATTTATTGAAATTTATCTGCTACTTATCTTGCATTGAGATACCCTCCACCACGAGGGTTTCGTGTTAAAAGCGTCGACCGTCTGATTTACATTCATGGCGATTGTATATAAGTGGGTCAAATCGGACGCGGTAACTTCGACGCGATGGTTGGGGGGAGGAGAGGCCGGTTCAATTATTAACGTTTCCTGACAAAGTCCAGCGGTAGGAGGGAAGGACATAAAAGTGGTCAATAAACAAGTTCTATTCAATGTGCCGTACAACGTCTCGAAATCATCGGGAAAATCCCCAAATATGCAAAACCGGATGTGGGTTTTTTTGCCAGTTCATACAACTAGTAGGGAAGAATGCGGAGTGGGGTGGGTTATGGTGGGTTTAGGCAATCAAGTCCGTCATACATCCCGAAAACAGATAAGATCTAGTATCCAAAACCATCCAATGATAGCCGCCACGGAAGAAAAGACTTTCTCTTATTGGTGTGATATGTACCCTGCAATAGCCGGGAATGATCTACACGCTTCTCGGAAATTTCATTTTGTCTGCTTGGAAACCATATCTAGCCCAACGGGAAATTAGCTCAAGCCAATGAAGTGATCATTAACCAGAGAAAAAGGCTTCAGAGGCGGAGTTCGGTCGACCTTTTAGCAATCAGGAGTGGGGTTCTCCGTATATCCGCCGTTAGACTGCCTCCCATTCCAAGGGCGTCAAAACAGGGCAAAGAAGTCTAAATCGGACCCTCTTAGTCAAACGCCGAGACATGTTTAGTTAGCGTCTTGGCGGTATAGCACAAGGCAAAAGTGATGTGTATCCAATATATGTATTTTTACTTTCTCCTAGCTGTTAGTTCGCGACAGGGATCTCATTTTTGAGTATTGGTATTTTCCACTCTACGACAGAGATAGTGGGCTTGCCATTTATGGTTTCAATATGCGAGCTACCTCCTCCTATTCGGGTATATGTGAAACAGATAGCGAACAAATCTGGACCTGACTCAAGGGGACCAACTGTCGGCCTTTAAGTTGTTTCACGCGTCGAATTGGTATGTCAAGAAGCTAAGTTTCTCATTCGTAACGGCGAGCGAACGGATCGAAATATCATGGAATGATTGAATCTAGCTTCATTGCTACCTAGAGACATGGCCCTAATAATATGGATTGGTTGTAAGCGAGAGATTCGTCGTAATAATAGTCAAAAAGGATCTCCTATTAATGGCATTTCGGTTAAACACCTCTTTCTTTATAAGAAATTCAGCGGAAATTTACTCGTAAAATGAAAGTTTGAGCTGAATCAAGCCTAGACCTCGGTGACTGTTTTATTAAATGTTGATCTTGGCCCATTACCAATGGGGTAGCCACTAAGATTTACTGCAATATGATAAAAACTCCGTCAGCAAATCATCATGTATTTTCCTTTAAGATAATTGGGATTGGTTTTGTCTGGAAACTGTGGATGACTTTTTTTAATTGTGTTAAAGCTTGGTATTATCCGGCATTGAATGCGGACTAGAGATTATATACACATGGCCTCCCTTGGCCACCCAATTCTGTAATCAATCAAGAGGTACCTGATTCCACCTAGTCTAATACGCATTATGTCAGAATGTACTACTCGAAGCACCTCAACATATCTGAACTATATTCACGCATTCTGTTTATTCCGCCAGCCAGATCCTTTGTTACTAGAGACGATTATCCTCTCCCTCAGCTATGGGGATCTTATATTGGTGCATTCGATGGATATTAATGGCTGGGCAGATGGGATAAAATTGGAAACTGGAAGAGAATCTGGCATCTGGTTTCAATTATGAATAGGATAACTCTCGCGACCCTCAAAGAGATCACGTCAGTCTCTCGAAATTATAAAATCCTGCGTCACCGCCAGCATGAGTGTGTTCCTCCGGCTGTGCCTTTCTAGGGTGTGTACTTGTCTGATCTTACTTTTATCCATGACGATAATTGTGCGACAAGGACTCTTTCTATAGAGGACGGTGATATCACTATGATTAATTACGATAAGTATGTGAAGATAAATTAAATTATTCGCGAGTTACACCGTTTTCAAATCCCGTATCAACTTGCTGAAATCCCTTCGTTATACACTTACATACAAAAACAACTTGTCCGCGAGCATGCAGACGAGAAAATAATATTTCAAAAGACGTACCATCGATATTTGGTGCTGGAACCAAGGGAAGAGCCACGAGGAGTTGTTGATCCTATCGTTAAAAAGCAAGAACTGGCAAATAGAAAGTTGCTCTCCTTACTTCAAAGTATATCTTCAAAGTGGAATCAGTAACTCATTTCCGTTTTCTCACATGCTAGCTACATGACAGTACAAGATGCCATGGTTCTACGCGATCCACATCAATATATTTCCATCACACCTAAATCAGAGCGTTAATATAGCCCTGGAGACCCAATCAGCCCCTTCATTAAGAATCAAGCCTCGTTTGGCATCGATTCACACTCCATCTTCAGCGTTAGCCAGGTAAGGCTGCGATTACAGGCCGTCACGCTACAATTCTACAGCCAGGCTTCGAATACCAGGCAACTACCTCCTAGGCTTTTTTCTATTATCTACCTAGACCGGAAGGTAAGCTCTTCAAAACTGGTGTTTGGTGAAAGGTGCCAAGGCAGAGCCGGCCATTTTGATGGCGGACAGGTCCCGTTGTAGCAGTGATTTTGCACCGGAACTCTGGTAAAATTTAACATGTTCTTTTAAATTCGGAGAAATTTGCAGACCGTGCTCCCAGGCAATACAATTGACTTAGATTTATAAAAATGAATTTTTGAAGCTGGCGAGAAGGATTCAGTTATAACCCTTTACTACGATTCAGAAGACTGATTCTAGAGGAACAATGCGTCAATTATACGGAAGCAATAATAGCGGATGTTTTGAGAGGGCCCGAAAATGGGTATTGCAATGTAATGTCATAGCATGAAGGAGACTAGTTCATCTAAACATGGCGATATTTCACGAGTTCATTAGATTCCAAATGCCTTAATGGTCAAGTTACTCCAGTTTTAGGTTCATTTACCTATAGTAATCTCTGAGCCGCTAGGCTGACAGTACGTCTAACAGTAACGAACAAAAGGAATTATCCTTAGGCGTCAATGTTTGTCTGGAGCAGAGAGAAATATCTGAGAATTCAATTCATTCCTATTTCTATAGGTGCAAATACTTCGGATTGTACAGGCTGTATTTGAATTGTCATTGAGTAGTCTATTTTTCGGCCGACAGGACCACGCCGAAGAATCGTGCGTTATGGCCATTTACCCTTTATTTACCGTAGCAAGCTCTAGAATAGTCGATGTGTTGGGCTATAGAAGTGGATGATAAGCAAGAATCTGCTGCAAACAAATCTTCTAACCCGTTCATTTTCGTGATCACGCGTACAAGTAAGATGGTCCTTGATTCTTCTAAGCAGAAATAGAGATTCGTTTCCAGTTTATTCCAATGCAAGGTTCGTGGCAATTCTTAGCTTTCTCTGGGTCTTGGGGTGGGCCTAGAATTCGCACGTGTGACGATCGCACTATCTAGCAATAAGGATTCGATAAATCAATACGAATTCCCTTGTCTAGGCTGCATTGCACGAGAATACTTAGACAGGGAGAGAAAGGGGGAAATAAGAAAACAGTGTGTGCGAGCGGTGTTGATATCTGGCGATATCACGTGCGAGGCATCAAGGCATACATTTGATCAGACCCATCACAGCACGGTCATTTTTGGGTCCTCAATATTTCACAACTTTTATCAGAAAACTAGTCCGAAATTGATATATGATATATAACTTACCTTTATTATTCTATAGTTCTAATTCTACAAGCTAATCATAAATAATTATTAAAATAATAAAGTGTGAGGCCTGGCGACAGCGGGGCGCTGCAGCGGCACACAGCGCACGCAGGCATGTGCCGCATGCCTACAGAGGCTTATAAGCGTGCCAACCCTGAAATTGGGTATTGGCCCAATTACCTCAGTATTATTTGGCAGTGGGTGGCAGGGCGCCCTACATAAAGATATATTAAAAATACACAAAATTAAAACCTAATTTTTAAATAATCATTCTCTTTATTCTAAAATTAATGGGAAAATATATTCTTATTTATAATATATAATAATTATAATATCAATTGTGAAATATTGAGGGACCAAGAATGCCAGTTTAAATGGGAATCGAAGGTGGTCCGCTCGCTTTGTCTGACCCGTTCGTTCGCTTGTGAAATACGTTATAGGCCATTCCACTGGTTATTTACTCTTAGCAAGACCAACTCTGCTATTTCCGAGATCAAAAATAGAATAATAGCTGCGTATAAAGGCATCTCCAAGAATGATAATATTGCCAATAGAAGCGGGTAAGTTAACGCCTTCGATGACAGAGATGCATTCACCAGCGTTGTCCAAGATATACTCTGTAGGAGATAGCGTAAAGTTGATGCCACCGAGGTTGAACGTCAGGTCCGGGAGAGAGTTGCGGTTAGCGCAATTTATAGTGTATTCTCCGGTGGATAAAAGCTGAGTCGCGCCGATTTTCTGGTTAAATGCCGCAGCAAGATCAGAAGGCATGGCAATAAGGGAAGTTCCTGTATCGATAACAGCGCCATAATTGTCTAGCTTCGTGACATCACTGCCCAGGATGATGGACTCAATGCCAACTTCCCAATAGGTTTCATTAATGAGGGGAAGGTAGGAAATACCGCCTTCGTAGTGGTCGTGGTCAATGCCTCCAAAAACCACTTCGCTCCCTGCATCAGTATCGCTTAAGTAAAAGGCGAATACCGGCTCGTCGACCAGCCCCTGGCTAATCATGTTATAGAAAGGGGGGACAATCTGATCAACAGAGATGGAGTCGTAGGCGAGACCCAGAATTCCATCAAATTGGCCGAAAACAAAGGCTATACCAGGCTCACTCGTTGCTTCAGCAAAGTCCTGCCCAGCGATCGTAATGTCGCCGATTGAGACAACGTCTTGTGAGACAAATCCAGACAAACTACCACTACCGTAGACAATATTAAACGCTGTACCGTTCTTTTTGTAGGTGGTTGAAGCGGAAGAGTCATATCTTGAGTGAACCAAGCATGCGGCACTAGTGCAGGACCTAGCTGGAACCCAGAGATTCGAACTTCCAGTATCAAGGACTACATTGAACGACTGCGGAGGCGTGCCAATAGTAATGTTGGTAAAATCTATGCTTTTGGTTAGGCTCTTTCATTAAACAAAAAATCTTCATATTCTACCACACTTACACTGCGCATTCTCGAAGTTAGTTATCGAATCTGGGTGACCGTTGCTTGCCTGATTGTTGCGACTGTACTTGGATTCGAGTTGTCGCGACGCGTTAGTGCCACTCTTTGTGCCGAATATTAGCTCGTTTCTTTGTACTTTTGTCTTTCTTTGATACCAGGTTGCTTACCATCCGTTGGGCGGCCGCGGGGATTTTCTGGAGCTTCAACTTGTGAACCAGCGCTTGCGCAGGACTAACAAGAGTGACCGCGAAGAGAGCGAGAATGAACTTCATTTTGACGAGGCTTCTTTGCCAAAGGTTTGCTGGGTTGACTCTGGATCTAAGTGATGGACAATGGTGGAAAGCATGAGGATGATAATAGTATTGTAGGCGGATTTTTAAGTTAGATGTGTTCTTATTTATAGGTAGTAGTTGTATATTAAGGGCTGATCTTTATCAAGCATATTTTGAACTATCTTGTTCTTGGTGGTACGACTGGGTCGCGCGTTTCTCATCTTCAGTCCGGTGCAAGCCAATCCAGTGCATGTGAGGAAGTTCCCTTGCCGAGGATATCGGCCCGCTAGCAAATGGTTCCAAATCAAAGCTATCTCATAGAATGTCTCAAAAAGGACCTTCCTATTAGGAATAAAAAATCGAACAGGGTAGTATTTCAACTTTTTTAGTACTCTTATACTAAAGCTCTACACATAAATATGAACCCAATTCTGATTGGCCGTAGACACAGAATTGGGCGGCATGAACGCTCATTTACTTCCGCCTTCCTCATTCACAGCACTAGCATCGGCACCTAGAGAGGTAATAACAGCGAATAGAAGCAGCAATAATATGCAATACATTATTGAGTATCTTGAAATTTATTATGCCTATTTATCCGCACTATTCTGCGGACGATCGCAACCTAGAACTTCACTGCCGGCGAGCACCTACGTGGACAGCTGAAGTCATCCCTCTTCTTAAATGACCCGCACAGTGCTTTATGGAGAGTAACGAGTCTGTATAAAAAGTGCCATACCGCCTCACGAAATTCATTTAAATTACCATTTCAAGATTATAACAATAGGGTTGCTCAAGTCATACTAAGGCTACACTACACACTAACCAAAACAGAAAACAAAGCAGTCTTGCTTCCTGGAAACTCACTACTTCCTCAAATCATTTAGAACCGTTCTGCCAAAGGTCTGCTTTCCTTGTTTCAAATGCCGTATATATTGCTCTTACTTGAAACGGGAAACGAGGTGTTCTGCACCTAGTTTCTGAACCGTAGCTGTGAATCCATAAAGGTAATGTGGTCGTGAAGGAAGCTGATCCACCCCGGTGCAGACCGAGTCGCCGTCATCACAAATATTCAAAGCTTTTCCGCTGATTACCCAATGCTCTGATAGTCCGATTGAGGGATTGGTAAACAGGAGTACCCCGTTGTAGTCACGGGTCGAGTCGCCTCCAGTTTGATTGAAGGTTGTTAGCTGGCCCCTCACCTGGAAAGGGTTGCCGATAAAAAGCACCGCCCCAATAGCATCCTCAGCGGGTGTACCAGTGAGATCTTTAATTGCTGTCAGAGCGACCGTTGCTCCTTGAGAATAGCCTAGAATGCCATATTTCTGGTTGGGGCAAGTTTGAAGGCCGTGATGGATATAGTTTTCAAGGTCCTCAACGCCAATTTGAGTCGAGTTGCGATCTGTGTTGGCTGGATATACCACATCGTACTCGGTACCGCCTTTAACGGTCTTGAGGGTGGTTGATATCATACCTTTGAATCCAATAGAGGGCCCTTGCTTTTCGCCGGTGCCTCTTACAGATAGTAGAACATATTTGCTGCAATCATCCACGTCTTTAAGAGCGGCGGCCGCAGAATCGCCGAAGTTAACAGCAGCGAGTAGAATTGCGCTGGAGAGAACTGTGAATCTCATAATGAAGTATAGAGAGAAGTTTGCTTGATTGTGGAGGAAATTTAGGTTGATTCAAGCAGCTGCTTAGTATGAAACTGATAGTTTCTAGAGGTTAGCACCCAGAATTTATATGCCAGGCGGGCATTTTTTCCGTCTACAGCTATATTATGTTTTAGCCGGCTTGCATTGACAATACTTCCATCTAGTATCCCGTGATGATTCTGTAGGACGATTGGCTCATACGCCGTGCCAACCAGCGTTCTGTCATTGGTCTCGACTTCGACACCCACTGATCTGCATGTATTTCTGTTAGTTAATATTTCCGTATTGCCGGATGCCCCCCAAAAGCTTCAAAAATTGAACTTCTGAATAATAAGAAAATTAAAACATCAGTTTCTTTATTTTCGGTGCCTCTGCTTTCTCCACAGCCTTTTAGTATGTAATTCCATCTATTTTGACTCGATATTTTATTCCTATTCTTTGGCCTTCTGTATAATTGTTCTATACCATAATTGAGAGAAATACGTGATTTGAATCTTTTTTAATCTAATTTTTAGATTTTTTAAACTTTCTAAATTTTAAACCTTAAAATACTGTCTATATTAAAGCCTTATTTTCAAGACATTGTAATATCTCATTATTAATATAAGAGATTTATAAAATATGAACGACACGCTACTACGAAGCCGGTTATAATACCATAGCCGGTTATGCCTTGTCCTTACTAGGTAATTTACCCGGTTTGATGTCGGATAGCCTGATATATCCAATGGTATTATATATACATAATCGAGCCCATAGTTATTGGTTGGATGACTTGAAGCTACACTAGCACTCTCAACTCTCGGAAAACAAATCCTTTTAGCTCGTGCAAAATCGCGAGGCTGTACCGAGAAGAGACGAGCTTCAATCTCCTTGAATTTGTCTGAAGAAGGCCGAGCAGACGACTGTTCAGAGGTTGAATGGATGCTAAATGGAGATGATTGGAAAGCTGACAACATTTCTTTTTCCTGCAGCTACTGGACTCCACAGTCCCCTGAAACAGATATCGGGAGTTCTCACGCTATTATATGGTGTCTGAACCTTGGGACCCCTCGGCGCTAATCTTAACGTATACTAACTTGAAAGGGAAGGAGTTACTAAATCGCGATAGCGATAACTAAGCGATCGGGACCGGATTCTATTGATATTAGATTGAGCATAACGGAAAACCAAGCATTGCATAACCCGTAAGTATCTGTCCGCCGCTCCGCTAGTTTGTGGCTGCTAGACGATCGAATGTAACAGGAAAGCACTTGCTAGGCTGGGGAGACGTCGAGAAGGGACTGCCAGGGAAGGATTTTGTCCACTGTTTGAGCAAAACGCTCGCGGAATAATCTTCTTTGTACAAGCTTTATTACATCTGAGGCACGACAAATCAATCTATCTCCTTTTGTCACCCATGGTGCGGGTTTATAGCTGAATCCTGTTTTGTGGCTCCATTGTGGTGTCTAGCATGTTTTCAGGTAACTGGTTGATTTTAGAAGGATAACGAAGTGCGTCACGGTGAAAAGCTTCCGTGGGGGTCATGGTACTGTATATGGGTCTAATTATTCCCACAGGTCGGGTTTTTGGACTTAGATTCTACCCGATGTCACATCCATCCCAGTTTGTGATACTGTATTACTCCGTTGTTGCTGTGTATGCTGTGTATGGTACCACACAACCGGTAACCTTCCTGTTAGGCCTCATAAGCCGCACGTTCAATTCTAGATTAAAAATACAACATGACAACAGTTGCATTATTGAAGGTTTTATTTTGCAACAGTCTATACTATAGCGCCCATGCCCTCTAACGAGGCAAGAGTCAAGAGTCGAGACATGCCGCAGGGCCGGCTGCGAGCTGAATGTGAGCAACGAACGCAGGACGACCAGACATAGAGGGTAGGCTAGCACTCTAGAAGACCTACTAATCAGGGCCTGGTATGTATGACCCATTGGCTAGGATAATGCGGGAATTGGATGGCATCTAGCGCTTAGCATGAAGCAAGAACTAACAGACTGTACTGGCTGGTAGAGTATCCAAGATAAGAACATACAGCTATTGATACAAGAAAACCCAAGCAATGGTTGTGTGCATTATCTGCAACAGGATTGGTAATTCTACGTTGATGTTATATATCCACTTCATATATAAGCACCCAAAATTCCTGTCTGCTTATCCCCAGAGTTTATTAGCGTCTATCAATTTCATTAATGATCTACATCGTCTGACCTTTCCCGAGGGCCATGCTCCGAGGCTGTATCATACTCAAAACCAGGTCAATGAGGAGACTAGTACTGGCTCTGGTGCAAATAATCCTGTATGAACGGTGCGGGTGTGATTCATTTGTTCTGTTGTACAACAGAAACGACATATCTAATTTTCTTCCTTTAAAGAGCAGTGTAAGAATAGCATTTATCGGTAAATTAATGAATCTCTCCCAATTCCTATTAAAATATAGCTGACATTTTTCTCTGTCTCTTGTAGGTTCACATGAGGCAAATAGTACGCTGGGTTGCCCTCCAAATTCTAGAAATTCCCAGGAACGGAATACCGTTAGATCAAGAACATCTTTCAATATCGTAGTGAAACGCAGTGTGGCTGTTTTGAAATTGAACGGTGATGCCACATAATCTGTGAACGAGAATAGATTTGGTAATCATCGACGAAGCCAAACTATCAATCACAAATATCACACCACGCAGATAACCCCGCCTAACGGCTGTTGAGAATCTCTAGAGGAGCCGATGTGGGAATTACACTGGGCGAGGATTGCCTCACAGTCAACATCTGGACCAATCCAGAGGTTGGCGAGACGAAGAAGGTACGGTGGTGCCTTTACCTCCGGCAATAGGGAGGCCTTGACGTATAACGGCAATCTTTTTGTAGATTAAGAAGACGTCGTTCTCGTCTCGTTCAACTATGGTCTGAATGTTTTCGGGTTCCTAGGCGCTTCTAACACCACTCAGAACCTGGGTCTCCTAGATCAGCGTCTAGCTGCCGAATAAGTTCGGGACAATATCAAAGGGTTTGTAGGCGATCCATCGAGAATTACCCTCTTTGGACAGTCTGCTGGCAATGCTTCCGTAGACTACTACACCTACGCCTGGGTGAACGATCCTATAACTCACGGCTTCATCGAAGAGAGCGAATCTCTCTTCGGTCCTGCACCGGGCCTCGGCTCTGTTTCAGCAGATGATGCTGCAGGTCTCTGATTTAACCTGAGCAGCACAGTTCAGTGCGGTGACGCGACCTCCGACCTGGCAAGTGTGCTGCCTTGTATGAAGTCCAAGCCCTATGAGCAGCTCATCAGCGCCTTGGAGGCTATTGACACTCAGAGCGCCAACGTTGTCCCTAGCAACTTCGCCCCTACCATTGACGAGGCCGTCGTCTTCTCAGACTATCTCCAGGGCTCCACCTACGGCAACGTCACCCAATTCCCTCTCCTTCTCGGTAACTTCGACTTCGAGGCCAGCCTCTTCCGCGCTCTCGACGACCTCAAGAAATATATCTTTCCCGGAATCTTACTGGGAGGCTTTCAACTCCCAGGCCTTCGTTTGCCCGTGCTCGACAATGCCAATATCTTCGCCAACAACAAGAACCCCACCTGGCGCTATCGCTGGTTTGGCGCCTTCATGAACACAGAGATCACTACCGTTCCCTTCTCTGGCACCTGGCACGCCGGTGAGCTGGCCATCCTCTTCGGCAACGCCTCGCCCGCCAGCTCGGGCATTCCTAACAGCACGGCAGCGGAGGTTTTCCTGTCGATCAAAGTTTCCCACATAGGACTGACTAAGTTCTAACTTGATGTTTTATACGGAAATACGGATTAGTAGATTAATACCTTGGCGCGCCCTTCCAGCAGAAGCTCCGTGTTAAAGCGCCGAAACGTCGTTCCTTGAGCGAGTACAACTAGCTACTGTGGAAGCAAGGCTGAATGAGGCCCGCTTTCACTAAGCCACAACCACTTAGTTAGTAATGACTGATACAGTGAATTGATGCCTGATTCCAGCATATGCTAAGGCATGTAATAACATAGTTAAACAGAGTATGACTATATTAGTATATGTCAAAATAATATAGTTAAATAAAGCATGACTATGTTCGACTATATTCTTACTTTAGTATATATAGACACTTGTTTATTATCATGTATCTAGTCTTTATGATATATTTTTATATTCAATAGTATACTACTATTTAGTTCTTACTAAGACTTCTTACTATTACTATCTTGACTGATAGATAGCGTTTTAATATTGACCTTACAGTACTCTTTTATCTCGTGTTAACAGAATATCCTCTAAGATCTCCGATCTCGAGACGAGTTGGTGACAACTTTTGACATATACATCTTAATCATTTTAACTCAGTTAAAAATCGCTTCAAAATTAAGAAATTAAAAATTTTTATGGAAACTAAAAAATAACTAAATTTATTAATATTTTACTAAGAAAATTGATTTCCAACTAGACTCCAAAAAAAAATTAGTTTGGGTGTATGCTGTAAAAATCGGGGTGCACATATCAACTCCTTAGTAATATTTATTAACAAAAATAAATGGCGGTACTAGTACCGCGTTTTTTGGTTGATGTTAGGCATTAGTGATAGGCTAATCTAAAAATCTTTTAAAGTATATATAATTATAGAAACTTAATATTCTATAGTCCTTGTCTATCGTTATTTCCATAGTCGTTTTCCATAGTCGTTTTCCATAGTCGTTTCCATAGTCGTTTTCATAGTCGTTTCCATAGTCGTTTCCATAGTCGTTTCCATAGTCGTTTCCATAGTCGTTTCCATAGTCGTTTCCATAGTAGGCTGTCATTTGGCCCGAGTTTGGGTTTCAATTTCAGGATCAAATCTAACGTACAACGGCCCGGTTCTATTTAAGTGTAACACGGTCTGGGTAGAGCCAGTCCGAACTAACCTCGCCAGTGAGATCATCGAATCAGCAAACGATCAATAAGTTTCATTCAAAGGTTATTTTTAGCTTACTCGCGTCTTGATTGTTTTTATTTCATTTTACTGTGAGGATCGTATATTTACTGCACAGCCCCCGGTTACTAAATTCCTGCCCCCAACCGGCTCAAGGCCTCGTAGCTGACCTGTAACCACGATCATCTCAGCTAAAGCGAGCTCTGGAAGAAGAAATGATACACTCAGAAGCTAACACCGAATGTTCAGGGCTGATTCACTCGCCTGGCCTGATGTGGCCGGAGCTTCCATTGAATCATCTATAAATTATGTCTTGTCCATCGAGGAACTCTCTTCAAATGTTGACAACTTGAATCACTCATTGACTATTGATAACCAAGAACAAAGCGCCATCAGGTACTATTGCAAAAAATCATTCAAGATGCGTTTGACTTCTCCTCCAATGTCGCTTGTGATGCCCATAGCGATACTTGGAATACTGTCCATTCAAAGGGCAGCGGCGCAGTGCTCAGATGGGCTTGTGAACGTTGTCTTTAACACCGGTTCGGGTGGCTATACAGAACAGCGATGGGAGCAGATCCAGTCCGCTTCCAATTGGATCACGTTTGGTTTTGGACTCGCGGACAAGCAGATCCCAATGCTAGGCAACGACAATACGGCTATTCAGAACGCTATTGACGTGGTTAACGGTCAAAATCCGCCAGATTTCATGCTCACATTCAACGAGCCTGACAATCTTTATGGCTCGAATCCGAGACAAGTCATATTGCAGCCTGCAGATGCCGCCAATCTTATTAAACCATTGTTGGAGAACCGCGGAAACCATACACAATTCATCGCACCCGTGCCGGCCTTCGACAAGCTCCCCTGGCTTCCTGAGTTCTATGGAAACTGCAGTTGCCAAGACGCCTTTGCAGCATACAACGTCCATGTCTACAACGAAACTGTCGAAGAAGCCCAAGAACGAATCAACGCTTTCCACGAGACGTGGAACGACAAGCCTTTGTGGATTACCGAGATTGCACCGCACCAAGAAAACTCGTGTCCGAATCCCATTCCCTGGGACAACAGCATCCAGTTCATGCAGGAAATCTACGCCTGGGGGCAGCAAACTGAATGGATCGAGAAGATATTTTGGAACTCGGCCAATGAGATTGACTGTGGTGATACGAATGTGGATGCCTCGTTCCTGCTTGATTTTAACAATAACTCGACGCCTCTCTTGGATCCTTTCAATCAGCTGACTTGCTCTTGAAGTTACCTGCACTTTCTGCTGAAGTATTTTCCACTTCTTGGGTCTCGTTTCGGGCCTTCGTGCTTTTTATAGACTATCGTTCAATATGATTCCACTACCAGCAGGTAAGCAAGACATGAGACAAAAGCTTATTCTTTTGGAACATTCTGTACGGTTCTCTTATTGCGGATCATTCTATTATTTTTTCCATCTTAGGCCATATAAATGTATACTGCTTGTTCTTCACTCTTTATCCACCTCAATACACACACAGCTATTCTTTTAAATCTTCTTCTTACGCACATCGCAGAATTGTAGACTATGGCTCTTGTGGTATACGGTTTCGAAAGTGATGAATCTACTTTGTGACTTCTTCCCAGTTACAAAACCGGAAAATGCAGGGGGTTCCCGGATACCATTAGGTGACGTCGCTACAACGTTTCGCGGCTTGTAACTCTTGTAAAAGGGTATATATGTATGGCTTTTGTCAACTGGTAAATGTCACTACGCTTATAATTTATCAGCGTGGCGATTCTGCTATATATTAAGAATGTCGAGAGTTGCAAACCGCTCTCAGTTGTAAACTGTTTCTAGTTGTAAACCACTTTCACTGACCAATACGTTTCAAATTAAATTACAATTTATATAGAAATTTCTTGTAATTTTAGTATTCTAATTATAACCCTAAGTCTCAGAATCTCATCTTCTTCTTAGCGTCGTTCGTTGATCGCGCTTAACTATAGCAATAGCTCCACAGGGTAATTTCATATTTATAGAATCGATGTTTCGATACAACGAGATATTGCTAGGCTATAGATAAGTAGCAGGAATCTGTTGATAATAGCTCAGAAAGACAAGTAAAAAGGCCATGCTTGCTTCCCGAAATACTCGCCATCTACCTCCTATGCAGCCGTGTCTACTTCTGGGGGGGCCGCATCAATGAAGCATCGCCTGAGGTCCAGATAACATTCAACACCAACTTCTTAATCTTCCACACACCCGCTTCGTCCTTGATCAGGTCAACGGAATACTCCCCGCCAACAGTGTACTTGGTCCCGTTTGGATCCCTGCCCGTGCCGGAAGACGCATGTTGTGCCATTGAAGTAGCAGTAAGAGAAGCAGTATCGGCTCCATCCTGGTAATTCACACGGACCATGCTGATATTGTGCGTGGTATCCATAGGACCAACTTTATGGAGAACATGTATGCGAATCAGAGAGAGGCCCTGGAAGACTCTTTTGTTGTCATCATGAATTTCCATTGAAACGTCTTCTCCGGCCCATGCCGAGTTGAAGAGTGCGGTATCATGATGATCACTGGCAATGGCGGCTCGGTACAGGGGGTCGGTAATAGCCTCACTCTGACTGAGAGAGGGGAGGGTTGGCGGGAACAACTGCGACATTTTCGCGGCTTATGTTCGATATAAGAATAGCAATGTACTTTGTTGATTGTAGCCATGCTCAGTCTATCTATTTAAATGCTAATAAGTGACGGATCATGTAAGTTGAGTATGGGGATTTCATGTAAGTACGGCATGTGCAAATCTTCCCGCGGAATTCTCGGGTTTTATCCGTGCCATGCCCCACTTATACTATATTATTGCGGACTGCGGGGACTGCGGCACCCAGTATAAGGTACGGTACTCCGTATGAGTAAGCCTATTCTGGTGCGTGCGCTGTGGAAGATCCGGAGAAAACCTCCGCCAAACTTCGAGGACTCCCAAAACCAACGTGGTCTTAACTTTCCGCGGCGTGCGCATCGTACGAAAACGGTATGCTCCCAGAAGCCGCCACGATTTCGCGGTAAAGGCCAAGACGAATGTTTGCACAGTCGAGTTAAGATGGACAGACCAAAGACGAGTCGCAGCGCCAGATGGGGCGCGGCCTGCGCTCCGTGTGCGGCAGCAAAGACACGCTGCATTCGCACCCAGTCTTTGGGGCCACAACAATGTGATCGATGCCGAAGTTTGGAGAAAGACTGCGTGGGTCAAACTCCTGGTCCAAGGAAGAAGAGACAGGCCAAGCCCTCGTAAGTCCATGTTCATGCCCTGTTATACTCTTTGCGCATCAACACCTTGCGATAGCGTGGGGAGGGCATATGCTCTGCCCCAAGGGAGTTCACTGCCCGTACCACTGCCCTGATTACTACTCGATTACCTTCGTCAGGGTTCAACCGATATTCAATCGCTAAACTGCTTTAAACTCATCCACGTTGGACTCACTGTTGACTCTGCGCGACTAGTGCCAATTTTGACACGAGAATAGCTCTGCCGGAAGAGGGACTCAATAATTTGATTTACTTATCTAAGACGCCGGGAGGGGAACACTCAACTGTACATGGAAGTTCATCCACCCTAGCGCATGACTTCACCTCTAGCACACCCACGCGTCTAACATGCACCTGCATGGCAACAGTAGACATGGAAGATCTTGTCCCCGTGGAGTCTGACGAGACTTTATTGTCCATCTACAGGAATCAGCTGTCTAGTTCGTTGCCTTTTGTCATCATTCCAGCTAGCACAACGCCAAGACAACTGCAGGCAACTCGTCCATTTCTCATGAAGGTAATCAGAATGGTGGCTTCCGTCCGCCATCTTCGATTGGTGAGGGGACAGAACCGCGCCGTTATGGAACATATCTCTAATGCTATACTCATGAGATCTGAGCGCTCGTTGGATCTCCTCCAAGGCATTCTGGTTTTCCTAGGATCCTACCACTACCATTGCATGGCTCATGCGCAGTTCAACAATCTGATCCGCCTAGCAGTCAGCTTGGTAGAAGATATGGATATGAGTACATGCCCCAAGTCTCAACAGAGAAGTCAGCTGCCTTTAGTACGTGTCGAAGAGCCCGTGTCCAGAACGAACGAAGAGAAGAGGGCGCTACTTGGCGTCTGGTATATGAGCTCAAAGTGAGTCTTGCAACGCCTGAATGGAGCTTTATAAAGGACAAAACTAACTCGATAGCAGCGCTGGCCTCGTTGTGAAACAGTTAGCAATTACAAGATATACCAAATATCTGGATCAATGCCTTAAAGATCTTGACGATGCTAGAGAATACAAGTCAGACCAACTTGTCATACAGTTGGTCCATATCCAGCAACTCACCGAGAAAATCTTCCATTTCCACAGTAGTGATTCACCGGTAGACGAACAGCTAGGTTCGCCCGAACCTTCAACGATGTCGCGTCTAGAGGCATTCCGAGCTGAGCTAGACAGCCTCCGGAACGCACTACCCCCGAATCTTAAATCCGATTGTATGATTCCCCAAATGTTTGAAAATATCGCCGCCGGTGCTTCGCTAACGCAGTCTGAGAGCCCAGACCTTCTATCTTGCTATTACAATAGTGCTTACCTCAGGATATTTGAGCCTCTACTGGTAGGATCACACTTACCAGATGCGGAATCTCAATCCTTCGCCTCGCTCTCGCTTTCAGGCGTGCCGATATCCGATGTCTTCTCACATTTCACTGCCGCGCTCAAGGCATGGCTCGAGAATTGGCTTGCCATCCCGGTATGCTCCTACTTCTTCATGCCTCAGCCTGCCTACGTGCAGTTGGTCCATGGCGCCATGATGCTTTCTCGATGGGTAAGAGTAGCCGGGCCCAGCGCGGTCAAGCTTTCCAGTGCCGACACGGCCGTGTCGCAGAAAGAATTCACGGTTCCCTGGCAACCAACGCCTGCTCTCAGCGGCGTGCCTTCATGTCCAGATCTGAGCTTGCCGAGACCTCCAGCCTCAGTATCCACCCAAGTCGTGTCCGCCCAGATACTCAACACGCTCAGGGCCAAGGTCACAGCTCAACCTAATCTTCAGGTTGATATCCTCGGTATCTTAGACACCATGGCAGCTCGTTTTGAGGCCGCAAAGAAGGAGATGGCCGCGGCGCAAGGGGTGGATTGGGAGAATGACACATGGGACTTTGCTGCAAAACATTTGAAGATGAAGAAGGCTAGGGTCGAGAAATGGCGTGAGATGGTCGCCATGGCGGCAGGCGAGGGGAGGATCCTGCTGACCGATGCCCATGAGAGTGTTTACGAAGGGAGCAGAGAGGCCATAAATATGTTGGCAAGGCGGAGCGTCGACGGTTCCGAATGGTTAACATTAGGCTATGACGAGGACAACATGCAGTGGGAGAGTGCTATGTTTGATGAGATCGTGCGGGACATTCATACAGGATCTGTCTACAAGTCCATCGATTGGAACACCGGCATGCTGGTCGATTTGTGATTTGTGAGCGGACCAAACATAGAAGTTTAACGGTTAGAATTTGAGGTCTCCATCGAGCGTCCGGACTTCTCAGCAACAAGGGCCTCTGGCACTCACCCGTATGTTCTGGCACCGGGTTAAGCCCTAAGGTCAGCCAAAGACGACGACTACATATCTACGCACGTGGATGAAAATGAGTAATGTTGGCTCTGTGCTTAATGTGAGATGGCCCATTCCAAGGCGATTCAGGGGTGGCCAGGTTGCTGGTCTCAGTGCTTCGGTCAACGCCTGACGTCCGGAATTGTACATGTGCAAGTAAAAACTACAATATACCCCTGAAAAGATTCCCCTAGCGCTACCCTCTTGGCCATGGTGGGTGTACTGAGAAAACGGCCGATTCTAAGCCCTCTACCTCCGTATAACTGCAAATATTCTAAGTACAGCCCTGAAAGTGTGTATTAGCGCATCCTTCAGGCAAGGCGGCACGGCTCTCAAGCCCAAGCCACATACGCACCTTGTCACTCGCTCGATGAGGATTGGCAGGAATTCGGTACCACGCCATCCAGACTTTCCATAATCGTAGTACCACGTCAGCGAATCTTTCTCAGGTGTGTGCATCCCTGTCGCGGGCTGTTTTCCGTAAATTCCACGGGGACTTCGCGGGCCGTGTAATAATACTTACCTGATGTATCCTTGGTTAAAAAAGAGTATATAAATCATGCCCTGAGCTATTTGTAACCTAGCTTCTGGACACAATCTTACGATCCAGTACTACCCATTTCTTCAAACTGCAGCTGAACGAAACAGCCATGAAGGTGCTCTTGCTTGGTGCCACCGGCAATGTCGGCAGCCGTGCACTGCCTGCCCTGATCAAGCACGGTCACACCGTTGTAGCTTATGTTCGCTCGCCTAGCAAACTCGCGCCAGGGAAGCGAGCTGTCTTCGCCGACGTGGTCGTCGGATCGGTCACGGACAAGTCAGCGTTGAAAGATGCCATCCTCGCCCACAACTGCGATGCCGTCTTTCACGCTGCTGGCGTGGCGCAGATGTTCGGCCGCTCCAAGACCGGCGAATATAACAAAATGTTTGCCACCGTCGTCGCAGCCATTGTGGAAGCCCGCGAGGAGCGCCGCGGGCCCGCAATCCGCGCCTGGCTGATGTCTGGTTTCCCTATGCTGGACAGCGCCATCCCGACTTATCTTATCGGTGACTACATGCCCATGTTTCCCGAGCACAGGGAAAATCTGGCCCTCATCCAGAAGCAAGAAGAGGGGAACATCGCCTGGTCGCTGTTTTGTGCCAATCTAATGAGCTCCAAGCACAGCGAGATTCGAATTCCCGCACCAGACGACTGCTCGGCGGCCAATGTGATCGCCAGCGCGGACTTCCCCCCCAAGTGGCGGGACACTCTCAAGTGGGTACCGCTGATCGGGCCCTACTTGAATGTCTTCCGTCAAGCGGGTGGTTACGCCACTTCTTTTGAGGATCCCTTGGACTTCATTGCTACCGACTTCAAGAAAGGATTGCAGAGCGAATTCGTCGGGAAGAGAGTGGGATTAAAGATGAAGAAGGAAGGAATTTGAGTGCAGTATTAGTGTGTTACCAATATTGCAAGGGGGATGAAGCCTGAATTTTGAATAGCTAGGAACTAGACCTAATTTATACCCAATTTACTAGTGGAGCTGATCACTAGTTAATAATTACCCAAATAATGACAAATTCTCGGAAATTGCATAGAAAAATAACGCGTAAAAACCACAGTTCTGACATACCGTTCCATGGCGCGTTATACCGCACTAGCTGGCTGACAAAAGTTAACCTCAACCCCACATTTTGCGGTCCGACGGAGTCTGCACTCGCAGCCGAGCTGCATCTCCACTTTCCCCAGTACAAACTTGGTCTACGGTCAATTACATTACTGCTTGACCTAAAGAGGACCTAATTGTAATATTCGACTGAAACCTAAGCAATGGACAAGATACCGTCTTGCCATGATTCATTTGCGCTGAACAAACCTAGACATTATTGCTATTTCCTGCTGGGCATGCGCAGCATCTTTTCCCTTTGACCGATGGTCTTTTTTCCATACGGGGATGAACTTCCACATGATTGGAACGCCTATCTTGTACCTGGACGATGTAGCCTTTGCAGCTTTGAGTTGACAGAGGGTGAACGTGTTGTGACAGGCAGGCAACCCTCATCGACCACAATGTGTATTACAAGCTTACCATAAAACCATAATAACAGTGATGATAAAAGACGAAAAAGTCTCACATGAGTGTGTAGTGACATCCAAAGCGTGCTACACGGATGAACGGGCCAAAATCCTATACGAGCTTGACTTCAGAGATTATATCGACCTCCATCACGATAATCATGATAACTTTTCTTGCCATGGTCAATGCATCTCCATGTATGGGGTGCTAGTTAATAAGAGCTTTTTCCAAGCGATGCACTATTCTTACAATCCATCTCCGCCGGATATCGCACGCCGTAATCATTGGCTGCGCTCCGACCTTGCCAGCCTCCTTCACGAAGCCCTTGGACCCTTTCTGATACCGCTAGAGATATGCGATAAGATAGCTCAGAGATGCTCCCTCCGTGAGCAAGCCGCTTCTATAGCGAATGCCTTCTGGCGCAAGAACTTGAAAAAAGAACACGAGGGTCAGTTTAAAGTGAGTCTCGCCTCAAACATATGGGCTCGCTATGTTGAGTTTGAGGGTGCGCAATACATTTCGTATTTGACAAATACTCCTGGTAACCATCCGGAACAAATGTCTAAAGTGTTCTCAGCACAATCTGGCCAAAAAGTTAAATCCTTATACGTAGCTGAATATCACTTGGGTGTCAGACAATTGCGGTTCTCACGCGCCGCAAAGAGAAACCCTACTGGCGTTGAAACAGTTCCAGGCCAGTGGTGGAGAACCTTCGAATGTAAAAAGGGAACTATGGATATAGAAGCTTATAATGATGTAAGTGAAAATAACGCCCATATTGTATTTCTATGGAGCGTCACCCGCAATACTATATATCGAAAATTTACATTGACTGTTTTCATTAACTTCTAATGCACAAACAGGGTATCAAGCTACGATTTGTCGAGCCAGCTGAGCACAAGAGATCACATTTTTATGACTGCGCTTTTGAAATGCCAATATATCCTCATTATCTGCGCCAGCTTCATTGGCATCGACTCTGTAGTGGCTATGGGTATATTACGAGAATGATATCATTGGTTTTGAACGATCCCCGGGCTACAGCTTATTCAGCAAGCTGCGACTATTGTCCATACACTATCCGAGCCCATCTCCCCGGAGCACATGATCCCTACTTTTATGATGCGGGATCAATCGCTGCACGAAATGCTGTGTGGCTCTACATGCCTATACACAAAGATGAGAGAATAACACAAATCTGGCTGCGACAGTGGGTTGGTAAATTCTTTTCTGACTCTGCATTACTTGTAGGTATTCAATCTATTACTCTACCAGGCCTTGATATAACGTATATCTGACTTAACATAGTTCTGCATGAATACTGGGAACACCTATGTTATGGGCCTTTTTCCGGCCGCCGACTCTTATGGCCATTATTCTTATACATTAATCTATGAGTCGTCGACTATTCCAGACCTTATGTTCTTCGATATCAAAATCCGTGGTATCGAAGAATTCGAATTTGAAAACCCAGTCAGGCCTCAAACAGAAGCACTTCCCAAGCTGCCACAACCGGAGTCATTCTTGTCTGGCATTTACTATGAGAAGTACAACTACTTCTTTTCCTCCGCGAGTCTTGAAGAGGTGGTGGAGGTGACGCCGTGTCTATTAGAAGTTTCGGGGTTCGGACCAGCTATTATGGGACTTCTCTTGCAATATGAAGACGGCCGGCGGGCCGCCGTGGGCCAGGTTCGCACAGACAGGTTCCAGTCGTCCTTAGCAGTCAACAAATCCTCATGGGGTCTATGTCTACAATTTTCGCGGTCTGCGCAGGATTTGGTTAACGTTTCCTCGGTTGACGTTCAGAGTAAGACTGTTTCGGATGATAAAATCGAGGCCGGACTCGAAATTCCGTGGCAAGGAAAGCTTGAGTGGTGGTTTTGCAGCACCCAGAGTTGGTTGTATCACAAATCCGGGTCAAGTCCAATGCCATTCTTAGGGACAAACAAAACCTTCTCTGAGCATGTGCAAAATATAACGCCTACTGTTAGCACGTGAAACCTGTCAAGTAGGTAAATTCGAAGCGACTTAATACATAGACAGCACGTGCGGCCAATATTCGGCTTCCCAGCAATCAGCTTGTCTACATATCTACCCATACATTTAGTTTCAAGTAATAGGCGGTCAAGTGTCCAGAGTCAAGAAGTGAAAGATGAACAATTACAATTCCACATACTCTATTCTACGATTATACCATTATGCATGTTTAAACAAATAAATCTTTTTTCTCGCAACTATTTATAGAGTAGTTATATGTATGTTGATCTAGAATTATTGAACTGCTATTGAATTATATTAGATCGTAACCGGTTATGAGTGGTTATATTGAGCATGTAAGGGGCTGAAGTGGTGGCAGTAAAGCATGCGGTATTATACATGTAGACATAACCTTAATTCTTCCTAGTAAAGCCACCTGATAGTTACCTATATTACCCATCGGGTAATAATATATATATAATATATAATAATAAATCTAAGTATTTATGTAACAGGGATAGACCCAGGACACATGTTTAGATCTAATCCAGCAAGACCAAGGGACTCAAGGATGTCCTGAAGGTCAATTATGGCTTATTATAGTTGACATTATAAGGCTCTAGATATAATGTTAATATCTTTTATCTAATAACATATATCTTCATCTAATTAAATTAGATATTAATGATCTAAAGTAAAGACTTAGGTATATAGATTTAATTTTCTATTTGAAAAGAAATAACTAAGTAATATCTTTTATATAATTTTTAATGTAATTTTTAATATAAGTCTATTTAGCTTCAAATAGTCTTTAGTTTAAAGTCTTTTATAATTATATAATTAAAATTAATAATTTCTTTCTCAGTAGTTCTGCTCTATAGTATCAATATCAAGTAGTAAAGCTTCAACTCACTTACATCTAGTCTATCCAGACACCCCCGGACACAGCCCTGCCAGACCATGTTACAAACTCACCTACATCTAGTCTTTCCAGATATCTCCAGACACGGTCCTGCCAGGCCGTGTTACATATTATAAAAGAATTATAATAATAAAATTTTAAATAAATTATTTAATTATAATTGGTTTAGTAGTTAAAATAAACTTAACCTTTTATAATACAGTTAATAGTGACGGAATATAGGAATTAATATTCTGATCAGATGTTGAATAAAAAATTAGAATCTTTATAAAATAGTAAGCTTCACTGGCCTATTAAACGGGAATGTCTCAGGTGAGGGACGTTTTCACTTGTATTCCCAATTTGACCTGCTTCTTGCACCGGGCTGTGTACAGATCAACAAAACCACCCTCTAGATTAAGATGTACACGAGTTGTTGGTCAAGATTGTTACATCTGTTACATCCTCTCAGAATCTGCATACCAGGCTTCCGCGTAGGAGAGGCGAGAATTCCGAGCAATTTCTTGAATCCCATACACACAGCAACTTACCACACGCATGTAAGCATCTTCTCATAAAGCTTTGGTTATGCTGTTTGGGTATCTCGCGGCTCTCGTTTCCGGAGGCGCATCCAAATAGACGGCGCATACTTGACGGCACTGATACGTGCCGAACCGACGACATCTTGGTCCGTATAGGCCAGCTCCATCTGTGCTCATAACTTAGCATCGACACCCATTACATAGTATAGAGGCAAGTATTTCTGGTATGGTACTTACCTCAAAATTAATTAGAAGCAAGGCAAGCGACTTCTTCAGCTCCAACCAAGCGATGTGACGGCCAGTGCAAGTGCGCTTTCCGGCACTAAAAGCCAGGAAGGCACGGTCCATTCGTCGCCTTTGGTCTTCCGAAGCTTCGAGCCAACGCTCTGGCCAGAAAGCTGCCGGTTCCTTCCCATATACCTCTGGGTCAAGGTGTATCGAGTCGATTTGGCATCCAACAACCGTACCAGCGGGGATGTACTGACCAGCGATGACGGCTCCACCCTGAGGGACGATGCGGTCAAGCCCCCAGGCAGCTATTGGAAGACAACGCATCGACTCTTTAAGGACAGCATCCAGGAATGGCAGGTGGTTTACCTGGGCCCAAGTAGGCGGGCTCTTCATGTTGCCGGTGTTCAAAGCATCTTGCAGCTCCGCATTGAGTTTCTGAGCCGCCACTGGGTGCTTACAGAGGTACCAGAGTGTGTAAGTTAGCGTGCCACCGGTCGTGTCAGCACCAGCGCCGATTGTTGACATGATGATGCCCAGCATATCATCCTGCGATATAGCGTCAGGATCCTTGGCTTGGCCGTCGAGAAACTTTGCCAGTAAGTCTTTTTTCTGGTCAGTTAGAGCCTTGCGTGCCGTGAGCTTGGCCAAACCGACGCGAGCCAGAGGACTATCAGATTTTTTGCGGATACACTGGGCAAGTGGCCCCTTGTTGAACAGATAATCGGCCCACGGCGCCGCCGCCCACGCGTTCCAGTGATCGAAGCGGGCAATAATGGCCTCCAGGATACCCTCGACGTCATCTCCTGTTTGCACGAAGCCTAGGCTCTCGCTAAACGCGATACGCATCAACACATCAATGGCGTAAAGTTGCAGCCAAACGCTCATATCGACCAAGTCCTGTTGCTTCTCGAGCATCTCCACGAGCTCACTAGCCGACTTATCAATCGAGGATTCGTAGTCAAGGAGTGAGTTGGTCGTGAAAGCACGGCCAGTGCACTTTCGTACAGCTGAGTGCTGTGCTTCATTCATTGCTATGATGCTAGGCACCGTTCGGCCCTGGCTCGCCGTCGCTGCGCCATAGTAGGATGGGCCCTTGAGCCACACGGGGTTGGTGCCGTAAACAATGGGCACCGCGTTGGGATCACTTACGCTGATGTGATTCGGCCCAATGCGTACCAACTTACCATGCTTCTGGTGAAGTGCAACGAGCTTCGCCGACCATTTCGGGGAGTTCTGGCCACGATACCGCCAAAAGTCGGTAAAGTGGGCGAGCAGAGGGCCTGGGATCTTTGCAAGCCGGAGACTAATGAACAGAAAACGAATGAATAAGAGCAGCACGGCTCCAAGAGCCAGGATCTGAACAGACAGCATTTCTGACAGGAACAATGCGAGCTGGACGGTATCTCGGTGCTTCAATCAAGTCCGCCACGACTCAAAGCCACATTCTTTTTAACTCGGTTCTGGTAACTCGGGCCCCGGGACATCCGCTTTATGGTCCTTTATCGTCGACATGAAGAATAATGGAATGTAAGTAGACTGCTGATTTCGATGTGCATTGGTAGGTTTCCATTCCCGGGGTAAGGTAGATAAGCAACGTGATCGGATCGGTATGTGGGTCCCGATGGGGCGATAGACATGAAGCTGCCGTTGTTCATCGGCTAAAGAAACCGTTATTCATTCCAGCCCTCGTCCATTGCAGAGTCACTTTTCTCTTTTTCTCTCCATGTGGCAATGCAGCGCTCCAAGAATCATTCTCATCGCCGTGCCGCGCCGCCCGATGTCCTGAGACGTTCAGCGATTGCGTGAGTGCCCACCCACATGATTGTTCCAAGCCCCACCACACACCGTCAATTGCACTACCCCCCAGTCTTCGTGAACGCTTGTCACTAACCTCGCTGTGCAGTTGCGATAGATGTCGTCGACGGAAACAGAAATGTCTTGGAAGGCCGCCTTTATCCTGTGCCACGTGCAATAGTATCGGGGAAGAATGTGTATACTCAGAGTCAGAGAAGCGCGTAAGCGTGCCAGAGAGGTAGGTTTTAAACTCACCTCAAAGCTCTCGTGTCGCAACTTACATTTCCGCAGCTACCTGCTGAGGCTACAGAGCCAAGCGCGATCGTCGTCTGACGCACTCCCCAGCCCTGCTGGCACAGCATCATCAGCAGTCCAATGGACCTTTGCAGGATCCGATAATTGGATACTATGCCAGCCGGGACAGTATCGTCAGTTGGCTTCGATTCCTACCCAACTTAGACTCGAGTTAACTTCTCATTTGTAATGAGCAGACTACATAGGCAACTCATCGTCGACTTATATTGCTAATCAGCTGAATCCTACAACTGAGAACTTGGCATGGCATCTGTACCCGCACTACGAAGACACGTCATGGCTTCGTCGTGATGTTCTGCCTGAAATGCCCCAGCTTCCGCCATTCGACTTTGCTAAACGCCTTTATAGCGTGCATCATGCTTACATTGGTACTATATTCTCCTTTATAGTGGACAGGGAATTCTACGAGCGGCTCAAACGTGTGTATTCGTCTCCACCAAACTTGCATGACCGTGACGACTGCCTGATATTTTGCCAAATCTTGCTTGTCTTCGCCTTTGGCCAGATGTATTCGGTCAACCAGTGGACTGGGAACAACGGACCTCCAGGGTTCCAGTATTTCAAGCACGCTCTACAATTCCTCCCACAGGCCGTTGAAGACGGATCAATCTTGTTTGTTGAGGTGCTGAGCTACGTTGCATACTACTTGCAAACGATAAATCGACGCGATTCAGCTTATCTCTATATTGGACTTGCTCTGCGCATGGCAATATCACTTGGTTTGCACCAGGAGACTCTCGACACTGATATTAATGGATATGAACGCGAACGCCGTCGCCGTGTGTGGTGGTCTACCTATAGTCTCGAGCGACTCCTCTGCGTCACTTCTGGCCATCCAATCTCTGTAGATGACGATGATATCGACTTGCTTGAGCCTAGCCCTCTTGACGGGGAGGAACCTCGCCGCTCGAGCGTGCTCCTGTACTATACGCGGCTATCGCGCATATTAGGTCGAATTGGCCGCGACGTGTATCGCAAAAAGCGACAGTCCGGTACCACACTACTGGCGGTCGCGCAAAATATCTTGAAAAGCCTATCCGAGTGGTTTCGGCAGCTTCCTGACGAAGTGCGTATTAAGCCAGATGACTTGGAAAAATGCATAAGTCGCGAACTTGTTTCGACCTATCTTCATTACTACCACTGTATCAACATGACGGCAAGGCCGCTACTGCTCTACGCCGTGCAACGCCAGATGGCATCTAATGCTGCGAGCGGAGATGGTGCCACTGCCGCCCGCTGGGAAGATGGGCTCTCTTCCGACGTTGTCGGCATCATTGATGCTGCGATTTCCGCAGCGCGTTCCAGTACCACTATACTGAATGCAGCTGCTAAATTCAATCTTGTAGGTATGTAACTATTTGCTCAACAGCATCTTATCATTCAATGCTTTTACTAATAGTTATGCACCCGCAGCTACATATGGGTTTATTGACGGCGAGCAGGCCTTTTCTGCCGCCTTGCTGCTTGTCATGGTTAATATTGCCTTCCCTTACACGGAAATGAATGCGTCTACTATGGATATGGCGCTCCTAGTGCTTCAGAGCATGGCAGAAAAGGGAAACAAATATATTCGCGCATGTCATGATTTGCTCACAAAGATTCGATCAACCATTAAGCCAAACACGACACCGGCCCAGGGTGAAGGGATGGACCGCGAGGAAGTGCAGAGGCAGCTAGCTTGGATAGCTATCCATGGGGCGTCAGGCGACCAGCAGCAGTACCCGCAGCAGCAAGGGGACACATTTCCTGTCGGTAATGCTGACGACCGTGATGTATGGGTCGATGTCATTGAGTCAATTGACATCGATATGGATCGACAATGGATAGGAACGACACTTATGCGACAGGAAGGTTTAAGTGAGGGCGTATTCAATACAACGCCCCCTTGAGTTTAACAATGTAATTATTCTCATAGGAAAGTAATGACAAAATTATTTTATTACTGTAGCTAACGGCTGGAATACATACACGAATAATAACCAATGTCAAAATGTCGAATCTCCACTAGCCAGCCCGATTTCCATGCGTGTAGTATGAATCGTGAGCCTTTTATGTGTTATACTAGTCGTTATTGCCAATGGTACTAAGCTGGTTTCATACGTATCGTCTGAATTGTCGAATGCAGAAGATCTACCTGGCGATCCATTATCAAGCGGTATCATACGTTCGACAAGTCTTCAACTAGCTAATCAATGGTTATCGGAAATGCTTCGTATCGATATGGCGTACGGGTGAACTCTAGTCATGGGAGAAACATTCCAAGGAACTCAAGTCATAGATATTCAATTGGCTCAAAATGAAGTAAAATCTTTTCATAGCACAAGGTACCTATCAGACAAGTATCATCTTCCTAGTCTACATATGTATATAGCACATCTCAATATGCTGACTATATGAATGCACCTACACAGAAGTCCTTTGTTATCCTATATTTTTCGTTCAGACATATCGGCTGACTGAATTAATACCAGGTGGTATGAGACAACAAAATGGAAGCCCGATTGTGGACTAAAATGACTCCTGGCAGTGGAAGGAAGATTCCAGTGTGACATTTCCACCGCGATAGGCTGCTACCTTGGGATACTCGCAGAGTCTGCGTTTCATGGCGCCGTCTGGGGTGGACGCAGGCAGCTCATCAGGCGCAACGCCGTCTTCAACCCACTGGATGAGATAGCTCATGGCGTCGGTTGGTATCAGACCACTGACGCCACAGTGCGCAGCCCCGGGAGCCTCAAAAAAGCGATAATATTCGCGCAGTAGGGGGTCATGGGCCATGCACTTGTTATAGTAATCGCGTGAGCCCTCCTCAAAAATCTGCTGATCGGCAAGACCGTGCCAATGGATCAACTTGCCGCCAGCGGCCTGGAAGCCACTCAAATCTGGGTTATCAGTGCTACTAACATGCCTCCACGCCTTTACTGATAGATCATAGGCGTCTTCGAAGCCAGAAGCCGGCATCTCCGCGATCGGATAGTTGGCGTTCTGGAAAACGAAGCGGTTGATCCAGTCGACCGCAATGAGAAATGGAGCGCCGGTCCAAGCTGTACCGTTGTTCGTCACATTAGCTATATTAGAGAACGATGTCCCACGAGACATCGGGTACCATAACTGAGAGTTGCTAATAGAGCTCTTGGGGCCCTCCCAGATCTTGTCAGCAACCTCAGCGTCGGATTCGGTAATGGTCTCCATCTTTCCGGTGTCTTTGCAGTAGACGGTCCTGCCAACAGCTGCAGATGCGCTGTAATTGCACTGGTAAGGATTGGAAATGATACCATCAACAGCTCCATCCAAGATATCACAAGCAATGATTGAAGCGTTGTTGATAGCATCTAAAATGCAAGGATATGGGTAGTGTTGGAGCTGGTTCATAACGAATTGTGGATAATACATTCCAGGAACGAAGCTAGCCCAGTTGATAGCTGGTGAACCTGATAGGATACCGTCGTACAAATCAGGGTATTGCTGCGCAAGCATGAGAGCCTGTCGACCACCGGTGGAGCATCCATCGAAGTATGAGTAGCGTGGACTTGCGCCAACTAATTAATTCACATCAGAAATTGCCCAAGTAGGATAACCAAAATATGGCTTGTCTATTGTACTTACACATATCCGTGATCACAGACTTGCCTATGACAGCTGCTTCAGCCTCAGCGACGGCGAAGAATGTCTGCGCATACATAAAATTGACTCGACTAGAGTTGTCAAGACCCCAGGTATCAGCAGAGCTCGTGTTATGGCCATGACCTCCGTTGGTAGCTACTGTAGCTGAGCTGTTACCAACACCAGGTGCTAGACGGTTCAAATTGGCGATGACAGAAAATCCAGAGCCGCCTACACCACGCATGCGACCATCCCAGCCTGTAAGAGGAATCCAAACAGTTACCGCAATGTTATCGTTCCAACCTTGATGAGTATACCAAAGCGTAATGTTACAGAAGGAAATAGTTGTGTCGTAAAACTGTTCAGGGTTGGTGTTTTCAGCCAAGAGAGAATAGTTCTGATGCTCAACAGCTTGAACATCAGTAAAGGTCACCCCAGGTATAGTCGGCGTATTGATTAAACTAGCAGAGCATCCTTTGATGCTCTTAGGAGCAGTCGCCGCCGTAACTGCCGAGTATAAGAATACTATGGCGAGGAGAAGAGCCTGGCCAAGCTTGGTAGAGAACATGGTTAGGTTTCGCAGGAGAACGTTATTGTCTGGATAGTTTCAGGGGCATGTTTTAGTTCACTGAAACATCCTGGTATCACGGTTTATGTATAGAGTATTGAACTCTATGTTATCTCCTTCACGGGTGCTACCCCAGATACTCGAAAATAGACTTTTAGAGCATCCGGACATGACGGGAAGACGGATCCGATCAACAAAAAGGTTTGGTCTTATGATCAAGCGTTCTTGCATGATCAAAATTACGCACGGTTAGAGATCGGGAGTATGCGCTGAAGAATATCTGATCGGACAACGCCAGCCGAATAGATGGAATGCTCGATCAGGTCATTTCGGTCTATTTGAGAAGCCTTATTGGTAGTTGACTTTATTTCTTTATCAGGATTTGCCACGAATCCTCCTTACTACAATAATGCTATAGCATAATTAGGTTGCTTAATGAGGAAGTTAGGACAATCTCGGAACCGTATCGATTATGGCAACAGTTGTGGCAACCTATCCGATGAGGAGTTCAAGTTCCAGGTGAAAAATTGTATGGGATCACTAACAAATTCGGAATTTCTAAAATCTCAAATAACAATAAATACTTACTTTTAGGGAGTAATTTTTTGGATATTTTATATAATACAATAAGAATAATACATTATTTTCATTTTAAGATCAATATGGACTGTTTTTGTGGCGTTAAAAGACCATCTATACAAAATTTCCTAGCGAAATTCTCAACCTAGAATTGTTAGGTAAACAAACGAATAAAAACCTTTAACTTTTCATACTGATATATTTTACAGTTTAAAGCTAACTATGCAGTTTTCAGTTCATTATATTTCATTATTGAGGTGTTATTTGAGATTTTAAAAATTCCAAGCTTGTTAGAGATCCCATACAAATTTTTACCTGACCCTTGAACCAGGGCAGAATACCGCGAGATATGTTAGAATTTAGGCATCATCGCGTGTTACGACGAGAGCCTTTTTGAAAATCGCAATTTGATTATCTCTTGAAAAACAGAGCCCTGTTATGGCGACTTCAATCTTGAGGTTTATACATGAGCCGAATATGGGCTACCACTATTTCTCTCCCTCCTCCCACACTCGGCACCAGCATTTCAACATGTCGTCTACATTAATGAACTTCGAAATTTCGATGGGGATTTTGAAAGAGCGCAGAAATGTTGTTCTGGAACAGAAGCGAAATTGTATAGGGAAAGAACTTAGCCCCTGACTCCCTTTTCTGACCCAACATATATAGTTCATCATCGTTGACTCGCTTCCCATATCTCGTTCTCATGTGCATACCGAGATTGTCTCCTCCTTAGAATCGTTTGACCTTTGTCTTGCTACAGGATTCCAGTAGCAGGGACCTCAGCTTAATCTAACTGGAAGCTTCGAGTCTGCTACGGAAATTAGCAAAGGATAGAACGTTGCGTGCTTCCTGATAGATATTCATAACGTTTCCTTGACCATGTGCTAAATGCTGTTTCAAATGCAGTTCGGAACCTCCTCTCCGTATGTCTCCTTTACGGCTGCGAAGTAGCCAACATCAAGTGGTTGTAAATGATTCAATCAATGAGATGGCATGTATAAAGGGATGGTTTAGATATTTTTATGGAGAAGATCAAATTCTGCCGATTCATGGCTATAGTCTCCATCAAGAATCAAGAGCCGGAATTTCCTTATTATCTGTGGAGCAGTATGCTTGTTGAAATGGATTAGAGCCATGACACTCGGTGGGTTAAATCATCATCGATGTAGCAAGATGAAGTAGCAAGACGATCTCTGTCAAGGAGATTATCACCCTGCTTCCTGGGTCCGGGAGGGGAGGATTTGGGTTTATTGAATATGTGCCTTGCTAGCTGAATTCACTGCCACACAAATGCTTTATGAGATTTTCAAAATCCTTAATCAATAGCATAGTTAGTATTTCATACAATTTTATTGTAATAACTAAACTCTGTGCAGGTTAAAACCATTGTCAATCTAATACAATTAAAGAGTCTCAGCTTATGATATCAGCACTCCGATCACAACATCCTGAGTGGCTTGGCTATTCAACATTGATCATCCATCATCTACAACATGTACCGGAAAGTAGGACTCTTGTGACCCAGTTGCCTTACTTCTTCTTGTGGCAGTCCTTGAAAATGAATGTCGCGTTTTCCTGCGTCACGCATCTTGTTTTCAAAGTAGCAGTGTGCGATACCGAAGGCTGTGAGGCAAAAGCAGAATAGCTGAAGAGAGAAATTGATAGTGTGACCAATATGAAAGTTGGGGGAGTCGGTTGAAAGATAAGTCCATCTATAAAACAGATTAGTTAGATTGGACAAGTGAAGCAATAGTAATCAATTGTATGTAAGACTTACGTCGAAAGAACACCACCGATGCTACCGATCGACACAATATACCCTCCCACGACGGCTGCCACAGCCGGGTGTCCAGTATCTATCGTAAATAGATAAATAGATTAATCGAGCGGATATCGAAGAAAAGGTTTGATTTATTTAAGAGCTTACTGTTGATACCCCAGCTTATGAATCCTGAGCTAGCAGCGAAGATTCCCATAGCAGCAAGAAAGACGGCAGTATACTTGGCATGTATCTCCTCAGAGAAACGGAGAATACCATAGCCCGTGATAGAGAATACTAGAGCACCGAGCATAAAGATACCACGGCGATTGGTCTTGTCCGAAACGTAGCCGAGGGCGATGGTAAAGGCGCAGGCAACCACGTAAGGAGGCACGGAGTAGAGCTGAGCCTCGGTCGAAGTCCATCCAAACTGCTTAAGGATGGTTGGGATAAAGGCCCCCATGCCCTGCACGGCCGAGTTGGTGCAAAAGAAGCACCATGCGCAAACGTTCGTGTGAATATTGAAGATACCTTGGCGAACGTGTCGCCACGTCACCTTCTCTTGAGGGTTCTGCCCAGAAATGTCATTAGTGTGGGGTCGTACGGAAAAGTGCTGATGATAGGATTAATACCTACCGTATTAATCTCCTGCTGTATACGGGCAGCCGCAATATGGCGCTGGCGCAATGTCAGGTATTTCCAAGTGCCGGGGGTTTGAGGCATGAAGAAAGAAGACGCAATTGCGATGAGCATGGTAACGAGACCCTCCATGAAGAAAATGTTACGCCAACTGGGAGCACATCAGACAACTTGCATTCACATAGTTCGATACGAAAGTTGGTTGGAGATACGTACCGCTCAATGATAGTACTTGAGGCACCCCAAGCCGGGATGTGACTACAATTTAATACGCTTTAGTATATCTCGTATTTTAGGAATGAAAGCAAAAACTGGGTTAAGAACCTTAGAGCAACAGCAAGCAGACCGCCGAACGAACTGGCCAGAGCACTAGATGCGATAAAGATGCTCATGCGGAAGAACAACTCCGCCTTCCTGAAGTAGCAGCTGAGGAAAAAGGCCGTAGCGGGCATAGCACCACCCTCAAATATACCAAGAATAGCACGGGATACAGCGAGTCCTGCATACGACTGAACGAAAGCGGTGCATAATGAGACGAGACCGAAGCAAAAGACGAGGCCGGGAACTGTAGGTAGAATACTATTAATCGTGACGGGAGAACAAGTGACATGATTCAACATGGAAGACCGTACTGTAATAGCGTGGACCGACACGCTTAAGTATCACATTACTAGGTACCTCGACGCTGTTGAAGACGGTATGGTGTTTAACGAGGCTATTATGCCAAGACGCCAAGGGAGAGAGACGTGGAGAACGTACCTCATGTAGATAATGAAGAAGATGGATAACACAATGTTATAACGATATCCGATAAGGTCGAGGTCCTCAGCCATCCCTTCAATCCGGGCGTTTCTATTTGCAGTCTTTGTTTAACAAAATAATCTTCTCCTCGCTCGTCGCCTCCATTCTTTTTGTGAGGGAAACCAAGGGCAACTCTGACTTACCCAATATTTGCTCGGTCAATAGCACAGCACATGTAGAGAATCGTAACCATCGGTACAATAGTCAAGTCGAACTTGAGGCGTATTGCGCGCTCCTCGGCCACGGTGAAGGCAGCCATGTCGCCTTCCTCAACGACAGCCGGGTCAGCGGCTCCGGTGGTGGAGCAATTCGAGTCAACCGGCTCCTTCTGAATTGCAATATTGTCCATCTTTTCATTTGATGTTGACATCTTGGTGTGAACAACGCTGTAGTGAGGGCGAGTGTGATCACATGAATCAGTAGACTCCAGGGAGAATTGATTGATTATCTGAGTACATCGAGGATTAAAAGGTCTTCCTTTAATTATATCAACGCCATGCTAAAATAAGTCTGATAGGACATATCTTCTCCCTACGCAAAGTGTAAAAGCTATCTATGAACCCTTGACATCTCTATGCTTCTCATATCGGCAGCCAATTGATAGTAAATATGGGGTTTCCCATCACCGAGCGGGACCCACAACCCGATCAAAATCTTCCCGGCCCACCCCCAAGATAATGACCCCAAACATCATCGGCTTCCAGACCCGATATCTTGTTCTGCGGGTGCAATGACGGCCAGGATCACTTCAGGTGTGAGCTGGGAACGCTCGGTAACAAAAGTTTTTGCCACGGCTAGGGACCTTCTTTACTGATGTAGACCAGGTCAGATCACATTCAAGGTATCGGCCAAGATAGATAAGACAGTATATTTAGAGCGCTGCAGCAATTTGGATTATCAATTTTCAAATATTGCCGTCAAATCTTCTCCTGCTTCCACTTTTCGTTGTCTTCTCTTCATGTCGCCAAAGGTTACCATTTCTATCGACCGCGGCGGGACATTCACCGATGTCCATGCCATTGTCCCTGGCCGGCCGGATATTGTCCTGAAATTACTATCTGTCGACCCAGCCAATTATTCAGATGCTCCAACTGAAGGTATACGACGCGTCCTCGAACATGTTACGGGCGAAGCTATACCTCGAGGGCGTTCGTTGCGACTTGATAGTATTGGATGCTTGCGCATGGGTACGACCGTTGCAACCAATGCATTGCTTGAGCGCAAGGGCTCGCGCTCCGCTCTGCTTGTAACTAAGGGTTTTCGTGACCTATTGCGCATTGGCAATCAGGCCCGCCCCGACATCTTTGATCTCTCAGCCCGTCGGCCAGGCGTGCTATTTGAAGATGTCGTTGAGGTCAATGAGCGTGTCGTTCCTTCTCATCCCCGTTCCGACGCCGCTGCGCTCTCATCGTACCGCGCCATTATGGGAACCACGGGTGAGACGTATCACGTCCTTCAAGAACTCGATATGCAGTCTGTTACTACCGAACTTCGCAGACTCAAGGGGGAGGGATTTGAATCGGTGGCTGTTGCGCTTGTCAATTCCTTCGCTTGTCCGGAGCACGAGCGCTCGATAGGTGAGATCGCCTCACAGTTGGGTCTATCGGTAGCTTTGTCTTCTAGTCTACAACCTATGATCAAAGTCGTACCTCGCGGCATGTCTGCCACTGCTGACGCCTATCTAACGCCTGTAATCAAGACGTATATCGACAACATCTCGTCTAGCTTTGAGGGTGGACTTGGTGGCAGCCACGGGTGCCGTATTGAGTTTATGCAGTCTGATGGTGGTCTGGTTGACTTTCGCGATTTCAGCGGCCTTCGTGCCATCCTTTCGGGCCCTGCAGCTGGTGTGGTCGGTTTTTCGGCCACCAGCTGGGATCACCAGGACAAAGTTCCCATCATTGGTTTCGACATGGGCGGCACGTCAACCGATGTATCCCGCTTTGATGGCCACTTCGACCATACATTCTCATCAAGTATTTCTGGCATCAGTATCCAGGCTCCACAGCTTGATATAAACACCGTTGCCGCCGGCGGTGGCTCTATAATCTCTTGGAAAAATGGCCTTTTCATGGTTGGGCCTGAGTCTGCCTCGGCTCATCCAGGCCCGGCTTGTTACCGCAAAGGAGGGCCTCTGACCGTGACGGACGCCAACCTTTTCCTTGGAAGACTGCTTCCTGAATATTTTCCTAAGATCTTTGGTCCTAATGAGGACCAGCCTCTCGACCGCGAGATCACACGCAAACTTTTCACCGAGCTCGCGGAGAAAATCAATGCTGACCAGTCAGTGCGCTATACTCCAGAGGAAGTTGCTCTCGGTTTCATCAAAGTTGCTGACGAATCTATGACTCGACCTATTCGCAATCTGACAGAAGCCCGAGGCTTCGAAATTTCGAAACATAATCTTGCTTCTTTTGGTGGTGCAGGAGGTCAACATGCCTGCAATGTTGCGGCTTCGCTTGGCATATCGCGTATCATTATACACAGATACTCATCGATTCTCTCCGCGTTCGGCCTAGCACTCGCCAATAATGTGCACGAATCCCAGGAACCCGTGGCCGCTGTGTACGAGGACAGCAAGAAGGCAATGATTCAGCGGCTGCAAAAGCTCCAGGAGAGCAATCTGGTGCGACTCCAATCTAAGGGCTTTTCTGCTACGCAGTTAAGTCACGAGCGATTCCTTAATATGCGGTATGAAGGTTCTGACACCGCCTTGATGATCATGGAGCCGCAAGACGGCAATTATGCAATCGCATTTGTCGAGCGGCACCGTCGCGAATTTAGCTTCACTATGGACCGCCCCATCCTGGTTGATGACATTCGCGTGCGCACTGTTGCCTCGTCTCAGAACCTTGCTGAAAAGCAACCTCTGCAGCAACTGCGGGAGGCAAATCTCGTTGCTGCTGGCACGCCCACCGAACTGACCAAGGTCTACTTCGACTCTGTGGCCGGATTCACCGAGACACCAGTTTTCCAGCTCAAGGCACTCAGCCCGAACACTCGTATTCATGGCCCCGCCATTATCATTGATGAGACACAGACGATTGTCATAGCCCCTAATGCGGTTGCGTGTGTGCTACAGACGTGCATCGTAATAGATCTCGAATCAGAGCCCAAGAACAAGCTGGCCGAAGAAGCGACCTATGTTGACCCCATCCGCTTGACCATTTTCGGTCATCGGTTCATGTCTGTTGCTGAACAGATGGGTCGCACACTGCAAAAGACTGCCGTATCAACAAATATCAAAGAGCGACTCGACTTCTCATGCGCCCTTTTCTCTCCGGACGGAGGGCTTGTCGCCAACGCGCCACACGTGCCAGTGCACCTCGGCTCAATGCAGTTTGCCGTCCGCTTCCAGCACAAGTGCTGGCTCGGGCAGCTTCAGGAAGGCGACGTTCTGGTTGCCAATCATCCCGTCTCAGGCGGTACTCACCTTCCAGATGTTACAGTGATCACTCCTGTGTTCGCGCCCGGTAGCAATGATATCATCTTTTACGTCGCTTCGCGCGGTCACCATGCAGATATTGGTGGCATCCTGCCTGGTTCTATGCCACCCAACTCGACAGAGTTGTGGCAAGAGGGTACAGCTATTGAATCCGAGAAGGTTGTTTCAGGTGGCGTCTTCAATGAGAAGCGTATGCGGGAGCTGTTTTATGACATTCCATCCCGCTTCAAGGGCTGCTCTGGTAGTCGTAACATTAACGACAATCTGTCGGATCTGAAGGCACAAATCGCTGCCAACGCTCGCGGTATCAGTTTGATCCAGAACCTGGTCCGCGAATACGGCTTGCAGACTGTCCAGACCTACATGTACGCTATCCAGTCGACAGCGGAGCAGTCCGTACGCAAGCTCCTACAGGATCTGTATGAACATTATGGAGGTAGGCCTCTTGAGTCGATCGACTTTATGGATGACGGCACGCCAATCAAGCTGGTTGTCACGATCCATGAAGATGGTTCTGCTATATTCGACTTCAGCGGTACTGGCCCTGAAGTCCACGGAAATATCAATGCGCCCGAGGCAATAACCCATTCGGCTATCATCTACGCGCTACGATGCATGATAAAGGCCGATATCCCACTCAATCAGGGTTGTTTGAATGCTATTGACATCCGCATTCCTCGACCCTGCATTCTCAGCCCAACACGCGCCGCGGCTGTTGTGGGCGGCAACGTCACGACGTCTCAACGGGTCACTGATGTTGTGTTAAAGGCTTTGGGCGCTTGTGCAGCCTCTCAGGGTTGTCTAAATAACTTGACGTTTGGAATCGACACCAAGTTAAATGAGAAAAGTGGGGTTGTCGAACCTGGTTTCGGATACTATGAAACGTAAGTCGACTTAATTTTCTAGCTTTCTTTGGTTCTTTCTCCTACTATTTACTGACGAGCTATTATTACAGCATTGCTGGTGGTGCCGGCGCAGGTCCAACTTGGCATGGGGAGAGCGGTGTGCACGTACACATGACCAACACGCGCATTACAGACCCGGAGATTCTCGAAAAACGTTATCCGTGCATATTACGGCGATTCGAGCTGCGTCCTGGTACTGGAGGTAGCGGCCGCTTCCGTGGTGGCGATGGTGTTGTGCGTGAGATAGAGTTTCTCACGCCGCTCCAATGTTCTATCCTGTCTGAGCGTCGTGTCCACCACCCCTATGGCATGGAGGGCGGCAATCCGGGCCAGACAGGCCTGAACTTGTGGTTGAGCAAGGCCAGTGTCACCGGTGATGATAGGACGGTTAATATAGGCGGCAAGGGAAGTGTATCGATGGGTGTCGGCGACCGTGTTGTTATCATGACCCCTGGTGGTGGCGGATGGGGTTCGCCGGAAGTAGAATCTTGAGAAATACACATACTTGGAAGCTGGTCGTATTTTCAGGTCGATAGGAAACCATTGGATTGAAGTCATTTCTTAGGCTGTTTCATGCTCGATATCAAATGGAATAGTTTATAATTTGATGCAGGCTTGTTGATACAATTATTCACAAAGGATTCGTAGGTTACCAAAGTGGACTTGCTGTATGCGGCGGCGAATTTACGTCGTTGTGTTCCATGACGTTTGTTGTTCAGATCTGCGAACAGGAGGGATGGTCTTGATTTGGTGTCCACGCGGAATACCAAGAGCCCTATAGTTAAGAGGGTCAGAGACGCGGTAGGTCGTTGTGAGGAGCAGAAAATACCTTGGTGAAACCACCTCCATGAGCATAAATAACCCTCGCTCCATCAAGATCATCAACGCTGCAGTTTCCCGGCGCAATTCGAACTATATTTGCATACTGCTTATGCAGCGCAATATTAACGAACTGAAACTCGCCCTTCCAGATCTGGTATGCCAACCAGAATCTTGTGAATCGTGCAAGGAACGGGCCTGGGATAGAACGGAGAGGATCGAGGAGGGCGCAGACAATCGTATATGTGATATATAGAATCACAACCCCAAGAGCCATAGAGGCTAGGTGAATAAAATCGAGTTTGGCCAGCATTATTGCTATGAACTTTGTGTAGGTTTGTGACAACAGACCAATGATTTTTAAGAGGGAAAGTAAACTTGAAATTTGCGGAGAAGTGGAGCCGAGAGGGAACCCCAAGTTCTAACTAGCACCTACCCGTAAAAGCTACCGTAAAGGCTCTATACAGTCTCTAAGTGGAGTGACAAACGGCCGGGAGGAACGAGGAGGTGGGGGAAATGTGGAACGGCTAATGGCAAACCCCACTACTCCATCTCCACTATGCTGCCGAGGAATGGACCATAGAATTTGTCCCATGAGCACTCTAAACATGATGGAAGAGCTCACGAGTCGGACTCCGACGAGGCTCAATACAAAGATCAAGTGTCTCCTACGACACGTCGACGCAGGAGATTAATGAAACAGATGACTGCGTGAAGGACCAAAAGCTGACAGGAGGGACCATAGGTTGATGGGTTATCCGGCCATCATCTTCAGCGGCTTCTAAATGCATCAGATGCCAATATTTACAGCGCTGTCGGCTTCCGAGACTTAGATGCTGTTTCTGACTTTGACATTTGCGCCGCTCTCCCCGAGAATGTTTCCCATAAACCCATCTGAAGCCTTGCTAGCCCTTATGCGACAGGATCAAGAGGTCCAAGGGCAAGGCCATCGAACTGATAGACAATATTCTTGGAGAACAGCCTGTACCACATGTACTGAAGGACCACATGGCGGCCAAAGATATCATTCAAGATAAACCGGCCCCAATTATGAGCACATCATAATCCAGATCACTTTCTTCATTGTGGACTACAGAAGTAGGAACTGTTTGCCCCATTGTTTGTATGGACAACGAAGGAATGAAGTATAAGGGATTAATATATATAATTGGGTTCCTGACTCTTGGGGGATTAGTAAGAAATCAACCCCGACGAAGGCGGAACGGGTGGTATTGATGAGTAGTGTCGGAACAGGTGTGTAGGGGCCAATCCTTCAAGTAACTGTCGTTATTGCATATTTTCTAGTCACAGCCACATGAAATTTTTCTCTGTATCTGCCCGAAAAAGGGACGGTGCTACGCGGGGAGCACCACATAAATACCCTGATTCGGCGATCCTCGGTATACGACTTGCCAATACACTTACATCACTGGCCGGGATTTCTACGACTTTGGCCAAAGAATACCGACGGCTACACTAAAAAGAATATCTCCTTCTGTTAGAAGGTAACACATAATGTCCTATTAGTACATTAACAGAAATCCTTTACCACTCATCCAATATATTAGTCATCCAATCTTAATATCTTATAGAAATTATTTACCGAAACCAAGTCATAAAATGAATATAAAAGTGTTATTAAATCTCCTTTAAAACAAAGAAACTTATTTTCTTCAGTATCATCTTCTCTGGAATTATATACTATCAATTAACTATACAATGTCTGATACCTTGAAGAATAAAGTCTTTTGCGTCACTGGTGCCGCCTCCGGCATAGGATTGGCAACTATGAAGACCCTTCTTGCCCGACAAGCTTTAGTTAGCATCGCGGATCTCAATGAGGCATCATTAGATGTAGTCTATGATTCCCTTGAGCGTTCTCAAAAAGGGCGGACCTTTAAGAAAGCTCTAGATGTCGCTGATCGTGAGCAAGTAAGGAACTTTCTGGAGCAAACAAAGAGCCATTTTGGCCGAGTAGATGGAATAGTCAACTCTGCAGGTATCTGTGGTCGCTTCATGGGAACTCGAGAAGTTTGGGAAATTCCATCAACCGAATATGATCTGGTGATGGATGTTAATGTGCGCGGAACCTTCAACTTCCTAGCAGAGTCGCTGAAGCCGGGATTCCTTGAAGCGAATGCCAGCATAGTCAATATCGGCAGTACAGCATCGCAGCGTGGTATAAAGAATGGTGCCCCGTATAGTACTAGCAAGCATGCAGTGGTTGGTTTAACTAAAAGTGTGGCCCAAGAAGTTGGACCTCGAGGCATTCGTGTCAATATCGTCCTTCCGTAAGTATACATAAATACGTCGCTGTGGTTGTTTACTGACTTTTAGGGGAACAATCGATACCCCCATGCTCCACGCAACCGAAGCTGGATTTAAGAAGGCAGGTACCACTCTTCCTCGTCCAACCTCAAGTCGTCCCATCCCACGCAGAGGTGATGTCTCCGAGGTCGCCAACGTGGTTGTATTTCTTCTTGGATCTGAAAGCTCATTTGTTACCGGGGGAGTCTACAATGTCGATGGGGGAGCGAATTCTTGATTGCCAGTATTTGTAGGAAACTGATGGTTGGTTGAATACTGCTAGGTCAGGCCCCACGAAGCTTTCCACGCCGAGCGTTTTCAATTCTAAAATTGATTCCCCTCGTTTTCTGTCTTCTACACAATCGTCAGCAATTGGATGGTCGTCAGGTTTCGTAAAATCTTACTCATAATAGATGGCCGACGCCAGGCATGTATTTACCGAATATTAATGAAGCTCGGGGTATATCGTACTACGTGGGCACAGATGAGAATCCCGGTAATCTTCTCCCTGAAACGACAGTGAACAGAAAACCAGAAGTTAAGATGAATGTCGGCATGCATATAGGTTAACTGGACAACTCTGCTATTAGAAATCGATGCATTTCTATTGTCGCTCGAGGCCGATTGCATTGTATCTATAGCATAAAGGACAGTCATTCTAAGCGAGTTTCGATTTTATAGCTAGAATATGGATGAAAAAAATCTGTTAACAAGTTTACCGGTTTTGGATAAAGTATTGAACCAATAATTTAAAGCTGCAAGTTTTTATACTATTTCGCACTGACTTGTAGCAAGACTTTAGTCTGCCAAGGTGTGATACTGTCTGAAAGGGCACAGAGCAGCCAATAAGCGTGCGACCGAGGAAATGATCAGAAATACTGGAGCCATTAAAGTCATGTTCCTCTACTATGAGTCCTTAGACTCCGGGGGAATCAAGTTACAATCTAGTGATGTATACTAGTGCATTTCTGTTGTCAATTTAATGCCCCACCGTTCGACATTTGGTTTTGTGTTCAGTACGAAAAGCAACTTGTAGCATTAGCTATAAAACGATTAATCAAATATATTTCGAAATAAGACTTCAACACTTTTCCGGGCATAGGGAATCCAGAGGGAATTTCAAGCCCCATGAGAGACAGCAAGAAATTCAGATTGCTGCTTGGCTGCTCTGGAAGCCTCTGGGAAGTCGTCTACATCCATATCATAATATCCTAAAACAGCCTCTTCGCGGTTTACTATGGTAAAACAGCGTCCTCAACACCATCGATTAGCATCTGCTAGTTCAAATAATAAAATCTTACTGGAAGATACTTACCATTAATGGTAGTATCGGAGACAATGCGGATCATTGCAGCAGCTGCATCAGCGGCATTTGCAAATTTAACACCTTTACTCTTGATCACTTGCATTACCTCCGGAGTCACAAGCTTTGTTTCCACGAACCTGAAACCCTTAGCTAAATATATGGGATGAAAGGAGAAAGGAACCCACCATGGTGCTAACGTACAGACTCGAATTCCGTCATACGCTGTACTGCGACGCAGACACCTCATTACCGCTCGAGCCGCAAACTTGGACATCATGTAGATGAGCCGGCCAGGGACATCTGCATAACCGGCGGTACTGGAAAGAACAATTAAACAGCGGTCACGTCCTGTAATAAGTTCGTGTTTCATGAAGTAAAACCGGGCTAGATGACAAGTGTAAAGAACCCCTGTTGTATTGACATCTAGAGTTGCGAGGTCAGGGGCCTGAGGTTCTCCATTTATGACTGTTATTGGTCCAGTCATTAACGGCTAATCAAAGAAAAGTACCACCTGCAAGTAGAACTCACGTTCCCCCTTATAAACTGGGTCACTTTTTGAGATTCCAGCATTTGCAATGGCAACATCGACGGTTTTGGACGGGGAATGTTCCATTGCAGCTTTGAACATTGCCTTCTGGGACTCGAAGTCGACTACATTACATCGGACAAAGCGAGCGTTACTAGGGGAAATATCAAGTCAGGGTCATGTCAACTCTCTTCTGGATGGATAAAGGTGGGAATAGTATTTTTACGGATACAACTCAGCCTCTAAGTGCTTCCCCGCTTCCTCATTCAAATCACCAAATGTGACGAAGGCTCTGCAATCGTTAGATACCTATGGTGGGAAGAAATCGACAAATACACTAACCCTGCATTAGCAAACGCTCGTGTAGCCTCTTCGCCCATGCCACCAGCACCTTTCCAGATATCAGCTATAGCAATTAAAGAAGTGAAGAATAAGCCTTCAGTACCTCCAGTGATAACCACAGACTTTCCTGATATCTTGGTCAAATCTGGGACAACGGTACAATCCACCACCTTATTCTTATACTCTGGATAAGGGTAATTTTGCGCCATGATGTTCTAATTTTGAAGTTTATATCAGAAACCTGCGAAATAGAAATATAGTATTACCCTGCACTCGGTCGCTTTGCTAGGGTGCATATGTTGATGTTTTATAGTAAGTCCCCAAAGCTCTAAGGGTACGCTCGCTACCAAGATCAATATATGCCGATTAGCCTAAACTTTACGGTACTAATCTGCGTGGAGAAACCGGGCAATACAGGAGCCATCGGTATATTCCTCTACGTCGAAGACTACGCATTTAGAAGCTAGGATAGATACTTATGCTACACGCCAAGTTCATAAATATATAACTATACATAACAAGGTTCTTCATACTCATTTGCCCTTAGATCCTTGAGAGCATTTTTCTGAAGGCATACACCGAAACCCCGCGCCTCGCGCCGCATAATTAGACCGAAGATGGAGTGATAGAATGGCATTTGATAATGTCACTGGTCAGAAACCTATCCAATTATAGTAATTTGGCGATAATTAACCGAGTAAAGATTATTATCGGCTGCCAGTGGGTTCAAGGTCTGTGTTAAAAGTCGTAAAAGCTAGTACTGCGGCTTGACCCATCTCCGCACTCGGTTTAATGGCGGCTTTCTCCACACTCCTGACGGTTTATTCCCCCTAGTTTAAATATGCAGTCGAGCACCTCATATTGTTACACTAGCCAAGCTAAACAATGTGCGCGGGTCGTTTCAAGTATAGATAGGGTGGGGTAGTTGATGTAGACCAGGGAATGAAGACGACGGCAAGTGAGGTGCGGGGAATTCGGTTTTCGCAAGGTTGGGTCAGAATCTGAAGTTCCGACAAACATATAAAGAATAGCGGTCCGCTTTCATTAAAAGGCTCTGGGTAAACCGTCACCTCGAAAAGTCAAATCTGATACTAAGTTACAATTTCCGTTCCTACTTCTGGGGGACATTCACCATGGCTTCTTTTCAATTCTCTGCTACGAACCTACCCACCCAACTTTTCGTCAACAATGAATATGTCCCTGCCAAAAATGCTAAGACATTTTCCGTTCTCAGTCCCAAGGACGGATCCTTGGTCTCTGACAAGGTGCCTCTCGCGGACAAGGCCGATGTCGACCGAGCCGTTGATGCTGCGGAAGCAGCCTTCCCCGCCTGGAGGGCCGTCTCAGCAGTAGAGAGACGAGAAATCATGTTGAAGTTTGCATCATTGCTTGACCAGCATTCAGAAGCTCTAGCTGAACTTTCTCGAATCACGCAAGGTGCTCCGTACTTGGCCTGGGGAAAGTTTGAGATTGCTGTTGCGGCAGAGGCATTCCGGTATTACGCTGGCTGGATTGATAAGTTTCAAGGAGACGCCTATCCAGAGGAGGATGGATTTCTAAAAATTACCCGCCATGAACCCTTGGGCGTTACTGCAGGCATTGTACCTTGGAACGGTCCTTTAGGATCAGCTGGGACTAAGATGGCACCTGCATTGGCTACTGGCAATACCTTCATTTTGAAACCATCTGAGAAGACCCCCTTCGCATCACTTGGTCTTGGTCCATTAATCAAGGAGGCTGGCTTCCCCCCAGGCGTGCTGCAGGTTCTTTCAGGTGACGGCTCGACCGGTGCTTTACTTGCCTCCCATATGCGTATTCGAAAGATCAGCTTTACAGGATCTATTCCCACCGGTAAAAGAATCCAGCAATATGCAGCAGAATCTAATCTCAAGAGAGTCACCCTAGAACTTGGTGGGAAGTCACCTGCTATTATTTTTGATGATGCAAATCTCGATAATACGGTCTCTTGGTGCGTCAATGCTATTGCAGCTAATACGGGACAAATTTGCTTTGCTGCATCGCGCATCTATGTACAAGAAGGAATTAAAGAAAAATTCCTAGAGAAGTACAAGGCTGCTTTGCAGGAACGTGGTCAAGCGACGGGTGATCCAGACCAGCCAACCACTTTGATGGGCCCCTTAGTAGATGAAGCTCAATTCAAGAGAGTCACCGGGTTTATTGAGCGAGGTGCCTCCCAAGGAACCCTAATCCTAGGTGGAAAACGCATCGGTAACTCAGGCTTCTTTGTGGAACCCACCTTGTTTGCCGATGTCCCCCAGGACGCTGAGATTTACCAGCAAGAGATCTTTGGTCCGGTGGGCATTGTGAATACCTTCAAAACCGAGGGTGAAGTCATCAAGAAGGCTAATGCAACCGAATATGGCCTTATGGCCGGCATTTTTACTCAAGATATCAACAGAGCGTTGCGGGTTTCCAGTGCATTGGACTCTGGTATGGTAGGTGTCAATCTCGTCAGTCGCTATTTCCTGAATGCTCCTTTTGGTGGCACCAAGCAGAGTGGTATCGGCCGTGAAAATGGCAGGGCTGCGTTGGAAGCCTTCACGGATACGAAAACAGTAATGGTCAATTTGACGTACTGAATATGATAATGATGAAGGAAATGGCAAGCTGGGCTTCAATGTCGTATATAATTCTTCATTTCTGTCTCTACTGTGATCCGCAGGGCTATGTTTGAGTCATCAGTTGATATATTGCTTTAAACGTTTAGTAAGGAAAAATCAATATCATGTTGGAGCTGAAGTTATTTCGGAGTATACAGCACACAATTTCTGATACTCTTGGCAAACCAATCCTTCTCATTGAATTTATACAGGGTTATGGTTATTTAACTAGCGAATGCGCGGAGCTTGTTGAATTTGTAACGTCCAAAGAGTTCAATTTACTAGCCAGTGAACTCAATTTCATCTACATAGAGAAGAACAGTCTTCAACAGCCTATAAATTTATCATTCTACTCCGTGTGGGTGTTCCGTTACCACAGTGAGCGAATCGAGGAGCCTTTCAGTCTCGCTATATGCCTTGCTCCAGATCCTTTTGGGCATATATCCAGATTTCTTCTTGACACCCAACATTCAGTATCGAATACAGACTGGAGCCCTCCAATCTACACTTGATGATGATGTATTTAATTGTATTCACGTCGCTTACACTTCCAAGGCCATCCATCTATCTTCCAGGTGCTGGTCAGTAATTCAGCATGTAAAAATGTGTTCAAACGTGCAGTAAAGACGGCAAGATAGCGAGGAACAGATGGTATCTGATATCCCAGATTCCCTGTTAAAGTCTCTTCAACTTTATCTATTTTTCCGACGGAGCCTTGGAACCATGCGTGGTGGCCATTTTATTGAAACAATAGTAGGAGAGCTTCATAGAAAGTCAATTCCATATAACATGATTGCAACAGATCCGTCGTACGATTCCAATAGCTCGTTAAGTATAATATTTGAACTTTGAACTAGCTTCAATATCTACCGCTAACACACTAACTTCCAGCTTAATCTATTTGAAACCTCTTCGTGGCTCGAGAAAAAACGTACATGAACTTCTCATTTTCAAACCAAAATCTGCAACTTGATTAATAGCTTGAGGTTCCTCCTTTCCAGATCAGGTTTGGCATCTGTCTGGGGATAGATCATTCATAATATCAAGCCGTACCAGGATTGTTTCTTGCTTCAATCTTGTCTTTTGCCCCTTTGATTACCGTGGATAAGTCCCCAAGCGGGATAACAATAGGAAAATCAACCGACGCAAGAACCAATGCTATAAAAATGTAAAATCCGATTAAGCTCGCAGCCAATAGCAGGCCCGCACCAACATGCTGAAGCCTAGTAGCAGAGACAGCGTTGCCCTGAGCGAGGCTGAAGAAAGATCCTGTAAGACAACCAACTTTTGTCGATATTAGCCAACAGGATCTCGACGTATTAATTATTATAATTCACCTACCAGCTGGAATAAAAAGAGCGAATAGCGAAAAAAAGCATATATTCGTTCGGATACTTGCAATACCGAGTATTATGAGGATAATTAAGACTGCGATAAGGAAAAATCCAAATGTTGCAAAGAAGATAGCATTCATTCCCTTGGCTGGATCCGAAGGATCTGGAGAGTATGCACCATACGCATTGAAGCTAGGTTCTAGGGTAGCACCAAAGGAAAACCAGAATCCGCCTATAGATCATGTGAATATCAATAAAAAAATAAGCGGAGAATATCTGTAGGGAAAGAAAAAATCACCAAAAATACCAAACACAGTAGCAGGGTAAGTGTTGCCTATCGACAATTAGCAAAGATAGGATATATTATCATTCACGGGAAAATACCTAGAATCCATTCACCTACAGCTCCCAATATCAAGAGGAGACCACCAAGGAATACCATGGACCCGCTATGTGTCGTCAGTAAGCTTTGATTCCTTTCACTACAGGAATGGGCTTACACATTCGCAGCGTCGAGACCCCCTGCACCCTGCCACCCCATCATCACCATCGACAGTGGGGTGCTACAGAGAAGAAAACCACCCAAAGCTGTTAATATGTTAGTAGAGTGATAGCAAGGTTGAATAGTACCATATAAAATTACTTGCCGAGCGGAGTGGGATTTCCGAATGTCTGTCGTAGTTCTCCTTTGACCCGATTCTGAGGGGAGAGGTACAACTGCTCGAATAGTTCTGGCGGAATTGAAATACTTCCAGCTGTTCTGATGCGGTGTAGAGGATCATTTTTCTGTCCTTGCGAGGCAGATGGGGTTATTGATTCATGGTGGTTCTCATCACTAGTAGCAGAAGACATTTTGCTCATAGTAATATTGGGATCTCACGAAGGTACAAATTTTTGCCCTTTAGCTCTTAAGAAATCAAAACTGCAACTTACCTCCTCTCGTAATCGTGGTCTATAGTGTTGGGGTTCTGGAGTTTATATATCCCTGAGCTTGAGCTCGCCGAAATTGAGGTGGGAATGTGATCGGCAATCTGGGGTTTGGAGAATGCGGGGAATGGTGACAAAACAGGAAATTCCCATAACTTGCGCTTATGGTCATGTAATTGAAAAGCTTCTCGGGTTTCCATAAAATAAAGTTTGGTTCTTAACTCTCGGTATATTCCTTTTCGGACTCCTCAATTTTTGGAATTTCTCCAATGTGGTGCCCTATTAGTATGAGCTGGAGACTTATTATAACGAACTATGAATGTGCGATATACTCAGATGATAGATATATATTAGATACAGGGGATTTGGTAGGCTCTATAAAGCCAGTGTCATGCATAGAGTGGTTATACCTAGCCAGTTGATGCTATCCATAGCACAAAGACTCTATGTTTGTTTGTGACGCGTTATGATCATGAAAGTTATTACCCCTTATTTGAAATAGCTTAATCCACTCATTATTCACCTGGTACTAAGGCAAAAGTGTAGTGCTAACACCACTAGTTTCCCACGACAAGCTGCAACCTGCCTCCAACCAGCACCAATAACATGTCTACCACACAGGTCATTGTAGTCGATATCTCATAATAGAGTTAAGAGCTATGAGGTTTCATTATATAACCGAGTGATTATAATTTGGAACGCTGCAGGAGCCTAAAATACGTGTGCAATCGCGATATCGGGGAATTTTCTTACATTTCAAATAACTTCGGCATATGACTTTGAGAGTACTCTCACTAGTTGTGTACAAAGTTTGACATAGATGAGCCTCACTTGATTGCACATCCCTCCAGATGGGTGATATACAGGTCTGTTCACCCAATAAAACCCAACTAGTTGAGAATGGTGATCAAGAAGCAGGATACCCAAACTAAGCTATATGGGTTTCATCTCCAGGCTCTTGGCTGTACATACCTGACTAGCTCTCTCTATTCTTTACTGGCTACTCCAAAAGCAAGACGACGACTTCGGAGGAACGATGTCAAAGCCCTAAATCCTCATTCATTCATATAATTATTCAACCTGACACTGTATGATAATCTTCTACATGGGAGCCGTGCAGAGAGGGTTAAGTCAAGCATAAACGTTATTAAATCTGGGACGAATTCCAATTATGCGAGTTGTCAGAGAAGAATTCATCCAGCATGGAAGTTGTGTCCAAGGAACCAATCGGAAAATCAAATGACATGTCGCTGTTAGCAAGGCCCAAAAACCAGGAATAACTTCCAAGATCAGGCTGTTTATTCGGAGGTAGTAATGCGTCGGGAGATCCTTGGGAAATATGGACGATACCATGCTCCTGTTGAGGCTTTGGTAATGGTACGGAAATATTAGCGGAACGGATAGCGTCCTCAAATATTTTAACCAAGGCACCGATATATGACCAGGTCTTACTCATCTCTCGCAAAAATTCCAATTTCGCCTGAATGTGGAGCGTAGCCAGGATCTTGTTAAAGTCGCTGGTTGTGGGGTCTAATACTCTCTCCACATGCAATGCGAAGGCAGTGGAGACAAATGTAGGGCTAGGAATGGTAGGGTCAGTTTCTGCTGGTTCAAATAAAAATAAAGGAGACCTTGGCAACTTGCTAACTAACATTAGCCAACTATTGAACTGCCCATTATCCCGGCTCATTATTTTTTCAAGTGTCTTGTCGAGGTCAAACATGACGTTCTCAATCATTTGGGTCGCTCTTTGAATGAGTGGTTTATCGGCAGAAGGGGAACGCTTTATCATACGATACATGATGCTTTCACAGATATAACTCCGTGCAAGAAGAATGAGATGCCACGAAGTAATGCTGGTTCGCTCTAAAGTATTCACAATCCTCAGGTGAGGAAGCGACTCACGCCAGTCTTGAATTGCAACCTCTAACTCATTGCAGCATGTTTCTAGAGGAGTAGTTGCAAATTTTTGCCAAAACTGGACAACTTAATTCCACATGTTAGACATTCACCTGTGAGGGATGATGATGATTGACATACTGATTAAGGAAAGCCTTGAACTCTCTATCATATAGGATTTCTCCAAACTAGTAAACGGATGAAGAAGGTCCTGGAAATTGGAAGGAATGATTTCTTCCTCCCAATCAGCCTCGGTCAAGTGGGATGCATCGTGATCAGTATCATAGAATCTGCGTATAGTATCCATTCCATTGAGAGCCATAACCGCATCCCAGGTATAAAGAGTCCACCAAATTCGCCGAAGGAGCTTCCCCGCAGATGTATGTAGTCTCTGGCGAACTGAACGTCGGTGAAGTCCCATTTTTGTTGCTATGCACACAGCATTTGAAATCCAGAATCGATAATCCCTGGACATATAATGGGAAACGTGAGTAGTACTAAGGATGAGAGAGCCCTGTAAAAGCCGTAGCTGACTCTTTTCAACGTCAAAGTCATACAGTAACTTGGCCCTAGTAAAGAATGTTTCCTGGGCACTTGAATGATCTTGGAAACCGGCTGCATTCAGCAGCTCTACTGATGCATATGAAACGGCACTAGCCAGCACAGCCTGCAGCAAGAACATTGATACAGTTTGTTGTAGATACTCTGTTACGAACTTGACACGATCAAATACAGGCACACACAAATATTCAGATTGAAAGAATAGACGCAGTAACTCATTGCTGACCGAGGTTAGCAATCCGATTCACTTTAACATAGAGAGAAGCCTACCAGACTGGCTGTGGAGGCAAGGTCCAAGCGCCTTCCTGGCGCAAATATGTAACGCCTGCATTGCACAAGTTTGTCTTATCCCCTCCCTGGTCCGTTGATGGGTCAGAGCGGCAGGCTCCTTCTTGAAGTAATTGATTTGGAGCAGCAGAACCAAGAGTTTCATTCAGAATTGTAATCGGGTTTGTTCCGTCGTGATATCTCAACGCGCCGTTGCACTCCTTTGGCTCTGAGATTAATTCACTAAAACCTGTTTTACAAGGTTGCTCATGCACAAATTGGAGAAACATCGGCGCGGCCCGCGGTGTTGGATCACTATTTTTACATCTTGCGTTGTCTGGGGATGACGGCCAACTGAAAAGGGGGGGGGTGGAAATGATCTGTTCTCGAAGGCGTGGGTTGCTATTCATTGATGTCCCGCTCCCTATGTGTGACTCTACTGTTGTTGCCCTCAATTGAGGCGGTGTTGGCTCCTTACATAATCAGCCTGGGACAAATGTGCTAGCGTCGTAGAAGAGCTTTAGTTACATTTAGTTGCGCAGTATTTTCTGCGGTTGGTGTTTGAACTGAAGATGTTTGATGGTTGGTTTCGGAGTGAGCGCACACGCGGTCTCTGTCGTTTGTTACCCTTGGTGAGATATCACCCCGTTCCCGCCTGAAAACGGTTAGCAATTTGGCTTTTAGTGAATATTCTGCGACACATAATACCTATTTTTCCCGTCTTTTGGGAGTAGCACGGTGCATAAATGAACACGACCCTTATTAGTGCATCGAGAACAAGGTGTTCCATTTATGGCCGCATCACACCGCACTTTTTGCTCGTGGCAAGGGGCGCAAGCACTTATCTTTCGTCCCGGTAGGGATGGTTTCCTTGGTATGGCTGGAGTTCCTGAGGAGATTAGATTCCTTTTGGCATTCCATTGCAGGGTCACCATAATGACAAAGTTAGTAAAATGACGAGATTCAGATTTCGAAGGCAAACAGAAACTGAATTTGAAGATAAGACTACAGAGACGTTCTCCCTCTAGTCCAGTGCAGGGATTCTCTGCGGAGAAAATCTCAAATAGGTCTTGTTACACCCAGTGGATCCTAAAGGTCACGTCTAAGTCGGCATGCTCCTGACTTGATCCAATCCTGACTACGTCATTTTATATTTTCAGCTACCCCAAATTCGGCTAAATGGGTCCTTTTGGCAATAGCTGTCAGAGTGTTTTCGGCTTACAGAATACCGCGATCATCGAATTCCGGTTTGATCTAGTTCACTCAAGGTAACACTGAAAGAAGGTTTATTTTCTCCATTCCCGGCCTGCACCAGTGCTAATGCAGACATAATCACTTCTCCAATTCATCTAACTTTTATGTATTAGTATTGCATATAATTATCTATAGTGACAATCATTTGTTTTCTAGCTAGATTAGTCCATATTTGGCACTTATATCTTCCTTTTCTTCTTCTCTATTAACGTTTCATACAGCTGCTTTACCATCAATTTATTTCCTTTCTAATCTCTGTCTGCAGGGAAACATGATCCCATTAGAAAATTCCCATTTCCCACGACGAGAATGAAATGTCTCTCTGGATTATTGAATTTCGTAGGATCTCGATCTCCCCTCCCACAGTTAACCTGGATTCTCAATCTGTCCTCCGATTTCCTCTCTGTGTCATACACCACAAGATGAACAACCTGGGGTTAGCTTAGATTTTTATAGTCCAGGAATTGAAAAGCGTGTTGGAGAAGCCCCTGGTTCTATTAGAAATTTTCTGTGACACTTTAATCTAGCTAGTACATAGAAAGCAAGCATGGTAATCATGATCACAAATGAAACTCCTCTCACGACCTCATGATCGAAAATTTACGGAGTTGTGGTCATGCTTGCAGTCAATGTTGATCTCGAATTTGCTTAGGAGGAAGCACGCCACCAGGTGATTCATCCGTCCCGAGATAATAAGAGATATCACCCCCATTAAATTCGACTAGGGCAAATCCATTACCTAGGTATTCAAACGGATTTCCACTCCAGTACTTGATATGGTAGTCCTCAAATCTGGGCTCCGAGAGAACATCAAAATATGTCAATCTGGAGCCGGGCCACATTGCAAGCCGGCCATTTTTATCACCATTCTTAAACCAGCTTGAGCATGGACCGGACCAAGCAGTGCGTTGGATATAGAGATCTGCATGCTCAGCAAACTTTTGGCAGACATCGTAATCGGGAGTGACGGATTTAATATTTTCTTTTTGGATTTTTTTGACAACTGCACTGATATTTTCTACCAGCATTTCACTAACAGCAATATATGAACCGTGTCCGAAAGGCCCATACGGGCCAGCTATGGTGAAGTAATTCGGAACTAGATCTATTATTAACGGTTTTCCTTTCACATATCGAGCACATTTGCCATACCGTCTGGCATAGCAATAGAAAGGTAAGAGATGAGGTTCTTGCGAAGAACATCTTGAACATTTGAGCCGTGCGCAATAATCGGAAACTGTGGAATCCATGAGGTATCAAATCTCCAGAAGAAGTTAGAATAGCTTTCATTCCAGTTGGCTTTCATATATGCTTACCCTGTGGCACAAATAATTACATCCACCTTGTGTTCGTGACCTGCGTGATCAATAAAGCCCTCTTTGGTGATTCGCTTCATCATTTCCGTAAACACTTGTACATTTGGACGTGATAGAGATTCAAGAAATCCGTTTCCGGGCTTTTAATTGAAGAAATAATGTGAGTGAAAGGTCTCCCTTCAGTTGTTTTGTAATAAACTCACCGTCGGACGTCTGCATCCAACACCAAATTCAGTTGGGATAATCTTTTTCTCAATATCAGTTCTGCCACCCAACTTTTCTTTCATCTGGAGGGTAGAGAATGTTTTAGCCTCCTCAGCCTGTGGAGACCCTTTGAGAATGAATTTGAACCTCTGATTGAGTTCGTCTTCAATTGCTTTGCAATATCTTTGGTGATCGAGGGGATTTTCTATCCATTGCTGCTTTTGTTCTTCTGTATCTAAAATTATCTTAGACAGGAAGCTAGAAAAGAAGCAGTGGTGATTTTACATTCAAAATTGGTGCCATTAGGACCTGCATATTGCTGTGCAAACCCAGCCGTAATCCAGGTTGGTGATCGAATCCAAGTATAAAGCTTGTTGACCTTGGGCGCAATATATGGAATGACCTGAACCCCACTGCTTCCAGTGCCGATCACAGCCACAGACTTCCCTTCATATCTGGTGTCAGGGCGCCACTTTGCGGTGTGGGTGATTTGTCCTTTAAAGTCTTTCAAGCCTTCAATTTCCGGCCATCGCCATTTGCTACAGTCGGTCAGTTAGATCCGGCTCTCAGCGATAAGCCGACAGAGCTTACTTCAGAAACCCCCCATTGTTAATGAATACTTCGGCAGTATCAAGAAATATTTGACCCGTTTTCAGGTTCTTTACATGGATATTCCAGACTCCCTCCTCTTCATCCCAATATGCGCCTCTCACTTCATGATTAAGATGGAAGTATTTTCTCAGGTCGAAAAAATCAACAACGTCTTGAAAATAATCGAAGATTTCCTCTCCGGATGAGTAAAAGTGTTTCCAGTCGGGCTTTCTAGCCCACGTGAACTATCCAGATTATCAATAACTTCAGTATTCGATGCCAGTCATCATGGACGTACCTGATAGTTATTTGAGGGCACATCACATGCAACACCTGGATACCTATCCGGCGTTTAGATGTTTTGAATCAATTCGCAATCAATCGACAATCTCTTACTTATTCTCGTACCATGTACCCCCAACTTCGGGATTCTTTTCATAAATGACCAATTTCAAATTATTCACTTTTTCTGGCAAGATTTTCGCTAAATTGATACCAGAAACGCCTGCTCCTAGAGAAACAACACGAATTGGTCTCTCGCTACCGCATGGCATCTCTCGAATGCGATATCCATTCCCATTTTCCCGAGGCCAAGAATATTCGTCGGGGAGTTTCTCAAAATCTGGACATCCCGGAGGAAGATATGATTCCGATTGAATAGATCCCATGGTAACAAAAAGCCGCGCGGTTGTCTCAAATATCACCAGATATCACTTTCTGAGACTGTATTCTTGCACTCACTGGTAGAATTTATATATTGTTTTCGTATTTCGCTGATGCCTATTTCGGTCATAAGCCGAGACCGAATTAAGGATAAAGTTTTCCGTTTTTCCGATGCTAGATCTAAGGCACGGCTTATTTACCGACCGAAGCACAAATACAAGCAATACGCCAGAATATGGCATCTCAGTTCAATAGCACAGTATTATGTTAACTACATTGTAAATGAGTGTCCTTATCTATAGAAGTGGTGCTTAATTGTTGTGGACTTGGATCTACTATAGTTGTCACTGGAGGCTTTCAACCCACAACCCAACCCAAGGTGGATCATCATGCCTGCATTAATTTTCTTATATTAGAATCTTTACAAAACAGTTTTAATTCTAATAAAAAACATCTCTTGGCCGAAGACTTTATAAATAATATTTTAATTCGAAGAATCAGCAATTTATGCACGCCAAGACCCGTTATGCAAATAGGGGCGTTACATGTGGGTTTTCGTTTTAAGATTTACATAACAGGTCATATCTGCAACTTGACCAGGCCGTCACATTTTGAATGTGCTACACTGTTAATCAGTGACTTATATTTCGAGCAGGTACTTCCCTCAAACTATTGTAAGGTCAAAAGTAACATATATATAATGGTATAAAAGAGAGTTATATATTAAAAACAAGAGCTTCAACAAAGTTTTTAAACATTATATACAACATGTTTGTCAGAGGTCTATAAATAAAGATAGAAACGATGAGAACAATCAAATTTCAGTCTTTTCAGCCTCCTAAATGCGGGCCTTACGCTAAAAAGGCATTATTTGGTAATGGGCAGTGCCCACCACAGTGGGTTGCAGGCTTATAAGCTTTGCCTCATGTCAAGCATGGCAGCGCTTCAGCATTATTACAGCAAAAATGACATCTAAATATTTCTTACCTAGATAATTTCGGTCTAGAGGTAATCTTCAAAGTTATATGTAATAAAACACATATTTATACTGCTCATATTATGCTTACCGACCTTATTCTCTAAATCTCAAGCAGGCTTCAAATATCAAAAGGACATCATAACACCTAATTGAGACTGCTAAAAAAGACCGCAAGTCATTGATGAGCGCGGCTTGAAGTACTTATGTCATATAAGATACAATACTTCGTAGAGTACAGACAATATTCAACGCGAAAGGGTGGTATATACCTTACTAGGTTATATATCTATATAAGTATAATTTACTCTACAAAGCTTTGTATACGTTTACATCACTTAGTTTGGATCAACCTCTACCTACGTGACTCCCTCTAATAGTAGCAGACAGCAGTAGTAGACTCTCATTGAATATTATGGTTAAAAAGAGCATCTCTTAATGTTTCTGAGGTCATGGTAGTCCAGTGCCAACATTGATTTCCGCCCCATAGACGGGATGTGAATCCTCACTTAAAAGCCAGACTATCGAGCGGGCCACATCTTCCGCAGATATGAGATCCAAACCCCAGTCTTTCCAGGCCTTCTCAAATTCTTCCTCAGTTTTAGTGTGGGTGATAAATTTCTTGAGCATCGGAGTGGTGGTTGCTCCTGTATATCATGTCAACACTATACCCATTCATGTCTTATATTGCTGGAGCATTTACCTGGAAGAACAGCATTGACTCGAATTCCAAAAGGCTTTGTATCCTTAGCCACACTGGCACTGAAGTGCGAACAAGCTACCTTAGAAACGTTGTAGGCATAGACATCACCTATATGCTGTCTAGCAGCAATACTGGCCACGTTTACAACGGAACGCTTGCCAGGGGCTAGATCTTTCATTGCCTTCACTTCAGCTTTAGTGCAATAGAACACTCCATTCAAGTTTACGTCCATCACACGATTCCATGCCTCATTGGATTCTTCTAGAATGGCGGGTGCCTGGCGAACGCCTAATGCTTGGGGGATTCCTGCAATATTGGCTGAGCCGTGAATATCACCAAATTTAGCGACCACGTCCTCGACCCATTGATTCACGGCAGCGGGGTTGGTCACATTGAGTTCAGTAAATTGCAGCTCTGTAGACGGGTTTATTTTCGCAATTGAATGCTTCAAATCTGGAAATCCCTTTGAAGAGACATCCGCAACTGCGATAGCTCTCGCCCCCCGCTCCGCAAGTAAGCGTGCAGTGGCTGCTCCCATGCCGGAAGCTCCGCCGGTAATTGTGAACACCTTTCCCGCAACAGTGGCCATAGTAAGTGATAAGGGAATGCAGTAATGGGGTTGAAAGTGTAGATTAATAGGGGGATGGTCAAAACGACGTTTACGGAAGAAGTCACTCGACTATATAGGGAAGGAATAAATTGCCATGCCTTTAAATATAGTGTATTCGGTGTGATTAGTTGGATTCAATCGGCTTTTGATCTCGGTAAAAAAGTAACCTAAACCAACACAGTTTAATTGGGGTACCATTATTCCCCAGCTAGCCCTGAAAAAGTATGCGGAGTACATTAGGGTTGAGAAGACATTAAATCGCGGGGAAAGGGTCGTTAGTGTTCTAAATGTCGCAAAATAAGTTTTTATTTATTTTTTACTTAGTTATTAACAAGAATTCAATTCACGTGTGAAAGGTCCAGCTTAGTGGATAACCTCCACAGAGAGTATTTCATATATCTCAGTCTTAGTAAAATCACTGTAAAAATGGGTAGAATCCCTTGTAATTCGATTCAATCTCCTCTTTGATAATGTTTCTGAAGGTCCCTAATCCTCCCCAGTAGAACAGAATCGACTTTTTCTTTCCAACCACATTCGCACCAAAAATCCATGAATCAGTTTTTGTAAACAAACTTGAGACAGCAGCTTTTTCGCAGAGTTCACGCCATTTCGCCTCAGAAGCTTCCGTGGTTTCCAGTACAACCTTTCTCCCTGAAGCATCAGTCTTGCGGAGTTCTTCAGCTCGTGCAATCACCCCCGAAAGGAATTCCACTTGGGATTCAATAGCAGGCGGTATATTCGCGAAGACAGACTTTGGTCCCAGGAGGAGGAAGAGGTTTGGGAAGCCAGAGACAGCACAACCAAGGTAAGTACTTGGATCAGCTTCCCAGTGCTCCTTCAATGTTTTTCCCCGACGGCCTCTAATATTTAAATTTGCGTAGCTTCCGTCAACAGCATTAAAACCAGTGGCGCAAATCACAACATCAAGCTTATGCTCAACACCATCAATGGTCTTAATCCCATCTGGGGTGAATTTATCGAATGGGGCAGACTTGAGATCCACAAGATCCACGTTATCCTGATTAAATGACTCATAATATCCAGAATCGCAGAGTGGACGGCGCGCGAACATGTCAGTGGGTTTCAACTTCTCAGCCTTCTTAGGATCCTTCACAATCTGATCAATCTTGTTCCGGATGAAATCGGCAGCAGTCTTGTTGGCAGCTTCGTTTGTAGTGATATCACAAAAGGTGCCAAACATGAAATGGAGGCCATTCCCCCGTTCCCAAGCCCTTTGATAGATCCTATCACGGTCTTCGTCCGATACGCTGAGAGCGGAAATGGTGCTCTCCTTAAAACCCATAGCAATAAAGCTTCCTCTTACTTGGTCCCATATCTTCTCATAGTTGTCATTTATATTGTCCCGATACTCCTTTGTTGCCGGTATATTTACCGCGGGTACACTGTATTGAGGGCGTCGTTGGAAACAAGTCAGATGCTCCACCTCGGGGGCCAGAGCAGTTATCACTTGGATTCCAGTCGAACCACAACCAATAACTCCAACTTTCTTGCCTTTAAAGCTATAGTTTTGGGGAATATTTGCAGTGTGAAAGGCATAGCCTTTGAACTCATCCTTTTTAGGAATACTAGGCCAGTTCTCGTTATTTAGGAGACCCAAAGCAGTTATTAGGTAGCGAGCCTTTAAATGGCCCTGGGTCGTCTCCACTGTCCAGATACTTAGATCTTCATCGTATTTTGCACCGAGGAACTCCGTGTTGAATTGTATATATTTCCGGAGGTCATGGCGGTCGATGACATGCTCAAGATAAGCAAGAACCTCAGGTCCGTGGACATAGTGGTTTGACCACTTATATGTTTTCAGGTCCTCAAGATCCCATGAGTAACGGTAGGCAAATGACCATGTATCACTCAGGGCACCAGGGTATCTATTCCAATACCATGTACCTCCAGGCCCCCCTGCTTTGTCAATGACTTTCACAGACAAGCCCAGCTTCACTAATCGATACAATTGGTATATCCCGGCAAAACCGGTCCCCACCACAAGTGCATCGTATATTTTCTCAATTGCCATAGCGATTGCTATATCACGAGAATAACTATATTGTGGATAGGTAGAGCTATGGAAATGGTTGAATTTATAGAAATGCAATGGAACAGTCTTCTCGGTATTTGTATTCCAAATATGTCCTCGATAAGTGTATGGAAAAGCTTTACAGATGAACTATATCAAGACCATAGTTCGGTTTTCAAAATTATTCTTCATGCGCAATTCCCCATTCAGATAAAGTCTTCCCCGAAGTGTGTAGATGTTCCCACCCAGTAAGCCTCCATCATTTCAACAAATTGCCGACATATCTTACTCTAACAGCAACGTTGAGTTCTCCGAAATCCGGGTTTTCCTTTAAGGGCGTGGATTGTCACCCCTCATCAGTTATGTTTTCTAAATATTATTTCATCTCGGCATAGAACAGAATGCCATCCATCCATTGGAATCAGGTGCACTCTAACCCACTCGCATCGTTGAAAATACTGTGTCTTGCTACATTGCAATCCATCCCTGTCCTCTTACAAGGTCTCTTTGTCCCCTGTCGGCTGCGACCTCTCGGGTTTCGAAATGCCCTTGCCCGGGTCTGGTTAGGAAACATTTTTTCCATACAAGGAACCATTCTTTATAGTCCAGCGCAAGATCATTGTGAGCAGAAAATTGAAGGTTCCGATTTCGAAGCGTACATTATTCCATCGACCAACACAGCTGAACTGCAAGAGGCCGATGCAATTGTCATCTTCGCCCATGGCGGGGGCATGATATTCGGACATCCCTTGCAATATACCAAGACCTATCGAAGATGGACCGCATATGCGCAGAAACTAGGAAAGCGATTGGTGTTTGTCTCAGTCAGATATCGTAAGATGGACTTGATTTTCCTTTGACAGGCAGGTTACTAAATAGTTTTTCAGCCTTGTCAGCTACTCGGAAATGGCCTGCTCAGCGAGATTCAATGCTGGCTACTTATCTCTGGGTGTTGCAGAACGGCGTGTCTCCGAACCGTGTAGTGTTTGCAGGAGACTCAGCGGGTGGCAATCTCGCCACTCTGACAATGCTGAATCTTCGAGATACTTCTTCCTCCGTCAATTTACCCCGTCCCGCATCTGCAGTTCTTCTATCCCCCTGGTTTGATATGACCTGTGCTCAAACACTAAGTTCCAAAAATGTCAGAAATGACATGCTGTTCCATTTTGATGCTACAGTCTCATTCTTGAATGACACCCTCCGGCCCAATAACCTTCCATTTGATACTCCTGAAATCTCAAGTTTACTAGCGGATAGCGTTGCCGGCTTACCACCGCACCTGGTCGTATACAGTTCAACGGAAATTCTTGCCAGCGACAGCAAGCGATGGTGTGATCGGTGTCGTGCCGCGAACATCGAGGTAACAGAAGTTGCACTCGAGGGTGAAATGCATACTTTTGCGGTGGGGTGGCCGATCTGTAGCTCTCCCGTGCAAGTGAAATGCGATAAACTCATTTGCGATTATATCATTGACCATGTACGCGACTAATAAATCCCTTCTACCCTAGTTTTCTATCAATTGGTTCATATGCTATAGTATACAATGTACGTCAACCCCTACCTAGCTCTTTGTTCCAGAACTAGGGTTGAACAAACATCCGTACCACATATATATAGTCTTACTCTGCTGATGTCTTCTCAACGAACTGTCCTTCGAAATTGATCTTAACGTTAACCAATTAGTCTTTTGTCTAAGGTTGGAAGTACGGTTGGGGCGATCCTCAAGCCTTTAAAGAATTGCTCGTAGAAATGAAGCCTATTCGCTCCCACAGCAAAATAATTGCTTCTGACCTTAGTTATATACGCACCACAATACAGAAAGACTATCTAAGACCTTCCTACCACGCGGGGTGCCTCAAAGGTGCCCTTACTTAGAAGCCCTGAGGCAAGATACACCATGTCTCATTGTTGCGCGTATGACACTTAAAAGGAACTTAGAATTAAAAGCAAATTGATTTACAGAGTCATATTTACAATCCTACCTAAGTAAATTTGTTTGGTTATATGTATATCTACCCAAGTGTTGCTATGGAAATTGTTATTGGTAAATACCATGAATTCATATCTTTATTTCTCCTTTAGTTTCCGTGGCTTAGAGGCTAGTGTTTCTACCCAAAACCGTGAAGAAGCTGAGTTTCACTATATCTGAAAAGAACCTAGAAGTTGGAGGTATATGGTTTGAGAATAGGTATCTAGATCTGGCGGATGACAATACTTCCAACAATTATCAGGTATAGACGGATAACTCACCTGCCGACTGATGGTCTTTCAACTAGTAAATACTCAGTTCACATAGGCTACAAAGCCAGATTGGAACACTTTTCACCCCCTGGAGAAGAGATACTTGAACACTTCATCGATGCGGTAGATCGGTTTGATCTCTGCAAGTTCTTTAAGTTCGAACATTAAGTAGTGTGTGTTTACTGGATAGCGGAGAAGAGCCTCTGGCAAGTAAATCACAGGGTCGATGGATATTATGTACAATTGTTGTATACTATTCACATAGAAACAGTCAAATAACATTCCTAATATTCAATTCAATATCTGATGCTCACAGCGGCGTCAAAGCATGTAAAACTATTACTCCCCTTATCCATCATGTATATCAAGCGAGAGGCATACGATTATGCTTCAGATTTTTCAGATATCGAAGAAATTGACCTTTTTGTTTACACTGTGCTCTAACGGTGGGATGGTGTAGTCGACGATGGAAGAACCTCTTCCGGCGACTGGGACCGTATTCAACCAAACTGATTCTAATTCTTTTGAACCTGACGAGGAGAATTATGTTTTAGAATTTAGAGATGGTTCGATTGGGGATGTAGAATTACTGATCTACCTTTCGGTCTGCGTTCCCAAGTCAAGTTGAAGTTTTGCAGACAACAACAAAAAACCTTGAATAGTGAAAGATTACCTTTCTTCTCTGTATAGTTCTTATGAGCTGTTACCTAACTAGGTAATCTAATTGCCGAACTTCACAGGAAGTGCTGGCAGTCTCGGTTGAACCCCACTTGGATTTTTGGTTTTTCTACGCCGAAACCTTGACGGGTAAATGTCGACGGTCTGCTTTGAACTCAAGTCGGCCTTTATACTCTGATTCTCACCAGCTAAATACATGGGCGAAAATAACGGGAGAAAGGGGGACATGCGCTGTTCTCGGACTTGGGCGAGCATCTCGTCATTATCATTATCTCGAAAGTTGGACAAGGATGAACTCGACCTCGATTTGGCCGGAAAGCATACTCATCTCGGAGCCAATAAAAGCCCTGATTAATCTCCTTTTAAACCTTCTAGATGATAAATCTGAAGGTGCAGGTGATCGCTTGGCTGATGAAGTGTTTACTAAGGATGGATACCTGGGTGCAGCCACCCACTGTGCGAGAGGATCTGATGGTACGCAATACAATCCCATATCTCTCACACGGATATCTCTTAGTAGACAATATCCTGATTGAAGGAACAAAGTAGAAATTCGACAAGTACTGGCGACTGCCTGGGTGAAAGTTGAATCTCGCCGTCACGTCTTGAATCGTGTTTACGTCCATAGTGATTGGGACATCTTTTTCCTAGGCTATGTCAATGTGTGTATGAGGTCTGGCAAGAGCTTTGACCAAGAGTTCTTTGGTCAGGTAGTCATTGACGATCCAAAAAGTCCAACACCTAAAGTAAAGTACTTTAACGCATGGGCGGTACGTATGACATCACGTTTCATCTTTGTTATGTTACCCTATCCGCTCCCCTGTCGGACCCCAAAGATAAACAGTATCAACAAAGCAGCGGGTGCCAATGAAAGGGATTGCAGGACTCATTAGCAATACAAACCATGTTCGCGGAAGATAGATAGGATCTACGTGAGAAAGTCGGGGAATAAAATACCTATAGAATCGATAACACATTACGTGGTACCTTAAAGAAGCGACTAAATGTGAATGAGAAGAATACTAAAGATATTTAGCAACAGTATCATACAACAGCTGCCCTTTAGTTAATACATTTGAGAATTGATCAGTACTCTAGTTATCCTATCTATTCACGCCTCACAGGCTTTTAATGATAACAACTTGTAGCACTAGTCTACCCAAGTAGCAACTCTCTTCCCACCATCTACAACTAGATCGACGCCAGTTATCAAACTGGCCTTTTCACCTGCGAGAAATACGCATGCTTCCGCAATCTCCTCCGGAATACCCCAGCGCTTGACTGGGATAGTATTAATGACGGGAGTATAGTTGGCACCCCGACGCTCAGACTCGGTCGATGCTGGAAGATGTTAGACTCCTTCTGATAATGACCAACTTCTTAAGAGATTCGAACTCACTTGGAGTTTTCACCCAGCCAGGTAGAACACTGTTCACTCGAATTCCATCCGTGGCATAGGAAATAGCGTCAGTCCTAGTCATTCCAAGGACTCCGGCTTTAGTAGCAGAGTACTGTTTGCAAAGGAAGTTTGTTAAAATACGAAAGATAAATAGAAGAGCATAATTAATCGCTTACTCCACCTGAGTTCGGGAATGACATTAGACCAAACAATGAAGAAACATTCACAATTGCGCCACGTTGTGCTGGCGCACCAGTCCTATTAAATAGCTCCGTTAAAATTGAAATGAAAGATATATTTTCTTCCGCGGTAGGGATATAGTTACCTAGGCCGGAGCTCTGTGTTCTGCTTTAACATCTGCCGGATTTCAGCTCTTTGGCAAAGCCATGTACCTCGTAGGTTCACTGCAACTAATGGATCGAATGAGGACGTTTCAAGCTCATGAGTCCTAGCCCGGGGATTGCTGGTAATTCCAACATTGTTCACGGCATAGTGGATACCCCCAAATGCTTTCACGCCAGCGTCAACAAAATCTTGAACCTCAGTCTCCGATGAGACATCTACTTTCGACACAACGGTCTGCACGGAAGAATTGATGGCCCTAAGTTCTTCGGACACAATATCGAGGTCTTTCTTGTTTACATCTCCAATCACAAGGCGTGTGCAGCCTTCCTTCACAAAAGTATGGGCGATGGCACGGCCAATGCCAGAAGCAGCACCAGTGACCAAGGCCACTCTGTGGAGAATCGTTAATCTAGCACCGGTTATGGTTTAGGGAAGAAATCATGTTACTCACCCTTTCATGTAAGTGAAACCTTGTACCATTGTGATAAGAATTATTTATCCATAAAAATGGTAGTTTCGAAATTGGATATTTGCACATTCTCGAATCGCCATGTTATAAAGTTATCTTATACCTAGAGCGCCGAACATTCAGTGTCGGGTAATGCGAGGTACAATACAATTACCCTTAAGCAGGAGTGGGTCTGTCGGGTTACGGATGCTGTTTTCGGTATATTCCTAATCGGTCAAGAGCGCGGGTTACATTAGGGGAATTTCATACTCAGGTTTATTTCCTACCCAGCGAGAAGTGTTATTTATTAACTATTTAAGTTAGCTACCTAGTTAGTTAACTAGCTGTGATGAGTCATCATAAGTGATCTTCCCTGGGTCGTAAATGTTAAGTTCAATCAGGATACCTTATCTAACTACGACTCAGGGGAATAATGCCCATTATTCCAAAGAGTAATAATGGATAAAGTTTTGGGCTGGGTGTCATAAATCATTTTGTGCAAGCTATGCAGTCACAATTGATCATCTGCGTAGCTGGATTCCAGTATTCGGTTTAATCAGAGCTGTAACTTTCGTTTATGCCGACCATTACATGGTTTAATACAACAGCCTTGGGTATTTTCGGCACTCAAGGGTCATTTTTGGTATTTCTTACATTTAGCAACTAGAATTTTGACAACTTATGAATCTCTGTAGGCCTCAGCTTGATCTCTAGCAACGGGATAATGGTGGCTACTTTCCTTTAAATGTTAATGCCCTCTCCAGCAGCCTTTCGCCACCATAATTTCAAGTCTCGTTAGCAGATCAACGTCCCAAATGCGCAGTTAGCGACCCTTGTTTTTAGCTCCCCTACCTATCCTATCTTAAAAGAACATCGATTAAAAGACCATCGGTGCTTCCTAGATGCTGCCAAATCTGATACCTACTTTTTAACAATGACGATTCTGCCTATGGAGGTAGCAATTTGCTCCTTGTTTCTATGAATTAGGAACAAAACCGGTAACCATGTTCTGTTCATTTTTAACATAAACATATTTATGGTTAGTGATGATTTTACTGATATTAACCCTACATATATAGCACGCAAGCTGACATATCAATTAAAGGATAGTGGTGCAACTTATTGGATATGTATTGAAGATATGATTCAGACAGGCATTGAAGCAGCAGATTTGGCCGGGCTTAACCCAGACCGGGATTTTGTTCAATGATGCACTTTACTGTGTAGATGGCACACAACCGCAGGTTAAGCTCTCTCATAAAGACTGTCGTTATTGAAGAGAGTTTATAGCATCGGGCGAAGGAGGAAGCCAATTCATCTAGGATAAATTCTCTTAGCTTAAGATAGCTAACAGGGCTTTGTTACTTAATTACTCAAGTAGTACAACTAGGGTATCAAAAGGAGTCAAGGTTAGGTATAAAAATATCTCCTCTAGAGGATTATTAGGCGGCGTTGGAATGGATATATGCGGATGCAAGGAGCTTGAATACCGATTCTCGATAACCTGGCATTATGGGTGATAGTGCGACAGGTGGCCTAGCTGCAAGTGTGCAATGTTAGCACGGGATAGAGGACTATCTTCTCTATTAACAAAACAGTCCCCTATGTACTCAATGCTAGATGATCGGATTCATAAAACCTTTGTCTAATATTCAGCTCTTCAAGTAGAGTTGATACAATACCACCTAAATTCTGCTCAAACTTTGTTCCTTCAACTTCAGTAAACTCTACAAGGACTTATAAATAAAATTCTGTGTTAAAAAATATCCTATAATAGCAAGAAATGATACGTCTTTATTACTTGTCCACACATGTGATAATAATACAATAGTTTGGAAACTAATAGCAATATCCTCGATGAATTGTTGTCTAACTCAAACTCACCTGCAATTTGTGATGTAAGAGTATTTTGTGATGTAAATATGAGAGATATATTAAGGATATAATTAATAATTTGTTGAAAAAAGGCGCTTCCAATAAATGAAAGGACCATATCTTCCGCATTGATCCATCAAATGAGCTTTTCCAAATGGTCTTCATTATATCCTTATCGCTTTATTGTTGAAATGCTGAGAAAATAGAGGGAAAAATTGAGAGAAGCACTGGTTAAGGAGATATGCTGAATTCTATTTATTGCAGATAAGTGATTATAGATGTTCGTTTTGCACGGCTTCAAAGACAGGTAGAACTTATAACAGCTTAACACTATAGCCTCCCGATACATCAGCGATATGGAATATGCGATACACTTAGGATCCTTAGTGCAGAGTGGAAATACAAAAATAATGGCCTACAATATCGTCTAGTAAAAGATTGTTCTGTGGTCTTAAGTAGTGCTGTAACAATGCTTTAAAAAGTGATAATGATCAAAGTTTAAGGTGGGCCAACAATAGCAGCAATTAGCCAAAATTCCAAAGCATTCTTGTGCGATCATAGCCTCAGCCAAGACAATCCATATTTAGCAGTCGGGGACGTATTCAAGTCTTGTGAGTTGAACTAATTGAAGTTTTGGGCGTATCATACCGAAGGGAAGGTCATAAACACCTGAACGTTTCCTCAGGCAAGTCCGCCTTCGGACCAACCCCGCAAATATGGGTTGGGGTAACGATGGCATTACCCCACACGGGCTAAAAATAAAGTTTAAAGGCTTCCATATAAGAACTTCTAATCTCCCATCACTACGTAGGATCCAGAAATCTTAGTCTTTTGGAGCCACAACATGGACCCTAGTCCTACTCCCGCAACTCGGGAGACAAAACGGTACATTACAGCTCTTAATGAAGCCGGAAAGAGCATATTTACTGTCTCCCCTGATCTACACTATCATTTTCAAGGAGGAATCAGTTATTCCCGCTTATATGGAACGAATGCTACTCCTCCCAACAGACATGCCAATGCCGATATCAAGCAATATTTGTCACAGGATGGTGATGTGAACATTACCTCCTTCTCCAATACTGCGATTGCAATACCAGGGGGTATCAATTTTATTCAAGCAGAGATCGCTCCTTCCGCGATCTTCCCTTGGCACAGAACACTTTCAGTGGATTTTGTTACTGTGATAGATGGAGTCATCGAAATTGAAGTGGAAGAGGCAGGCGACATGGCTAAAAAAATACTTCTGAAGCCAGGGGTGAGTCACATCACTGAACTCGCACAACTATTCGTTCTCATGATTAACTCTGGGTAGGACTCTGTTATTCAAAGAGCAACAGTACATCGATGGATAAATCCATCATCCACGAGTTCAGCGCGATTTGTTGTTACCACCGTATCAACTGAACTTCCAAGCCATCCAAACTCTGTTGATGACGCAGCAGGGAAATATGATCCATTTCTCATTCCTTAATTATATATGTACCTATTTTCCTACCACAATCTACGTCTAATTCTATTCTAGTAATATACCTACAACATTTTTAGTTGTTGTCGCTCATCAGGCATGGTGAATATGGGTTGTCCCTGGTGAACACCAGCTGCATACTATGTTTCCATTACTGATAGTTTCCTGCTCCCAAACCTTCCACATAATTTTAATCACGGGTATAGTGTCTGTGTTAATATATATAGTTTTATTTTGTCCGCTGTTGCAAGCGACGACTATTAACCTTTATGGGGAGAGAAATTTTCCGAGCAGCTGCGACCGCCGTAAAAAGAGGCTCGTTCAGAAGGGACAATTCAACGGTTCTATATGAATTGAGTTCTCAACCTTTCTCAACCCTCCCCCACAGTTGGGAGCTGGTATACGACCCACTTGAACGTAGTATTTTGGTTTCTATATCCGACAACTAGTTGACGCAAGTACAATTGCCGACATAAGCCCATTTGTGTTTATCCGTGCTATAACTGGAAAGCCGTTAATTCTCGGCTTTTTGACGTGGAATACTCTGCTCGGGATTAATCTCAACTAATAGGAACCGTTTTCAAATGTCGCAAAAATTCTTTTTTATAACTATCCCGAATTTCTCCAAATAAATCATTGTCCATTAAATCTACCCATTTTGGCACACTTAACCTCCCTCTTACACGTTAATTCTGAAATTACAATAGGATCTAGTTTGCTGACGCGGCCGATCATGTTCTGTGAGATTATTGTAGATTGCAAAAATGGTGTGGTTTACCTATTTTATATACAGTCATTTTCAAACTAACTTATATTAGGAGTCGATCCAGACCAAAGGCAATCAAGTTGCTCCTGCAGAGCTGGAAGCTATTCTCCTTGATCATTGGCATTCCATTGTAAGCTTACCTGATCTTATACCTGGAGCCTCTACCTCTTCTCATCTATCGTGGAAATCTGATTACTTATACGGTATCTAGCAATAATGACGAACACCCTCGAGCGTACGTTGTGATAAAGAAGTAAATGAACGCAACAACAGACGAGATTGCTACTTTATTGTTAGAAGTCTCCTACACCAAACGTGTTTCCTGGGAGGAGTCGTCTTCTTGGACGCTATTCCTAAGACAAGCTAAGGCTTTGTCTTTCTAGCTTTCTCAGCTGGTATCTTCTTTTCCCGAACAGGCCATGCAGTCGGCCCATCCACAGAGTTGCCATGACAGCCCGGCACACTGAGTAATTCCCGTTGCATTGTGCGGTCGAGTCCCTGATATTCATGCTCTTCAAGTTGCTCCCAGTATTGTCAGAGATTTATTGTGCGTTCGACTGCTGGCTTGGTCTCGTTAAGTCGCAGTACTGCGGTCCCGGACTTGTTCCAACAGAAGCGCATTCGCATCGCCCTACTTCGCCAGATAGATCACAGCCACCGGGTCATTCTGATCTCAGAACCTTCATTGTCCTGTAAACATGCTCCCGAAAGTCGTACCTTTCTTTCCCTGCTACATCGTACATGTCGATTTTCTGTCGCCTCATCTGACTTGATGGGATGCCATTGTTCCCCTTCAACTTTTACGAGCTTGCAACCATTCTAACCGCTCTAGGAGTTATTTCAAATCTTGTTGTCGGCCCACGAAAACTTTGATGATGTCCCGTGGCGCGATCTTGACCCTTCGATCCGAACGGTCTCCATCTCGCCGTAGGGTTCAAGACGGTTAACGATAGTTCGTCGTTGTTGCATGGGGTCTTGGATGCGTGTAATAGCTTCCGAAGAAGCTTGATCTGTGTCCAGCCTCATTACTGAGGGTCCCAGATCTGCTTGAACTTCCCACATTGCCGCAGACTGCATGGATGATGATGATGTAACAACGGAAGACCAACTTATTCACTTACTAACAGTAGTATGCGACGTTTGGCCTGTTGTTATGCCACTGTGCGGACCTCGTACCATTGTGGTGAGCTATGAGACTTCTTTCCGTAGTCCCATGATTTCCTGGGACTCAGGATTCATGTAGGTTTAATGACTGGCTCCGCTGGAGATCATCCGTCGTGTTTCCAGTAGTTATTTCTGGGCGACGTTCATTGATTCTTGAACGCTTCCATATCCGACACGAGAATCACGATCGCTTTTTGAGGTTCAATCTTGCGTTTCCGTAACTCTTGATCTCGCTGGACCAGTACATGGGACAGTTCTATAACCTGTTGTTGCAGTGCGCCGTTGGACTTTGCTAGGTGCTGAAGGGCGAGCTCGACCATGTCGAATTAATTGAACTTGCCGGTTTTCCTATTTTTTGGTTTACTTTTCTACTGCTTCCTTTTATCACTCTTGTCCAGTATGTACTGGCTTCAAGACCCCCCGTGGGGTGTCTTTTCGTTGTCGGTGCTCCCGGTTTTTCACCCGTGTCTGACGAGCAACCGTCCCCAACTTCACCCTCCTTTGGGGAGTCAGCGACAAGATCTCTTTCCTCTTAGAGAAAATGATTAAACTTTATTTACCTATTCAAAGCTTAGGAGCGCTCCCCCGCGTCTTCTATATCTGTCACTTCTATTGATGGTGATAGAATCCTAATCCAATATAAGATCCCCTCAAATAACTAGTACCCGACATGCATCAAAATTTATACTTTACATGCGTACGAAAGTCTCTGGATTAACTGGTAAATGATTAGCAAGAATAATCTCTTCGATGAATGGAAACTATTAGGTTTTGATTTTAATGAGACCTAGCTCCAAATCCGAACTGTTTCGAATGTAAAACAGATATTTTCACAAAGTTTGATAGAAACTGTTAGGAAAGCAGCCAAAGAGTAACGCAATTACTCCTAGCCACTAGGTGGATCCCTGAGAAAAGGGCACTAGTACCTTCGCTACTATCACTCGAGCCTCTTTAATCCTCTATATAAGCTCCCACTTGTGGCGCTTAGTAGATATAACAGCTTCAGTCTTTACAGTATTAAATCGGGCCCCATTTTGGTGTCCCTACTCAATAGCGGTCTCAGCGGCCTGTTCTTATCGCTGGCGCTTTCCTTTTGCTAAGTTAGTGTGAGCAATAAGACTTATATCGTCAGTATATGATATAGCCTCTAACCTTAGAGCATCCTATTCCAGAGGCTCGAGGAAACCCCTAATATAAAGGAGAAATACGATAGGGGGCACTTAGGAGATCTTTAAGGCAGCCCTAAGTCTATATGCCGTTCTTCCCCTTTATAGCCGTCAATTATTAAGCTTACCCACCTATCTATGAGGAACGACTAGGTGCATCTAATAACATTATTGTCTAGACTAAGCTTATAGGGATCAAAACTGTTAAAAATTTCATAACATCTATAAAATGAGCATCCACTAGCTGCTTTTAGGCCTATCTCTGCTGCACCGGGTGCAGCAGGCAGGCTACTGTATCAATAGTGCTCCAGCCATTTCTGCATCCCATTTGCCGGGGGGAGAGGGGGTTCGATACCTAGCAGTGAAGGAAATTATTTTAAAATCTGATTATCATAGCAACCAATCACCACATGCAACTATTGCACTACATTACATACCGATTTCCACACTGCAATGATTTTCAGCGTTCCCGCATCTACCTTTGTTCTTGGCCTATGAACTAGAACAAGTTTCGTTGGATTAACTAAGTATTTATTTAAAGCTATGCCATTTTTCCGTATATTTAACACTTTGTCATTCTTGATTGTTAAAATGAGTGCGCAATGTGGCCTGTATCATTTTCTCTTGGCAAATATCTACTCAGCATGAAGACGATCCAGAGCCCTCTGCATGTTCACAGAAATTCAAGCCAGCATAGTACTGCATGTACCCAACATCTGCATAACCGCCATCGTCGAAGCTATACCCTTCTAGACTTCCTGCAACGTAACGACCACATACGCTTGTTACCCCACCAATACCCCTGGCATAGTCGTCGCTATTGATTTCAAAACCATAGCCACGGTTGCACACAAAGGCCACGACAGCACCTTTTATAGCATAGTAGGATAGCTCTGTGATTAATACCCCTGTTCCAAGTTGCGCTTCGAGGCTGGCTACGGCGGCATCACAGTCTGAGTGTACTAGGTCAAAGCCACATCCACAGAAGGACTCCACGTACTCGACCTCATTTGACCGCGTTTCAACGTTGTCAGAAATATCTTGCGCAGCACTGGAAGCCTTTGCGATTTCTTTCAATGCTGGGGTAGAGATGCTCTCATGAATCTCGTTACCATGCTCGTCAAGGTACATGCGGTAGACGCCATCTTCTAGGCCACCTATATACTACAAGTCAGCATTGAATTTATCGATAGCAAACTGATCCACAAAAATGAATTATCTGTCAACAATTCTAAGACCCTATAGTAATAGCACGGCCTCATCATCATACGGCCTGGTCTTGAGGATATAACGAAGTGGATGTAATCTGTACATGTGAATTACGCACCAGGTAGCTTTAGAGCTGAAGTAACAAGAAGTATGAATGGGAAGAGAACAGTCGCAGCCCACATTCTGGATGATTGCAAATACCTGAGAGGGAAAACCAATATGACAGATGGAAGAATTTATAGATAAAATAGCCTTCAATCAGTCCTACTAATTGTTACTCAAACCTGGGTCTGCCATGCCCTTTATATAGATATCTGAGACACATGCCATGCAAAATAATACTGTCTTCATAGTAGACTAAATTCTTCGATGATGCTAAGCTCCACAAGTCTTGAGTTCTATATGACCAATCTCATGCAGAAACAGAAATACTTCCATAGAAACGGTAGCAAGTCAGCTTCACCAGCGTTAAACCTAGTGAGGAAAGACTGCCCGAGGGCGGTTCAGTTGCAACACAGCCCTGCTCGTTTTCCTGATTGAATTTGATAATTTCAATTCGCAAGCCACTTCCAGATCTAGGCCTGGATCCGAATAGGCGGCGTCAGCGGAACGATAGCCAAAGCATTTAAGGTATACAACAACTAAGTGGAATCAGGCGCACAGACTGTTTAATAGGCAAAACAACTGCCGACGACGGAGAAGATCATATGCGCAAAAGAAATCCACTATCAATGGGAAACTGAGGTATGATCTAATGCGTCTATTAATTTGCCATGCTTACTTTCTGTTTGGATGTCTTGAGGACACCCTCGTTGTCCTTGTTTCCAAATATTCAAAGCTCTCTGCGTTCTTATGAACAGGACCTTTGTAACTATTTCGTAAGCAATTGTATTGTAAAATGACTTTCCCATTAGTGCTGACAAGTATTAGCAATAAAATTGATCGAAGCAATTGGTACACGGCCCAGTTTATATTTTGACCGAATATTTAGATAATGGCTCTTGGTCTCGTCATTAAAAGGCCCAAACACACGCTTAACCCGTACCGGTATGGATTGATTTTATATGGCAACAGTGCCCAGAAGTCAGCTTGGATAAGGCTAAACCGAACACGGAAGTCTTGCGAAATTGAAGAGCTTGCCAACATTTATCTTAGCACAGACCCGGCTGGCGATGTCAACTGGGCTATGAATTTACTGACCTAGCTTGGGCGGGTGGGATATTATGACTGTGTTTCTTGTCATGGGGTTCCAGAAGAGATTCAGAATGCTGAGCTTTAGTTTTGCAGACGTAGGACTTGGAAATGCGAAGAGATTATCCTGCACTCACTAGGGCGGTCACATCGTAGTTAAATATTCGCTCACTCGCTAGATTGCCGAGACCACACGACCACAACTCTTACGGCTTTTAAGAAATCTTTGTCATGCCACTAGAGTCGCTAAAAATTTGTAGCCCATCAGAATGCGAACTCGTGTTTAAAATAGAAAGGCGGCTTCACCGCAAGTTGGAACTATCAGCCAATCAGAGGCTTCTACACCCGATTCAAAGCTAGTGCGAGGCTTCAATATGCGAAAGAGGGTTAGCGTAAAAGAGCCAGTGGCAGTTATCAGAGTAGTGCCCTGAGGCCTTCTAGCCTAATATCCATATTTCACGCGCATTGAATGGCTTCATTGCTTGATTGTTTACTCTGGCTGTTGTAGCCGCTGCTGCACCAAAACCAAGGTACATCGAATTTATCTAATTTCCCACCCAATTTAGCCCTTTGTCGGGGTTTCCAAGAACCACCCTGCATCTGACCACAATCCCTTCGGTCTCCGGAAAAACCCCCACAACCAAGCTACCCACAACATCAGACAACAAACCAAGTATGGCACCGACTTGCCCAAGTGAGGTTCAGGAGCGCAAAATCTTGCGGAGGTCGAGATTCGGCTGCCGAAATTGTAAGCTTAGAAAACTCAAGGTAAGCGAATCTCCGTTCCCCATAGAATGGTACTTGACTGACCAAATGTCCGTTGGCCTTCTAGTGTGACGAAGGCAAGCCACGGTGCAAGAGATGTAGTTCATTTAGGGTATTATGCAATTTCATGCCTAATGTTCCTGACCTACAGCCCGTCACCGATGACTCATCAAGCACATTTGTCGTTCAAGGAAGAGCGCAGCTTCAACCCCCCCTCACCAGTGCTGTCTGGACATCTGACGCATCAACATTCTATCAACTGGATGCAAAATGTCAGGATTTCGTAACCCGCTACCTAGGGCGAAGTCTTATCACTCCAGATGACCCTAATATGATCAAAGTTAATCGCAAGCTCTTGATACTAGCCTTTACTGTATGTCTGATCAAGTTACTATTGTTCCTACTGGACAGGGTTTAAGCTGGATTGTCCATTACAAGATCCGTGGTCTATTAACACACGCTTTATAGCATCCATTCTTGATGCATGCTTCTCTGGCGGTGGCACTTGCGTATGACCGCCACCTGAACAGCTCATTGGGCTGTCGTCGCACTGTAGAAGAGTGCTACCACAGGTCTCAAAGTACAACCCTCTTCAACCGACGGTTAGGAGAGCCAATCGAAACGAGAGATAAGGATACAATCTGGGGCACTGCGGCTGCTCTCGTTATTTTGGCTTTCTCGGCCCCTGATGCTCGTACCCCAGAAGAGTCCTGGCCTCTAAAATCTTCTGACCCCTCTGATTTCGAATGGTTGCGTATGAGCAGGGGTAAAATGTCATTGTGGAGCATAGCTAATCCGCTACGACAGGGCAGTCTTTTTCGCGCCATGGAGTCGACCTTTGCTGAAATACACTCACCTCTGCCAGAGAAAGGCATAGACGGTATAATGAGGCCTTTAGCTACACTGTGTCATCTTAAAGACTCATCTACGCCAGGAAATAATCCATATTTTAATGCCGCCCACGCTGTATCCCAGATCCAGGATCTTCTGGATAGCCAGGTTAAAGTAGGTCAGACTGAGCTCTTCATGCGTAGCTTACATGGCCCTTTCGAATCCTTGCTGCGGGGGAAGGATCCTGTCGCACTTCTATTGCTGTATCTATGGTACCGCAAAGCGGGCCGCAGTATATGGTGGATTGAACTTAGAGCCAGAGTTGAATGTCCTTCTATTTGCTCTTACTTACGACTGTATCACAAAGGATACGCCGCTGTGCATGCATTCCTTCCAGGAGGTTCTCTTGCAATGTGAATAAACCCAACTCGTTCCAACATTTAATTGATGTGCAAACTCCCTGGCCACACAGTTGTGTGCTAGAATAGTGTAAAGGGATTCCAATATTGTGATATGTAAATGGTGCGATCGTCTGACCACTGCTAGGTGCTCAGGCAGAAACCAGCCGGACTGTTATAGACTATTGATAGCATTATCCCTGCTATAATCCACATTGCAAAAGTTTGTCAGGCTCCATTGCCGGTTTCCAAGAGTCCCACAAACTACATATTCAAACATGAATTGGACAAAGGCTTTTGAGATAGACACACATTATGTCTATAAAGAATCGGGAATTACAAGAACTAATTGAAGGATTGGTCTACCTCGTCGTATCAGTTGGGGCAGCTCATTCAGAAAACTTTTATTGCACACTATACACTTCGCAAAAACCCACCACCAACATGATCTCCTACTTTAATGGATTCAACTATGTTTCTCACCTCGTCCACAATCCCAGCTCCCTCGTGGCCGAGAATACATCCATGAGGAATGTAGAACAAGTCTGTACCACACAAGCGACTATGGGTGATTTTAACAAGAACCTTGTTCGATGCAACCCTAGACTCGAGAATAAGCGCTCCTGGCTGTGATCGATCAGACCTGGAATCCAGGGTATTACATAGATATTATTCTTTTTTTCCATGCAGCACAAATACACACTGTACCGAATTTCACCCTGGGCCAGTGTACTTGCTGCAGATCTGTCCCGACTGCTGGACGCTGCGAAAATGTCCGATCCACTTAGATCAATTTCTGGGACGGAAGAAATAAAGAAGCAGGAAGTATTGTGATATACGGTCAGAAGTGTCATGGTTAGTACGGTATTATTGTCGATCAACTGTACTGCCTGGTCCTAAGTTCCGTAGCAGTGGAGGGAGAGCAAGCAGGCAGGAGAGGAGGATGTCAATTTGAAGGTTATGTGTGCAGAATGCTTCTGGCTGGATGCGATGCGGTGGCCTTCTGGGTGTCCATTCATCCGACCTATGCGTAGTTTCCCAAAAATGGTTCTATGCCATTGAACAGGATAATAAACCTGAATGACTCTGGATCCAACCTGGCTAAAGACGACTTTAATCCTGCGACGGCCAAGATAGGTACCCTGTGAGCAATGCTTTCCATTGTTCAAGGCCGGGCATATGCATTGCCTAGATCTAGTATGACATATGGCAACTGTCAAGATAAAATTAGATCCTGATGTTGGGAGAAGTCGACTCGAGGCCTCAAAAGTCTACAAATGAAATTCGATAAAGTATTGACTAGCCTCAAGGCAGAAGCTGAGGGGTAATATAGTAGAAGTAAGAGTACTAGGAGGTTCGGTGATGAGTGAACGTCGCTTAAATAGCTAGTGTTCGATATTCCCAGAATGTTATTGAAATTAGTAGAATTTATTAATTGATTATTTAGAAATTAGTCCTTATAAAGGCTATTATTGATTGGTAAAAAGGAATAGAATTAAATTTTAAAAATTAGAACAATGATTCTAGGAACCAATAATAAAAGTGTAGGTATCTAGATAGAGATTTCAATAACCGATAAAGAGATGTTAGAAACTTAAGAGAAGTTTTCAAAAGAAGATATAGAAGAAGAAAAAGAAATATATTATTATGTCTTTAAGAGAGCTATATTAAGAAGTATTTTATTAGATATACTAAGATTATAGTAATATATATGAAAAATGGTGAATTGGTGATTATAGATATTTTTAATAATACTTAGTATATAAATAAAGAAACCTCATTCTAATAGAAGAAATAGAAAGGTTATTAAAGAAATAAGTATATAGTAGATAATTACCTAGGATGTAAGGGCGCTTCGAAACGCGACAGTATTAGAGCAATATGACGATAGAAAAGCGGATCGGAGACTGATTGACTGAAGATTTCGAAGGATACTGTCTGTATTAACTATAATCGCTGTAACTTGGTGGAACACAATGACTTACATTTTAGAAGCCTTGATAATGTACAAATATTCCCAAAACTTTGGAGTTGGAGATGTAGTATGGTAATGTGGTGGTCAATGTCGGAGCTAAGATTATGCTCCACCGTGATGGTCGTCTTTTGTGGAGATCCAGAAATATCAGATAAGGGAAGATAGTAAACGAAATTCCCGGATCGACAGTCAGGCAAAGGAGCTATCCCATTGATAATATATCCTGACATGTCTCAAGAACTCGCCGCCAGCTTACCAGCCATTCGTCGCCTTGTCGCAGACCGCAATGTGCAATTAAGAGGAGCAACCGTGCCATTCGTAGATGAAAGACAATAATCATTCGCGCGTGGTGATCAACATGGGACTCGTTTGAGAATGTGTTGAGTCTTGGATTGAGCCAGCCGGGTGGGAGGACTAAATGAATAATAGCCAGCTGCGCTCAACTTTGGCGACATGTGTAACTATTCCTTCATATGACTGATACAATTTCATGTGGATAACAAGCCCAGCCTGGCGCAGAGTGGCAATTGTGATGTTATGAACGTTCTTCAGCAATGTCTCCGGAGCTAGAGGGGCGGCAAGAAGGACTTGGGGTAGGTCTTCAGGGTTGGGCGGCAAGTATAGCTCTTGAGGGGGGAGTAATACATGTCTGATAGCTGAGTAGAATGGCTCCGAATAAGCGAGGTGTTATTGGATATCTTCATTGCTAGCGGTGCTCTAGTTCGGATAAAGTATGCAAATATGGTCCAGGCAGTTGAGCCCGATACGATAGGCCATGCGCGTCACTCTGCTTACGCGCAGCCAGGAGTGGTGTCCTAGGGATTGAAGGAATTCGTAAAATGACAGGAGATAGGCTTTACGAAACCGATTGAGTGTTGGGACATCATCAATCAGATCATCCTCTAATAGCCTCGATCTGAGTAATAGGTCCAGGCCAGCATCCAAAGTAGAGCAGTCACCCCGGTCTGAGGTAATTCCTGGAAGCTTTGAGGTGATGATGTGACTATCGTTGAGATAAGGTCTTCACTGCACAGGGAGCTTTGGTAGCGACGGAAAAATAGTTCCTTGGGAATGATAGGATTCGCATCTTAAACAATACCGAAGTAACTCCCAAGGCTAAACCAGTCACATTAGCTTAAGCATGGGTGCCCTAAAATGATAAGGATGAGTGCATACAGGTACTCCACATGTTGAGGGCGGAAACGTAGTGGCTACCAAATTGAGGGCTGTTGCCTGGGTCTTGGTTAGTAGCCGCAAGGTGTAAAAAGCCGAATGGGCCATGCGAAGCATGATCTTCAGTGGTGGGGAGAGATTCTTTGCCGGAAAGGTCTTCCACTGGAGAGTAACTACGACACGGGTGAGCTGGTTCGCGGTATGCACCAATTATCAGCACGACATGATGAGGTGGGATAGTTGCACGAAGGATTAGTAGAGAGTTACCAAAAGACCTGCGTTACTTTGATGGTTTTGTTGCATAGTGGGGCCACGTGGAGGGCCATGTTTGCGCATTACTGATGTGTAACTGCACGTCTCCCCAAGCTCAAAGCAGCGAGAGCAAGTTCGCCGTGCCTGGTTACCTATTCTGATCCGGCGGGTGCGAACTTCGGATAGTGAAGTAGAAACATACACATCAACTTCTTGCTGCAAAATATCTCAAACAGAGCCTTCAACATCGGGAAAAATAACTTGCTGAATCCATCTGTCACACAGCCTCAACGACAGGGGTCTCGAATCGGGACTAGGGGCGGCGATGGTAGGATACTGCATAGGTGCTTGTGGGAGGGGATAGCATTTCCCCGTATGCCTACAGATTATCTTATCAAAAGATCGGAAGACACTGTATTCAGCGTACTGCTCAAAGAGTAACGACTGCTCGGGAGAATTGCATGTCTGGGAAATCCTGCCACCATGTAGTCTGCTACTAGTCTCCAATGAGTTAGTGTTGACAGGTTTTCAATTTATATGTGTGGAGAAACAGTCGTAGGATGGTGCCATAATTGGCTTATGTTGTGTTTGCCTAAACCAAGGGTCAAGTTCTTCCGCGGAGGAACTTATAGAACACCCATACAACCTTCCCGTAGGTAACCCTAACCCTAAGAGTCCGTGGTGAAGAATGTTGTGCTCTACACGAATCTAGTCACTATGTCGATCACCTCTATACCTAATGACTTCAGCTCCATTGCGACACGTAACTAGAGAAATATGCCTTTGTTAAGGCTAGCTAAACGATAGTGAGGCTCCTCCAGTATTTTGACACCCTTGAGAGCACCGATCCAAATCCTCTTGCGGAACCTCAGCTTCAATCAGCTCTCGTCCTAGCGCATCGATATGGAGTACGTGTACGTCTATATTCTTTGTCATAGCTCAAAGCCGGTGGACCAACACAAACTCTACGTTATATTTGAGGCTTACGCAGAAGATGGGAACGTGACACTGTTGGAGAAAGCTTTTACTACCGTGTTCATTTAATGATCTTGCTATATTTCATCGTAGGAGGGACAATTCTAACCGAATACTCAGAATAAACGTTCAATTCATATTGATTCAATTCTTTCTGAATGTGGCCTCTCAAACTCCTGATATACACATGTAGTTCCCGCGGGTTGAATGACCAAATGTCTATCCTAAGCCTTCATAGGGTACAACCAGCTGATCTTACCCTTCATTGCCTCTTCCTTTGGAACATAATCCAAAACCTGTCCCTTGCGAAACTCAGGCGCCATAACGTACCGCATGAATAAGTCCTCCACAAGGCTAGGAAGAACTAAATACCGCGAAATAATATAGTACCAGGTGTTGTGCCAGGCGTGCATACGCGTCTCAAATCCAGATTTCCAAACATCGCCCTTGAGTGAGCATAGAGAACTCATTCGAACTGCCTTGTACTCCTCAAAAATCTGTGTGAGGATTGTGGCACTTGGGCTGTCGTTAGGAGCTGAATTGATGGCCTTCCGAAGACTGTTACAGAGCACCACCACATCTTGGACGCCATTATTGAATCCAAGCCCCAGGTGCGTGGTCATCTTGTGGCATGCATCACCCACAAGCACAATCCTTCCTAGACTCCAGTGCTGCACGATTCCCTCCTCCAGGTTCGTCAGACCCGCCCCTAACATTCGTGGCCAAACATCTTTCACCTTCACAGTCCTTGTCAGGGGAAACTCCAAAAACTCCTGGGCCACGGACTCAACATCCTCGTAGGTGTAAGCTGTGCGCTCTTTTTTAGGCTTTGGGAGTCTCTTATACAAGAAGAACCATCCGCGATCGGGACTGCTGAAGTACATGATAGCCTTGTTCTCTGACTGAATGTCGTACCCGAAACCTGATGTAGAAGGTGACGGGAATGCACCGTATAGAAGCTGGTAGGTTGCTATATAGGGTTGCTCAGAGTCCCATGCTCGTGTGGGGTTCTCCTTCAGAGCGAGCGTGCGCATTAACTGGCGAGTTTTACTGTGAACGCCGTCGGCACCGATCACAATCGATCCCTCAAAAGTGCTACCATCGGCGCAGGTCACTTTGACCCCATCTGGCTTCATCTCGATGTCGACTAGTTTCTTGTCCGTTAAGATCTTCTCTTTCACAGCAGGCGGAAGGCCGTTGTACATAATCTCGATTAACTCGGCACGGTGGAACGCAACCGGCCCATAACCATGACTGATCTTGTCAGAATATATGTGAGAGGAGGAGCGATACAGATGGCAAGGAGAATGGTACATAGTGTAAGACTTCAAACTCACTTCTCGCGTAGTCGGGTATATCTAGTACCCTCATTAAATACATGTCCTTCAGCCGTAAACGACAGATGGTGACGCAACTCAGCGCCCCGAGATAGCAAATCCTCTAGAATACCGAATTGATGCAGAACCCGGAATGTGTGAGGATGAACAATAAGACTAGCGCCTTTATCTTCCACCACAGTAGGCCTGCGCTCTAGGACGAGGAAGTCAATGCCAGCCAGGTAAAGTGCGTGGGCAGCTGCGAGCCCTATCGGACCTCCGCCCACAACTATCACTTTGAACGCGTTGCTCCGGTTCACCATCTCGTGTTTCTTAATACAGGAATGGTAAATGAATTAGATGTTTTGTTCAAAATGGTAGGGGATACTTTAATGATTTCCATCCACAAAAGCTTCTCATCCACCATCACTTGAAACGCCAGATTAATCCGAGGGATGCTCGGTCGATTTGCATTGAGAATGTAGTTTCCTCAATAGCCAAAAGTAATTATGCCACCGCGGAAGTGTAATCGTGTGTGTTGTTGGGTCAGTCTCGTGTACCGACGCGGCAATTTACTATCCGAGCTCAGGGTTCTCCTCTCCTGTCGGCCACTGAAAATGTGAGATCCTCCGAAGAAGTTCCTCCGAAGGTACAGCAGCCCTAGGCCCACATATATCGTTCCATCACAATTTAAACATAGGAAATTTATTGAGATAAGACGCTATTTACTCCAGGCTCTTGATACATATGGATCGCTCCGAGGATTTACAACAAATGGCCGAGTTCTCACCCCTTGGTCCCTTAAACGAAATACATATTAGAATGTCAACCAGATTCATCCTACAGACTTGAGCCACTCCTCTGAGCCACTCCTTCTGCTGTCTCAATATACGGCCCCTGGCGAAAATATGTCCTCCAAGCGTGTTTCCGTGATTGTCATCGGAGGCTCCCATGCAGGCTTGGGAGTCAGCCACAAACTACTCCGACGGACCCCCAAAGTGTCAGTAACACTGGTCAACCCATCAGACGAATATTACTTCAATATCGCAACGCCCCGGTTTCTCGTGAAACCCGGGAGCCTACCACCGAGCAAATACCTCTACAACATACCCGATACCTTTAACGAATACCCCAAGGGTTCCTTCACTTTTGTTAAGGGACTTGTCACTAAAATAGACTATTTGACCAAGTCAGTATTAGTCACTACCGGCCAAAACTCCCCCACAAAGGACGACATTATGTCAATCACTTTCGATTATATAGTAATTGCATCCGGTAGCACAACGCCAGCTACAGTTGGGCGGGGCAGTCTGAAACTCCCCTTCAAGGCGACTGCATTTGAAGATACTAGGAAAGCTATTTCTGAGGCGCAGAAGAAGCTCCACGCGGCTACAAGAATTGTTATTGGGGGCGCAGGTCCGCTGGGGGTCGAACTCGCCGGAGAACTGGCCGAAGCATCAGGCTCGAAAAAGGTAATCATCCTAGTTTCGAAGACCCGTTCATTATTGGAAGGGGCAACGGAGACAGTACAAAGAACCGCCGAGTCACTCCTACGACGCAAGGGTGTCGAGATCCTGAAAAATATCAGAGTCAACCAGGTTGAGCAGGATCCTGAAACGGACAGGTGGACGGTAACACTATCCAGCGGTCGAAAAATCGCAGCAGATGAATATATCTCTACAACAGGAGTCATTCCAAACAACGACTTCATCCCAAAAAGCTTCTTAAATCACGACGGCTGGGTCAATGTGGACGAGCATCTCAGACTCGTGGAAGACGGAACCAGCCGAAGTGACACCTACGCAGTTGGTGACATCACCTGCCATCCTTATCGACTCCTCTCCAGGGTCTCACTACAAGGAGCGACCGTGGCGTCGAATATCGCTGCAAGTATCGCAAAAGACACTCGCCTCGCCACATATTCCGCCGAAGCTCAGAAGAAGATGATGGTAGTCCCTGTCGGACAGTCAACGGGTACAGGACACCTGGGCGGATGGACACTTTGGGGATGTCTCGTATGGTTCTTCAAGGGCAATGATTTCTTGACTTACGAAGCCCCAAAATTCCTGCGAGGCCAAAGGCGGTGATGAGTGATGCTGCCATGTATTATTTTGATGGAATGAGTTCTATGTCATCCATATTCGTTTGAAACGTTTAATTAAATCCTTAAATTATTCGAAAGTCTTACCCCTATACAGTATAGCCATTTGAAAATAATGATATTAAATCTTAAAGCATAATAATTTCAAAATATAACAAATTATCTTAGTTTTCTAAAATTAAAGTTATATACACTATTTTTTAATAAAATAAAGGAACCGCACTTCTAATCGAAATCCATTATAATTTCGTTCAAATAGATTGGTCAATCCGACAACTCTCTCTCAAATGCGAATGAGCGGAATATAGATTATTATTAGGTCAACATATAGCTATCTAAAGGGGAAGGCGGTGTGTCTCTCGTGTTTTAGGGGAGTTGACGCTTTCGTCACCCCACTGTGACCATTCTCTGAGAGGGCACTAAAATCAAGTGTGCCTGTTGAAGTCAAATGATCTGCTTCTTCGCTCGGCTTCAAAGTTTTGGGGCCAACTACTCCCTCCGTACGTAACAATAGTAAACACAACCCGGCGCTAGTCGCCGCCACAAAAGGATGAATACGAGGTGACGCGAATGAAAATTCCGCATCGGATTAAAAGTTCTATTAGTTTTAGCTTGAGTCTCTGATGGGAAGAGATAATATGCTGTTAAACGAGGGTAACTCGAAGCAAAGATATTCCAGCTGCCTTTCCTCGTCTCGTCATCTATCACCGTCTCTCTCCAACTTGATTTGAGTCAATACAAAATGCATGTAACGTTTGCAACTTTCGCTTTGTACATGTCCATTTCATTCGCACAATGGAATGGGATGGTTATTGAAAGACGCCACCTGGCGATCGGTCGCACACTGGAAGCGCGCCAGGATTTCAACTGTACGATGGAAAGCACTTGCTCCGAATGCTACGGTCCTGGAAACGTGCTTTGCAGTGATGCCGGCTGTTTTGACCCTTCTCAAAGCCAGCAATGTTGTGCAGATGGATGTATGACTTCCTCTTGGTCCACCTGGTCTACCCCTCTAACCTTGTGCAGCCTACTGCGTGGCAGCCAACAATAGCTGTTGCGGCAGCGTGGTGCGTTTTTTATCTCCAATCCGTCAAGCATCTTATCAAGTGAGAAGATGAAATGACAATCGATGCAGGGAGGGGGTGTTACAGGCACCGACGGCGCTGTGGCGACAACCGCATATAACGCGTATTTTAGCTCGTTGACAGCCTCGACCAACACGGCTGTGCCATGTTTGCCAACCGACACTAATGAAGAATGCTGTCAAAAGGTGGGAACGTACATCAAGTGGTGCGCTGGCGACTGGCCCAATCAGTCGTGCTATAATCCGAATTCTCAGACTTGTTGCAGTGATGGGGTTGTTTGTTCTGGTCAGAACTGCTGCAGCTTGGTGGTAAGTGGATCCTAATTGCTCTGTTACTGCAGCTATACAATATCTTTCTAATTGATGAACCCAACATATAGAGTGCAGTGGCGACCACCCCCAACCCAACGCAAGCGACAGCACCTCCCAGTTCCTCTATCTCGAGTATTGCTGCAAGCACAATCTTCACGCCATCAACAACGGCCACGGCCACGGCTACGGCTGCGTCTAGTACTCACACCGGCGGAGCAAATAGCATGGACTCGACTTTAAAAGGCTCTATCTGCATAGCGATCGCTGCTATACTCGCTACAGTAGCACTTTAGATAGTTTGACGGAAGTTAGAGGGAGCGGCCGTGTTTGGGAGCATGAAATTGAAGTAGCAGCTATTACACGCTGAGTTCTCCGTAGTTTCTTCGAGTAATAATACTACTAAGGACATTATCCCTGTCTTCATCGAATTACTTTACTTTGTTCTTCACTTCCTGCTGCTGCGAGTCTAGCCTTTCCTTGGGAGGGGTCACGACCAGTCGCGACCATTGTAGACTCCGCTGTTTCATTCATTTCTACGCCTCCGCTTGAATCAGTTGTATCAGTTTTTGTGTCAGGTTGGTGATCCTCATCATCTCCAAAAATACCATCACTTGTAATCCTAACTTTTCGATCCTGGACGTCACGGACCCATTCCTTTGAAGCCGCATCACTCTCCTTCGGCCACAACAGGAGAGCCATTATTCTTCCAGCAGCAGTAGCATCAAGTAAACGGCGCATTCTCTGAGATCCGGTTCTATGCAGCACCAGGAGGACCACCAGAGTGGATATTAGAGCCAGAACGATACTAAGAACCACAATTGCCGGAACCGCATACGGTATTCGGTAGCGAATACTACTCTGGTAAAGCGTGATTGGCACTAAAGTAGTCGAAGGAGGAGTACTATCTTGTGTCGTAGATCCATTTGGAATGAATAAATTCGAGTTCGCCTCCGATACCGCATTCAGTCCCCATCCTTTGGTGCCTACCACGAGGCTGGCGGCTAGATCAGTCCAGATTAGATTGATTATTCCTGCGGTGCCTTCAAGAGATTGGGACATATTTTGCCATTTGGCGAACAAGGCAAGGCTGGTACGTCCTGTATAGTCGGGTAACTGAGCTGCGTAGTTCCTTGTTCCGATAGGAAAAACATTCAGCGCACTGAATAAAGCCTGTTGATAGAATGTCACCCCGGGAAAATTGTAAATACTAGTACTCATATCGTTAGGACCATTCAAGAGGCTATAATAACTGTCCATATAACCTGGTAGATACAGACTCTCTGCGACGACTGTAGACATGTTGTATGATGAAGATGATAGGCTAGCACTCGAGTTCGATGTTCCTACCACTCCCCATGCTGGCTTTGCGTCGTTTATGGAGAAATCGTCAAGATTTTCGACTGCCCAGCGAGGAAGTTCGGAGACATTCTGGTAAACCTTGGGAACCGCGGAACTCACGGTAAGTGCTGGGAGGCCCGTCCCGTTGTATTGGAAGGTAACTGCTCGGACAGTGCTTTTAAGAGCACTCGCGCAGCTGTGGATTGGCACAGACCACTGCGACCCTTGGTCTGGAATCAGATTATTCCCGCCGTCTGTTCGATAAGCAGCGCCGTAAAGGAGAGCACAGCCTACTATACTGGTGTCAATACTGGCGGGGCTGTCATATGCCGACCCCCCACACATCTGGTCTGGAGAAAAACGCGGAAATCAGTACTGAGCCGATTTTCGGAAACTCTAATTCAGGATACTCACTAATGGCTGCAAATTCATCTACACCAACCCCATTAACCGGATTGACAGTTGTGTTCGATTGGTTAAATGGAAGATACCACCCATATGTCATATTTGTCCAGACATATTGGAAAGCATCAAACACCAAGGCCGGGGTAGATGATAGAAAAGGAAATACTTGCCCATCTTTCACATCCATACGAGTGATATTCCCCGGGTCTGGATCTGTTCCGTTGTAATACGCCAAGGTCAGAAAATTGTTGAGCCACGCAGCCTTGTATGCACGATCTGCCAAGCCGAGATCCCCTTGCCCGTTTATAGATGCGTTAAGTGATGGTGCGGGACGCTGCAGCTTGGAAAAGCCTCCGCGGTCGGTTATTACTGGATTTACCATATTTGGGAGAGGATAGGAGTCGCGATAATCAACTCCGAAATCAATCGTCCAGTTCAAATTCACGCATTCGGTTTCGGGTTCAATGAACAGTATATCCTCTTGCCAGGTGCTTCCGTAGGTGCTCGTTAACGCCGGGCCGGTATGGTTGCGAAAGCCAATTCCTCCAGTCTCCATATCTACAATGAGTCCTTCGACCAGTTGGATATTTTCGTCAAGAATCAGGATCGATAGCGGTCGGACGTTTCCTACCAAATATTGACTCGTGTCATTTATACTCAAATATGTTCGCCATTGTATGTCAAATATGCTCGATACCGAAGGACTGAAAGCGGCCGCACCGTCGCGGAATAGATTCCGTAGATCTATAGGTATTCTAGCGTCAGTTGTTGAGTTGCATGTTGTAAGCAGCCCTGTTGTTGAACAGTTCTGACTCGTCGAAGCGCCGGGACAGGCTCCCGAGGCACAGCGTCGAGTAAATGGTGCATTAGGCCTTAGAGGTGTGCCATGGCCAAAGGCCGATATGTCCTGAAAATACGAGAACGATGTCGTAGTTTGCGAAGAGGCGGGCTCGATGGTCTCATACAACCCTAGCGGTGTGACAATCGATGCAATTGATATTATGCCTAAGGCTACGGTCTGCAAATTCGAAGTGAACCAGATCCGCTTTTCGACCCGCGATGAGGCGGCGGTCTCCGTTCTCAGGATGGTAGGCCAGTGTGAAGAATGCAATAGTCGTCCTAGGACTGACCTGCAGGATAGAATGTCAACAAGAGCAAGAAAAGGAATGCTTTGGCAAACAATCAGGAATACCAACCATGTAATCACAGAATTTGTATCACTCACAAAAGCAGCTAAGATAACCGGAATCGCCAGCGGGGGAAACAACTGCACTGATGATCAATTTTAGCATTTCCATAAACAGCACTTTGCACATCGCCAGCTTACAAACAAACACCGCTGCAGCGATCATGCCCGACACGTCGCCAACTGTAAGAGACACCATTGCGTCTTGAGTACGGTAGTCTCAAATGCACTCAGCAGTGACATTTTCAGAAATATGTTTTATTATCTGAACGACGAAGCGCTCAAGTGCGGCTGGCGGACACGGACCAGTACGATGCCGTCCATCTCGTGTTTAGGAATTATAGCTTAGGGCTAATGGCGCCTCCATGCACGAATACGAGCTTATCCGAGCAGACACGGCAGGCAGCGCTCCCAGATCATTAATTAGCTAGACCAATCCATTGTGGGCAAGCCAGCGAACAACAATCGTAGCAAACTGAAGAATGAATTGCCGCGTTTTTACCATGCCATTACCTCAAGCGCATTAACTTAATCTTTTGATAAATATCTTTTTAAAAATCATAATTTAATATATTAATACTTAAAAATTAATAAAAAAGGAGTTTTGAAGCCAATTATTATGACATAATACGACAGAGCTTAAATTAAAAATGCTTGAAATACGAGCAGGAATTAGATTCACACGAAGTCGGAAGCATCTGCCTAGCACAGCCACTCACCCACCAGCAAGTGTTCCATTGCGGTCATATATCCAGCACCAAGAAGGGAGTCAGAACAAACAAGCAGATTTCAACTCCTGTAAAATGAACCGATCAACTGAGCTTGAGTTTTTGGACCTCCACCCGTTCGTGCGCCAGACGGCTCTGGATCGGGTGCGCGGCACGATCTTTGGCGGTGCGTTAGGCGATGCAATTGGATTGTATACTGGTCTGTCACCATTTTTTCAGTGGAATTATTTAATTCTAATTTTTCCAGAGTTCCTATCAAGAGATCTGTGTCTAGCAGCATACCCCGAAGGAAAGTTTCAGTTGGTTGAGCCCGCCACGGAGCTCCATAATGATGGACATCGAAGTAGGTCTTTTATCTTGACTGTGTAGATTTGTTCACTAACAGCTACTAGACAAGTTTGTACAGGTGAGCATTATATTTAACGAAAAATCGGATGTCGTTAATGAGACTAGACCGGCTGGACGGATGACACAGACCATGCCCTCCTTATTATGTTATCATACCTTCACAGCAATGGCCAAAGCCTAGATCCATCCGACCTTGCTCATCGTTTGCAGTTCTGGTGTGAGCAAGGTCTTCGCTGTTTAGATAGGCCACCACTAGGCCTAGGCCGGACGGTGGGAAGGGCATGCTCTCAACCTTGACCATATTAAACTTCTATCTTCTGACTCAATCCTAGGTTGTCTGCGACCCAAGTTTTCGGGAAGACGCTGCAGCAACGGCTCACCGTCACTGGAAAAACTCAAACTATACTGCTGCACCGAATGGATCTTTGATGAGGACCTATCCACTGGGCGTTATATGCCTCGGCAAGAAATTGGACGAGACATTTCAGATTGCCACTGATTTCTCCCGCATCACACATGCTGACCCACGCTGTATCGTGTCTTGCTGTTTAGCCACTGTACTTATTAGGGGCATTGTCAGAAGTGATGTACAGAACGAAAAGGATATCGATGCGCTGATAGAATCGTCCCTCTCGTGGATCCAGGGTTATATTATAAAGCAAACTCACACGCAGGATGCAGAGGAGCCATCGGATAATTATCCTCCATTTGATAGCGATGAATTCTACCGACATGTACGGGCAGAAACGCTGGAGGAGCTGCAGCTCGACGACGCTTTGAAAATGGGATACGTTTACAAATCTCTCGGGGCAGGTATTTTGCTCTTACGACTCGCATTACGCCGCATAGACTCCCAGGGCTTTCTAGAGAATTTATTTGAGGAACTTATAACCTCGCTGGTTATGCAAGGTGGGGACGCAGATACCAATGCGTCCGTTGCTGGGCCTTTGCTAGGGGCTTTGTTCGGCTTCAATATGCTCCCCGGGAAATGGAAATATGGCATGATGCACGCTGGGTGGTTATTCCAGAAATGCAATTCTCTAGCATCCGTATCGGGTATCTACCTTCCCCCATCGCCGTACAACGGGCAAGCAGATTCGGATACTGGTGTAGAGGGCGGAAAGCCTCCGTTGACAAAAGAAGAGTTATATCAACGAGAACGCGAGTTTGTCGAACAATACTTTAATAAATCCCAGAAAAGGGCAAATGAGAATAAAACGTACACCGGATGGGTGGGTAAACTGTTGGGGAAATGAATTAAGAGTAGCAGAGCAGCTTTCGGTTTTCCTTTGGAGGGGGGTTATTAAAGCCAAATGAGTCAATTGCCGTCACGGAAAATGAATTTCGGCGATAGTCATCAGCTTCCTTTTGTTTTTGTCAAAGCTTTTTTTGAGAACCTAGATTAATGACCATATTTCGCTACTACGCGACAGGATCTACGTGTCGGTGAAGGCCCACAACTGCGTTGATTGGCTGAGTAGACTTCAAGTTTCTACCAAAGGTTGTGTTTACCTACTCTTCAGGCCAAGCTCTAAGGGTCAAATAATCACGCATAACTCTCGCGCCGAAAGTATACGAGAAGATGAATATGACATGGCTCATAGAGGGGCAGGATTCTAACACACTAAAGCTTTGATCTCTCGAGACGACAAAGCTAAATAGGACCAGAAAACCTAGGACCTGGTTGTGTTCCTCAAAGACCAATACTTCCCTCCTGTGTTCCAGGTCAAATTCTGTACCTTCGCCAGTGTTACGTCGCATGTAATGAGTAGCTCAGAGGGCTCTGTAACAGTTAGAAGTGATACTATAACACCTCTCTTATTCGTATTTAATTCAACTTGCTGCATCAGTTGTAAATTAATCGATTATCTCGCCAAGACAGTTATGTGCCCAAGAAGGTATTTGGGATTCTTCCACATCGGCGTTTTTTTGAACCGCTTTTTCAGATCCATCAATAGGTATTTCCACCCTTTCTTGGTTCTACAATCCTTTCACTGCAAAGCTTCCTATTTTAGGAACCCTTTTCGTCCCTATGAGTACTACAGTATATTTCTCTATTAACGTAACGCCTGGTTTTAAGGGCCTTTTTGATATTGTTGTTTACCGCACCCACCCAGCTCAATTCTTTTCATCATTCACGAATTTGTATTAAAAAGCCAGAGTGCCTACGTCAGTCTTCCTCGTCATCCAGTCTTCCTATTACTTCTCCAAGTCCGTGTTCAATCTTCTCCGTTTTTCGATTATTCGATTGTTAGCGATACCACAGTCGAGAGGTTCCGTTCGCCACATCCTTCTAATTCAGGATTTCCCCGCACTAAACAGACAGACAGTTTATGAATACGAGCAACCAGTAGCACAGACCTCTAGGCAGCGATTTCAGGCAGCGATCACATGATGACGCGTTTCATTCGCGATTCTCTACAATCCTGTCTCGTTCCATTGTTCTAAAAGCGAGTTCATATTTTCTTGATAAGATTTTATGTCACTGAGAATCTACAACGATAACATATGAAAAGATGGAGAGCGAAAATAGTATAAGTCTCAATGCGCAGTGCTACTGCAAATCTCTCCATTTCACTCTCACGCTTCCCACCTCCGCTCTCCCTCTGTCAGTTCATCTTTGCCATTGCAGTGTTTGCCGATATACCCATGGTACCATGTGTATTTTCCACGCTCCATTGCCAGCGAACGTCGCTCCTCAATTTGTCACTCCATCGGGTCTCGACAAGCTGACAGCCTACACATGGCCCGGGGGCAAGGGCATACGGTATTTTTGTTCCACGTGCGGATGTCATATGGGTGATGTCTCCCCTGACGATGGTACGTGGGTAATATCCACGTCTTTCTTCGCAAAAGACGAATCCATTTTTCAAATCAAGACACACGTCTTTACCGAGTCTGCTTTGGGTGGAGGTTTGAATGATTGGCTTCCCCAGATTGGGAATCGGAAAATGAAAACATGGAATCCGGACGACGGCTCTGCAGTTCCTGTTCAGCCACAGATTGAACATGGAGCTGATGGTCAGGAGGATCGTCTCCGAGCTCAATGCCATTGCGGTGGCGTCTCGTTCACCATTCCCCGCCCAAATAAAGAAGTGCTAACTAATCCTGCCATGAAATCATTTGTCTCCCCGATCGACAAAACCAAATGGGTTGCCTGTCTCGACATGTGTGACGACTGTCGGCTGACTACCGGGTCACACCTTGTAGCATGGACATTTATCCCTTTGGATCAATGCGAACCGAAAATCAAGCCGGATCTCCTGATAGGAACAAGCAAGACGTTCAGATCCTCTACCGATGTCCTCCGATCATTTTGCGGTCAGTGTGGGGCTACTGTATTTTTCTCATATGCAAAAGAGGCCAAAAATATTGCGGATGTTGCTGTTGGCATTCTGAGAGCACCCGAGGGTGTCAAGGCGGAAAATTGGTTGACATGGCGGACCGGTCGTATTGCATGGTATAAGAGCGGCTTGCGGTACGACGAGGCATTAGCAATGTCGTTGAGTCAAGGTTTGGCAGACTGGGGAATGGTAAAGTATGGTCAAAATCTGGATTTTGAGATTGGTTCCTAGTCTCTCAGATCAATTTATGTTTGAATTTGTCATCTATATGCAAAAACCCAAACAGCCATATTTTGTTCATGCATATCTTTCTGTAAACACATAGTTCTGTGAATAGTTTTGCAGACATCTAAGAAATGGCAGCCCATATGTGAGACATGGAATCATGACAAGGAAAGACAAAAAACAACCCATAGCTCAAATCAAATTCTTGAAATTCCAGGATCCATGCTACTCTTTAAGGGTCGATTTCCTCGTGCATCTCCGAACTGACTTTTGGCCCTCAGTTTGTCGCCATAGGAAACAGAAAAGAAATTCTGGCAATGCAACGTAGGTTTTCCTAGTATACTGGTGCTAGATCAATGCTAGGCTGTACTACATTGGCCGTGAAAACGTGACAACAGCAAAAATTAGTGACAAGCTCGTAAAGCCATTGCCTATAAACATTAATGCCGTATATTGTGGATATATCTATGATAGATAGACAGCGTTGTATTGCATGAGAATGAACATACCGAGAGTGAAGAGAAGGATACCTATAACACTGGCAATTTAGTGAAAACCTCCGTCACCTGTCCATGCAAAAATTTAGAACCAGCTGGTGTAGGAAAGAAGGAAATATCGCAGATATCAACCTCTGCTCTGGAGTTCCAGAACTGCAAGCGAAGATAGCAGCTTCTAAAATCCAGTAAAGGTGACTATAATTCGCAATAATACAATGAACTGTGCCAAGTGAAATGGATAGGATGGTTGAGCCCATCTGGGGAACGTCAAAATCGTAAAGGTCCATATTAGCCGCCAGGAAGACATCGAAGAAACCGTACTAGAGCCGTAGCAGGGATTGATATAAGCTACTATATATCCAATAGCCGGATCCATGATCGTAAATTACACCTGCTTAACCAGCACCTTGAAGAAGTCGCCTTCGGCTTAGTTTTGGATTCATTAAAATCAGACAGAGCCTCAAGGTTATTGATACATGATACCTACAATTAATGTTCTCCTCGTGGCATTCAATGCATTTATAAAACGTGCTAAATATCTGACCACAAACACAGGTCTATTTTCTGTCTGAAATCTTACAGCTACAAGCCCCGAAGCAAATGGATGGCTCTTGCTACCACCTGCAATTGGATCTTCAACTTTTTCATCATGTAAAGCAAGCAAGCAAGCCTTTACCATCCGCACCACTTTATTAATCTAATGAGGTGAGTATTACTTAAATAATTAAATTGGTTCGAAAATATATCATCATCTAAATCCTTACATCTAGCCTCGCGTTCATCCTAACCATCCTCGCATCATCTAGAGTGGGCTATTGGTGCAAAGCAGTACACATATGTAGCCCTATATATAATATAATATAGTAACATATGAAACCTATAAAGGCGATACTTACTGGCTGCCTATCTGGAATCCTTCTAACCAGACACAATTTATAATACGCCTTTTCAGCACACTTTTCTCGTATGGTGACCAAAGTAAACAGATGAAGAGAGTTTCTTAGCCTAGTAGTAACATGGTAATCTCCAAAAATGTTAGGATAAGGTTGCCCTTGAAAATCAATTATCAGTTCCAATCAAAAGAAAGTCTGTACGGACGGAGGCACAATATAGTATTATCAAACACTATGAAAAATCCGATAATTGCATTCTAGATAGCTTGAGAGATGAAAGAAAGCAACGTTACAAAAAGCCCCTCAAGGCCACAAGAGTTGAAAATTCTAACAATCGCTTGTACTATCCTTCTCATGAGAGTTGATACTGGTGTTGCGCCTTCAGGGAATCGGCGTGATGCCCTTCAGGGTAAACACATCACTCAAATCTTCCATGTCGCCTTCATATGCATAAGTAAGGAGGTCTCATATACTCGAAATGAGATATGGCGTATTGCAGGATTTCGCAACAAAAGCTCTTCAAGATTACTAATGGTGTCAGAATCTTCGATTACGCCTCGGATGCCATTATCGAAAAAATGATCACTCCTCCAAACTTACGAAGAAAGTTTGAATCTAACTTTTCAACTTGATGTATAATTCATTTCTTATTTAATAACCCCACAATATAACCTTCATCTACGAACATGATTTCCTTAGACACGATTGTATATTTGTGACCTAGGTAAAAAAATATGACATCTATACTCCTAAGCTCGATCCGACCATCCCACTGATATGTTATTATATTAATATAAACATGGTCTCTGATATAGTAAATCGGTACCGCAGTCAATTACCATTCTGTACGATATTGCGTGGATTTACACCTGCAGTTTAGGCCCATGGTATTTGCTCAGTGGAACATCCAACACGGCGGTAGCCTCAATGCCTGTTCTCTTCGGGTATCCATCGAAGGACCGAGCGTACGTTGCAACAGAGTGTGCGACAAGCTGTAAAGAAGAAACAAGTGAGCACAAAGCGTTCCATAAATAACCAAGGGATCACATACCTTTGTGTTCAACTCCCAAGCAGTCAGGTTGACGTTGCCCACGTCATCGCAGAGTTGGTGATAGCAGGGATCATACCAGTCACCAGCGACACCACCAAATACCTGCCGTTCCTTCTCTGTCTTGACACCTTCCGCACCAGTAGCAATACCGCCGCCTGGAATACCATGTTTAATGAAAGCATCATAGTCACTTCTGCCATCGAAGGGAATATAAGTGAAGTTCAAACCTTTGGAAGTGTAGAATTCAGTATAGAGATCACGTAGCTCCTCGGAGCCAACGGGGTTCAAGGAATTGGTGGCATTGTAGACTTGGTAGGCGAAGTTGGGCGACGCGAGCATATCATAGTCCATGAAAAGGCGAATCTTCAAATTTTCCTCAGGTGATAGAACAGAGACATAGTAGTCTGATCCAAGTAGTCCTTCCTCTTCACCCGCCCACCAAGCAAAACGCACACAATTGTTAACCCGATAATTTACAAGTTGGGTGGCGACCTCGAGAAGAGTAAGAGAACCAGATCCATCGTCGTTAATGCCAGGTCCCTCCGTAACGCTGTCGCTGTGACCACCCAGCATGACACAGTTTTCAGGATCGCCTTCTTTAGTCTGTGCGATAATGTTGGTAGTCTCGATGCTCTCGACAATAGCGTCAATGTAGGCGCTGGCCTGGACCTCCTCTCCATCTTTCAACTTCTTGATATACAGTGCGGCATCGCTATCCGAAATTGAGAAAGTAGCAATGTGGTCAGGGGACGGTGTACCTAAAGTTCCACCTAGTGCGCCTTTTTCATTGTTGTAAATAACAGCGGCGATGGCGCCGGCTCTTCCAGCCAAAGAGGACTTGGTACCAAACGGACAGTCACCACGGCTAATGAGTGCAATCTTACTAGTTAGATCCAGGTAATCTGATGCGTCACATCCAAAATTTGACACAAGAGCCAGTGGCCCAAAGACTGGCTGCTTCTTCTTGGTTGGAGGAGTCAAGCTCATCGCAATAGCTGATTGTGGAACTTCACTCCCTAAGACTAACCGGGATTCGAAAACATTTCCAACTACCGCAGGGAATGACTGGTTGGATAAAGTGTAGTAATCACCCAATTGAGCAATGGTAGAGTAGATATAATCAATGGTGCCGAGGTGTCCTATGGCCACATAAGCGAGTGCTTCAAAGAGAACGGCTAGAAAAGCGATACCTTTGCTTCCAATGACTCTAGTTGGATGGTTGTACTCATCTTCTCCTAGCTGAGCAATGCTGTAGAGCGTATTGGCTCGTTCTAATAGGTTGTCTACATGAATACGGTCCTGGAGCGACTTGGAGCTGATCAGCTCCTTCGCGGTTAAATGCGTCTGAGATAGGGAGGATGTTTCGAAAAGAGGAAGTTGTGACGCGAAGGCTTCTCCAAGAACAATGAGGGCGATGGATAAGTAAGAAGGCGCCATGTTAGGACAGTCAATGCCTGTTATTGAATGAAACATAAATGTAGAGAGATGTTTGTTGTGGTAGATTGAAGTCGAAGTTGAAGACGTGATTGGCGCTCTCCCGAACATGGTTTAGTCGTGTTTGGTTATCTTGGGTGGGTCCCTCACATGACACGATTTTTTGTTAGACTTAACAACAGTTAAGGAAGGACCTATTAGATCTATTTTTCCTAACAGATTGTTAATCGTACTAATCATTTTTAAGAAAGTTGAAAACTTTTTAAAAATAAACTGTGTGAAATGTGCAAAGTGTGTCTATTTGTGTGATTCCTACTTTCTTTTTTGTTCTCGGGATCTGCGGTTCAACTTTTGGGATTCCCGCTCCAAGGCCTCACCGAGTCCGAATATCCTGTACCTCAGATTCAAATTCATTCATCTCTAGCTCATCGTCTTTTCCAAAAGATTCCCCGTGTGTCTAGGGCACCCTAATTCCAATTAATTGTCAGCAATAATTGTTTACCTCTTCCCAACATAATTTTTAAATTAATGATATGAGGTTTCAAAATGGGGGTTTCCCGGTCATACCACTTGATTGGGAAGTTGGCTTTCGATTATAACCGAGCGTAGAGAATAGAATGGAAAGTACCTTGCGGCTCTATAAAGTAGCTCAACATACATATTCATGACTTCCATGTCCCGCTGCCCTCGAAATATCTTCTGGTAAAAATATAATGACAAGATTACAGCCTATAGCACAAAAAACTGATTTCTTGTTAAGTATTATTGGTATTGACTAAATCTAAGAATGGGTGGAGATCAAGGATCAGGAGACGAAGGTGTATGTAATCTGCCAATGTAGAAGTGCTTAATTATAGAAATGCCTGGTCTATTGATATCAAGCAACCCTTTCGTTCTAGAAATATCCGTGGTTTTTTCTGTAATCGATCTGGTGGTGTCTTAATATAAACAGAAAGTTTCCATATAAATAGACGCGATAAAGTTCTGATTTATTTTAGCAAATCATAATTAACCTATGTACCGAATTTTGAAGCGCAACATTCTTCTAAATTATATAAGTGGTAATGAGCTCGATTGAAGTACTAGAATATATATGTATAGGAATTTTTATGTGAAGACAAATTCCATTCAGATTTAGCCGGATGCATTCTATCCTATGCCCGGAATGTGGGAAATATCCCATATTTGAGTTAGGATTAGAAGAATATTACGTCACGTAGTATTTGAATCATGCATGATTAGTTAGTCAATTATTTTTTCAATTGAAAGGCCACTATTTTGTCAAATTCAAGATCTTTTTCATTTGACCAGTTATGGACCTCAGCACAACTATCGCCAAATCATGCATGAAGGGTCTTGTCGTCTGAAAACAATGCTACTGAGATTCCTGTCAATGCAATAACTACGTGGCTGCTATCACCCAGATTATACTAAAACTTCCATAGACATTCGTGGTATCAGAGTAGCACAAGCCCAAAACAGGCTGCTTGGTTAATTACCAATATATAGAATGACCAATACAGACTATTTACAAGTCTCTATAACACCACCCTCCGGTACAGTAGCTAGCAGTCGGCGGGTCCGGGATCTGGTTCGGCGATATGGCGCATCATCCCTTGTAAAATACAACTGCGGGCGATATAAGTGGCAAATCCTTCGAAAAGCCTGTTTGGTTGTGTCTAGTTCCAGTGCAGCACTGTTACGGCTTCCGTCCGCTCCGTATATACCATCTACTTAAGCAATTGATACTACCACAGCATATGCCTGGCTTCTTAACAGTGAACGATGACAACCTGTATTTGGGCCCTGAAACAAACTGTATGAACAGAATTGATACCGGAAGTGAAAGGCTCTCTCCAGGAAATTAATCATGCGCTTGAAGTAGGTGTATCAGGGTTTGTGGTCATGACCAATGCCAAAGTCTACTCTATGGGTGATCGGCGACTTGACCCGAGTTCAAATATAAATCAGAGAAAAACGGTTATATTCATGCATCCGACTTAACGCTTCTCTCCTGATAGCCTGATGGCTGACCAGCCCCAGCACAGTATCCGACATCGGTGATGGATTATCTTTTTGGTACGACAAGGGCTGTGGAACTGGCTTCTCTCAGGGACAGTAACAAAGTGCACTAACCTGAAATTCTTGTTGGCTCACTATGGTGCTACTCTTCCTCCTCTCATAGAGTGGTTTACGGCCTTCTCAAACAGATTGATGGAGCCTAGTGGCACATTGACTGTGGAGCGCGTCAAGGAGCTTTTCGTATTCGCTTCTTTTTTGATCTTGCTGGCATGCCATTCCCAGGTCTTATTGATAGATATATGAGAAAAGGAGAGCCAAATCGTCTATTTTATGACTGTGATTACCATTATGCCCCTGGGGTAGTTTTGGAGAGCCTGGGCAAGTGACAGACGCTGAGTCGACGGCGACGTATGAAGGGAATCCGGCTCGAACGGCCTTGTCTGGAAATGCTTATGAATTGAATCTCTGGTTGTTCCCTAAATATACAAACTAGAACTCTTAATAATACTGGGAAAGACGTAGTCGGAGCTACGAGAACTTCAATTGTGGTTGAGAGAATTATTCGCCTTTCTTTTTTGAACACCAAAACTTTGATTAAATTCTGAAGAGAATGTAGTATAGAATAGAACATTTGAATTGCCCCCGCCATCAATTGAGGATCTATGAGATCCACCATTCCGAAGCCCTCCTTGGAGGGATAGACGTTCTTTGTGTCAACTGGTACCTTGAGCTATATATTGTATGTAGCACTGACCTATGGCTTCATGTACCTAGAAAAATTTCTTATTGATTATTACACCTAGGCTGTCATGGCGTCCAGGCGGTTGCAGATAGCGCGAAATTCGTCTCATAAAGTCAATAATAACCTCCGCGACGTAAGACGACGGGGTGGCCAAGGCAGGGTGAAGGCCGGATCCGAATCGGCGGATATTGTTTGGATTGACACAAAACGAGTCACATGGCGGCGGCAGACCTAATCAACTCAAGGGAACTTGGGAAGGGATAAGCACTAGACCGAGAACAGGCGCCAAGCCGACGCTCCTGGCTCAGAGCTAGCATGATTGTTTGTATTAATAACATTGTAATAATAATATACCATTGTTGATGATAATATTAAATGGCGGGGAAAATTTGCTCGGGTAGCCACCGGGGCAATTTACCACCCAGGTGTTTTGTTTGCCTTGCTAATCATGTGTGAGCACAGTGCCAGCACTGCATACGAATGGGGACCGCCGACAATGCTGACTGTAAGACTTGGCAGCAAACTGGTGCTGTGGCATGTGACCGTCACTGGGCATTCCGGATCTAGATCTGTGTCACGGTGAGAATCCTTCTGCCACGCAGAGGCGGGACAGTGTATCACCAAATGTACGATTATTACAACTGGTATTATTCTCGATCCTTCGGTTGAAAAAGTTGAACCAGTGTGACAAACACATGGCTGTGGACCCACATTCCACCTGGGCGGTAGGGCAGGCTTGTGCCTTAAACTTTAAGTCTTATAAGCCTTGTCTTGGGTCTTGGGTCTTGAGTCTTTGTGCTCTGCAATTCCTATTATGACTATGATAATTTCTTACTGTTGGCGAGTGGCGCAAGACCGAGTACGCCGTGCTGCGACGCATGGCGAAGACACGATGTTGTGTACACCAGAGAAGGCTGGCGAGAGGACGGACGGACGCATGACGTAGGCGCCCGGTTTAACGGCGCCTTGCTGTTGTGGAGGCATCGCAATAATGAAAACGGTCACGTGTCTCGCAGAAAGGGAGGAAAAACCACTACGATGGAAGCAGTAATTGATTAATTGTAATTCTTAACCTTGCCAGAGGTCACGCCAAAACGCCATGTCAGCCACTCCAGCCAGGCCGAAATCGATGCTCAACTGGTTGTTTCGGGCCCGTTCATTGGCGGCGGCGACTCCGACTCCGCCGGCCGGGCACGCTTGGGGCGTCTGCGGCGCTCATTAGCGGCGCGCATCAGCGCCACCAATTCATGTTTTCTCGAAAGAACAGCCCCATAGCGCTCGGGCTCATAGGCCAATGAGCGCCTGTGTGAGTAACTAGACCGTCCTTCCACGGCTGCAATTGGACAGCCGGCAACAACTAAGCAACTAAGGATTAGTGCAACTATGGATGAGAAGGATTAGTACTCTCTAGTGCTGCTACCCTGTTGCGCCCGCCAATCATGGGCATGGCGGGGAGAAAGCTGTTGGTTGTCAGTCCAGACTGAGGAGTCGGACTAGCACAATGTGCAGTGGGGACTGGGGACTGGGGACTGGCCTGGGGTTGAATCTGGAGAGCACAAAGACGCGGCAGAGGCAGGCGCACGCAATAGCAGGACGCGGTCGGACATGGCCTGACCTCCAGCCCCTGCAACTAAATCCCTTTAAATAATCATACAAGGACTCCCCAAGATCTTCACTCTCCTTGCTTCTTTCTTCACCCACCCTCCTTCCCTCACGCGTGCCTCGTGGAAACATGGCTCCATCCAAAGCAGATGTCAACCCCGTGGGGTCGGCCGACAAGTAAGACTGCCGAATCCTTGCCGTACTATACAGATCAATCTGTGCATGAGACTGACGATGATCTTCATCAACTTCCTAGGAGCGTCGCCGGCCATAATGAAGAAGGCTTTGAAGTCCACCACGTCAATTTGAACGCCAATGTCACTGCCGAGTAAGTCTGCATGTGCCCCATCACCTTGGTTTTTTCTTCTTCTTTTATCTACACGCGTGCTTCCGAGGCTGACGAAACCCCATTGAAAAGGATCGAGAACCCCCTGGCCCGAATTCCTCGCTCGGTCCTGCTTGCCAATGTCGACAGGTTTGCCGTGGAGAAGAACCTGACTGAATATACCGATCTGCTGAAGAAAGGTGCTCTGGTTGCACAAGACCCGACTAATTACGAGGCCATATCAGGTCAGTTCGCTCTGACTGATGTAGAGCTCCAGGACCTTCACACCGAGGTCACTCATAAATGGCGCCACCCGGCAATGTTGTATTTCACCATTATTCTCTGTTCAATCGGCGCTGCCGTCCAGGGTTGGGATCAGACCGGCTCCAATGGTGCCAACCTGTCTTTCCCTGATGTCTTTGGAATTGGTGGTACTAGCAATCACGACACATTGCTCGTCGGCTTGGTGAACTCCGCTCCGTATGTTGGATCTGCCTTGATTGGTTGCTGGGTTTCTGATCCCCTTAACCATTACTTTGGTCGCCGTGGTGCTATCTTTGTGGCTGCCATCTTTTGCTTCCTGCCTGTCATTGGCTCCGCTTTTACCCAGACTTGGGAACAGCTCTTTGCTTGTCGTCTTTTGCTGGGGATTGGAATGGGTGCCAAAGGATCCAGCGTTCCAATTTTCGCCGCCGAAAACGCACCTGCTAATATTCGAGGCGCTTTGGTCATGACATGGCAGTTGTGGACAGCATTCGGTATCCTTTTGGGATACAGTGCAAACTTGGCGGTTGCCCATGTCGGTACTATTGCTTGGAGACTGCAGCTTGGATCCGCAATGATTCCAGCTCTTCCTCTACTCTTTGGCGTCTATTTTTGCCCCGAATCGCCCCGCTGGCTGATGAGTATGTATCTTCTGAGGAAGGGGCCCCGTTTGTGCCTGATACGTCCGAATAGTTACTAATATACTGGAAACACTTTTAGAAAAAAACAAATACCCCCAGGCGATGAAAAATTTGATCAAACTGCGAATCAACCCCGTCCAGGCTGCTCGAGACCTTTATTCTATCCACACACAACTCGAATTGGAGGCCGCTGTAGTTGGCGAGACAAATTACGCGACACGGTTTATTCAGCTCTTTACTATTCCACGTGTTCGTCGCGCAACCCTTGCCTCCTTTACTGTCATGATTGCTCAGCAAATGTGTGGCATCAACATCATTGCTTTCTACTCATCAACCATTTTCGTCAAATCGGGATTCGATCAATTTCAAGCGTTGTGGGCCTCGTGGGGTTTTGGATTGATCAATTTTCTCTTCGCATGGCCTGCCATCTGGACCATTGACACGTTTGGACGGCGATCATTACTTCTTTTCACCTTCCCAAACATGGCCTGGACTCTCTTGACGGCTGGTCTGTGTTCCTTGATCAGCGTCAACTTGAAAGCCCACCTAGCTCTTGTGGCCATGTTTGTCTATATCTTTGCCATGTTTTACTCTCCCGGTGAAGGGCCCGTGCCATTTGCATATTCGGCTGAAGTCTTTCCACTTTCCCACCGTGAACTCGGAATGGGTTGGGCTGTCGCAACCTGTTTGTTCTGGGCCGCGATTCTCTCCATTTTCTTGCCGTTGATGTTGGACACCATGCAACCGGTGGTACGTTCTATTACTCCTTCCAATTTCCGTTTGTTGTACTCGCTAATATTTTTGCCTACAAGGGTGTGTTCGGATTTTACGCTGGCACTAATATCCTTGCACTCATCATGATCTTCTTTTGGGTTCCGGAAACCAAACAGCGTACTCTTGAAGAACTAGATTATATTTTCGCTGTTCCTACTCGCACTCACATGAAGTATCAGCTCAATAAGGCCCTACCGTATTTTATCAACCGCTGGGTCTTTAGACGCAAGGATGCTGTCCTCGAGCCGTTGTATCATCTAGACAAAGGTCGTCATAGCGATGAGTCTGAGAGTGAAAAGGTGCTCGGCAGCCCTGCGGCGCCGCCGAAGTACGACGCGATCGAGGTTCCTGAAGGTGAAACTGAGGCTGTTGAGACAGCTATCGATGAGCCTAAGACTGTTACTTGAAATCAGGCTGGATAGCTTAAAAAGGGTGTCGAGGGGGCCTTGCGATTGGAAGTTGATACTCGGCGAACATGAGCTCACAGTGGTGATCCTGTACTTATGCTTAATACTAGTTGCAGTGATGGTTACAAATTACAAGTAATGCGATATGATCGACAACAGATCACAGGGCACTTTAGCCGCTTATTGAGATATAATGATTCAAATAACGTATCTTGGAAACATTTAAAAGAGAACATAAGCTTTGCCCTTTCTAACCACCCGTAATTTTGGAAGCTATCTTAGCCTGAATTCTTAAACGTGCATTTGTCATCGAAAGATTCCCCAACTGTCCCATGGGTCAGCATTGAATGACTTGGAAGCCATACCATAGACGTTTTTCTCCACCGATGTGACCAATTATATACGCGTTTCCCTCTGAGATCACCTGGAAGGGCCCTGCAAATTCTATCTATTTAAAATTTGAACATAGATACGCCTGTAGACTTCATCGAGCCGTTGCGTATCTGATATGAAATAACCTTATTGCTAGTCGACTATGGATATCAAACTTCATTTCCTTGTGTTTGGGGCCATATTTATGATTTAAAATATTGGTTGATGATGATCTATATTTCATCATATGAAATGGAAAATTGTCGACGGTTTTCATAGAATAGACCTATATCCGTATTCTGTAGTTTTCTCCACTTGGAAATTACTCACGGTAAAAGGACGCTGGCCTTCTAATTGTCAAGGCTTTTTATCCAATCCCATTCTTTTTAAAAGAAGCAAATGATCCCCCAAAGCTTGGAAGAAGCTATCTCGAACTCGATATTTAATTCCGAATTCTCTGCACGTCGATCTCACGATATCGGCAATTTCTGGGTAATACTTTTGATTTATCTATGAAAATAAATAAGATCAGACCAAGACACGAAGAGCGGAAACCGAGAGTATGAATGCTTCTGACCTGTGGAAAGACGTGATGGACAACTTGGTAGTTGAGGGAACCTGTCAAGAAGGTTGTGATCCAACTTCCATGACCATAGTCCTGCGCCGTCTCTATCTGCATTTGAACCCAATCTATTGTAAAGTTACCTTCTTTTGGTGGCTGAACCCATAACACATCTCCCACGACGTGATTGGATTCGAAAACAAAAGCCGCGATCCAGGATAACATAATTTCCGAAAACAGAAACGTAGATATAACCCGAGCTGTGCTGCTCGGCGAGAATATAATCGGCAGGAGACACCGGTAAGTGAAAAAGAACACCTGCGTAAGTCATAATATTAGGTCATCGTAATCTCTAGTCACATATCAAGTTCACGTACTTTGCCCGCCCAGAAAACGAAAAGTTGGGATCGGCTCAAAGGGTTGATTGGAATCATGTCAGTACTCTGGCGAAGGCAGGCTAATATGTCTTGCAATTTGGAAAAGTGAGTTAGCAAGCTATATAAAATCGGTGCGTAGATGTGTTGAATTGAATATATTGGAGACCATTTTTGCGATGGCAGAAACCGAGTTATGGAGAAAGGCTCGACTGATATATCCGGGTCTACTCCCTGAACATTTGTATATGGATGATGGCCCAGAACTTTTTGATCTGAATGTTAATACAACCTCTCCATTCAATTTGGGAATACCAAGGAAAGATATTTTCTCATACCATGTCTATGGAACCATACGATATCGGAGAAGCCCATGACAAAATTGTAGACCGTGCCCATAGCGTCCCACACTCTGGGGTTATGGGTGAGAGAAGCATGCGATGCGTCGTGCACCCAGTATGTGGTGAATGCAAAATATGACCATGACCACACCACCATGGTAATAAGGGTTTTAATCGTACTTAGACGCACAGTTGAATTCCAGTATAGGAGATAGTAGCATCCCCCGATACCAAAAATTGGAACAAGACAGCGGATCAATATGTCAGGAGAATATTTTGGATCTTGGCCGGTGGTTTTAAAATGTTCTTTCACTCTCTGCGTTCCCCAGTCAGTCATGACGACGAACTCCTAGGCTAATTCTTGTATTGATACATACCCTTCTGAGAGTAAGTGCAAATTCATTTGGTTGATTGAATATTGGATGTTCAGCAACTCGTAGACTACCGACTCGGTATCGTCTATGGAAGTGAGAATATCATCTCTTTATAAGCAGATATGCTAAAATACAAATCACGAAGCGGCCCTATACCTTAAAACCTCGAGAACTGAGTGATCATGAGTTGTCTCCAATAGAACAGTGACATCCCTTCCAGCTGACATTCGAAGTCTAGAAATTCCCCCTGGATGTATTTTTTGAAATTCTGTCAGGTCATAAACCTGCGATGCGCCTTAGCGATGGTATAATCTCCACTGATGTTCTAGGAGGAATACCTGTCCACGAACCCCAACGAGGCATCTTCCCTCTACAACCGACTCGCGGAGGTCCTTTGTGGAGTAATCGCGGTTGTGTCCCTGAAGCATTGAGTTAGTCTAAAACTACTTTGGCTTAGAGAATCTTACCTTAGTGCCACTCATCATCTATGTTATCTTGATAGATTTATGCCGTAGAGGATTGTTATCCGTCGTGATGATTGTCAAAATAATTTCAGTTTTCTTCGCGAGTGTGTAATTGTCATTGCAAGTTGCAGAACTGAGAGTAAATGCTGATTAAGTAATACTATTTTAGCTTATCACAAATGAGGACGTGTAGCAACTTTTCCGTACTTTACTAGTGTTGTTACACATGTATCCGAATTCATATCTTTATTAGTACTAGACCTTGGTCGTTTTAATACTATAATGTCCACAGCGCGGTAGCAGGTAGGAGACAGCACATAACCCCCACCAGCTTACGATTACGTTTTTGTAACCTCACGGACTTTGTTCCATATGGTGAGGATTTCTCATAGAATCCTTTCCATGCATCGCTTAAATAATCGGACTTATTATTTAGCCGTGGAAAGAGTTTCTTTGATCCGGTACGATTCCTTCTTTCACAGATAATAATCCCGACTGTAAATGGCCGGACAAGTAATCTTAAATTTGCATATGAACTTGGCCCCTTCCGAGCCATATAAAGTACAAACAAGTTTCTCGCTTCTCAATGACATTCATCGCCTAAGCGCCCGACGTCACATATTTGAAATTGAAGATGTCCAGACATTACACTAAAATAAATTTGGTTACTAAGCCATTGATATTGGCATCTTTGAACGATGTGGTCACAAATTTCAAATTTCCCCTCCTTGTCTCATCCATTTACGTCGGACTTACTATGCTCCTGATGATACGAAACACGAAGAGGGGAAATACTCCATGGCGGATCTCGAAAACTCCACTGTTTTTCTGGTTTAATGTGACGCACAATATGATATTGACAGGTTACTCGGCCATTAGTTTCTTCGGCTTCGCCAATGTAGTATGGTTTGTATTCACAGCTGCCTGGGACACCAGAAATCCTGAAGGGAGACTCACTAGGATGCTCGATGTTCTCTGTCATGTTACCAGTCCAGGTGAAACATCATTGGGAGGGTTGAAGCATGGAAACGCACCCGAACTCTATCATATTTGGGCCAACGGCCTTGTCCTCTATGGATTCTTCTTCTATATGAGCAAGATCTATGAGCTTGTTGATACTGTCATTCTCATTGTGAAAGGCAAAACGCCAACCGTTTTCCAAATTTACCACCACACAGGTGCATTAATATGCGTATGGGCAGGGTATTACTACATGGCTACTCCTCTTTGGAGCTTCATTTTCATGAATTGCGGTATCCACACACTGATGGTTAGTTAGCACCAATTTAGTCCTCTATCCTCTCGCAAGCTCACCAATACATTAGTATACATATTATACGGTGGCTTTGTTCAAATTTCCAATCCCTCGAGGTTTCAAAATGATTTTGACTACAATGCAAATAGTACAAACGGGCCTTGCTATTGTCTACGGAACTGTCAGTTTGTTCATATCGTACAATGTCATTGGTGAAGATGTAGCAAAGGGAGGAGCTGACTTGGCCAATCCTCGAATTGAAACTATATCTTGTGTCAATACTCCAGGAGAGAGATTTGCAATTTCTCTAAATGTGGCATATCTTATTCCTCTCCTTTTACTATTCTTGAACTTTTTCAGGAGGACTTACAGCCATGGAACCCGACATCAAGATTTCATACGCACCAAGAATGCATAATGTTCTGAGAATACTATAACTCAACTGAGCGCTGGCAATATATAAAACCGAATGCTAACTGTGTGTTGATGAAGTCACAAGGTCATGAACAACAAAAAATAGACTTCATGGTTTAGGTAGGCTGATTGACTACCGCGAGGTTTAGGATATCAACGTTTTGAAACTAGCGGGCTTTGAGAGGAGTTCAGCGTGCTGTTACTCTGTCAAATGCTCGCTATAGGAGCGTCTGGTAATGGCTTCGTGCTCTATGCCAGACAGTATGGAAGATATATAGATGATTCAATGTTCTTTACATCGAGATACATGAATAGATATGAAGGCATAATATATAGCTTCTACATACAGTGATGCTGATCGATCTAATCGTAATCTCATGCCAGTTTTTACATGTACTGTATGAGACATAGGCTATGAGCTCATGCCACTGACTTTTTCTTTTTAATTCGATTTATCCAGCTATCAAACCGAATCATTATCACGTAGGCAGGCTTACTGTTGGCCTTCAGTCTCAAACTAAAATCTCCCCACGTGCCCCGCATCTGTACAACGGGGTATTTGTATCTATCTCACGGGTAATTGTAACTTGCAAGTGCCAAGGGGTATGTCTGCTAGACCCAGTTGACTATCAATCAACTATAGCAAAAGCGGGAAAAGAAATTATATTAGGGCTCAAGAAGGTCACGACTCATCAGTATCGAGCATGACCAATTGTTGTTTATTGGCTGCGCCACTCGTTGGGCTCGCTGCTATTAGGGTTTACCCATGCCGAGCGGGGAGATGATCAACCATTCTAAGCGTAAATGATACTGGTAAAGCTCCTTGCTTTCACCTCACCCCGCTTCATAGACTGAGACTTGGCTTTTTTGTGGAACCTCCTTGCGCCTTTAGGGCTTTAGCATCATGCAGGCCCCGTCCAATTCTTGACGGCGGGTGCTGATCTTTCTTGGCGATTTCGAGAGCAATGCTCATTGCGAAGAGAGGATTCCATTTGTTGGCACTAGTATATTACTAATTCATAGACTAGTCGTTTCCTTCAACATCCCAATGATCGCGCTTAGGTATTGGAGAAAAAGTGAGGGATCACCCATCCCTTGCATCATGCGTTCTTACTAAATAGTAAGAGGGGAACCCTCTCGATGAGCCATGTGTCCGCAGGATTTAACACGATATTTCCCCCTCCCCCGAATTCTGCTCGAGATAGTGCCAATCTCGCAAGGTCGGTGCACGTGGAAAACATACAATATCCTAGTATACAGTAGTGGCCACTCCGCTACTTTAGGTCGTCGTTGTTATGGTTAGTTAATGTAACCATACGCGTACCCACTTTACAAAGGATTCTATATATGGCGGTCTCCTTTCGATAGTAGTAGATACTACCCAACAGAGAGCCGTGCCGATGCGGGGAGCTTAGTGCGGGGAAAATCAGCCTTGAAGCCTTGTTGACTGATTTGCAAGCCCGTACAAGCCCGTAAAACCCCCATATAAACCCCCAACCCTTTCTAAGTTTGAGGATTTCCGTGCTGAGTTGGAGGTCAAGTAAGAAGTTGCGATAGTAGAAAAAGAAAGCTCAATACATCGCCATGTATTTCAAAACGAGCCTTCTTTTGTTATCGTTAATTCCTGGATTGGCTAGATGCGCCGATTCAAGAAACACCGAGAAAAGCAAGCGTTTTGACGCATCGAGTTCATCATACGCTGTCAAGCAACCCCCATTGACTACCAACTGGACGTATACAGCTGGCACCAATCCATGGCCGGAATATCCTAGACCTCAGTTGGAACGTACCGAGTGGGTCAATTTGAACGGTATCTGGAGGTATGAGAATGCATCTAGCTTGAATGCAGTCAACAGTCCGCCTTTCAATGTGACCCTCGCACAAGAAGTTCTTATTCCATCTTGTTTGGAGAGTGGTTTATCAGGTTTGTCATAAGAGCCTTGGGAGTTCAGATGTCGTCGAAAAGATATTAAATATAGCCACATAGGAATTCAAGGAAAGAACACTCTTTACTCCTGGTTCTCAACCTCATTTACTGTCCCATCGCATTGGCTTGAACGCAAACGGAGAGTCCTTCTCAATTTTGGGGCGATCGATTATGAGGCCACGGTATTCGTTAACGGCCACAACGCCAGCTTCCATCGTGGAGGATATTTCCATTTTACTGTTGATGCAACAGATTACCTTTTACCTGGTACTGCAAATGAGCTGTAAGCGGTCAGAGCTATCAAAAATCGAAAATGATCGCGAGACTTACCAATTAACTTTCCCGTTACCCAGGCTTGTCTTTGTGCATGATCCAACAGATAGTGGCGACTACGTTATACCCATCGGCAAGCAGACGTTGAACCCTTCTCACATATTCTATACTCCTTGTAGTGGTATATGGCAAAGTGTCTGGGCTGAGGTGGCGCCGGAAAATTACATCACTCAGCTAGACTTGGCCGCTGATATGCACGGCGTCGGTATGGACGACAGTAATCAAACGTTTGGTATTAGGAAAGCTAACTCGTGAATTTCTCTTATAGTAAATGTTACTGTTCATAGTTTGCAGAAACAAGCAAAAAAAGTTCAAATTGCCGTCATTGATCCGGAGTCCGGTAATCATGTGGCATCTGGGCATGGTTTCTCGGACCAACCATTTCAGTTTTCTGTATCGTCACCTAAGCTTTGGTCCCCAGACACGCCTAACCTCTACAATATCACCGTCATATTTAACCAAGATACCATTCACAGCTATACAGGATTTCGGACCGTCTCTAAAGGAACTGTCGATGGTGTTGTTCGCCCCCTCCTAAACGGGGAGTTTATCTTTTGGTTTGGAACGCTTGATCAAGGATTTTGGCCAGATGGAATTTATTCACCACCCACCCGCGATGCTATGGTATATGACCTTGAGGTTCTGAAAAGTCTAGGCTTTAATATGCTTCGAAAACATGTATGTCATCTCTATGACCTTCGAAACCAGCTAACTAACGACGGGCAAAAGATTAAAGTGGAACCAGCTCTATTCTATCGGGCATGCGATGAATTGGGGCTGATGGTCATCCAAGATATGCCAGCTCTTCGGCCTTTGCAGACAAGAACATTGTCTGATGGTGCAACCGAAACTATTCTTCCAGATGACGCGCAGCAACAAGAGTTTATTCGCCAGCTGGAACTTCTTGTGAACCAGCACAAAAGCTACCCAAGTATCGTCACGTGGGTAAGTTGAGATTATACTAAGCAGAATCAAATCACTCCACTTACACAATAATTCTTTCATAGATTATCTATAATGAAGGATGGGGTCAGTTAATCGAGGGGTATCCTGAATTCGCATTAACTGCCCGTGTCAAACAACTTGACCCAACACGTCTTATCGATTCCACAACGGGGTGGTATGATCACGGGGCTGGAGACTTCAGTGTAGGAACTCACGTGAGCCACAGTAGGACGGATTACTGATATTGGAAATAGGACAATCACCATTATGCAAATCCTCAGTGTGGCACGCCTTTCTACTCGATTCAATCTAGCCCGTATAATCCCACTCGGATAGGATTTCAGGGCGAATTTGGAGGAATTGGAAATAATGTCTCGATTGATCAGTATGTTTAGTTTCATTAAAAATGCTCCCTACTATACGAATTACTAATTGTTTTCAAAAGTCTATGGAATGTCCAGGCTGCTGTGAACGGCATTAACCAAACGTATGAGATTGACGAGACTATTGAGAGTTGGAATTACCGCAGCCATCTCCTCCTCTCCGAATTAAAGGACCAGGTCAGCCGGTTCTCGTGTAGTGGGGGTGTTTGGACCCAAACTACGGATGTCGAAGGAGAGGTCAATGGGCTGTTGACATACGACCGCAAAGTTCTGAGACCAGATAGAGACCAGTGGAAAGCCGATATTCAAGGCCTTTACGAGACTGCAGTTGCACGACGAAACTCTTCTATGTCTACTCGTGCCCTTAGTGTGTGATAAGCATCGTGAACTCCTTCGCGGGCCACAGAATGGCAAGTATAATATTCCTCTAAAATTAGTGGTTTTGTTAAGGTTGTCGCCCATGTCCAAGTGAATATTTTAATATTAAATCATAACTAGCGGGTTTATTCTATCGAAATTTGGAAGTCATGAAACCATGATATTGAAAACCCTCTTTGAAAATCCTAATAAAGGAGCTTGTTCTCTTTCATATATAGTATGTCATGATGTATACTTGTCCGCCATCCTAAGACCTCCAGTTGACATCAATTGATGTAGATGAGTAAGATAGGCCTAGAGACATTATTGCAGGAATAGCCTTCAATAATATCAAAAATCATAGCTGATTAACGTAGCTGACAGAGTTGAATAAGTATAAACCGGGAAGAGAAGAAAAATTGGCGTATAATGCGTAGAGAACATTGACTTCACACATAAACTACTGCCTTAGGCAAACATATAAGCTGACAATATATTTAGACTTAATTACTTCCAATTTATCTAGGTCATTCTTTGTCCTCTTTATAATCATAATAATACAGTCTAGATTGATGGATCATTACAGAAGAAAAGTTGCCGCTATATTGGCTCTTACAATGATTTGAACACCCGGTTACGAGACTAAAAATTGTAGGCTCGCATGCCTCTCCTACCTTCCTGTTGACAGTGCGCTGACATGATGCTAGATATTTTGTACTAGGTTGGAAATACGAAATAAAGCCTTGTATGCCTTGCCTGGTTATTGGGTGGCGTGGAACAAGCCAACTCTCCCAGAGTTCCTACGCAGCCTACCAAACGTCAAACTTTGGCCGAAATGTGTGCCTTGCATCTTGTATCTCGGCGAATCGTTCAAATTTGGAGTTCGCCAAGTTTGACCAGCAGCAGTACCGCAAGTGATACTGTGGGTACACCCCATGAAGCCCCTTACGAAACTTCGACGATCGTTGGTGGGTTGAGATATTATGAAGAAGGTAGATTTTACCTTGAGGACGAAGAATTTGAACCTAGCTTCGCCGGTTGTTCACAAAATTTGAGAAAAGGGAAGAAGGGAGATCATGGTTGCGCATGGGTAGGTGCAGCGAGAAAACTGAGATATTCTGTTGTGCTTATAGCAGAATAAATTCGCGTAGAGATAACGATGCAGTACAACGAATAAATCTTCATTTCTATACCACTATATTAAGTTTACCCGCAATGTTCGTTATCCCGAGGAATGGAATCCACCTGTAATATGCCGACCTGGTTTTTAGAGGTTTGCCAGGTTCCTGACACTATCATTATGTATAGGGTTTTAGAATTCTGAACCCACTCCTTTATTATATAGAAGCTCTTTGCATCCTATGGGCTATGTATTGGGTTTCCATATCCCTTTACGTATCTAGACAACAATCTTCTACGTACCATCTCATGCATATATTTAGAATGTATACATCTTATAGATCATTACACTTCGGAGATACGACTCAAATCGCTATGGAGTTTACAAGCTTCTTAAGTATTCCCTACTAGCCCGTGTTCTATATTGCGATAATTAAACAAACGCCGATGTCCTGAAAGTCCGGCCCGAAGACGGCCGAGGAGGTTGTTAAAGGTTTTTAACACAGGTCGGCGGGAACGGCCCGATATCATCACTATATTAATTGATCGCTCCAAAATATTTGACTGGAAATCCAAACTACTAGTTGCGCAAAGTCAAGACATTCAATCAAACTGATAAAGAAACGTAGTTTATTTTCGGGTTCACATAATTCTTAAAATGCCAGGGCACGATCAGTATGGGCTTCCTGTTGCATACTACCGTGGAGGTACAAGCAAAGCCCTCTTTTTTCGCGAGGAGAATCTTCCCAAGCCCGGTCCTCAAAGAGACAAAATCCTCAAGCGGGTGATGGGATCTCCAGATCCATTGCAGATCGATGGAATGGGTGGTTCCAAAGCAGTTACGTCAAAGATTGCTATTATAAAGAGATCAGCCCGTGACGACGCAGATGTGGATTATACTTTCGCCCAGGTCGGTACGGCAGATAATGTCATTTCATATGATGCAAACTGCGGCAATATCTCAGCAGCGGTTGGTCCATTTGCAATTGATGAAGGGCTTACCACTTATCGACCAGGTAGCTCGGGTGACCCTCAGCTAAAAGCTCAAGAAGTTCGCATCTACAACACCGGTACTAGGAAACTTATTATATCTCATGTTCCTATTGATGATAATGGATATGCTGTTTCAAAGGGAAATCAGGAAATTTCTGGAGTGCCTGGGGCGGGAGCTCCTATCCTGATGGATTATAAGCATGTAAGTCAAGATGTTGTGAGGTGACGAGAATAGAATTGGTTTTATAACAGAAATCCAGACATTGGGAGCCACCTTATCAAAGGGAATATTCCCTTCCGGAAGGCTAGTGGATATAGTCAACATAGCTGGAAAAGATGTGCAGGTCACGATCTGCGATGTTGCCAACTGGTGTGTTTTTGTCAACGCATCTGACTTTGGGATCACTGGCCACGAGAGCGCGGCTGAATTGACCGCAAACGCAAGTTGGATAGAGAATTCACAAGAACTCAGGGGTAAAGTTGGACAACTGCTGGGTCTAACTTCAGACTGGAGAAATTGGGACAAAGTTACTGCATTTGCTCCTTTACCTATAGTCGTCGCTCCTTCAAAGAGAGGTCATATATCTGCCCGCCTTTTTCTTGACAAGATGTGTCACGAAAGTATGGCTGGGACAGGAGCTATATGCGCAACCGCCTGTAGCCGTGTTTCTGGTACCATCGTGAACCGCGTTATTGGAGGCATAGTAGAGGATTCATTTGAAATTAGCCATCCAATAGGAGTCATGACGGTACTGGTTCATACGGAAAACATCGGAAATTCGGATGCTATACCAGAATTCAAAACGCTATCTTTCGTCCGAACAGCACGTCGCATAATGGATGGAACCGTGTATATACCGAAGACATTTATGGCATCTGAGGATAGGGGCGATAATAACCTAACTCCTCAAAGATCTGAAGAGCCCCCAGATTGCTTAACACAAGACTCACGGCCAACGACAAGTGTGATAGCTGAGTTTGTTCAAAACACTAAATATGCTGACTTGGATGAAAGCGTTAAGATGACGGTGAAAAATCTAATTTTAGACTACATTGGGGTGGCTTGTGCTGCGGTGGACAAAGCCGAGTCTACAGAGCCTGTGTATCGCGCGATCTCTTGTCTCCAAGCGAGTGACGGAAGGAATACCGTTTTCAAAAAGGGCCAAAAGTTTCTACCGCAATATGCCGCGCTGTTAAACGGTTTTCTAGCCCACTCGCTAGACTTTGATGATACGTATGCAGAAGGTGTCTTACATGCTGGTGTTACCGCAATCACGGCTGGGCTTGTCGCCAGTGAGGTCTTGGGTACTAGAGGGGATGCACTGATTGAGGCTGTTGCTATTGGATATGAAGTCACATGCCGCATTGGAAGAGCTCTCGGTCACGGTGCATACTCACGAGGATTTCATAATACCTCTACTGCCGGCATATTTGGTGCTGTGGCTACCATTTCCAAGGTCAAAGGCCTCTCCACTTCTCTCATAGAAATGGCGTTTGGGTTAGCAGGCTCTAAGCCGGCCGGATCGATGCAATATCTGGAGAATGGATCGTGGAATAAGCGACTGCACCCAGGTTTCGCGGTTCATGATGCTTGGCTATGCGTTTCTTTGGCCGAATCTGGTGTCATTGGCGCCGAAAAGATCTTCGAAGGAAAATTCGGTTTTTTCAATGCATATACGCCAAATAAAATTAACTACGAGGAGCTGCTTGATACCTTGGGTAGTGAATGGGTTTTTTTAAAAACTATTTGGAAGCCTTTTCCGGCGTGTCGCATGACACATGGGTTGATTGAGGTAGTGGATGAGATCCGCCGCAAGTTTAGTTCGTCGTCATCAGCCAAAGAAGTTAAGCATATCCATGTAAGGTTGCCCTCGTATCAATACCCTATCGTTGGGTTACCAACACCAAACAAAGTTCATCCGTTGAATATTGTGGATGCGCAATTTTCCGCATACTACCAAATTGCCCTCTCGTGGCTGCATGGTGGATACATTGGTTGGGCTGGGTATGACTACCTGAGAGATTCAAGTATCCATAAGCTCGCAGAATGTATCCATATTATGGACGACCCTGGTCTGGACCGATTGGAGCAATATATTACTCTGGAGTTCACAGATGGCACGGTTGTTACCAAACATATTAAGCCAAAAGACGATGGTGGGGCAGGTGATTCGTCGCGAGAAAAGATTGCAGCGAAGTATCTGGGGTTGGCCGGGCCTGTCTTTGGTGAGGAAGCAGCCAGGAAGATCCAGAATATTGTATACACCCTTGAAAGGTATCACGTGTCCGAGCTTATGGCTTTAGTTCAGTAGAAGGTAGCTGGTATACCAATTGAGACGGCTAAATTTATTGCTTTGACTAATTCTGCGCCGTATAATTTTAGAATTGAATGTAAAAATGTCATTTGAGACTCTACCTAAAGAGTAACATTAAAAGTTCAGCACAAAACTTACGATGCTTCCCAATGCGTTCACCGGGTCGCTGGCAAAAACCCCTGTTCGCTTGGTATTCGCATCGAGACCGGTGAAGTGGCTTTGTCGTGGTAAATGAGTTTCCACCATTACAACCCTAACCCAATTCCGAAATCGTTCAGCGTATATAGTATGGCTCTTTGTATGCCATGGGCTATATATAAGGCCGCCATGGCCATTGTGCGTTCGGATTTCGAACTTTTGCCCGCACATTAACACAAGCTATGGCAACTGAATTTTATGGTTTACTTCCCCTCACTACGGAGTATATTTCACGTGTTATGATTTCGAACCTTGAGCTCCACGCGCCGAACAGCAAAGGCTAGGTTGATTCAATAATATTTATTAGTAAGTATGCATCAAACCAAAATCCACTAAAAGGGAATAGTTCAGTCATGATTCGCGGTGGCGCAAGCCAACAACCTGCTTTATCTCAATTGAGAAGCGACGATTGGCTGGCCTGCAGGTCGGGAAGCTCATCCGACTCCATCGCACTAGAATTGATCCTCTTGAAAGAGCATTGATTTGCGCCACCCACTTGACTCAGCGTCATGTCTCAGCTTTAGCGGCGATCCTCCCTGCGTCTATAGAAACTGGGACTATTTTGTCCAACAATGAGACATCATGCCACGCTGCTGGTGCAGATTAGTATTATTTAATAGCGATGCCTCCCATCACCCAAAATGACTTTTAACAACTCTCTAGCACTACTTTCTAGTCTTAGCGGAATTGCCAACACCGGATCAATCCACTTTTAATTGTCGCCCATCATGATGAATCTTTTGTGTTGTCTCGGTCTGTTTGCCACTACTACATTGTCCCAGTCAGTGCAGATTGGTTTGCCCAAATTGGGAACCCAAGTGGCAGCAGGTTCGGATCAGACTATCCAAATACAGCGTCCCGTGAGTGTTGACTTTCTTCCATCGCTGTAAGTGCAAGGCTGATTTCCATTAGGATACATTGACCGGTTCGAATGAAATTGCCATTGTGATTGGTATTTCGCCATGCCGAGATGGGAAATGCACTTCACCAGCTGACAGCATGGGAACCATTTTGTACAAGGGTGGATATGACCCGGAGTTCCACAACGGCGTCCAGCCTCCGTACCAAAACTTCACAGTCGAAGTCCCTAAAGACATATCGGGACTGGCTTTGATTGGTGTAACGCATTTGTCGCTTGTTGGAGTAAGTTTCCTGGTACCTATTACCATTAAGGTACTAACTGAGCGATCTTTTCGTACAGGCCAGCGCCTATCCTTTAATCCAGTTTCTCAATCAGACCGTTACTGTCATATAATACAAATAGTCACTTTATTCGGGGAAAAGCAATCAATTCATACAACAATATAAATCGATATTAGCCTGCAGTATATTAGCCGCGTTACAACTCAGGTTGATTTTATATACACATTGACATGTATTTTACCATTCCTATTGCTGAGAAGAGATGAAATGGAATCGTAAATTTTTTCGTCAGTCTTCTGGCGCCTGTGTGGTAAATAACCATACTGTATTTTCAATGTTATAGTATACATGTATACCAATTGATCTAGATGTCATTCAAAAAATTATGCCATGGATTCTTAGAGTATTACAGTTTACCGCCTCTGTAACCTGAAGATCTGACATCAATTTATAAATATATACAGACGGTGGAGTAAATTCTCAAAGGGTATCACGCCATATAATTTTCAATATATAACCTATAGCACACAAAGAACCTCTATATAACCCTCGAATACGTAGTAAGTGGTCTTAGCATAACGAAGACTCATTTATCACGATAGAGAATCTCTTCAACCAGGAATAACATTGTACGTAAACCAGGGTTTATCAATGGATAGAAGCCAACATAGGATTTCAATTACCCCAAAAGCTACAGATTTTCGCGATGTCCTCTACTTAACAAGTCATAAATGTCACTGAAAGTATGGTGTTTCCAATCATAGTGGAACCGAAATGTAAATACCCGTCGCGGCCCTTGGTAGATTTTTGTTAGCTCCGAATCTATACAAGTGATACCGCTTCGAATGAAAGAGGGGGGGCAGAATGGGTAATTAACTGTTGAATTTCATTTTCCACTATACGTTAGGCTAAAAACCGAACGCTTGATATGCTCTAGTTATAATGATTGCATATTTAGTTCAACATTAAATCAGTCTGCTCCGTTTCAGAATGGAGCTGAGCCATTGAAAGTCTATTCCGCCTCGGGAAAGGCTCGACCGGAAGGTCGGAGGGTCGGAGAAAAGCAACTTGCTATATAGATGTATTTGATGTGTTATTCCCAAATCTCAAAAATTTTTATTTTCCACCACCAGATCTAAACCTATTCATATTGATCTTTCTTGGTGGAAACAGCGAGGAAATAAGGACCGAGATCTGAAATATGGCGCTGCCACAGGAACAAGTGGCTTCTCACGAGTCAGGACGATCTCTTCCTCCTATTAATCGACGAAGAGACAAGCCTCAACTATCATGCACCCTGTGCAGGCGAGGAAAGTAAGTAATATCATTATTGGCTCTTCATACTTAAATACTCATGCTCAAGATTAAAATGCGATCGTGGTCTGCCTTGCGAGTCGTGTGCGCGTCGTGGCCTTTCCCTGTCCTGCACATACCCAGCCGCGACCCCGCTACAGAGTGGAAAACGAGTCATTCATCCAACCTCAAACATGCATGACAGAGTTGCCCAACTGGAAAAGTTAGTCCTGTCTTTGAAAAATGAAGCAGATGCCAATAATCGCACGTCCGCCTCGCAAGGCCATTACTCTCCCGATTTTTTAGAGTTACCCAAAAGCTTTGGAAGAATTAGCCTGGAGAATGCGGAGACTACTTATGTTGAAGGCTCGCATTGGACGGCCATTCTTGACGGTGTAGGTTATATTCTTGAGATTACGAGGCTTGCCAGGAAAACTAATAGATCTGAAGATTGCAGAGTTGAAGGACTGCTTTGACGACGAGGTCCCAGAATCCGCCGAGTTTAAAAATAATAGTAAAAGCATAGGCGGAATATCAAACCGTGGACCAGTATTGCTGCTCGGTAATTTCCAACAACTTGACAAGCGAGAAATTTTAGCCTCAATTCCACCGCGACCTACAATTGACCAACTAGTAATAAGATATTTCAACTCAAAGAATATCAACTCGCGTAAGTTATATCAAGTTGCAATTATGTTCATTATTCTTTAAAGCTAACGTCTACAGTCTTGATTCATGGTCCAACTTTTTTAGAAGAGGTAAGGGAGTGGTCGTGACGTTGGAAGCCTCTTCTGACTCTTGAGCCTAGTACCATCGATTCTGGGAGTCTCCATGGGAAACTTCTACTATGTGGATTGGTCTTCTGTTCAGTATTATATGCTTGGGCACTTTACATCAACAGCTTGAAACGTCATATTCCGAGTCACCAACATTACACGATGCCGGTTTGGATTTGATGCATAGTATCCAACTCTATCGAGAGCGCGCAGCCCAGTGTCTTGTCCTTGCAGATTACACCAAGTGTGTTCCATACACAGTGGAAACACTATTACATTACCTGGCTATCGAATATGTCAATATCACTGATAGTCATACCGGCGTTTGGGCTTTGATGGGAATTATTGTGCAGATAGCCCTCCGAATGGGCTATCACCGTGACGGATCTCACTCATCACGCCTCTCACCCTTTCAAGTAGAGATGCGGCGTAGGGCATGGGCAGTTCTATTTCAAGTCACCTCCTCAGCAGCCGGGCAGTTTGGGCTCCCACGGATGATCAATGACTCTCAGGCAGACACGAAGGAGCCGCAAGACATCAGCGACGACGCACTTAGTCCAGATATGATAGAACTACCGCCCCCGAGATCAGATTCTGAGGCAAGCGCAATTCAGTTTTTGGTTGCAAAAAACCGACTATTATCAATATTCAATATGATCGTCGACCTTACTGGCTCCCCAAAGAAAGCGATATCGTACGAACAAATCATTGAATTAGACAAGATTCTTGAAAGACAATTTAAAGGAATTCCAGTACCCCTACAGATGAAGCCAATGAGTAGATGTCTTGCGGATACTGCTGATATCATTGTGAACAGGCTTTTCCTCTCTTTATCTTACTATAGATCGCGGTGCGTGCTTCATAGAGAGTACATGCTGGTGGCTCGGTCAAATAACCGTTATATGCATTCTCGCAAGTCATGCATTGGGGCTGCATTAAATATTCTGCAAATACAGCTTATTATCCATGAAGAAACCCAGCTAGGGCGGCGTCTTTACCTTCAGAAGTGGAAAATCTCTGCTATGGTAAAACACATATTCTTGCTGGCTGCCACGATTCTGTGTGTTGACATCAACTGCCGCGTGCGGGAAACACACGATGCAAGCATGATCGAAGACCATAAGATAGAGAATATTATTCAAGCATTGAACACCTCTTACTCGATTTGGCTGCAGTCGAGCGATATGTCCCGAGAAGCACAGAAAGTGGTGGAGATGTTGCGACTCGTTCTCAATAAAGCCCAAAGACTGCCGACGACAGTTGCATCGTCTTTGAGTATATCGGCACATAGCGATGACTCTGTCTATTCTATAATAGGTGTGTATATACTCTGGCCTGGATTTTATACGCGAACATAAATCATGGCTAATTGATTAATAAGATTGCCCAGTATCAAGTGATGATCAACACCCCATTACATTTTCTAGGGATGTACTAGATCTTGAGAATGAGCTATCTCTTTCTAATCAGAGCTCTAACACGATAGAAGGAGTGGAGGGCTTAGAAACAGTAAGCTTAAACCCCTCTAAGTGAACCCGGTCATAAATACATCAAGCAAGTCGCTGATTGAGTTCTTCAGCCAATATGGGACCTCCAAGATTGGACTGGCACAACCGCGATGGATGATATTCTCAAGCAGTCTAACAGCTGGAATGCGTTTGAAATATAAGCAAAAGATTAACTCTTACGATAGAATAACGGTCTGGTAGTCTGATGTATCCCAAAGGCAGAAGCAGGCATGAACTAGGTAGATACATGGGCGGGAAATAACAAACGTTGCCACCTATCTACTATTGCAGAAGCGAACAGTTTGCTAAAATAAGTTGATAACTGGAGTCTGGATAATCAAATTTTTCCTTTTTGCCAAAGCCTCATCAGTACTAACGTATTTCACAAGCGAGCGGCGTACCCCCGACTCCATAGAAAAATGACACTTTTGGGCCCTCAATATTTCACCCCTTTGATTAGAAAATATATTCTAAAATTGATTCAATCATTATCATATATTATAAATAAAAATGTATTTTATTATTAATAAGGATAACCTAAAATAATTATTATGTTAAGAATCACGCTCTAATGCTATAAATTTTTTATTTTACATTCTTATTTATCTTAATAATTATTAATAATCATTTGGTAGAACTAAGCATACATAATATTGAAAGTAAGATTTATATTATGTATTAATTTCAGACCATATTTTCTAATAAAAGTGGTGAAATATTGAGGGCCCAAAAATGCCAACTCTATATAGGAAAGAGGGGAGGGCTGTGCCGCTCTTTTGTGAAAAACGTTTTTTTTTTTGCCTAAGTCAAAAACGTGTATGTTCTACAGCCTTACAGAATGACCGAGTCATCGAGAATCATGCCATCTATTTCCAACTGTTCATTTCTTATTATCGGATTGTCCTCTAGAATATGCTTCGGTATTGTAAACGTTCCAATGTCAGGTCTACGCTTGGCTGCTGTTTCATGAAAGCCGTCATTGGCGAATGATTGGCGGAGACCGGCATCGGCCCTATTAATACCTGAACTGAGAGGCCAGTCTATTTTTCTCAGGTAATACAACGCTGGACACCTTGTATGTGTCTACTAAAGAGGTGAATAACATATCTAATAAAATACAGCTTTACGGCCTCGACTGGTAGTACCTCAGACGAAACACGATTGTAAGTGGTTCGGAAAAGTCGATTCAGGTGGTTGCCGAGCTTGTCGGCCATCGGACAAATAGGACTTAGTTACAGGTCCATCGGACTTCCGCCGTAGTACAATAATATTTCCGGCCCTAATCATACCGTAAGTCAATCTCCAAAGAGATGAGAGACCTGTAAGCCTCAGCGACGTGACTTTACCACTTTGCCCGAGCCTTCGTCGTATTCGATGGATTCCGTTGTTTCCGCGATTGCGCATTGCCTGATCCGGGCCACAGCCCCGGCCGAACTGAGTCTATGCATGGCGTTCAAATGAACCAAAATCTACTATACATATAAGCACATCGCAGTGGATTAACAGGAGAATTGACACCCAACGATCCTTATCTAGACGTATTTTATTGTATTGACCTCAAACCGCGAAACAGTCTTAACAAACAACATGGCTTCGGACGATGTCGTGTGCGATGTGCTGGTTGTTGGAGCTGGTCCTGCTGGCTTCATGGCCAGTTTAACGTTAGCACGCTATGATATAAATGTTCGAATCATTGACGCGCGACCGGAGAGGATACAAACTGGACATGCTGGAGGTAAGCCTGCGAGACGAGGCGCTATATGGGTCTATGAGGATGAGTTAACAAAACATTTTCGTGCGATTACAGGAGTGCAGCCACGAACTCAGGAAATTTTGCAAACCTTAAATCTGAGACATAGACTTGATATTCAAGGTAATCACGTTAGCGAAACTGCCTTTTGGGCGATTGATGAGGGCGGGAAGTTTCAAAGAACACATATCGGCGGGGAAATTCAGAACCCAACCCCGTATCCCTGGATTCTTAGTATCCCTCAGCGCGAAACCGAGCGTGCATTCGACGAGGATCTGAAGTCAAGGGGATTCGTCGTCGACCGTCCTGTAGAGTTGGTGAATTTTACATATACTGATGATCAAGAATACCCCCTGCGCGTCAGCGTCAAGAACCAATACACCAATATTACATCGATCTACCGAACTAAGTATATTATTGGGTCAGATGGAGCAGCGAGCAAAACCAGGCAGATACTAGGATTCGATTCACAAACACATGGAAACGACGATGTTTGGTGTGTAGCTGATTTGCATCTTGACACCGATTTTCCTGATGTGCGTCGCCGGTGTGCGATACGCTCGCAAAAAGGTGGCATCATGCTGATTCCCAATCCACGGGATATGAATCGCATCTATACACAACTTAATACTGCAGATCTTGCGATTGTGGAAGATGGACACAACAATGGCGTAAATGGTGACGCGACGAATGGGGACAAGGTCATGATCCGCCCCAAATACAGTGACACAGCTTTATTAGAGCTGTTGCGTCAACGTGTGCGGGATATCGTTGCCCCATACAAAATGGAGATCAAAAAGCTGGTTTGGATAAGTCAGTACCGCCTCCGCCAGCGAATTGTTGAGGCCTTTTCGGATAGCAAGCGTGTATTCATCGTTGGTGATGCTTGTCACACGCATAGTCCTAAGGCTGCTCAGGGGCTAAATATAAGCATGGCCGACTCATATAACCTTACTTGGAAGCTAGCATTGGTATTGAAGGGCCGGGCTAGCCCAGCTCTTCTAGATACTTACGCAATCGAACGTCGCCAACTTGCCCAAGAACTTCTTGATTTCGATGCAAAATTTTCTCATCTCTTCGCGCGTAAGGACTTTCTCGACAACTCGACATTCCACGAAGTGTACGACAAAGCTCACGGTTTCACTTCCGGCGTCGGCCAGCAATATCAGCCTGGACCATTGACTCTAAACAATGAGTCAAATAAGGCCATTATTAATGAAAATGCGGTTGAGCCTTTGACCCCAGGAAAGCGTCTGTACCCTTTCAATCTTCAACGACATATAGACGGTACCCCGCTCAATATTCTGGACGATTTCCCTTCAAATGGCCGATTCCATCTCTTCGTGTTTGCCGGGAATTCAATTTCACAGAATAGATTAGCGCCACTGGATGAATATCTGGCATCGTCTGACTCGGCTCTCCTGCGTTTCGACAAGTCTGCCAACCAGACCTGGGGATTTGAAGATGTTTACTATTCCAACCCCCAAAACAAGGATCGCATCGTAGACTTTTATTTCGTACACACGGACAACAAGTATGAAATAAACTTGGACGAACTCTCAGCTCCTCTAAAGCTATGGAAATACCGCATCTATTCTGACAAGGATAAATCTGTCCACACCACACTAGGCGTCGATCCAAATGTTGGCGCTATGGCATTAGTTCGTCCGGATGGCCATATCAGCATCGTCGTTGCTTTGAACGAAGGCGAGAAGGTTACCAAGCTCTTAGAGAAATATTTGTATTGAAAAACTAGCAGAGAACAGTCACTAGTCATGAATTTTTATTTTTATTTTTTTTGGCTCTTGGTGATTCTTAGAATATCAAATTCAAAGACTTTGTGATTCGACAAACCATAGAAATATATCGATTTGAGTTCCACTATAAATACCTACTGTGTATCCGTGACATGATTACTCAATTTACAAACAGTATAGTGTGTTCAAATACCATAATGTTGAGGTCGCACGGGTTTATCTGAAATTGCAGTGCCACCGCTCGGTCGCTATACACTAGGTCCGGGGAAGACGACCTCGCTGTGTCGGCCGCACTTGAGTAGATGATTATGTTAACCTGCATCTGACTGGTTTTCAAGTCCGATGGCAAACTATATAAGAAGTAGCCGAGCTTCTCAGCGATTGACAAAGTGTGGGTTTGAGTGTTTACTATGTCCGCTTATTGACTCTCAATCCTGGTACTTAGTTTATAATCCTATTCATCAAAACTACATTCATCTTGAGTGACCTCTACAATAACTTCCGGGAAAATGGCCAACAAACTTTCTATCTCGTTTGATGGTAAGGCTTCATTCTACGCAGACTGGGAAGTGGCAGGAAAGTAACTAAATGCTTGACAGACTACCTTCAATTAGAAAAATGTGTTTTTGAATGGGGAGACAGCTACGATGCAAAGGTATGCATTGATTTGTATCATTTGTTGCATCTGCATCTGCATCTGAAAAAGATATTCTGAGACTAATCCTATTCTTAGGACTGGCAGCGCTTACGTGGAATCATCGCCCCCACCCTCAAGGTACGTCTCCTAGGTCTTTTTTTATTCTATTATTATTATTAATACTAGCTTTGACCCCACGTCGTTATAGATTGATTACCGCATTGTTATGGATGAACGATGGTACTGGCCTGAGATGCCCTCTGAAGATTTCATTGCCATGGTCTCATCTGAAGGGTTTCTGGGTGACCCTTGCATCAAAACACAGCATTTGTTGGGTGGCCATTGGTGGGAACGCGTCTCAGAAACAGAAGTCATTGGCCACCATCAGCTACGGGCCGCCCATTTACGATACACCGATGCTAGTCTGCAGGAGGTTGCCAAGCGTGGGCATGGTCATGCTACCAATGAGCACTATTACCGTCGAGTCGACGGAGTATGGAAGTTTGCAGGTATCCGGCCGTTTGTCCGATGGAATGAGTGGGATTTTGAGCAGATCTTCCGCGGGCTGGAATTCCCCGATCAACAACAGAATGGCAGCGGATCGACTAGGCCTATTTTCAAGGCGTTGCCGAGGCGAGACTAATTAGAGGATGATATATGTACGCAGATTGAAATCAATCCCACGGCAGGTATCAATTAGACAATACCTATATGGAGTGTGCCACTTACATGTCAACTGGGAGAAACGTTATATGCTGCCCAAGAAAGATGGATATCAATTGACTATGCATGATTCGCTCGGAAATAAATTGGCGCATTACTTGTTTCAGTACTAGTATAACTGAATTCCCCGATTTCGTGCGCTCTTTTTATTGTCTGACGCTGTTCACTCATTACTATGTACGAGAAGAAGTTGAAATAAATGGAGCGTTCAAAAATGGATTGGCAAAAAATGGTAAGGTGGAAGATGGAACAAGTTCAGTTTGATCATGTTAGCGACAGTACATTATTGACAAGAACTGTCTTCTAAATAGCTGACGATCCCCGAAGACAGTTCAAGATGAGCAAAAAATCGATGTCAATATTTTTACTTGTACTTGTGAGCTAGTAACGTCACGTTGGAGATGACCTTAGTTATGTTATTTGCCCACGATTTACTCGATAGAAAGAAATTCCCCTACTTCCAGCCAATTTCAATCAGAGAATCCCAGCTATTCTCCGGGCGGTTAATGCTTAAAATTGCCAGGCGGTCGTCTGTCAGACGAACAACTTCCTCCCACTCTTCGCGAGATCGCTCCTGGGCGTTTACCATGTTCCACATAGTCATTTCCATGGCACTAAAGAGAACGTCAATAAAGTCAACAAAATTAAAGCCATGATATGTTCTTACCGCTGTTGTCTTTCATGTGAACCGTTTAATGCCCGCGGGGGTTGAATAACAAGCTCACATAGTATAATTCTACTGGTAGGCTTCAAGGCAGGAACGAGGCTCTTCAATATCTTAACCGCATTGTGTGCAGCCCAGTCATGGCAGATGTGACGCAGGAAGTAAACTTCCGCGCTGATGGGCTGAGGGGTGAAAAAGTTATGTGCGCTGAAGTCGATTCGAGATTTCAAATGCGCAGGAAGGGCCTTTTTGCCACCCTCGACAGTATGTTCGTAGTCTTGCACAACAAACTTGAGCTCTGGGAATGCTTCTGCAAGCGCGATACTGACGAAACCCGAAGAACCTCCAAGCTATAATTGAAATTAGCATTAGCAAGATAAGAAAAGCAAGTAGATACTAAATATGAGCCATGGAACTTACATCAACCACCAAGCCAGACCCTACATTGGCCCAGTCGTACCCATTGACAATATGCTGAAGGTTGAAGCCCTCACCTTTGCCTACTCCAGCCATTGCACCAAAGAAGCGTGCCTGGCGATCTGGATTGTCTTCGAAAAACTTGAAAATTGGATCTTTGGTATTGAATGCCGTGCTGAACGAACAATGGTTGGGCTCCGTACTTTGAGGGTATTTCTCCATCGTCTCAGCAAGTTTGGCCGCCGAGGGGAAAACTTCCTCGACGAAGTGGCCGTACCAGTCCTGAATGGCTTTGTTGTGGACGAGTGCCGCAGAAGCTGCTGTGTGCACAACGACGTTCGGCGCGGGTTCATCAAAAATACGATTCAGCGCGGATTGGCGAATCGCAGTGCGTATTCGGTACTCAGGCAGGCCTGTCTTAGCAGCCAGCTCAGTGTAGGTCGTACTCCCACCAAATGGGACAAGGTCGTAGATTTTGAATTTGTAAATGATACTCTGTGCAGCGACTTCGAACGGCTGTACGTTGCACACGTCAATTCTTTCCGCACCACTATGGTTCAAAACAACAAGATCTACTTACACTTTGACAAAGGCGATTTATCAGATCCGCAGGGCCAAGAAGAAGATCGAGCAGTAATTTGCTATCATCCATAAGCTTTACACGGGCCTCCCGTGCGGCCGCATCCTTGGAAACGTCTGGAAACGTCTCACCGGCATGTTGTTCAAAAGATGGCAGTGGTAAGCCACGACTAGCCAAGGACTGTTCAAGCAATGCCGCATGAGCGGCCATGCGCGAAGTTAATTCAGTAAGAGAGGTCATGGCGAATAGTCAATGGTCGTACTAGTCGGCGTGAAGTAGGTGAAGATAGACTGCAAGGATGGCTATGACCGAAGGAATGCGGTTAACGTCAAATACGCGAAAGAAGGCTTCAAGATGTTTGTTGAGCATCTGCACCCTTCAAATATATTCAGTAAATGGACAATTCCGTGCAAGATGATTAATTTCTCCCCCTCCAAGCGGGGACATCATTCCAGGATCCTCTACCATTTCGGTAGCCGAGCTTGTATCCGACGGTCATGGTGTGCCGTATGCCCTATTAGTTCTAATGAAAACCAAACGGAAGATAACTCGAAAAAGAAATAAGAGTAAGAAGCGAAGAACGACGAATGAAACCGTAGCGGACAAGGGGCGATGAAGAGTGCGCGAGGCACGGGAGGGCCGTTCCTTGCTTGTCCGACGGACAGCCGACCAATGAGCATGGCTTAGCTTCATCAATGCTTACCCCCTTGTTGCGGACTGATTATATGCAGAACTGATTGACGATGCAGTAATACTTCGTAACCATAGTTAGTTTCAGACTATTAAGCAGTGTTCAGGTCTGCTGTCGTGACAAACGAGCTACGGCTGGTGTATTATTATCTTGGGATTAAAAATAGCACGAAGCATAGAGCTGCTCCTAGGTGATTTTGCCGCATTTTATATTTTTCGTTCACAATTAATAATACGAGGAAGTCAAAAAACGAAAGAAGAAAAAATATAAGCTGAACAATGGCACAAGACAGCAACGTTCGAACAGTTGCATTATTTGGTGTAAGAATATCCCGGACAAATTCACGCCTCACCTGTGAGTAATATGTGACACGAAATATCGATTAACTTTCATTTTAGGCAACTGGAAACCTTGGTAGCTACATTCTTCATGGCTTACTTGAAGCATCCTACTCTGTAACAGTCATACTTCGCCCAGAAAGCAAATTTGAGATTACACCGGCCACCATCAATGGCTTCCCACCTGCGCGAATCAAGACGGTCAAAATCCCATTTGACGATGAAGATAAATTAGTTGGTACACTGACTGGCCTTGACGCAGTTGTCGTGAGTATATCCAAGGGGGGTATTGGCGCTCAAAGGGCCTTGATCGACGCAGCCATTAAAGCTGGCGTTAAACGGTTTATACCATCTGAGTTTGGCGCAGACACATTAAACGACGGCTTGATGAAAAACGTGCCTGTCCTACGCGAGAAGCTTGTAATTCTGGATTACTTAAAGGCGAAAAGTCAGGAAAACCCAAACTTTACATGGACAGGCATTAGTAGTGCCGCATTTCTGGACTGGGTACGCAAAGCCACTCTTTCGTGCGCGCAGTATATACTGTATTACTAACTTGGAATCAAATTAAATTAGGGGATCGAATCTGGATTCTTTGGTTTCAACATTTCGGAGCGTACTGCAGTCATATACAGCTCTGGTACAAAGGTTTTTAACGCTACCACCCGTGAAACGATTGGTCGAGCGGTTGCCCTTGTCCTACAAAGCCCAAAAACTGAGAACCGATACATTTATATCGCAGATGTCAGAACCACACAGAATGAGATTCTTAGCCACCTTCAAATACAAACTGGCGTTGCGTGGAAGACAACCAGCAAGGACGCAAATGCACATCGTTTAGAAGGGGAGACACTTCTAAAAGGAGGAAACTTTCCATCTGCTGCTCCCAAATTACTTCTTGGGAACCTCTATGGGGACGGCCATGGAACTTTAGTTGACAACGAATTACTTGAGAACGCTGCGATAGGGCTGCAGACGAAAGAACTCAGTAATGTGGTAGCAAGCGTATTAGGCAAGAAGACTCTCTAAAGTAATTCATCCCACAAATGGTCAGCAAGATCTCTGTTTCTAAGTTTGTCATAATGCTATTGTAGTTCGTTTTGATTAGAATAATGAATCATATGACTACTACATCCGAGTTCCACGAATCAATTCTCTCTATTATAGTTGGTTAATTTTATTCAGGATTTAGTTAATGAGCAGAGAGATGAATTCATTCACGTTTCCTCGACTGTCAGAAGTTAACAAAAATGCATCTTGTGATGAAATGAGTTATTACTGCTAAATTCGACTCCTGTTTGCGATGCAACTGTAAATGCAGGCCAATCACTAGCGGAAAAAAGAAATCTATGTATTAAATAGCGCTCCCTTATAGGGAGCTGATAGCGATAGTTTAGTGCGGCTTCAATGTCGGATGTATTCGCTCATAAACCATGGATATCGCAGAGATAACAATACCCAGACCACTGAGCCCAATAGCCACGTACCACGCATGGCGACAGTCAGCAAACAAGTCAGTCCCATCACCTAGATTGCTAACAGCAGTTCCGGCGATACCGAGTCCAATGCTCATGGCATAGTTTGTCGTTGTCAGCGCCAAGCTAGCTGCTATTCCCTGATGTTCCTGAGGGACGGCAGCCGATAACATAATCACAGCCGCTGGGAACGACATGTCCATGCCCCAGGGTACTATAACTGTGGCCACAAATGTCTGCGCCCAGTATGTCTGGTCGAGAGGCATGGTGGCAACCAGAACGTTTGCGATCAAGAAAGCGAGCATGGCCAAGATCATTATTGGCGGAACGCCAATTTTCCCGATGAGAATTCCCGTCGTAACAGAGGCAACAAAGCCGGAAATTGCTGAGGGGGTATTTTGAGCGGTTGCTAGAATGGGGGTGACGCCACGGAGTTCCTCCAGGAATTGCCATAGATAATACAACCACACGGTGAACGAAGACCATCCGGCCAATATAGCCATCAAAACAAACGCAATATGCAAGTTCAGCTGCTGTACTGGGACCAGCGGTCGTTCGGAGCGTCTCTCCACGAGAACAAACCCTACGAAGGCAAGAACTCCGAGAATCAAAAGAACGTAAACATAAGGAGTCTTCCAGCCTACATTAGGGCCTTGGTTCCATGCCACATTGAACAGAACCAGTCCAGCAACACCGAAACCAAAACCCAGCCAGTCAAATCGTCGATCGATATTTGGCTTTGGGGGAGAAGCCGGAACAACAAAGTAAGCGATCGTCGCAAGGACGATACAGGCGATCCCCATGGCGAAGTATGCCCAGGCCCAGATGGTGAATTGGGCAAATATCGAGGAAAAACAAGCACCGAGAATATAGCCACCAGGTGCGAAGGCTCCAAATAAGCTCATGACCATGTTTTTCCTCATTCCCGGCGGATAGGTACGGCCCAGAATCGCAACTGCGTTAGGTAGTAGCAGCGAGGCGCCGACTCCTTGCAGGGCGCGAGCCACGACAAACAACTTGTCGCTGTCTCGAGAAAAATAGCCTGCACCAGCAATAAGTGACCATACGCCGTATATGACAAAGCCTATAATCAGAATATTCTTCGAGCCGTACATGTCCCCCAGTCGGCCAGCAACGAGGATGAAAGTTCCGGTAATTAGCGCAAATGAAGCAATATACCAACTGAGTTCGCCGTTGTCGGTGACAGAAAAATGGTCGCCAATAATATGCAGGGGTGCCAGTGCCTGGCCAATACCCGCCTGTACAACAATCTGTCCACATAGTAGAGTCGACGTGAATATCAATTCGTGGCCAAGAGAAAATGGCGGTCGTGTGCTAGGCTTGGGGGGGCCACTTCTGGAGCAGCGCTTTTCTCGGTATTTCCCCCATTTTCAGAGGAAGACGTATCTTGATGTTCCTTGACTTCGAGGGCCTCGAGGTCATCGTTTTCGAGTGTTCTCTCAGAAGTCATGATGCTGCAAGTTGTCGCTGCGATCCCTCGATGGTGATGACGAGGTGGTCCTTGCACAGAAAGACTACTGGAAGAAAAGAGAAAAGAGAGAGAGAAGAGAGAACATGTCGGAAAGCTAAAATGGCTCCCATCAAATAAGAATATCGGACAGCATTGCGAATAGTATAGCAGCACAAATCGTCAACTGGGCGTGCGCTACGGACTTGACCTCCAGTCATAGGGCGGGCTACTTTAGCCTCAGTTAACCCTAAGTGGCCGGCGTACTTCCCGATTGGCCAGTTGTCCGGTCGATCTCGTTTCGCGCTTTTCGGACATGCGAATCGACCGAACTTAAATGATTTCGATGGTCTCGACTACCTTATTTAGTAATCTGTCTGGACCCTTTCTTTGTTCTCTGTACGGAGTAGAGCATATCCTGTATTCTGTGACCGTTAAATCCGTAGCCAATAAAGGTTGGCCATGGACACTGTTAGCACCAGATCATCAATCATAAAAGATATCTTAAATTATGCATGTGCGCATGAGCAAGTACAATTATTAATAATAAGATATTGTGGTATCCATACCTAGTCTGTGTAGCGCTTTAGACATCCCGAATTCTCTGATACATCAACCATCACTCCAAAATGGCTCCCAAGATTGCAATCGTTTACGTTTGTTTTCACATATAGTTCCCTTATGGTGATTATGAAATTGACTAATTCTTTTGGCAATAAAAGTATTCCTTGCATGGCCACATCCAGAAGTTGGCCGAGGCTGAGAAGAGAGGAATAGAAGCTGCGGGTGGAAATGCTGATATTTTCCAGTAATGCCCGAGCCCTTTTTGGCATAACATTCTACCACTGCTAACCTCTTATCGCAGAATTGCCGAGACGCTCCCCGAAGAGACCCTAGTGAAGATGCATGCAGTCCCGAAGTCGCAAGATTATCCAGTCATAGAGCCAGAGAAGCTGGTAGAATATGATGCATATCTTTTTGGTATTCCTACTCGGTTTGGGAATGTGCCAGCCCAGTGGAAGACATTCTGGGACAAATCAGGTGGACTTTGGCAAACCGGCGGGCTCTGGGGTAAATATGCCGGGCTGTTTATTTCCACGGGGACCTTGGGTGGTGGACAAGAATCGACTGGCATTGCCATGATGAGCACATTTGCTCACCACGGTATCAGCTTTGTTCCCCTTGGCTATAAAACCACCCTATCATTTCTCGGAAATCTAGATGAAGTTCATGGTGGAAGCGCCTGGGGCGCTGGGACTTTGGTAAGTCAAACTTCCTTTATTCGTGTTATTCGCACTGTATAATTTTCCTGTCTCTATTATAATCCTTTTTGACAAATTAAATTAGGCTGGACACGGCGAACGTCAACCTAGTCCATTGGAAATCCAGCTTGCCGAAGCGCAAGGGAAAGCCTTCTATGAACGAGTTTCGCGGGTAAACTTTTCGTGATGGAGGCGTTAATGTGCTTTTGTTGTTTTGCCTGAATGATATTCAAGAAACTATACATAAAATAAACCGTCCCAAAATCAGTCATCAAAGTCATGTTCTATCAGCTGATTAAATTCGCTCATTAATCTGCAATTTTCTTTTCTTTTTATCCAAAAGGAGGAAACGATGGTTTCACCCATTTGAATCTTCCATTACGTAGCTGAACGTATGATGCAAATACTCCAATAACAATCTATGTTTGAACCGATAGTAAAAATATTTTTTGCACATATTATATACATATCTATATTATTCTTAGTTTTCGCCCCATTTAAACAATGGACAATTTCCGAACAGCATATACTGGCTATACAGGTTCCCATAAATTGAAAATGTTGACAAAGATTATCGATTAATGTTCGTCAATGATACTATAATGTTATTATTCTGTAAAAGGTAAACCAGTAGGAAAACACGGCAAGGGATATAGCCTTAATTTTAAACTCAAGGCCAATGATATGTTGTCTAAACTATTGACATGTCTGAATCAAAGCTCACATTGGTGATTTATTTCTATAGTAATTAAAACACATCAATTTACAATCTTCCCTTTGTATTCTATCGTGTGTTAGGTAAAGAACAAAGGAGGTCGAGGCAGGATATGAAATATCAATACGTAAAACAAACAGGAATGGATTTAGAATCAGTTATGTCGAGGGAGAGCGAAAGGTGAAAAGATGGCAAATTCTATTTAAATGTCCATAGCCTCTTTTATCAATTTGCCAACTTCAGCAGCCTGTACAACAGGTTAGAGCTATGTATCTAGTGGATTGCCAAGATTAAAGAGGAGGGGGTACAACTTACTAATGGGTCTCTCATCATCGTGAAATGATTGCCTTCCATACTAACACATCGTGTGTTAGTCTTACCAACTAATTTATCCCAGCCATTGCTACCCAGATTCTTGCGGTTGTTCACCAACCACTCCATACTATTTGGCATGCGGACACCCTCCTCCCACACCGGCTTCGGGTCGTCAATGCCTTTTACCACCCCATCCCGCGCCCAGATAAGTGTTGTCGGTGGCATACCTTCTGTATTAAGAGAAGTGGTTTCCAGAATTTCCGAGTAAGCTGTTAGTTCCCGCACCGTAGCTCTAAAATGTGGGAGAAGCCACTCTGGCGGTTTGGTCTTTCCGTCGCCAAGAAGGCCAATCTCATTGCAGAAGTTATGGAAAACTGGAGGTAAGGCTTCTAGACCAATTGGAAAGGGACTGTCCACCAGGATAAGTTTTTCCACTCTCTCGCCCTGCGCGATCAGTTGACGTGTCATTTCATAAGCTAACACACCGCCTGCAGACCAACCACCCAGCAGATACGGACCTTCTGGCTGCCGAGATTTTATAGCTTGCATATAAATTTTAGTAACAGCTGGTACCCCAATAGTGAAGAGCTCTGGGGTTCTCATGAAAGGGCAGTTCAGACCATACACCACAGTATGGTTGTCTAACTCGGGAATGGGAGCGTAGGAAAAGGCCGCGCCGGATCCATCAGGAAGCAAAAACAGCTTCCTTGTGGCCGTCCTTGGATTCCCTGAAAGAAGAATGATTTGGGAAGGAGGATATGATGATAAATCAACATTGATTGATGGAATTTCGCTTTGCTTCGGCAGTCTGATATCCTGTACTTTGGGGGCTATATCGGCGATGTTGATTGTGTTCGTAGGAACTTGCTTCGGCTTCTTCTTCAGATCAAGGCTAATGATCATCTGTTCAATTGTGGTATTTTCAATCAAGAAATCGGAAGGAAAGCTTAGTCCTGTTCTCTCCCGTAGACTCCCCAAGATCGCGAGACTCATCAGCGAATCCATTCCCATTTGCGATAAGTCAATGTTGTCTTGGATTTCTTCTACGTCAACGCCCATTTCCTCCGCAATTGTAGACCTGATGGTGAATATCTGGTCATCTTCGTCGTCATTGGGCGAATCTCCAATTTCTGACTCCGCCGGTGTGTTCACCTTGGTGATGGATTCAGAACGAGTTGGGTCGATATTACCTACATCACCGCCTGGACCACTCTCAAACTGGGAAAGATATGTCTTGAGTTGACCCACAGACCCGAAATCAATGAAAAGAGTTCCTCCGACAGGGATTTCAAGTTCTTCACGAAATCGCGAGCTTATGGACAAGGACATCAATGAATCAACGCCAAGATCTTCAAAGGCGATGTTGTCGTCCAACTCCGACAAGGAGCATCCAATTTCTGAGGCAAGTATATCAAGCGCTCCTGATATTAGTAGCGAAGGGCGAGAAGCTGCGGATGAAGATTTGAGATCGGGTTTGCTCTGTTGAGTCGGCTTCTTCGTTGTAGTCTGGGATGGTTTGACCTCTCGAGTAGGTCTATTGTTTGGTGAGGAAGTTTTGTTCTTTAGACCTAGTAAAGTCGGCATAAGTTTGCGAGGCACTCCTTGAAATCTGACGCCGCCAAAGACGCCAACAATTTTCTCTCCCTCCAAGACGTAAACATCTCCAGAAACCATTGTACTACCCTCACTGACAGGAGACATTTTAACATAGGACATGTACTCCTTGTCTATGGATGGCTTTCGGACAAAACGCATAGTCTCCCATCCATGAGAAATGTAGATCTGGTTCTCTGAATCCACTGCATCGGTGGCATTCATGATGAAACCAGAGACATGGCAAGTATTGTCAATACAGTATGGGCTAAACATAAACTCTCCGTCCTCGGGCTTTGTTTGGAACCTGATACGGGCTGCTGCTTCAAGGTTGGAGCTGTCGAGTCGCACTTCTTCCATGCCACGGAAAGTTGGGGAATAGTCGACTAAAGCCGAAAACAGTTTGTATGCCATTCCTCGGTAGATAGTATGCACATGCTCATTGGAGGTTTGCATTGATTTTATTCGCGCGTTGACGAGGTAAGCGCTGCGGTTAAATTCTGCTTCCCATGCTTTCGCATCCTCAAACCGGACCACACAGTGCGCATACTTAGTAATTCGCTTTCCATCCTCGGATACCGACTCAAAATATACATTTGCCAGGTTTTCCCCCGAGGCGTATTCCGACCTTATCTGTATAACTTGAGAGGTCTTGTTGAGATCTAGAATTAAAGGAGAAGATGATTCCATATTGCATATGTTCATGTCTGGTTCCTTGCCATCAGAGTGCACAAGATTGAAAGCATACTTCGAAATCGTATAGGCCATATCCGCATTAATAGATGATGGGAATAGGGGAGCTCCGCCGACTTTATGCCCACATATAATAGCTTTGAGGTGTGGTTCATGCAAGTCTGTTTCTGCCACCACCGTTGCCAAGCCGTTGTCAACCGATTCAGAAACGATACGCTGTATTGAAGTAGTCGAGAATTCTGGTGTTTTTGGAGATTGATTGCTGCCGCCCGTAGTGATTTGGCCCTTTGTTAAGGTCCAATTGTTTGTATACTCTAGCCAGTAGACCTTTTCGTCAAAAGCATAGCTAGGGAGATTCAAAACTTTGACAGATTTCTCAAAGATCCGGTGATACTCATTCCAATTAATTGGAATACCTTTATTGTAAAGCGTCGAAAGTGAGCTAGCCACGGTCTTCCAAGAGTCTTCCTTCTTTTTAAGACTTGCAACCGCTGTCGTGTCAGGCCCAATGGTAGTCTGGATCATGGCTGAGCAAATTGGGTGCGGTCCTATTTCTATCCACACCGTCTCTGTACCAATTGTTTTTCTTTCCATGCCGGCCATAATACTGCCCACAAAGTCGACACTCTCTCGAGCATGTCGTCGAAGATAATTAGCATTGAAAATATTTTCTGTATCAACAACGGTGCTGAGACTTGGGGCTAGAACAGGAACCTGAGGGGGGTGGAAAATAATTGATTCCGCCGCCTTTTCGAAATCGTCCAATATCGGGTCAACTTGAGTGGAATGAAAAGCGAATGGCACGTTTAGTTCAATGAACCTCAAGTCGGGACGCTTCGCCGAAAGACTCTGACGTGCTTCGTTTATGGCTTGACTTGGACCGGCCAGTACAGTCTCGGTCACTGAATTGAAGCAGGCAATTTCAACAGAGGAATTGGCGACAATGCCTTGCATCTCATCGTTTGATATCTTTCCCTTCACCGCAAGCATTAAATGGCTGTGCATCGTGCATAGAGTCTCAAGGAGCTGGGCTCTTTTAGCCACCAGGAAGACTGCATCCATAGGCGACAAAACGCCTGCCGCATAAAGCGCTGCATACTCTCCCAATGAGTGCCCCAGAACTGCGGTTGGTTTCATACCCCATGACTTCCACATATCGGCCAACACCATCTGAAGACAGGTCGTAGCAAGCTGGGAAACAATAGGAGAAACTTGAGCGAGATCATCAAGGCTCCCGTCGATCGCACTTATAAATGAAGGAAATCCCTGACCGGTTGCCATGCCATCAAAGCACTTTATTCGTCGCCGGAAGTCATCAGATGCAGAAAAAAGTTCTTTTCCCATCCCAGAATATTGAGCCCCTTGGCCAGTAAATACGAAAGCGACTTGTGGCGGGACTTTTGAAACTGGAGATGGAGAATTACTTGATTGAATATATGATTCCAGCTTCTGACGAAGTTGAGATAAACTTTCAACAGGAAAACCTTGACGATATATGTAGTGCTCCCGCCGAGCGGTTGTCGTATACGCAAGATCTGCTAGAGAGAAATCCCTATTATGGTCAATCCAAGACAAGAGTCTTTCGATATTTTTTCCAAAGGAAGCCAGCGACTTCGCGGATATCGTCACTACCTGGGAGGGTCTGACGTCTTCTCCAAATGGGATCCGATGGGGAGCATCTTCAATTAGCATGGCAGAGTTCCCCCCCGCTGCGCTGAAGTTGTTGATGAAGACTAATCTTTTTTGGCCATTTTCCGCACGGCTAAAAGACGTCAAGGTGGACGCGATATTTACGCCTCGCTCTTTCAAATCACTGGGAAAAGTCTCGTTCATTGTCCCCTTAATACCGCAATGTGGTGGGATTAAGTTCTTCTGCAACATGAGCATGACCTTAATCAATGCGGAAACTCCGGAGACAGCTTCTCCATGCCCGATGTTAGCTTTGGCAGAGCCAATGTACAGGGGCTTATTTATAGGTCGTCGGCGTTGGCCCCGAGGAGCGAACACGTTTGTCACAGACTGTATCTCAATACCATCTCCAGCTTGAGTACCTGTACCGTGCATCTCGACGTAGTTGACATCCCGAGGATCCTCACCCAGGTCATCCATTATTTTCTGAAACAGATATTGTTGGGCACCAGCATGAGGATGGGTGATCGAAACAGCCTCAGCACTGTGGTTCGTGGCAGTGCCGCGAATTACAGCCAAAATAGGGTCGTTGTCTGCAATTGCATCTTCCACTCTTTTAAGAATGACGGTAGCAACGCCGTCTCCACGGCAGTATCCATCAGCCTCGTTATCAAACGTTTTACAAGACCCTGTCTTGGACAGGAACTGCCCTTTGGATAAGCCTGCAAAGATATCAGGATTGGTGAGAACGTTCATTCCACCAGCAAATACGGTGTCACAGTCTCCTGCACGAAGAGAGGTACAAGCTAGCTGGATTGCAGCAAAGCTACTAGAGCAAGCTGTGTCGATACTAAAACTTGGACCGCTAAATCCAAAGTGGTAATTCAACCGACCCTAGTAATTCATTATCAGGTTTGGACATGTTGATGCAATCTTATCGAGAAACGTACCGGTCCAAATGCTCTCACACCCCCAGTAATGAAATAAGTATCTATATTCTCTGCAGCGTTGATCTCACGCCAATCATCACTAGTCTGGCCATAGAATGTTCCAATCCTATTAGCCTGTGTCGATGACGTACGGTTCATCACAAAACCTGAAGATTCCATAGCCTCATAGGCTGTGGTGATGGCTAAGCGCTGCATTGGATCCGTCTGCTTTGCTTCACGAGGAGACATGTTGAAAAATCGTGGGTCAAAAAGGCCCGGCTGCTCGATAAAACAGCCGTATGGCGTGTGAGTCTTGTTTCTACCATTTCCACTGGGGTCTGTATGGGCCTCTGCGTCGAATCGATCTGGGGGAATCTATACAAACTTTGTCAGCGGTCTATCATTCGCTGAAGATCCAGATACAATGAGCTTCCTACCACACGATGGACATCTAGCCCTTTGGCAAGCAGGTCCCAAAACGCTTCGTGGTCAGCAGCATCGGGGAAACGACCGGCCATCCCAATAATTGCAATATTACACCCAGTTGCTGTCTCGGATAGGTACGAGGGAACGGAGTTGTTAGACAGCCAAGAAGCATGATCATCAAGAGAAAGTTTGAGACCATTCTTAACTAGGTGCTTGAGCGAGGATGACAGCGAATTCCCAATAGGGGCAGGCCCAAATGCCCGAATACGACATGTCGGGGATGCAGTTTCAGTAATCGAATCTGAACAATATTTGACTAGAGAGTTCCAGTCTACAGTGACATCCAGTATCTGGTGGATGGAATCCTCAAAAAGAGCTTGGCTCATTGAGAAGGTAGATCCACAAACTGGGTAGAACTGGCTGTATGAATCCAACACTTCCAGTGACTGCTCACTAATTATGTCGTGCTTTTCGAGGAACAGGTGAGATGCATGATATGGGCCATAGATTGGCAAATCCCTGTGAAATGTCGATTTCAATAGTTTCGGGTCTTCGAAAAGAAGTTTGCGGATCGAGGGAGGACCGCTGACCGCAGTGGAATTGGACGCTATACTGCTTACATATAGTCTGTTAGGACCCTTTAGAGCCTAATGAATAAGTCAGATCGTATCACCCAAAATCTGAAACGAGATGATACCTGAGTTTTGTTGAAAGAATCCACATCCGACACAACTGCTTGAGAGTCGATCCCAGTGACGAGGGACGTCCATGGCTTCTGGCCTGGTTCTAGTGACTCTGCAACGCACGCCACCCGTGCTCCTAGACGAAATGCTATTCGTATAGTTTCAACGGCAAGCGGTATTAATGCCACCAGGGAATCGCAACAGGCAATGGCTGATGCCGACAGAAGACCAATACACATGCCCATGATGCGGGACCCAGGTTTGATATACGTATGCGGGTTCTCTTCAGAAGTTCTAGAACAGGTCAGACTCATGGCTTATCCAAGTCTAGATCTGGGGGGGCGATAGAGCATACCCGATGAAATGGGCAAGTTGTGCTATACAAGCAAAGGCGCTCTCAAGGGAAGCAATGTGCACTCCCCGTCGATGATATTCATCGACAAGTTCTCGAAGACTAGAGAAGGGGGGAATCTGCGCCCGCTGATATGATGAAAGCAAAGTGATCTCATTCTCGAGAATGACTTTGACTTTGCGAATGAACGCCTGGAAAAGGGGTGTCCTTTTCTTGATCAGGATGTCCACAAGGAAAGGACAGACATCCACGGTCTGATCACCACACACAAGGATATCCATGATTGTAAAGCACCGTTATATGATAACAATCTATAAAGGGTGTGCCACCAGCACTCAGAAAGATGGGAAATGTCCTTGTCGATGAATCTATATGATAAAAGAGATGTGCGTTCGTCTATTCCCTACTGAGGAATGCTTAAGGAAAGATAGCCAGTATGTTGAATTGGCTTGATATAATTCCTCGGTTTCACAGTTGATTAGTGATGCAGTTGAGAATGAGTCGATGCCGGGCATGACTGACTTATGACTTCAGGGAGAGTCCGAGTGTGGCAGATATTACAGCATTATTATGATTGTTACCGAATCGGGAAAGTCCGCCATTATGCTCGGCTTCTCAAGCTTATACAAAATACACTACAAAACAGCTTGTCAGTAATAGCCCTAATACTCCACGTGCTTCCCTTCAGTTCACATCGTGTACGATAGCTTTCGTCGAATAGACAGTCCGCATGCACAAGGCTCGCGTGGTTACTATCCGCACGTCAACTATAGACATCGGATTTCTGAGCCAATCAGCAATTTCTAGGCACCTGAGCCTATTTCAGCCCTTATCATGGAAGTTGGGATGTCTCCTCGCCACTACGGAACGTCGACTATACAGTGTAGGATGGGGACCTCTACGAAAGCCCGAGCAAAACGGCGACCGCATTCTGTAATAGGCTAGGACTAGTTCGTGGGAAAATAGTAACTAGTCACGGACTTTTCTCATATCAAATCCATCAATCCGTATCATCTCCCGGCGGACCAGCGGAATATTCTTCAGTGCAATGGCCAGATAACAATCCCTGTTCATAATTGTCTTATTTGTCGGCGCTTTTGATGCTCTAAATCGAACCCCTGCAATACGGCGTGGGGCCGAAGAGATACGGGGTCTCATCTTTTAGCATGCTTAAAACCCCCAAGAATTGCGAAATAAAACACGCTAAAAAAGGCGGCTGGTAGTTGAGAGACGGTCAAATACGGAATAATACATCTTGCCTATTAAAGACCCATTTTATACATGTGAGTTAGCTTGCTATATAATTACTCGTGGCGATGCGGGCGATCATCACGGTCGATCACAATGTGGCCGCTGATCTCTCACACATGGTGGTAAGCTCACTGGCTGCATAAGCGAACCCAACTTCAATGAAAGAGGCAACAAGAAGTCTTCGCCTTGAATACGGGTGGGTGGGATGGGCTTCCCCGTATTGACACATTTGTTGTATCCGCCAAGGAGGCATCATCAAGGAACCAGAAGGATTCACTCGAGCAACGTTACTTACTAGTCAAGGATATGATTGGTTTAGCATATATGTCAGCCAAATGCCGGCGCTGCCATCCTTCTCGGTATGAGCTAGCTAGAGAGTGCATAATTACAGTCAGCACGAGAGCGACCGGTGTTCCGCTTTGCTGGTGGTTCTGCGTTATTATTATGCATAGTGGGTTACCCGTCAGCGGGAGGCCTCGGTTAGGGATAGTACATACTAGAGGATGAGGGAACACCCGTCCACTACAATCTTTTGCAGAGATCAGCCCGGAGAATCTGTCTGGCTTAAATAAAAGACCAGTTGACGGGCTTCTACTTGTCACTACACGCGACACTCGATTGTTGAGGATTTGAAAACATGCAGTCATGACAAAGCACGAGGTGCCACTAGATTTGACGCCGTGACAAAAAAAAAAAGGCATCATAGAGGATAGGAAAAGTGAAGTTTAAAGGGCCAAGAAGATCTATGGATGCACGCGCGGCCCGCGGAAACGCAGTAAGCCAGATTCAAATGTTCCGAAGAAGGCCCTATATCAATACTGAGCAATTTTCAAGACTCTGCAACCAATAAAAGCAAGGTAGGAGACTTTGCCAACGAGAAATCAGCCCAGAGTGTTTCCGCCAACATATGTACGGAGTACGTACTTCTTCATTCGACTGGCCCTTATGGAGCTCTGGGATGGTCTATTTTGTGTAAACCACATGTGATGATCATTGGTTGTCAATTCTCCAGTGCCCATTATTCTGTCTTACACCGCATCCTCTGCACAAACCTCTGTCAATGATAATCTAACTACATGAATTGGGGTTGGTGTTGCTGAATGTTTGGGCTTGTCCCATGAATCGAAAGTCGGAATACATTTAGTAGTCACATTTCCTTGAATAGAACTAGATTTTCAAAATCACGCCTACTTAGTCATTCTTAGCCTAGTGGAAAGTAAGGGTTGCGCCTATCTCGGCGTCAGACAAATCGTCTTATGCGTTACATATAACTAGGCCAATATGCATATCTGATATGTTAGCGGACCTACCCGCATCTATTGGTTGGTAGCTGAATCACAGACCTAACCGCTGACGACCACAACTGTGGCTGGAGACTTTAATGATAGTCCCTCGCTTCAAAACTACTGCAATAGGAGGTATTTGTTTAAAGTTTAGAGCCGTAGGTCACCATCATAGCGCTAGTTAGCCTCTGGAGTCTAACCTTATCAAAGAACAGGGTGATGAGGGGCCGGCTGACATCACTGGGGCCGTCTGGGCCTATGCGAAGGACATCATTGTCAAGATAGTCACTGCACATAGAGGGCTGGGTGCCTGTGAGTTGGGCATGGTGGCCACGCGGTAGGCGCGGCTCCAGCGAACTGTATGTCTGGGAATCTGCCCGTAGTTTCCAGATCCGGTAAATCAATGGGAGGCGCAGGGATACAAAATAAGCTCTTTTAGCTGCAGGTCTGTTTGAGTGATTGACAATGTTCTAGTCGTTCTGGTGCTTTTCGACCGTCCCTCTCGCACTTTCCTCGCGCCTTCGGAACTTGGATAATTCCGAGTTAGATTTTAAGGGACGTCATCACGTCAGACCTTCGCCTCTCTCGGTATTGGAGACGTCAGCTAGTCGATGGTCTCGACTCCCCATTTTTCGAGCAATGGCCAAGTGGGTGCTTGGATCAACTCGGCGGCGTGTACTTCTGACCAACAGAGACTAGTCGGAACTTGCTATGGGGATGATCCGCGGCTGAAGAACCTGTGCAAGTTTTCTCGTAAGCAACAAGGACGCCCATTTGGACCAGGGAATTGTAGCCGAATTTTGATGTATAGTTTGTATATCGGCTAGAAGAGCCAAGAGCGAGCCAAGACTGTAGGATCTATCTGACTGTGCGCTTAGGGGAGTCAGTCCCGAGCACAGTTATTGTGTGTATTCCACGTGGTTACCGGCACCCTTGATTCTTCATCGATAGGCGCATGCAGCAGACCCATTATGTAGGTTAATAGCCTAAACGCTGCTAACTCGCCAGGCTGCAGCTTCAATGACCTAAGGCGCATAAACGATGATGCAGAAGTGTAGATTGTGGAATATCGCAAGCCTATTGGATGCGCGACGCGGAATCCACTTGGTGCCAGACTTGGCAGAGATTCCATCGGTGACTTTTCGGTTTCGCGGTTTCACAGTTTCCTACTTTTACCCTTCCTCATATTGTCATTAGCCTAGGCCGTCGTTTTTCAAGACAGCTGTAGTGGAGCCTTGTCGTCGAAAATCATCGTCGTCCATCAATCAGAATAATGTGAACAGCATGGCCCGTTGATACGATCCTCTAAACCTCGTACACCAGCGTATAACTGCAGGGACGATAATTCTTAGATAAGATTTAGTCACCACTTCAGGCGGCGCAGCGTTGCACTGCAGCTGCATCAACGGTTCGCCAAAGCAGCCATCACTTGGTCCGATGGGCGGCAACCACGATTCGTAAATAACACCCTTCTTTGCCTAGCACTGTGCAGTGAGGTGCAACTGTGACGAAAAGCGTTCTTCCCCAGATCGTGCTTGTTGGTAGTGACAGGACGCGCGAGGACACTACATTGGGGTAGATGCCGCGCGCAGGAACAAAAAATCATTGATTATTGATCCCTCGCGACCGCCGGCGCCGTGTCTTTCCTGACCACCAAAAACCACAGCTCAGTCGCTACATAACGCAGCACCGGCACCAGTGAGTGGCCGTAGGCCGAGCGACTAAGTACGTGCCTGCAGATTGATCTCGTAGGCATCGATGCAGCAGCTCTGTTCAACACCATGACTGCCCTATCCCAACATGCATCGCCGCAGGCCAGAAACATGGCCGCGCCGACCGGCTCTGAAGAGCTGCGGTACATTGCCTGCGCACACTGCTCCAAGGCCAAGGTGCGCTGCGACAAGAAGGTGCGTGGTTGCGCTCCCCATTCCTGCTTGGCAATTCGTCGATCACGGACGACGGCCGTCATCCGCTGAGATGCTGTGATGCTGTGATGCTGTGATGTTGTTCTTGCAGCCGTTGTGCCGTGAGAGTGTCTGTCTGGTCTTGGCGCTGGCCCCACCGCGCCTGCCCTGCTCATGCCTGCCCTGCCTGCCCTGCCTGCTTCTGCGACATCTTGAGATTATTCTTGCTCTTCTTCCATCGTCTCCTCGTTGACACCTGCTCCTGCTCAGGTCCCTTGCATGCGATGCGTCTCCAAGCAGCTGGTCTGCGAGCCGCGTTCTGCTCGCCGCTCTGCCAATCGATCACACGAACCCCAGTATCGCTCGCTTCAGCCGCGAAAACGAGTCGCCTCCGACGACGACTCCAACAACAACCACGACCATAACAATGCCAAACCCAAAGGCAATGCGCTGCCCACTCCCCCGACCGAAGCCAGAGACCATGGTGTCATACCCGCGCCCCCCATGATGCTGTCCCAGTTCTCGGCCATACCGCCAGTCATTGATGCCGACTACCCTGCCGCCAGCCAGCGGCCTCAACAACAGCCACAGCAATGGGCCGTGGGGTCCATACCGCTCACCGCGGGACTGCCTCCAGACTGGCTGGCGCAGATTCCTCGTCAAGCTGACCAGCCCACACCGGCGCTACAACAGCAACTGCCACCGGTAGCTAGCAGTGCTGAGCGCGACAGCAGTGGCTCGCAGTCGACGCCAACCTCGATGATGGACGAGTTGCGAGATCTGAACATGACTGATTTGGCGATGACGGATTTGATGGGAACCTCTGGCTACGACCGGCTGTGGGAGCCATACTTGGCCAACTCGCCTGTCGGCGATGGCCGTCTTGTCGGAGGTGAATCGCAGGGGGACTGGGACTCCAAGGCAGCCGATGGCGATATCTCTCGTCGTGCATCCACTAGCATGCACCAGCCGGCTCGGTTTTTCCCCTCCACATTTCGCCCCAAGTCAAAGGACTGCTTCAGTCAGGCCCGCATCAACCTCCAACAGTTGGAACAGACGTTGAAATCGCAGGAGCAATGGGGTACAAGCTGGGCCCCTACCAATCAGTCTACTCGTGTTAGAGCCCAAACATCTGCCGAGCCTATCACAGATAGTACCAGAGATCAGTTGCTAGTTGTAACCCAATTACTCCTTCAACAGTCTCGGAGCATCCATGTTCGCAATTCGTCATCCATTCACACTGATGCACACCCACTAAATGCAGTGCTGATTACTCTTCCACCAACCAAAGTACTTGACGACATGATTCGGGCTTATTCCAGCAACTTTGATCAATATTTTAAACTGTACTCCAGCCCGGTTCTCAAGCCAAATGACCTGCTTGCGCAGCTTCCCCAGCATGGCAAATTGCCTGGAATTGTCCTCCTGTTGATGATTGCCATTGGTGCGGCTGCTCTCCCCACTCAGGAATGCCAGAATTTCGCCGTAGGTCTAGCCGAGATGTGTCGTATCTCTTTATCAGAGCTCCTCGAACGAGACTTCTCCATTACGACAGAGCCAATGGTCTCTTCTTGTGCCCTTCTTCTTCTTTATCTTGGTATGTGGTGTGGCGAACGCTGGCTAATGGGGGTGAGTCGTCAATTGTTTCTTCCCCTCGTTTCCGCATCTTTCATTAACAAACGTCAGATTTCGAGCGCTCAAAAGGCGATGTATGTCCACGTAAGTTTCAACATTTTTTATTTAAACTAAATGACAGATATTTGAGTAGAGCAACAGTATTGGATACCTTTGAGCTGACCAGAGAGAACCAGTTGTTTCGCAATGCAACACACCTAGAAACCCCTGATACCCACCAACCTTTCTTCGGTGCTCTGGATGTTGACCAGGCTTGGAGCAAATGGAAAGATCAAGAGTTCAAATCTCGGTTGGTATCCCTTCTATAATGTAGCCGTTATCTGTCTTCATGGAGGTTATGGGTCTAACATACCATTTTCTTAGGCTTACATATGCCTGGGTTATGGCCGATCAGGAATGGAGTCTGTTTTATGACACTGCAAATATATTCTCGGTTGATATGTTGATCGACCCGATGCCTGCAGATGATAAGCTTTGGAAGGCTGCTAGTTCCACTGATTGGGCTCAACTGGTGCCGGAATACTTGTCAAATACATCACAGATCTCGCTCCGTGATCTTTACAGCCGTTTTATGAACGGCGAGTTGCGGGTCGTTCGCGGACCTGGCTTGAGCCTTCTGTCGCTCAGACTCTTGCTGATGCCGCTCCAAGGAATGGTCTGCCATCTTCGTCAATGGCTGCAGACTTTCTCTAATCGTCCCGTCCGGTGGAAGCGAAGTGCGCAGGCCCTATCGAACTCAGCAATCCACGCTCAGCTCGACCAGGTGCGTGGGCTACTTATTGAGTGGTTCACCCTAGCATCTCACTCATCATCTTCACCATCCACGGACTCACCTTTTTCATTGGCCACCCTTGTCATTTACCATCTGGTATCCCTGAACACAATATCGGGTTTTCCCGAAATTGAAGACGCTCTCGCCAACGGAATGATGCCCGATCGTGGCTCCTGGAACCCTGCTGTTGGTGGTGTGCAGGGCCCCGATGTTTCTGTTGTTGCACAAGACTCTGAAGAGGAGGTTCTTTTCCATTGCGGTCAAGTACTGCGCTTATATCGCCTGATGCCTCAAAAGGAGCAACCTCTATGGTGGCCAGGCGTAATCTACCGGGTTGCTCTTATAGTATGCTTCATCGCCATTGCTCGCCATCCTTTCGATTGGCAACAGCCAAGAAGTTCAAGGGCAACTAGCTGGACGACAGGGTCTGGGGATAAAGACAACTCCCGCACCTCCACTACCACCAATGGTAATGCGGGTGGCGATATACTGTCAACGAGTGCAAGCAGCTATACCCTTGAATCCGCAATGGCTTCGTCATCTGGCAACCAACTCCAATTCAATCGTCGTTTTGCACTGGATGGCTTACCTGCTGACCACCCCACATTAGTTAACTTTCTCAAGTACAAGGATGGCGAGCCCACGCTGACTTACCGGGATGGCCACTTTGCGAGTCTCAAGAATCCGGATGAAATCTTCCGGTATTTTATTGAGATGCTGGATGGAGGTCGTGATAAAACGGACCATGGCATGGGATCTCAAAATCTTTCTGGAACACAGCTACAATCCAGTGTCAGAAGTGCTTTGGAATCCGTGGCTGATCGGTGGGGGATACACGGCCGGTGAAACCCACTCGACATTGACGGTATGTATATAGATTGGAATTAGACAGGTCACGATAGGACACGATGCCATGATGATTTTCCCTACCTTTTTTCCTCGGGTTTCATAGAGTTCTAATTCGGCTAGATGGATCTTCTCTTTTTTTGGTTTATAGACAGGTCCAAACATTCTGCCTTGGTTTTCTCTTCAATGTTGTTTCAAATTGTTTCTGTATGTATATATTGCAAATACAGTCAACCGAGGTCATCTGATCAGTAAGCCTTATAAGATCGCCCTCTTTCGCCAATAACTGTCATGAATGCGGCTTGTAAAAGTTTACATCTCGGATTTTGCTTTACGGGCTATGGTACAACGACGCGACGCCCGGCCGTTGGGGCTCTGATGCTGATCATTCGTTGACCACATGTCCATCTCATGATGTCCGCGGGGTAATCAAGCATGTCTATCTGGATTGAGGCCATCGATTGGCCGGGTTTTTCTACTAATTGGACCCTTTATGACCTATGTAGGGATTCTTAGGCCATATCACGCCTAGAAGATACCAACCGCCCCCGGCCCCTTTCCCCGTCTTCTATCCCGCCATGCAAAAGCCACAATGCGCTGTCTTCTAGATTGAGAATGTCGATTCCTTTCCCGTAGTACAATGGACCACAAGCACCGGGGGTTGGGTCGGACTTGCGTACATGGATCGATTTAGGCCACCCTTAACAGAGCATACCACTCAGTAAAAGCAGTCCGAATGGTCCAATGTCAAACCGGTTTATATTAATTTTGTACAATAGTAGGCCCGGACCATATTTCTTTAGTACAAAGACAGGCTATACACCTACCAGGCACTGTCAGGAACCCAATCATGGATGCATCTTCGTTCTAACCAATCAAGAAAGCGTCCTTATCAACCGATCACAATTAGCTTCGCATATATAGACATGACACTTTTGCAAAGGAGGGAGAACTATTTCCATCATTGTTGAACACGAATTAAGTGCCTCCCTCTCACGACCATATCGGTGGCCGCTAAATTTCACTTAGGTCTTTCTTTCTCTTTCTTTGTTTCTGTCTGTCGAGATACTGCTACTATGTGGCCCACGGACTCGCGCACTCCGCAATTGGCCCCATCTCACTCCGTGGCCACGCTGCCGGCGCGGCAAGGCGGTCGGACTCATATACAAGCCTTAAACTCGTGTTGCTCATTGGTCAACTTGTCCGTGTTTAAGTTTGATGTTTTACATAACGTATGCAGCCAATCGTCATAACAGAAAACGATTGTAGTGAAAAAATGGACCGATGGGCCTTGGTGGTATCGCTAAGCTATCGAATGGTGGGAGGGGCCAGTAACAGTGCATATAGTCTTGGATCAAAAGCCTCTTTTGTAGCTAAAAAGGCCTAGATTCCGTCCAATTGGCGGGAAACAAATTTCGCAGGTTTCCTTTCCTCCTCTAGGCGCAAGCGAGGCGAATCCCTCCGTCTGACATAATCTCAATCCAGCTAGATACGAGGCTACTTGACTTAGCCCATCCGGGTGCTGAGCTGACAACTCAGATAGTGGATATCCAGAGAACAGGATCGGAGCCCGACGACCGGTCATCTTTACCAGTGCCAGAAAGGAAAGGAGGAAATACAACGGACGAGACTAACGAAGTCCGAAATCTATGTCAATTTTACACCGTCGGACTGCTGTGCTTCCTAAACGAAATGTTTAACAGGGGCCGAGTATTGGGGGAAATGTAGGAAAATATGAAGTAAAGCCAATCCTTATATCATCAGACGTAGACAGGTAATTACATGTAGAACCAACCACACTTGCAAATTCGCTGTCGTCCACATCCAAATTAGATTTAGGAATAAAAAGAAAATATCAAGATGCCTGCTTCATACGATCTCCAAGGAAAGGTTGCCCTGATTACTGGCGCTGGCCGGGGTTTAGGAGCTGCTATTGCCAAAGAGCTTGGATCGCACGGTGTATCGGTTATTATCAACTATGCAAAATCGGCAGGACCGGCACAGGCTGTCGTCGACGAAATTCAGGCATTGAAGGGTAATCCTAAGGCGGTTGCTATCCAAGCCGATGTCAGCAAAACTCCAGAAGTCAAGCGACTCTTCGAAGAGGCCATCAAACAGTTTGGCAAGATCGATATCGTTGTCTCCAATTCTGGTATGGAGGCCTTCTCTGCGGAGGAGGACGTTACCGAAGAACTGTACGACAAGGTCTTTGCACTGAACACTCGCGCCCAGTTTTTTGTCGCTCAACATGCATTGATCCATTGCTCTGAAGGAGGACGTCTGATTCTAACATCGTCTGTTGCCGCAACTATGACTGGTGTTCCTAATCATGCCCTGTACGCAGGTTCGAAAGCTGCTGTGGAAGGTTTTACACGTAGCTTCGCGGCGGATTGTGGAAAGAAAAAGATCACAGTCAATGCTCTCGCTCCGGGCGGCATTCTCACTGATATGTATCTTGAAAACTCGTGGCATTATGCTCCTGGTGGTTACCCAGGCATGCCTATCGCGCAAATCGATGCTGGAATCGCAAGTCTTTGTCCGCTGGGGCGGACTGGAAAACCTATTGATGTCGCCCGTACTGTGGCATTCCTCTGCAGCGAAGAGGGTGAATGGATAAATGGTAAGTTTAAGTGTGAATCGAATGGCGATTTTTGGAATTAACCTCTGGTACTCTAGGGCAAGTAATCAAACTCAGCGGTGGTTCGGTCGCTTAGAACTTTAGATTTATCTAAATTGACAAGATATGGTCGAGGGTTGACAATGGCAAGATATATAATTGCATTCAAATTTAGATTTCACACTATACGACAGTAACTAGGAAATAAATGGATTAGTTTTTGTAATTGTTTGAAAATAAGCCACCTAGTGGTTCAAATGCAATGCTGTCATTTGTCACTAAAACCCATCTTAAATGCCTTCCTATTGAAATATATCAAATGACTAATCTAAGAATCCCACTTTGATACATATGTAATAGTTACATATGCTACAACAACCGCAGTATGCATCGATTTAACGTAGGGAGCAGAGCTGGACGCTACATGTCAACTGGTATGAAACATTATATTCTCTGTGCTACTTATAACAGGACAGAAATTTGCCAAGCGTATATGTGAAATTTCAAGGGATGAATCTGTACTCTAGATGCATCCAAATCTGCCGAAGCAGGTCTCCAATATCCAGCTTCGCTATATACAAGAATAAGGCACCATATCATCCCTTATAATTACTTTTAACCTTGGCAATTATATTGCGACGTTAAGTCCCGTTTCAGTCCCAAGGTTTCTCAAGTGTTCGAAACCACACATGAGACTACGCGGATAATATTTGAACATGATTGGTATAGCACCTACTAGACTAATACGCAGATAATTGGCCGTTAAGGGATGATCTCAACGTTTAATCATGCTAATCCACAGATGATTTTGGCAGGGATTTCATACATATGTGTTCGTGCGTTTGAATGCAGTTTCGGAAAATATAAATACAAAATTTGCGTTTATCTAAGATTTGCTTAGCCTTGATCCTGTCCTTGTATGGCATGTTTTCTATTGCAGCGTCGCTTGTATTTCGGCTTGCTCTAGCAACGTGTAGCTCAGCTCGCGAAGGACCTGTTTCTGGATTTTTCCACTTCCGGTTTGAGGAAGTGTACGAGGAATTAGACTATGCGACCCACAGACGAAGAAATACTTCGGAGCTTTATGTCGACCCAATGTCTTCCTAGTCCAATCTCTTAGATCCTCGCCAGATGGTAGGCCTTTGACAACAGCAGGGCCATCATGAAATTCGATGAACGCACCCACAACCTCTCCATAATGACGATCAGGGACTCCAATTACTGCAGCACGAGCCACAGCTTCATGAGCAACGAGCCTCTCCTCGATCTCAAGAGGGTAAATATTCTCGCCACCACGAATAATGATATCCTTGAATCTGCCTGTAATCGTGCAGTACCCATCTAGATCAAAGGAGGCTTCATCTCCTGTTCGTAGCCATAATTTTCCATCTTCGTCTTGGATGAGCGATTCAGATGTCTTTTTTGGGTTCCTCCAGTACCCGTAATGTACTTGATAACCACTTATACAAAGCTCTCCACGTTCACCTACTCGAACAGTGCGGCCGCTCTTGGGGTCAATGATTTTAGCACTAGCGTGCGGCATAACTTTACCTACTGTAGTCAATCTTCGGTCAATAGAGTCATAGGTAAATGCGTTGAAACACGTTGGCGATGCTTCAGTTAGCCCATAGCTGCTGGTGAACTCCGTCATGTTCAACTCATTTACTAGCCGTTGCATAAGTGTGTATGGTACTGGAGCCCCAGCTATTATGCCTGTTCGCAAGTGAGAGCAATCAAACCCTTCTGGTTTAGGGAGGCTAAGAATCGATTCAAACATTGTCGGGACCCCATGCACAGCCGTACACTTTTCTTGAGATATCGCTTTCAACACTGCTGCAGGATCAAACGTCTCTCCAGGATATACAACCTTTGCGCCATGTGTTAAACATGCGAGAAGCCCAAGGACTAGACCAAAGCAGTGGAACAGTGGCGGTGGACAGCAGAGAGTATCAGACGAAGTGAGATTCATTCGGTCGCCAATAAAACGAGAATTATTGACCAAGTTACTGTAGTAAAATCATGAGTCAATTGCTTCATATTCTACCATAATTTTGTACATACTGGTGCGTCAACATCGATGCCTTTGGATCCCCTGTTGATCCGCTCGTGAATTGTAGATTGCAAACATCATATGGACTGACGGTATTAGAGTAACGGTAAGCAGCCTTTTTAGACACACCCTGGCCTTCCTTAATAATGTCATCATATGTCTGGATTCCGCAATACCGGCCTCTGATAATAACAAGTTCTAGGCTGGGAAGAACTTGACTTCGATCTCGTATCTCAAGATTGTGGATGGTATCTTCAAGTGAATGGCGGCCAATATTTGGTGAGATGAATAAAAGTTTGCATGCTATCATTTAATTAACACCAAAATACTACCTCATCCAGCTTTGATGATTATGGACTCACATGTATGCTTTAGAGCGTACAACAATTCTGATTCAGTGTAGTTATTGTTGATGACCACGAAAATGGCCCCTACAACCGCTGTAGCGAAGAAGAGGGAAACATATTGCTCACAGTTCCCTGCCATCACAGCAACACAATCTCCATGTTTAATACCTTTGGCGATCAAACCTCGTGCTAGTCTTTCACTCTCCTCCTTGAGTTGTCCGTATGTCCATCTTGTATCTGTCCAAGGTACAACCAGGCAGTCTGAATCGCGATGTTGGAGACATTGAAGCTCTAGAAGTTCGCTCAACGTCACCTCCCATAATGGGGGATTTGTTTGACCTTGGACAATGGATAGCTTTTCATTCTCACGCTGAGTTGCTTCTGGATCGATGTGCCTCTCAGTCTGCTGCAGCCGCGTTAGAGCAATATCCGACTGAGTACTCGCCACCATAATGAAAATATTAAATCCGCTATTTGCGGTCTTTTTGCACGATACTGATTTGGATTATTCACGGAACTTCCAAAATCCTATTGTTATGTTGTTCGGGCCATTCGGGATATGTAATCGAGCTTGGGGGAGGGATTAATAAACAAAAGGATAGGTTAATGAAAGATGTATTATAATTGCCATACTCTCTATTATTTTCTAGTCCAAAGTCAAAGGCCCATTAATTGTCCACTCCATCTCCCTTTTACCTTGGTAATTCAACGTAACGATCAGATGAAGTTTACATTACAGGCTGTAACATAACAGCTAGGAAAAGCCACCAGAATGACACGCCTGTATTGTACTTTCAAAACGGCGGAAATACAAGCTGCCCCCACCACCCTTAAATTCAAAACTAATCTGATTTCTTATGTCCACCCCTTTGGCTGGCTGTTGTAGTCTCAAATATATATGTATTATTCCCCATTTGACTGTAACAGCTAATAAAACGGTCGCCTTTGACACCCGAGACCGGAGAGGAGCTACCCGCCTTTTCAAAGCTCCATAAAAAAACTTTTTGTTTTTCTTCGATTAAGAGCTTGAACTTACGAGGTATTAATTAGAGATTATTACTCGCTAGGTATCGAAATTTAAGTTTTTGTAACCGCAGCACTTCTGCTCTTCAATATCACGTTTTCCCTTAACTCTTCTTTCATTTCTACGTCGATAGTGTCCAAGGCACCAAAAACCAGGGGCTGAGCAAGGGAAGTATCAATCAAGAAGCTGGGGTACTTTAAGATACATCATGGAACAACTTCACGATAAACAGCAGCAGGTTGACACCTCTTCTGAAGACAAATCTAGATTATCCCAGAAGAGCCAACAATATGAGATCATTTGTATTGGTTTCGGCCCTGCAGCCCTCGCAATTGCCATTGCGATGCACGATCGAGGTCTCACAAACAAGAACATCCTTTTTCTTGAGCGCCAAAACGAGTTCGGGTGGCATACGGGAATGCTTCTCCCTGGAACGAAGATGCAGATCTCGTTCATGAAAGACTTAGCTACGATGCGCAATCCGCAGTCATATTTTACCTTCGCGAATTACCTTCACAAACATGACCGTCTCGCAAATTTTATAAACTTATCCACACATACACCATTTCGAGAGGAGTTCAATGACTACATGAAGTGGTGCGCATCGCACTTTGGTAACCGGGTTTGCTACGGTCAAGAGGTGGTCAAAGTCACCCCTAGCAAGACGATTTCACCCAATCAGGCTGTAGAATCCTTCTGGGTGACTATACGAGATGTTGCATCGGGCAACATTCAGCATCTCAATGCAAAGCACGTTATCGTGGCCAATGGTGGCGAGATGTCAATTCCTGAAGGGTTGTCGAACTCCCAACTCAGTGATCGTGTCATACATTCATCGCAGTATTTGAAAATTGTGCCCAACAAATTCAGAGATGAGAGCTCTCAGTGCCGCTTTGCCGTCGTGGGAGGTGGACAGAGCGCCGTAGAAATTGCAGAGGACTTGCAATCAAGATATCCCAGATCACATGTGACCCTAGTTTTTAGGGATTCGGCTCTAAGACCGAGCGATGACAGCCCATTGTAAGTGATTGATAATAAATTTTGAACCATAATCAAACCTTACCTTTTACAGTGTCAACGAAATATTCGATCCTGCCAGTGTGGATGAGTTTTACTCTCTCAAACTAGCAGACCGGAAACAAAACCTAATCAGAAACAAAGCTACCAACTATAGTGTTGTCAGAATGCATTTGATTGAAGGGATATATGAGAAGCTCTACCGACAAAAACTTCTAAAGCCGGATCCTCGTGACTGGACACTCACCCTAATGCCAAACACTGAGGTTACCAGCGCCGTGTATTCGGAGGCCTCATCCAATCATCCATTGAAACTTCAATTAAAAAATACAGTCACTGGAATAAACAGCATTACACAAGATGGTTTTGACCTGATAGTTGCAGCGACAGGGTACGTGAGGAACCCATTCATGGGGATACTAGAGGATTTAGCACCGCTTCTATTGCCAGGATCACAAAAGAAGGGCAACCTGGTACAAAGAAATTATCGTCTCCTTTTTCAACCTGGATCTGTTGTTCGTGATGCAGGTGTGTGGCTACAAGGGTCATGCGAAGGTAGCCATGGAGTAAGTCATACTGGAGGAAGTACTGTTTTGGAATTCTAGTTAACCAGTTTTGTTTACAGATCAGTGATAGTCTTCTTTCTATACTTGCTATACGTGCAGACGAAATATTGGATTCGCTACTCTCCTGCGAGAAATCGGTAGAAAATCGAGCAAGGCTCTAAAGAGTGGCTCTTATACCTCTTGAGTTATAGCTTGCTTTGTACCCTGTCCATACATAAAGCCACGTTGATGTGTCCTTTGAGCCAAGAATTAATACCAGAAAACCTGAGCTGCCTGCTTGATTCTAGCCCTATTAAGCAAATAGAACTGATTTTCTTCGTTGTGTGTGATTTTGAAGTTTTTCTTCGTGTCTACCGTTTTGGGCACATCAGAGACTTAACTGTCAACTATGTAGTATATGTAGTTGAAGAGTTAAATTCATATATTTAAATTCAATCACTTGCTATGTCCATCAAGAACAACTCTGTTCTCCACCAACTTCTCTGCTGTCCACAATCCTTCAAGCAGCGAACAGCGCCAGTGTCGCGGTTGAGCTACTCCCAGAGCAACAATATCCGCAACATTACAGACATTCATTCCGTCATCATACTCCAAAGTTCAATCTTACAGCGTGGATAGGTAGTTATGTTACCGGGACTCCAATACAAGCCTGCCAAGTCCCCTGAGAGAAAATTTTTTATCTGATGGTGCACAGCCAATTGAATCCATGTACAAGGTTCAATTACGCGATCTTATCTGATCCGCAGTGGAGAAAAGTAAATTACAGTATTAGTCTAGTTTTACGATCGGCGAAACCAAGGCGTGACTCTCTTCTACCCCCACCATTAACTTCGTAAAATCAGGGTAGGCCGTCACACAGTGATTTACTTTGTGCGGAAACAATAAGAGAAACAAATTACGTGGCCTCCGATCTCGCATATATTGCCATCCCAACTGTCCGAAATGAAAAACTTAATTTTATGAGGGGTTCTGGGCCGTCTATGACTGGGCCCCATCCAATAAAACAATGTTCTAGTAAAATCAAGTACAGTCTAAAAATTGTAAGGGTTACAACAAAAGTTTTGTTCGATATATCATGATGTAGTCTATATGAGAGCTCTCGGGCTGCTATTTCGCTCAACAGTCATGAATTATGTTGCTAGTGACCAAGGATCGTTTTAATGTTTCAGTGTTTGTCTCAATTTCCCCGCGTTTTCCATTCTTTCATTGCCTTTTTTTTTAAAAAAAAAATCGGAGAAAAGTTGAAAAAGTTAAGGGATTTGAAATTAAGTATGTTTCACCAGGTCAGATCTGCTGTAAATACTAACTACCGATTCTGCATTCAATCTGTAATGCACGAACCCATGTGCACAATCACATGTAATGTCGGTTACATCTTTATACTTAGTTATGCTTAGGCTCTGCAAGAGAATATTCCGTGTGAGAACTGTTGAAAAAGGTGCAATGCATCGGAATTGAAGTCGTTTCCTGGTCCAGCCTCGGCAGATAATCACGCTGTTCGGGCACTTAACCGACCTGGCTTAGCAAGTTCAGACCATCTTGGCGAGAATGAGATGATGGGGCCGACCGGCCTCGGACAGAGTAGTTCCTGGGCAGTGCGTCATTTATCTTTTCTCGGTTAACCTACTGAGGACGTTGAAAATGATGCACAGCCAATAACACAGCATTTTCGCTACACAAGGGAGGGGGAGGAGAGCGAAAATTTTATCAGATCATCTAATCTGATTTAGGTTACACCTTGGTTCGCGTATGGTTCCAGTAAAACCAGCCGCGTATTTCGTACGGCACTTGCAACGCCTCGTATCTCGTTTTCCCGACTTATAAAAAGCTCCGTGGCCAGATCGACAAAGTGTGTTGGCCATGGTCCACAACCGTCACACCCGAAAGGGTAAAATAGTTTGCATTGATGATCAAAAAGAAACAACATCGGGATGGAGCGACAGCTTATTCAGCTATCAAGAACTTTTGTAAGGCACGACATTGACGAATGATATTAAGTCAAACGACATCAAGTTAGCGTTTGATTCAGTTGGGCTTGTAAACATCTTAGATTATTATTAATTAATTGCAATTTTGCCACTTTCAGCACGAAAAATTAAATTTAGAATTACCCATAAAAAGTGCGTTGCATAGAAAGTCAACTGGTAAGTGCAACTTTTGAATCAACGGCATAAGTAATATCAACTGAAAAGAGTTGTAAATTGCCGAACTGTGGATACCCCTAATGAATATAAATGTTTGCCCGTATTGCCCAAAAGGTGGAAAATAAAGCTCAGCGACCGGCTCCAACTGACTATCTGACTGACAGCCTTTTCATGTACAGATTGGCTCGTTGGCTAGAGAGTGTGTCAACCTTTGTATCTTCTCCATCTACAGAAGTCGATAACGGTTCTACCTTGAAAGGCGCATCTCCAAGACGCATATAATTCCAACAGACTGCAAACAAATACCGATCGATATGGTTAGCATAAAAGGAAACCCTCCCTCTTGTGATTCTCTCTTTCTCATCACTTTCCGGGAGAAACTTACTTGTAAGAGCCAAGTCATTACCAAAGAATAACTGCATCACATCTTCCCCTGCAGTCACTGTGTGATCAGGGGGCCCACACGAAGCAGCCTTCTTACCAACTGCAAGCCCCATCATCGGCGGAACGTCAAAAGCAAGTTCTTTGTATGTCGGTGTAATGCCACAAATCTGTGCTAATATTTTCTTATGAATGTTGATTGCCGCGTACTGGCCCTGGTGCATTGCAGTACCGCATCGCTTTATTCCCGACCAGGATACAATATCACCAGCAGCATGGTGGTAAAATGCATTTGGAATATCGCTATTGAATTGCAGACTGCGTTATCCTTAGTTAGTAATAATGTTTACGATAGTCAATAGAAATCGTCTCTGTAGAGGATATCACCTTGGTTTTATCTTCACATAGCCCTCTGGATCCAAAGCTCTGGGTGGAAGATAAGAGGCTGTAGGGTGGAATTTAGATACGGCATTGATCACCAAGCCAGCTTTAATCCGCCTTCCGTCTGACAGCAATACCTCAAATGGCGCAGAATCTGATGTCTTGCTCTCGATTGTCTCAATAACTCGGACATCCAGGATTGTTTTCACACCAGCCTCATGCACTAGTTTTAGCGCAAGATCTTTGAACTCATCTGGAAGTGGCTCAGACGACAGTATCCTGGACCTTGAGTGTATCAGCGTGACCTTGATCTTCGGTAAAAGAAGTTTGAGCTCAGCGGCCATTTCAATGCCAACTGCGCCTAGTAGGAAAAGGACATTAGTTTATTTGCTACTTATAAGCAATATGTATCACTTACCAGCACCAACAACAATGACTCCATCCTTTGCCGCCTCTGCTGCGCGGATATGCTCTGCGGTTTCCAGGAGATACTGCTTTCGCGACAATGCCTGGGGTGCTGAGGGTGCAGCTCGCCGGAGTCCAGAAGCTGCGACGAAATAATCGTATTCAATATGAACACTTTGCTGCGTTCCGTGCTCGATGATCGTTGCGAGCCTCTCCTCACAATCAAGATCACTAATGCTCCCACGGACGAACTTGACAGCCGAAGTCTGAAGGGCAGGAATGTCTTGGAACAGTGTCCATGCCTTTAGGGCATATTCCGAAGATGCAAACGCTAGCGGGGAACCGATTAAGTGGTCTATGTACGCACGGCAAAAGTTTAGCTTTCTGGTTTCGCGATACAGGTATGTTAAACGGCACAGAGGAACTCACAGAACCCATCTCGCTCATCTACGATTGTTATCTCAACAGGAACTCTCTGGGAAGGGATCAAAGGAGAATTGTTTCCTGTGAAACGGGATGGCAAGCCATTGCAAAGGTCGAGAAGGTTCAAAGCTACAGAAAGGCCAGCGTATGATCCTCCGATCACCAGAATCCGAGCTGGTCGCTCCGTAATTCGTGCGGCGGACATGTTGGATTAACCTCTCGATCAGACCAATCACTTGATCATGAAGTAAGAGATTCCTTGTATGAGGCGAGTAAACAGGAGCGTGACCAGTCTTTTGATTCTTAGGTCTAGAGCGTCTCGCTCGCGGCAGTGTTGCTAGAGTAGAATTGGCGGGGTCGGCACTAAAGTGCTGCCCTTTGGGATGTTGAGGAAATATGAGCCTGGCGCTTTTACCGCCATGGTTCGGTCGTTCGCTCACAGTCGGAACCAATGTGGGCTGGGCGCGCAACCGACATACTCACGCCGGTAGCGGAATGGTGGTGATCTTACGATAAACCAGCCAGTGATCCCGGGGCCATGCCGCTAGGGATGAATAGGAACCAAGAAGGAAGGCCAAGAGCCTCGCAAAAGCGAAACCTCGTTGCCAACTTCCAAGTGGGCCAATCGGGGTATGCGACGTATTTATCTGATCCGCCCGCGTGACATTAAGCAGCGTTTCATTTCTGGCATTTGTTATCTGATCCGCCGATGCGTATTGCACTGGTGGTAATTACGTTACTGTCTTAGCCCTAATACCGTCAGTACAGACCGACTCGAAGAACACACATCGACCAGCCAAGAGATGCAATAAGTAAGCCATGCTTTTGGACGATGGAAATAAAAGTAAATGTTTATAGTATAATCCCTGTATGAGAATTAAAAAACACTGCTGCAGTGTGGCCTGCTGATGACTACAGGGTAGAGGATCTACCCAATATCAATTGATGTTTGTGACATTAAAGTATTGGCAGTCAATATGCCGCGTCTTGATGCTACAACCTTATTCCACCTACACTCTTCACGGCTATCCTGCATATTATTTCGACCGAACTTTCTCATATTTATCTCATAGAGCTTGTTTGATCTACGATTATCTTGGTGTATGAAATAACACGAATATATACGAATGTTTAAGTTAATTATCTTGGCTCTTGGACACACCTTTTAATTGTGCGCAAATATTGATTGATTTCGAAGCATGAAAGCTAAGAAATTGTGGGAAAGTTTTCAATCTATCATATAACAACACAAAGGTCCCAATGCCATAGAATTACACCTTTGATTTGATTCTGTCCGTATGAGGGACGGCCCTCTCATAGGAATTTGCACTATAACCACCAGGTTCCGCTAAAGTCTACTTAATTTAGTGACCAACATTCAACTCTTCAAAATACGTTGATGCCGTTCCTGAATACCACAACAGAAATATAAGCACAATCACCAGCAACGTTGCTGGCAAAGTCCATCGCCTAGTACTAGATTTCGGAATGTGTTGACGGACTTTTATCGCAACATCAGCAAACACTTTATCACCAAGCTTGTAATAGAGCAAGCCTAGGAGTGCGACCGTGTATCCAACAACCTGGGTCATTGTAACAGGATCGTGAAAAATGACGAGAGATGCAATAACAAGAATGATATCTTTGAGAACTCCAGAAAGAGTCATCACAAGTGCAGAGGTTTTGCTAACCTGTTTCACGTGTTATTTCAAGATATTTGATCGCGCATAAAGTGGAAAGAGAACAATAATTACCAAGAAGACTACGGCCACATTCAAAGCAAATGCAACAGACGCGTTGGCCAATAAAGTGCTCAAGCCGATACTGCGGAGATCTTCCACGCTCATTCTAGGTACCTCAAAAAACAGTGTCGCCACGGTATTCATAACCATGCATGCCGGAGCAAAATAATAGAGCGATACCAGCGGGTCCATTTTGAAGTCGGCAGAGCTTAGGAGTCTTTGAACCATAACAAGGCGAACAGACTCAAATATTGTAGCACTAAACTGATCTGCTCAAAACCATTAATACCTTCATTCGTACATACTGAATTAAATTGAAGGACGTACAAATAAAGCCTATGAGGCTAAAATTGATTTCCCCAATAGAAGCAACAATCACTCCAATGACGATTATAGAGACTTTCGCTAGCACATCAATACGGACTGGTGCGACACCAAGGACCCAAGTGGCAAGTAGGGTAGCAACGGAGTTGGTTGCCTTGAGAATATGACATGGACTTCAGTATATATAGATACATATTAACCGTATAATAAATCCATAGCTTACCTTAAGCATTTGAACAAAGGACACACTAAGATGCAGATAAGCGAGATTACCGCAAATGAGGCTCAGGCTGAAAAAAACACCAATCGGAACAATCGCTTGGCTAACTACGGTCAGTCAAATCACTTAAAGTCGAAAGATAAAGAAAAGTAAAATGGCCTACAAATAGACTGCTCTTGTCATAGGCACATTATGACGGGAGTCCAGCATCTTGGTGTATCTCGCCATAAGCTGGGTCATGACAGTAGCAAAGATTAGATGCCAGGTAGTTAAGAACAAAGCTTTCCGTGAGATTAAATCAGTAATTCTAGATCTCTTATATTCTCCAAAAGATTCATTTCATACGGTATGCTGTAATAAAAATAATTAGAATACTCATAGGGAGACTTCGCTATTCTATCGAGAGACATACCAAATCCAGCAGTGTGAAGAATCCACTTATTGAATACAATAACCCCGGAACTTAATGTAATCCATATTCTATCGTACCATCAGGTAATAATCATAATAAAGGACTGGTGCGATTCGCACATAATATAGAAAGCTGGGTGTAGACTCGAATGCTGAGCAGCTGCTGGGTTCGCTGTTGGTAGCATTGCAGATTTGCCATCCGATGACATTTTTACCAATTTTCGAAGAAGAGGGAAATGAACGTGTAAGAAAAGATCTCCAATCTTGAAAAATTAATGAGTGACAGGAACTTTGAAATATGAAATAAAAGAACAAAGTGGCAGTTAAATAATCTACGCTAGATGAATGATATTCGCCGATATAGTTTCCATACTAACCGAAATTCGTACACTCATCTGCTTTCGTATGGCGCCCTTTCCTTAGCTCATAAACTATGGATGATCACCAATCAGGCCACTCAATAACTAATAATAATTTTGTTGAAAATGCGGCCACCTAACTAGGTTCGGATAAGCGCAAACCCTTCAGAAATTGGATTAATGAACGTGACGAATAATAGTGTAGATTCGCATATAAATTAGGGTAGATAGAAGACTTGTAGAGAACTCAGGCTTGTATTCCGAATCGAATTGAATTTGCTTCCATTGTAAGCGCACTAGTTCGCCATAAAGTTCACAGTTATGAGCCCAGGAGGCCTTATTTTGGCTTGCAACTTCCGAAATTACCACCTGACACTCCTAGTACGAATCTCAGAGAGCGTAGAATCTCTACTACGCATAATTAAATGAAAGAACCAAATAAATAAGCAATAGCAAGAGATGTCTGGTTTTGCATCTAAAGGCCAGCTTATACGAAAATGAGGAGATTTTCTTTATAAACCCGGGGGGGGTGTCAGAAATAATATGCGACTATAATACCACATGAATCCTTACTAAGGGTTGCGCCATTTTTGGTATGGTGGTTAAAAGTTCAACATGATTCTTCTTGTAGCCAGCCATGATTAGTAAAGGGCGAATGAATCTGCGTATGGTGATAGGTACGATGGGCAATATAGATGGGAATCGATGAAAAAATTCTATCAACAAATAAAATCCAAGGAGGATCAACGTACTAGTTTTCTCGGCTCATTTGACACTAAAAATGATGTGGTATAGCACTATAAATGTTGACTGTTTGTATCGATTCATTTTCTCTCTTTGATGTATAGGTAGGAGTCGCCTCTTCTAAGTGTTAAGCAATCGCCATTGTTAGTGGTGGAGATTTCCGCTCGTGGCCTAATTGATTATTCATTCCTTCCCACATAGACAAAGTGACAAGGAGATAATTGTGAAGTTAGACAGAGCCATCGAGTTTGCAAGCCCTCTGAATTAGGAAGTCCCAGGTATATTCTTGGTACATGAACATGAACAGCTTGCCTCATCCAAGCCAATCAAGCTGAAACTTGCCTCCGAACTGTTGCACTATTACGAAACAACTCGTCTCAAGCTTTTCCGAAATGGGCAAGCATAATCCGTCTTGGCAATTTACGAGATTAGGAAAGGATCAAATCGATTTAGGCTATCTTCCATTACTTGCCCATTCGTGGGAATCCGCATCCAATTCTCCGTTGCTTTTGCTTGATCACAGATATTGTCCGGTTTTTAGACCGCGACTCCGCAGGCAATCACGGTGCTAAACTCCTGCGGTATACGCAATCTTCTCCACCCAGCCAGTGCTAATGTTTTGATGATTTTGATTTTATACCTTTTTAAGGAATTCACTTAGCTCTATTTTTAAGATTTGAGGGATGATCCACCTTTCTGTATATTGATAACGTGGACTGTACTGTATACATGAAACTCTCTGGCGGTTTCCTTGCAACCAATTCCTACTTGTTCTAGCCTTCACATGCCAGAACCGCAGGGTTATATTCGACCACATCGAAAACTTTCCCCTCAAAGTCAGCTTACGAAGATAAATGGCGGAAAAAGTGTGGGGTGTTTTATTTTGAATGTTTAATTTCGATTCCTTTGCACGGTTAATTTTTGTTAGATGACAAAAATAATTGATCTAACTTATCGCTTCTTCATTTAAGCTTAGTGATATCCCTATAGAGTGGCAGAAACTCTGTTCAGCCTCGCTCTTTCCATTATTTTCAACTAAACCACTTTAAAAATCTAACAAAATAGGCAGCCAGCAGAATAAAATCGAAATGCGGCAGATTCAACACGTCCTGTTTGGAATGATGCAAGTTCAAGCGGTCTTTATGTTTATTCTCTCCGTCGCTGCGACAAGTCGTATGACAGCGCCTTCCGGTGCGATTGTCGTCGCAAAATCAGGTGGAACGTACACTACTGTAAGCATCGCGAAATATCGATATTAAAAGCAAATAGGCTAACAAATATAGATTACTGAAGCAGTTGACTCACTCAGCGCGACAACTACTTCAACACAGATCATTTTTATCGAAGAGGGAACCTACAATGAGCAAGTTTACATTCCCAGTCTTGTTGGCGAACTTATCATTTACGGCCAGACGAAAGAGTGAGTGAACCAAAAAGGGGAGATATACCACTACATAAATTTTCTAAATCTATCTCAGCACGAGTGACTATGCGTCCAACCTTGTCATTGTTACGAATGATATCGGCCTGTCCAGTGTTGATGACGACGATGAAACGGGTACTTATCAATAAAACTACCCCTAAAGAATAGACACGAGCTAAACAAGATGTGCTCTATAGCTACTCTCCGCAATTACGCCGAGAACTCGAAAATTTACAATATCAACGTAGCCAACACTCATGGTAAAGGCGAGCAAGCTCTAGCTTTGAGCGCGTACGCCACCAACCAAGGATACTATGCCTGCCAGTTTACGGGCTATCAAGGTTTGGAACTCGCTGGAATATCTCATAATGCACAGCGGCACTGATAGAACTTGATTCTAGATACTGTACTCGCTGAAATCGGCAATCAGATTTACGCCAAATGTTTGATCGAGGGCGCTGTGTATGTTGTCTAGTCATATATCACATCAGGAGATTGATAAAAGAAACTCATTTATTTAACTATTAGTGACTTCATATTTGGACAACACGCTACAGCTTGGTTCGACGACTGTGATATCCGTGTGCTTAGCTCCAGCGTGGGAACCATCACCGCCAACGGGCGATCATCTAGCTCTGATGTTTCTTTTTATGTGATCAACAAATCGAAAATTGCAGCAGCAGATGATAACTCTGTCTCTTCCGGTTCTTACTATCTAGGTTCGTTTTTACCTAGTGATTTCTAATCAAAAAAATACTCAACGCGCTAACAATGTCTTTTAAATCATAGGTCGTCCATGGAGTGAATACGCCCGCGTTGTTTTTCAATATACCTCTATGACGGATGTTATCAATAGCGCAGGGTGGGAAGAATGGTCTTCGAGCGATCCACGCATTTCGGATGTTTATTTTGAGGAGTATGATAACACCGGTGAGGGTGCGTCTGGTACGCGGGCTAGCTTTGCAAAGAAACTTACTTCTCCCATTGAAATCACAACTATTTTGGGAAGTAATTACAAAGACTGGGTTGACACCGATTACCTTTCTTAAATCCGTACTTTTATTTTTTCTTTGTGCCACGCACAGCATTTTTCCATTTTTTCCATTTCTCTCTTTTTTTTTCTTCCAGGATAAATGCAGGAAAACAATGAAAAAAAGTATTTGATGGTTTAGGGTCTTACTATATCTTACAATAAAATGAACAGTTGATAGTTCTTTTCAAGAGTCCAATACAGTTGATGGGGATATCATAGTACAGAACTATCAGATTCCATGAAAGCTTCGCTTCTACAGCAATTTTGCAAGCTTGATTTTTCTTCAAATTAGCCGTTGGTTTTATTCTTCATCCTATTATGTTCATTTCCGGTATACTCTGATTATGTGAAAGGAGAAAACTATCGTTTTTTGAGTATCATTATCATATAATAGAAATTTTGTGAGGCTTTCTCTCCTGTACAGGGTGATTTTCTAGCTAATTAATTAACCATATAGCAGTCCAAGCGTTTCCACCTTCTCTAAGCATTCTCTAGAATAGCTCTTCTTATTCAAAGGTATAATGGCATTTGCTCGATATTGCACTTTGAATACATGTATATTCAAGGCTCCATTTGACAAAAAAGATAGGGTAACTAGACAGTAATTAAACAAGGTAATTTTCAAAGTTTTCTCGAACAAATGATGAAAGAAAAAGAGAAAGAAAGAATCATAAAAGGATTATAACAACAATAAACATTACATTGATCGATCGGCTGACATTTCATTTTCTAGCTTTCAGTAATGGTAATGCCATCGATATTCAAGCCACTATTAATACGTGTGGGGATTGTGTCAATAGACAGTCAAGATCAGGAAAAGCTCCAAGTGTCGTGAATTTTGTAGGGCTCAAGTTCCTTTTCAGTCCAATTCCACAGTTCCTGGGCCAGATTTTTATCTTTCGCCCATCGTGCGAAGTCTTGATTAACCCCAACCGGTTCGTAGTAGCCCCCGTTTTTTATCTTGCCTCTGTCTGCCGTGGCGGCCCACAGCGCATTTCTTGCCCCTTCTTCTAAAGTAAGCTTCTTTCCAATAGTGCTCAGTTTGAGAAACCATCTGTCAAGCAGTGCTTGACTAGTAACCAGCTCGGTTTCTATAACTCCTGGGTGGATAGATACTGATGTTATTTGTGGGTGCCGCTCTGCAAGTTGAAACGCATACAGGAGGTTGGCGAGCTTGCTTTGGCCATAGAGTTGATACCGAGCCAAGAAAAGATCGTCCTGCCTTGTACGAAGCTTGTCGAATAAAATCCCGCCGTTCGGGTGCATCATGTAGCCCTGTGATGTAAAGATGACCAAACGAACATCACTACCGGGCTGCTTGGCTGTGAGCAACATGACGGGCAAAAGGGATTGAATCAGCAGCGCGTGGCCAAGATGATTGGTTCCAAATTGAACCTCGTATCCATCCTTTGTCAGACTTGGGGGAGGAATCATGATTCCAGCGCTGCAGATAACCAAATCCAGACGTGAAGCTTGAGCACGGAAGTTCTCCCCAGCCTTCTGAACAGTGCTAAGGGACGATAAGTCACACTGGAGAGGAATGATTTTTGTGTGTTGTGATTGAGACCCGATCAGCTCAAGTGCTGATTTAGAACCCTCTATACTACGTACAGTCATAAATATCTTCTCCGGGTTCTTTCTTGCAATTGCCAAAGCGACTTCTTTTCCTAATCCGCGGTTCCCTGAAACAAATGAACATTAGCCAGGATGTATGGGCTGTCTGGACTTCACAAGCATACCACCGGTAATGAGGACCACTTTCCCAGAAAGATCGGGCACATCCTTTTCTGCGTTAAACGACTTGACTTGTGCACTTGCACCCATTATTCGCTACTTATAAGCCGTGTTTTTTGATGTGGAATGACCTTTGAGCTGATAACAGACAGCTGAGTTGCCAGTCCCGCACCAGTCTTTTATACCCACAACTCAACATAATTAACACCGCGTCGTACGGCTGACAAAACATTTCCATCTTCTTCCGTCTTTTCCATCTTACAACAAATGAGGTCTTGGGGGTATTTCCGAATACGGCCACATACCCATTTTATGCCTTTGCAGCCAATAGTAGCCGGGTCTTTCCGGCCAAACCAATGGATTAGCCGGCCTTGGAGAGGCACTGCCCCCACTCCACGGTGATTGGCCAGATCGCAAAAGAAGCCTTTCCATTGGATTTTCTCAATAGGGTCTTGATAGAGAGATTCTGCTGATAATATTATTAAATGCTAATGACAATAAGCAATTTAAAACCACGGCCATTATTATACAAGCTCGAGTGCCATTGTCACGTTACTCGCGTAAACGCGTCGTAAACGCCACTTAATTGTTATAGTCGACCGCTAGCCGCTGGGTTGACTCTTCGGCTTGGTATTTCCCGCATATCGGTGTAGACGATTTCTGCAACGCGAAGCAACCGCTTATTTCTTCTGTAATATATTTCGAAGGATCTTTTGTATAAACGAAGAAAAATATAGCATGGGATTAGACAATACTCCACGGTCTGTGCCCATGGAGATATTGGTTCTCGGGCTTTGCAGAACCGGGACTCAATGTAAGATCAACATTAACAAACTTGAGGGCGCATAGAAATACAGGTAGCTAGAAGACAAACTAATGACTTTTCGTAGCTCTTGCGGATGCGCTAATACTGCTTGGGTACCGCAATGTCTACCACATGCGCGAAGTTGTTACTTCCGACCGTGATCATAGACAACACTGGATTAAAGCTATTGATGCAAAATATGAAGGCAAAGGCCGGCCGTACGGACGTGTCGAATACGACGAGTTCCTAGGAAACTTCGCGGTCTGTTCACTTATATCATTGGATCTGCTCGTACATTTACTAATCTCATATTATTAGGAACGTTCAGGCTCTCACAGATATTCCGGCTGCCATGTTTCCAGAAGAGTTGATCACAGCATACCCGTCCGCAAAGGTTATTCTAACTACCCGGGATGAAGAAGGTTGGTACAAATCAATGGAGAACACCATATGGCATGCGTGGTATCAGGGAAAGTCTAGAAGTCCGGATGGAGCCGTGAAAAACCCGATGATCAGCCTTAGCGATAAATTTCATGGACACCTGTGGAAGAGCAACTTCGAAGCTGATGGGAGAAAATGCTTTCGCGATCATAACGAAAAGGTCAAACAGCTTATGTCGAAGCATCCGAGCAACTTCTTAGTGTATAATGTCAAAGAAGGTTGGGATTCGCTATGTCAGTTTCTTGGAAAAGAAATCCCTGATCATGAATTTCCTCGCAATGATCACTGGATCCAGTATAAGAACGACAACTGTCTTTCTTCCTAGTAGCCATGGTGATTCAAAGGGAAATCAAGAAATGAAGTGTAACGCCTTGATTTTCTAGGGGGATATTGAGGGTTTTTTCTTCTTTTTTTTTCCCTCCTTTTAAATCAATTCTAATTTCATCCTCACTATTACCGATTTTCTGAGTTTCCGCCGACAATTTTGGCCCCAGTCGGATATTAATTCAATACACTCGGCCCATTCGGCCCTTCAATCCTAATCCAAAAGTCCTTGCCTTAGCCACTTTACCATATACAGAAATCCGTCCCGAGAAAAACAAGTCACAACGTTAATGTTTGTAATACTCTTCTTCATGCTTGAGAATAGATTTGTAATCGCAAGCATCACATAATTGTTTCATTACACTGCATTCTAAAAAGGAGTACGAATTTAGAAGGACCTCCCAAAACAAAAGTATAAAAGAAAAGTGTAACCATCCACGACATGGAAGAAGTTCCGACACGTCGTTCTTCCAAAACTCCACTTACCGTTCGAATAACAGTTCTAATAAACCTAGTATATTAGGTGAAGAATAACAGTTTTAAAATATTTAATCTTCCACTCTACCTCGACCCCTGGTATCCACATAATGCACATCTTCATTGCTGGTGGCAGCGGCCAAACAGGAAGCCTTGTAATCGACGACCTCTTAGGACAAAGTAGGTTTCAATCTTAAAACTATCCTTCAATACGTTTCTCATCAATTTAAATAGATCACACAGTCACAGCTTTGGTCCGCAATACCGCCGCTATCCGAAATAGAATAGGACTAGATCTCGTCCAAGGCACTCCAGTCCACAAGGCTGATATTCAAAAGTCCTTTTCACATCAGAAGCCTGACGTTGTAATTGTCACACTCGCGTCAGCCAAGGGAACCTTTGAAAAGGGATCGTTTTTAACACACGTGATATGTAACATTGTCAGCGTGATGGAAGAATACAGCACGGACAAGATTGTTTACATGTCTGCTTTTGGAGTCGGCGACTCATACCCAGAGCTCAATTTTTTGATGAGAGCTGCAGTATGTATAACACCTTTGGGAGGAAAGTTTCTAGATCATGAAGGGGCAGAGCAGGTTTTGAAGGCGACTGATAGAATTAACTTCGTGGTTGTCAGACCAGCGATGCTCACAACTGGCGACAAAGGAAAAGTTAAATTTCTTGGTCTAAGAAGAGAGAAATGGGAGTTTATGCCAAGTATCACAAGGGCGAGTGTTGCTGGCTTTATTGTTGAGGCTGCAGGAAGTCAGGAGTGGATAGGGAAAACCCCAGTCATAAGTAATGCATAGCCACGTTTAACGCCGTCCTATTACAAAATTATTCGCATATACCATACATATGATTAAGGATTTAGATCTCTGGTTTATGCCTAGAAGCATTTTGCATGTTACAACAACGTGCCTTAACATTGACCCAGAGCAGTACACAAATATCGAGTCTCACGTAATTTCTCACTCAAGCAACCGAAAAGCTATTCAACAAAATAAAGTCATTGACTCATGCTTTGCTCTCTGTGACTTGGAACTCCCGGCGCTCAGCAGACATCTCCTTCTCGATCTGGTGCAAATCAATATGTGCGACGGAATCGTCGCCGTCGAAAATCCTTGCTACCTCCTCCAACGTAGGTCCCTTGGTTTCTACGTAAAAAAAGTAGACAAACAAAAATTCAACGAAGTCCCATAAAGTGTAGAAGAGCATAAAGTTCCAGTGATGTGGAAGGTTATTCCATGCAAGAATGTTGGTTTGGTTTCCGATTGCAAGTATGGCCTGAACGGTAATGTTCATAATCATCATACCTTTGGCGCGAAGTTTGAAGGGTAAGATCTCAAGTGCGTACGCGATTAAAAGACCAGAAAATCCGATATCATAAAAGATCCCGAAGATCCAAATAAACACCAATTGAGCATACCCGGACCCAGAGTTAGTGCTATTGGAATTTTCGTAGACTGCACCTGTGATAGTCCAACAGACGAACGCTAGTAACATTCCTATATTTGTATATTTAGTTACATATTGGTGTCATAAATACCACGATTTTAGTAAGAAATCTTAGGAACTCACCAACTGTAGAAACCAAGAAGAGTGGCCGTCGACCAAATTTATCGACCTGAGTCGCTGCGGAAATTGTGGCGATGATGTCGAGAATGGTCTTTCCAGTGCTAAGAGCGAGCTTCTGATTTTGCGTCGTAATACCAGCACCGGCGTATATCGCGTTCATGTAGTTAGAAAACAAAGCATTTCCCGAATACTGTGAGATGATCCCAAGAGAGATAAGAATACTCAGTCGCCACAGATTTCCCTTTGTTCGAAAAAAATCAATGTAGGTACTTTCATTACCAGCTTGAACTTCGAGACGAAGGGTTTCCCTTATTTCTCTGTACTCAAACTGAACTAGTGGATCTTGCACGTCCCCACCGCCGTGGTATTTTGTGAGAATGGCGAGGGCTTCTTCATTCCTGTCCTTCGAAACCAGGTATCGAGGCGACTCAGGAATCCCTAGTGACCGAATGATTCAGTGGTTAATTATAATGAGTAAACTGTATAATGTACTTACACCAGATGAACATAAGTTGAATTACTGAAGGCACTATTTGGATAAATGTGATGGACCTCCACGACCAGTTTCCCTCGACATATGATGTTCCCCAACCAATACAGGCGACAACTTATCAGGCCAGTAAGTCATCATAATACTCATAAAACGGGATTAAGACTTACGAAGAGCTCCAACATTCCATAGACAATTGTAAATAGCAGTGACGGGGCCACGATGCTGCGGATGGCACAACTCAATGAGGAGCATAGGTGAACACATTTGTGCAAAAGAATTTCCAAATCCGAGAAGGAATCGGCCCGCAATGTACATTCCATAGCTTGTCGAAAATGTAGTGATAAAGCCCCCCAGGACCATAAAGCAGCAACCAATAATGATAGCAATCTTTCGGCCGAAGTTATCTGCCACGTAGGGACTAGGAACAGTAAGTAAAAAGCCTTCTCTTTGTGCTCTTTTTGTTGAATACTGACGTGATGAAAAAGCTGACGATAGAACCAATGTTGAACATGTTGACTAACAAACCCAGCCAGTTGGACTGTCCTACCTGGGGAGAGAAGAAGTCTTCCCAAGTTTGTAAAAGCTGTGACGTATTTACCAACATTCTGATGACACTCATTAGCCCAGACGTAGTAAAACACTAGAAGGTGCAGTTCACCCATCATAACCAGTGGTAGCCGATGCGACCATCAATACAACAGCCATGAGATACAATTTTCGAAGATGAGGTTCTCTTTTCCAGTCAACTTTCTCAAAATCTGGTGCCTGAGCTTGGACGACATGGACTTCGCTCTTGGCGCCTTTCACGCCAATAGAAGTTAAATTCACCATCGAAAAGATTATCTGCTATATAGCTTATAGAAGCTTATTCAATGCTGTGTCTCAAGTTTTTGAAAGTATCTGTATCAGTTGATGGGACTGGACCATTAGCTAAAGCTATAGTATTTCGCGTACAAATTCAGGAGCAGAATAAATTTATTAAATATTATTCCAGAATGATTCCATTCTCCAGATGTGGTCCGTGTTATCAATATTAGATTATGTGATCACAACGAATTTTCCGGGGAAGCGGAGAAGTAGAGGACCCTTTATCCAAACAGCCGCTGTTTTCTTTCAATTCCAGGATCAAAATACAAATTAGCCAGAAAATTGGACTAACATAAGGGCAATATAAACACTAGCCATGCGTGAGTCCAAAGTTGGCGTAGTGCGCGCTATGAGCGTGGCCTATAGTCGTGTGTGCTACGGATAAAAGACACCTATGCAGCAGAGTCCTGTTAAGATTACATGGGCGTCCGTCTAATTATCTGCGCATCCGGGTAAAAGGAAAACGCCTTTATTGTCAACCTGATTCTTCCGGCACTGGGGTACCTCAGCTGCTGTCTCTAGCTTACGGCATAACCGTATCTTTCAGGTAAAAATAACATCAACAGCATGGTTGCTCATGGCCCTCCACGAATAACTTCGCGAGATCGACCTTGCGCCGATTGTTACAGGCCGTCGGAAGGGGTATTCAAATAACTTTCAACTAACTTAGTTGTACTAGCGATCACGGTTATTCCGTTTAGTTAAATCAGCCTTCCAGAGTGGCTCGAGGCTATCGCGGAGTATCGTTTTTATCAGAAAGTTGCCTGTCGCTTGCAGCTACCTATCATATCTCATTATTCCAGACCCTTGGTATTCTATAATACCTATTAGAACCTTTAATGAAAATAAAGTTTAATAAGAATCCCAAAACCATCCAGATGCAACCAAAATACTAATAATGAGCCCAAACTGCTTAATTATACAAGTTTGAGACCAACGGAATGTCGGCCTTGAATTACAATTTTGTTACAGCCCTCGTCAGAGCTCCAAAGTTTGTGTTATTATTACTGCGGTTTCCCATTCTATAATCGATTTTAAGCGCCGTGTTTGGACTATGCATTTCTAGCCTATTCGCTCTTATCCACTTCAACAGCTGTCACCCTAAACTTTGTCCAAAACTCGATCATGAATCTGACGGTAGCTTGTTTATTCTATCAGGCGCTAGCACAATTGAAAGTAATATCAGGAGCAACTTACTGTTTTAATTTACAGCAGCTAGTTTCTAGGATCTAGGATAAATGACCGTTCGTCAACATACTTTAGTTAATTACGATGTGCCTTAATGGCAAGAAAAGAAATAGTAAGGGTTAACTCCATGTCGAACAAATGGAGTTCAAGCATACTCTATAGGCTGAATTCGAATCTGTTTGCAGGATACAAGACCAAGGATTGGCTCTAACGGTACACGAAAGATGGCCATCTCAGCGTCATAGTAACAGACAAGAAACGCTGCAACTCTGTGGATCTTCACATCGGATTCTATTTCCAAGGTCAACGAAAGGGCTTTTGCCATTGATCACAAAGGATGTAACAACCCGCTTTATTATTCTATACTTCTATGCTTCTATTCATTCTATGACCGAACAAGAGTCTCAAACACCAAGTTCTCTTTTATTCTTCCTAGTTTAGCCATCTTTTGCCGGTATATCCAACTACCCAGGATCAAGTTGCCCTTTCGATAAAAGCAATTTAAACCACCATTCACCAAGCATTCGCCTCGTATTAAACAACAATTTTGTTCAAACCCACTATCATTTAACCTTACATTAGGTCTCACCAATTCTTTCAATTGTGTTCAGAGTCCAGTGAAGGAAAAAATCAAAATGGCAGCATCAACGGTTGCTACGGGGAATGGCCAATCCTTTTGCTATCTTCTTTCCATGCTACCGGAGTTACGCTTTATGATCTACCAGGCCGTCTTCTCAATGACTCGGATCACATACAAGCCCAATTATACAGACGACAACTATTTAGGCTAAGTGCCAGCTGCTAATACTTTCGCACTCTGTCGTGCCTGCAAAATGATTTACTACGAAAATAAAAAATTATCCATACGAGAAGTGCTGTATAATATCGAAGGAAGTGGCCACGATCTGAAAACAATACTCACAAAACAAGTCGTGTTCCCTCGGCCGCAAATTCGACGACTCACCTTAACATACATAACCCAACTACTCGACGGTGTTAGAGACATATTGGAACAACTTCAACTGGGTCTCGAAGAGTTGAATATTCTATTCTCTATCAGGGGGAGCTGGCTCATATTCATCGTGGATGAACGGCGTAAATGAGATTATTTGGTTGGGGACATTCTGGAGAATGTTGCGCATTGTCCATGTTGCTAAACGATTCAAGAACTCTGCCCATCTGGCATCATGCGTCTGGGATTATCAGTATGTCAAACTGGCAAGATGCCATCACTATGAGAGATGGTGAAGACTCTGGAGGATCAGTCGCTTTGTATCGGTCCATCGAATCCCTAGATTCATCAAGGTCTTTTGCCAGGTATAACGCGCCAAAAAAGTTCAGGCGAATCGTGCCAACAGATTCATTCAGGGTTGCATCAACTCAGGGATATACTCAAGGGGGGGAGGTGAGATCGACCTGATTATGATCGTGACCAGACGTGGTCACAATTTCATTCCTAAACAGGATGAAACCGACCTCGCACAGGAAAGACCCGGAGTAGCTCCTCGACTCCCAACTTTTCTCCCGCATACAGGAACGTTGCCAGGCAGGTATACGCCTGTTGACGAATTCAAAATACCTTACCTACAGAGTTTTTTTTCTTTTAAATCAACAATCGGCGTATGCCCAGTTCCCGTCTAGATAAGTACATTTTCCTTTGCGTCCATTAGGTCAATCACAGTAATTTTCGCCATTATCTGTAAGACTAGGCCCAGACGTATTGATACATCTCAGGTACTGACCCGTAGGAAATGTTCTCTTGTGAGATAGTGTTAGTGTATGTTGGACGAATTCCAGTTGTCAATTGTTTATGCGGCAGTAGTCCAAACCACTGTATTCGTGTAGACGACGTAATATTCGACGAACGTTGCCATATAGATCGATATATAGATACATGTTAAATTGTCTCCATTCGTGTAACCACGTTGAAGTCAAAGTTCATTGGACAGATTTTGAAAAAAGAAAGAAGCCATGTCCAGTCATTAATCGTTGAGATCGTAAAAAAATCTTGGAACCCTTCGCCTCGCTATGCTTTGTTGAAAATTCCCCCACGCTAAAAGAAACTAGAAACTCCCGAGGCCAGCTCATACATATGTAACACCGAGTCAATTGACGAAACGAGTAGCAAAACAACAATTGACGAGTGGCAGTCACTGAGACACTTTGGACTGCAATTCATCAATTGTATGCTGTAGTCGACTTTGCACAAAAATGCCCATTGTCAAAAACACTTGCATGGAACTGACGGTTGATACGGCGGGTTTGGCATCAGATGACGGGGAGGGATAGCTTCCTGAGGGAGCATACATATCGAGGTACTGCTTAATTGGCTTGGACATCATCCGCAATCGGCTCAAGACGAGCTGGAATTTCATCAGATCGCAGGATTCATCGTCCAGCTCGTAGCCGCCGACGGAGATGGGGCGGTGGACGACTTCTTCGACGGCGTGGTTGAAGACCGCCGCATTGCCGGCCGAGGCACTATCAAACAGGCCGTCATCGTTGAAGCCGACGGCTGCTTGGTACCAGGCCAATGCTTTGGAGAAAATGGTAGCGATAAGCATGGGAAACGACGAGTCCTTGGGGCAGCCGCAGGACAGCATCGTGGAGGTGTTTTTGATCGCTTCGCAGTTCGCTCTGAGAACTTGGTCCATGGTCGGGCGCGGCTGTCCTTGGCTGGTTTTCTGCACAGTTGAGGGCAGACTCAGCGACACCAGAGTTTCCAGGGCCAGCTGGGTGCAGTCGTGTGGTTTGGACTGCGGGATCAGCATCGACGGGCTCAGGCCCTCTGGCGGGGTCGTCGCGGGGGGTAGCAAGGCGGCGTCAAAAGAGGCAGCATAGTAGCTGCTTGGTGACAAGTAGACATTTTCCGGGTCGTCCTTAATTATGGTGGCATTGTGGCCGGACGAGGCAGGCGACTGTGACTGCGACTGCGACTGCGGCGAGATTCCCAGGAACGAGTCGTCGGACTGTTGGCTGTACGCGGTCGGCGCAATTTCGGCGGGGGAGTCGAAAAGAGGCTGCAGAAAGTCTCCGGCGCTGCTGCTGGCCTCATGTCCAGCCAGCACGCTGTCGAAATTCCAGTCGGCGGTCGACCAAGGGTGATGTATATCTGCCTGTTGCCATAACGGAACATCGTCGACCTTCCGGGAGGCTTCGTTGTTGTTTGTGTTGTTATTATTCGCATTCGCACTTGCCATTGCCTTCGCCTTGGCCGACTTGCGCGGTTTGCCCATGCGCATCGACCGGCTGTAATGGCACTGTACTCCGATCGTCTTGCATCGCTGGCACTCAGGCTTGTCCTGGCTGCACTTGATCTTGTTGAGCGAGCAGCGATCGCAGGCCGACCGTAGTTTGATCCGCGAAGGGGCTTCTTCTCGAGGGGGGACCGGGGAAACCTCTGTCATTGTCGTCGATTTTGGGGGGTTGCAACAAGTTCGTAATACTGCAAGCAAGAGAGCGCCAGCAAACGGAGGGCGGCGTATGATATAGATCGCCCTTGCGCCGACTGCGAATAGAAATCAATAATCATTTGCCCTTCTCCGACTGAAAACTCCGCCGGATACACATACACTAGGGCCTGGCTGACCAGTGGCCGCCGCCGAACATCCCACAGAAAGCTGACGACGAAGGGCCCAATCATCTGTCGGCCTCGAGGGGCCTTCGCCGGGGCCTTGGACGTCTTGGACTCCGTAAATGCTTCCGCGGACCCAATGGGACTATTTTCTCGGGCTTTCATCTCCCTATCTTGCACTAACTAGGCATAGTAACATCCTAACCTAGGTTGTTATTGGATGCGTTACTACTTGCTACTAGCCGCGGGTCGGCCGACGGAGCCCAACGGCTGCAGTGACGAAGAGTGCGAGCTGCGAAGGTGCAGAAGGTACAGAAGGTGATAACCTAGAATCATGATTGTCTTCTTTCTATTCTAGACTACTCGGGACGAGGCGGCCGATCCATGCACGACAGTTGAATAAACCATCGACGTCAACAAATGAAATTGTTTCAATTGATATTCTTCAGCGATAGTGAGCAATCAGAATGTTCCATCCGGGAAGAACACTAACGAGCACATTTGAATTAAGGCTAGGAGGTTTCTCGCTTGTCCTTGTAGAGAGACATGTAATCGTACATCAAATGCAAGTGGTACATAAGCAAAGGAAGTGATAACATTGAATGCTTTACAGTATGGAATTGTTCACATTGATTCTAGCACATGCAAATGACAATCCCGACTCGAAATAATTACATATCTCAGCAAGTTCTTCAGCAGACAGAACAGGAGCAAACTGATACAAGGTACCTACTAGAGTTTATCGGCGTTAGTTTATTTGACGACAATTTACACCAAACACAGCGAATAATAAGCCGAGCGAAAGCTCCGGCTCACTTGCAACCCCGTGTTTCATCGTTCGGGGATCGATTATCAATATTATGATGCGGGTAGTCGTGTAATTGCCCGGCAGTGATGACCCACGTGGTGGCGGATGGCCCCTTCTGCTTACTATTATTTACTGTAGCCCTCAGGGCAGAGATCAAGTAGTATACAACAATTGTATGACGGACTGATAAAGCAGCGCAATCCACCGTGCGTTGATTACATTTGATTCTTCCCACCAGGTGTTACCGAATCAGTACGTAGGCACTACACGCAAGCCTAACCTGGGTAGTTATCGCGGTTCTGCTGAAACAGGCTGTGCCTTCTAGTTGCGATTATTATGTAGAACCCATTTGTCATATTATCATGCTAGACACAATCCTGAAGAATTGTAAAAAGGATCCAACATGGCTAGTTTCGGGGATCTTGCAACCATCAATTGATTCCGGAAAGATAAGGCAAGAATTGCCCCATAGATTACCATCAGACATTCAAGAACTGTAGAGCTTTCGGAGTCATTGCATTCCACTTGCTAGGTCGTGGAGGCTGACTGTATTCGGCCTCTTTTTATCGCGATGCCGCCGAGGCCCGACGCCGTGAAGGTACCGTGGCCCCTATGGTAAAGAGTCAAAAACTCATTTGATTAATTCTTGGTAGCATGTTCTGCATTCTGCGTCCCCTTCGTAGCTTCTCGTTCTCCTCCCGTTCGCCGTTGAGAAAAAAAAACCGAGAGAGAGCCAGAGCCTCGCCTCGCCTTTTCAAGAAAACACGTTGTGACGAAGCTAGCGATGATTGGCGAAGCCGGACATTCTTTTCGACGCAACGGAGGGCCGACGCTGCTTATGGTGGGGTCCTCCACTGCTTACTTTGGTCCTTACTTGACTCCTACTCCGTACAATAATATTATTAAAAAATGCGCAACAACTGTTACATCTCTGAGGCATGCTATTTCATTATTATATCTGAAGACTGAATCATAGACATATTACGATTTTTGCCTGGATGCCTAAGAATTCAGGAACAGGCCATCACGTGCCTTTCCTGTTTCCCTGTAATCACGTGGCTGTGTAATGTGATTATGATTGGTGGAGCTCTTTATGCTGCCTTGTCGCCGTGTTGCCTTGTTGCCTTGCTGTGTTCCAGCCTTCCTGCCTCGATGCCTTGGTGCCTTGCCGCCTCTCACTGTCGAGGCTTCTAGAGAAGAAGCTCAGTAGAAATGAGCCTAGGCAGTGCCAAAATGCCTTTGATTACATGTTTAGTTCAGGCCCGTCCCCAGTACGACCAGCAATGAGGGCTATAATAAATCGTTGAAGCGTTTTAGAAGTAGCCAGGTTCTCTAGGGCTAAACACCCCCGCGACATTCCTCACGAGTAACAAGGTAAAGAATCTATGCTCTATACATGTCGTCCTTGAGCAATCCGTCTCCTTGACAATAATCTTCGCTTCACAGCTCGGTTGCACATTCTCATAACGCTTTCACTTGCCATGTACCAGAACTTAGGTTGTTGCGGTCCACCTTCTCCCGTAGCTTGTCAGAGATGCATAAACTGTTTTATAAATTGATATGTAATTTTTGGTTAATAGTTTTGGTCTCAAGGTTAATGATATCTCATAAGAGCAAACTTTTTCACGGTTCTTCTTTTACACCCATCAGAACCGCGGCAACTTGTTCGTAGACACTAAATACAATACCGCCACTCAATATCAGTCGACCAAGCCTCATTGTACTCCCCTTCCAGAAGCCTCTTGGCCCATAATCTTGATATATCCCGCTTACTGCCTCTTTGAAAGGCGCTCCCTGGACACTCTGGCTTCTAGTTTTGACCACGTCAAATGGCTGCGTAGCATATACTGTGATAGTTCCAGCCAGCGCGCCCATACCAAATGTCGTCACTGCTGTTTTTGGTACGTCATACCTCTGGGAGGTCTCTTTCAAAAAGTTATATGACCCCATACGAACCGCAGAAGTGGCCATCTGTTTCATTGTTGTAGACACGCCGCCTTTGTATAAGTTTGTCAACCCATTTTCTTGTATTAATATTCTCGTAGCATGTAAACTGGATTTGAATCGCCGGGTGGCCGACTTTGCGTCATCAATCAATGCAGTTTTAATGCGCTCAGTAGGAGTTACAGCTAACACACTTTCGGTAGCACCAGCACACATACCCGCGAGAATTCCTCGGCCTGTTGACAAAGAGCCATTCTCGTCAGACAGAAGGTTTTTGATGCTGTCAAAAGACAAAAACCTGACGCCAGCTTTTACAGCTGTTCCCTAGATTATCCTTAATTCGCTGAACGGGCAGTCTCGATAAACAGGAATTTGTAACCTACCACTACTAGTGTTGAGCAACCAGTGTACAATGCTGCCGGCCCTTCAACCTTGGCGACTTGATAAATAAGTGTCAGTGGATTCTTGGGGAGTGCTGTTGCGCCTTGCTGCGAGCGGAGCTGCGCTCTAGTTTTGGCAAATTCAAACGGGTACTATCGATATTTGAGTCAGTCCTGTGATGCATGCAGACTTGGTAAACGGTTGTAAGAAAGGGAGGTTCACTGTGATAGTAGCTTCAACAGCTCCTGCTGTGGCACCAGAGAGTAGCGATACCCATGGTGGAACATTCTTTTTGGCATTGCGCGTCGTCTGTTTCTGCGGTTAGTTCGCCAGTGATTAATATTCAGTGTTGAAACATAATCCTCACCTCGGCTTTTGGGATAGCAGCGGTCATCATGGCAGATGGGTAGTATCTTTTTATTTCATTTTGTTTTCATCTATGGGGCGTCTATGCTATGTTTGCTATGTAAAAATCCGCAGTCGCGAAGATCGGATCGCGTCAAGCTATGATGATACCTCGGGTACGAAGTATCGCGTTACCGCCGATAAACGGATAGCGACAACCGGACTTCTTCTGTAGTTGGAAGCCACATTTGCTCTCATTTTCGTGCATATTGAATTAAATTCGATAGATGTGTAGGTTGAAATAAAGACGAGAGTTATAGTCACCAGATCAGTGTTTGTAAATTTATTACCCAAATCTACTCATTCAAACATATAGAGCCCAATATCGCGCCAAGAGTTCACTTCGATATAATAAATAGTGTCAATGTTGACGTTTTATTGAGTTCAGAGGTCGTCAAGAACCAGTGATTCCTGGCTTTGTTTTAAATCAGTAGATATTAAAGATTGGGGTTATCAGGAGATTATTAACATAAGTTTTACGAGGTCTATCGTAAACTCATTCGCCGAAAATAATATTAGCACAGGTCGGCATATTAAACAGCGACTTTGGCGCTTTTTCTGGTCAACCATTGTTTTAGGGCTATTTCCGAGACAGTCGCCCGCTTATGCGCCCACCAGTATTTTTCAAAAGGAAGAAGGATTCTAGCAGCTCGATAAAAGTGATATAGCAGCAGCAGTGCGCGTGGCTCTCTTTGCTGAACCAGGGTTGCAAAAGAACCGTGGCAAACAAGCGGAAAGGAAAGTATAAATCTTGCCAATTCTGGTAGCAGGGGTGATTTGGCGTTCGCCAAGGATGGGGGTTGCGCCTCTGGGAGAAAGGAAAGAATAAGACACAGTTGAATGATGATAGGAGTGTACACATCTTCTACTGTATCGAACGCGTTTTCTTGAATCCGCGAGGCATTGTGTTTCCAAGGGTTCGAGTTCGCTAACTCTGTGCTTCGGGTGTACAAGAAAGAGAGTTTAAGAAACTCGGTATTGATCGGTTTCTGATATGAAAAAAGTTTTTGCACTTGTTCAATGTGTCGCGGCTTATCTGTGCAACCTCAACCAGTAGATCCCGAGGGTCGTGTCGAACTTGCGGCATAAACACGGATGACGTGCCGTATGTGAGCGTGATATTTTTCAGAAATACTTGCTTCAAGCTCGAGCAGAATATAAACATGCGGTCGTTCATTGAGTCGTCAAACGACGCGTCGCCAGCATTCATTTCAGGTGCACACAGGTCAACATCGGCCCATAGCTCATATTGTAACAAAAGCGAGGTTGCGACGAAGGCATCAATGTGGGTTGAGGTCAAATTGTTTGATAGCGCATGGCGGAACTGGGATAGACAGCGGCCAAAATGGCTCGCTGCAGCTGTTGGATATGTAGGATCTTCAGGCCGAAGCGCCGCCAGATGGCGCGCTGCAATGCAAAGGACAGCGTCCATCAAAAATTCAAACTCAAGGCATAACTGGAGTGCATGACCCCAGACTACGGGGGTAAAAAGAAGCGTCTCTCGCGTGTATGTTTGGAAGTGGTGGAACAATTTCATGTGAACCAGGTTCACGGAAGCATCGATTGTTGTTGGCCGAGGAAGAGGAGTTTCGGTTCTCATGATGGAAAAACTTGGACCTAACACTCGTTTACAGTCACTGCGTTTGAGTCGCTGGCATTTTTCTCTTCTGTGAGTGCAGCTTGCGCATGGTGTCTCTACGCTACACTATCCAACGGCCAGTCAGGTCAGCGTATAGGAGCAATAAGCCATTTAAGAAGGCCATGCAAACCTTGACTCGCCGTCTTCGGCAATTTTCACACCCTGTGTTGGACTTTTTATGTGCCCGCCTTTTCCTCGCAGGATCAATATTCAGAGCTTTGGGGACCTCGACAAGGGTAGGTTCCGCATTCGATGTCGATGAAAGAAGGAACGTGTTGGTATAATCCTGCCAAGAAGGTGTGGAATTTGGGGCGCCGGCGATGGGAAATGATACATAAAATGACATGATAAGATTTGTTGTCTTATTGGTATCATATCGTGGAATGTGATGAAGGAGATTTTGAGCAACATGAATTTCATCCACGAAACTTCGACTTCGATGGAGAAGTGGCGTTATCGCCGTGTTATCTCCGAGCTGGTCAGCTACTGCTAAGTGACAAAAATTTGAATATAGCACTAAGAACTGACATCCATATCTGGTAGTTGATTTCCTAGATCTATTATGGCGTTACTTTTTGTGTCTTCATATATTTAGCGCTATATTCAAACTAATGTCCCCATACTATACCAGTAATAGCACATTAATTTGAATCTAGCGCCAAAAATTAGAAGACACCAAATATGACGCTATACGGGAAGTAGGAAGGTTATATAATTTCATTCCCGAAGATGGAAGTCATATGTTCTTCAAAGACTTGGCCCTACACTAATAAGTAGTGCTATATTCAAACATTTGTCACATTGGTACATACGGTGATAGAGCCCAAAATAGTATGGCACAGCGACTTGCTGATTATTTACGATGTCGTTCTTCGAAAGATAATATCACCAACAAATCCAACATTAACACTGGACCTTTCTAGAAATAATTGTCAAATAGGAGTAAATGTAGATTGCGGGGCTGATCAATGAGGCTGTGAGTAATAACCGTTTGAAATCGAGACAACAAATGCTGAGATCGATTGTTAGGGCAGCGGGTCAGTCAATACCCCAGTCACAGACAGGACTGACTCAGACGGTTACTAAATTCGGCGCGTGATGCCATAGAAACAAAAGACTTCAAGATATGATTGGTCGTGACCGTAATATGAGGCTTAGCTAAAGTTCCGAATAACAAGAATAACAACCCCACTCTATGCACCTACCCCATTTCCTCCCTAGAACGACAGTCAAGGGAGAGTCTCAAATATCAATTGATGGATATGGGCTATTGTGAATCAAACTTGCCACTCGGATACTCAGGCCCGCAGGCCATACTTCGGCTCATAGCGAGGAATTCTACTGAAAGTCGCTCTGTTTAGATCGAGAATAATTGTCTCAATTTTTAAAATCCACAAACAACGAATGGCTTTGCTGTGGCTTCGGTACAGGACAAAGCTTTTGAATTCGCAATGTTTCTGCGAATGGTAAATTGCAATAGTATGAAAACTAAGTCTCAGAAGCTAAAGAAAAAGAGACATATGATCTCTTGTTAATCAAAAGGGTTACGTTGGATTGATCAAATGACCAACAATTCCTAGCTGTAGACAAACTTGTTACACCAAGGCCAGACACTATTCGCTAGTTGTATCTGCCAGAGCCCTTATAAAAGCAGCCGTTGCTGGTACAATTACGGCAATTACGAATCAAAGTAACATAAATATCGCTGTCGCTCGAATTTGTCGGGGAATTGACGTTTACAAAGCGCAGAGGAAAAGCCGTCACTGCATTAGTACCGCACTAGATGCCTGTTTTAACGGTCGAGACCGCTGGTGTTATCACTTTATCTGTCTACTAGGGTTGCAAGTGGCTTGCAAGTAGTAGTGCACTCGGTTATGAGGAGTATCTCTCCAGTCTTGGTACCATTGTTCGCATTGTGCTGCATACATGGCTAGTAGAGAAATGTTGGAGTGTGGACGATTGCATGTATAACGCGCCAAACACTAGTGACGGTGATACTACACAAAAATAGAATATACACGCAAGCCCGGAGCAGTGCTGCATTGCTTAGTATTTCAAATGTTAGCACTCACTTTGTTGCTGGCCAATGACCCACCGATGAAGCGAAGGCGACCGTAACATTTTGTCTGCTTTTTCCCTATTTGGGAATGAACCGGGGTCAGCATACACCATTTTTTCGGGTCCTAGCGGGCAAACCACGTCACGTCTCTCTTTATTCTGGGTGTCGGGTTTATTATTGTTATTATTAATGCTGCTAGCAAATCATGCGAAATTAGTAATTAGCATAACGACTCAGTTGAGTTGGATACGTTCAGCTGTTGGATGGAGCACGGAAAAGCAAGCAGCCTGATTGGGCAGAGCAATGAAGGTCTCTCCGCTGTATGACGTAGATCGTCATATCAGCCCAACGACCACGCGACATGCAAGCAGAAAATTCAATTCTTCGTATTTCTGCGATCATTCTTGTTGTTAATACTGCTCTGTGCTTTGTTTATTCTCGGCTGCTTCCTAGCCTTAGCCTTTTCCTTTTGGGGGCCTAAGGCCAGCGTGAAATTAACCTTCTCCAGGCTACGTGACATCGTCCACAAGCTTGATCACTGGCCGCCTTGCTTACTCGTGTGGAATCGATCGTCTCTGCTGTTCTCATCCTGACATGGCCTGTGCATGACTAGCTGTTGGTGATGTGCCTTTGGCCCCATCAGAGCGTATAGTGATACGCATGTTTGTGGCTAATACGCACAGTCTGTGGAGACACAGGTCGTGGGTCCAGACAAATCGCGCCGTGTTCTAATTATATTTAAAGAGCTTACGAAATTTTCAAATGTTGTTTATATAGACCCTGGATTCGCTTTCTGGTAAAGATATACATTTTCTCGGCTACATCAACCGACGGCAACTCTCTGAATACTCTGAATACTTCGTTCTTTTAACTTTCTTATACTTTTGTTATCTTCATCATTGCACAAGCAATCTACATTCTTTGTTGACTTTCATCTCCAATACACATCTAACTTCACTCCTCGGTCATCGATATGGTAGGCTTCGGGCTCCTCGCCCGGCTTTCTGCCGCAGCTCTTTTGTTTACATCGTCATTGGCATCCCCCCTGCCCCTTGACAAGCGTGTGGCTACGGCAGCAAGCCTTTCCGGCGGCCAGATTAACATGGGCGGCGGTACCTACCCTCGCGCCAACTTTTTGCAAGATGGATCTATTCTCGGCACTTACACCGCAAGCACGGGCGGTAACAAGGTCATCACTGTTGTGCATTCGACAGACGGTGGCAATACCTGGAATCAAATTGGCACTGTAGCCTCGGCCGATGCTTCCACTCATGACCTTGACAACGGTTATCCTTACCAGCTTCCGTCCGGACGAATCTTGGTAGCGATGAGGAACCATGACGGGACCAGCAAAATTGGGTACAGCTACTTCCGTATCACGATATGCTACTCCGACGATGGCGGCAAGACCTGGACATACCTGAGCACGCCGGCGTCGGACCCCGGCCCAACTAACGGTAACTGGGAACCGTTCCTCCGTATGGCTGAAGACAACACCACGCTTCAACTCTACTATTCTCGAGAGAACTCGGCCATCGACCAGGACAGTCTCCTGCGGACATCCACCGATGGTGGCGCTACCTGGAGCTCCGCTACGGTTATTTCTGGCGCTGAAACAACCAACACTCGTGATGGCATGCTTGGCGTTACCCCGGTCAGCGGCAGCAACCTGATCGCGGTTTTCGAATCCGTCCCTGCAGGTGGCAACTTCGCCATCCACTCAGTCACCAGCTCGGACGGTGGTAAGACATGGGGTAACCGGCAAACCGTGTACGCCCCACCTAATGGCTTCAATGCGCAAGCACCTCAGGTCGTCAACGTCGGGGGCACCCTTGTCGCCAGCTTCCAGACCGACGAAGACCTTTCCAGCTCGGACCAACAGAACGAGGCCGGCAAGATCGTAACCAGCGGCGATGGCGGCGCTACCTGGGGAAACAAGTTGACCTATTCCCAAGCCGTCAGCAACTGGGGTGGTCTCTTGACGCTCGATAGCTCCAGCCTTTTCGGTATGATTGACCACTCGGGGTCAAAGGCGCAAAAGATTACTCTCTCTTGACCACCTTCTACCCCATCTTCTGTTTCGAGCAGCAGTAGTGCGACTTCTACGAGCACTACATCAACTTCTTCCACGACATCAAGCACATCCACGTCTCCCGCGACATCTAGCACATCCACCAATTCTGCTGAGCATTCCTTTGCATTAGGGAATTGGCACCATCTGTGCCCCATTTTCTATTCCTTGTACATAGTTTTCTGAAACATGACGCGTTTCGTGTGAATTATAAACAATTTTTAAGCTGCATCTCGCAATCTGATTTAGAATCATGACTAGTACTCGGCTGACCCGAGATTTAGTATTACTATTCTTCTTCTTCTTATTCCTGCTCCCCGGCTCCCCGGTAGTGGCCTTGTATGTGCCAGCCCACATATGATGTGTCTATGTTACCCTGTGTCATCGCCAGGATGTCTGCTGACTCCCATAGGCTGTTTCGCATTAGGGCACGCTAGGCTTGACGGGGGGCCGAGGCCAGCTGCAACCCTATTTCGCACCCCTGACTAGTCCTAACCAGGTTGCTTGTTCGTCATCTGCTTTGATGATGATGATGATGATGATAATAATAATAATAATAATGTGTATGTACCAATTGATAGATATATAACATCAATTCTTAGTGTGATAAGGCCCGCAAGTGTAGGCGAACCGCGCTCTGTGGACACAGCAAGAAAAAATTGGAGCCCCAACGCAGTTATTGAGCTTGGTATACTGCTATAAACCTGCTGCGGGTATTACTGATAGTACGAAAGTTCGATTGCTACTTGGAGTTCCAAATAGGATATAGAGCACGTGCGGCGGCGTTAAGAAGAAATCAATTTCATTACAAGCTATTTTAACTATTCACTGGTTTGTCAATTTGATACGATAATAACACCAACAATCATTATGGAAAGAATACAGGGCCAAACAACGGGAAATGGACAAGGCTTTTCGCAAAGCAGGTCGTGCCCATACTGACATTTGACATGCCGAGGTCGGAGGAGTTCGTCTGGACCAACTTACCCATTACATAGACCTAGTAAGCAATATGTGAATGTCTTTATTTTCAGGTGTTCCGCTATGTATAAGAACATCAAGACCACGGAACACAGGAGTATGTGTAGGTGTAGGTGTTTTGTGCAGAAGGTCCACCACAATTCTATGCAACGGCTATATCCAATGCAGCGCTCTGATTCGCGAGAAGAAGAAATCACAAATCAGGGTATAGAACTTCTCGCTAAGTAGCAAAGATGAATAAAAAGAAAAGAAAATCGTAAGTCATATGTCACCGCACTTTCAAGATGAAAAAATGGAAATGCAAAAGTCAAAGTGAGAATATGGGCAGACTACTTCGCCTGTCCAAAATGCGCAACTCGTGGCCACCGAGAGAGAAACTCGACATCATCCAATGCCCCCTTGCTCTGGTTGCGTACATACTGAGTGCTTGGGTCAACTCGTGGCTCATAGTCCCAAATCGTCGGCACCCCCTTGATAAGAGCAGAGTATACAAGACGCCGACGACGCTGTGAGCGGATAACATCCTCGTGGATTACCTTCAAGTTCCACCGAGCCTGTACCTCCTCTACAAAGTGTGCCAGCAAAGCTGTCGGATCCCTTTTTGGAGGAAGATCCACGGCCGATAAGGGACTCGGTGTGCGAGGCGGGGTAGGAACGACCGCCTGTGCTGGAATCTTGGGAAAGAATGACTTTTCCGTGCTCACAAAGGTGACAGCCGCCGGGGTTTCTTCAGGAGTTGGTGCACCGATAATGCCATTCCCAGGAGACACAGTTGCCTTGATGGTAGCACTCTTGTCTTGACTGGGGAATGGAAGGCCTGCGACGAGGTTGGTCGTTTCCAATGGATCTGCTTCGAGGTCGTACAGCATTGGCGGGTCCAGCAAGGAGTAGATAAACTTCCATTTGCCACGACGGATCATAATCACCGGGGTCAGAGTACCCTCAGCCATATACTCACCAAAGACCGTGTCGGTCTTGGCTCCTTCTCCGCCAGTCAAATAAGGCACTAGCGAAACTCCGTCCATGGGCAGACTGGGTTCTAGCTGGGCTCCCACCAGGCCCGCAAATGTAGGCAGAATGTCCATAGTGGATACGTTCTCCTTGACTCTTTTGGCGGCAAACCGTTTGGGTGCATGGACAATGAAGGGCACACGAGCCGAGTTTTCGTACCAGACCATCTTGTACCAGAGACCCCGTTCGCCGAGCATGTCACCGTGGTCCCCAGTGAAGACAATGATTGTATCGTCCGTCAGGCCGCAATTGTCGAGGGCCTTCAAAAGCTTGCCAACGTTGGTGTCGACATAGGTGCAGGCGGCATAATAAGCACGACGGGCGGCCTTGATACGGTCTTCCGGCATCTCTTTGCCCCACAGATCGATGCACTTCAACACGCGCTGCGAGTGCGGGTCCTGCTGATGATGCGGCAAGGCGGCAGTCTTGGGCAGCGGGATGTCGACATCCTCGTACATGTCCCAAAACTCCTTAGTCATGGCATAGGGGTCGTGCGGGTGTGTCATAGAAACGGTCAAGCAGAAGGGCTGGTCGCCGCGATGGCGGACGTGGTCGTATAGGTACTGGGTGGACTTGTAAACGACCTCCTCGTCGTAGTCCAGCTGGTTGGTGCGCACGACGGGGCCGGCGTCCAAGACGGACGACATGTTGTGGTAGTAGTCGGGGCGGACGTCCTGCAAGAGCATCAGTGTATGGTTCCTTTCTCTATTTTCTTTCTTTCTTTCACGTACCGGCTCATCCCAATTGACGGACCAGCCATAGTCCCCCGGGTAGATGTCACTGGTCAAGCGCTGCTCGTAGCCGTGCAGCTGGTCGGGGCCGCAGAAGTGCATCTTGCCAGCCAGGGCCGTGTGGTAGCCCTCGCGACGAAGGTAGTGTGCGTATGTGGGGATGTCGGCAGGCAAATCGGCGGCATTGTCGTAGGCGCCAATCTTGGAGGGCAGCTGGCCCGTCACCATGACAAAGCGCGAGGGGGCGCACAGTGGCGAGTTGCAGTAGGCGTTGTCGAAGGTGACGCCCTCGTCGGCTAAGCGCTGCAGGTTGGGCGTCTTGATGCGCGAGGCCGGGTCGTGGAAGGACAGCAGCGGCGCGGCCATCTGGTCGGCCATGATGTACAGGATGTTGGGCTTCTTGGCCGCCATGTTTAATTCACTGGCAGTGCCCTAGCCTGGAGGTTATTTGCGGGCGGGTGTGCAGCTGCAGAGAGAGGGCGAAGACAGGTCAGTAGAGGACGAAGAAGAGAAGGAGGGGGAAGGAGGAAGGAAGAGCGGGCGGCGACTCTTATATCTATCCAGAAAAAAAGATACGGCATCGGCGGGGCCAGCAGGAAAGGAGCGGCGGGTAAGCTCCCGCACGTCCAAGGCTGCCACCATTGAACAGTAATAGTCATACAATCACACAATCATACATGTATTGAGACCATCCATGCTGCCGGGTCGTGGCAGATCGGCGAACACGCAACCGTGATTTACTAATTTCCCGGGGCGATGATGCGATTGCGGGGATAACAAGCGCAATCAAGTAACAGTACAAGTACATACACACGTACTACACAGGCACATATTACATTCCAGCACTGTGTTTTACATGCTCGAGGACTGTCTGCAATGGTATAGTTTAGTACATACCATCTTACATAGTGTACAGTGTACAATGTACAGTACAGTAGACGAGCGGACTCGCCTTCCCGGTGGAGCAAAAAGATCCCCGATAAGGATAAGGACAGCAGCTTCAGGAAGCTGGTCACATGCACCCATCCTGTCCTCATCAAGGAATCATATTCACACCCCATCCCATCCTCCCTCTCCTTTCCATGCCGACGACAATGCTCGTCTTGTCTTATACAACCACTGCATAATATTCTCAATATAATCACATTGTAATATAGGTTGATAGGCGCCGCGGCTGCCCGGCCATTCACAGCACAGGCTGGCCGCTGAGCTGATTGCCGGCCGATCGCACGCCACTCCCACGCCCGCCGATTGGCCAGCCGCTGTGGAGCCCCCCCTCACTACCACTTGCCCCTTGCAGTCTCGTTGCATTCTTAGTCATAATTCAATACATGTGGAAGGTGCTGCTCTTCTTCTCCTTGATTTATCAGCATCATCTTTATTCCTGTCACTGTCATTGTCATTATATTGTCATCATCATCATCATTATTCTTTAGTTGTATCATCACCGACTCAGCTATTGCAGCTATGCGACTATTGCCATCATCTATCGATCGTACTACCTAGTACTAGTTACTGCGTGGTACAGACATGATACTACCCCGACCCCGGTATCGCCGCCGGATCTCGCTGACGCGACATACCGGCCTTGCTTGGCGACATGCTTTCTTTGACCAGCCCTGAAACATCACTATCAATTAGTATCAACTGCTCTCTGTCGATCACCCCCAATGCTACGTCGTTGAGTATGATCATTGATGGATGATTGATTGTCACTGTTGATGTCCTGCGAAAAGGCGGTCGGTGCTCTCTTGTTTCATATTGTCGGTGTCAATGCCGGTATTATTAATGCCCAACTGCTAGTCATGTCGACGACGCCGCGACGCCATTGCGCGTCCCGCGACTGTGTCATCATGTCCGGCCTGATTGATTAGCCGTTTTGTTTCCTCGTCAGTCGATTCAGGGTGTAGGATCAAAGCATTCAGGGATGCAAACCGATGATTGCGACGCACCGCGTCATATTAATCTCCCGCACTCCTGTCTTGCCGGCTTTCCCATCTCAGGGACAAGTTGATGAATCAATGTGAGCTTTCGACGTGGCTCTGCTCAGCACCTACTCACTAGCCAGACAGTGTTGGTGACAGACTTGCAGTGCCAGCAGCCACTACTGGAAAGGACATCTGCTTCCGGTCCGACTTTGCATGCCAATATTTGTCTCATCATTGGTCGGCACTTGAATAATAGTGGAGAGCCGACAAAGAGACCAACCCAGATTCTCGATGCAATGAGTGCGTTTGTCAGACTCGACACACAAACTTGCTAACACTACAACAAGAATACGAAGAATAATTTGAAGATTCAGTCTACTACTGACGTCATTATACTCCGCCCGGACTATCAGTGTCGTTCGGGTACAAGTCAACCGTGTTGGCAGTGTAAATTCATTCTAATACCAGTCGACTCTTAACTCTTGTTGATTATGAAACTACCTGGCCGAAACTTGAATATTCGCTTTATGAAACGTAAGTTATCTGTATTATATATGAGAGTACATCCAAACGTTCCGAAAGCAGCTCACAATCAAGGGTGAAGCTAGCTACAGAGGTGAGAATCAATCATCAAATCAGTCAAAATTGCTCTTTGCGCTATTGTGTATTTGGTTCACCCGTAGTTTTGGCTATAAATAATATATCTTTATCAACTTTATCTTTCTACTCTATGCATCGTCGTTCTCATCTCAGACCAAACATCAACAGCTCAGCCAGCGCGGTATACTTGCCGACAACAATGTCTCTCACCATCTCTGGGAACTGTCTCTGTGGCAAAATTCGTTATGATGTCTCGGGGCCTCCCATCACCAGAGTGATTTGCCATTGCGATAATTGTCGCCGGTCGACCGGGTCTGCGTTTATGGCGAACAACTTTTATAAAAAGAATGTACGTTTAACTCACGTGTTTTATTATTAAGGCCACTATCCTCTACATATCCAGCATTCCCACACATATACTGATACTAGATATAGCAACTTCAAATCCACAACAGTGAAGGCGCTCTGTTAAGAACCTATCTCGACGGCCAGACCGATTCTAAACACACAGTCAAACGATCGTTTTGCGGAAACTGTGGCTCCCATCTGTTCATCACCAATGATTCTGACCCAATGCTAGCAGACGCAGTCATTGTTACCACTGGAACAATGGATAGACATCAGCTGCAAAGCACTGGCGATGGGGGGTGGGCTCCAGAGCAAGAATTTTTCTGCAAAAGACGGGCAAAGTGGATTCCGGAATTTGACGGAACGAAGAAGTGTGATGCAATGAAATAGATTCTCGATGTTGGACTCTACCTTCAGTGCATTTCCTTCATCAACTGATGTAGACGATGACACAGCTAACTACCTGATTGGACGGTTGTATACTTCGGCATTATTAATCCACTCGCGATAAGTACTTGATTGGGTTAGACACGATCTACAAATACAAAGTACACATAATTGGCACATCATTTCATTCCGAACATCAACGTAACTTTCACCCTTATTATTCTTCTAGCATTGTGTTAGAATGACCCGATATCCCGGTATGAGCAAAGGCTGTGCAGAGTGTCGAAAACGTAGGATCAAGGTTGGTTTCATTCCTTCCGTCGGCCAATGCGGTTAACCCTTCGCACGGTCAGTGAATCTATGTATAAGATAGTGAATCTAAGGTGAATTATAGTGCGATGAACAACTGCCGTCATGTTCACAATGCTCTCGCATAAAGCGACGTTGCTCTGGGCCTACGCGGGGCAATATATTCCTGAGTCACTCAGGCCAGGAATCTCAAACCCGTCCCTCAAGACAGCTTCAAGAATATCCTCAACATCTTAAAAGACCGGAAACCTTCCCACAGGGAAGCAGCAGTGTTCTAATCAAACAGCATCATACGACAACATTAGATCTTTCGCAATCTAGCCCCATCCTAATGAGAACCCAACTCGCAGCCACCTTCATATCCTTCTTCAGCAAATCCGCTGTCAACCAAACCAAACAGCCCACTGGCTGGATGCGTAGACTAGTCTCTATGATATCCCACGAATCGTATAGAGAGCATAGACTATCCGTCCTATCTGCCTCACTAGCTCTTTACGCAACACTTTTTCAGGATAAAGCCTGCGCTGTTAAAGCTCGAGAATATTACGGGCTGTGTCTGAGGGCGTTACGTGGGAGACTTCTTCTTAGGCGGTCGCTACGTAATCATAGCCATCACGCAGTATTATGTAGAGAGTCTACATGTTATTGTCTTGAAGATTTATCAATGGCGCTTATGCTGGCATATTACGAAATCATCTCCGCGACTTCCACCAATGCCTATTTCCAGCACATCAATGGCGCTGAGACCCTCTTGAAAAGCATGGAGTCTCATATCTGGCAGGATAGCCAGCTTCATGACCTGTATAGCATGCTTAGGCTGCATGTAGTATGTCTTATCTCTTTACATTCTCACACTGGGGAAAAATCAGGATTAGCTAATATGAAATACAGCTCTACGCTTCTATCAGAAAGTCATTTACATCCAAACCATGGAAAACTCTTGCATGGAGAGGCAAACAAAAAACTGTTTTTGATAAGACAATTGATCTGATCACGGATATCACCGCTATCACATGTAACCGAAATAGAGGAGATACAACAGACTTCGTCGCCGATACATTATCAGCGCTGTCGGAAATAGTCTTCCAGCTTGAGTCAATTGGACAAGCTCTTGGCATCGACCATCAGCAAGTGAAAAGTACCAACGCCTTCCTATTGCCAGATTCAGACACAGCAGTCACGGTGGCATATTACAGTCTTGGGTGGTTGCTAATATCACCCCGAATCCAAAAATTCAACCACTTACATAAGGAAGAAGTGGGCAAAATAGTCGCGATTAATGACCAATTCATTTCCCTTCATTGTAGCAATATTCTCCGCGCGTCGACCTATTTGGACGATTGCAGAGATGGGTGTGCGTATGTCAGGATGATACTGCCTCTCAAGGCAGTAGTTGAATTTGGTCCGGAAAAACTACAAAGGGACATGGCTAGATATAGGCTTGAAGCTTGGAGGGCTAGAAGAGGTTTAGCTGGTATTTGTGCTATCGCATTCGCTTTGAAAATTGAGGCTGGAGATTCAAGTTAAAGTTCTAGATGCTTTATAATATGGATTACAAGTGGCTTAGGCACATGGCTTGTATGTGAATTTGAACTTATTAAATTTGCCAAAAGGTTGGTCTTTAACCTGGTTTCGCTTGCCATCTCTGGACAATCATCCTCCAGACCTGTCTAGCAGGTACTCAGCTGCTCCTATACATATTTCTATCTGGCTTTTAATATTAGTCAGCCTGCTCACCATGTAAGCTCCAATAGAACAGAGTAAGAATAGACAGAACATCTTAAGCAATGAAACAATAATGATAAAGTCAAATTAGAAGTAGAATGACCCCCTCGAGGCTCATTTTGCTCAGGAGGTGCTGACGTAGGAAAAGAACTCTTGACTCTCGTATCTTCTGATATCTCCCAGTTCTTGTCGCATCGCTAGCTAAATTTCTGCTAGTCTTTGCTCAATCACCTCGACTATATGTTTCCAATCACACATCCCTCCCTGTCCAACGTCACCACATGCCAATGCTTTTACCTGTGGCGACAGTATCTCAACCCAGTTCCAATCTTCAAGTATCGCCAATTGCTTTGCTGTGATGGGGTGTTCCCACATCAACTGGTTCATCGCAGGGGCCGCAAGAATCGTACGTTTTGTGTCCCACGCGCGAATGACACAGCTTAGCAGGTCATCACACAGCCCGCCCGTAATCTTGGCCAAAAGATTTGCGGACATTGGGACAATCGCAAGGAGGTGTGCCCAACGGCGAAGTTCTATGTGTAATATACTCGAGTTCCTTGTCCAAGGCTCGATCCATTCGTCTTTGTCGAGATACACACCATCCACGTTGGCAAGCGACGTCAAGGTGGAAACCGCAGGCTGCTCCGGAGACTGGCCGGCAAGAAAGTTGGTTGCCGATTTAGTGATAATGACTCGGATTGAGAGGTTTTGGTGGTTTTTAAACGCGGAAATAATTAAGGGTAGTTTGATGGTAGCCACAGAACCACCTACGCCAAATTAGCTCCAACTTCTCCTACTTTTGAGGTAATGAGACGGAACTTGCGGCCAGCAGCAGATGCATTTTTCCATCATTGATTGCGGCGGAAACAGCCGTCGCTGGAGAGCGAGCAATGTGGCTGGCTGATGTAGTCATGTTGAGTGATGTTGCGGAAGAGATGCTTAATCATTTGCATATAGATGGATGTACGATGCCAGTCACGTGACTATTCCACAGGTCGAGCCTATAGGTAGCTTAAGTTCGTCTGTCACCTAACAACACACGTCTTCCTGTCTAGCAATTATTGATTCTCTCCAAGACCTCAATTTATTGAACTACTGCGTGCAGTTGGTGTTATATGCGGGCCATTTGATCACCAAAATTTTTCAACCAAAGTCGCGAGCCGCAGAAAAGAGACATGGTGTTGATGGGTACACGAATCAATATAGAAACCACCCTCAAGGACCGTCACTCTAAGCCATTAGCCCGAAAGGCTCGATGAAGAATCCTTCGTATTTCTTCTTGCTTGCGTTCGTTGTACTCCATTACACCCTCTCCCGCCTCCCGAGTCTCCTGGGCAGCCTGTCGCTTAATGCGTGCGTATTCATCGCGATCTTCTGCATTGTTCAACAGCCACTCACGAAAGATTTGATGGCGGACAACCTCCACGCTGTCCTGACCAAACACGTGGATGTTGGCATATGGCTCCTTCAATCCGAAAAAGCGGTGTTCATGCCAAGCGGGCTCACGATGCAAAAACTGAAACCCGGCGGCCTCGAGGTACGGTACATAGTTCTCCTCAGCTCGAGGATCAAGGACAACAACGTCCACATCAATCACAGCCTTGGCTGGCAGTCCTGGCACGCTTGTAGATCCCACATGCCTGATCGAAAGAGCGCGGTCTCCCAGAGCCTTGCTGATCATTTTATAGATGATATTGAAGCGCGCAGGCCATTCTTCGTCGTACTCTACAATTTCAACTGTCTTTTTAGGGCGGGTAGCGATAACTTGGAGCCGCGAAGGGTCGAAGTTTGTGTCCAGCGTGATCTCCTGTGCAGAGGCCATTGAGTGTCACTCCGATCTTAAACCTATCAAGCGCTCTTTTGCAGTAACGTAATCTGCCTTAACAATTGCGGTGCCGTAGTTCAACACCCATAATTAATATTGTCATGCCCGGGGACCGAAGAATATATATAGGAGGACGACTCGACACTGTAGTGAATACGAGGAGGAAGTAATCCAATGAGTCATATGTGCAGCAAGGAATACTCCCCGCACTATTTTGTTGCTATTAATGGAGCCTTGTCAGCGCTACGTTTCAAGACCGATCGCGTAGGTTGAATAATCCCAAATGGGCATCAGATAATTATATAAGATATTAAATTCCTTAAATTAACGCCATGCTAAAGACTAGGAACAATTATGAAATATATATCGTGTACTGCGTGACGAGTAAAAAGGCCGCTATGGATCAATCGATCTTGGTAGCACTATTACTTTTGTCAGCGCGAAGAATTAAATATCAGCAGAGAAGAAACATACCTGTATATCCTTCTAATAAATGCGTACGCCGTCAAGAAACCGACTGTCCCAGTGAGCAGTCCATAGACAGCGCACGCGAGAAAGCTATAGCTAAAAAACAGGAGACTTGAGACAACTCCCGTGATGTGCAGTTTGAACATGTAATACCAAATACAGTAAGCAAAGATCCAAAAGGCGCTGCTGCCACCAGTGAGGAAGCTTCGCCACCACCAGTGATAGTTCTAAAAGTCAAGTTAGCAGCAAAACATCATTGAGGAGAGAAAGGAGATATCTTACCTCGGCACATAGTTGGCTATATGTCGTAATAATGGTTACCTCACTCACGGTGACAATTAATATAGTGCTGACTACGCTCAAGAAGCCGAACACGTAGTAGTAGCCGCTCTTGTCCTGCCAAAGATTTTTGAAGACAAATAGCAGTTCAATGAAGAGGACTGCAAATGGGATCAGTCCACTCAGCAGAATACCATTGGCACCACGAAGATACCACGGCTGCTTGGGGATCTGCCGCGCAATCGCGGCTGTCTTTGTTGGATGCTGCCATGGCGCCCCGCGTACATATCCGAACCAGCTGCCAGCATATACCAATGGAACTTGGACCAGTAGCCACAGGGCAACAAGTCCGATAAGCGTACCGAAAGGTAGTGCGGTGCTGGAAGCTTGCGCCCAGACAAACAAGTTCAGAACAAATATCAGACAAAACGTCAACCCAGGGAACAGCGAAGCGGTCTATAACATTAGCATGGTCCATAATCTAGTGTGGGAATACCTACAAGAACCGTATTCTTCTTCCATTGCTGGCCACCGAGAGTCTTGTAAAGCCGACCTGAAAAGTAGCCGGAGAAAAGCCCCGCGAAGACAAACAGGCCGAATCCAACAGTGACAAAGCCACCTCGAAAGCTAGGGTTTAGAATTCCGATACTACTGAGGATAAGAAGACCCACTGCCACGAAGAGCAGCTGTGTACCAGATCCTACTAAAGGAGCCAGGAGACCACTATGTACCGGCAGACGGAAAACGTCTGCATGAAGTAGTTTCCATCCTGAAACATCCTCCAATTCGTCATCAGATGGGGACTCGGCCTCAGCTTCTCCTTTACTCTGTTGATCGAGAAGCCCTTCGCCTGAGTCATCCTCCGCCGCTCCTTGTGACTTTCTCGCTGAACGAGTCTTAGCTTTGCCTTCCTCCATGACGCCATCTCCGCGGCCCTTGGTATCGCCCTGCACTGTTCGACCCCAAATCACAATGACTGTCACGCCAAGGACGCCCGATATTGTCAGCGAATTAATAATCGCAAGCCAATGGGTCATCGAGCTGTCAACCTGATCGGTGAAGAATAAATCCCATCTGTTAGCCCATTCGACTGATTTTTCCTCGCGGAAGAAAACGGAATACGTGTAAGGGATTTCCATCGTCGCGCCATCGTCTGCATCTTCGCCTCGTTGCGGGAGATATGATGAGTCGGTGTATAATTGCTCCAATTTTGTGTTGTTCGGGGCGATGAACAGTTCTAGATGCGAGTTTTCAGCACGCACGTCCGTCGGGCATCCATCTTGTTCACGGTTCTCAAGGCCAATGCTCTTTGGATAGACCTCAAATCCGACAATAACACTCTTTCCTTGGTCACCAGCCTTTCCTGGAGCCTTTCTCCATCGGATAACGATGGTGAAGTGGTTATGGATGTAAAACCGTGATGATCCATCGGCGGGGAAGTAGTCCTGATATCCTAGTTTAAATCCGCTAGAATAGTACTTTCGGCTGCGATCGACTGTAACAAAACTGGTGGCTGCGGGAAGATTATCGACAATCCATTCCACCACATACCCATCTTTGATGAGCTGACGGCCCCATTTGACGTCCTTGCGATTCACCTCGCGTGTACAGAGGGTGCGACAACCGACGTCCTGGCCCATAACTAATTCGAAGTCGGAGGTCATTATTCGATCGCCTCGGAGGATTTCACCCAGGTTCAAGGAAATGCTGTGTCCCGATCCAAATGTAGAATCACCATGTCTCTGGCCTGTAGGCGGACAGACGAAAGGAAGGTCAAAATAGGCATATTGTAATTGCGTACGATCCGAAAACACTTTGTTTACGAGCAGCGGTATCGGTTCTTTATCCTCATAACTGATGACGGAGTACCCTATCGAGACGTCCGTCAATACCAGGAAAGTCAAGGATCTGAGGCATACAACTTACCGGGAATATAGAAGGATTGGCATGTTGACACGAGCAAAACCCATATCGTGAAGGACCAGCTCCGAACTTGCACTGTCAAGGCCATTTCCAAAGACCCTATAAGGACCTGAGCTAACAGGAGCCTCGGTTATAGTGTATGCATACACTGCTGATATGACTGGCGAGGCAAGAGTCAGGATTAGTGATGTTCCCCCTGTTGTGAGTAGTGTACACGCAGCCTGAAAGCAGGACGCTATCGAGCGGATCGCCGGAAAGGGTTGTACCGGGGTATTGTAAAAGGGGACCACCGCCGTGAATGAGAAGCTGGGTAACGAATGGAACGGGTACAAAGTACCTCATGTATAGGACGCGAGGAAATTGCAGTCGAAGCAGAGCAACGATACCACGGTGGCCGATGATCTGCCCTTCGTGATTGTAATTGTATGAGAATCAAGGGGAGGTGGAGGCCTGTTTGTATGAGTTTGCACTATTTGTCTAGAGTCTACGCAGCTGGTCGCCCGTTTAGGTTTAGTCGCATTCCGCTACAGTGGAAAATGCAATGCCAGTCAAGTTGACTTGATCGATAATAATAATAAATCTGAATTTGTCAAAGTCTAGCATGAAGATACAAGGCCGTGCTGCTCATAGAAGTGCCACAGTCGACTTCTTATTCATAACACAAGGTAATCAGCTGATATAATGCTTAGGACATCATGGGAAAGAAAAGAAGAAAGGTATGGGATAAGCTGCTCGCCATCAACGACGAATCAGCTCAGGTACAGGGAATGATCTAGCGCTCGATAACCATATTCTTCATTACGACGGGTTATTTAGAAGATACTCCACAGCCCCTTGGACACTGCCTCCAGTTCTTCGCAGCGCCTCGATGTTTCGTTCGAATTCATAGAACCCCATGTCGTTCAATTGACGCAACTGTTCAGCGTATCGCTCCTCAGGAGGCCGATTGTCCGGGGGCGCCGCAGGTGGAGCACCGAACATAGAAGCCCACGGATTCACTGCAGCGCCGTTCCCACCGGCCTGACCACCTCCCATAGCTTGCATGAAGTTTGACAACAAAGCAGGGTCCCGGAGAAGTGGGTTGTTCTGCGGGTTGAATGGGTTCAAGTTCCCTGGTTGTGTGGCGGCATTTGCATCTCCGGTACCTGTGGGTGGTGCTCCAAACAACGCAGGGTTGAAGAGGGCTGCAAAGGGATTCTGGGCTTGTTGGTTCTGTGTAGATGAATCTGTTGTAGCTTGTCCACTAGGGGGCGCAGTTTGTTGTGCGCCTGTTGATGGTGTCGTAGAAGGTGGGTTCACCCCAAGGAGACCAGCAAATGGGTTTCCTGCCACTCCAAAAGGATGCACGGGAGTAGAGCCTGCATCACCAAGTTGGCCGGCGCCTGGTTGTTGCTGACCACGATTCTCCTCCGGAGTGGTGTTGGTGACACCGGGAGCCGGAAAGGCCGAATTACCAGCGCCACCAAGGCCCATACCACCTAATCCGCCCATACCACCAGCACCGCCAAATGCCCGTTGCATTTGTGCCATCTGGCGAATAGTAGCCGGATCTGTGAGCATCCTTCGAAACTCGGGGCTTTGCATCATTTGACGAACGCCCGGGCCCATTTCTCGGAGCATTGGATTTTGCTGTATCATCATGTCTATAAGAGCAGGGTTCTGAAGAGCTTCGTTCATAGAGGCCTGAACCTGGGGGTTTTCAAGCATACTGAGCATGGCATCTGGGTCGGGTGGCGGACCCATCTGCGAACTTGTTAACCAACTTCGTTTCCAGACTTTTGGAACTTCTACTTACACCACCATCTGGCCCAAACATCCCCGCTCCTGGCAGCTGGGCAAACCCCGCATATCGCGCACCTGTCAAGCCAGCTAGGGGGTTGTTTCCCGTGCCGGCAGCAAGATTTGACGGAACTCCAGGCACCGATGGAGTTGCTGTTGTGCCAGGGGCTGGGGTAGAGCTCTGGGCAGCTGGATTTGATCGTTGGTTGCTAGCTGCACTCTTGACTAAGTGAATGGTATGCCCATCCTTGATTTTATAAGTTGATAAGGTTTCGTTGTCTTTGAGAACTCTTCCAGAGTAGATCAACCGCTGGCGATCGGCTGGGGTATCGGCGTACTCGCTGCTGGACAACTTGGATTTAAGCTCGGCGACACTAGTCGACTCGGGCAGTGTGAGAGTATATTTCGCGTCGTTGGAAGCCTTTACGTTGAAAGTGATGGGGGAGGCATCTGCCGTGGGAGCCTCGTCGGCCATGATATCACAGGCAAGAGGAAGAGGGGTAGCGTAGCAATAAATCGAGGAGGCAGACGGGATGTGTTATGCGGCGGCGTAGATGGAGAAGGATACAATCAACACACCGTAGATGTGTAAAGGCAAGCGAGGGAGACCTTCAGCGTCGAGGGCATTGAGTCGTCCTGACAGTAATTGGCAGCAGATGTAGTTGCTCCTCTACTTGTCTGCTTGCTTGAATCGCGCGTCCGGGTGGCTGAACCGGAGGAAGGTGGCAGAAACCCGTCGTCCACCACTGCTGTTGCCTCAGGGCTCAGGCATCCATCCGCTCGCAGTCTTGGCGCGCTAGAGCCACAGCTTTTCCCTGCAGGCTTTGGAGGCACACAAACCTTTGCTCTGCGCACGATAAGCTGACTTCCTCCTCGCCCACAGTAGCCTCGGAGCAGAGAGCCCCATCCATCTCCTCCCAGGGCCTTGCATGTCTTTCAGTATAGCAATGGGAACTTGAATTCCTCCGCCCAGACCTCCATCCGCTAACGCGACGAAACGCTTGAGAAGCAGAAAAAAAATCAAGTGCTCGACAAGAGCACCATAGCTGCCCGTCATGGCTACCACATCGACTATGTTCATGTACTCCTTGACAATCCAGCCTCCTACTGCTGTGACGCAAGCTATTCTCGGCCAGTTTGCGGGCACAAAGGAACAGCAGATTGTGACCGCGTCCGGATCGAAGCTCACAATTCATCGCTCAGATGCCGCGCAGGGAAAGGTCACACCAATTTATACGCAGGACGTCTTCGGCATTGTGAGGACTCTTGCCGCCTTCAGAATTGCTGGAAGTAACAAAGGTATGTTCTATCCCCGTTCGCAGAAAAGAGTCATTTTAGTGATTCGTCAAGCTCCCTGAGCAGTTCGTGTTTGCGCTAGCAGACCAGCTGCCTACTTCGGACGTGCCTCGGGTGAAAGCATTGATTGTTTGCAATTGTCTGGTGAGCAGGACTGAATATTTTGCAGATTACATTATAATTGGTTCCGATTCCGGTCGTATCACCATTGTCGAATACGTACCTTCCCAGAATCGATTCAATCGTATCCATTTAGAAACATTTGGAAAGTCTGGTGTCAGGAGGGTAGTTCCCGGGCAATACCTCGCGGTTGATCCAAAGGGAAGAGCCTGTCTGATTGCTTCCGTGGAGAAAAATAAGCTCGTCTATGTTTTGAATCGCAATGCTCAGGCCGAACTTACAATCTCATCGCCCCTTGAAGCCCACAAACCGCAGACTCTGGTTTTTGCTATGACCGCCTTGGATGTGGGGTATGACAATCCAATATTCGCAGCCATCGAAGTTGATTACTCCGAGTCTGATCAAGATCCAACGGGCCGCGCGTACGAGGAGGTTGAGAAGCACCTGGTTTACTATGAGCTTGATCTTGGCTTGAACCATGTTGTCCGTAAGTGGTCGGAACTTGTGCACCGAACCTCCAATTTGCTATTTCAAGTTCCTGGAGGTGGCGATGGCCCTAGTGGTGTTCTCGTGGGTGCTGAAGATAGTATTACATATCGGCATTCAAACCAGGATGCATTTCGCGTGCCAATTCCACGCCGAAGCGGCCCGACAGAAAACCCTGAGCGGAAGCGATCCATCATAGCTGGTGTCATGCACAGGATGAGAGGTGCCTTTTTCTTCCTTTTACAAACAGAGGACGGCGATCTCTTCAAGCTTACTATTGACATGGTTGAGGATGATAATGGCCAACTCACAGGTGAAGTCAAAAGACTTAAAATCAAATATTTCGATACCGTCCCAATTGCTACCAACCTGTTGATTTTGAAGAGCGGTTTCTTATTTGTTGCCAGCGAAACTGGTAATCATCATTTCTACCAATTTGAAAAACTCGGTGACGATGATGAAGAAATTGAATACACAAGTGATGATGTTTCAGCAGACCCCACAGAGCCTATAACTCCTGTTTACTTCCATCCTAGGGGAGCAGAGAATCTTAACCTGGTTGAAAGCATCAACTCTCTAAACCCTATCATGGACTGCACAATTACTGATCTCATCGGAGAAGACTCGCCACAGATTTACACTGCTTGTGGAACAGGGGCTCGCAGTACTTTCAGAACTCTCAAACATGGACTTGAAGTTTCTGAAATAGTGGAGTCAGAGCTTCCTAGTGTTCCATCATCTGTGTGGACCACAAAGTTAACGCGAAACGATGAATTCGATGCATACATCATTCTCTCTTTCACAAATGGAACACTGGTTCTCAGCATTGGAGAGACGGTAGAAGAGGTTACAGATACCGGGTTCTTATCAACAGCGCCTACATTAGCGGTACAACAGTTAGGGGAAGACTCTCTGATTCAAGTTCATCCCAAAGGTATTCGACATATTCTTGCCGATCACCGTGTCAATGAATGGCCAGCACCCCAGCACCGAACAATTGTAGCTGCTGCAACCAATGAGCGCCAAGTAGCAGTCGCTCTCAGCTCTGGAGAAATTGTTTACTTTGAAATGGACACGGATGGCTCTCTGGCTGAATATGACGAGAAACGACAAATGTCAGGCACTGTGACATCACTTAGCTTAGGGGAAGTTCCCGAAGGCCGTGTTCGTAGTTCCTTCTTAGCGGTAGGGTGCGATGACTCGACAGTCAGAATTCTCAGCTTAGACCCAGACTCGACACTTGAAAACAAGTCAGTGCAAGCTCTGACATCTGCCCCATCCGCTTTAAATATCATGTCGATGGCGGACTCCACATCCGGAGGATCAACATTGTACCTGCACATCGGATTATACTCTGGTGTGTATCTTCGAACAGTATTGGATGAAGTTACAGGCGAACTTTCAGACACTCGGACCCGGTTTTTAGGCGCAAAGCCTGTCAAACTCTTCACGGTTTCCATCAAGGGCCAGGCGGCAGTGCTTGCTCTCAGTTCTCGCCCATGGTTGGGTTATTCGGATATCCAGACCAAAAGCTTCATGCTGACGCCACTGGACTATGTTGGACTCGCATGGGGTTGGAATTTTTCCAGCGAACAATGTCTGGAAGGCATGGTTGGGATTCAGGGGCAAAATCTTAGGTAAGAATTTTCTTCCCTCGCATTTTATTTTATTCCCCCGTTTGGTATCATGATGATAAAGTTCAATCCGACTTTTCATGGAGAAAAAATTAAATATTTACTCCAATTGTTCCTACTGAAATATACTTTTTGAACTCGTGCAAAATTGGAAAGCTTTTTATCATTACGCTTTGCTAACACCCTTGCATAGAATCTTCTCCATTGAGAAACTTGATAACAACATCCTTCAAGAATCAATACCTCTTGCCTATACACCTCGGCGCTTCGTAAAGCACCCCGAACAGCCCTTTTTCTATGTTGCCGAGGCTGAGAGCAATGTCCTCTCACCTGCCACTCAAAATCGCTTATTAGAAGACTCAAAGCTTCAGAACGGTGAGGCCGTAATTCCTCCACCGGAGGATTTCGGCTACCCACGGGCCACGGGTCATTGGGCTTCTTGCATCGAGGTTGTTGATCCGATTAATGCCAAATCTGTAGTTTCCCGTCTCGAGCTCGAAGAGAATGAGTCTGCTGTCAGCATTGCTGCCGTTTCATTCGCTAGCCAGGATAATGAGACGTTCCTCGTGGTCGGCACTGGCAAAGATGTCATTATCAACCCGCGTTCCTTTTCCGCCGGGTTCATTCACATATATCGCTTTCAAGAAGACGGTAAAGAGCTTGAATTTATTCACAAAACCAAAGTCGAAGAGCCACCCCTGGCTCTTCTTGCGTTTCAAGGACGCCTGCTTGCCGGCATTGGGCCGAATCTAAGGATCTATGACCTTGGAATGAAACAAATGCTTCGAAAATGTCAAGTACAAGCTGCACCAAAACTTATTGTCGGTTTACAGACGCAGGGCAGTCGAATAATTGTCAGTGATATTCAAGAAAGTGTCACTTACGTGGTATATAAGTTTCAAGAAAACCGGCTCATCCCGTTTGCGGATGATGTCCTCGCACGCTGGACAACAGCTACAACTATGGTAGATTACGAAACAACGGCAGGCGGCGATAAATTTGGCAATCTATGGCTTGTCCGCTGCCCGAAAAAGATTTCAGACGAATCCGATGAAGATGGTTCTGGCGCTCATCTCATCCATGAACGATCTTATCTTCAAGGCACTGCGAATCGGCTGGACTTGATGGTTCACTTTTACACTCAAGATATCCCTACAAGTATACAAAAGACTCAACTTGTGGTTGGAGGACGAGATATTTTGGTCTGGACCGGTCTTCAAGGCACCGTTGGAATGATGATTCCATTATTGAGTCGGGAAGACGTCGACTTCTTCCAAAGCCTAGAAACGCAGCTCGCTTCACAAAACCCACCGCTCGCTGGACGAGATCATTTGATCTACAGAAGTTACTACGTGCCAGTCAAGGGTGTCATTGATGGTGACCTCTGCGAGACGTATTTCTTACTCCCTAATGATAAGAAGCTTATGATCGCGGGTGAACTGGATCGCAGTGTCCGTGAGATTGAGCGTAAAATAACCGTATGCCACCTCTCCGTTTTCCACTTCACATTCGGATTAACTGCTAACTATGTTAATTTAGGACATGAGAACACGTGTTGCTTACTAAAGCCATATTTATTTCTACTTCTACATCAGGTCGGAGTTTCGGAAGGCGTCTTACACTCACCAAAAGGTTTGAGCGAGGGCGTTTGTTGCTATTGCGTTCTCCCGTCCGATATGTAATAGCTTATAATATAGTTATATTGATGAACATTAACAAGTATTTTCCTTCGGTCTTCTCATTAGAGAATTCAGTAACAGACGTCTCTTGCCTCGCTCGGTCAGTTGTATATCGATCAGCTGATCTTGAGCTGGATGCGCCAAAAGAAGAAATTCATTTGGCTGTATGAGACTACATTAATCTCCGATGATCTTTGAGTACGGTTTTATCTGATATTTGCTTAACGGATATTGAATCGTAATTTATCCGTCGGTACATATACAAATTCCATCGAAATTTTCGAATGTTAAATATGTCTAAACCTAGTTATCACTAACCACTATATTTATTGTTGATTTAATACTCCTTCCAAAGCCTAAATCTCTTAATAAGGCGGTGGATTCAAATCCAACCCTTCGACAGTAAGCTTAAAGGAATCGTTGCGTGAGTAACTACCGGCAACATCCAAGTCAAGCCTCCCTCTTTCGCAATCCTCAAAATCAATTTCAGCAATGACAAGACCAGATCCAACGGCAGAGCCCGTAGAGGAAGAAAAGTCACTGCTATCCTCTGTGCAGACATCCCAAATAGGTCCGCCAATGACTTCTCCCAACGGACCTACTATGCATGAACCACCATGAGAGACATAAGGATCGTTGGCAGTAACTATGTTGGTAGTCAGCATACAAGTTACATGTATAAATATGAGAAATAAAAGGGGCTAACCTCTAGAAGCCAAATTTGCCGAGCTTTGGCTTGCTGCTCATTTTTTTAGTTTCGATGTACAGCACCAGTAGAAAGAAATATCTTACCAATCGGATCACCGTCTTCAACAGCAAGACTCGCGTGTATTTGATCTCGTGGTTTGTCAGGATGAAGTTGTGAACTAGGAGACTGCGGCCAGACGATTTCATGAGGGCCTTCGGTCGTGGTTATCGACAGTTTCCTTCCTGTCGCTCTCGGTGTTGCAACTGGTAATCCACTATCGCCAGCTTTTTCTTTCTCTTGTGACTTATCGGAAGTAACCCAATCAGGGAGCTCGCTTTGACGCACACATTGATTAGCGGACAGCACCACGGCTCGGCCCTCAATGGCTACCGTCCGCATCAGTGGTAGCCATGTATCGCGTCCGTCAGCAGTTGGGGCGAGGTACAGGTTGACATTTTGCGAGTACAGGCTTTGACGCAGAAGAGGCATGTAGTTTTCCCAGCATATAGCGGCTGCGATAGTCAGGACTACGCCATTTATTTCCGTAGTGACAGCCTTCAGGGATGATGGCGCTCCTTGTGCCCAGATTAGTCGTTCTGCGGCAGTCTACATCCACGTCAGCACGGTATTCAAATGTATAATATAGATAAAGAAGCAAACTGACTGGCATAACCTTCCTCCTTTTCCCAAGCACTCCTCGCTTTGGATCAACATATAGCACAGCACAATACAAACTACCACCCGCCTTCTCGATGAGGCCAACAGCAATGAAAACACCCGTTGAGTAGGAGACTTTCTCGAGAAACTCTCTCGTGCCATCGCCACGAAAATCCTTCCCCTTTGCGGTCGACAATTTCCTTTCCACCCAGTCGTCCCCAGCGCCAGCAGGAGTGTCACCTAAATCAATTGCCGAATTGAAGTATTTCAGAAACTGGTCTCTGCCGGCAGGGTCACGGTGGCCAATTGCAGTTCCAAAGTCACATGTACGCGGATAACCACCAAGATATGCTTCGGGGAAGAGAAGCACGTTTACACCGCGTGTTGCTGCATGGCGAGCGGTTCTATCTAGAGCTTCGAGGGTAGCCGATGTCGTTGCCAAAGTGCGAGATTGAGCAACGGCTAGCATAAGCTTCTTAGGCATTGTGTCGACGACAGATACAGAAGGAGTTATCAACAGTATAATAGTCGACGCTTTGGGACTTGGTACGTGAACGAAAAGGAGTGGTCAGGGAAGCATGTATGCGCTGTCGCCGCTTGCCACAGATGAGGTCAGAGACTTCAAGTGCGGGGAACAATCCGCGCCGAGTGTTTTATTCTTTCCTAATCTGTCTATCCTCGATACTCTCCGCCCTGCAGTCGAATGTCCAAGTCAAGTGAGGTGCTGTGTATTAAAAATGTTCAAATGTTATTTTCTCATGAGGATGTCGGTGATATAGTGAGCGGCAAAAGGGAATGGCCTTACATCGATCAAATAGTCATCGGGCTGGGTTACATATAAATACGTTGATCAATATACTTGCGTGCTTCGTATATTATTTGGATCAATTATGTCTGTATAACCTCCAAAGCCTCGACTCGGTTTGTATATATGTATGTACATGCAAATTGTTACAAATCAAGCATCAATATGCACATTTTAACTACATGCAATGGTAATATAATAACAGCCGAAATTCCTACATAGAAACATTATGTCAGTTGAAGTTCGATATTCCATCAGCCAACACGTTCAAGAGCAATTTAATAGGATTTTCTTCCGAAACATTCCAATGCTTGGTATAGGACATACAGATGATATAAAAAATATTAAAAAAATGTGGACAATCCGGTAATCGAAACCGGGACCTCATCTATGCTAAAGATGCGTCATACCACTAGACCAATCGCCCAATGTTGAAGGGAATCTCAGAAATAGTACTATATGAACGAAAAGCAAATAAAAATGATCATGTCTTGAATTTATTATATTTCATTCGATCCAAGGATATGATGAGCTTACCGCTCAAGCAATTCGCTAAATTTATCTTGTTCCAATCAATAATATGGGCCTGGAAATACACTAGTGGCCAGAATTATGAGCAAGAAGACATGCCCGTCGATTTCAATATTCTCGCAAGCATATAATTATAACGATTACCAACCTATTCCATAAAAATCACTGAAAGTGTAGCACTGTAGGTTTCAAAACGTAGAAATGTACCTAGCTCCACTATATTAATTGATTACCACACAATAATTCTAGCGACAGGTTTTCATTGCATGAATACCATACACATACTCAATATAATTGACCCTCTACCATACAACTAGCTGACAGCTTCTTGCTTTGCCTATATATGTTGGCGGCATTGTTTTAAATTTATTTTTGGCTTCAAATTGCGCAATTTCCAGCTGCTCTTGATTCGATTCAAAGGACCCTCGTTGTGGGTTGCAATACCCATGGGTAAGGTATACCTTCGGAATATTATGTGTAAGTGGGACACATAGTTTCACGATCAAAGGGCTCTCACCATGGTGAAACCATTCAGGTTATAGATAGATGTTCTTTGTATACCATTGGCTATATATATGAGCCTAGGTCCCTCACATGTACTGTTAGAACAATCTTCCCTATATAATCAGAATGCACGCATGCCTTAGATCATTACACGTAGCATTGTACATATAGGCACTCCACAAAGGAGAAGTTAAGAAACCTAATCCTAGATAACCAAGCAGAGCCGCAGGGTTGTCTGACTCTTTAGCTACTGAATTCACTGAAAAATTTGTACTTTTAACGGTCTAGAGTTAACTGGTCAACTGGTGTTGTATAGTCATTAGTTACATCAATATATATGTGTAGTGATCTAAGGATTCTGAATATATAGGGAAGACTGTTCTAACAGTACATGGGAGGGATCTAGGGCTCTAATATATAGCTAAAGATATAAATAGAACATCTATCTATAGCTTGAATGGTTTCACCATGGTGAAAGCCTTTGATCGTGACTGTAAGACTAAGAAATCAATGGAGCACAAAACTGAATATATATACAGTTGGAGGATATAGGTAACATTGAAGAAAGAATTGCATAGGATCTAATATCAACCCTGAGACACATTAGGTATTTCTTTAAGAAATTGTGTGCTATTCCATTACCAGTTAAAATCAATTGATACACACATAGGACATCTTTCCTACGAAATTGACGAGGCATCCAGATTCTCGAGCCAAGTTTGAGGGTTTCTTCTGATCGTATAATTGGCGAAAGCTCCTCCTTACTCATAGTTGTGTACTCAATTCCCTTACGTACCGTATATTAAGCACTGTATAGACCACAAATAAGACAGTTTAGAAAACCAGAAAATATTCGGCGAGGAGAATAATCCAGACATTCCGCTGAAAGTCTTAAAAAGCGGCGCAACACATTCATTATATCATTAATAAGTGATGATTTTACCCTCAGTTCTGTCAACATGGGCGATTGGTCTAGTGGTATGACGCATCTTTAGCATAGATGAGGTCCCGGTTTCGATTACCGGATTGTCCACATTCTTTTTGATTTTTTTTCAAAAAATTGCCAACCAAGAGGATATATTTCGCAATGGCTATTTCTAAACTAGATGTCATGTCTCTGTGTCGCCATGTCGCCGTGTCGCTGTTATATGTTGCCGTTAACATGATATTTTTTTCAACCCTAAACTAATTTAAGCCGATGGTACCCGCTAGGCCCACAAAAAATTAGCGTAATTTACCAAAAATCCAACCATTTGCCGTAAGCGAGGTAATATCACAGACAGCAAAAAGACGTCGATTCTCTCTTCTTAAAAGAGAGAATCTACAAAAAGAGAGTGGACAATCCGGTAATCGAAACCGGGACCTCATCTATGCTAAAGATGCGTCATACCACTAGACCAATCGCCCGATGACAAATTTGTTAAATTACGGCTATACGAAAAAACACATAGGCAGCCTCCCTTGAATCAGAAATGTGGAAATATTTTCTGCCTTCTTAATCCTAGGCTGATACGAGGCCTTGGATATTATAAGCGTTAGAATCAATAAAATGGCGTGATATTAGGGACACAAAGAACCTAAGTACAACTGCTGACCATAACATTTGAATACTGCCTTCAACCCAATATTTTTCACCGAGTCTGGAACTGAAATCTTCTCACCACGTTTCGAAATAAACTGTAATGCAACCTAATATCTTTACATGCAAATATCATGCACCAACGGCAGCGGCGTTTCCTGAAGGATTCGGTAGCGTGGGAGAAACATGCTTACTCCCGACAATCTCTCCATACTCCCTGATGTGGTCATCCCAAGTCTGAGAATTGAATCTCCTTCTCCAATAACCACGTCGTCCAGCCAGGTTGCTACAGGCCCTGCAACAGAACCCTTCCTCAGTGAGTCTTGTCTGCTTATTGTAGTACGGTACTTTGATCACAGCCATCCAGCGCTTGATATTTCCGACATGGTAGTCAACAGGCTCGTGCTCAGATGCAACGCGAGTTGTCAGGCGACGCCAGCTATTACTATCATCACTTCCCTGTTGGCGCAAGGAATGATTATTGGCGGAAGAAGTGGGCTGCGGAAAGGTGAGGGAGGTAAGCCTCTGGCGTGCGAGGTGCGTTTCTATTGCGCTTTGGCTGCCATGAACCATGATTGCTTTCCGGTGGGTGGAATTTTGATCGAGAAGTGAAATGCTGTCTGGGAATGGAATCGGTGTGGCATCGATTGCTGAACCGGCAGTCAGGTCCCTGGCAATAGTGTTTTCTCCGTAAAGACCAGGCAGGCAACGCATCTTTGGGATATCAGTAAGGCATTCCACCGGAAGACGAAATCTTCTCCTAGCATCAGCCAGTGACAGGGGGCAGTAGGCCTTGGAGTGGGTAAAGCAGTAGAAGCAGACTCTCTGCACAGGCCCGAGAACGTAGAAGTAGCCAGCAAGTTCGCCACAGTGATCACATTCTGAGGTACAGAACTTATCGAAGAGGTCATTGCAGCTGGACCATTCGCCTGTGCCAATGCTCAAGATGCAGCGGATGACATGAGGAGCGTGCTCGCTTAGAGTCTTGAAAACTGAAATAGACTCGACAGCGTTGAAAGTCTGCTGGTTGATAGAGCGAAAGTTGATCAAAGATGCCAAGTCCATTTCGGCTAGGATCATCCCGATGATTTCGGTTGGAAGACGCTCGAGACTACCCAGCCCCATGGAGGGGTTTGCTGGGGAGGTTGCGAGTTGCATGATACCAGGGGCCATGTCGAGAGTATACTCAAGATAGGCGGGTATGTAGGTTTTTGGAGTGATGTTGCGGGCTGGGATACGCAGCATGAAGTAGAACATGTTGAGGCTACATAGCTGGAGGAGGATGTTTGGGTGTGCAGATTAGTGAGTTGACAAAGTTGGACTGACACAATTTTGACTGACACAAATTGGGGTGGATGAAAGATGTGTATTGGGACGTTGTTTGCAGATGATAGCGGTTCCATAAAGGGCAAGGCGTGTGACTGTCTGATATCCTAGCTGGCAGGCGGGGGAGAGTGATTCACCATGGGTGGATTCTTTGGATAGATCCTTTGTATACATGTAGGAGTCAAACGGTTTTTTATCCCATTCATATTGAATGAATTTCATCTGGCTTCACTGTTTCTAGGGGGCATTGAGCAGTTGTGATGTGCTGAACCCAAACCCTCCAGCCACCATTGACCCTGCGATCAATATTTTGAATGAGATCGGCAGCTTTATATGAACATCAATTGCCCAAGCTTTATTTTCTACCATACATTGCAAACATGTTCTATTCTGAGTCTTATAGCATCCCTCCCAATTTATTCATGAATTTATCTATAGAAAGAGCAGCAAGAAAATAGCGCGGACATGACGGATGTTTTCGATGTTGAATCAGGCCATCGACGATTCATTCATACATGATACATCTGTGGGCGTACTTAGGGTTTGTTCAAACTGCGGCCTCAGGCACCAGCGAAATTCAAGCTTGGCAGTACCTGGCATATGCAATGCAAAGGCAAAGATCAAGCAGTCGATGCGATGCAGGGAGCTGGTTGGACAGGTCTGGCTGCCTTGCTGCTTGCATGCGTCTTAGCCACTTGTCTTATTTGCTGTATTATTACCGAGTCTATGGTCCCTTGCATTAGTGTGACAGGAGAGAACAGCGCTTGGCAGGTGTTTTACATCACAGCCAGCACGACTACGTGAATGATATAAGTTCTTCTGGTCATTATAATCTAATTCACAATGGTACTATACAATAATAATAATAACTATGTGTTCACATGCTGACAACTGTGACAATTAGGCATTCAACATCAGGAGACACATTTCCCGATCTGGCCTAGTGCGCAAAACAAGCGATCTGACGTCAGGAATTTTCCGATCGAGGCTGCAGATTTTCAATCACTCTTACTAATTATAACAAGAGAAAATAAATAGGGGTAAAATATAGTGATAGATAAGAAAAAGAAGAAGAGACAGTAGTCGTACTCGGCTCTGTCATTGAGGCTATCCTCAACTGCGCGCTGCAACCAGTGCTGGGATCAACAGGAACATTCTCTAGCCACGCACAGGTATGTCTGGCCCATATTTCCGCCTGTCATCGTCAGCCAGTGGCCTGAGACAACAACTGTAATGATCACTGCGCAGAATCATAAGTAGCCCCAAAATAGAAACCCCAAGTGGAACCGCACAGTCAGATGCGAGGATGCATGGGCTGGGCAGAGCTGCGAACGTCTCGGCCGCGCCATGGAATATTATTGGCAGCCTCCAAGTTCTTAGCTAATCGCCCCCCCCGTCATCTGCGTTTGCCTACGGTGGCTGCTTCTCTCTCCTACACCATCCATTACCCACTCCTTCACACACACTCTTTTTCAACTCTGCTGTACACGCTGCAGCTTCGTTTGCCCCGATAGATATCCCATTTTCCGTTTGCCAATCGACTACTGTTGTGCCGTCGCTATGGCGAAGAAGGGTGGAAAGAAGAACAATAAAAGCAAAAACAAGGGAGGCGCCGCTTCCAAGCTCCCTGATGTGAAGAACATTGTGTAAGTCAAGCGGCGAGTGGGTGAATGGGCGAATTGACCCCATGGATGCTATCTAACACAATCCAATTCTAACACCTGATGCGATTCCGTAGAAGCCCGGCCCACCAAGAAGAAGACAAGCTTCTCTACGGCGAGGGAACTGCCCAGGACAAAACCGCTACCGCCGTCGCGCCCACCACACTTAATGCCCCTGCAGCCGCTTCTGGATCTGTAGCATCGCCTGAACAAGATGTCTCGACTGTGCCTGCAGATCAATTGAAGGAGCAGATGAGCGAGCCCAAGCCGGCGGCCGAGTTGCATGCGAAGCAGGATGAGAGGACTCTTCCGGTGCGTGAAAAAGGTATGAGTTAACCGGGGCCTTGGTTCCTATGGTATTGGAGTTGTCTGTGCTGATACTAATGTGTGTCTAGGTGTTGCACCAACGACGGAACAGCCCGCTGCTGCAAAGACCGAAGGACTAGCCGCCGCCAAGCCGACAGAATCAAAAGAAGAAGCCAAGAAGGTTGAAGAAGAGAAAGCCAAGGAACAACCGACTGCAGTTTATAGCGGTGTGAGCAAGGAGACTCTATCGGCAGAGAAGAAGCAGGACAAGAGTGCGCTCGAGACAGGCGCAGCCGGCGCTGTGGCAGAAGTGACCGGCGAGAAGGCCCAGAAAGCTCCAGCACATACTGGTATGTCACGCATTGAGATAATCTAGGAACCATGACTGACATTATTCTAGATATAGATGCTACTGAGCCAGAGAAAGCAAAAGTCTTGGGCGAGGCTGAAAGCAAGCCGGTCGGCGCTGTGTCAGCGTTGGACGGCTCGAAAGCAACCAATAAAGAGGCTGTTGATACTCCCCTGGTCGCACCCCATGTCAAACGCACGCACGAAGATCCCATCTTCGTGACCCAGGACCAGTCCCAGCCGCCCAAGAAGCCTCGGGTTGACGAGTCCGACACGTCTGCCTCCCAGGTCCAGCCTGCGATTCCTGGACGCTACCCCAGCCCATCAGTGGCAGGATCAACCGTGTCTGGCGCAGACAGTGGCATTATTACCGGAGCTAAAGATGTTTCTAAGCCTGATGCTGCCGCAACAGGGGAAAAGACTGAGGCGTCTAAAGCTTCCAATGACAAACTGGGCAATCTGACCGGCGAGAAGACGACGGGGCAACAGGAAGGTGTGAGCACGGCCAAAGAGACTGCTCCAGCACCGGCTGCTCAGGCACCGCCCTCTGGAAAACACACTGAAACACCGCTTACGTCGCAGAACGCGGAGCCACGGGCACGGCCAGTGAACCCTGCGGCAGCGATGCCCGCTCAGCCCAAGCCCGTGGCCAAACCGGGACAACCGTCGCAGGAGCCACAGGAGGCTCGACTTACCGATAAGGCGAACGAGGACATCCAACCCACGGCGGCGCAGAAAGAAGCCAAGAAGGGCGGGTTTATGTCATGGATCAAGCGCAAGTTCAAGAGCGAGAAGGGGACTGCATGATTTGATTTCAGCGTGCGTTGCGAAGTCAAGTTGTATGATAAGCGTGTGGCTTTTGGGCCAGTACGAACCACCACTATTTCCAAGTAGTGGATGCTGTATGATAGGATGCGGGGTGAATCCAGACGAGTGGCCGTTTGCTTGCATGTCGCGCCGATAGAAAAAATACAAAATCAATAATAATCACCAGCACTTGGAATGTACTGGGTTATATTCTCGCCTCACCGCCAGTTCCATCACATCCCAGCAATAGTTACTAGCTGGTAAGTCTAGTAATGATATCTGCCGCGGATGTCGCGGAGCGGTATTACTAGTATTAGCTTGCTATTGCCACCCGGCGGGCCCATTACAGGCTAAGCTTTGCCTAGGCGTGGAGCTGCAGCAGCGGTAGGCGGGCTGCGAGCCTGTCAGCCTGTGCGCTGCCGGCTTGCGCTGCTAGTATTCGCTGATCGCCGCAAACACCGCACGCTGTGGCTGCAGCCCCTCTCGTGCAGGGAATGGTTTCACCTGGCGCCGAGGGGTCAGCCTGGATGCCCTGAGCCGTGACGTGGGCAGCATCCACCGTCCCCTCCCAAGCCACTCCAGCCCAGCTGCTGTGTGTGGCTCGCCCTCTCCTCCAGCTGGCACCGCATAAAACCCCCGGCTGTCTCACAATAATAATCTCTCAATCTCTCAATCCCTCACTTGTTTCTGTTCTCTCCCTATACAACATTTTGAACACTACCAGATACCCTGTCTCCTCTCTTCTGCTGTCAAGATGGTGCATCTGGCGACGATCAAGAAGGACCACGAGATCCCCGAACCCATCCCCAGACAGCTCCCTCGCGTAGAGACCCTCGATCTGAGCGCCCCCGGCGACGATGGCTTCTCCAGCAGCGTGTACGGATCGCGCTATGCGGCCGAGTCGCTGCCTGCCTACGAGATGCCCGAGAGGGAGATGCCGCGCGACGTGGCCTACCGCATGATCAAGGACGACCTGAGTCTGGACGGTAACCCAATGCTCAAGTATGCCATGCACCTTCATCCTCACAGCGAGACAGTCTCAGGCTAATCCATCTAGCCTTGCTTCCTTCGTCACGACGTACATGGTAAGTAGCTTTCTGCCGAGCAATGCAATGCCTAGGCTAATACGCACATCGCAGGAAGACGAAGCTGAAAAGCTCATGACCGAAGCCTTCAGTAAGAACTTTATCGACTACGAAGAATACCCGCAGTCGGCCGACATCCAGAACCGCTGCGTCAACATGATTGCCCGCTTGTTCAATGCCCCGACCGACGGGGACACCGACCACGCCATCGGTACATCCACCATCGGCTCGTCCGAAGCCATCATGCTTGGCACGCTTGCCATGAAGAAGCGTTGGCAGAACAAGCGCAAGGCCGAGGGCAAGGACTGGACTCGTCCCAACATCATCATGAACGCCGCCGTCCAGGTCTGCTGGGAGAAGGCGGCGCGATACTTTGACATCGAGGAGAAGTACGTTTACTGCACTGACACCCGCTATGTCATTGACCCCGAGGAGGCTGTCAACCTCGTCGACGAGAACACCATTGGCATCTGCGTCATTTTGGGAACCACCTACACGGGCGAGTACGAAGACGCCAAGGCCATCAACGACCTTCTGGTGAAGAAGGGCATCGACTGCCCGATCCACATTGACGCTGCTAGCGGTGGCTTCGTGGCTCCTTTCGTAAACCCCCAGCTGGAATGGGACTTCCGACTGGAAAAGGTCGTCTCGATCAACGTATCCGGCCACAAATACGGACTGGTGAGTAATGACCCTCGTAATTGAGACTCAACCCCGCTAAACAGTCAAGGTCTACCCTGGTGTTGGCTGGGTCGTCTGGCGCGCGCCTGAATACCTCCCCCAGGAACTCGTCTTCAACATCAACTACCTCGGCGCCGACCAGGCCAGCTTCACCCTCAACTTCTCCAAGGGCGCGTCCCAGGTCATTGGACAGTACTACCAAATGATCCGCCTGGGCAAGCGCGGTTACCGCTCCATCATGCTCAACCTGACTCGCACAGCCGACTACCTCTCTAGCCGCCTCACTGAGCTCGGGTTTGTGATCATGAGCCAGGGCCGTGGCCATGGTCTGCCGCTGGTCGCCTTCCGTCTGGACCCGAAACGCGAACACTACTACGACGAGTTCGCTATCGCCCACCACCTGCGTGAGCGTGGCTGGGTGGTGCCGGCGTACACCATGGCGCCGCACAGCGAGAAGCTCAAGCTGATGCGCATCGTCGTGCGCGAAGATTTCAGCATGACCCGTGCGGATAGCTTGCTGGCCGACATCAAGCTTGCCTTGCAGACGCTGGAAGATATGGACAAGACGATGGTGGACAAATACCAGAAGTACCCCTCCTTCCCTTTTCTGTGGGTTATTATTCATTACTAACGGACATGCAGACATATCAAGGAACATATCGTCAAATCTTCTAAGGCTAATCATAACCACCCCAACTACAAGAAGGAGAAGCACTCTTTGCAGGGCAAGCACGGCAAGACTCACGCAGTGTGTTAGGTGTAACGCTATAAACGTCACGATGGACTGATGAATTGAATAATCGATTGATGGTACATACAGAGGCTCTTGCGTATATATAACTAGCCACTCGCTTTGCTAGCTCGCTATCGATGCCGCAATTACATGTAACAAGTAATATTAAATATTATGAAGTTGCACGGCGCTTCAATAGCTCCACGTAATCACGATACAGTGACCCGCAGTAATAATAGTTAATAATAGGCCACAATATACGGAATGCCAGGCTGAATTACGACGAAACAGTGCATAGCTGGCGCTGATCAGCCAGCACTGCCCCGCGCCGTCGTCCACTCGTCTCGTCTCGTATTCTGTCGCTCTATCGCTGCACAACATCGAAGAGTTATTGTTTTTTATTGATTGATTCAAAATGCTGCTGTTGCTATTCTTCTCAGAGAAGGGAATAATAAACAGGCGGTCTTCTGACAAGAAACGGAAACAGAATTGATACATGAATATAGATATAGAACAGCAAAGGTATAGATATAGAAGATAAGTAAACAAACATGCGTTGCCAAAAATAGACCGGCGACACAGCCAAAGATTGATACCATATATTACTCAAGTAATGAGCTGCGAGAATAAGAAGAGTAATAGTAATAGTAATACGGAATAATATAATATAATGATTTGATTACCGCTGTGCCTGTAAAGCGTAATAGACAGTAAGGAGTAAGGAGTAAGCGGCAAGCGCCAGGTGGTATCATCACCAATGTTCCACCTTTCATCGCCCACACAGCCTGCCAACCTCTCCTCCCAGCTGCTCTGCAGGCAAGCCAGCACAAACCAGCCAGTCAGCAAGCACCGTGTTATTTGTCGACAACTCTGACCAGAACAAAGAGGGCATGCCCTCGTTCTTCAGCAGGAAGAGCCGCTCGCAGGCCTATGAAGGTCAAGGTCAAGGCCAAAGTCAAGGTCTCCCGGCCGAGCCAGCTCCTCCCGGTGTGAGCGACCCGTATCAGCTTCACCTCCAGCAACAACAAAAACAACAACAGCAACCGCAGAGCCTCGACCAGACGCGTCGTCCCTCGCTGGCCGTCCACGCCCACGGCCACGTCCTCGCTAGCCACCCCCAGGCCCAACAGAACTTCTCGCTCTCGACCGACAACCTCAACTCGCCGGCCACCGACCTATTCTACGACGACATCCCGCCAGACCACCAGCTGCACCAGCTCCAGCAGCATCAACAGCATCAACAGCAGCAGCATCACCGCCATCCCGCCCATCGCGGCCACCCCCCCGCTAACTCGGCGGCCACCACGACCCCCGGCGACCGCCCGACCATCAGCCTAGTCGGCCCCGCCAACCCAGGCCCCCTCGACGCGGCCAACTATCGCCAAAACAATTCCACCTCAGACCTCGACAGGAGCTCTGTTGAGCAGCCGTACGCCTCCTCCTCGCAGGACTTTATCGAAAAGCCCTCCAAGTTGCACAAAAAGAAGGGCTTCTTCAGCCGTCACCAGTCAACCGCCTCCACCAGCCAAGGAAAACCCTTAGGCAAACAGGACTCGTCGCTGGGCCGCTCCGTCTCCTTTAAGCACAAGCTCGGCGGCTCTGTCTCGCAGCACAATCCGCAGCAGAATTCGCATCAGAAGCCCCTATCCGAGGAGCCTGCGCTAGGGCGCCTGCAAACAACACAGCCATCTACCCTCCAGCAGCAGCAACTCGACCACGACGCCACAACTCCAACGGGCGAGCCGCCGGGTAGTCCCAGCGCCCACGCTCCCAGCTCTCCCCAGACCCCCATCGACCGACCGCCGTTCGGACACGCGCAGGATCAAAGCTACCACTTGTTCCAGCACCACCGGACAGGTAGCGCGGACTCGTTCCCAAGCCAGGTGAGCCTCCAGCAACAACACCACATCCACCCGTACCACCACGAAGAGAGACAGTCCCCGTCGCCGCTTTCGCTTCCTTCTACATCTATTACTGTGTCTGTGGTCGAGTCACCCTCGTCATGGCACATGCAATTGACCAACCCGGAGCAACTCAGTTTGCGGGCACGGCCGTCATCCCGTCAATCCTCTCTAGGAATACCGTCTCCCTCTTTACTCCCCCACACACAAGGTTCTGATCTACTCGTGCTACAGGCTTCTTCTCGACGACCCTCCGCTCAGCAACCAGCACAGACCCAGTTGACTGCCGGCGACATGGCTGCCATTGACCGTGCGGGCGTCGCCCGCCAGGCTGACTCTCAATCTCAATTGCCCTCGCGAAAGGATTCGCTGGCTGCTCAAGGGACACAAAGCCAATCGCCATATTCCAACGTCCCTCAAGGCTCCTCCTTCAAGACGAACATTTCACAGCAGAATCTAGCCGACCCGACAGGACGCGAGACCCCTCCAGCAATCTCAGCCAGTTCCAAGTTACAGGAAGAGTTGGAGAATATAGACGTCGCAGCTGTACTTCAGAGACACGAGGAGCTCCGTATGTTGCATATATCTCGATGGTTGATCTTTCAATACTGATCTGATTTTGCAGAGGCAAAATATATCAAGGTGAAGAAATATTACTTTGAAAAAGAAGCGCAAGTTACTCAACTCCAAAACACCGTGGCTCACCAGCGAATGGCCGTGTCTCGTACGGTCCTGGATGACAATGAGTATGCTGCGCGATTCAGTCGTCTTGATGGCGCCATCAAAGAATTGTCGTTTTCCATTCGCAAAGACTGGAAAACCGTCCCGGATTGGCTGCACTCATATGTCAATGAAGATGCAGCAGCTGTCGGCACCAAAGAAATGACTGGGGTTGGCCGAGCTGTGATTTCTAGATGGATAGCTGAGGAGATTTTTGAACGTTATTTCCATCCTGGTCTCGAGCGCACGTTTAGTGAGCGCCTCAAGACTATCGAGTCGAACTTGCGTCGTCAACAAGTGCAGGCCATCACAGACGATGACAAGGAAAATCAGGTCGCGCGCATTTCCAATTGGCGACGAACGACCTTGGATGGACTGTCAGATATTCTACAGTCTCCAATTATGCAAGAGAACCAGGCTCAACTAGCGGACTACCTGGTGGAAAAGCTGTCTGCCACTTTACAATGCGACTTGAAAGAGCCGTCTCCTCCGGAGCTTACACATGGTGCTCGAACCATTATTCAAAACGCTATTAATATCATCGAAAAAATCCCCCAAGAAGCTCGCGATATTGTCGTTGATTACATCGTCCCAGGCCTGCCTGTTTCTGAGAATACAATGAAAATCGAGACAGGTCTTCCACCCTTAACTCGCCCGATCTCTGGGGAAATGCCACCTACAGATCGCGGACGTGACAGCACAGATGACATGGAGGTAGAAAAAGATCTATCGAATAACTCTCAAGGTGACCGGAGGAGCTCGCCTACTCCTACTCACATTCCGCAAAACCGCGAGCAACGGAAGAAATACCCTTTCGGCAATTTGATGAGCAAGAAGAGTATGGCTTCTTCTACCACAAACCCGACGCAATCAACCTCGTCATCTCCGTCTGATTCCCGCCCAGGGAACAACTCTGATGGCACCACTGCCTCTAAGGATCGGGATGAGCAGCTATCTCGTGTCCGATTCGCCACGTTCATGACGGTTGAAGTTCGCGGCAGAGGGCCAAACAACGTCCTCATTCAAGCCCCAGTATATACAGTGGAATCTTCTTGAATGATTCAACCTGCCTTTCCCCCTTTATATGATGATACGCCTGCTTCTTTTTGGGATATCCCTTGTGTAGCAAGCGTTCTTGCGCGTACTGGTTTAGAGATGTTATGACTACAATCGTTTAATAACGATATGAGAGATTACCTGGTTTACCTTTTTTTTTTGTGTTTTCGCTGTTCTTTCTATTTTCGTTTGATTTTGGAGATACAATGGTTTGACATCTGGACAAATATATATGTTGGATGCGCTGGTTGTGCTAGAAGGTGGGATACGGTCAGGTATGAATGACCTGGACAGAAGATATAGTCTTGTATAGGAAGAGATAAAAGCTGTTCATGAATGATACTGATATGATATGACTACAACATTGAAGGTGAACGTTGCTGATACGCTGGTCAACCGGTATGAGTGAGATAACGACAAGTTTTGAAATACTTCTAGTACTGAATTTGCTTTAATCGCATCAATTGATATTGTTAAAGATACCAGTTGACGTGTAAACTGGGTGTAGTCAGTTGCTAGAGCGAACCCTCTTCCCCGCCAGTTGACCTCACATCGGCTATCATCCGGCTGGCCCGTATTTGTAATATCTCCGAGTGACAGTGTCAACTGCTGTTAAGTCTCGTTGGAAAAGTTATTTATATATGGAATTGAAATCATATGCATGGCAGGTTTATCGCTGCTTGCTCTTCTATATCGTAGATCTTCCCAGTCTTACGAATTTGACATATGTACTGACACAATTGCGACGTTTTATGTGAAATTTGATCGATTAAACAACGGTACCAGCTGATTCCATGGCTCCAAGTGTTTTCATGTAAGACCTGATCTGCTGATTCAAATTGACGCATTATTGATTTCATACCCTCGTGCCCTTAGCACAGGAATCACCGGCTACGTAGGAGGGGATTTCCTATTCCTCGTTACTAAAGAGCATCCCGATTGGGATATAACGGCTCTAATACGCGACAAGACCAAAGCGAAGCAGGTCACAGATGTGTATCCCGCCGTGCGAATTGTTCTCGGCGACTTGGAATCGACTAGTTTGATCATTGAGGAGGTTGAAAAGGCAGACATTGTGTATAGTATGTGGTTAGGAATTTCTTTTGAAGTGTTCAACCCTGCTAATGATAGCAGACTTTGCCGACTGCGACCATGGGGATTCTGCAAGGGCAATCGCCCAAGGCGGCGAACTGCACACCCCGGAACGACCGCTGTGGCTCATCCACACGTCTGGCACTGGCGTTCTTACATTCCCAGACTTCGCTGATGGAGTCTTCGGAATTGCGCGTGAGAGGACATGGAACGACTGGGACGGCGTCGATGAGATCACCACCACCATCCCTGACGAGTCGCCTCACCGACTAGTCGACAAGATAATTCTTGAAGTCGGCACACGGTGTAGCGATCGTGTCAAGACTGCCATCGTCTGCCCTCCCCTGATCTACGGCACTGGTCGTGGCCCAGGCAACACGCGCAGTATGCAAGCGTACTGGATGGCCGAGCTCGTCGTGCGTCGGCAAAAGGGATTCGTGGTTGGCAAGGGCGAAAATAAGATAGGCTATATACATGTGCATGATCTGGTCGATCTATTCCTAAGCCTGGGACAAGCAGCCACCGGTATTGCTCCCGGTGGCAGCAATGCTCCTTCTTGGGGTGCGAAGGGGTACTATTTCACAGAAAACGGCTCTATTCAGGGGCTCAGAATGAGCTCGCTGGTTGCGGAGATCGCGTATGATATGGGCCTGATTCCATCGACTGAGCTGGACTATCTTACAGATGACCAGGCGCTCCGTCTGCATCCCAAGGCGTTGTATTCTTGGGGCACAAACCAGAGATTTGTTGCGCTGCGTGCGCGGCGGTTGCTTGGTTGGAGTCCATATCGACCGAGTTTGGAGGAGGCTTTCTCTCAGATCGTAGCTTCGGAGGCTGCAAAGCTGGCCTGAGATGATAAAGAGCACAGATCACTCTGTCAATACCAAGGCAGTAAATATAGGAAAGCCAAGGCAAAGAATATGAATACATGAATAGATGAATATATTGATCTGCAGACTACCCCGCATTGTAGACGTAGATCGGCGTAGTGTCAAAGCGATATGATGCAGATGCATATGTAAGATTAATTAGTATGGGTGAGAGGAACGCACGGGTTTATCTACTTCCGACGCCGCCTCCACCCGACTGCCGCTGTTTAACCGAACGCTTGAAGTATGAAGTAATACTGCCAGTTTTCTAGTCCTGCTGGCCTTTGATGACACACATGGCTGAGCCGTCCTGTGGTGGGAGAAAGGGATAGAAGAATAATACAAACCTGCGATGGCTGCTAAACAAGACAGCCATCACGGGGCCCCCTCCCCGACAATCTCTGACTCCAGAAGCATGGAGAGCCAAGATACGAAAAAGCCAAGCTCCCTTGCGAGGATGTATGGCAAGATGGATATCGACCTGCAGACGTTTTTGAAAATGCTCAAGTTAGTGTTCCGGCGCGTGCGTGAGGAGTAGAAAAGTAGCATGTTTGCTAAACACCACCTGTAGAGCGGCGATTCCGTCTACTGTCGCTGTTGCCATGTGAGCCTCTCTTAATTACCACCATGTTCTTTTTTGACTCCAAATGTGTAGGTATCAAGCTGGGCCGGTAGCCAATGAGTACAAGGAGCTAGGGTATCTGATTGGTGTCATTGCTCTATACAGTCGATGCTGTGCTCCTCGGGGCAAATACATTCAATTTCTGATCCAGTGTCTCTTGTGCGTCTGTTTCGGCGCAGCAAGTGCTTTTCTGATGGCTTACTGCTGTGTTGAAGCTCGAAAGCACACGTCAACGCCTGTCTCAGAAGCGGCCACCAGCGATAAGCTCTCTGTGCCCTACAACTCTACAGCCTCTGCAGTCGCAGGAATCTGGCTGTTTTTTCAAATGTACATTCTCAATTCTTTGCGGGCAAAGAATCCGCAACTCAATTATCCCGTCGTTATGCATAACATGTTATTTCATGTGGCTGCCGTAAATGCCCCAAGCTATACCGATGTGACAACTGGAACTGCCGCTATAACGTTGATTCTGAAGGCTACTCTCACAGGACTAGGACTTGCTACGGCAACTCATTTCCTCATTCTGCCGGACACCTCGAGGGAAGTTGTGTCTAAATTAATGGGGGACTATATCGATGCGTTGCAAGGCACGCTCAAAGCGCATGTATCTTACTTTGAGTCTATGGAAAGTATTGACATGTTTGTTAGAGTTCACACTTCTAATCTCACCGAAGAGAAGAAACTGTACAGGACCAAGGCGGATGCTATCAAGGATGCAGCTCGCAACATGTCCAAAATACACAGCAACCTCGGTAACGAGCTGCCCTTTGCCAAGCGTGAAGTGGCCTTTGGAAAGCTGGGCCCGGATGACCTGGCGAGGATATTCAAGCACTTACGCTCCGCCATGACCCCTATCAATGGCCTAAGTACTGTAGTGGATATTTTCGAGCGTCTAATGAAATGGAACAATTGGGACAAACCCGTTGAACATGGCGGTGTTGATCCAAACAAAGATGCTGTGCGTGCCAGAATGGTGCATGACTGGAATATGATCATGGGCTCTGCGCATGACTCGTTTTCTCAAGTGATTGAGGTTATGAATGAAGGACTACAGCATGTTGCATATCAGTTGAGACTGAAAAAGAGACCAAAGAGAGACAGAGCTGTCAGAAAGGATCCCGAGGCTTCTGCTAAAGTAATGGCGCCAGGCGATGAAGGGTTTGCTGAGTACGTCGAAGCGAAGAGCAAGGAATTTTATATGTCAAGACTAGTAACTTTACGGGAGTGGTGTGTGGATAAAGGAATTGAGCTCCCTAAAGACTATTTTGATCGCCCGGTGGACCAGCCTATTCATCTTCCTGAAGACATGCCTGGCGGATTACCCCAAGAACGAAACGAGCGCCAATTATACATCCTACTTTATGTATACTTCATCCTGCCTTTTCTGTAGAACGAGCTGACTGGTGCATAGGTCGAACATATGTTGTACTCCTCCAGTCGCGCCATTCTCGATCTTGTTCGCTTTGCCGACGAACGAGTTGCCAGCGGAAAACTGCAGCGAAATCGAGTGGTTGTACCGGGAAGTAAACAATTTAGAAAATGGATTTTTAGTTTTTTTGAGGTTCAAGATGACAGCGAGGACAATGGCGATGGAAGTTATCATCGAGCAATGCTCGATTTGGGCCAGGCGTATCAGAAACGCAAAGACCCTGAGCACTTGCCGCCTGAAAATACAATAGAGAAAATCGGAGAAGGCCTGCGAATGATACCTAGCTTTCTTCGATCGACGAGGTCCCAGTTTGGCCTTCGAGTTGCCTTTGCAACGATGTCAATAGGAATAATTGCCTTTCTTGAGCCGTCTCGTTCCTTCTTCGTGAGCCATCGCTTGGTATGGGCTATGATTATGACGACAATCAGCATGAGTCCTACAGCCGCCCAAACAATATCGAATTTCGTCTTTCGCTGCGTGGGTACAATCCTCGCAATGATTGGTAGTATGTTGATTTGGTATATCCCCAACGGCCACCCAGCAGGTGTCGTTGTTGTGCTTTTCGTCTGGACCACCATCGCATGGTGGGTTCCTTTAAAACGGCCTTTACTTCAGGTCGCTGGCATTGTCGGTATGACCACAACCCTTATAATCATCGGTTATGAAATCGAAGTCCAGAAATTAGGGAAAGAGACTATGACCGCCAGTGGCCAAGAATACTATCCAACGTATTTACTTGCTCCATATCGGTTGGCTGTCGTCATTGGGGGCCTATTTGTCGCTTTCATTTGGACTGTATTCCCCTTTCCGATATCAGATCATTCTGTCCTTCGACAAGACCTCGGCACGTCACTTTATCTCTTGGCTAGGTATTATTCACTTGTGCACGATACCATGACTGCCCGCGCACGTGGTGACGAAGGTGATTTGGCTCTCAAAACTTCAGCCGGCAGACGCCTCGAAAGAGCCAGGAATAAAGTGTACGCAAAGCAAACATTGGCTATAAATAGGCTGCGCACGTATTCGAATACATTGAGATGGGAGATCCCTATTGGTGGAAGATTTCCGAAGGAGCATTATGATCGTATCATCGAGTGTATGCAAAAGTGAGTTTCTGTCCTGTTCACCGCAAAGAAATCAGGCTAATATGCATAATATCTGTTGTGTGAAATAGCATGGTTAATTATCTCAATCTTGTGGAATTCGCGTCCAAAACATTTTCGTCGTCTTCGTCTTTCCCCCCTCCATCTGACAGTCCGTCATCTTCAGTAAGCAAAGAAAACAACGAAAGCGAATGGTTCCACGACTTTAAGAAACTAATAGCAACAACTGAATCAACGTCTCACCGTATCACTTCCGTTCTTGCCCTTCTTTCCGCAAGCATATCGAATGCACAACCACTTCCCCCGTACCTAGACATTCCACGACCATATTCCTTTAGCGAGAAGTTGAAGGAAGTGGATAAGGATATCCTCAATATTAGCCACGCCGCTGAGCCTGGATATGCAGCGTTTAGTGTGCTGCAGATTGCGAGTCGGTGCGTAGTGGGAGATTTGGAGAAGCTGATTGAGTATATGTCCCTTAATATTTTCAACTCCCTGGTGCTAATGAATTTCAACAGGAGTGTGAAGGAGCTAGTTGGCGAATTAGATTTTTCGTTTCATGTCATAAAAACCTCTTCAAAAAAGGAGGATTAACATACAATAAGAGATACCATTATGTCATTTGTAGAAGTATACCATCCCACGCGTTTGCACTGTTTGCATCCGACGCTTCCGCGGGGGAATACCGATATTTTTTTTTCATTTCGAGAAGCTCTACTCGAGTATATGTCCATTTGTTCTGCATAGCGTATTTCATTAATATACTTTCTATATTTCTAATTAAGCCTTCAACAAATCCCCGAACAATGGGTAAAGTCGAAGAACTCCCCGACGACTACGACGAGTCGCAAGATCAGCAAGCTCAACCACCTCAAGCACCGAAACCGACACTCCCAGAGGGACCTGGCATCCCTTCTTCTTTCCTTGCCAGCCATGCCCCTTTTCCGATACAAAAAGACAAAATAAAAAATGACGACCCAATGGCACCCGAATTACCGCCTGCGATGGCCTCAATTCGATCGTATACGCCGGAAGAGTTGGCTGATATGATGAAGAAGACGCCGTTATTTATGACCGATTTGGAGAATGCTGGCGATGAGGGCAAGTTCTCTATGTTTATAATATCCCCCATCGCTAGTGAATATATTAATGACGTTTAATAGAAGGAGAAAACGTCATGCTCGACGCTCTTCGTGCCCTTCAATACGAAGGTACCCGCGCTGAAGTCGCTCTCAGCTTCCGTGAACAAGGCAACGAATCCGCAAAACTCAAACAATGGATCGACGCGAAGGAGTTTTATACAAAAGGAATAGCTGTGCTGAATGTCAAAAAAGAAGATGATAAGTGGGAAAAGCCAACCGATTTCGAAAAGGAGGAGCAGATGCAAAGGGAGGCAAGAGAAGCGTGCTATGCGAATAGGGCGCTGTGTAACTTGGAACTGAGTATGCCGTCCCCTCTTGATATTTTATAATAACACAATTGCTTACTTTTTGTAGAAAACTATAGGTCGACAACGTTAGATTGTGCACAGGCGCTCAAGGTGAACCCAAACAATGTTAAAGCATATTATCGTTCGTCCATGGCGTTGCTGGCGCTCGACAAAATATCTGAAGCCGAGGACACAGCTGTTCGTGGTCTCGCGATTGATCCGTCAAACAAATCTCTCCAGCAGGTATCAGAGAAGATCGCTGCACGGAAAAAACTGCTGGAAGGAATAGCAGCCCGAAAACGTGCCGATCAAGAACGCAAACGCAAAGAAGTTCAGCTTTTGAACACTGCACTACAAGCTCGACAGATCCGAGTGCGGAAAACTGATCAGTCTCCAGATATGGAAGACGCCAAGGTGCATTTAACCCCGGACCCTCTCTCACCAGAAAGTACCCTGGCGTTCCCAACCATGATCTTGTACCCAATGGACGCACAAACCGATTTTATCAAGGCCTTCTCGGAAATGGACTCTATTATTGACCATCTCTCGTATTTATTCCCCTTGCCATGGGATTCCAAGGGTGATTATCGTCCTGATAGCGTTGATTGCTACATGGAAACGACAACTGATGGATTGATCAAAGCCGGTAAAAAGCTACCTCTTTTACAAATCTTGTCGGGCGGGAAGGTGGAGGTAGTTGATGACCTGGTCAAAGTCATAGTTGTGCCAGCTACCAAGTCACAGAAGTTTATTCAGGAGTTCAAAGCAAAGAAGAAGAAGTGAGATGCCAATCGCATTTATAATCTCAGGTGCCGAGCTGAAAATCTGTGGTAACTCTTCAACAAACTTGGGTTCCTGTCAGGCTGTTTCGGAGAAGCATGTTATGCCCGCAGGCCGAAATACTTCAAAGCAACTCTAGGTATTCTGGAGCGGGTGTTCGAAAAGTCTACTCAACACTACACGTCGTGACAAGGTACATCTACAGGCCGACGGGTTACAGATGTCTAGAAATATGTGGAAGAAGAAATAAATTCGATTTCCGCCCTGCCTATTCAGGTATCTTGGCGAGGGAAACCGAGTGGTTCTTGTGTGTACACCCGGGAAAAACCTCGTCGCAGAGCGGTCTTAAACTATATCTAACTCCAGCCCTGCCCATTCAGGTATCAATTGATTTTGGCGAGGGAAACCGAGTGGTTCTTGTGTATACACCCGGGAAAACCCCGTCTCAAGGCGGTCTCAAAGTATAATGTAGATGATTGTTTCGAATCAAGTCATCTAAATAAAAATTTGCGCTCAAAAGGGTATAAAACTCATCATAATAAAGGTAAAAGCATGCAGAGCTCCGCAAACATGTTAAACAATACATGTATCATTGAAAAGGAGATAAATATTGGACGTCCATAAATAATAACTCTTTCAGCAAACAAATTTGAGGCCATTAGTCACTTCATATTCATTGATCATCATCAAGTTGCGAGAAAAAATAAGGGATCCCTTGTAAATTATGCCGTAAAAGTCGTTGCGCTAATATTGTGATCATCGTCGAAGTGTAGTCGCGTGAAATGGTCAGAATTTTATTCGATATAATGTGTTTCAGATAAAGTATCGGCTTATGCCGATTGCAGAGATAAATCTGAAAAGAGGGGTGTTTTTTGACAAGGAGAAGACGAGATTGCTTTTGCTTAGATGATTGTCGCTTGGTTATGAAAACCTGGATCCTGGCCGAAAATAGCGCCGAGATGGTTGCGCTCGTATTGTTTGCGCAATTCCTCTTCCGAAGCAGTCCGAGACCCGTACGACATCGAGCCGGCATCGATGCCATAGTTATGCTCTTTGGACTGGGTCGATGCAAAGTTGGTGTTGACAATGAGTTTGGTGTGTTGTTTGTAGCCATGATACGGTTTTAAAAGGGCGGCTTTGATTTTGCCTGCCATGGTTGAGAGAGAGGAGGAATATGTACTTCCTTTGGTGGTTGAGGGTGCTTCAGTGATGATTGAAGCAGAGTCGAGGTGCTCAGAAAAGTAAGAGACACGAGCCATGATGTTGGTGAGGAGGTATCGGGGATCGAGCGTTGACAATGGGGTTTGAGTTGCTTTAGAATTTGTAAAAGGCAGGCCAATAAAATGGTGTCTGTTTTGTAGAATTGAATGTTTTGGGCTTTTATGCCAGATGCCGCAGAAAGATTGATAGCAGCGTTTGGTATATTGTAGAAGTCAAGCGAATGTGTAGCGATCCCAGTAGATGTGATATCCTCGAGTTGTGCTGTGTGGGAAAGGAAAAGAAGAAAAGGAATCAGACCAAAACGGCACTCATTTTATCCCTGAGATTCGTCGAGCTGGTAGACGTCTGCCTGGATGAATCCATGGAATCGACCTGGATCTGCGGAGGCACTCTGTGGAAGCCTGGCTGATGAAACTACTGGACCAGAGCTGCTTTTCCTGTCGTCACTCTTACAGGAAAATTGCAGGCACGTCATGATTGCAGGCCTGTCGACAGCACTATTCCTTTCTTTTATCTTCTGGTTGGATGTATATCGTCAAGCTGACATGTTGACGATAGAGGTATAGATGGCATTGATGTACTAGTCCTGATATAGCGATGGCCCACATACAAGCCCGGCACCTGCTAGTGCCGCGGCTGCAGCCAATCAGGAGCGCATCATGCAAGTGGCGTGCACGGGCTGCGCGCCAAGCCAATCAGGCTGCCCCAGGCCGCACGGCCACAAGGCGCCAAGACAGCCGCCGGGCCGGCACAGGCAGCGGCAGAAAATCTCAAGCAGGACGGTCAGTGATCCCCCCAAAGCACGCACGTCCTTGTCTGCCAGAACGCTCTAGGGTGGCAGAGATAATTACGATTATTATTACATATCAGCCAGCTTACTCGCTCTTGTCTCTCCGCCAATCACCGCCCTGCCTCGTCCCCGGATATCTCGCCGTGCTTCTCCGCCCCGTCACCACTCACCACCCACCACTCACACTCACACTCCTATCGTTGTCCATTCTCGCTAGCCCACCGCTGTCCGTCATCGCCTTCCTGTCTGCTGCACCCCGCTTTTGTGTTCCATCGGTTCAGTGTTCACTCTTCTTCCTATTCCCCCGGCTGGTGGTACCTGACAGACCGAAGCCTGTTATCCGCCGCTGATCGCCCCCTTTCTCCCGTGCCTGGCACACTACTATCACCCAGGCAATAGTAATAATATAGTCGCGACTCGCCATGAATCCTAACCCCACTGGCTATGCTGCCATGCAGCAGCATCCAAACCCCATGCTGGCTGCTGCTGGCGCGTATCCCGCGCAGACTGGCAGCCCAAGCAGCCAACAGCAACAATTTGCGTACTATGGCAACCCCATGGCCTCGTATGCTCAGCCCCGGCCACAGCAACAACAGCATTCCTTCAACGCCATGCCAATGCAGGCCCAGACAACGGGGCCCATGGCCATGAACATGTCCGGTACGTACTGACCATCCATTGTTACTGTTATTTAAGCTCGTTCCTGTCATTTGCCGTATATTATCTGTGATTGCGTTGACCCGCAACCCTGCAATCCCCCGGGCCCAGGCTTGGGTCCAACTGCTTGTGCTACTCTGTGACAAGTCCCATTGGGCAAACCACCCAGGAAAAGCAAACAAGTTGGAACCTGGGTCTGGGTACGCGTTCCATTTGACTCGCGCGAGCCGTTCCGCTCTTCTGTTTGCTGAGGCTGTATCCACCGGACAGCCTCGTGGCTTTGGAAACCTGTGAGCTAACGACACGCCGTTTCTCCACTGTAGCTCCCCACGCCAATATTAATCTGCCTTATTCTTCTTCTCCTTCACCATTCCCTCCGACAACCACCACCGCGCCCTCTCCCTCGCAGGCTCAAAGCCCTTCCACCGTGCCAACAACGTCCCTGCAGCAATCACCACAGAACATGGCCGCCTTCTCGAATCCCGCCATGATGACTGCTCAGCAAAGATCCGCCGTTCAGGCTCCCACCCAGTCACCCAAGGGACAAGGACAACAAGGACAGCCCCAATCTTCCGCAGCCGCACAGCGCGAGCGCGCCCGCATCAGTGCCCTTCTCACCATCAACTCAAGCCTCCTCCAGGAGGTCGTGAACCTGCAAGCAGCAGGAAAGGCCGGTGCTAATCCTGCGCAATCATCGCCGACGCAAGGGCAGTCTACCGGTTCGCCTGGTGCGGATCCCACCGCCAACGCGAATGATCCCTCCAAAAAACCTAGTCAAGAATATGTCGACTGCATGCGCCGCCTTCAAGTCAACCTAGCATATCTCGCTACTATCGCTGATCGCTCTAAGAAACCAGGCGCTGCTGTTCCGACCGCTCCAATTCTCACTGCGCCCCCAAACATGCCTAAGCTGAATGAGATGTACACAAAACTCAACGAGTTGTTCCCGGAGGCCGGTCGAAATGCTTCAGTGCCTCAACCAAGACCTAGTCAATCGGGCCAGGTGGCTGAAAATGCGGTGTGATAGCGCTCAAGGCAAGCACCGATGTTTTCGAAATATTAGCTCGAGATAAGACACTCGAGACATTTCTCCTCAGCATCACGAGGAGTTGCTACCAGCAGTAGGGAACTACTTGAAACCATCCCGACCCCATATTCGGGAAGTCACTGAACATCCTCTTGCGACTCCACCCTGGATGCGTTTTATGTCACTCGAGATTTTTTACTGAGAAGCAGACATGAAAGACTAAACCGGATAGGTTGACTTCTAGCAGCTGGCTATTAACAATGTTATGTTACCATGGAATACCATCTACGCGGCATATTTAATGGTTTTGTTGGTTATCAGGCATCATTGGCAGAACGCAAGCTCGTGTATTTGTATAGTATAATGAAAGAGACTTTTTCTATTACACATTCTATTTCTAATTAATGTAAATTTCCCTGTAACTGCGAAGGCTGACAATAAATGTTATAGGAATGGAAACGCGAGGAGTGATCTCTAATCCGCACAATTGTATGCAGCGAACCTCGACGCTTGATACAAAGTGTAAATCTGATGCAAGTCGAGTTCCTCGTCCATACAAATAATTATTCAAGCGTTTGGTTATCTATCGATTGGAAGTATACTTGCTCACTCTGGTGAGGAAGAGTCTTCCTCCCTGGATGCGACGGGGGCTTGTTGCATCTGCATCCGTCTCATGATTTCTGCGGCCTCAAAGGCATACTTGCACTTCATCCTCAGGGCCCCACCATAACGATACATAACAAATGGAAAAGGCATGCACGCCAGTGTTAGAAAAGCCGGTATGGAGGTAGCCCAATGAATCCCAAGATTGTGATACATCTGGGTAGTGAACAGGGGAAACACGGCACCGACAATTGAGCGGAAGATGGCGGCAGCAGCGAGAACCGAGGCCGCGTAGATCGTGTAGGAATCGATCAGATAGTTAACCATTGGCAGGATGACGAGGACACAGCCGAATCCAAACGGTGTGGAGAGGATAATGCTGACAGACCAGTGAATGCTCGGGTAGTTGGTCCACGCGAAAGCGAACATCCCTATCGGTAGGGCAACAGCACCCACGATGGCTGGTGGTAAACGAGATTCAGCAGTAGCTGCTTTGGACAGAAACAGCTTCGTATAACGCCCGTTGTTGTCGTATATTGCGTATATCAAGCCAAGGATAATACCAACAGCAATACCCATGAATGAAAGCCCTCCGATTCCCTCGTTCCAACCACGATCTTCATTGTAGACAATAGGCATAGCGCCCATAAACATATAAACCGTACCGTAAACAATGGCCATGTAGAGAGAGGCTACTAACACGATAGGTTCCCGAAAGAGTAAAACCCAAGGCCGTAGCAGTGCCCTTTTGAATACTTCTGACGGTTTCTTTTTACCCTGGCTCTTTTCGAGAACACTAATGTAAACCTTGCCATCAATTTTGGTGAGCTTTTTCACTCTTCTAGTAAGCAGAACTGGCCCGTATGTCTCAGGGATGACGATGGCGCCAAGAATACCTGCCGCACCTGATCAGTACTGGCCATGTTTGTGTACAGGACGAGAACGGTACCTATCACCCCTATAAATATACAGCACACCCCCTGAACCCATCTCCATCCGACGTTTTCCGAGACAAACCCACCGACAACAGGACCAAGGATGGGACCAAGAAATGGCGCGACACAGTAAAGTGTCATGGCGAGGCCTCTCTGGGCCGGGGGAAAGAGATCTGCAATAGCACCACCAGAATTGACCAGCGGCGATCCACCAAAGGTACCGCTGAAGAATCGTAGTATGAGGAGTGTTGCAATGTTTCGACTTCCTGCAGAACCACCAATGAAAGCTACCATGGCCACGTGAGAGGTAATCCAGAGGACTTGTCTTCCATAAAGTTCAGATCTTCGAGACGTCGATAGGAATTAGCATCGACTGATACCTCTGGGGAGGGTTGAAACTTACTAAAACACGGATTGTTAGCTTATCTATCTCGGTCATATGGCGAGCATGTATTAGCTTACCAAGGGACCCCATACCGCCGGGCCGATGGCGAACCCGAGAACGAAGAGGGACAAGCCAACTGTGAAAACTTCGGCATCTACATCGAAGCCCGACATGACTTCGTTAGCGGATTCAGAGTATGCCGAAGACGCAAACGTAACGGCAAAAACCGAAAAGGTGGCGATGGCCGTAATGAGCCATTTTCTGGGCTGAGACCAGTTCATGGGGTTTCCAGGATCGTCCTTCTGAAACTCAACCACGAAGGGGTCCTTCTCGGTGCCTTTGCCATTATAGACATGAGAATGCTCGACAGCGCTCGAGTCAACTACTGTCTTGGATTCGACTTGTTGGGACATACTTAAGACGCCTTGGCGTGATCCAAAACCGATTCACTAGCATACAAGAGAGAACCTGCAAGCCTGTATGTACCCTCATGGCCTTCTTATAAGATTTGATCTTGATGCCAGTTCGGATGAATACATCTAGCAATCGCTCATCAAAGGACGGGATCGCATTTCATTGGCCAGAAAGGGGAAAGTTGTCGATGTCCGGATGTAGATATCATTGGCTGCAAGTATTTTGGGTGGAGAAATTGCATTTGTCATACGCCCAGTGAACCCCAGTTATTGATTGATTTTACCCAATAGATAGTCTTTCCGTAGTGGGGCTATACTTTCACGGAACACCATATGATTGGCCTACGATGAAGCGCTTTTGTATCACAGAGCATCTGTTCAATCATTGTCGCCTTGAGATGTGAAGATTGAAGCCTGCGATAGTGTACTTATGAAGATAGTAATATGATCGCCAATTCTCAACCTGGTGAAAACCGGGACAGACCATGGCAGCCGTTGCGCAGACAACGGTTGAGAATCTCAAACGCTTGTCATGCTTGTCGGCTGAGGAAGGTGAAATGCGACGGTATTCGTCCCGGTATGCATTATTTCTAACACTCTTCTGATTTTTCTGAAACTGATAAATGCCATATCCGTAGCATGTGCCAGGTGCCAGGAAAGAAGAAAAGCGTGTACGTATAGTCGAGATTCTGGGCAACAAGCCAAAGACGGGGCCCCAGCCGGACAGACACCACCAAACCGCAATCATTATTCTATCCTAGACTCGCCTCCAGGAGTATCTTTACAAACCCACTTGCTTGAGGCATCATCAAACTCGGCTATCGAGACACCATCAGCGACTAGCTCATCCTCCATGTTTGAGCGCTTCGAAGAAGGTTATGGCCTCGATTCGGATCCGAACCGCGCATACTACACCGCTCATGGCCGATTTGCGGGGGAAGTTGCAGCTGCAATAGACGTGAGAGCAGGTATTGCTCCAACCGCCGCTTCAAATCTGGTCCCGTTCGTAGATGCGCCCCTTTTTGGAGAGATAGATCTGCATTATCCATATCGTATTCCTGACTTTGCTGCCGAATTGCCTCCTCGCCCATATGCTGACAGACTCGTAAATATATACTGGCAACACGTCGACCATGTGGAGCCTGTCTTGGATCGAGAACGGTTTTCCCGTGATTATGAAGCGTTATACTCTAGATCTGAGGTGTCGTCCGAAGTCTGGCCAAGCATACTCAATGTTGTCTTTGCCCTGGCAGTACAGAGACAAGAACACATCCCTCTACAGAGACGGGATGAGGAAGGAAATATCTTTTTTAAACGCGCCTGGGCACTTCTTCGCCCCGAGACAGTACTTTGGCAACCTGGGTCGCTCGAGCTGGTCCAGTGCTTGATGCTTATGAACCGATACCTTCACTGCACCAATAATCAACAGAAGACATGGATGACGGCGGGGTTAGCTGTGCGGATTGCTCAGAGTATATGCTGCCATCTCCCTGAGGCATCCTCGACCAAGGACTCTGCCAGCGACAGGGAGCTGAAGCAAAGAGTTTGGATTAATTGCGTTGCCCTAGATCGGTGAGCTTCTCAATAGTCCGGAACGAGCGTGCGCTCTACCAATATATGGCTTCAATTGATAACTGGGCTTAGATGCGTTTCCTGGTCGCTGGGTAGGACATCAGCGCCGTGCCTGATCCTCTTCCCGTACAAGACCGATTCCATGTGTACAAGAAGCAGTTGTCAACAAGGCGATAAGCACGACGAGTCTCTTGCGTGGAAATTGGAGCTTCATGAAATTAGTAATCACATTCAGTTAGCACAGACACAGGTCCGAAATAATCTTGCTGCCAAGCTGGGATTGCCGCGTCTGTATCAACAAGACGAATACCACGCAGTGGCTGTGCAGCTAGATGCATGCCTCACTAAATGGGAGAATAGCCTGCCCAGCAACTGGATGTTGGAAAATCTTCAGAGTGTTGTAGATCGGACATCTCGAGCAGAACGATATTTGCTCCATCTTCGGTAGGCAAGCCAAGCCACTGTTCTAATATTAGTTCAGGACAACAGAATGGAGCCTGTTTTTTAGTCGTTCTAGCCCGCGAACTTGCTAACCCTTGTGTGTCAGATTTTTACATTCTCGAATTTTCCTATATAGGCCCATGCTTGGGCGCTTCTATTTGATGAAATCGCACGCGGCGACAGTTCAGACAGCAGCCAACCCTTCCAGTTTAAGCGATCGACTTCTCAGAGAAGGTGCTCGAATGTGCGTCGAGGTCGCACAAAGGGTCGCATCATTGGTTATCGAGACACTTGAGCCCGATGAGCCAATAGGTCTCCTACCATGGTGGTACAGGATCTACTATTTACACATCGCGGGTATTAATTTTCTCGCAGCCATGTTTGGATCGGATCTATTCACCGAGTCGGTGTCTCAATCCTGGCACGGTGTAATATCAGCCCTCCGCGCACACGAGCACTTGAGCGCATATGTTCAACCGTGCATCCGGACATTTGAAATACTGTCAACTAGGATCCTAAACACGCAGTATCCCACTCCAGATGGTAGTAGTGGAGTTACTATTGAAGATGGAGTCGCCGGCCCCCTATTAGATGATATATTTCAGGATATGGACTTCGATTTTGACAATTTTCTCTTTGGGACGGACGATATTATCTGGGGCCAGCTTTAAATAAGACAACCGGCTCGTATCCTGACTGAATCTTTCAATCGGAGTTTGATGATATCATGAACAGTTAAATTTCATGGTGATGACTATGTAAGATTGTCAATCGAACGGATTGTCCAAAGTCCAAAGTCTGGCCATCGCGCATGTGACCGGTTCGAGGTCACACTTGACATCAACAACCACATATTAATAATATTAAATAAAGAACTGTCATGGTAACTAAGTAAGTAGCTTAAGTAGACTAAGACTAAGACAGGGACGACCGGCTGGTGGGGCGCCGATCTAGGCCCGCCACCCAATCACAGCGCCGCCAGCCCAACCCTCTGCGCCCCTGCCCGCAAAACCACTGTTCGCCTGACACTTTTACCTCGTTCACGCGCCATCTCTCGTCCGCTCACCTCACCCTCCTCTGGGTTTTCTCAGAGCTCCTCCACCCTCTCTAACTACGTCGCCGTCCTCACTCGCCTCCTCTCAGCCCCCTCCCCCTCGCTTTGTAGCGTTGTGGATGCCTCCGGCCCTGTCTTGGGCGCGCAGAAAGGGCCTTTCCATTGCTCCAGCTTCTGGTCCAGCTGCATTGTTACGTCTGGCGTCTTTTCGAGCTTCGAAAGTTGGGGGTCTCGGCTCACCGCCGCATCCACACGGTCACAAGCCCAGCTTGTGTTTGCCTCGCTCAAACTCCGTTCCTTTGTCGGAGTCACCGCCTTTAAATTCCACCAAGTTCCTTGCCTGCTCTACTTCGAGTGACAAATCACTACTCCACCCGCAATCTCATCGCCCGCTCTTCTCCAATCCTTGCCGAATATACACATTTCTCAATAGATATCACCGCACTTACGCTACGACGTCCACTATGACCGGTGAAGCTCGCCCGAAGCGTAAACAGAGCCCGGTCTCTACATCCGAGAGACCAGCCAAGCATTTGAAGCCGGAATCGAACATTCTAAGCACCAGCGATGAGACCACCACGAACGGAGCTATATACAATGTGGATGATGAGGAAGATATTACACCTGTGGTAGCGCTAGGGACATCGCAGACGGATTCTCCAGAGTGGCAAGCGACGATCGAATCTGTTGTGAAAAGCGTAGTCTCGATCCATTTTTGCCAGACCTGTTCATTTGACACGGATTTATCCACATGCAGTCAGGCGACCGGGTTTGTCGTTGATGCAGAGAAAGGTTATATTCTTACGAATCGACATGTCGTCGGTGCGGGCCCGTTTTGGGGATATTGTATATTTGATAACCATGAAGAGGTTCGTTCACAATCTGTGCCAAAAATTCTACCATTGTTGACTTGCCTTCTAGTGTGATGTACGTCCGGTGTACCGGGACCCTATCCACGATTTTGGAATCCTAAAATTCGACCCCAAAGCTATCAAATATATGGATATGACCGAGTTGAAACTGAACCCTGGAGGAGCACAAGTCGGCGTGGAGATCAGAGTTGTCGGGAATGATGCCGGTGAAAAATTAAGCATTCTCTCTGGTGTCATCAGTCGTCTTGATCGAAACGCCCCAGAATACGGTGAAGGGTATAGCGACTTTAATACCAATTATATACAAGCGGCAGCTGCAGCGAGCGGTGGAAGCTCAGGCAGCCCTGTCGTCAATATTAGTGGTCAGGTTGTGGCCCTACAAGCAGGCGGCCGTGCAGATGGTGCTGCAACAGATTATTTCTTGCCGTTAAACAGACCTCTGCGAGCACTCCAATGCATACAAGAAGGAAAGCTTGTTACTCGAGGGACCATCCAAACACAATGGATGATTAAACCCTTCGACGAGTGTCGACGCTTGGGACTTACCCCAGAATGGGAAGCGACGATTCGAAAATTAGCCCCAAAGGAAACCGGCATGCTAGTAGCAGAGATTGTCTTACCGGAGGGCCCAGGTGATGGCAAGCTTCAGGAAGGCGACGTGCTTCTAAAGGTCAATGGCGAATTGCTCACTCAGTTTCATCGCCTCGACGATATCTTAGATTCGAGTGTTGATCAAACAGTCCGGCTGCTTGTGCAACGAGGTGGTCAGGATTTGGAAGTAGAATGCGAGGTTGGCGATTTGCATGCGATCACTCCGGATCGCTTTGTCACTGTGGCTGGCGCGACATTTCATGATCTTTCCTACCAACAAGCTCGTCTTTATGCCATTGCGACTCGCGGTCTGTTTGTTTGCGAGGCAACTGGATCTTTTAAGATCGAAAACACAATTTCTGGCTGGATCGTTGATACAGTAGACAAACGACCCACTCGAAACTTAAAGGAATTTATTGAGGTCATGAAGACGATCCCTGGTATGTCAAATCTTCCTATTGCATGAGATTAACCATGCTAACGAACTTTAGATCGTGCGAGGGTTGCGATTACCTACAAGCACATCCGAGACCTTCACACTCGTGGTACGAGTATTTTATACATCGATCGCCACTGGCATCCAAAAATGTCTCTAGCTATCCGTAACGATGAGACAGGCTTATGGGACTTTGAGGAAATTGGTGCACCGATACCAGCCGAACCCCAAGTGCCTCGAAAGGCTGATTTTATCAAGCTAGATGGAGTCAGCCAACCAGCTGTGGCTGAAATTGTTCGCAGCTTTGTTCGGGTGGCCTGTACGATACCGCTCAAACTGGACGGCTTTCCTCAGACCAAGAAAACCGGCTTTGGTGTGGTAATAGACGCTGAGAAAGGACTCGTGGTCGTTTCGCGAGCTATCGTTCCATATGATCTATGCGATATCAATATTACCGTTGCGGATTCCGCCATCGTAACCGGAAAGGTTATCTTCATGCACCCTCTACAAAATTACACCATTCTTCAGTATGACCCGAGCCTTGTCCAGGCACCAGTGAAGAGCGCTCAACTTAGTACAAAAAACATCAAACAAGGACAAGATACAATCTTCGTTGGATTCAATCAAAACCTCCGTTTTGTTGTCGCAAAGACAACGGTAACAGACATCACCACCGTTTCTATTCCTGCCAACCTTGCCTCTCCACGTTATCGTGCTATTAATCTCGATGCCATCACTGTCGACACAGGGCTTAGCAGCCAATGTGCAAGCGGTGTTCTGCTCGGGGAGGACGGTGTTGTTCAAGCTCTGTGGTTAAACTATCTTGGAGAGCGAACACCAAGTTCTCATAAAGATGTTGAATATCACCTAGGCTTAGCTACTCCTTCTCTTCTGCCTGTCATCAATAAAATACAACAAGGCGAGGTTCCTAAATTACGGATTTTAAATATGGAGAGCTACGTCATACAAATGGCCCAGGCTCGTATTATGGGTGTCTCGGAAGCATGGATTGATCGAGTTGCGGCCTCCAATCCGTCGAGGCATCAGCTGTTTATGGTTAGGAAAATCGACACACTCCCTCCGTCATTTACACACGAAAATGATGCGCTGGAGGAAGGGGATATCATCCTCACACTGAATGACAAACTCATTACACGAATCTCTGAGTTTGACATTATGTACGAGAACGAAATCCTCGACGCACTTATAGTTCGAAAGGGTGAGGAGATGCGCGTCAAAGTACCTACTGTTCCAACAGAAGATCTTGAGACAGATCGAGCAATCTTCTTTTGTGGGGCTGTGTTACAAAAACCCCATCATGCTGTCCGTCAGCAGATTTCTAAGCTTCATAGTGAGATTTATATTAGTGCCAGGGTATGTCTGTCAGTCTCCACAAAACTGTAAGCTTTTTCTAACTTGCTTTCAGAGCCGAGGGTCTCCTGCCTACCAATATGGACTATCGCCGACTAATTTTATAACGGCTGTGAATGGAGTACAAACTCGCGATCTGGACAGTTTCGTTCAAGAAGTCAAAAAGATACCCAACAATACATACTTTCGCCTTCGCGCGGTCACATTTGACAATGTTCCATGGGTGGTGACCATGAAGAAGAACGACCACTACGTGAGTACCCCTTCACCCTCTCTTAATATAATGAGTATATCTGCATTTCCTCTAACAAGCCTAGTTTCCCATGTCTGAATATGCCAAGGATAGCACCTCCGAATTGGGGTGGAAAGTCATAACTTACCCGACAAAAGACGAGGCTGCAGCAGATTCATCCAATCTAACAGCCGAAGCAATGGACGAGGGGGCAGGAGAGGGAGCTAGTGACGTCGAACCTGATGAACAGAGGTAGGCCAGTCCACGTGGGTAAGTGATACACTGGTGCTGCTACTGCCTATCCTGTTGTGATATAAAGAGGAATCCGATTAAAAGATCTTGGAACTTGTACGATGGGGCTACGCTTGTATAATGTAGTATATAGAGTAATTACAATCATTGCATTTGTAGAAATGTTTGAAATGAGCATATGGACGCCGTCAGTCTTAATACTAGTGATTTATCGATAGGTTGGTAGTATTTATCTGGTGTCAATGGCAGATCTTGAAACTAGCTAACATATAGCTTGGATTTATCAATTGATATTACATGTACACATGATCGATAGAATTTTGCCATTCCAAATGTTTTTGAATTAGGGCCATCATCCATCTCTAGCATGGAGATTGACTATCAGCTTCGACTACGTACCATGATTGAAACTGTCAGCATCACGAAAACAGTTCCAGATGTCGTGATAATGATTATAAATACATTTATTACTAGGCATTCCTCACATCTGATCTAGCAAATACGTTTAGTCCAGTGCTATTATCGGTAGTTATAATATCGCTATTATTATTGATATCCCACATCTAATAGCATCTGAAACCGCTTAGGCATTACCAAACCCCTAGTTGATTAACTAAGTATTAATCATAATATTAATAATAATTAACCGCTTCATACCTAAGCCTCAGGCAGAGAAAAAACCCGAAGGTTGTTATTTTCAAGTCACGCTGGGGAGTGTTTATTATTCTATTGCACTATTTCACACGAGTATTTCGATAAAAGTGTAATTGGCTGTGCATAGATACTTCGCACATACATATATTACATATATTACATATAATAGATTTTATGATTGAATTTTACCATTCATAGCAAGAAAACCAATCGATGATTGCTATGCTCAGGCGGGGCTGAAAAAGTACGTTAAAGCTACATGCAGGGTTAGAAAACGCATAGAATACTGACTAAAAAATAGGCTAATCAATAATAAGAATAACCATTCCTTCATGACTAGTTAGCTGGCTAGAACTGAGTTAACCAATTCGTTTGGTCATCGTCGTGGGTTACTTGGTTGGGTCAGCTGAAATAAATCGACCAAGGAAGATACACATTACCCTAATTATTAATATCCTACATACACTGAATCATGTACTTTTGCATATTGAATGCTAATGGTGAACGATTGAAATTCGATCTGATTCCTAGGCTAGCCTTGTTTCGGAAGTTCATGCATACATTGTAGGAGATCAGGGTTTTAACTAGAAAGAAAACTAGTAGTATTAATTACAGAAAATTCAAGAGGAAAAGGAACCAAACCAACAAGTAGCTTCTAATTCTTAACCCATCCAATGTTTCCAACTCAAATTCATTTCCCTATTTAGTACTAATAGGGCGATGATAACTGCGTAATAATACAATGAAATATGCATTACACTGTCTTGTAATATATCATACAATAATAATACTGTATTTGCGTGATAACGGTGAGATTATGCGCAGGGGCCTTGTTGAAACACTCAAACAAACTCAGCTGTTCTCGGTCAAGTGACTATGCAGCTGCTTCTTGAGCCTTGCATTAATCAATTCTTGATGGTACCCACTGTCAAGGAACATCGAGTCATGGGAACCACTAAAAGTTGCATCCACTGTCTACATATGTAGATTTTAGTATTACTAATGATGCATGCATTCATGCATTCTATATAGTGTATGCAGAATTGTGTAGGTCAGCCGCATGGAATAATGTCGTATTAATTGTCCACTTTGCATAAAACCAGCCTTTTAGGCAAATCTTACAAGGGAAACACTATGTACATCGCATCATAATTATGTTCCAGTTTGGTGTAATCTTGTTGAAATTCTGTTCAGGGTCACATGGGCAAGGGTTGCCCTAAGCCTGCGCGGCCTACCTACATCAGGATAAAAATGCCCGAGGTTTCAAAAGCACCCTTTTATCCACGTGGCCGGATAAGGAAAGCCGCTTACCACTTTATACGTGTACCATAGTCATTGCCACTATGGAAACAAATTGTACGTATTGCTTGGGTATGCAATATACCCCGGATTTAAAAAAGGAACTCCTGGTAAGTCTCAAAATTTCGTTCATCATGGTAACGAAAAAGAGCCCATGTAGTAGGGTGGCATTGCTGACCTCAAAAAAGGGTGTGGCGACCTATTCAGTTAGGGCTGCGAAGATCGTTAGCAAGGAGAGATTGATACACGCATACTCCGATGAGATCAGATGTTCGATAGTACTGATCAAGAAAGTTCTGGAAGTTTATTCCCGGGTAGAATAATCTTGTTAGCGTCGAGTATGCTTACGCGGGTTCTTTTTTAGCTAAACAGAGTTCAAGTTTCGGAGTATAAGCATAATAATAACAATGCTATTAATCAAAGATGTTGTGCGTGTATTTCAATTTGGACGACTCTATCTTCCTGTTTTAGTATTACTAGTGTTTTCTAGAAAGGTTCCAGAAGTCATCAACAAGATTACACCACACTAGGTCAGAATCGTGCTCTTTCCCCCAACATTTTCTCCTATGGTCCAAAGTCAAAATAGTACGTAAATACGAAAATCAGCACCGAGTGCAAATGACCAACTCCCCCTCATGATTTTAAAAGTCATCGATTTCGACCAAAAGTAAATTGCGATGATCAAAGTTTGAGAAATTACCTCGCAATACATGTTTTTGGGGGCCGATTTAGCAGTCGAATCGCCCAATCAGAATGATATATAGAGCAAGATATTGTCACTACTAGTTAGACCATTTCTTTCCTTCTGTCGTATTTCAAACTCACCGGCATGAGGTTTATCATGAGTGATTAGTCGGTCGGTTTTGAAATCGAGTGCATGGAAGTCAATCGTTCTGGACGGTGAGACGAATGACGTTCGGGGCGTATCTGCAGGGTGGCTTGGCTTGTGCGTAACAAAAACAGCCCCCAATAAATCAACAAGCAATTGTCAATCGACAACAAAATCTACGGGGATAAACGATGTCCGAAATGCACTACGTAGTCTGTACTCTGTAACTGTCGCGCGATCATACAGCCTATGAAGTGGATAGCTTATTACATACCGTATGAGCATCACCACTTTGTGTCGGACCTGTCGATACGAGATCTGACTCCACAATAGCAACATTCAACCCAGGGAACAAAATAGTACTATTAGGAGCTTTGACAGCTTTAGAAGGTCAGCGACTCGGCGAGTCGACGTACTAAGTCACGCCGTGGACTTTTAGTGCAAAATTATGGGGATCATGAATGGTGGGGGGAGAAAAGGGACCTGTCCGTAGTAGAAGGGAGCAGCATATGTCAATGGCCTGGCTTTGTGGAGACTCGCGCATGTTCTTTTGAGACACTGGTCTAAACAGTGACTACGTATTTACCAGCTTCCCCCACCGGATGGAGTAGTACCAATCACGGAATATCCGTAGCGCGAAGTCGCACCAAAAATGATATTTCAGAAAGTTCAGATTATCAGACTGAGTCCTGCCTGACATACGTATCTCCATTGCTCCACTAAATGGACCCTACTTACTAGTATTTAGTCAAGTCGGAAAGGTGACAAAGAGTGTAAAGCTGGTATGCATTGATGGAAGCATATGTACTACATAGTAGCCTGACCGTTGACCACCATTGCTTCTAATTAACTAGCTCTTGTCCTATACTGCGGATCTAAGTAGGCCGGTAAGAAAATGATGACGAAGAACGAATCGGAAGGTAGGAAAAAGGACGTAGTCGTTAGCGTACCTTAGCATTCATGTGTGTCCGTACTTACCTGCTACTAACTTAATTAGTACTCAGTCTTATGAATTTTTAGTGTCCACTTTCACCTAATTGGTGCCATCGCCTAGTGCAACTTTTTAATGTTGCTCATTGCCAGGTTGGTATTCAAGAATGGCATTAGCCAAACAGAGGACAGAACAAGCGATATCGTACAGAGATCATAGCCCAGATTCAAAAGGATGTGCGAATACTTTCCCTGCAAGTCGAAAAATACTCCGTATCAAGAGACGACACCGATCAGTTGCCGATCAGATAACGAATCACAGCCCATTATTATTCCGAAGGGCTGTGTCTTTTGCGGTGGGAAAATAAGCATAACCTCGAGGCAGTCAGCTCTACAAGCCTGACTGGTAGGATATTATATTCACATCCACATTGGTGATAATGATTAAAGACTTAAGTGAGCAGGACACCGGCCAAGATGGACCAAATGCAGCCAGCCGCTCGCAGTGTTTCAACTTCTGATTAACCATATTCAGAATAAGGAAATGCAAGGAAATGTTAAGCTTAGGGGGCTGAAACTGAAAATTAACCAGGTATTTAACTCCACCAGGATTTGCTTATTACTGCAGCAGCCTGCAGCTTGCAGCCAAGGGTTAATCGCTTATTTTCGTGTCTTTTCCCAGGCTAGTTAGTACTCAGCAATAAGACCCTTCTTCTAGAAATTCGATTTATCAATGCGGTCTTTAGCGTAGTTTTATTGGCCCTTAGCAAATGCTCTATTTCTTTCCTTTCCCCTCACTTCACGTGAAAGAGCAAAGACTGGAGCGATTATTTTATTCGTTTTATTATTTATGGATACACTTTAAAGTAAATTTGCGCATTCACCGCCAAATCCAAAGCAATAAATTCTAGACATCAAAAAGTGGGATGTGGCTTGCTATGATTAGGTGGCGTTAGACATTAATCCGAATCTAGTCATTGTTCAGCTGTGTAGTAACAATCCATTATACCCTGTTGGCTGCATATCTGGGTACCTTTCAACTCCTCTATGGAGCGCCCCATGAGTCCACTATATCATTGCAATTTACCAAGTTGTCGGGTTATCGTGAGAGAAAAGGTAGAGAACTTGATTTTCTCAAAAATAGACTGCACAGGTATGCCTACGCGCATACTCGATTTTACATAAAAATTGAAAAAGCATTAAAAGGTCCAGGATGAATATCAATTGATGTATAACAAGCCTGTATAAAGGAATACAAACAGATCCTTTTCATAAATTACAGGACGTTGCATCCCCGCACACTATGTTTATAGCTTGAGGCAGCCAAACCCAGGATCCTTTTGATCCTTTGACAACTGGAATCGGGGCCGTGTCTAGTATTATTCCTGAAGGAGCCTTCTTAGTGCCCCGTATTCAAGCGATGATATTCCAGGCGTTGCGTATCACGGGAGCAGTACCTGTCGATCGTGTTCACGTTCATAACGAAACGCGGGCCCACAGCTAAGGGGGCCAGATCTCACAGGCACTAAATCGATAGTAGGAGTAGTAATAGCAGCAACAGAGAAAAAAGAGGCACGTACTTCCAACCTGGGTATAAGCGGGGTGTCCGAAACTGTAAGCTTGAATGTAAAAGGCCGTAGGATCATCATATTGGAACGGAAAATAATTAAGAGAGGCCAAATACAACCACGACCAAACATTGAATACAAGGATAATGACCGGTCACGACTGAGAACGACGGATTCGCCCGAATTCGTTCTCCACCTCTCTCGCCTTGTCCATTCTGCCTAGTTGTCGATACATCAGCACCAAATTACGAATCATCAGGTTCGCAGTCGCTGTGCGTACGCCCAGCTGGCGACGGCACCAATGCAGCACTTGCTCTTGCAGGGCTTCGGATTCACGAAAACGTCCATCCATCCGCGCATAGGCCACGGCCAGGTAGTACTTGAGGGAAATCGTATCAGTATCATCCGTCCCGATGCTTTCTTCTAGAATCTTGATCGCGTGTTCTAGAACAGCCACGGCCTTGTCATCGGGGACTTTACCGTCTCCTTCGGCTGTCATTCTCCCGTATGTCTCTGCCAGATGGACAATACACCTTCGCGTTGTTGCATCCTGGTCTCCCAGGTGGACTTTCCCTGCCTCGACTGCATCCTGCAGCAGCCGGACCGCTTCCTGCAAGCGGCCTTGAGACACATAATCCCTGCCAGTACTATCCATTACAGCAATAGTGTATGGGTGACCGGGTCCAATTGACGCCGTACATAGACGTAGAACTATCTCATGTAATTGGGCTGCATCCGCCGCTTGGTTGTGCATAAAAAGGGTGTCAGCTAAATTACACATGCGGATCAGGATGTCCATCGCCGGAGAGTGATCAGCCACAGCATTAGCTTGATCCTTCGACCAGTATGTTTGGACTACTGTCTCCAGGACGCGCCTCTCCATGGCCAGGCCCTCCAGAAGGCGTCCGCTCTGGAGCTTGATGTCGGCTGCCAGATTGTACATGACAATCAGTGTCTCCTGAGCGTCTTTGCCGTGTAGACGCTCCCGAATAGTAAGCACCTCGCCATCCAACCTCTCCGCATCGTGAAAACGCCCTGCCTGGCGAAATACATGAGCAAGCATGAGTTTGGCCTGTTGAACGTCCGGGCTTTGGTGTGGAGGTGACGTTGGTGAGCGACGTTCTGCCTCTTCGAGCATCCGTATCAATATGTTCTCGGCATCCCGCCATTGGCATTGCTTCACAAGGCCATCTATCTCCTTTCCTACGACGGGAACCTGAGATAGAAAGCTCATCCTTGCCAATTGCGTCGGGCGACATTTCAACGGATGAGTATGAGGCGTATTTGTTAGCCCTACCTCCACAACAAGACACATGCGAGTATAGGATGGTAAAGGGAGTACGTAAGAAGTAGATTGAGGAGAACGGAAGAAAAGAAAGAAACAAGTCGGAGCGATATTATTTAGCTCACTGTTGTCTACATATGTGCATGATAGCCCACTAGCTACGTATCGGACGTATTATCAATTCTCAAGCTGTAACAGGAAACTATGTGAGCGTAATCCCACATGTAATGACCTCTATTCTCACGAATGGCCAGCCAATACGCAACAAAGCCTAGACGGAAAAACATAGCGGGGTCATAGCCTTGTATCTTTGATAAATGCACGGCACTGATAGCCTAACAGGGCCCCAAGGCTCAGTCAGATCTCAGTGCTAGCCATGCATGCACTGCACTGGCCCACCAACATCCCAACCAAAGTTCTACTAGCCAGCTTATCAAACGAGCTACCCCGCCAAGATTGTGTTGTACTGTTCGACTGCTGTATTAATGCTGTACGAAGACGGGGCTCGTCAAGAAACCTCGGAAGCTCTAAGGAAAGGAAAGAAAAGACCAATGCAAGCCGTCTACTCCCAACTTCCGACACACTGGTGTCCAATCCCAACCCAGCCTAAGAACATAGTCTGCATTATCCCACGACAAGCTTAGGCTGGCGACTCAGAGTGTTTCGTCCGTCACACATAAAATAGTGAAGCGATGGCAGAATCGGCCCAATCGTCGCACTGCAAGAATCGTTGGGGTTGGGTTGTACTATTGTATTGACCCGAAGCTTACTGCTGCTGACCCGGCAGCCAAGTATCGGTTTCAGCGACGAAAAAGAACAGGAAAATATACAAACTGGCTCGTGCGCTAGCTGGGCCGCTGTGTGCGCGGGTGTTCATTCATCAAGCCATCATCATCAGCTACCAGGCCGGGAAGTTTCACATCTGATTGCTGTTGGGGGTTGGAATGAAAAAAGTTACTTAGGTCGTTCACTTGGGGACGAGATTAATGAGCCATGTGGATCCGGTGGTCATCATTTTCAACCACTCCCCATGTCTGTTCGTACAGCTGCCGACGCCGTCTATACCAGTTAAATTACGCAAATCATTAGGTGCACGCGTTGATAACTCCTTTCAAGACTGCATGATGCTAGTTTTGTCTGAAGATAGAGTTAAGACGATGTGCTCGCGGCCAATAACGGCCTGATAATACCAGTGGCCTGAATTCGGCCCCCCCAAATTGCTGCAATTGAATGCAGATCAGTCAGCCCTCGTGGCCGCCATCTGCGGTGAAAGCTTGCACCGGACACCTGTCAGATGTGCCGGCTACGTGCAATTACCACGTGGAGCTGAAATCCATGTATAATAACAAACAATAACAATACTAAACATGTAACGCCTGTGTCTCCGAACCAACCAAACTCCCAATCGCCCATCAGCAAACCAACCCTCATCCGTCAAGCATCAGCGTACCTGCTGGAAACAATACAATACCAGAACGCTTACACACATAAAACCAAGATCAGTTCGATACATTGTGTGACCATTGGCCATTCGTGCGCAAACGATGTCTTGCTGCCAAGTCTCTGTTGATCTCTTCCTCCGTCAGGCCGTCCGGGCCACCCCAGTTAGCACTGCTTGTCCGCTCCCGGAACCTTTTCAGCTTCTTGTCAAATTTGAATACCTCCTCTACGTTAAACACTGGTACGGGTCCGAAAATATCATCCGTTAGTAACGTTTCTTGCTCACGCAATTTCTCTTGCAGCTTTGCCGGATCCGCCCAAGGAGCTACTGGAAGTATGTCTGCATCTGAGTCTTCATCCTCGCTATCAGTAGGAGGTTCGGGCAGATGGATGGTCTCGCTTGGTGGATATTGCGGGGATGCTTTCGAGACTACACGCTGAGGGCCTGTATTGGGTGTCTTGTGACCAGGAGTCTTGTGTGTTGTCGTCCCAGCGGGGTTCGTCGGAGCAAATGGAATCTTTCCACTGGTGTATTGTGTCATATCAATGGGAGCTCCGTGCTTCAGTGGTCGGCCCGCTGCACCTGGCTGCACGGGCGCGGTTTTATACACCGAACCACCTGGTTGGTGATGAGCTGCAGGCAGAGGGGCTTGTGGATAGCCGTGGCCCATGAGAGAAGGCTTCGCATTTTCCTAGTGCCAATCAGCTGCGGGGCTTCCTTCAGCTAAAAATAATAGCTTACCTTCCGAATGGGTTGCTGCTTCAGTGGGGGGGGGTGGTTAAATTGCTGATTGTACTCATCTTCAGTCCTCCTTCTCTTCGTCTCGGCTGTTTGTTCTCCGGAACGATAAGCAGATGCTGCGGGTCGGGCCTGAGATCCCTCTTCTAGAGGTCTTTTCGCCGGCTTGGCTGGGTTAGTTGGGGGCTGAGTGATGGATCGAGTAAATGGCTGTATTGTTGAGCCCAAACGCGAGGGTGGCCGTGCCGGGCCTGTAGCCTTGTCCTGCTGTACGATAGAACTCTGAGCAAATATTATTAGATTAATTGATCGTCAACTCTAGCCTTGATTGCTAACTCACCATATCATTTGCCGATTTCGGCGGCTGACTTCCTTGTCTCATGCGCGAATTTTCTAGTCGACGTTGCTCGATAGCCTGTCTTTGGGCCGCTTTCTTGGGATCTTCTAGGACAGAGCGCTCTCGTTCCTGCCGTCGGGTCTCCTCTTGCTGCTGCTTCTGTTGTGCTGTTCGCTTTTTTTGTTCTTCTTTGCGCAAAGCAGCTTCTCGTTCCTCCTATGGAGAGTTAGTATACAGCAAAATTCATAGACAAGGGAGTCTGACTTGTTTCTTCTTCTCAGCAGATGCCGCCACTTGCGCTCTGCGCTGTGATTGATTAGACACGGAACTCTTAAAACTAGAGTTTGAAGCTGTGGTCTGTAAAGATGAATTGCTAGCTTTTTTAGAAAGAGTCGGCTGTTTAGAAGCCGTTGATGTCGAAGCTGTGTTGGACTCTGGAATGTAAGACGATGTTGAAGCCATTGGCATGCGCGACAGCGTGCTACCGACACGAATAGACACGGGGACCATTGGTTGAGGCTTGTGCTTCTGAACAACATCCCTCGTGGGTTTAATAGGCCTCGTCTTTGTAGACTGTGTAGGTTGAGCGGGTTGGGTAGGTTGAGAATGGTGATGAGATGTAGTAGGTGGAAGAGGAAATTGATGTTCCACATCTGCAACGACCTCTGCTTCCCTTTCCGCTTGGAAGAGTGTTTGTTGGGTTTTTGATGAGTTTGGTTGCGTAGAATGAGACGTACCCATAAGCTCACGCATGTCACGCTCCTTTGGCTGCGTCTTCTCGAATTTATCTAATTTGCTAGTAGGCTGTGCCTTTTCTTGGCGGACCCGGGGTTCTTCAAAAGGATCCTCGAGCACTTGACGTTCCTTTTCGCTTCGATGTAATTTATCGTTTTCAATGGCTCTTTGATTCCGCGTGGCAAGTTTTTCCGGTCCTGGTGAGGACCTTTGAGGACTGGAAAAGGCGTGCGAAAGATTGGGTTGTGAGCGAGAGGCACTAGGAGATGATAATATCTCCAACTTAGCAGCTGCAGAAATACTGGCGCTATTGGAGAAAAGGTTCTTTGCTGATTTCATTATTGACTGGAATTTTGACTTCGGTCCGCTTAATGTGCCGTCCAGTCGCTTTGGGGAAACTGGAGGAGTCGTTGATTCCTCCGCGATGTTGGATGCATGCAAAACAGGCTGTTCAGGGCGTCGAGGTGTAGATGTAGATGCCGATTTATGGTGACTAAATGCAGAGAAAACCGAGCCTTTCGGCGTCGGTGAACGCTTCTCGCGCAGGTCGTGAAGAGTTTCCGCCCGTACAAGCTTTCCTTTTTCCAGGTTTCCAACTGTGTCATTGCCTGCAACGAGCTCCATAATATCGGCGGTCTGGCTTTTCGGAATAGTCGTCTTATAGGGTGACTCCAACGGTTTGATCCAGTCTTCTTGGTTTGTTGTCGCTAGTGTGGGTGCAGGCTCGGTATTCAAAGTACTTAACTTGTTACCAGGCAAATCGGGGTAGTTGACTTGAGATGAAGCTGGTTGTGTCACTGGCGCGATGGATTTTGTTGTCCTTGGTGCTTGAGTCTTGCCGAGCATACTGATCTTGTCATGAAGTCGCTGAGTCGATGACTTGTTATGAAGTTTAGTGGACTCATAAGCAGTATCAGATTCACTCTGTAGGGACCGGACCTTCTTCTCTCCATCCAAATCCTCCTGGAATTGCTCCTCTGTGTCCATGGAAAGACCAAAAGTAGACGACTTGAATCCTTCGGCTTGGCCACCAAAGTAGCTTTGGCGTCCAGCACCAGTCTGCTTCACGGTATTATTCACATGACTAGTGCGAGATATACGAGGATTGCTTTTCTTGGTCATCAATGGTTCACGAGCAGGCAGGGACGCAAAACTCAAACTACTCTTCTTCCTCATAGGGGGGCGAACGGGTGTTGAATTGTCAGAAGGAGAGCCAATATCATCAAAGTTGTCATCAAGAGCAATGTCTCCATCCTGGTCCCGTCCGTCGCTCAAAGCAGGCTGTTCCTGGGACATCGTCACTGGCTTATCCGGAGAAGCTGGTAGGTCCCGTGTCACTTTAAATGGACGAGGCGTATCTTCATCGGCTTTGTCGTCTTGATCTTCATCAACATCCATGGGCTCCACGGTTTCGCCGCGGGATCGAATATTTTCTTGTGCGGAGTGGAATGACTGATCAGTGGTGCGTCTATCAACCGACTCGCTCTTTCTGCTTTGAATTTTGTGCACCCTATCTATCTTCATTGGCTGCATAGACGGGCCGGCCTCAGCCTGAGTACCCGCAGGGTCTTCAATATCAGACAGAATTTGTGTTGCGGCCAAAACAACTTCATCGTCATCTTCTTCGCCATCATCGGGGAGACCATGATAACCTGAGTCGATATTATATGTAGAGAAGGAGTTGAGTGCTTTATTAACAGTTTGGTCGCGCATGGGTTCTTTGCCTTTGGAGACGGGGAGGTCTTCTACCTCTGTTTCCTGTCGGTCCTCCCTAGGCACTCCAGTCGACGCTTCAGCCGGTTGCTTGGCTGGCTTGAGGATGTGTTTTTCGGTGTGTTCTTCAACTGATTTCGGAGTAGGCTTCTCGGGTGCTTTGGTTGGTGGTTTCGAGAATGCAGCTGACTTTTCTAGGGATGCCACAAACTTTGAAGGTTTTGCTTTCTGATTCGAGCTCGAAAAGATCTCGGTAAGCGGCTGCGATAATGTTAGCACGATTCACACATCAATCACCGGGACACGTACCACACGAGCGTCGTCCGGGTTGCGCTTGCGTGCGGTGCGGGGGGTTTTCCCTCGCATTTTCCCCGGCGTCTTGAGGATCTCAGTCATGTTGCTAGCGTGATGTTAGTTTGTCGAAATCGGAGACCCCGGCAGTACGTACAATTGATTCTTGGAGAAGATTTCGGCCATGTGTTCATTGAGCCAGTCGAGCTCATGGCGGACGGGAAATTCGACCTCTTCGAGCTCCTGCTCCATCAAACGCGTCACATTCTCCTTTTCGTCCGCAATCCAGGCGGCAGAGCCGATGGCTCTTGCTCCAGTGGCAGTCATGGTCACGTAATAAACGGGCAGTGGGCAGTGGGCAATGGGCGACGGCAGCGAAAATGCCCAGGCGATGGACCTGTGATTCGAGCAGTCCTGCAAGTTACAATAATGTCGGGGCCATCGTGTTGCGGGTTGCGTTGCGTGGCGATGCGGTGGCGGTTGCGGGTTGCGCTTGGATGTGAATGTTGTGTTTTGTCTGTTTTGAGAGCGGAGATCAAAACACGGGAACACGCTAGCCGGCCTGGTCACGTGGCACTCTTGCCTACATTGTCAGGCACCAACACTCAACACTCTAGTCCAACTTGCAAACACACAACTTTGAAATTATCAATTATCACGCCACTATCAATACTCATAAATGAGGATGAGCCCTCTTCATCGGCAGCAAGCCCCTAGCAGCCACAGCTACACAGCGGACAGAGCATGCCAACTTCGCGTTACGCGGACCCTCTGAAATGATTATAAACCCGATCAACATCTGCAAAAACAACCGCTCATCTAGCCGACTAGCATAAACAGGAATACTAATCAGATGTGTATTAGTGCATCATCATGGTGTCTGCCCACATAGCAGCAGAATTATTGCTGCGATAAGGCGATCGATCACATGCCACAGCGCAACCGCGAATTCTTGTGGTGTGCGTTTCATTCGTCGTAGAACGACCTCAAATAATCATTCAATATTAATCATAGCAAGATTAATCATAGCAATAGTTGTAATATAATAGAAACTGGCAGGTGGTCTGGCGACCGCTTGCTCAAAGCGTGCATGTGTTTGTTGTGTATGATTAGTTAACTAGTCATCGACTTCGGCTCGGCCGTTCCATGATTGCATCACCTCCCTGTACGCCTCTCTCCTCTCTGTCTTTCTCTCTTGCCCTGCCATCCCACACTTGCTCTTCGCAACTCCCCGATCTCAGCTTTATCTGCGGACTGCATCACTGTCAGTATCCTCGCATTCTCTTCCCCTTTTCAGCCCATCCTTTACTCCAAGGAAGCTGCCCAACTGTGCTCGACCCCTTACCACTGACTGTCTCGGGAAGAAAAAAGAAAGCGTCGAGAACGACCGCACAACCCAACACCATATTTCAAAATGGCCGATTCTGGTGATGTCCAGTATCCTGCTGTCGCCAAACCCAGTAAGGTACGTTGCGATTCACTATCATCAGCGACGATCGTGTCGGCTCTAAGACTAATTCTTACCTCTATTATATAGTAATGTTTTGATACTTATTTTTTCTCGCTGTGCACCACCCGCCCATCGCTCGCCGACTACCTACCTACCTACCAGGCAACCAAAAAACATCCACAATGGGCTTTTCTGCCCTGCAGATATCGCCTATAATTCTCGCGTGCAACCATTGACAATTAATGCTAGGCTCTACCGCCGACAATGTCACATCCGAAGCTTCCAAAGTGACTCCCTCCACTACCACCTCAACCGGCCAGCAATTGACTCGTATGTTACATTTCCTTCACAAAATGATAGCAGCTAATATTTTTAGACTATCATTCTCAGTTGTACAGTCTTCTGAGCGTACGTTGCCTATAAACCACTAGTTTCATCTACGCTGAACTAACAATGTTTAGTGGGAACGTCCACGGGCTACTGCTATTTCTTTTGCCAGTGTCGTCACTTTCATCCTCGCTGCTCGCTATCTGCCTCTTCTGCAATGGCTTTTGAAATTTCTCTACGTTACCCTCGGAGGTGAGTCAACACTGCTTAAATTCATGCTCAGCTTCTGACTCGTCGAATTATCTACTCTATAGTCACTGCCCTTGCTGAAGGTGCCGGTAAGCTCATTCTCAACCAAGGTTTAGCAAGCTCTTTCCGCCCCCGCAAATATTACACCCTTCCCAAGGAGACTGTCGAAGGAATTTTGGAAGACTTGGGGCAGCTTTTCGATTTTTTTTTGATCGAGTTCCAGCGTATCTTGTTCGCTGAGAATGTCCTTCACACTGCCGCTGTACGTTTCTGAAATCGACGTCTCACATTAATTGGGCAGGTTCTGATTGATAATAGGCTTTCGTCGCCGCTTTCCTATCGTGGTTGCTCATCATGTTCCTTCCTCTCTGGGGCCTGTCTTTGATCGGCGTGAGCGTCGCCTACCTCGGCCCTCTGTTCTACATCAGCAATCGTGAAATTATTGACGAGCAAATCGCCGAGGTTCAGAAACTGATCAATGCTCAAGCAAACCAAGCCAAAGAACTTGCCAATCAGCAGACCGCTCGTGCTACCGGCTTGGTGAAGCAGTATGCCACCGACTACAGCAGCAAGGCACACGAATACATTGGAAACCGCCGCTCAGCTTCTCCAGAGACCGCCCGAGCCCCTGCTGTCAAGACCGAGCCTGTTAGCCCTCCCAAATTCCAAACCTCGGATTTCCCGGTGGCTCCCAAAACCGAGCCCGTTGCAGCTGCTCCCGAAACAGAGGCTGCCAAGCCTGCAGAGACTAAGCAGGAGCCTCTGTTGGCTCTGTAAGCGACAGACGTTCCTGCCATCTCGGTGTCAAATACCTGGTGCTTGCTAGCTACTTCTCACGACGAATAACTGGTTGTTTTGATTCCGGTATTGGCTCCCTCAATGTCTAGCCAATCAATCAATCAGGGTGACGAAAAACGAAAATGAAACATGAGCAATGAGCATTTTCCCCATAGAAAGTCGAAGTCTCTTGTTTGTTTGTTTTGGTATCGTAATTATTTGTTAATACGACAACTTGTCTGCTGTGAAACGGTGGTGTATGACGCCTAACTCCGTTTCCTCTTTCTTACCTTCTGTTTTGAACCCGGTAATTGGCTTTTCTTTCCCTTAATAATATTCTTACTTCTTAAGGTTCCTACGGGCCCTGTACTTATTGTTTACGAGTTGTGCAATGTCATATTACTTTCTCTATCAGCTCTTCGACATTATGTTCAATTGATCGACTAACCACATTTATATTATGAAAGTTGCTACGAAATTTTTCTAATCAAAATCTTCAAACTCCGATTGCAGATTCCTCTGAAAGTGATGCAAGAGAATGGTGTTTTACAATTATCAATCTATCATCTTATCATATTATCCATTCCATCAAGACTAGTTTGAAGCCCGCTGAATGAACACCATCTTGAGTTTGATTTCATTCAAGCAAGGCTAGATACCTTTGCGAAGATAAACTATCTTGTCCATCCTCGGTTTCCAGTCGAATTCGGCATCTGTCCAACGATAAACTGTCCAGACCCATGCTAAAATCCCAACGATAATGTTTTCACAGTTTAAAGCAATATTCAAAAACTCGCCCGGCGCAGTCGTTTGATAGTATGCACCTGCAGCCCTTTCATAGTGACAGTATTAGTTTTGTCTTCAAGCACACATGCCCTTTCAGCCTGGTGCTTTTCCATCTGTCCATGATGGCCATCCCCAGCCTCCCTCTCGCCCTCCGTTGACCCAGCTCTGTCATCCCCGCCCGAAGACGAACCGGATCTAGACTGAAGTGTTAGAAGGGTCTCTGCGGCTTCTCGGTCGCGACGTTGATGCCTCCTTTTGAGAGACGATGACAACACCGAATTTGATGGGGATGACGGGGATGATGACAAGAGGTGATTTCCTTCGCAGTAGGTCTTTGTCTTTGAAACTGTATGTTTATTAATGTCTCGTGCCGATTTTCTTCTCCCTCGCGTTTTCGATGACTGACGTCGTTGACGCTGGAGTTTTATCTCGCTACATTCGCTTTCGGAGGAGCTCAGCATGGACAAATCAGAGTCGATGTCGAGATCGCTTTCTGAGTCTGATGATGATGAAGAGATGTCGTCCGTATCGATGTCCATATCCAAGTCGGTATCGTCCTCACCACTCTCATCGGAAGACATAGCATCCTCTTGAGAGTCCAACCCGTTTGCTTTACGGCCACCCTCGTGTCTCCTTGGCCGGCTTGACGCTTCCAGGTTCTCCGTATCTTCCAGCCTTCTCTTGAGCGGAATCGCTCGGATGGAGGAATTAGCACTACTCCCCTGGAGTTTCAATATGTCCTTGATTGGGGGCAGTAACGCTCTCTTGGCCGATGACTTCTTCTTCTCGCGTCTGCCGGACTTCCTGTCACGTCTAATATCTGTAGCAGTACTCGTAGTAGCAGTATCTGAGGGCGACAACATGAGGTTGACAGGGGTGAAAGAGTTACCGAAGAGAGCAACTGTATGCCCTTGTCGGTCTGTGTCGTACGTGGTGTAGCCGGCTTGATCATTCTCCGAATAAATGTTATGATGAGCAGTGTGCTTATTCTCAGAGCTCAAACCCCCTGACGAGCCCTCGATTTTACACAATGATAGATTGGTCATTGGCGATGTTGGCAGTGGTCGCTGTTGATGATTCTGTTGGAGAGCAAGCATCCTCGAGTCTAACTCTTGCAGGCGATAGTCATTTGCCAACTCCGTGGATCTCCGAACGATATCCGGATCAATAACCATTTTACCAAATTGAGGGCTATCAGGCGGTATACATAGCGACGGAAATTCCTTCCCAAACAACGGCGTTAGTGCGTGCCGTATATTCCAGCAGAATGTAGCTGAAACAGCTTTGGCAGCTTCAAAGGGCATCCAGTAGCCTATGGAGCTGTTAATAATAGAGACAAATAAGTTAAGATGTGTAGGTCCGGTGAGACTCACCTTGTGCTGCAAGTGCTCCACCTGTGATACTATGACAGATATCTCGGAGGCCGGGATTAGCGTTCAGCATCTTAGCTGGTGTTGTCTGGTAAATCCAAATAAGTGAATCCGAAACCCAAAAGTCATTTTCAACAAGCTCTCACCTTGGAATAATCATTGCATTTGAACAGATGCGTCGTCCGAACCAGCCCAATATTGTAATCCCACATGACCGTCCAAGTCTTATCCTCATTGGGGATTTTGAATGTGTATTGAAAGACTTCGACGACAAAAAAACAGGTATAAGCCAACCAAGTCATATCACAGAATAACCAGTCAAAAAAGAAGAGTAGAAAAGAAACACACCTTCAAAACTTTCCCGCCCAGTCCTTTCCAGAAAAGTCTTTTTTTCACTACTGTATGGAATATGTCTAGGATACTCCGCAACATGACCCATGGGATGGATCTCGAACCGCTTGTGCTCCTTCACCAACTCCTCGTCTTGATCATCTTCATGCGGAGGGTACCGTAGCTCTCCTCTAGTCTTGCCGGGTGTGAATATGGGAGCATCCTTGGGGATTCTGGGCCTTTTCATCCGTTCAAGTGGGAAATTTTTCGGTCGGGGAGAAGAGCTTGCTGTTGTGTAGCGTTGTCTGAAGAATTCTGTTGCGGGTAATGGGTTGAGAAGGGATTCAATAGATGCCATCGATGCTAGCAGTCTCAAACTAAGCTTCTCTTGCGAAGCGCACCGAATAGAGGTAAGAAAAATATTTTGTCGCGGAAAGACAAGGTAATGAGCTGATGTGGGCTTGCTGCAGAGTCGAAGAGTTGAACAGGTCAATTCAACGTGGTAGAACGACAGGGAGCTTTTTAAGTCAGAAACGACCTCTCTTATCAGCTGCCACTCCAACTACAGAAAACAGGATGTGAAGAATACCAGGCGGCTATAGGCATAGGGGTCTGCAAAGAATTGACTCTTTGTGTCAAAGAGAAAGGCGATGTTTGGCCACGATTCTCTAAAACATATACCCATCATGTTTGATGGAATTGCTCACACAAAAGGGGTATACTTCAATCTAAGATAGAGGTATCAGTTTCACTGTTTGTCTCTTGGGTCTCCGCAGAGATGATATGAAGGGGGGTTTTTTTATTCTTGTAGACACATACAAGCTTAGATCTCCATCATGAAACTGAGGTGTACATGTCAAACCAACAACCCAGGTTTCAGCTGAGAAGGTCAACGGAGAGGGGAGGCATTGATATGAGCACAGCCGAAAGGAAAGAAAAAGGGGCCATGGCTATGCCGAGACACCTTATCTCCGTAATCGAGCTATGGATGCTTGTAATTCTTGACAAATTATCCAAAACTAGAGAATATGATTAAAGAGGAGGAGAACCCCAACGTAATACAAAAGGGAGTGGGGAGGTGGTTCAAAATATCAAGTTTCCGTTGCTTGTCGAGGCCTCTGTCCACTAGGAAGTATGCTGTTTCATTTCAGGTCATACATAGAGACTCCGTTATTTGACATCATAGTTCCTCGCAAGCCAACACAAAACGATTGTCGTTTGAATATCATATTGTTCCTTACTATTTTAAACCACCGATCTCGGTTATCACAATCCAGGGGTATCCGCACGGTGCGTTTGGTCTATATATCAAATAACTCCAAACAGCGTTGAGAAACGAAATTGCCTGCGGTCATTCGTATTTTTCAATTACATCAAGTTACACTTCCAACGTTATACGGTCAATAAGTCGATGAGGACTCGTGGTGAAGTTCTACTCGAATTACATGTCTCACATCAACTAGTTACACTACTTTTCCAGCTCGCTATTTGGTTGTTATTACTGTGTTCCCGAATACCACCCGCTACACGTATTACGGCCGGCAACCTGCATGAAATACACTGGCCCAAAAATTAAGAGATTCTGGAATACTCAGAGCGTTTCTCCGATTCTATGGGATCAAGGTGAACAGAAGAAAAGCAAAAAAGACAAAAAGACGAAAAGACAAATGACAAAACGGCGGAACCATGCACTTGTTACATAGATGCAGTCAAATACGTGCCACGTGTTGTCGGTAATTGCTGCCTTTGTTCACGTTCCCGAAACATTCCGTTCCACATCCCAGAAAGATTGGATTAGAAATATGGAGTACAAGAGGAACGGAAAAACGTGGTAGGCTAGAAAGGTGGCAATAAATCCTCCATCTATCCGGAGCGATGTACTCAATTTCGTTATTTCCGTCCGCATTAGAACGACAGCTGGACTGGCCGGGTGTACCACGGATGCAACAGTGTCATCGTTGAAACGCGCTATTCTTAGCTGATAGTAAAACTATATTTACAATGAAGGATATCTGGAGCGATCTACAATCGAAATGAATGTTATTCCTAGAACATAGCCCAGACAATAAGAAAAAAAAATTGAGTAACCCCATTAGTCCACCCGTTCCGGTATACGCCACAGTCCTGGAGAACCCATCGAAATCAGATATCAAGGAAATTCTAGCCTGACCTTGATTTTAGAAGATGTAGAAGTAAAAGAAGTTTTGATAACGGAAAGATATAAGAGTTGCGAATGTAATAGCCCATATCGACTCGTTTTCATATGTAGAACGCAAGAATTACTCGGAATCGTCAAAGTCGTCCCCAAAGTCATCGCCAGCTGAATTATCCATCTCGCTATCGTCATCGTCAATGATGTATGTATTTTTCTTTGTTGAGGCGGCTCGACGAGAAGGACGAGCCTTTGGAGCCTCATCATCCTCCGATTTAGCCCCAGTCGGAGAATCGAGGATGTCATTTGCCATAGCATCAATGTCATCATCCGAATCATCCGTGGCCCTCTTCTTTGGCTTGGCTTTGGTGCTAACAACCTTCGTCTTCTTCGCAGCTGCAGCTGGAGCAGCATCGTCTTTCTTAGGGCGTCCACGAGACTTTGCGGCAGTAGTCTTAGAAGTGCTGGCAGCGGCAGATTTGGCCTTAGCTGCAGGCTTTGGTTTAACCGGGGGTTTCAAAGGCTCGTCTTCACCGTCATCATTGTCATCATCTTCAACTGCCTTCTCTTTCTGTTTGACCAAAAGAGAGCGACGTGGTGACTGCTGTGGAACGAGTTTGCTGTAATCTGTCTCATCCGGATCGAACTCGGTATTGATCTTTGAAGCCTTCTCGGAGGGTTTCAGGCCCGCACTAGTGCCAGGCCTAGAGAATTCGGAAATGAGAGATTTCCCAGCAGAGTCTCCAATGCCCTTTACCATCTTACTAACGTCCAGGAAGTCGTCTCCAAAACTATCTTCTGAATCACTCGACTCGGCGTACTTGGCGGGTTTTTTACTAGCGGCACGAGCTTCAGTCTCGGGTTTAGTGGCAACCTTCGCAGCTGTCTTGGACGCTGCCTGAGGAGCTGTCTTCGTAGCAGGTACTTCGACTAAATCCTCATCTTTGATTTCCTCAGCTTCTTCAGATGACTTTTTCGCTGCTGCTTTTGGAGCTGCACGGCTCTTTTTCGGAAGTACCTCTGCAACGAAGTCGTCTTCTAAATCCATATCGTCATCGTCATCATCATCTATTCCGTCTAGTTGGGCTGTCTTGGTTGGTTTGGGTGCCGGTTTGCTAAGAAAGCTCATCAAGCCTCCCTTCGGTTCAGATTTCTTGGCCGCTGCGGATTTCTTGCTTTTCGGAGCTCCATAATCATCGTCATCATCAGCCTTACGCTTCTTTGTTTGGGCTTTAGAAGTTGGAAGCTTCGCAGATACACGACGACCCATACCCGCAACTTTACGCTCGCGACGCTTTTCATCCTCAAGCTGGAAGCGCCACTCGTTGATGAATTCATCAAGGTCCCGGCGCCAAATTTCCTCCTTGGTGAGCTTGATGAGGTCGTCAATCTCCATCTCCTTGTCTCCAATTTGACGGAGAAGTTTCTCGACGCGCTCTTGGGTTAAAGACCAGATCGGCATCTATGAATAAGTTAGTGAGTCTGCGATATCAATGCTTTAGCAACTCCACCTACCCCAAGCAAATAATCATAAGCGCTGGAATCGATCTCAGCTTCGGCCTCCTCAGAGCCATCCTCTTCAACTACCTCTGCCGTCTCGCCAGCTTTGACGGCTTGCGCAACCTTGGGGAAAGCCTTGAATCCTTTTTCTTTCAACTCAGTGATGAGGACAGACTTTTTCTTTTTGGAAATTACAAGTTTGCCATCAATGATCATTTGCACAAAGCGCGCCTGGTTGGTGAACCTATCCAACTCCTTCTGAAGTTCCGACAGCTGGTGCTGCTTACGTCTCTCATAGAACTTGAGACGAATAGTAAAGAACTCTTTCAAAATATCCATGACGGTGGCATATTTCGTGATTCGACCTTCGGCATCAAATGCAACCAAGTTGGTGGTTGCAAGAGTTTTAGACAGCTTGAACTTTTCTTCCAATCCCTCGGATATTGCAGATTTCATATGTTTCTCGTCCATCTGGATTACAAAATGGACCTTGGTATGCGTATTGTAATCCTTGTAGTCTTTGATGAAGGATGGCGTCTTCTCAGCCTTGATGATATCCTCCAGTCTGTCTTTGAAATCCTGAGTCCATGTGCGGATTGGAAGTTCGGTGATTTCCACCTCCTTCTCACCAGTTTCCTTAATAATACCACTAAACTTGTACCGGTCGGCGCCCAGAGGACTAACCTCACCAGCAAAACCACGGAACCAAGGATGCATAGGTTCAGGCTCTTGTCCATCCATCATCCGCTTCAAGTTTTCAACAATATCTTCAGGATTGTAGTTAGGAATAGATGAACTCCATCCAGTACCAATACCATCAGCACCATTAATCAAGATCATGGGGACAACAGGCATATAGAGCTCAGGCTCTATCTTTTCTCCGTCGTCTTCATTGTACGTGAGAAGAGGCTCGTCAGCTTGGTTGAATACCCGTCGAGCGAATGGTGACAGCCGAGTGTAAATATAACGAGCACTGGCAGAGTCGGAGCCACCCATGAGACGACTACCAAAGTTACCGCTTGGTTCTAAGCAATTGATATTATTGGAGCCGACAAAACTCTGAGCGAGACCAATAATGGTCTGTTGTAAGGAGGTTTCACCATGTTGATATGCCGTCATACCGGAGACATGACCTGCTAACTCAACAACCTTCATGTCTTTCTTGAGATTACGTTTGAAGCAAGTATAAAGAACTTTGCGTTGACCTGGCTTGAGACCGTCGACAACTGAGGGGATCGACCGCTGATTATCAGCCATACTGAAAAGAATCAGTTCTTTATTGATGAAATCAGTGTATGTGATCTTTTTAGTCGAATGGTCAAGGAAGGTGCCAGGCTTGAATTGACGAAGCCATTCCTTACGCTCATCGGCTTTCTTCTTGGAGAATGCGAGGTCAATGAGCTTCGCCTCGTCGTCTTGCATGGTATGGAATTCTTTCAAATGGCGGTCGAGATCTCGGAAATAAATCTGGGCGTCTTCTGTAGTGCTAGTACCCAGACCCTTGTAGTATTTGTGCTGCCAACCGCGATCATTTTCATGTTCTTGCCTCCACTGTTCATATTCCGGCATGGTGAAAAAGGACCTTGACTTAGTCGGGTTCTTGGGATCGCCCTTCCACACCTTTACGATAGGAGTGATAAATTCGATCAGGAACTCAGGGATCTTCAACAAGCTGGGAAACTGAACTTGAAGAAAGTTAATAAGCAAACCCTTAATATGACTTCCGTCGTGATCCTGATCGGTCATGATCATAAGATGCCCATATCGTAGACCACGAGTGTCACTATACTCCTTTTTATGCTGTAGACCAAGGAAGTTCTTAATATTCTGAATTTCCGCATTCTTCGAAATTTGATCGATCGATGCGTCGCGAACGTTAAGGAGCTTTCCTCGAAGCGGGAAGACGCCAAACAAATCAGGGCCAACAACAGCACGACCTGCCATAGCTAGGCCTTTGGCCGAGTCACCTTCAGTAAGAATAAGAGTACAATGATGACCATCCCTGGTACCAGCTTTGTTTGCATCAGTGAGCTTCGGATTATTCATGCGGGATCGTCGGCTGCCATCCGTTTTCTTCAAAAGCTGATCGGCTTTCTTTTCGGCAAAATGCAGAATATTCGTCATGACCTCGGTCTTCAAGACTTTCTTGTAAAAGTCTTCGTCCAGCACACATTTGCTTCCAAATTGGCTCGATTTCGTTGTCAACTGCTCCTTCGTCTGAGACGTGAAGGCTGGGTTAACAATCAAGGCATTGACGAAAACGAATATGTGGTTGCGGATTTGGGAGGCTTTAAGCGTGGCCCCTTGCTTATTCTTCTTCTTAACCGCGTCGGCCAGACGGTTGCAAATTTGATCAGCAATATAATTGACATGGGTGCCTCCAGATGTAGTCGCGATAGAGTTGACGAAGGAGACTTGTTGGAAAGAACCATCTGATACGGCAAACCCGATCTCCCAGTGCGGTTCGGGATTAGCCAGGACAATCTCGTTCTTGTCGTTTGCGGCTTCTTCACCACGTTCCTTCTTAATTGCCTTAGTGTACATTTCCACGTACTTTTTGAAGTTGCGAATCGGCACCCGGATTCCGTTCAGCTTGAGGGCGACCTTGCTAGTACCAGCCAAGTCATAAACACGGCGCTTGACGAGAGCCTCGAAATCATCATCCATGCCTTCCATGCCAAATTTTGCATAGTCAGGCTTAAAAGTGATCTTAGTGTAATCATCGCCTTTGCAATCGGTAATTCTCGCTTTGCCCATTTTGCTCATGTTTGCAGTCCATGTCTGTTTATACTTTTTCTTTTGTCGGGAGTCGTATGTTTCGATAGTAAATTCGTTCGAAAAGACGTTACAAAGCTTGGCACCAAATCCGTTTCGGCCGCCAGTAACCTTCATTTGGTTGTCGTCGTAATTGGAGGAAGTCAATAAATGACCGAAAATGAGTTCGGGAACGTAGATATTTTCTTTGGGGTGGATCTCAATGGGGATACCACGACCATTGTTCCATACGCTGATCTCGCCCGATTCTCGGTCAATAGTGATCTTGATTTCGTCCATATTCTTATCGTTTTGTTTGTTATCTGCGGCATTAACAACAATCTCATCGAATATTTTATACAACCCAGGAACATAGGTGACCTCTCTGAATTCCATGGCATCAGAACTGGTGTCGTAAACCCACATTTGCTGCGTCGTCTTCTCGATCGATCCGATATAGGTATCTGGACGTTTGAGGATGTGTTCCAATTGAGTCAACTGCGACAATATTAGCAATGATCCACGTTCAGTAGTGCAACCGCTGGGCTGTTTACCTTTTGATACTTATCAGCGGCACCTGTACTCTTCGAAGGTTTCGTCGATTCAACGTCATCAGCACCATCAAGCCCAAAGGACTCGTTGGCGACGTCGGCGAGCGGTTTTGCCCCGGCTTTCTTCGCAGGGGCTTTTTTGGGCTTTGCGTTTGGCGGGGTGCTCGACATCACGGAATCTTCAAAGTTATCATTGTTGTCTGATAGTTCGTCTTCTGAGTCGGCCTTGGCCTTTTTCTTGGTGGCTTTCGCGACAGGTTTGGCCTTTAGTGTGGTCTGTGTTAATTTCTTGGCCTTGGGTGCGGCAGGTTTTGAAGCCTTAGCCTTGGCTTTGGCTTTCTATCATCTAGTTAGCCATAAAATCACCAGCTAGCGAGTATCAAGAGAAAGAATTACAGGGGCTTCATCGGGGACGAAGTCGGAGCTACCGGCGTCATCCTCGTAGAAAGAGTCTTCGAGCAAGTCGTCCATCTTGATGGTCTCTAGAGACCTGCTCTATGGCAACACCAGACCAAAAGGTTTCCGAGAGTATATAGGCGGTCGAAACGAATGACAAAAATTAAAGATGGGACAAGAATTAGATCATGCCAGAGCAAGACACAGCATTGAAAGCAAACAGTTCTAGGCGATGGCTGTGGTCGACTTGTTTGTTGATCTTTGGGGCGGCCGACGCGCTGAGACTGCAATCGCGGCTGGCCTGATCGGGCTAGCGGGCCGGGCGAAGGTTGTTCCAGGTTTTCACATGGTAGTGCGCTAGTCCTGAACAGGAAATCTCAAAACAAAATCCCCGCCACCTGTTCGAAGGGAAAAGATATTCATTGTTTATTGCACTGGTTTTGCCAATATTATTATTATGATGGCATATGGGTATGATATAGGTGTTGTCTTATCGGTAGGGTACGGTTTTGAAGCAAGAGGCTGGTGTTATTAATGTCCTGGCGTGAATTAGTCCAAACAACACCAATATATATATATACATGCCACCTTTCAATATGTATTTTAGATGTCACTCTAAAACCTCGATATTGATTTGCTTTCTTCTCACATTTCACTCACATTTTATCCAAGGGTATAGAAATATGTACCAACTGATATTCAGTCCTTGTTACTATGAAAATCACTGAAGAGTCACTTCTTTAAATCGGATCATCCATGGAGAACGTCGATGCGCTATGCAATCCCGAGCTCCATCTCTATATGAACTTCAGACATTTCAAAAATGTTCAATAGTACCCATTTGACAAATGTCAACATGCAGAGCTCGTGCTTAGTTTTTTATGCTCGATTCATCAATTGATGTGCATAAAAATCTCAAGCAGGTAAAAGTTACAGGTTACACTAACCGGTATGTGCACGAGTCACGGTATGATATAAGCATAGCGCCGTCCGAGTCATCCATCCCCTTCTCTGATTGGGTGGCGCAACTAGTTGTCAGTCTGAACTTTCAAGTTTCAAGTTCTCAACGAGAGTTGATCAATGTAAATACATGTATGATCGCTTCTATATTAATATTAATATCTCTATTGGCGAGCGTGATTACTAGGATTCTAGGTTCTTACCGTGAAGGCCGAGACTCGCCGATCAGACACTATTTGGCGACCGCTCTGGATGAGTAATTGCTCAGTCCTAGTTACGTACTAGTACTTAATAAGTTAACGGCGTATTAATAACAATAATATTAATTGACTATCAAAGGCTAACCAAGTCAGCAACCTCAGCATGGCCAGTAAGCAGCACGAGGACGCAGGGGCGTGTGGATGCCTCAGGGGGTAACCGCGGGTCAGCACCGGGCCAGCGCGTCTCCCTATTGGGCGGACGCGCTGTTGGTGGCTGGCCGATCAACAAAGTCGACTGTCGGGCTCAGGGACCACCGCCAGAAAAGAACTAGACGAAACGCAACGATGCCATTGCCATCCCTTATCCCTCGTCCCTGGCCTGGCTGACGAGGTGCCAGATCGGTAACATTAATGAACACCCTCTGTTTCACACACCCCTCGTTGCTGTCCTCGTTTCCGCCATCTGGCATCAACTGCAGTGGTCGCGGGCGGCACCTGACTGTTGACTTTGACTCCTCGCTCTAGAATCGATAATTGGTATTCGGTCCCTGAACTAGTAGTTGGTCATCGCCCCACGTTTCCGACGCGATAGTTCTGACAACACCTTGGCTTGACCAATTGGTGTGATTTTCTCTTCTTCTTTCGTTTTGTGTTTTGTGCTGTTCTTGCTTCTTTATCATCGCGATGCTCGACCAGGTAACAACCAACATGCCGAATCACGAGCCCTCTTCGCCTTCTGCAGAGGAGTTGATATCGCCGGTGACTACGGACTCCATGGTGACCGTGCCTCTATCCGATCGCCAATCTAGCTACGGAGACCTAGCCGCCAGCCTCGATGCCCCAACAACGCCTGTCGACGAGAAAGAAGAAGGATATGCTTCTCAAGAAACCGAAGGAGTAATAGACATGACTCCCAAGAATGAAAATATACTCAAGAGTGACGTGTTCACGCCGGAAGAAGACAAGAGAGACTCAGATACGAATTCTCAACGAAGCGCAACCCCATCGTCTGTCGGAAGTGATGGTGTTGACTGGGAGAAACTGGACAAATCAGAGGAACAAGAGCCACGCACAGACGCGACAGACGAGGTTAGTATTCACCACTGTCTGATACAAAGAAAGCAAGGTCGTGCTGACTGATAATGACATTCACAGTCCACTGCTTTGTTGCTCGCGCGTCTGGAACAAGAGAACAATGCCCTTGCAACCGACCCAAAGTCCGGCTCAGCCAAACCCCCCGCTGCTCGTCATTCACGTCCACCGTCCATCCAACACCTTCAAAAACTGGTGAATGATCCACGGTCATCTATCCGCTACTCTCGATTGCCACCTCCGCCAATGACTGAACTCGAATTCTGGGCTGCCTTGGTGGCCGACTATCCCTCAACTGCTCAGAGACTACCCACATTGACCTCGAACAAGATTCGTTCCGGCGTGCCTGCTCCACTCCGAGGTGTGGTCTGGCCTAGCATTGCCGGAGCTAGAGATACTCACTTATACGAAGAATTTGGACGACTATGTGGCGAGTCTAGTCCTTATGAAGGCCTTATCGGAAAGGATATTGGTCGTAGTTTCCCAAATGTTGAAATGTTTAGAGATCCCAATGGGGAAGGCCAACAGATGTTGGCTAGAGTTTTGAAATGCTTCAGTTTATACGACTCCAAAATCGGCTATTGCCAGGGATTGGGCTTTGTTGTTGGCCCGTTGTTAATGCATATGACCGATGCCGAGTCATTTTGTGTGTTAATAAGGTATAAACAAATCTTTTATCCCTGTCATTGTCTGTACTACTCTGTGCTAATTGAAATTTAGGCTCATGGAGCATTATGACCTCCGCTCATGCTTCCTCCCGGATCTATCGGGACTGCATATACGGATTTACCAGTTCCAGAATCTCCTCTCTCGCCACTTGCCAACCCTCTTTGCTCATTTGGAAGCACTGAACGTTGAGCCTGTTTACGTGTCTCAGTGGTTCTTGTCATTTTTCGCCGTCACTTGCCCATTGCCAATGCTTCTTCGTATATACGATGTCTTGTTGCTAGAAGGTGCATCCGAGACCCTTATGAGAGTCGCGTTGTCCCTGATGCAGCGGAACGAAAAGAAACTTCTATCCTGTACTGAGTTTGAAGACGTGATGCAACTCCTGCTGTCTCGAAGCTTGTGGGATACATATGCATGTAATGCTGACGACCTTGTCAATGATTTCGTTTCGTTGACTCCTCTCGTTACCAATGAAAACTTGCGATCTTTGGCGGCCAGCTACGCCCAATCTCAAGGCGTTCCAACCGGAATTTCATTTCCTCAGATGCACGCAGCAGCTGCCCGAGTTCTCGGACGAATGTGGGCAGGTGCGAGTTCCCACAAGTCTCTCACTTTGCCCCCAGCACGCCCAGAGAGTATCTTGCGCCGCTCACCGTCTAAACAGAGTATGGCTTCGACCCTCAACTCAATGGAGTCTTCTGCATCGGAAGCCAGTACTGCTCCGACCGATGCTTCCGCAGGAGAACAGAAGCTGCGTGCTAAGTCTGCGATATCGCATAAAGATAAAGACCTACACGGGCAGATTGAAGACCTACTGATGGCATTGAGTGACTTGCAGCGAGAGCAAGCGGATCTGGCTCGAGACCTGCAACGCGAGCAGGAAGAGCGAGAAGAAGACCAGCAGATAGCCAAGGCGATGCTGAGTCATCTGAAACAGGATGACGACAAGGAAGAAAATAAAGACGAGCTCATCAACAAAGCAGAGGAACGGTTCGCATCTGTTAGTAAACGAACTTCCGTTGCACAAACTAAAGAACAACTACGAGACGAGGCTGGTAGATGGAAAGAGAAGTACGAGATGGAAGCGGCCAGACGTGTTGACTTGGGGAGACGTCTTGATGAGCATGAAAGCGAGAATTCTCGGCTCAAAGACGAGCTCAGAGAGGCGCGATCGCGTATCCAAGACGGACATCGTGAGAAACAAAAGTTGGAACGCACAGTTCATGACTTACGAACGCGCAAAGTAAATCCTGACAGCGTTCAAATTTCGAATGACAGTGATAACTGGCCTGCACCGTCCACAGGTCTGCGCGAGTTTAGACTCGGTCGAGCGGATTCACAGAAGATCAAACACCCCAAACGCACCAGCAGCTTGGGACTGCAGTCTATCCTTGGAACAGCAGATACAACTAACACCACCACCACGACGCAATCCGCGGGCTCAGAAGATTCACTACTGCTGGAACTGGTTCATGCTAAAACTGCTGAAGCGGTGGCAAAACAGGAGCTGGAAGAAGTCAAGGCAAAACTAGACACTCTTCGCAAATTGATGAACGGCCACTCGCGAGGAAACGCCACAATCGATTTGAGCACAACACCATCATCCACAAACCTAACCAAACTGTCACCGGATCCTGTCAAAGCAGCGCCAACGGGCGGGGGGTTCTTTGGCTGGGGAAGAAGAAGTGCATCGACAGCAGGGTTAAGCGAGGCAAAATAAGAGTCCCTGATTCACATACGATTTTTGTGTTGGTATAAATACTTGACGATTATTTCTGCATACAAGCTTGGAGTTCTTTTCTTGGAGCTTACTTTTCTTGGGAGTGGCTTGATTTATGATACCTGGCCCTCGGTGGTCTTATGTTGATTTAAGATAGAGGACTGTTATGAATGTGTGCTTTATCGTCCTATGTACATACATTAAATGTAACATTCTTCTTTCGATTTCTCTATCCGGACTTATTCCGAGCCTCCTGCTTAAGAGTCCTTCAAGTGGTGTTTTGCCATAGTCAATATGGACAACTTGCTGCATAACCCATGCCTCTTTCCGTATTATGCTCCGCGCACTGAGATGATTGGCCGAACTGAGCTTCTCGCAGATTAGCTTTAGGGGCTATCTATGCCAGCCAATCCTAAATCGTAACGATTTAAGCTTGCTGGCTTTAATCTGAAATAGGAAAATTTCTAGCAGATTGCCTTCCGTTGATTGGCTCCATTTTTGTAGAAGCACGAAACACATTCTAGTGCTGAGGCGCTGACTTCTGATATGTAACCCTGAGCATTGAAAATAGTAGTTAACTTAATTACTGTGGATTGGTATAATGCGCCGCCGAGGTTGTATCTTTCTGGAAAGCTGCAAACTGAATCTTTTCAATAAATGTTAGTTGGAAGATCTCTAATTAATCTGCTGTTTCCCACTACCTGAAACTCAATGTGTCTTTAAAAGAGAGTCGCTTCTTCTATAAATGTCGTTATAGAAATGTGGAGGTCATTACGCCATTGTCTTTGGCTGGCCGTCTTCACGGCGGCCTCCCACGCCGCTGCTGATGTACTGCAGTTCACAAATGTGACCGCTGGCCATCCAGTGAAACTAGGGACGGAACTTCGAATTCTTTGCGTTGGAGACTCGATCACCGTAGGGTATCGAAGTGATCAAGATGGTGGTGACGGCAACGGTTATCGACTTCAACTTCGTGATAACTTGTATAGTAGGTGGCAACAGCCCTTTCAGCAAACTTTGGCGCCGGCTGACAGACGGTCTCATAGAGGACAACGTGACTTTTGCGGGGAGCGAGACGGATGATGGAGTAATGATTGGAGGATATTTCGTGCGTAACTGGATAATCCTAAACTATCACCACCCTATTAACCCGTTCTAGGCTGCGTGGTCTGGGAAAACCATTCAATATATGGCCGACCATATCGGGCCTTCCTTGGAACAACGTCCGAACATCGTACTTATCCATGCTGGGACCAATGATATGAACCCAAACCCATCGATTTCCACAGAGGGGAATGATCCGAATGGTGCCGCGCAACGCCTAGGATCATTGATTGACCAAGTACTCCAAGCATGCCCGGATGCTACGATTCTTGTGGCCATGATTATCAACACCTGCGTCGCAAATCAAGAACCCCAGACACAAGTATACCAGGGCTTGATTCCGAATATCGTGCAACAGCGTAGCGACAATGGGTCGCACGTGCTCGCAGTCAATTTCACATCCTTTCCGAACAGCAGTCTGCATTCCGATGATTGCATACACCCGAACAACGCCGGTTACCAGGTTTTCGGTGACTATTGGTATGATTTTATCACTCAGATTCCGAGTGACTGGATCAATGCACCAGTCGGGCCTGATCCAAATCGCACAGATGGGGTCTATGCCAATGGAGGGCTGGACAATGGCATCCCGTCTCCTGATATCGGAACAAGCCCTGTTCAAGTTACTCCAAGTGAGAATATCACGTCGGCTGTAACAGTTGCGTTACAGAATGGGCAGGCTAGTTGTAATGCTACCCCTGTCTGGACGGCTACAGGGGAAATCTTTCCAGGAGGTGTTGGGTCCAATGGCGATTGGAAGTACCACACAAACTGGACTGAGTCCGAAAAGGTTGCTGCTGGGCTTGGTCTAGATCGTCATTATGTTGGGTGAGTTTCTGTCAGTTCCAGAAGGTGGAAAAAATTGAACTAGTGGCTGATGATGTTGGAACTGCAGACTGTATGACATGGATGGCGATGGAAAAGTCGGTAAGTTTCTAATTGCTCCATTTCTTTGGTCATTGATTTATAATTCGTCACATTGAACGACTACTGAGGTACTTGCAGATTATGTATGGCTCGACCCGATGACTGGAGAGATCACATGTTGGTTGAATCGGCTCCCTGATCCATGGACTCCAGCTGGAAGCAACGGGGGTATTATTGGAAGCGGAGCAGGAGCAGAAAACTCGGTCTTTATTGCTGTAAGTTAGCCGTCAAAACTTTCCTTTCAGAGCTGACACTTGTGCTTTTAGGATATGAATGGCGATGGGGTAGGTAATAAGACAAGCCGAATATTTTCTTGACTAACATTGGCACGAAACAATAGCTTGCAGACTATATGGTCGTAGACCCAAATAGCGGCTCAGTCTCTATCTGGTGGAATCACGGACCGGACAACAGTTGGGATAACGGATGGAAGTTTGTCGGAGGGGGGCAGATTGCCTCTGGAGTTTCTCACGCTAATTGGGTAACGCTACGATTTGCGGATATCAATGGTGATGGAAGATCAGACTATGTCTATATTGGTGAAGGAGGTGCTGTGAAACATTTTATGAATACTGGAACGGTGGGAGGACAAGATGTGCTTTTTGCCGAGCAAGGGGGGATTTTCGAAGGTGCTACATCTAACATATCGGACATTGTGTTTGCTGATGTGAGTTTTACCCTTTGAGGAGTGAAATCTGAATTTTCTAGAAGCTAATAATTGTAGCTCAATGGGGATGGTCGCGATGGTGAGTCGTGGACATGGGTGGGCTGAAATTCGGCTAATTTGCGTCCAAAGACTATCTGATCTGGGATGTTGATGGTGGCCTTACGGGGTTCCTGAATCAACCTACACAGAACGAAGGAGTACCTCAGTTTATTGACCAAGGGGGCCCAAAATCACTTGCTGAGGGCGACTCGCAGGACCCGGCTTTTCTTAGGCTAGCCGATATGGACGGGTTAGTAACAATCATATCAATCCTTTCCGACGAAATGAAAAACAACATTTGTATATTAATCGAGTCCCGATTTAGTGACGGCAAGGATGATTACGTCTACATAGATGAAAATGGCGGTCTCTGGGTGTCGTATAACCGTGGGACAGGTGACACGAGTCTTCTGATGGACGGTCTCCGCTTTGCCGATATTGATGGTGACGGGGTTAGTATTTGTGGTAGAAGAATTCCCAGCATGTGTATCTGCTAAATCTTGAATAATTCAGCAAGACGACTATGTTTGGCTTGACCCAACCACGGGAGCTCCGACTGTGTAGTAAGTTGATGAACCACACCATTCGTGTTGAAAATGCTTCTTATTGATGGACGGGGTAGCATAAACAATGGCCCTGAATCTTCCGATTCTCTCGGATGGTCATGGAAACCGTTGAATATCAGTAACCCTGTTGGCACTGACTCCGTTGTAGCTTCGCAAGTTCATTTTGGAGATATAGATGGGTAAGTCAGTTTTCTCGATATAACCCCAGCATGAAAGTTCTACGATTTGTTGCTAACCCGTTATCGCTTAGTGATGGAAAAGATGACTATATTGTTCTCGACCCAGAATCAGGAGCGGTGACAGCGTATCTAAATCTCGGTTCAAATAGAGACACACGATGGAATTCCACTGGTTTGATTGGAACTGGTTTAGGCCCTGGAGTAAACGTTCGGTTTGCTGACATTGACGGCGATGGAGTGAGTTTACATGCTTTTACTTTGGTGAATAACCTTGTTTTGACTTATTGTAAAGTACGATGATTATATCTATCTCCACTCAAATGGTAGCACGACTATCTATCGGAACACCTACGCACCTGACACACCGTCTACTGATTGGAAAGCATTGCCCGAAGCAGACGCTGCTGGTATTGGCCAGCGAGCCGAAGAAATTGATTTCTACGATATAAACAAGTAAGAGACCCAATCTCTCTAAATCATGATTATGATCCCCGCTAAAAATTCCTGGAAAAGCGACGGAAAAGCGGACTATGTGTGGACGAGCGCTGTCAATGGATCCATACAGGTTCTTTTCAATAATTACCCAAATCAGCCTTCCTGGCTTGACCAGGGAATAGTAGCTGATGGAGTTGGCACCTCTGGGTCATGCATACGGTATGGCGTGCTCCTGAACTCGACTTATCCGGATTATATTATTGTCAACCCGCAGAATGGGACTATTGCTGCTCGGTTGAATAGTTGTGATGCTCAAAATATTGGCCCAAAGGCACAAAAGGGGCAGCACTAATGAGGAGTTTTGGCTATCTAAGTTGACGTGACAACAGATACAGACAAATAAAAAAGATATAATTATTTCGAGGAATTGTATTACCTAACAAATGTTTGCGTGTCTGGTATGTATACTCACTACATGTATCAATACGCGTTATTAGGGTTAGGGTTAGTAGTACCGTTAGCTAGCCTTGTTGATTTATCATCCTCATGCCAGCGTTGCCGATCTGCAACTGCTGTGCTAGCGCAATTTGTCAGCTATCGTCATGCTAGCTCAGCGACTAGCAGATGGCTTTGCTAAATAAGTAATTTGCATTTCGAATATTAAATTTGCCCAAGCAATTTTCTCACCCCCATCGATCGTACAGCTGAAGAAACATGGCAGATCATTTGTTCTTTCGCAATGTTCCAGCCATCCAATTCCCGTTCATTGAATGTGATTTACACCAGCTGAACAAGCTCTCACTTTATGTAGACACCTTATCGGAACTTTTGGACCAGGCAAAACGAGGCGTCGCCTCCCTGAATCTTCTCCAAGCTAGGGTCCACAACAATCAAGTCGTGAGATGCACTCCACAATCCGTAAAGGTGACGGCCGCAGCTCGCTATGCACCCAGTCCCGGCGGGCTCGATTTAGGCAATATCGCAATCAATTCTTTTGTCGGATTAGTGACCTTTCTTCCACTACCGGATATCAAAACCCTCGCAAACAATACTGCTGCTCTTCGCAAATCCGATCTCCTTTTTGAGAGGAAAGAGGTGAATGCCAGGTGGGGAACATACTACACTCATCTCACCGCATGCAACTCGGAGTGGGCCCAACGCTTCTTCCAGGGTTGGTTACAACACAAATGTACAATCCCTCAAGAACCAGTACTGATGTTTAAACTCCCATAGACATCCAAGAAAACCTCAAAGCTGTAGACTCGGGGGCAAATTCGCCTACTAGAGAACAACCAGCGGCGCCAAACTTCCACCATCAAATAAATGTACATTATTCCAACCCGCTCGCCAATCTAAGCACCTCACAGTCAATCACAAAGATTTCACAAAATCTCTCACCTAGCTCCCCCCAAGCAAGTTGCCCTCCAATATTACCACCCAAACAGAACGAATCAAGCTATCCCACTGATGATCAAATATCCAATGATATCCAGCTGTATCTACGCGCCCTGAAAGCAAAGGAGAAAGCCTGGGGGCCAGAAAATATCACTACATTGGAGACTATCAATGATCTTGGTAAGCTTTATGCTAAGCAAGGAAAAGTTGTGGAGGCGGAGGAGATGTATGTGCGTGCATTGTCTGGCTTCGAGAAGGTTTTGGGAACAAGTCACGACAGAACCCTGAAAGTCTCTGTCGATCTCCAGGAACTGCGCTCCTTGGTAGCTGGTCAGGAAACGAGGGTTATACAATAAACCTAAAGCTCATGCTCGATTCTAGTCTCAAGATGTTCAGAAGCACTCTATCTCTTGTAATCGACAAGCAGATGAAACGCAGCTCACAGCAAAATATCTATACGATTTTTCGTCTAAAGCACACTCGAAGGTTCACGATGCCTTAAATGGCGCAAAACATCTTCACAGCTTTCCCTCTTCCTCCCCATCGATATGAAAGACCTTTAATCTCTCCTCTATTGCCACCTTCTGTTCTTTCTCCCCCACCAACGTTCCCTTCTCGGGCAATCCAAAGACCATCTGGGCCCTCAACTTCCAACTGCCACTGATGCCCCACTCCTTCCTTACACCCTCATCAATCAGTGGATTGTAATGCTGCACATTAACACCCAATCCGTGCTCCTCAAGTGCAACCCACAAGTAATACTGATGCATTCCATTACTCTGATGCACCCACTCTTCCGCCTTATCTTTATAATGATCTGCCGCACCTTTTTTCATCTGTTCTAGAACCTCGATATCATCCCAGAATAGGATTGTGCCGTAACCTTTGCTGTACGCGTTGATCTTGTCTGCAGAACCGGAGCTCTTGTAACGTTCGCTACCTAGGTTTGTTTCAAGGGCGGCCCCGGTGATAGACCAGAGTTTGCGGTGAGCTTCGGAGAAGTGGATGGTGAGACGAGTGGTTTGACTGTTGAATGCGGAAGGGACGTAGAGAAGGGCGTTTGAAGCGAGGTCGATTATGTTGCGGTCTGGGACGGGCGAGATAGGCTGAAGGGCGCGGATCGAACGACGTTTTTGAGTAGCAATTGCGAAACTCATGGCGTTTGCGGAAGACATGACCAGTGTATTTGACTGTGGTGATAGGGGTTTCGCTGTCTTTGGGTAATGAATCGAAAGATATAGAACAGTTAGACTGATAATAGGGGGATCTTGAAGAATATTTATCCCCCGACGGTTTACCGGAAACTGCTTATCAACCAAGTATACCATGCTCTGATACTAATTAATAGAGGAAGCCTTAGGGTTGTGCTAGCTTTGGGACCGTTCATTCATGGGGATGGTAAGCGAGCTTTGTAAGCTGGTCCCCCCTTCAAACTGGGGACGAATTATTTAGTGCGCTTGGGAGCGTTGCTTACAACAGCTGGATTGTATTATTGTTATTATTATTATTATTAATCAGGGTTAATTTCCATATCTAGCCTGAGACTATGACAGAAACTAGCTATTTGAGGGTTGGAAGGTGGGATGCTAGCTGGATTATATGGTTGGATGGATATTTCCCATTATAAATCTTTGAGATAGACCATTCCAAATATCCCTGATCCCAGCTTTTCATTTCTGTTCCTAATTTCCCCATTTATTAGTAGAGGTTGCCATGATTGACATTGAATAGCCCCTCTCACACTGTCCATCACCCAAACTCTCACACAAGTCTCATACAATGACAGAAAAACCCTTCCTAAACTCAGACGGGCATCTCGATTTTGCTCCCGACGACCCATCAAATCCAAAGAACTGGTCCACAAAGCGAAAATGCTACATCACGGGAGTCTCTATTCTCTTGGTTATGAATGCCACATTCGCTTCATCAGCACCGTCTGGAGCCTTTGAAGGGATCAGCCAGGATTTACAGATTTCTGCCGAGGCTGCTGGATTGGTTACTACCCTGTTTCTTTTGGGGTACTGCGCCGGTCCTTTGATCTGGGCACCGTTGTCGGAGTTTTATGGGTGAGCCTTCCTTGCAAAGTAGCTTTCTGAGGAGCGGGATTAGTTTGCCAAAACGATATTTACCTTAGGGAAAGATGAATGTATTTTAGGCGGTTTGTGCCTATGAACCAGTGTGTCACCCCTCGCGAAACTATAATGAAAAGCACCACCATAGACACCTTTCTAATCACATACTATCTCGCTAACTTCATGATATAATAGCCGTCGTTATATCTTCTACATAACGTTCACCCTCTACTTAATCCTGAGCTTTCTCTGCGCTTTCACACCGAACTTCGCCGGGCTGCTACTTGGTCGCTTCCTAACCAGCACATTCGCTAGTTCCGCTCTCTCTAATGCGCCCGGTGTACTCGGAGATATATGGGATCCTACCGAGCGGGGCAATGCTATGATTTTGTTTTCAGTCATGACTTTCGTGGGTCCTGCACTAGGTCCCGTGGTCTCCGGATTTCTAGAGCTGAAGAAATCCTGGAGATGGACTTTCTATGTTCTGCTTTGGCTCGCTGGCATAACGGAGATATTCCTCTTCACCATTCCCGAAACCCTACCTAGCATTATTTTGCTAAATAAAGCCCGAGAGATTCGCAAAGATGACCCCGAGAGCGGCCATGTTATCGCATCCGTTGAGGCGACAGACCGGCGGTTGACGTCGATCTTCAAAGTTGCGTTGGTAAGACCTTGGAAAATATTGTTCGATCCTATCAGCTTCTTGGTAGCTCTGTACTATTCAGTCGTTTATACCCTACTGTATATGCTTTTCAGCATCTATCCAATCGTGTTTCAACAAAAGAGAAGTTGGAATACTGGGGTTGGGGAACTACCACTTATTGGTGTGGTCATAGGCGCATGCTTGGGAGGATCATTCATATACTTCCTCAGTGCAAGAGAGAAAAGAAAAAGATTGACTGCCAGTTATCTTCCCAAGACCCCTGAAGATCGACTTCCAGTGGCAATGATTGGTGGGGTATTATTTGCAGTTAGCATATTCTGGTTTGCCTGGACTGCAGAGTTCAATTCGATACATTGGATTGTGCCAACGATCGCAGGGACTTTTCTGGCAGCTTCGATCCTGCTAATATTCGTTTCTTATATTAACTATCTGATCGACACATATGTTATGTTTGCTGCTTCGACACTCGCTGCCAACACGGTAGCTCGATCTGCTTGCGCTGCGGCATCACCATTATTTACACAATACATGTTTGATGCGTTGGGCGTTGGTGGCGCAGGCTCTCTCATCGGAGGAGTCGCAGTAATACTTGCGCCAATCCCATTTGTCTTTTACAAATATGGCAAGTCGATTCGACAACGATCGAATTTCGCCCCGACGAAGGAGTAGGGATATGCCATCAGCGTGAAGAAGACATGTATATGATGCGCGTTTGAGAAGATGCAATAATGAGTTGGGCCCAAAGATGTGAAATGTTTTTGAGTATCATAAATTCTCTATTTCCAATATTTTTAAGCTATGATACAATCACATGCCTTCACAATAGTAATTCAATAGGGTTGGAGAGTAACGGGATAATATCAGCTTGACATGAAGACGTAAAGATATTTTGCTTAACGTCATATTTTAGCCTATTGTTGTTGTTGAATACTGAATATGTACAAATGTACAGATGATCATGTGATAAATACACTATTGAAACCGGAAATATAGCGAACTTGTCGGTTCTGCTTACGCAGAACAGGTAGCAGCGCTGGGAACATTTTCACAGCTGCCATAATCCTTGCCTCCAGTAACGGTGACGCTCTCCCAAGTCCAGTCGGAGCATCCGGAGCTGCCACAGACAATGACGATGTTGTACCCACCAGAATCTACTGCACCGGATCCTGAAATGTTTTCAATAGTCAGGCCAGTTATGGGAATTCCTGACGTAGGATTTCCCTTCAAATCACCGCCGTCGTAGTTCTGCTCAATGAGAATCCCGTAGCTTCATATCAAGATTAGTATCGTCGCCATGCCGTGTAGAAGAGAGAAGAGTTCCATAAGGAAACTAAGGATGGCCCTAGAAAACTTACTTTGCAATTGACTCTAAAGTGATCCCGGAGTAAGTTACTCCCTTGATTGTTCCGGTATCGCCTTCAGTGGCTTTTATGCGGATACCTAGATCAATGTGAGCGGCAATTTATAGGCTTCGTGAGTTATATAGTTGAGCTATGAATGCTGAAGCGTACTTACCATTGGCGGAGCTCTTGACTTCGGAGTTTTTGAAGGTGACAGTATCGACAGTATTGTCTGACCGACCACCAACACTACCGATGGACAGTCCATGGCCACCAGAGCATACTCCACCGCTGAACGTGATATCTGTACCAGAATTGACCGCAACACAGTCGTCCTGGTTATAGACATTGGCACCAGTGATTGTGACACTAGAGCTCGAACCGATATCAAAACCATCGGTATTGTGACCGCCCTCAGTGTCACCGGCAGAATTGTCAATGGTCATGTCTGTAATGGTCAGGCCGTCGCAGCCGTTAATGCTAACAGCTTGCACAGGAGTATTTTGAATATGGAGATTTGCAATCGAGGATGAACTCAGATCATGCGCGTAGAAAAACTTGGGCTTCGTTTTCCCGCCGTTGCTGCCTTCGCCATCCCACCATCGGGCTCCATCCGGGTTCAAGTAAGCGCCAGAAGCACCTTCGATTGTGATGCCTTTGCCTCCGATTTGGAGCAGAGGACCACCCCATTCTTCGTACCCCCAGGTTGTCTCTCCCTCGAAGATAACCTGCCCGTAAACATGTTAGTCTCAGCTGTCCGAGGACTTGCCGAGGTCTTGGAGATTGAGGATCTAGGAGTTCTCACCGATGTATCGTCTGGTAGGCTACTGAGATCAAGGGTCGTGCCCGAGGGAACTGCAACATTAGATAAGATGATAGTTGAGCATGATTTCTGAGAGGCGCTCGCCGAAGCTGCGCCACTCGATCCAGAAAACGTGCAACTGGTCGCCCGCTTGTCCAATGTTGGAGCTTTTGTGATAGTAGGTTCAGCGACCGGCTTCGCGATTGTGCCAGCTGCAAGCGCAGCGAGGACTAGATAACTTAAAAGGCTTGACATTATGAAATTGATGAGGCAGCCAGATTTTATTTTTGTTTAGAGCTCGAATAGATACATATGTAGTAAAGTTATCTCAATTATAGCCATAGATAGGAAGCATGAACCTTTAGAAAGATTATATAGATGTCATTTTAGACAGATCACGAAGCACCCTGAATTGACTATGGGTGTAGAGCTCTTATTCTCCTCCAATAGTCTGAATTTGAAAATTCTCGACAAAAGTCTTATTGGTGGTAAATATAAGTTTATGCGGAGAAAGCTTGGAGCTATACTCCGCACAGAGTATTAAATGTATTACGTATTAATTTAAGCTGAAACAATAGATCCTCATCTCGTCTAATAAGTGGAATCAAAGATGCGCCAAAGGCAAATATAACCTACAAATCTCCATTACCCCGAATTTAAATTTCTTATAGGCTGTAGATCTCATATTTGCTTCTCATATTTTCCACCACTCGAGTTGCGTTATTGAGACCGGAAACTTGCTCCGCATTTGTTTAGGTTATTGGGTCATTGATCTAGTACCTATTTGGGAATAAATACATGTAGTAGAAGTTAACAAACACTAGTTGATAGATTAAATAATATCAATAATAACTTCTTAAATAAAGGAATAGGGTGTTATGCCACACATAATTTACCCCAACATTATGCCTGAATCGGCACTAGACGCATATCCAGCACCTTCCAAAACAAACTGATTCCGTTTCTATTATTTAATCGTTTGTCGGTAATCCCCCGCCTATATCGCTAGTATTTCCGGCTTATATGAACAAGCACATACTCTGGGGTGCTTGCCACTTTGCTCCTCGCTTAAGCCATGCAATCTTGAGCCCCGGATAATGCTTTCATTTTCCCGGGTCAGAATGCTGTGCATGATGGGTAGAAAAATGTCGACGTGCCTGATGAATGCAAATTTGAGGAATAGAGGAAGAAGTATATGCTTTCTGTTCTTCCACAGCTCGGCGTCAATGAGATCCTGATGCTTCGAGTCCACCATACCGTCTGCCCGCCCTACTATGCAAAGTTTTTGCAAGCTTTTCAGGCTAGCTATTGCTTCGAGAGAAATGCAAATATTCGGTGCACCCCATGGATAGCCGAGATTAAGCTGAAAATGAACCGAGCGGATCACCTGAAGCCTTTCCTTGAGAAGGAATTTTGTCCAACCAATAACATTGTGGTATGTATGAGTCTTGAAGATACTCTCGGAATACAGTATAACGATAGACTCGGCATATCTGAAACCATATGGTTAGATGCAGGATAGATAATTTTCATTAAAGATATACACACATTTGCCGGCAGACCTGTAACAGAGAGACAATGTGAGGATTGAAAGTAATAGGCTTTTCAATGTGTCGCAATGAGGTCCACCTGCCTCCTCCATCGGCATCGTCGATTTTAGATTGCCAAAAGATGGTGTGGTCAGAGGAGGGAGGTGGGCCGTTAAACCCTGCGTGTGAGGTATCTATCTCAATGATGAGTTTTCCAAAGACTTTTCTGTATATTTCTACCCTAATTTCTGGTGGTAATAACTTGAAGAAATTGGACTGTTCCTGAGAGCAATATTCTTGCTGACCCTTTCTAAATGCCTTGTTCGAAGGAGAAATGGCCCGTTTTCGAGGATAGAGAGGCCGTTTCAAAGCCCCCTTGTCGTATATCGCCCATTCATACTCAATCTGCGCTTCTTGGACAGCCTCTGTCGCAGGTGTCAAGCGATTGTTTATCCACTTTTTTGCCGGCTTGGGAATGAGACGATAAAGTGGGATGGATCGGGCTTCGGCTTTCCTCCGTTCCAGCTCTAACTTTGCCGCTGTGATCCTTGCGTCAGATATTTTGTCGCGCTTCTTCTGTGCCTCAATCTCTTCGGGAGATGGACCTGGGAAACCCATATTGATACTCCTTGCTGGTCGTCACGCTGAGATGATCGAATGAAGTGGGGTCTAAGGTACAGGCGGGGGTTGAAAAAGCCGCAGCTAAAAAAAACCATGTCACGTCACAATCTAGGATGTTACATGTGGAAGAGACCAACTAATTAGGAAGCATAGAAACCCATCCCGGGACTTTTACCCCAACATTATCTGATTCGTACTGGATGCATCGTGAAGTACCGTGCCTGGGAGTATCCAAAAAGATTGTTTATAGTATTCAGCTCTCTTTCAAATAAATCACTTCCATTTCTATTATCTTATTATTTATTAATATATCTATTATCTATATCGCTAGTTTGTCTGGCATAAGTTCTATACACAAGCATTTACTGCAGGCCCTAGGCCGCTTATAATTAAAATAAATATACATAATATATTAATTTAAACGGACTTTGAAGCGTTGGTGGCATAGTGGATATGAAAGTGGAAAACAAGAGATCGATTGATTCAATGTTGTGTACGACAAGGGGCTAATATAACATGTTAATATAGTTGGCTTAATAGAGTTAATAACGATAATAATATAGATAGAAGTCAAGCCCAGGTTTTTCACATATACCTAACCAAGACATTGATAAGATCAACAGCCTCCACCACAACCAGCTCCTCCTCCCCCTCCACCACCCCCAGAGGTGTTTTGAATATACCCAAAGCCATTTCCATGCTCTCTTCTCGCCACGGCACAGCCTGAAGCAAAGCTCGCTCCTCCACAGCTCCCCGCTGCCATAGATGGAGTACAAGAACCACTTATACAGTTCCCTGCCTCGTTATGTCCGAGATTAATGCAGCTAGGGTGATTGACATACGCATCAAGATGAAGAGGGGGATTGCTCTCAAAGACCTGGCAAATGGTGTTGCGTTTTTCGTTATTGTTTTTCTTTGTCTTCACAGAATCTTGCTTCTCGGCCTCCTGTTTTTCGTGTTTCTTGATAAATTTGTCTAGCTTCTTTCTGCGCACAGGCCCATATGCTGGTTTTCCGATTGCCCGGACTGCATTATGAGCAGAGATATGTGCAGTCTCTGTCTGTTCTAGATCGATCCTTCTTTCATCTTCTTGCTGTAATTTCTCCAGGTTTTTGCTGACTTCAGATGACAGTGACAGTTTCTCAAACAGGCCTTTGCTCCGAGTCGCCTCGCAATACCAGCAAAAACATTCACTGTAAACCATTCCGCCGGTCATCTTTCGGTACTGTTTGACCGTCCAGGCAAACGAATCTGAAATCCGGCCCTCATCAATCCTGTCGTTGTGATCAATAAATCGAACCGGCTTTTTGCGCGAAGTCGTTGTGAGGGAGTGAGTATAATATCGTTTCGGATCTAGTTGATGCGTATGCCAGACAAGATCCACATCCAGCGTCGGTACAACAATTTGCGATGGGTTCTCGACAATTATTCTCCAGAAGATGTCATATTTTTCGATGAATCTGTGTGTTAGTGCGGAAAGATCTTCTGATGAGGGTAAACCCAACCAGTTGAGCTTTTTCATTTTTTGTACAAAAGTACCTTGTCTAATGACTGCACCAACTAAATCTAGGGCAAAGATCGATGAATTATTACCCCAATACCGAGACATCATTCGACGCAACGTCCCTCGCCCTTCACCCTTTGACGAGTGGAACATCCTCCTGTGGCATAATTCCGCGTCCATGTCAAGAGCGTTGATCTTCAGGTTGTGCTTGTAGACTTCAGAATGAATACCATCTGCTAGGTCCCGAACTGACCGACATTCCTTTCCCTTCCGATTCAGTATTTTGAGCAATTCTCGACGGTAGTTCAATAAGTAGTAGTTTGGAGTAAGCTGCGACCACTTCGCTCTTCGCTTTACTTGATTCTTCACCACGCCATTTGGGTTGTACAGCGTTCCTGGCATAGGCAGCTCCTGTTTAAGCAAAGCACGATTGTCTTTCCGGAATTTGAGAACTGGGAGGTAATCATGATCAAGAACCGTGTTGCAGCCAGAGCACAATACTTCAAACGACTGATCTGCGTATCCCGTAGCCGATTGAAACCCAATATAATCCTCGCGGTGAGTTCGTCCAGGGGATAACATCGTAATATGTGCGGTTGTCCAGGGAACTTTTGTCTTATTATGACAGAGGGGACAATCGAGGTTGTAGTCCAAAGAATCATGAACATTATCCCATTTCCTGCCAATTTGAGTTCTCCATGTGCTTCGAGATATTTTACCGGGTTCGTATAAATAGCTATTTTTGTCATCGCAGGTTATACAGTCGTTGATTAGATCCCAGGGGAACGGGGTTGCCCAGAGATTCATTCTTGCCTGCCGGAAGCAATCTTCCAGGTAAGCGCGAGGATTGAGCATGAACGTGTGCCAGACCATCAGAACGTCTGCACTCAGTCATTAGAGTACAACATTATGTGATATGGTTAGAACATCCATACCTAGAGGCGGGAGCTCTTCCCTTGTTAATGTAACTCTGATACCATCATCGAGCTTCAGAGGATCCATGTCAAACGCTTTCAGAGACATCACAGTTGGCGGATTGTTATACCTCGGCACACCCATCCACCACCGCGTGAACCGATCAACCGCTCGAGAAACATACACCTGCCATATCTTTTCCCGTACTCGTTGTTGGATCTCCGCATTCTCAAGCAAATCCGGATAACTATCTCGCCCCCCAATTTTGAAAAGACCAATTTCATTCTCAACCGACTCCCGTAACTGCGCGAGAGCAGCTAGGAATTTGAGATGGGAAATACATTCTGCTCCTGTCACCGTGGTGGTGGTAGACGCAGCTCCTAATATCTCTGGTATTTCAGGCTCATCGCCCGAATCTGATTCATTATTGTCATAAAATACTGGCATCTCATTTTGTGTCTCTGCTGGAAGTAAAACATCCGGAATCGCGTTTTTGTTGTCCTTCTCTGAAGTAGATGATTCCATTCTGATGGGGTACTGCGTGGTTTGTGACAGTTTAACGTGTGAATAATTATCTCGTGATATATTTATTTCCTTCCATGATAGAATCTCGTATTTCCGACAGCTTTATATATTATTTATTCCCATTTTTTTGGAGATTGTTTGTAATCAAGACCGAGAATGCGCCTGGTGTGGCGGTGCAGGGCGGCTCTGCATACAATTCGGTTGTTATTTCCGAAATCGGATCGTCGGGCGTTGATGGATATGCAGTGTATCCACCACTTGTCAATTAAAAAGCATCACTACTGGTGAAATTTAGTTTTCAGCTTGATTGTGTCGGTATTTATCTCTGTTTTGCTTATCTGGACATCTCTGTAATAAAATGAACTTATCGCTAGATTCTGGGTGGTCTGAAAGGACTCCTGAGTCATGCGGCTGATATAGGGCATGATAAGATGTCTAGAGATGGTCTCAACTTGGGGTGTCTTTTCTTGGTTAAATTTGGCATCAATATGTTTTTCAGACAGGGATATTTCATTGAGGGGATATGCATAGGCTTAGAGTCCTAACTTTCCCGTAGTTTATTTATCAAGTAATGATAGCATGTTACCAAAGTAAGCTTAAGTCCAAGCCATCGCTTCTCTGTAGATACACCCGAGAGACCAGACGCCAACGGCCTGACTACTTCTCCCATGAGATTTATTCGAAATGTCATCTTCCATGTAGCATTCGAGTGGCCCTGATCAAATATCAACAATCGACTCGTCGTAGACACACACAGTTGAACGTACCATAGATGCGAGTTCCGTAACTGTCCCAGTCCACAATTTCCTCTACTGAGGGCTTTTCTATCTTGAAATGATTTAGGCTAAAGTCTGCGAGCTTAAAATGTATCTCATAGGGAGACGGAATGGTTCCTGATGCAGCCAAAACATTGCTTGGTTTGATATCTTGATGCCCCTCTATGGAGAGTTCATTAGTCTGCTGCTTGAGAAAAAGAGCCATTACCTACCCCCACACTGTTTCTCCTTTCCCAGAATTGGAATTCTGGGAAGTGAATACAACGCGTCGCTTAGCTGGAGAAGCTGTCCCCAGAGTTGAAGCAGGTCCATGTCCGATGATGGAGGTGGGACACATTGTATGAATTTCTCCAAATTACTCCTGTCCGTATACTCGAGAAGAATACCAAATGTGTCAATGACGTGAATACTACTAAAGGAATCCACTACTGGGGCTCGACGAGACTATGTACTGAGGTGCTCGAACGCCTGAAGCTCGGCTGCGTAATACTTATTTGCGTGGCGAGTATTAAGTATTTGCAGAGCACACATAGTTGACGTTCCAGGATCAGTGCCGTGGCGTTTGGGAAAAAAATTATCATTTACGTTGATCTTCTCAACTATTGAGCATCCGCATACACAAAGGTAGTCATTGCTCGCAAAAGGAAGAATGTCCCAGATCACGAGATCAGCTCTTTTCCTTCAAAATCCAGTGAGGGGTACAGAATTTCCACTGGGTTTGATAGAATTCAATACGTCCTTGAATTTGACGTCCGAGCGGCGCATCCCCAATATCTATCTCCCACTCGCTAGGTCCTTATTGATTGAATCTTTCAGAACGACGTCCGGCCGGGTACAGATGTGGTAGAAATTATCGGCTTCCGTCTTGATTAGCATGCTGCCATTATAGAGCCCGTATCACCAGCATATCGTTGGTAAATTTTTGGGTATCGATCTGAGGTATTACCGTAGCCGTGGCTGGCTGAGAATGGCACGTTGCATGGCACGATTTATAGTGTCGCTTAATGAAATCGTTGAACTGCAACTGGGACCAGGCCAAGTGCCTACAGTCCCATGCAGAGTCCAATTAGCTGAACGAATCCCAAAAATGGTCCTGGAAGATCACACTAACCAATTGTAGCATTTTCTTAGATATGCATATTGTTACTCGCAGTGTCAGCTTTAGCAACAGCATTGTTAGGCGATGTGGTGACGAGAGAGAATACCACTCTCGAATCAGCTTCCCACAATGGCTGATCTGCATTTTTGGTGGTGCTAATTCGGATTTTCTTGCTTGTGGTGGTGGGGAAGTGTCGGAGTCCGCACTAGACATGGTTTGAGCATTGGATCGTGTCGCAATATACAGACAGGGATTGACAGTGCTAGCTTAACTTCCAGCTACTACCATACCGGTGGCTGGCGTCGGGCAAGTCCGATGCCTCTACGTAGTTTTGGCAGTGTAGGAACGATCAGTGTTAGTCATGATATTAGACCACATATTTAAAGGCCGATGTTTGTAACGGACATGAACTGGTAGATAAATATAAGAGTCTGTTTCACACAACCCTAGATCGAACCAGCTTGATGAAAAACAAACTAAAGCTCAGCCTATTCAAGGACTTAGCAATACTAATACTTTCACATAGTCAACGTGTCTTGTCTCCCTCCTTCTCCATTTTATTTTCAGCTACTTCTGGCTAAACTACCATCAAGATGAGCCAAACAAACTCTATATCTTTACACGCTGAGGAAAGGGTGGACTACGATGCCGACTATGTGAGCAAGTTTGAGCTCCCTGCGCACAAGGGGGTCGATGTCGCCATCTATGATCTGCACTACAGTTTTGAGAGAATTCGATATATGAATCCAGCAAACAATACATTCTACTATATGTGGAGATTGAACACTCAATATGGAGAAACCTTCCACCAGGACAAAGAAGATCTTTGGTTGTTCAATATCCACATAGCGAATTGTGAACATGCAATATTCAGCATTGGGCCCTACCAGTTTGATATGAACTCTAACTGGAAGTTTTTTACCCAGTTTAAACAACATGATATGGACCTGAACTGGGACAAATCTCCAGGGAACGGACCCCGCAATCGCTACGTGGCCATACGAGCCCCCAAAATGGACAACCCAGCCATTACGGTAAGTGCTCCTCAGGGGGAATACTTAGCAGTGAAATGGATCGGCCTTTTCGTAAAAGCAAATGCCGCAGAGAAACACGAATTCGTCACGGTGAGAACGACATGTCGATTGAACGAGCCGTACGCGGAACGTCATCGATATAAAGACTGGTGGAAGAATGGTGGCGCATGGGAACTGGGGGTCGATGTTGTAGGGCGTTCCATTACAGTGTTTCCTAAACAATTGTTTGGAACTTCTGGTATAGACCGTGATCTTTACAAGAAGTTTGTTTCGGGGCTTGAAGATGTTGAAAAATTGTCGCAAGCGCACATTGAAATTGCAAAACAAAACGGCGACTCTTCCCTAAAACCATACATGTGGTTTATGGACCGCGCGACGATAATCGCACCCACTGCAGACGGAAAAATCAATTACTTTACGGGAACGACATACGAAGAGAGCTCTACTAGTGGGTTCTCTCTGTTTGAGAAAATATTCACCCCTTTTTTCAAGATTGCAACAGCCTTGCTTTCGGGAAATTTCGTAGGGGTTGTTGAGGAGGTCTTTTTGCAACTGAATCAGGCTGCTAAGGACGACTTCAAAACAGATGTCGACCTTTCCGGGTATATCACTGCAATATGCAATGAGGTCAAGAAGCACAAGGGAGATGATCTTTCGGATTTGAATAGAAAAACTATTCCACAGCTCAGAGGGCAGGCCAGCTGGTCAACGCATGATTTTGGTGCACACGTCTCGAAGGGCAGGGGCTTGGGTGATATTCCGCGTCAGATCAGCTCAATGTTTTCAATCAGGCCCCAGTGGACGGCTATTCTGGCTTTTTTGGCATTTCTTGCATCTATGGTCATAGTAATGTATCAGGGCTTGGTTGGAAGAGTCTGATTGCGGGAGGGGAAGACGGCGGAATGGAGTAGTCAGTTGAGAATATTTGTTCAGACTAGTGTATTAGTTGCCTAGTTCATTCCTGCTTTACCATGTTTCTAACGCATAGCCACTATCAAGTAAGCTCAGGTCACCCTCTATAGTCAATAAAAAGCCTCCTCACTAGTCCTCTAGCGCTAATACGATATAAACCACTCTCTTCTTGAGAGAGATCCCTAACCAATTCCCCCAAAAACTCTTTATACACGAATTAGAAATTTTAAAATTTGAGTGATAAATTTAAATAATAATTAATCTGCCATATAATATAAAATAAAATGATATGAAGATGTGAAAAAGAGTGTCAAATCCCTAAAAATAATTCGCGGCTTGCTATAATATTACTTAATATAAGAATCTATGATATAATTGGTTGATAATAATATTAAGCACCCTATATTTAGGAACCCCTCAGACTAAGGAATGAAAATGCTGTGCAAATTGAATCCTTAGTCCTTTTGTTTTGTACTGGAAAAATGTCCCTACGACTGGGATATAAGGCTAACAACAGATTGGGTCATGAACCATGACCTCTCTTCGGCTTAATTGGGTTTTAGAAAATATATATAAAATAAGTACATGGGAAGCAGCCCCGAACATCATCGACCAAACTCACCTGCTTCCACTCACATTCTTATTCTTCATTCTAATTCTAATCACTATGGGTTCTATCGAACAACTTACCGCTTCCTTGACCGAAGCGGTAGCTACTCTACCTACCCAAGGCCCCATCAATGACGAGAAACGCAATGCTTTCTACGCTGCTTATGAGAATCTCCGAAAGCAGATTGAGACTCCCATTGATGCTGCCGTTAGAGTGATCTTTGGTGTAAGTCTAGAATTCCTACACGAGTGATTAGCGCAATGCCTGAATCTGCCGTCACCTCTAGGGATATGATGCCATAGCTCTCAAAGTCGCCATGGACACGCAGATTTTGAACGAGCTCGCCATCGCAGAAGGAAAGCCAAAGAGCGTCATCGAGTTATCCAAGCCATCCGGAGCAGATCCCCTCTTGATCAGTCAGTATTCTACTGTTCCATAACTCCAAATTCCCGGCAGACCCTGAATCAGATAGATCGATTTCTTCGTGTGCTGGCTGCCAGCGGCTTGGTCAAGGAAACTGGCGAAGGCGAGTACGCAGCGGTATCGCTCACCGGGGCATTTTCAGACATGTCGCCTCTTTCAAAATCGGCCTTTCATCTGTAAGCTGGCTCTCAATATTATAGTACTTTCCAAGACATGAATTCTGACGGCGTACTACAAACAGTCTTTACGGTGAAAATCCACTCGCTAAACTTCCACAATACCTACAAAAGACCAATTACAAGAACCCAGACGATAGCTGGAACGGCCCTTTCCAATTTGCAGAGCCGACCGATTTGCAGTATTTCGAGTGGATTCAGCAGCACTCACAACATCAAGAGGCATTCACTACACATATGGCCCTACAGCGAATGGAGCGGGGACCTAACTGGTTTGAATTTTATCCAGTTGAAGAACGGTTGCTTGCCACTGACAAAGACACTTCCAAAGCTTTCCTCGTTGACCTTGGTGGTGGTGTTGGGCATGACTTGGCGGCATTCGCTGAAAAATATCCCAAGCTGGCTCCGAGACTGGTCCTCGAGGACCAGGAGCATGTTCTCGCAGATGTGGATAAGCAAAATTTCAAGCTCAACCCCAATATCCAGCGCGTTCCAACAGACCTCTTCAAACCACAATCAGTGAAAGGTGCAAAAACATATTATCTTCGCACCGTCCTTCATGATTGGCCAGACAAGCAAGCCAAGGAAATCTTGAAAAACGTTTATGATGCAATGAGCGACGACTCGGTGCTAATTTTGAACGAGAATGCGTTGCCAGACCAAAATGTCTCAGGATTCCAGGCTAGAATTGATCTATTCATGATGTCTATCTTATCAGGAATTGATCGCACCTTTAAACAGTTCTACTCTCTTTTGGAAGAAAATGGGTTTAAGGTTCTAGCCACGTACCGTCCGGAGACCTTGGCACCAGGAGCAGGGACCATCTTTGAGGCTGTGAAAAAGCATTAAACAGATACATTCCTTGATTATCCATGTTATATCAGCAGAGAAATCTCTAGACTAAGCAGATAATACTCATATTATCATATTGCAAGATATCTCCCTAAAGCCAACTCCTTATTACAAACCTTTATTCTGCAGACAGACAGGAACTCACGTACTCTCACTCCATCGCAACATAAACATACACACAAATACCCACATGAACCAAGGCCAGCTGCATGTATTGGGAACCTCGTCGGGGCATTCATAACCGACCATTTCGGGCGACGCAATATTACTTCTTATCACTCACCAGAGGCATAGTTCGTCCGTCCTAAACTTTAGGGTACGGGCCGGCGGTTCGACAAAGTCGTTGATAAACCTTGTATATCTCTGGGTTACGCCAAAGGGTTTGCGAATACTCAAATTAGTCACTTGGTAAGAAATTGAAATAATGACGGATAATAGGTCTACGTTAATTATATCTACAGTTGGCTTGTGTGGCCGTGGTGGGCAGACTGTCAAGGTCCTAGTAGGGAAACGATCTCGCAATCGCAACTCTCCTTGTACGACAAAACGCGATCATCTTCGGCTGCGATCTCATTCTCTCGCAGCAGAATACACATGTGCAAGTCTACGAGATACTCTACCGACCGATATCACGGTTGTGCAAGCGGATGCCACGTCGCGTTCCCCTCATGGAGGGTTCGTGGGTGCCTGTATTCTCACACGGGCGTAGTGACTGACGTACTCGTGAAAAACGTCAGCAGAAGCGACTCGGCGAGTATAACCGGGAGGTCTGGATAATCAAGGAATGTGAATGTCAAATCAGCATACCTGACAACGTATTTAGTCCTCCAATCTGGAAAAGTAGATAGTGGCGGGAACATGGTTAATATATCGTCCGTCGCGGGTCTCCAATACCTCAGTAAGCTACAAATTGTATGCTCCTACCAAGGCTGCGGTGATTCATTACTGAAACTGCAGCCGTGATGTATGCGGTGAGGGGAGAGACGCACAGTGCCGATTGGAAAGATGGGGTCAGCATGGGAGGTCGCGATGCGGTGTGTTTCTGGGCTGCATCACAGACGAAATTATAGGGATGGGGTGAGCACTTGAGAGGTTAAGTTATAGTTTAGCATGTTCAGACACATTCATGATTGGCCGGTTTAGGATATAGGGTTCTTATTGAGGATTATTATCGTGCAGAGAAAATGTAAAAGAATAAAGGCGTGACGAGTAATTTGCCGGAGACTATTCTGTTACCGCCGGATGCTGCATGAGGCATTTATCATATACGTCAACGGGAAGACTGTGGAACAAGAGACACGCAAGGGATCGGAGTGAGACAAGAAATTTTCAAAGAAGAAATGATAATAATAATATGATTAGGCAGTTAGATTAAACTCCACAGTCGATAGAGACGAATCAAGCTCTAATCGACTCCCCAGAGCGTACAATGTGCGGGATGAGCTGTCAAAGTGCGGGATTTTTGACCTGGGGTTAGCTCGCAGTACATAATCTGCGAATCAACTTTTCTTTTCTTTTCTTTTCTTCTTTATTTTGTTCGGGGCTGGCACGGTTTCGAATTTCGGTGTGACGTGGGATGGCTGTTACATGGAGCACGCGACCAGACATGCGATAATTCGTCCAGGCGTAAATAATACAATAATAATGTATCCAATACAGTATCCATCCTACATAAGCTGTAACGTAATCCACCCCCGAACCGCCACTACCCCCAAACCGCCACTTCCACCCGAAAACATAATCTATAGCGATTTCAAATCTCAATTTCTAACCCAAAATAATAATTATATACAAAAAATTAATTACTAGTACGATTAGGGCATTAAGGTCTTCTATACCCAAGAATACCACACTCACTACACTGAAATTAGCGGCGTACACGCACCTAAGAGACTAGAAGCTCAGGCTCAACCAGAACAGTAGTAGCACTTTAAGATACCTCAATCTGACTTTGGATAAGCACCTAAGCTTCCTCTCTAGTAAGGCCTTGTTCGTAAGATATCTGCTTTTTAGACCATTGACGTTTTTGCTTCTCTTTCTCATATGCAGCCCATAAATCATGAGCTTCTTTTCATACAATTAGAAGCTCATTTATACTTATTTCATAAGCCCTAGACATCCGATCAATTGCTTGATCAATAGCTTCTAATAAGCTTGATTTGCGCTGGTTAATTCGCCTTTTAATTGTACTTAATTAACGCTTGAATTGACGAGGATTTTGAGGTATTTGTAAGCAAAATGATTATGAATTGCTTGATCGACTTGGAGGAGGAGTTAGAATCTTTAATTGGATAATAAACTATTGATAGACTCGATCTGGATCAAATAACACTAATCCAGTTGCTATAAAACTATTCCGAATAGTCTCAGCTTTATATACCATCATACGCGCCTTTAGAAATACAGTAAAAAAGTCAATTTTGTCAATATAGTTAAATCCAAGCCTCATCCATTATTCAACAAGCTATCCATATTGCCGTTTTAAAACAGCAAAACAGCCGACATCAAAAGGTTGCAAGAGATGAGAAGAATGCAAAGGCATACAGATTGGAATAATATTATTCTCAGTGCATGTACGGTCAAATTCAGCAGTTAAATGACTTCCATGACCATCAAGAATAAGCATTCAATATCTTCCCATTACACAGCCATTCGTACGAGGAATGAAGTGATTAATGAGCCAATCCATACCAAGCTTATTTGTTGTCCATCCATTATCACTAATACCGATTTTCCAACCATCTGGAAGAGTCTCAAACCAGACTTCTTGTAAGTATTTTATTACTTTAAAAATCACATATGGAGGTAGAACCCATCCAGTAGAATTAACTATTTCAATTGCAGTCACCCATTCTCAATTACCAGGCTGTAATAGATATGGTCTACTATATCAATCACTTCCAGTTATGACTTTTGCAGTGGCACAGAGCCCCATAGCAAAGCCAGTCTCATCAAAGTTGTAGATATCTTCCTATAAGATGCCATATTCTAATATAGCCTCTCATACGCGGTCAAAATGCTCTTGGATTATCTTTCAATCTTCGCATTTAGCACGTTCGTAGTTATATCTTCATGAAAATCACGATTTAATCTCTGAACGGCATTGAACTAGTTTATATACCCAGTTTATTCCAACTTATTGATTTCCATACTGTGAAAGAAAATAATTAGCCATTTCTTATACAAGAAATGGCCGGGGAAATAATCCTCGCTTATCTAGATTCAATATCCATTTAACAAGCGATTCCTCCTCAGATTCAGTCAATTTATGCCCATTAGCGCGTATTTAAGATCTTTATTGGGTGCCATTTAGTCGATCTCGGAGAATTGTTCGAGGAACATTATAAATCTTTGCAGCTCGTCCAATATTAGGAATTCTTTTATTTTTTAAATCGGAAATGGCTAATAAGATTCGACCTTCTTGTTCCTCAGAATTTTTATAGTTTTTATTGCGAATTGGTGGCATATTAACGCGTTGAATTATATAGAATTGTTATGGGACGCGTTTTTGGGTGGAAGTGGCGGTTCGGGGGTAGTGGCGGTTCGGGGGTGGATTACGTTATCAGTATTAATATTATGTGAGCAGTATAGATCACGTGACTGATAGTCGGGTAGCTCGGCAGCATCAGGTATCAAGTATAATAGATAATAAATAGTACGTGCGATAATCATATTCTTATTTTCTTATCTACCTGACCGTATCAATATCATGTGAGCTCATATATCGTTATATAATATATAATTTACATACCTATACACAATGTATACATAGTATTGAGCGTGATAGAGTGTATAAGTGGGGCGCATACGGGGCCGGGGATCTCGGCACGCTTTGTCCGACTCGCCGACTCGCCGCGATTCAGTTCACTGTGCGCATAATATTATTATTAGATATACATTATTCCTAGAATTGACATTATTATTGTAACATTCTTTAACAGTATTATTTTACTATTGTATTATTATATTTAATAATGTTAATATGCTCAGTACTATTAATATATACATGTATGATGTCTACCCTTGTTATAATAAAATAATTTAATGCATTATTCCATCGGACCAGATCTCCGCTGCAGCCAGAGCCGCGAATCGCGACAGAAATTCCGGTGCGGCATTTTCGACTCTCGATGCAGCGCTGACGTTGCGTGGCCATGAACACGGCTAGTTCGTATGCAGTAGTAAGTACCAACTAAGTAATTGCATAGAAAAGCAAAGTGAATCGTGCCAAGTCGTCCCTGATCGCCCACTTTTCTTTTCTTTTTTCACTTTTACTTTTACTTTACTTTCCCCGTGGAGGTCCGATCGTGTAAGAGCCAGTGGATGCGGTTATCTGGATGGTGCAACAGTCCCATCTACTAAACTATAACCAATAAATACTCTGCGGTGGCTATTGGCCAGTGACGGCGACTTTACCCGGCGGCGGCTTTGCCATCGCCGCTTGAGCCGTGTGCGGTCTGCCTGAGGCCGCCTATCACCCTGCCTTTTCCCTTTTCGCTCTCGCTCTCGCTCTTCCTCTCCCTCTTCCCCTCCACTCAATCTCCTCTCTCTCCTCTCACCTGACTCTTCTCTCTTCACTCTCTAGTCTATTATCCTCCAATCTCAGTCAATCTTCACTCACCATACAATGATCCCTTGGGATAGCGCTTTCGCCTCGTGCCCGTGCTCGTACTTCGCTTGTGCCTCGTCACCGCGCCAGTCTTGTTAGACTCAACTCTAGTCTGGTCCACGGACTGCGTGTACTGCGTATACTGCACATACTACACTGTCAACAACATGCCTTTCCGCGACCGCTTCAAAAAGGCCTTCCGCCGCCCAGAGAAGGAAAAAGACACAAAGCCCAAGATCGAATACTACCGTCGCGGCGAATGCCCCCGGTCCAAGTACCGCGGGCCTGTCGACCCAGAGCACAAACGCAGACTGTACGACTGGAACTTCGCCGATGCCACTGCCGACCGCCGTCGCTCGTTTGACCTCGACTTGTCACCCTGCACCAGTCTGCCGGACAATGCTGACGACGACAGCGACTTGACGACCGACCAGGAGTCGGAATCGGAGGTAGCCCAGAAGCGCATGCGGGTGGTTAGAGGTATGCTAATTCCACAAAACCCCACAAACAATGCAGAGCCTAATGGTAGCAGCCTCGATCACCGTCGCCCACCACGAAGTAGCCCCCTGTGGCTCCGTCGACTCGACTTCAGACTCCTCGACAGCCGTTGCGTCGAGCTACGGCTCGTCCACCTTGACCTTGAAAGAGAGCTGGGATTGGCCTCTGGCAAAGCGCGATGCGATGGCGACGCTGAAAGAATCGATTGCTCTGACCACCGCCCCTCTGGCGCGCCGCATCTCGGCGCCAGAGAAGGCCTTCCACCCGGAGCAACTGCGGCGGGCGCTGAGCTCGGTTCGCGATGTGTATTAACCGACCTATACTCACCTATCCTCAAGCACACTTATCCAAGCACACTTACCCACATACTTACCACTAATGACTCGATACGACTTGGCCATGAACAGGACATGGCAGCATGAAACGGCGTTTTGCATGTTAGCGATGGCGTTCACTCCTACAAGATAGTAGACCCTAGAGGCCTTAGACTGATAGACAGCTAGCCTGTGTACAATGAATTATCCTTTTTCTTTACTGCTACACAACCATGCGTTGTATTATTAACTTTGATCTGCGTGCATCGCTAGCTGATGGCTGGTGTTGCACTAGCCATGCAAGTCATCAATTGATCTGCTTGGCTGCAGCGAGTGAGAGCAAGTTCGGTGAGCGAATATCCTTATTCGTAATAATAAATATACTATTCATATGAATATAATACTTTATATTCCCTATTATCTTTTCTTTGTTCATTTAATAGCAATGTCCCGCCCAGGCTTCGTATGTAGCGAGAGTAGGGAGGTAGCATCAAAAAGACCCTTGTGGAACAAAGTAACGCTACAATGGCTTTCTCCACGGGGTCACCTTTTCTTTCAAGGGCGTGCGTATTTTCCAAGGCGCGATGATGCAGGAAGGATGCGCCCGGTTTCAAATATAATTATTTATGGAACATCGATCAATAAGATACGAAGTAAGAACCTGTCAAACTTTAACCACCGGCGCAAGCTAGAGGGGCGGATAATATACGACGCGTCAGCATGCATTAGGGCATGTGATTGGGCCGCTAGACGAGTGGTATTGCTAGCATCATTGATACCAAGTACGGCTTTGATATTATTTTGTACATGTATTGTATATATAAATTATTATATTTACTCTACACCCAACGTAATGCTGGAAGAAGCCGACAGTATAATGAATGATAAATAATACTTGAAGTGAGGTCAGCCATGACGTCATCACCGGGCCTTCATCGCCAACGTGCCTGTCGATCGAGATCCAAGAGTCTTCGTCGACCTCGGAGTTTGCGGGATTCGGCGTGGATCGTCATCGACTTGATCAAGATCGGGTGACAGACATCCGATGGTGGCGTGTGGAATGTGCTTATGCCATATGCGGCGATGATAGACACCAAACTTGTGCAATTGATTCATCCATCATCGATCGATTTTCCGCACCAGTACCTCAGCAACCGCCTGCATCCCAGCCAGGTTCGGATGAAACACAGAACCCCGTCGCAGCAAAGCCCAGTACCCAAAGCCTCCCACCCAGGGAACCTGACTCCCTAGCCCATGCTCTGCACTCGAGTCATGAATAGCCACTCGCTCGCACCACCCCGCCCGGCTCTCTGCGGCCTGCACATACGCCCTCTGCAGCTTACGCGCCGTCTGTCGATGATAATCAATCCGGTCCTGGCTAAACGGCACGTCTTTGCCGGGTTGCGTGTTCGCGCCGAGAACAGCCAGATACTCGACAAGAAACACCCGCGCATTGGGCGCCTTCGCATGAATTGCATCTAGAACCCTGCCTAGCCGTGTGATAAGCGCTTCTTCGGTCAATGGCTGCAATGCTTGCTCCGCGGGCCTAGGCCTTCGACGAACAAGCAGATAGACCCTTCGAACTACACCCACGATGAAATTCACTATCTTTCCCAGCGCCCCCGCCGCCCATGCATCCTGCACCATACCGCCGATGTACTCGAGATCATTGCCGCCCGCAGTGATGGTGATGATGTTGGCGGAGGATGGGAGGAGGGTGATTTGCGGCGGGAAGACGACGCTGCGGAAGAGAAAGTGTTGTTGGGGGTCGACTATTATGTTGAGAAGAGTCGCGCCAGAGACGGTCAGGTCGGTCAAGTGTGCATCTAGAAGACGCGCGAGAATGTGGGGATAGTTCTGCCCGGAGCGTCCTGCACGAGGCGCGATTTGAGGATGGATGCCGGGGCCTGCGGCGAATGAGCTGCCTAGGCTGACTATATGCAGTCGTCGGTTGCTCGGGGCTGGCATTTTGGTGACCGTAGGTTGTAAAAGTGAACGAATAACTAACTATGATGTAGTTTAATATATCCGGATGGAAGACAGGATGGAGAGAGGATGTACATCGGCGTAGATTCTGGCTGCCGAGTGGGCTGCCTCGGTAACACAACTAACAACTAACAAACATTATTCAGTGAACAAGTATATAATATAAAAGCCAATTAATTAATGTAGTGAATAAATAACAGTGAACATATTTTATATACTGAATTAGTAAATGCCTTCTAGTACGAAAGTATTTACACTTGTATTATGGCCTCGACAGCTCAAAGGTTTCGCCTATGATATACTTCAGCCATTCTTATCAAACGCAGCACCAGTCTATACATTTGTAATCGACGTTATCAGTAACTTTTATACATGCGTGTAATAATCGGTCCCTTCAGGCAGATTGCTAGCAATATTTATTCGTACTCGACTAGCCTGAGAATCAGCATCTTGAAGCAGATACAAATACGTATAGGAATCCATTCTCTATCCCAGTCAATTCAACTTGACCGGATGTGTCGGAACTAACAACATTTGATGTTCGATTTTACTAATGCCTAGTAGTCGACATGCATCCACTAGAAACTAAGCGCATACAGGCCGATCCTCCACTCAACCCCGCAGATCTTGACCTCAACTGCAACCATTGAAAATGTTTATACCAACATTCAACTCTTGACACTCATATTCGTTATTATGCGTACGAGATCGACCATTTCCACCCCGGACGGCATTACTTGGCACTATGAGCAAGAAGGCACCGGCCCGGATATCATCCTGATCCCCGATGGTCTGGGTGAGTGCCAGATGTTCGACAAGCCAGCATCCCTGATTGCAGCCAAGGGGTTCCGAGTCACCACTTTCGACATTCCAGGCATGTCGAGGTCTGCAGATGCTCCCCCAGAATCCTACCAGGAGGTCACAGCGCAGAAATTAGCGAAACAGGTCATCCTCTTGCTGGACGAGCTGCATATTGGAATGGCTACGTTCTGGGGCTGTAGCTCCGGCGCTTCGGCCGTCTTAGCCATCATCGTAGACTACCCGACGCGTGTGCGAAACGCTTGCGTTCATGAAGCCCCTACATCCCGTGCTGACAGCCTGATTGCGCTGGGCAAGGCTGGCGATGAGACTATCGTCGACGTCCTGACAGTATCTATGCGCGACCGTATGTCTGGGAACGTTGAAGCATGGGACGCACTGGGTGCCGAGGCGCATGCTAGACTTCGCAGGAACTATGTCCGCTGGGCACGCGGATACCCCGTCACCCTGCCGACATCCACGCCGGTTGGGAATTTAGAAGACCTGAAGAAGCGACCGCTGGCTTGGACCGTGGGTGCATCGACATTGACGCACGTTTTCATAAATAATATTGTGACTGCCACCAAGATTGGTGCTTCTGTCGGTACCCTTCCCGGCTTGCATTTTCCGTATGTCTCGCATCCCGAGGTTTTTGCGCAGTATATGGTTGATACGACGAGAAAGTATCTGTGAGGTATTCACTCTGTAATCAGATTTAACATGTAGGTGGTATTGAATTCAATCTTTCTATCTATGCAATTAGACAGATGCTATGTGCTCTCAGTACAATTGAAATGTTCAATGTCAAAAAAGATAGTTCACTCATCGGAGGATGAAACAAACTAGCCTTCTCTATCTCGCCGTAAGGCCTGTCAGGCCTTCTCCATCTCGATAAAACACAGGTCATCAGGCAGCCCAGATATACCCTCCAGTGCCTCGCGAAACGGGAATGGCGATGTACCCGTCTTCCGATACCCGCGACGATTATACCATTCAATGAGCGCCTTGCGCGTTGACAGCGCGTTTAGCGAGAACTTCTCAGTGCCCCAAGTCCGTCGACAATAGTCCTCGGCGTAGGCGAGCACTTGACGGCCCACACCGCCGCGTTGATAGCTGTCGTCTACAGCGAGCATGGAGATCCGGGCATAGTCAGTGCCGCGCTTGGAGACGTCGATACAGCCCACAAGAGCGTTGTCTTTGTCGGCGTCCAAGGCGACAAAAGTGGTGATGTCGGGGTTGGCGATCTTGGCCTGGACTTCTTCTACTGGGATTCGGAATTTTGAGGCTAGCTCGACATTGCCCGTCCAATCGGGTCTGCTGTCGTTGGTCTGGAACGCTGATTGCACGATTTGTTGGACTTTCGAGGCGTCGTCCGCGGTTGCGATGCGGAATTGGAGGTTGGTGGTAGCCATGATTGTATCAGCGTTGCTTGTTGGTGGATTCCGTGTTTTAGTGCGAAGTAGAGAATTGGTTTTTGAAGACGATATGGTGGCCGGGACTTGGGCGCTTTAAATAGCTGTCGATTTCCGCTCTTCAACCATAGTTAATGTAACATATCTGGGTCTTGTCGAAATAAAGGCGTGGCTATGTGACTTTTCATATGATGTTCCGTCTTATCGGTCTTACCACTGAAAATGCCGCAATATGTCAAAAGGCGCGCCGCCCTGCGCGTAGATAGTCATCATAGTAACATTGTATATATTTGGAACAAATCTAGAGATAACGATTGGAAAATGCCAGGTTTGCAAGATTATGCACAATTGATGCCATCGACTGCCGATCTTGCCTGTATGACTATTATGAAGTGTGAATAAACCGCGTTGAAACGGATCAATACTCCATTTTCATATTTGTCACAAAATACCCAATACATAGGTAATTCAGATCAGCAGTCAGAGAAAAGAGATTAGCTAGCCTATTTATAGAAAAATGTTTTTATCAAAGATATCAGTCTGAAAAGGAATAGATCATCCTCAACCCCGCTCATAAATGCATTCGGTACTCGGATAGACTATATCTGGAGTGATGCGGGGTGCGGAGTTTTCCTTCGCGTCGCTGGGCATTGTTTCCATTCATAGACGAATGAGGGAAGCAGGATGATGTTGTGTGGGGAGGCGGATATAACTCGTACTTGATCCCAGATCAAGTCCCTACAGACATCTTGCTTCGTCTACTTGATACTAGGTCTTTGTACGACTAGGAAAAGGCCTTTTTTATAACTAAACAAGTCCTGCGGATGTCGAATTGGGGGCCGGTAACGTCGAACTCATCAAATCTTTGTGAATGGCCTGCTTAAAGAACGGATATACATACATGATCACCTATATCCGCAACTGTGCGTACGCCATTTAATGGTGAACTCAACTGCTCGATCCTTGTAAGCTGTCTGACCCTCAAGTTCAACACTAGGAGGCCAACTTCCACGATCAACTTATCGTTGACCCGTCATGGTAAGATAGATACGCAGACTGGAGTTTCGCGTACCCAACTAATCTACCAACCCAGACTTTGGACGGCTCTATTGAGCACAACCAGGGCACTGCGGTCCCGGATTATATCGCCGTGGGTAAGGAGAGCGAGGCTCAGGCTACATGGAGAAAAAGAGAGGGAATAAAACCGGAAAACCAAATTAAGCTGGCGAAACTGGCGCATATGCGATATCAGCATCCTAATCTCGATGAGATCACCGTGTTCCTGAAAGGTAAGCCAGGAGGATGTAAAGTAAACGCATATGCTGAGTGTTTCAGATTTCGGAATGCATGTTGCCAAGAGAACCGTTGATGAAGTATGGTACCGAGGCTATGGGCACGATCAATACGTTTATTATGCTCGCCAAGGACCGAAGAAGTTCCTAGGAGGCGCATACGAAGTGGAAACCTTTGAGGATTTAGAGAAGTGAGATACTGTGATATTATACAGCTGGCTGCATGTGGTATTAACTGTTCCTAGAGCAGCCAGACTTCCTACAACAGGCAAGATTAAAGAGATGACAGATGCTCCTGGTGGAGGGCATATCATTACTTTGACAGACCCAGAAGGGTTTCCCATTTCTCTCTTCTACGGCCAGAAGCCCGCCGAGACCGGTGATTATCCGAAGAAGATTGTACTGAACTATGAAGTTGAGAAACCTCGAGCGCGGATGTTCAACAGATTCAGTCCAGGACCTGCTGCGGTCCATAAGGTTTGTCGATTGCTGCACCCAAATATTAAGCGTATAAATAACACTTCTCAGCTTGGGCACTATGGTCTCTGTGTTCTGAAGTTCGGAGAACAAGTAGACTTTTACACACGTACTTTTAATCTAGTCCCGACGGACTTTCTCTACGTTGGGGAAGGAGATCAAAGAAAGAACGTTGCGATATTTGCGCATATCGATCGTGGTGAAAATCTGGTTGACCATCATTCATTTTTCATGAGCACGAACGACACAGGACATGTGCACCATTGTTCGTTCGAGGTCCATGATTATGACACACAACACCTCGGACATTAATGGTTAGCGAAGAAAGGCTATGAGTCTGTTTGGGGGGTTGGTCGGCATATTCTGGGCTCCCAAATCTTTGACCATTGGTGGGATACGACTGGTAATATGATTGAACACTATGCCGATGGTGACTTGATCAATGACAAGTCGCCTATTGGATATAGTCTAGCAGGAGATGAGTCTCTCGCCGTTTGGGGCCCAGAGCTTCCGGCTTGGTTTTTGAAGTAGCGTTTGTATCTATTCAATTTCTGATTTCATTTAAAGCTGTAGGCTGGTAGCATGTATATGAACTGCACCTCAAAATTCAAAGTATTGCTATATAAAATATTCAATGGCATGAAATTCTTCTATTGAATTATGAAAATCCAGGAGAGACCGCAAGTCGATTTGTATCAGTATATATGCCCGGCCGCAGCACTATAATTTTAGCCAGTCCGTCCTCAAAAATCCTCGCGTAATGATCTTCCGTTTCCCTCCTAGAAGTATCATCCTCCTTCACATCGTCGCCATCGGCCGCTTGCGTTTCGGATACTGGCACATTGTCATTCTGAATGAAAAAGGGATCAAAATTCAGAAAGTTCACCCTTCTTGCGTCATGGTTCGTTGGAAGAGGAGTTGGCCGAGATGAGGGTTGGTTGCTGGTCGTCACGTTTTGATCAGAGATATCATCAGGTTGAGGTAAGGATGGTGGTAATTGTGATGGAAGTATTGTTTTGCATAGATGGATGAGTTCGGTGCAGATTTTATAAATTCTACTGGCAAGCTGGTTGTACGGCTTTAGTTCAGCGAGTAGGCTTGCGTATTCGTTCAACAGCTTGAATCCTCTTTCGTCCCCACACTGTATTACGCTGCAGAAGATAACCCACATAGGAACTAGTCCGCAGATGACAACATCCCTACATGTTATAAGTATATAGGTAAGATTTTTTGAGTGGAATGGAAAAATAACTTTATAAACTCACCATGGAATCATTTCCAAATCACAGCGGTGTACCCCGAAATACTTGGCTAACTTACTCAGCGATTCAAGTGCTAACCCTGCATACATTCCCAATTGGCTTCGTGTGGCTTTACTAGTCATCAAATCTGGACGAAATTGCCATAGCATTGTGTGAGCAGCGTAGTGTTTGCAGAACAAGATGGCGGTGCACTGAAGGAGGTTTTTTTCAATAGGATCGGTGAAACGGTTTATCTTTCTTTTGTTAATATAGCTCCACCCTAGTGAAAGGAAAGGAAGATCATACTTTTTGAAGATTCTGGTAAATTTCGTTTAGATCTTGGCTGCAGTCACGGGTCATCCTATCCAAGTGATTGTCCGTCTTCTTTTCCATCTTCTCTGATGCCAGTTCTTGAATTTTTGGGTATAGATTCGTGATTCTCTCCCATGCCGTACAAAGGTCGTGACTAAGATGACCTTGCCTTATTGCTAACATATCTTGTGGCGGACTCATGTATGGCAATAATAATGGTTTACCTAGAAACAGTCCCATCTCTCTATCGCAGTAAAAGAACCACCTCATGCAATCGGCAATTTCTTGGTCTTGCGGAGCCCTGGTTATATTGTTGTAGCCGAGAGCGACAAAGGTGCGCGATACTGCTACCAACACATCCCATGCGCCTTGCACGTCACCAAAATATTGTAGGATCATGACGCCAACACATTGTGCCTGGAGTAGAGACAAAGAAGGTGGGGTTAGGAATCCCATTTTGTTCAGTGAAGCTAATGAAGCCCTAAATCTTTGTCTTTGGAGTTTTCTGATATGGCTATTCAGAACGTCATTACCTTCGTTTTGCGGTTGCTGCTGACCAAGTGATAGAGCAACCTGGAAGTTGACAATGATGTGGTATTGAAGTCGTATTTGTGGATCCGTGATCGTGTTATTCAGTAACTCTAGGCACATTTTTTCAATTGAAGACCGAGGAAGTACCAAGTTGGTGAACGCGACATCTGTAGGTCTAACTCGAGGCATCTTCATTGTATTGATTATATCTGTTGTCGTCAATTCACACACCTCGTCACCTTCTGCATCTTTCCAACCAAAATAGAATCGTTCAGCACGAAATCTAGTTCTATGTTCTGCGCTCTATCGACCGCAAAAGTTTTCCTGATCAGCTCTAATTGAGACGTAATAGGAGAGTTTCTAGTCTCCGGGACCCCAACCGAGGGCAGCGATTGAGTGTCTTGCTGTAATGCACAGCTACTGGAAAGAGGGCGCGAATCCACAGATTCTTCCAATTCCGATTCCATACCGCTCCCATCGTATCTTTCATGTTCTGCCGTTGTTATTCTAGCATTGTTCGCCTGAAGTTGAGGTTCAAGTGGGAGACTCGGGGAGCTTCGTGGCTGTTGAAGAAGGCCCTCCAGGTGGTTTATTCTATTGAAAAGACCTTTCAGTGCATCAGCCCTGCCAACATATTAGTGTCATATTTCGATACTGTTGTGCGGCTTACGTCTTTGTTTTCTGGCGACGCTCACGCGCCTTACGTGTCCACAGACAGGCTACTTTAGCTGCAATGCAGTTTTTGCAAGGGTCTTGCCTATCGCATTTCACCTAAAGGGAAAAGTTAGATATAACTTCCTGGAAGGATGTGCATTGGCGACAACTTTTCGTCTATAGCAAAGATCACACTAGTCAAAGCGGATTGGTCAGTTATTCAACTGTCGTGTCGTTCTGGAACCATACCGCGAAGAGGCCCTTCGGGATGTTGTTGTTTGCAATCTCAGCCATGTACTATGATTACTCGATTGGATCAGTCTTGTTTCCATGCAGAAATAGGCCCGGACTCAGGAATCAGGACGCTTGTTGTTATGAAAGTAGGTGATTGTAGGAGATTTCGGACCTCGGAAGCTATGTGCCTCCTAGCGCCGAACGCTAGTTTACCCTTGTCTTTATCCTTGTCTCATGGTTAGGGCAGCGAGTAAAGCCGTTTAGTTCAATTACTTAGGAAAACTGAGCATAGAAATGTATGAAATATGATAAAATTTGAATATTTTAATGTAAAACTTCCATTTGGCGAACTTAAATATAAGAAGGGCAGATATGGCGCATACTTACCGGATTCGGAGGTTCGGAAGTGGATTGCCTCCGTCGGAACAACTCCAATATAGATAGCTTCAGTAGTCTTCGGATGAACAATAGACAGCTGATAAATGAACATACGTATACACAATTAAGCATGATTTAAGATTGAAAATTCTATAAAGAGATACCTGAAGCCTCAGTTAGACATGAAAAGTGTTGTCCAATACAGATCACGACAAGCTTCAATTGCCCAAGCCCTAGCTCTTTTCATTATTACCCATGTCTTCTAAAAGTAAAACGATCCTCATTCTTGGAGGTTCCTATGGTGGTGTTGCAGTAGCCCACTACGTCCTCAAACATGTTATTCCTTCTCTTCCCGACAAGGATAATTACCGAGTCAGTATCATCAGCACTTCATCGCATTTCTTCTGCAGACCAACTTGTCCTCGAGCCCTCGTTTCCGAAAGCTCATTTCCTCGAGACAAGCTCTTTGTGCCCCTGACCACAGTATTCGCGCAATACCCCACTAGTTCCATCACTATTGTTCATGGGACTGCTGTGAAGTTGGATCACACAAACCGTGTCGTATCGATTGTATCCTCCGAAGACAATAAGGAGCAAGAACTTGGCTATCACGCGCTTATTATTGCTACTGGGGCAACAGCAAAATCGCCTCTTCATGGGCTCTTTAGTGACCATACCAGAACCGAAGAGGCATGGTCGTTATTTCAAAAGAAACTGCCGAGTGCAAAAAGCATAATAATTGCTGGCGGTGGCCCAACTGGTGTTGAGACTGCCGGTGAACTGGCGAAGTATTTGAATGGTAATGGATCCGGGATTCCCATCACAGTCATCACAAAAGGACGTCAGATACTGCCGGAATTGCCTGTCTCAGTTGCCGAGAAGGCAGAATCTCAGTTGTCCAAATTGGGTGTGTCGGTGATCAAAAATCGCGCTATCGAGAAGGTGACGCCGCCAAATGCCGGATTGGCTGATAGCAAAAATCCAGACTTAAAAAGCGTGACAGATAGTGTGACGATAGCTTTGGACAATGGAGAATCTCTTGAAGCAGACCTTTACATTCCGGCGACAGGGGTCGTACCAAATACTTCATTCGTTCACGAACAGCTACTTGACAACGAGGGCTACGTTCAAGTAGACTCGACATTGCGTGTGAAAAATGCTGGAAATAGAGTATATTGCGTTGGCCATGTGAGCTCAAGCAAACCTCGGGCTATTCATGCCATCATGAACCAAACACCAGTGATTGGAGAGAACTTGAAACGAGATCTGCTTGCTGCCGAGTCTGGTACTGAAGTCAAGGAAAATGACTATCGTGTGCTTGGGCAAGACACGAAGGTGAGTCAGCTTGTAGTCATTGGGAGTAAAGGTGTTGGGTTGGCCTTCGGATGGAAAGCCCCGAGCTTCCTGGTATGGCTGATCAAGGGGAGAGACTATTGGCTTGGTATGACACCAGCGATGTGGAATGGGAAACAGTTCGAAAAGGCGAGCTGAGCGGTTAGTTTATTATGTTATCGTATTTATTGTTTGAATCTAAAATGTTGAATTGGTTATTTTGGTAATTGATTTGGAGCATTGAAATTGAATCTGATTAATCTCTCTCCCACATAGCTATTTCCATTGTTGACATAAGCTCATAATATATTCATAAGGGTATCAGACATATTAACGCCATAGAAAAGCCAAATATAAGTTGATATCTAATCTTCATGTGTGACAGCCATGTCTAAAACTTCAACTCTTCCCCTACCTCGTGTCTCCGTTCCGACGAATTCACTGAGTCCTTTGAAAGCACCTGGCTCAGCAAAACCTACGGCCTCCCATTCCTCACCTACGATATCTTGTGACTCCAAAGATTCGATAAAACTTAATATCTTATCTTTAACATTTGCAGGTGCCTTGGGAGCGGCTGGCTGGACATCGGCTTCCTCGTCATCCTCAGAATCTTGATACTTTTTGCCTTTGCCTTTGCCTTTCTGGCCCTTCTTGTTTCCTTTAGACGGCTTGGATTCTTCCTTGCTGCCGCCGTTTGCCCCTGCAGGTGCTTTGACAGACTGTTTCAAAAGGGGTACAGGGCAGGACACTCGCAGGCGCATGCGGGCACGCATCACTGGGATCGGTTGCCAAGCAATGAGAGCCTTCATCGCTTCGAGCGCTTGGCTCTTAGCTGACTTATTTGTTGAAACACCCTTCCACAACGGTTTGCGTGGTTCCGCGGAAGCCTCCATGTTCTCTGAGCTCTCTCCAGCAGCTGCCTCCCCGTTTTGTTGTTGGTGTCCACTGGCCACAGACAGTTGATTTAATGCCTTCTCAATCATGCCTGGTGTATACACGCGCTTGGTCGACGGATCAACTAATCGCCCAGACACGATATCCACGACTTCCTTTTCAATCCTCTCCAGGATTTCCTTCCGCTCCCTCTCTCCTACTTGGACTTCGCCCTTTCTCAGTATTTCTTGGATCATTTCATCTTGGGACACCCCAGCGCCGAATGCTTTGGTTAATTCTGCTGCCGGGGCGGTCTGGGCTTTGGACACGGACAGGAAGACTGTGTGGATTTGAAGGACATTGTCGATATCCTTTTCGGCACCGGACCGATACTCTAAGAGCTTATTCTTGTAGCAGGCCAATTCGAACCTTTTTTTGCCTGTCGTACATTTTGTTAGTGGGGTTGCGGGGTTGCGGGGTCAGGAGAATGAAGAAATGTGAAGCTGTGTCGAAATGATACAGATTATAACCAGGTAGAAGGGAGTAGAGTTGCATACCTTTCTTTAGCCGTACCACAGACACGTTTGTGAATTTGATTTGGTTGGAAGGCTGATTGATGCCGACAGGCATTGTTGCGGCGAAAAATATATATGGATGAAATCAATGAGAAATCAGGTGGCCTAGAAAGTTCAGAACGAGTAGATATATTTTCAGGACTCAGAAATGATAGCGCAAAAGAGCTCTTATTCAAAGACAGCGAGAAAAAAGACGCAGAAATATATGCTTGTGGCTTTGGGAAGCCTAGCAGATTGTTGTCAGGACGCGAGATGACTCATCATGATGCAGTTGTGCCTGAGGAACAAGGCACAAATATTAAATGCCTCAGGATTAATCAGGTCATGTGAACTGGTGCCTGAAACGGCAATTGAGTTGCCTGGAAACCCCAAGGTGGGGACCTGACGATAGTGGCGGCGGCTGTGGTTGGCCGATTCTGCGCATCCCCGCCTGCAGTTGGTTAGCGCCCAGGCCAAGGTACTCACTCATCCATCATCAGTCAGCTGCAGGCTGCATCCTCTGCTGTCATTCCTCTCACTGACTGTCTTATCTCAACCCAGCTCCCAACACACCTATATTGTCTGGATATCAACAACTTTTCATTCATTTATACTTTAGGTAAGCCCTGAACCCATTTGCCTATTTGTCCTCGTTCATTTTCCAGGTCTCTTCTGCTGACGACCACGACGTCATCGATTCAGGCTCCCATTGCTCGCTATGAGAGTGCTTCCTGCGACGCTCCTCATCGGAGCTACGGCGGCTGCCGTCCGTCCTGCTCAGCAGGTCCTTATGGCACCGGATTATGAAGAAGAAAGCCGTGTTTATGACATTAGCTACGATGATGCGGTTGATGATGGTTATGAGATGGTCTACGAGGATATCCCCGAGGATGTCTACGAGACAGCTGATTCCATCTTTGAGCCTCTTCGTGATCTTCAGGAACAACTCAAGTCGTTTACTTCTGAGACGACCCAGGAGGTCTGGGAGGAGATGGAGAGCATATTTCCAGAAATTCTGGATAACCTTCCGTTCTTCTCATCTCCCAAGACCCACAAGCGTCGCCCTGATTCACACTGGGACCACATCGTCCGTGGCTCAGATGTCCAAAGCATCTGGGTCGAGAATGCCGATGGAGAGAAGGAACGTGAGGTTGGCGGAAGACTGGAGGCTTATGACCTGCGTGTGAAAGCCGTGGATCCTAGCAGCCTTGGAATTGACCCCGGCGTCAAACAATACAGCGGCTACCTGGATGACAACGAAGAAGATAAGCACTTGTTCTACTGTAGGTTTTCATTCAGTGGCACGTCATGTATAGATACTAACATACTTATCAGGGTTTTTCGAGTCTCGAAATGACCCCAAGAATGACCCCGTCGTTCTTTGGCTGAACGGTGGCCCTGGCTGCTCATCTTTGACTGGCCTGTTCTTCGAACTTGGCCCCAGCTTTATTGGTGACAAAGTCAAACCAGTTTATAACCCTTACTCGTGGAACTCCAATGCTTCTGTTATCTTCCTTGACCAGCCCGTCAATGTTGGTTTTTCATACAGTGGTAGCTCCGTTAGCGAGACTAGCGCTGCTGCAAAGGACGTTTATGCCCTTCTCACACTCTTTTTTAAACAATTTCCTCAATATGCTAGTCAAGACTTCCACATTGCGGGAGAATCTTATGCTGGCCACTATATTCCTTCATTCGCCTCTGAAATCCTGTCTCACAAGAAGCGAAACATCAACCTAAAGTCAGTTTTGATCGGTAACGGGTTGACCGATGGTTACACCCAATATGCTCATTACCGCCCGATGGCTTGTGGTGAGGGTGGCTACCCTGCTGTCGTTGACGAGAGTACTTGCCAGTCTATGGACAACTCATTGGATCGTTGCCAGTCCATGATTCAATCCTGCTACGATAGCGAGAGCGCTTGGTCTTGTGTGCCTGCATCCATTTACTGTAACAATGCTCTCTTGGGCCCCTACCAGCGTACTGGCAGAAATGTTTACGATGTTCGTTCTGACTGTGAAGGTGGTAACTTGTGCTACACTGGTCTAGAATACATCAGTGAATATCTTAACAAGCCCGAAGTCCAGAAGGCTGTCGGCGCCGAGGTGTCCAGTTTTGACTCTTGCAACTTTGATATCAACCGCAACTTCCTTTTCCACGGTGACTGGATGAAGCCATTCCACAGGCTTGTTCCGGGTCTCCTCGAAGAAATTCCAGTCCTTATTTATGCCGGGGACGCGGATTTCATTTGCAACTGGCTTGGTAACAAGGCCTGGACTGACGCTCTCGAGTGGTCTGGTCACGAAAGTTATGCTGCTACCGAACTTGAAGATCTTAAGATTGTTGACCAAAAGCACAAGGACAAGAAGATCGGCCAAGTCAAGTCCTCAGGTAACCTCACCTTCATGCGTCTCTATGGTGGTGGCCACATGGTGCCCATGGACCAGCCTGAGGCTAGTCTTGAATTCTTCAACCGCTGGCTCACGGGAGAGTGGGTTAACTGAACTGTTCATATATGAATAATCGTGCTACGGGATTCGGCCATTCTCTGTCTGCTCTTCTCGTTTCGCCTTTCTTTTTGATTTTCTTGAGTATGCTTGTGTGACATTTTGCTCATGTAGGACAAGATGGGTATTCAAGATCGTAGATTGGAAATATCAACACCTTTTTGTTATCGTCTGGATAGCTTTTCCCTGATGTAGATTGTTTATTAAATAGAGATATCTAAAGGACATCCGGGCCATAAACACGTGTAGCACATACTGAGCATTCACTGCTCATCATAATTACTAAGTAGATATTAAGAGCCACTAATATTTCATTATGTACAATAAACAGAGCCAATTCCTGTGAGGAGACATCGACTTTAGGATTTACCTAAAATCATATCTGTGGGAAGGTTAATTGGGAAGCAGGCAAAGCGTTGGAATTGAGGCCAAAGATTGAATTGAATATACTAAATTTATCATCCTCAAAGAAAGCTTTGCAAGATGTCCGACCCAACGCTAAGATCGGACTCGTTGTACCAGGGATCGCAATCGAGATCGTTACCGAGACCATCGACTATCGTCAACGGCCATGTCGGCCAATTAGCAGAGGCATCGTCTATTTCTACAGAGATTGGCGTCTCTCTCTCCCCAACAGGTTTCGTGTATCGCTGTAGGAACTGTAGCATCCAATGGTCCATGTTGAAGGTTGTGTTCATGCTCCGCTGGCATGCTTGGTGAAAATTTCGCAGCCGGGACATGGACAAGTCAATACTGGGCCAGTACTGGCGCAGAGAAATCATCATCTCGAAGTTCTGCTTAAGCATATGTTTCACGTTGGCGATATTGGACTCATCATCGTCAAATAAGAGCGTATGAAGGTGTATTGACGATGAAATAGCAAGAAGGTGACCAATCATCGGCCACATACACTGGCAATCCGGCGTTTGTTTCGTAAGCCACAGAAGATTGCTGAGTTCAGCAGCGTGCTCACGACACCGTGTCGCATATTTGACTATCTTCGCATCATTTTGCGCAGCTTTGGAGATGCTTGGTTGCAAGAATTGATAGTAGAGCAATTGACTAAAATGATGGAAGCCAGTATGCAGAGCCGCTAGACTTCGAGCATGGCCAGTTTTGGCATAGGATTTGAGGTTGTCTGGTGTAGCATGTAGGGCATCTGGAAGACGTAGCTTCCATGAATCGAGTTTGTGTGCAATTCGCTCGACGTGTTCAAACAATTCGAAGTTGGTGAGTCTATTCCTAACCGTCATTTCGTGCATTTCATTGATGGGTGCAATGACTTCTGTCAGAGGGATCATCTGCGCCCAGATACCGTACTGGGCCCTACATTCGGCGGGGTACATAGTTGGATCAAACATTTCAGGACTAAGCTGTTCAAAGGCATGCTCCTCCATGGGGAGTGGAAAATTAAGGTCCACGGTAAGCTGTCGCGGTATGCGCGCCCCGGCATTCGTCCAGTTTTCCAACATCCAAACGGTCCACCATACTGTAGCACATGATATTAGCCATGCTAGTGATGAATTCACAAGTGGTATTCTACCTCGAATCGCCGTTTCCCGCTGGATAGGGTTACTTGGCAATGAATCAGTCAGGCGGCCTTTCAGTTGAATCATACGGATAGCCTGGGCGCCATATAGAGACTCCATTTCCATTTCACCCTCACAAAAGGCAATGGTTGAGAGTAAGACGCAAGCTTGAATAGCAGCCAGTGACACTACTTCTATGCGACTGTCAAAAAGGTGTTTGCTGTAATTGGCCCAGAGCCTCCCTCTGCTCCACCGCTCAGAGTTTCCTGGCCATATGTTCGAAGCGAATCTGTAGAAGAATTTCGGTTATGAGCAACTGCTCGAACAAAAAAACTACAGCTCCCCTACCAAGCGGAAAGACTTTAAAGTTTTTTGAGATTCATACCTAGCTCCAAGTGCCATCATAGCAGAGACATGCATCATATCCGCCAAACCCTGACGCTGGGCTGTGATAAAGGAGGGTCGGTGGAACAAGGCATGGTCCTTGTCGTGGATTAGGTCAAAATAAAGATCGACTAGCTGATTGCAAATCTCTTGACTAGGAAATATCTCCGTATTCCTCTCAGCAATAGCAGAACCAGATGGAATAGGAGCTTCTATGAATGCTTGGTGGCTGCAAGGGATGTTCAACCGTAGACATCTTTTGCAAGCCGACCTTCCCCAGGAAGCGTGGCATTTACGTTTGCGCGCACTGTGTGTAGTTTAGATCTAGATTTGCTTTTTAATGATTTGGATATACGTACTGACATTCACTGCAGGCATGTTGAGGCCTTCCTTGCTTATTCAAGCTATGCATGTTGGGCGCCCCCCGGCTTCGACTTTGTGGCATGGCGGTTGTAACTGGTCTTACGGCATTGTTAACTGAAAGTGTAATATCTGGGGATCTTATCGCCGTCTGCTTTTCCCCAATCGGTGCCACAATTTCCATCCACGTAGCCGGCTTATCAGTGCGGGGTCCGCGCGTTAAAGTTCAACTTATTCTGACCGAACAACTTGCGAACTTTTGAATTTAATTGTTGACAGTCCTGCTGACAGTCATACCTCGTCTCGTTAGTCTAGATATCCTCGTCGTGAGGCATAAGAATGACAGCAAAACTCTCCGACTATAATTCAAGCAATCTATAAAGCTTAGATAAAGACACATTGAATAACGCTAAAGACGTCATGGTTTTGCGTATGGAATGTATTTTACGCTTCCCTAGACCATAGCAACTAAAGTCTCATACGGCCTTAATCTGATTTTTTCCCAGCGTCCACCTACGAGCCTTATATCGTTCCGGCTCGCATAATTACCTAGCTCACTTACAATGGCATTGCTGTTGCATATGGTTGTATCCGTCGATAGATCAAGCAAGAAATGTCTCGCCCTTTGAGGGATTTTCCACCAGATCTCTTCAGCACTGAAGCTAGCTACGATGAGTGCCTGACTGGGCTCCGTCACCTTTTCACCGTCGGTATTGATAGCAGGATTGACAGCACGGATGTATGCGATAACATTCTCTTCAACGTCTATATTCAGCATTTCGAAGACACCATAAACAAAAATGTCCATGTGATGCTTTCGCAGCTTCAATGCCTTCCGCCAGTGGTGGAAACTGGACCCTGGATCTGCCACCGCATTGGCAACATTCCAGGCGGGATAGTCAGGGTGGATAGGCATCCATGGCACAGTGTTGTCAGAATTCGTGGGCATGAAACCTGCATGTGGATATTGGGAATTCCACTGCATTGGTGTGCGAGTATTGTCCCGTCCAACTAATCGGTACCTTTCGCGATACATTTGCTGCTTCAGTAAATCGCCCGGGTAGTTTTCGAGAACAGTTTCCCAGTGATTTAAACACTCTATATCTTTGTACTTGTCCATACCCCACTCGCGGGGAAGGTTTGCCATAGCTAACTCTTGACCCTGATACAGGAAAACTGTCCCGGATTGGAATGCGAGGTGATTTGCCAGCATTTTCGCCGATAATGTCCGCAGGGCCGGAGTGTCAGATGCGTAACGGCTGACAGTACGACCCATGTCGTGGTTCTCCATGAATAGCGCATTCCATCCTGAGTTAGAAAGCATAAAAGTTTGCCATTTGTTAACGATTTTCTTTAGGACCGTTGGGCTGAACGTTCCTTGTTCAAATCTTCCACTGGGACCGACATCAATGGAGTCTCTATACATGATTAGGTTAGTCCAAGCCGCAAACATCAGTTGGGCTTTCAGTTTCGCGAACGCATACGATGTCGCCAATATTACCCTGTTTCGTGAATATTTCATGGGTGCGGAAACATGTCGGAGAGAGTAAAAGGCAGAGACTTGATCTTTGAAACTTAGGAAATTATGGTTTCTTACTTACATCTCAAACTGAAATGCCATCGCCAACTCTCCCCGTTCTTGACCGACGGCTTTCAAAATGTCCTCAGGCTCAGCGTCTGGCATTTCGCCGACGCTAAATGCGTCATATTCCTTGAGAATTTTTCCAATGTCCTGCAAGTACTCGTGCAATCGGGGCCCACAAGAAAAATGTTCAGCAGCTTTCTGCACAAATCCTGGCTTTCTGACCTTGGCGTTGGGCAGTCCAGGCTCTTTGGAGATGTAGTTGATGACGTCCATTCGAAACCCGTCAACGCCACGATTCAACCAAAAGCGTATCACGTCATGCACCGCCTCAACAACCTGCGGATTTTCCCAGTTCAAGTCAGGTTGTCCGGACGCCCAGAGGTGAAGATAATATTCCTGTGTTGTCTCATCCCAGGTCCACGCGCTGCGACTGAAGAAAGACTCCCAATTGTTTGGTGGCATGCGTTCGCCTGTCTGAGCATGCCTGCGAGCAGGTCTCCAGATGTACCAATCTCGATAACTGCTTGTTTTTGAAGACCGAGATGCCTTGAACCAAGGATGTTGATCTGAGGTATGATTCACGACCAGATCCATTACGTACTTCATCCCACGGTCATGGAGACCCTTGATGAGGGCATCATGGTCCGCCATCGTTCCGTACGGTGGGTATATTTTCTTGTAGTCGGAAACGTCGTAACCCATGTCAACCTGGGGAGACTGTAGGACTGGAGATAGCCATACGATGTCGACACCCAATTTTTTGATGTATTCGAGCTCAGAGATGATTCCCGGGATATCGCCCAGTCCGTCCCCATTGCTGTCCTTGAATGAGGCAGGGTAAATTTGATAGACTGAGGCCTCCCGCCACCACGCGCGTTTGATAGGTGGTATAGATTGCATCGCTGTGACTTTTCATAGGTTGGTATTAGATGCAGGCTTGCTTAATGAGTTTAAACATAACCACGATAGCATTTGTAGGAAATAAAAAAAATCTGACAGAATAATGTAACCTGCAGGGTTGACAAGTGAGGTATGTACTTCTGCCATCCTGATTGGAGCCAAACGATCTTCGTACCATTTTACATGGGTGCGGAAAATGGCGGGCCCTCGTGTATCTAATCAAGGCCGATGAGAAGTGATAGCAGATAATCAGCGGCTTGTTTCGGGAAATTTTATTGAATTCTCGTGGTTATTTAAACGAAAGCTAGAAAGACGCATTAGTTGACTTGGCCTGGAACTTAAACGGCGCTTGATTAGACAATAATTCTATACTACATACACAGTTCACAATTGGGGTTGCAAAATTTGCTCCAACAGGTAGTGGATCCGTGTAGACAAAATATAAGTTTGATCAAGAAGCGGAAAAACCTTGCCCTAATAGGCAAGGGGTGCGGGAAAAGAATTCATGTAGTATGAATGAAGTATGAGGCTGGCCGAACTCTGTGCTCCGCTCTAACCAGCTCCCTTGGAGAGAATCTCTCCAAGAGCGTGACGCGATCAATTGATTGAATACAGGGTTTGAATAGCAATCGGTCAACTTTCTATAAATGAGCCCAAGTTATCTTTATCATGTCAAGGCAAAATCAAAATCGACACAATAGCATATGTCACTCCTCGTCACAGAAATGCAGTCTACGAAGCAACCTTCCTGTGTTCCGCGACGGTCGTCTGTCTTGACTCTACTCGTTTTTCTTGTCGTTTTGGTTAACTCAATGGTAAATCTCAATCAATTCGAGTCTATTCAACTCCGGAACAAATTATCTGACTCTTGCAGACCTTAGGCTACGATGGAAACATGATGTAAGATACGATACGGCTTCTTTTCAATATTGCCACGCTGACGGGGCAACAGGAACTCGCTAATGATCCTGCCCTCTTTTTCGGATTACATGCACTTTACGACAGCTACACAATCACTAAGCTCTTCTATAATATGGATTGGTGGGGCGGCCATTGCACCCTTTGGCGGTCCTTTCGTTGATAAATTCGGTCGCAAGAATGGTATGCTTGGAGCCGCTGTAATATCTTTTATTGGTATTGCCCTACAAGGGTCCTCGCAGAATGCCGCGATGTTCATGGTTGCTCGTTTCATTCTCGGAATGGGAGTGGGATTCGGCTCAATTGCCTGTCCGACTTATGCTTCCGAAGTCGCGCCGACAAAATATCGAGCTTTCCTGCTGGGCTTCTACTATGACATCTGGTATTTTGGGGGCATGATTGCAGCCCTAATCACCTATAAAACAGCTGAGCTCCAAAGTGCCTGGTCTTGGAGGTTACCATCTCTTTTACAAGCTATCCCGAGTATCTTAAGTGTGGCTTTGCTGCCATTTGTTCCTGAAACCCCCCGATGGCTTGTTGCACAAGGAAAGAATGAGGAAGCACTTCAAGCCTTGGCTATTATTATCGCTGACGGTGATGTCACTAACACCGAGGTGAACATGACATACAGTCAAATTGTCGGAACCATTGCCTATGAGAGAGAAAATCCTGCCTCTCATGGTTGGCTTGCAGCAGTCAAAACCCCATCTAACCGGAGACGGACTACCCTTGCCATATCTGTCGCTCTTATTGGAAATCTGAGCGGAAGTGCAATTGCATCGTAGGTGTTGGCCGGACGAGAATATCCTACTTTCACTAATGATAAATCAAGATACTGGCTAGGGACCATGCTCAGTCAAGCCGGTATTAGCGACACATACAGTCAACTACAAATCAACATTGCCCTTAACGTATGGTGTCTGGCCTGTGCTGGAACTGGCACACTTATTGCAGACAGGGTTGGGCGAAAAATGCTCGCGATCGGAAGCTTATTATTCGCCCTTGTCTCCCTATATCTAGTAGGAGCTTTGACAAAATGCGAGTTATAAACATGATTATTCTAAAAGATTTTGCTAACCACTGTGTGCAGTGTACGGCACTTCCACTGACACTTCGGCAATCTATGGGACTGTTGCATGTATCTTCTTGTTCCAAGGTAAGTGACAATCACACGAGATGTAAATGTCTATTAATTTGCTGTAGGTGGATATAGTTTTGGATGGACTACGTTACTTGTCATGTACCCGCCAGAAGTATTAAACTTCTCCCTCCGTGCAAATGGCATGGCTATATACACGTTCATGTCTAACTCGGCCTCGTAAGTACTAATTTCTGTTCTTTGTTCTGTTCCTCACAACGATGTATGCCCGTACTAACAAGTGGATTATTCAGGGTATTTGCTACGTTCATTATGCCCTTTGCACTTAATAGTATCGGCTGGAAAACCTACATGATTAACGCCTCATGGGACGTTTTGGAGGTCATTTTTGTAGCCCTCTTCTGGGTGGAAACCAGCAAACGGTCGCTAGAAGAAATTGACGAGCTCTTTGAGGGAGAAATTCATTCCAGCAATGATAATTTTGTGTCAGGCTATGCAATTGAAGGCGCCAATACGTCCTGCGTGAGGCTTGAATCGCTGCGGCCAAAAGATGAAGTCAAAGATAAAGAGTCACTTGGTTAACCTACACGAGGGTGCCAAATCATACAATCAGACATCCGAAGCGATCTTGATTCCCTAAGTAGATACTATAAAATTGGTATTCATGGAAACACGTCAGGTAGGTTACTGTAGATAAATCAATTGACCAATTAATATAAATTGTATAGTATTCAAATGCTCATCTCCTCCATCTCTGAAAACAAATCGAAGATTTATTGAGAATTACTACCACTTAGCCTCTTTCTACCTCTCATTCTCCTCTGCAGGTTTTGTATAGTAGATTTTTCAGTTATTGCGATGGCTGTAAGGCATGAAGTTGAAACTACAATGTACATGAAGATATTAAACGTTGAATAAGTCGGGAATACGTACTTTAATGTTTGACACGCAAATCATCGTTTAGAACTAGATTTGGTTTTTTTAATTTTGATCTATCAGTTAGCCATTGGTGCCTAGAATTGCAAACCAGCTTTCAATTGCAGTTGATATCATAATCCATCTCTCTTGAATTAACACCTACTTAACAGCAGTTTTAATACTACCCAGCGCATAGAACGCCAGTAGTTCTACTCTGTACTTTTCCCATTTATGGTAAACTCCTCCTTTGTTGGGGTTCCCTCTGCCTCCACCGCAACAATGATTTCAGATGCATCCAAGTCTCCGAATCGAAAAGCAACCTCCTCCAGAGGAACCCTGGCCGTCTCCACCCAGAGAAAGTATACTGCACCCAGAAAGACGAGATTGTAAGCAGCGTTGATAAAGTAGAACTTCCAGCCAAGATTTTCCATTGCAAAGCTCATCGAAAAAGACGCCATTAACCTTAAGAACTACGTTAATATACTCTTTTTTGCTTTTTTTTTCACTCAAAAGTGAAAGATTTGAACATATTGAAAAGAGGAGACAAACCCAAATCCGGAATCCAAAAATCGGAATACAGCAATTCCTGCGTTTCGGATTTTGATCGGTAGAACTTCGGTTGGATATACGCTGGTCATTGGAGTGATAGCGATCGAGTAAAATCCCTGAAAGAGAAACAACATCGCGATGGTCCCGTAGATGCCGCTCTTATCCTGGCCTGTACCATATACTATGATATCCCAACTTTTGTAAGATATTTGCTTCAAAGACATAATAAAGATGAAAAATTGACTATTGAAAATAAATCTTACCCTTTGTGAGACCGCCAAATATGAATAATGAAACAATCATACACACAATTGCAGTGAGCGTTTGTGGACGTCTACCCCAAATGTCGAGCAAAAAGCTACCAACAATAGCCACCACAAGGCTCCAACAGCTGAGGATCACGTTGATCTGCAGCTGTGTTGTTGGGTCTGTGATTCCGGCGAGAGTAAGCATATTCCCAAGATAATATCTGAGGTTTTGCTTTTCATCAGTATTAACCATTATAATTGATGCAAGCGAACGGGACTCACGAAATAACAAAATTCCCCAAGAGCTCAATCATAACACCAAAACTAATGATGATTCCTAGCCGCCTCAAATTCGCTTTAGTTGAAACTAGTTCAATCCAGGGGTTACGGGGAAACTTCTCTTTCTCCCGGGTCAAGACCGCATCGATGTTGTTGAACAGATTGGTCAGCTGAGGATTATCGATATCATCTTCTCCATTCACCACTGCTAGGATCTCTTTTGCTTCCTCCCGCTTGCCCTGAAGGAGCAACCAGCGAGGGGACTCGGGTATAAATGGCAAGATTAAAATAGAGAGCAGACTCGGCACGCACTGCAGAATAGAAGGGATCCGCCAGGACCAAGTATTGGAGATATCTGCAAATCGATAATTGATGCCGGCCGCCACCAGACTGCCGACGTAGAAACATGAGAAGAAGAACCCGAGCACAAACCCACGTTTCGAAGGAGGCAGGATCTCGCCGATTAATACCGGACAGGCTCCGCTGGAGATTTGGGCACCCAGGCCAACAATAATGCGGCCAACGACAAACATGACGATGTTTTGCGCTGCAGACTGGATAATGCAGCCGACAAAGCAGATAATAGCTGATACCAAAATCGCCGTTTTGCGACCAAAATAGTCTGGCACTGGTTGAATCAGAAAGCATCCTAGGATACTGCCAATCCAAGACGCAGCAGTATTGAGCCCAGTGGTCGCCGTGTTCAGATGAAAATACTCCTTGTACTGCGGAAGGATGTTGAGGCCGTTTAGCATCGAGGAGTCATAACCGAGCGTCTATATACGATTCTCATTTAGTATGCCGTTTATCATTCGTACATGCAGCCTTGAGATGGGTATAAATTCATACCGCAGAGTTCACGACAGCAGCCGCAAGCAGTAACACTGTTGTTATCTTGGGGTTTTTCGGCACTAGGCGAGACACATATCGTCGCTGTAGAGTATGACCTGCCATATTGTTCCTAGATACTTCAAATGTTGTATATTCTAGGACTTGTACTAGAATTGACGGGTAGTGATTCAACTGCTCGTAGACTGCATTATATATCGGTGGCCTTATCATTACGCATGCATCAGTTTCACTTCTAGAGTTTGCTGATAAGGCTTGGAAAACCTTGACGGAAGTCGCCGATACTGTGCATTATTGCAAAAAGTACACTATAGGTCAACTGGTACAACTGGTTGCTATGATAAATAATAATGAAACGAGGATTCACTCGAACTGTTCTGGAAACTCTATTGGTGACGGGTGAGCTCGGGCGGGCTCGGGTGAGTTTTGCATTGACCAAAAAACTTACTTTATTGGGAAGCCTCAACATGTGGAGTACCTCGAACTGTTCTGTGCTAATTGATGACCCTTCAACTTTACGTAGATGTATATAAAGGGGGAATGGCTCTCTATTGCACTTCTTGTTCTACTGGTTAAACTGGAGTTCGATATACCCTCTTAAATTTACCGGCAGACTCGATTCGGATCACTATAATATCTCTTCTTGCCCCCTTTGCGTTACTGAACCATGCGTGAGGAAAGCGCACCATGGCCTGAATGGCGCGAATTTGTCGAAGACAAGTCGACTCTCCAAGAGTATGAGGGAGACCCTGAATTTCTCGCGATTAAGAAACAGATCGACGAGGAATACGGCGAAGAGAAACTGCGACGCAGCTGGCTGAAGACATGTGCCGAGTTGGAAGAACTCACTGAGGAGATCAAAGAAAAAGGTTCCCAGATAATCCCGATTATTGACATGGCGGATGTTAGACGCGGCTGCGTTGCAATCAAGGACGTGGCTGAGATCCGCCGCGTTGGCTGCTTTGTTGTGAGAAATGTGATTGAACAGTGTGAAATGGACCGGTTGTATCGAGATCTCAAAAATTACCTTTCTATCAACAAGGGGCGATATACGGCGTGGCCACAGGACAGTCCATCCATTTTCAATCTCTACAACACGCCCACCCAAAATGCGCTGCGCATACATCCGAACCAACTACAACTTATGCGTTGGATCAATGGTCTTTGGAATTATCCAAATGACGATGAAGAAGCGTCTCCTCAACCACTCCTATATGCCGATGCCGTTCGTGTCCGGCCGGCGAAACAAACATTTCTAGGTTTGGGTCCGCATATCGATGCTGGAAGTCTTTGTCGATGGGGTGATCCAGCCTACCGGAAAGTCTACCATGAGATATTTGCGGGAAATTCAGAGAATCATGATATATTCGATATGGGAAAGCGAAAAGATGCAAACCAAGCCTTGTACCTGGGAGGAGCACACTCTACCGTGATGAGAGCTTTCCAAGGCTGGACTGCGATTTCGAAAACCGCACCGCGCGAAGGAACCATTTTATTATACCCCAATGTCAAGGCCGCCATTTCCTATGTGATGCTTCGACCATTCTTCAAGCCTCCGAGTGACAAGTCCAAAATTTCCGATGCTAGTCAATGGACTTACGATCCGTCCAGTAGCTGGTTTCCAGGCACATTCAAACCGCAAAGTCAGCTCTTGAGCCCAACCTCACACCCGCACTTGAGATTGAAAGAATGCCTAATCCACGTCCCACCGATAGAACCAGGTGATACGGTATGGTGGCACACAGATGTAAGATCCTAAAACCTGCTCTGATAATTCAATATTCTGACAGTACAACAGATGTGCCATGCCGTTGATGCTGAACATGTTGGAAACATGGATGCCAGTGTTGCGTATATTGCTGCCACGCCAAATACCCCTATCAATAAAGCATATATGCAGCATCAATATGACAGGATGGTTGTTGGCCATCCACCACAAGACTTTGTTAGTAATGGTGTGGATGAGTCCGGCTTCGAAGAGTTCCAAGGTTTCGAAGGAAACCCAGATATCTTCAAGAGTTTGATGGGTTATTAGCCTTAGTTTGTTGGATTCATGATTAGCTGCTGTTAAGATATCAATGTAGATTAAATTCGGCTATTTTGTTACTCAAAATCTCGGCGGCTCGTTTGGCTATTAGATTGCGGTCTCTGGCCTGTTCCAGTAGTTTTATACAGTGCAAAATATGTGTAATCCACTTGGAAGCTTCGACACCGCCACTTTGTTGTTGTTGCCGTGCATCTGATATCAGTGTCAATCCAGCATTGAAGAGACGAAGGGTGTAAGTCCTATGAAAGTTAGTCCGAAATAGCCATAAGATATGGTGGCTCTAACCCATATCGTCTTTGGTGAACGGGAATATTGGTACTAGAAGTAATTGAGATTATCATCTGAGCCGATTCCGTACATATTTTGCGAGCACCGTTGGACCGTTCAGATGAGATAGACGGCACTTGGAGCAAGCTACGGTTGATGAAAATTCGATAGCTGAGTAAAGCATTACACAAATCCACTCGCTGCCATTCCATCCAAGGACATTGAGCGATGGTTGCCGCATCGGTGGCATGTTGACCATCAGGCTGTAAATAAAATGGGAGGTTGTCGAGAACGGCAGCAAGTTGTTCGTTGGCTGTTGTAACCAGGTCCCCCAGGGGTTGGGTTCTGCCACGGGAGGCTCTCTGAAATCGATAATAAATCGTCGCAATCTGCGCAATAACTCGATGATACACCCATGCGCTAGGAAGTTCTGGGATCTGTTCACTGATATTCAAAGAATTATGGTACTGACTTAGGTGCGGACGACCTGACACACTGGGAAATTCCATATCGAAGTCTTCCTCTGAAATACATGGTCGATGAGAATCAAGAGTTAACCTGTGGCATGTCAGCGCCAAGTGTTGCACCATAAACACGTGCAGCACGTACCATTCACAGATTACCAGAGTCCACCATAGCCGCCGTGACCATTCACATTGACGTAAATCGTAGCCTTGCTCAGGAATGTATGGCAATTTCAACCAACTGGCTATTCGGATGCCAAGCGGCAGCAGGCAAGAGCGAAGACGGAAATCGCCCACGGCACTACAGCACATTTGGAGGATGGCTATCGACTGAACGCTACGGATATCGAAGTTTCGTAGGTAATCAGCTTGTTCAAGGCAAAACAAAGATGCGCCATACCAGTTGGCGAGTAGCGTTGAGACACTATCTATCGAAAGCATCAGTTAAAATGGCACAAACACAAAGTATGCCTATGCAGCGGATACCCTCGGATATATCAGCCTCAGCTGTATCAATGGTCAAGAGCGATGCTGCAAGTGACGCGAAAAAAATAGCCAGCCAGGCAGGACAGTTCTCCTCGATCGTATGGCCTTGACCTAGCCAGTTCCAGAACCTGTTGTGTTGTTCTTCAAAGGAGGCATGATCAAGTGCACAATGAATCCAGGAAGTCCATAATCTTCCATGTTCAACCAGAGTCATGCTTTGATGGCGAGAAGGCAAGATGATATCTCCCCAGGCTTTGATGGGTGACGAAAATTGAGGTATTGATGTTCCCTCGAGGCTGGCTAGAGTAGTATCATCCACGCGAGAGCTAGTTGGTTGCGGTGGTTCAGCGCACGTACTATGGATGTTCTCTGTGGGTATACTTCGAATGGGGTTACGAGTCTCAGCCTCAGGCTCTACATCCTCCGCTCTTCAGAAGCACAATCAGTCTATACCCCGAAGCTGGGAAGAGGTTGGTGATAGGACATACACGGTGATGACCCCACGAACAATGACAGGTTCTCTTGTACAACGGGCGGCTTGGCCGCGTTTTCTGCATGGTCGACATGGGATAACCTTATTGCATTTGATTTTCCGGCTTGTACACTCGCTACAGCTGCGAGGGGCTCTTTGCGTAGATCGCATTGTGCTCCCTTGGAGGATTACACGCTGGTTGGATAGGTCTCCGTGAGTGCACAACGGACTTCCTGCGCTACGCTTAACCTTAACCTGGCTAGTCCCAGGCCCAACAGGTACGTCGAAGTTAAAATGAGGATCATGGAACAACTGATCACACCCGTGGTGTTGTTTAACCATGCATAAATATGTAATCAAGCTGAGTGATTTAGCGTCGCACGTCTCTTTTATATAGTTACAATGGTAGCTGCTGCGTAGCTCATGTTCTACAAGTGTAGGAAGATTTCCACAAAGTAATATTGAAAGATTAAAAATGCTCATTCATTGATCGGGTTCATGTTTGGTGGTATATTCTTTTTCATTTTTGAAAATCTTATTTTGGTGGTGTTACTAATCACATGATAACACCGAGAAGCCCTGGATAATATATCATGAAAGAGCCATTTTTGCCCCCAAGCACACACAGCCAAGCATTAAAACACCGCAATAAATAATGCAAAGAAAAGTTCTTCGTAAGTCTTAGCCCTTCTTCTTGCTGACACCGACGGTTCGGCCACGGCGACCGGTGGTCTTGGTGTGCTGGCCACGGACACGGAGACCCCAGTAGTGACGGAGACCACGGTGGGAGCGGATCTTCTTCAAGCGCTCGAGATCTTCACGGAGCTTGGAGTCGACACCGTTGGAGATAACTTGGGAGTCCTTGCCATCGGTGATGTCACGCTGTCTGTTGAGGAACCAGCTGGGGATCTTGTACTGGGTGGGGTTCTGGATGATGGTGACGATACGCTCGAGCTCTTCGGAGGTGATATCACCGGCACTATTATAACATTGTCAATTCCACGTTCAAATTTAGTCGCGTATTTATTGTGGGTAAAAAGCGTACCGCTTGCTCAGGTCAACATCGGCCTTCTTGCAGACCAAGTTGGAGTAACGACGACCGACACCCTTGATTTTGGTCAGGGCGTACATGATCTTCTGCTTGCCATCAACATTGGTGTTGAGCAGACGGATAATGTATTGGAAGTTGGACTTCTCGCCGGATACGAGCGCTGTAGTAAGAAAAAGAAGTTAGCGATGACTATCTTGCACGTCTATTTTCGTTGTCTGTTGATGCGCCCAGATCGAATTTTCAATTTTTTCCATCCATTCTTTCTCAACGTCGACCTCCTGCTGCTATCTCCTCCAAGCAAACAGACATGAGGCATCACGGCGAATGAACAGTGGAAAAGGAGAGCACGTACACATGATGGGCAATGGCGCTCCGCAGTAGCCGGATGTTGTGGTGTCGAGATTGTCGAAGGCGAGTGCAGAGAGTAGAAGAACGAGGCCAGCGCTCGCTTCTGCCAATGCGTTGTGGGATGGAGAGCGGTCTAACCTGTTGGGGCATAGCTGGGCCGAGGGCTCGCTTGAAATCCGCTAGTCTGTATTTAGAATGGTGGCTTGGCTAGTCTGGGCTCTACACCAAGCTGGGAATTGAGGACCCCACGTGACTTGTAGCTTCCCCAGTTCCCAGCCTTGGACGTCTGTTCCAGGACGGTCCTTGAACTGCGTGCTGTACTCTAATATTAACTTGAGAGGCAATTCTCATAATATGAGACCTACAGGAGTACTTTGATTGGTCCTTTGATTGCTCCAAGAGGGGAAAACTACAAGACCACCGGTAGCAGATCATAATAATGGTACGGACAATATGAACACACAACTTACCACCGCCCTTGATGGGCTGGAGAACAAACTGAACTCCTTACTTTCCTCTCTCACAACACCCTCAGCTGCAGGCGCTCCTACTGCTGCTATTGCTCTGCTTGAGGCCGACGACGTTGTTACCTCCGCCCTTGATACCTTACGAATCCACCAAGCCAACTACACAAAGATCCTTCGTCTCCGAGCCGAGGCAGAAAGCCTAGAAGAGCGCATAAAAGGAATAGTGCGGGATATTTCAGTAGCCGGCCAGGAGGTCGCGGACGCTACGGGCGATAGTGACGATGATTATACCGATGAGGATTCTGAAACGGATACAGAAAGTGATGATGAAGTGGCTAAGAGCAAACCAAAGAAGGGGAGAAGGAAAGAAGTAGACTACCGACTACTCCTGGACTTTGCACGGCGAATTAGCAAGTACAATAAACAAGCAGCGGCCGACGCAGCGACTGGGATTGGAAGTGATGGGACGAAGAAACTACAAGAGAAACAAACTCAAGATACAGACATGACGGATGACAATGGCATCGATACGACAGATCATGATGGTCAAGAAGTGACTGTAGGAACCGTCACTAAAGAAGCAACAAGCTGGCTCGAAGAGTCCGCAGATGCGGATCGGCAGGTTTTCATGATTCCGTATCCAAATGAGGACCGCATTCGAATGGGGTTGATGGGGCAGCTACAAATGACAGCGATGGATCAAAATCTCGACGTGGAGAAGGAGGCAGAGCGGATGGTGCAGGAAGCAGAAGGGACTGCTCTGTCAGGAGGTGAGGCTGCCGGGCAGGATAATAGTCTTGCCAATGAATCTTCCAAGACTGCCACGCATGCTGGAGCGCGCGTCACAGAGAGAGGACCAGCACCAACTGCAAGGGCACCTGCACCACAGCTTAAGGCGACCCTAGATTTGGACTTGTACGACCCAGATGAAGATGACTAGTTTCTGTCGCCAGTTAGACGACAATTTTGTATATAAATATGGAACGAACGAAACTCGCGCGTAGGAAATTAATGAATTTGATTATTACTTCAACACATCGCTTCTATACACGTCAAATCCGTTTCACATTATATATCGCCCATATGATGCGCACTTGAATTCGCCGCCCACTTTCTACACCTCTTTCTCCAGAAATAGAAGCCAATTCCAAAAGAACATGACAAAACTACGAGGTACATGTTCATCATTGTTGGCGACACATAACCGTCTTCAATGACTCGACCCGTTCAGTTATGAACTTGCTAAAGCCGTACCCCATAGATTCCTGTTCACGGTGACGGTAAGAAATATAGAGCTCTCAACGGGCTTATAGCTATCGACAGCATAGGTGCTCGCACGAGAAAATAACTTCTGGCCATCCTCAAACGTTTCGGAATAAATCCCATATTCCCCGCAAAGAGGATCGAAATCTATCTTGGCCTCTTGTTTTAAATAGCCATATTCTAGCCGAGTAACAAGCACCGGTTGTTGATAAGTGCAGGCTATACTAGTCTACCGCCTGTGATATTGGGTAGATTGGCATTAATCACTTTAAAGGCCGGAATGTAATTTTTGCCATCTGCATTTGTGAAGGTAGCTCTGTAGGGCAAAATTACCTTATCGGAACCACCTCCGATAGATTCCAGTGCCTGATGAAAAATCGTTATTTCTGATATACGTGAGACATTATCATAATAGGAGTACTGATTCGTTTATTAGAATAGCATACTAGATAGAAGAAATCTCTGTAAAAGAAATGTTGAAGTTCATACTCTGCTGTAACATCTTACTGTGAAAACGTCATGATGGAGGAAGTAATCTCCGGACTTTGATAACGCATTACTTGAAGAACAGTCACCTATTATTCTTTGCCTCTTGAATTTACAACCCTACTACCGTGAATCGGTCAGATTAGTCCATGACTCTACGTCCGAAGTACGACAGTATATCTGTAATCACTTGTGTGGCCCCGATTTTCGCCCCTGAAAGATCTCCAGCAATTCCCCACGAATCCGCAAAGTAAATGAAAGCGGTGATAAGTATATTTCTATATATACAGGCCATAATCCTTACCTTTTGTTGCCACATTATTGGTGCAAGCATTCCAGTCCAGAGGAAGTGACGGCTCCCCAACCGACATGCGAGAGAGCACTGGACCGCAATCTGCCGGCTTCATATTCCAGATTTCATGATAGTGGCATTCAATGGAAGATTGTAACTAGACGTCTTTCCAAGGCTCTGATATTGCACCGGAATCTTTTCCGTAGCGATGTATGCGCCCGAAAGCTTCCTGAGCAATGGTTCTGACGTCAAGCTATCGCGGCTTTGAAACGCGGACAAATGACTCGTTTGCCCGCAATGAATTCCCCAGAAATGACGATGAGTCGTGTCCCCAGACAAGAAATACATGTCTGAATGCCTAGAGTTCGTTATTATAAGAGCTTATCCCGGGAATTGCCATCCTTCCTCCCAACTAGACAAGCTGCTTGACTAATATGGTCCCCTTCTTCACACCCGAGAGAAAAGCTCGTACTAAGAGTCATACATCTTCCATATTTTATCATATAATTATACATTACGATGTCCCATGCAGCCCATGATGGTGTGCCTGACGGCGGCGTTCCCGATGGGACAACTGGTGCCCACGTTGCTGATGGAAACGCGGAGAAAGAAGAGTCAAGAATGCCTTCCTATGGCCAACGCCGGTCAACCATGGACGAAAAGCATCGTTCCGATGGGAAAATAGTCATCACTGAGGCCGATATCTACGACAAGCTAGGATTTCGCTATCCGTGGTGGAAAAAATGGGCCATCATATCTGTCATTGCTTTGGTGCAGACGTCAATGAACTGGAATGCCAGTTTCTATGCTAGTTCCGTTAAGCCAATCGGAAAGCATTTTCACGTTTCTCAGCAAGCGGCTCGTGTTGGGCAGATGATCTTCTTGGTATGCTATGGCTTCGGAAGTGAGCTGTGGGCTCCCTGGAGTGAGGAGATTGGAAGATGGCCAATCCTACAACTTAGCTTGTTTTTTGTGAATATCTGGCAGATACCATGCGCCCTTGCTCCCAACTTTGGAACCATCATTGTTTGTCGAGCTTTGGGTGGTTTGTCGTCTGCTGGCGGTTCGGTCACTCTTGGAATGGTCGCTGACATGTGGGAGCCTGATGACCAGCAATTTGCCGTTGCCTTTGTTGTGCTGTCTTCCGTTGCTGGATCGGCCTTTGCACCTATTGCTGGCGGACCAGTCGGCGAGTGGCTAAGCTTTCGTTGGAATTTTTGGATCCAGCTGATACTCGGCGGCACTGTTCAAGCAATCCACTTTTGGGTGCCAGAGACACGCTGCAGTATTTTACTTGACCGAGAGGCTAAGAAACGGCGGAAGAACGGAGAGAATGTGTATAGTATCGGTGAGGTTGAGAAGAAGAAGTTTTCTATGAAGCCTATCATTATCGTCTGGCTGCGTCCTTTCCTTATGTTTGTACGTGAGCCTATTGTGCTGTGGCTCTCACTACTGTCTGGATTTTCCGATGCCCTGATATTCACGTTTTTGCAAGCTTATACCCCGGTGTACAAGCAATGGGGATTTGGACCTGTCCGCACAGGACTTGCGTTTATTCCGTAAGTTTATCTAACTTCTGGTTATTTAGGGTTTATTGGAAACTGACCTAAATGTTTAGAATCATTATTGGGTATGCCATAGCGTATTTGTCGTTTCTGCCATGGATCAGCAGACATACGAAGATCAGAAAGAGAGATCCTGACGCCTTGCAACCAGAGTCACGGTTGTATTGGTTACTTTTTAGTGAGTGTCATACGAGTGCTAGTCTAGGGAAAAGGAACTAACAACAATCAGCCGCGCCTCTGGAAACTATAGGTCTCTTTGGGTTTGCATGGACCAGCTTGGGTCCACCGCATGTTCACTGGATAGCACCGATGATATTCTCATGTTGCATTGCTATAGCAAATGTAAGTTTTATCTTGAGAATTCGTAGATGATAGTTCTAAGAACTCTAGTATGCAATTTACATGGCAACAATTGACTACATGGTCGCTGCCTATGGTCCTTACTCTGCTTCAGCTACCGGTGGTAATGCGCTTGCCCGTGACGTTCTTGCAGGCATTGCTGCAATGTATTCTACTCCGAGTAAGCAATCCATACGCTCATATGACCCGGTCAAGATAGCCTAGTTCCTGACAAGTTTACCTAGTGTATGAACACATGGGGACGGCACTTCACCTTGAATGGCCCTCGACGCTTCTAGGCTGTCTGGCCATTTTCATAACAGCTCCTATCTACATCTTCTACTGGAAAGGTCCGACAATCCGGGAAAGGTCCGAGTTCGCACAGTACCTGGCCAGCGACCGCAAAGCCAAGGGCGAAATGGCAGTTCGCTGTGGCTCAGATGTAGAAGGAGCCGAGTATACCTACCTCAGCCAAAGCGTGCGAAGTTCACACAGGGGCTCGCATCGTGGTTGTCAGCCTGCTGATGGTGCCGGCCCTCGTGGTAGGAGTGATGGTGGACCAGAAGTGTGAATTAGTTGTAGAATCAGTGATATTGTGGACAATGTTTATTCTCTATTATGTTGAGGCAGTTAGCGAGATGTTAAGAAGGCTGCACTTACAGTGCAGTCAACTGTCTGGGTACGTTTAGTAATTGTCATTACGTTAAATAGTTAGTTTCAAATTCGATCTGTAGGACTGTATGAGGGTTCCAAATATTTAATTGAAAGAACGAGGCTCTTAGCAAGTACGACGCTAATCATTTTTCATGAATATTTGATTTCAATTAGCCCCGCACGCCGAGAACGTCCCCAGGCAACAAGGGTTATATGCATCATGTTGCAATAGAGCATTAGTTGCGGGCGTAACTGGCGTTGACGCCATCAGCCCCTCTATAATACTATCTGCAAGCAAGCTGCAACAGGCAACAATGCAATTCCATGCATTAATCAACACAACGCGGCCTCATATCCACCAAAAAAAAAAGAAAAAAGAAAAGGAAAGAAAGATTTCGCTAGCTCAATATTGCGCAGATATGGCATTCAATGTTCTTACCACCAATGCGGTCGATCTTAAGCAACTGATAGAAGAAAACAAATTTACAAGTGTCCAAATCGTGCAGGAATATTTTGCACAGATTAATCGCTACGAGTCTGCACTGAATGCATTGATCTCGCCCGCCCCGCGGGACAATGTTCTCGCAATTGCCTCGGCGCTAGACCAGGAGCGTCAAAATGGTAAAGTTAGAAGCTCATTTCACGGAATCCCGATTATTCTGAAAGATAGCTTTGTCACTGCATGGAACCTTGGTATGAGTACCACAGCTGGATCGTGCGCATTTGTCGGATCTAAGGCTTCAAATAATGGAGCTATTACTCAGCGGCTAATTAACGCAGGATTGATTATATTGGGAAAGGCTAATATGACCGTCAGTAATGATTTTCTTTAATATTTTCCCCTGAGATTGACGTCCCTTTAGGAGTTTGCGGGCATGAAAATGACTACGATGATGCCTGGTTGGTCTGCTCACGGTGGGCAGACGTTGTCGCCATATGTTGGAAGGCTCGAAGTGAATGAGAAACTACTCGGTCATTCGGTCGGTAAATAGGTCATTGAAATTTTAGATTCAATATTTACTAATAATTAATAGGCTCCTGGGGGCTCGTCTACTGGTTCTGCGGTAGCCGTGGCTGCTGGTTTTAGTCCACTTGCCATGGGCACAGAGACAGTGGGTTCCATCGTGACTCCTTCGACACGCGCAGGCCTATATGCACTCAAGCCTACCATTGGGATTCAAGATACTACTGGGCTATACACCATGACAGATTTCTTCGATAGCTCAGGTCCTATGGCTAAATCTGCAGCTGATGTGCGCATGGTTGCCGAGATTTTACTTGGTCGATCATTCGACTTTTCTCAACTAGGGCTATGGGAAGGCCTCTCTGTAGGGTTTCTAGACCCAAGGGTATGGAACATGTCATCAGACTTCTGTACACAATTTGCAGGAACAGCAGAACAAATGGTATATTATGTTGATTGCACCAACGTTTGAGATAAAAGTAACATAAGTGATCTAGGTTGAGGATTACGAAGAGACAGTTTTTACTCTACAAAACCATGGCTGCCCTGTGAGGTATCCGGTAGATTTGAAAGATGTTTCAGCCCTGCCGGTTACCATTCTTCCAATTGCTTGTAGGCCACTATAGCATCCAGTACGGAGTGAAACCCACTAACTATCATAGATTGGGATTTTAAGAATGTTTGCATCCCTAGATTTATCGACGCATTCGACGAATGTCCTGTAAGGAGCGTTGCAGACATTGTCCGTTTCAACCAAAAAAATAGCGAAAGAGCTCTTCCTGCTCGTAAGTTGACGTTTTGCATTTAGGGATCCCACAGTCAGGGCTTTTTCTAACAGACAACAGCATTTACGGAACAGAACGATTTAGAAGGTGCAATGAATAGCAACGAAGAGAGAGAACGAATCGATGTTCTGAAAAAAGAGCTTCGTAATACCGCGCAGAGGCTTCTTCAGGAATCATTTGACAGGGAGCGAATTAATATCCTTGTAGCTCCTGGAGACTCCTCGGTGTGCGTTCATGCTGCTGCTGCGGGTAATTGTGCGATAATTATAGCTTCTACTCTTGTTTGCTAACGAATCCAGGATATCCCATAGCCACTGTCCCAATAGCCCAACTTCGCTACAATAATCGGCCATTTGGGTTATGTCTTGTAGCAAGGGCCAACGAAGAGGAGACTCTATTGCGATTTATGAATGCCTACGAGAAGATTGCTAAACCTCGACCGGTACCGAAATTTCATTTTCTAACGAGTGAGAGTATTTGAGGCATTTGAACTCAGTGAAACTGAGATCCACAAAGGATAAAACTTATAGATTAATGATAGCCAAGTACATAACCTGTGAGCAAAATTATACGCACCTATCATTGCCACTTAAAACCCAAAACGCCTCGTGCAGGTGCCGTAAGAGTAAGCCTTTTGTACCGCCGATGCTATGGTTGATGTCTCCGGCACCTAGCGGCATCCTTCCGCGGAGTTGACGGGTTGCTTAGACTCCACTCATATTTATTGGTTTCATGCCCGTCGAAGTCGACTCTGGTGCGCAAAAATTCCTCGATACTACCTATTCTCGAAATTTTCAATATGTCTTCAACAGCCGCCCATCATGTCGTCGAAAAGCTTCTTCAAAACAGCCTTGATCCAGCCATCGTCAGGGAAATTGTTGCCCCTGATGCGACATATATGTCACTTACCTACGAAAACCCTGAGCTAAAGAAAATCCTGCCATACTGCGGAGTCCAGCCTGAAGGGGGCCCTGATGCTGTATTAGGTGTTTTTGGATTCGTCAACAAGATATGGGCGATAGAGGATTTTGATATTAAGAAATCATTTTCGAGTGGAGAGAATGCGGCAGTTTTTGGTAGTATGCGTTATCGGTCGAAGACTTTGGGGAAGGTCTTCACATCGCCTTTCTCTATTTGGGCGACCGTCATCGGTGGCAAAATCACATATATGCAGTTCCTAGAAGACACACTCTTATCGACTAGTTCATTTAAGGAAGGAGGTGAAGGCCCCCTAAACACATATATCGTGGATCCGGAGACAAATGAGAGAGTTACTGCTTAGGTTGTTGGGATTGTTGGGATTATATAGCGGCCAAGCAAAGTTGGATGGTCACTCTCAGTGATGTTATGAAAAATAGAGACAGTACGATTGATTCAAGTTATACCCGCCACTTCACTTTAGGCAAATCTTACAGTATTACACAATGTTCCGATTTTGAATATTTCCACCTTCATCCCCGTGCCCGGTAGTAAATACCACGGCAGCTATAGCCCAGGTCCAACGCTGCCGTCACATTAGCCAACTGCCCTCAACCTCGAGCAGAACTCACATTATGACTTGCCTAAGAAGGACTTTATGAGTAGCGAATTTCAGTTCGGGAAGTAGTTGTAGGCTTCGTGTATATTCAGTTTTAATTCAGCTAAAATAATACACTCTTAAACTACAGTTGGATGCTATATGGTCAACTTGGATTTAAGAGGGCTATGTTTTACTGCCATATTTATATATCAATACGGCTTGAAAAATCAGCCTACTATGTACATTTTACACATAAGTTTTGGCCTCGAGGTACACTAGACAAATTACACCACGACTTACGTTCAGAGTGCAACACTACATGATACAGTTCAATTACCACCTAGTTTCCCATAATAGACTAATGGTTTTCCATCTTGTATTTCCTTGGCCCTAAATAGAACTGTTGCAGAGCCGTTGGAAGAATGGCGAATATAACCATAAGCGCTGAGCAGAGCGCAGCACTACCACGAAGTCCAATGGAGCCAAACATGTATGGGAACCAGAAAGGACCAATCTTTATAAACGTAGTAAGTTAGCATAGTACTCCTGATAAATTTTCTTGTACCATCTTTCGCCGGAGAAAGTTAACAACTTACAAATGACCAGATCTGTCTAACAAGGATAATTGAAACGCCAACTCCACCAGAATCTACCAGGTTCCTGTCAACAGCATCTCCATCCTGTCAGCTAGTCGCCCATTTCTTAATGATGTAATGACTCACATGTGAACAGAGAAGTCGTCTGCATCTGGTTCCCTGCTGCGCAAATTGCTAGTCCGATAACTGGGGCGACAGTCCATTGATTCGGAGTCGCATTGTCCAAAGTGACAAGAAATACAACAAAACCAACAATACACAAAATGTACGCTGGATAAGCAAACCACAGACGATTTTCTGGAACAGGTGTTTGATGATGGGGGTTGCTGCGTAGACGACGGTTGCGGATATAGTCACTGAAAGGACCGCTCAGCTGCTCCCCTATTACTCCTCTATTGAGTGTTAGACTTCAAACAGAATAATGTGACAAGTTCTGTCTTCAGATTATAGATTCATGACTTACCCAATAATGTTACCGATAAAGTTGAGACCAATCTGTTCTGCATTCAACCCAAACTTCACACCTAATAGCGCTGGAATCTCGACACAGATCAGGACGCTACAGAATCCGAAGATGACGCTATGTGCAAGTGTCGAAATTGAAACGGAGAGTCTCGCAAGGAGTCTCAAAGGAACGAAAAATTGAGAGACTTTCACAGGCATGGAATCCGGGATCTTCTCAAACGAGAGATATTTTTTACGGAAGGTGTGTTTTGGTGCTGCCACAACTCCATTGTTACTAGTACGTCGGACATATTTGGTCTCTGGGGAGAAGAACAGATATCCAAGGAATTGAACACCATTTGTCTGAGATCTTTAGACAGTAGAATAGATTTTTCTAGGATGTACTCACAGCGGAAAAGATCCAAAATATCCAGCGGCATCCGACCCTTGTAGCAACAAATCCCATCACCAGCGGCCCTACTGGATTTCCAAGAGTGACCATCAAGCTATTCAAATGTCAGTAATTGCACGAAACTGTTATAATAAGAACGCACGTCCAGATCCCCTAATAAATGTCAGTATGATACCGATCTAGTATACTTATGTGGGCAACAGGGCTTACGATCTTAAATCCTCTCTCTCTCGCGAAAAACAATTCCACAACCACAGCCGTGCCTAGTGCGCCGGCAGGGGCATTAAAAACAGGTTGAAAGACCCGCGCAACCATCAATGTACCATAGCTTGTAGATCGAGCACATCCTATATTAGCGACCATAGAGAGAAAGGTTGACACAAGCCAAACTGGACGCCGGCCATAACGCTCGGCAAGGGGAGCCCAGAACAGAGGAGTAAGCCCAAGAAGCATGATCTAAGGCAAGGCTAAAAGTTGGTGATTGCACTAAAGAAGTCCAGTTATAATCCTACCTGAACGGAGACAGTGTAGCTGGCTGTAGCTGCTCAGAAAGGACTCAAGACTAGCCAGGCCCTGAGATAGTCTGCTATCTTTTATACAATGATAAGGCTCATAGGTAACGTGCCACCTACAATGATAGTAATATCATCCTTCAAAATTTCAAGACTCAGAACCGCGCAACTCCCAGTTCATTAAACAGCGGCACAATGATACAGACGTTAACTGGCATGGCATTCCTGTTCAAAACATAATCACGGCACTCAGACCTTGTGCTCCGTTCCAGACGTTGGTCGTAGAAAAGTATCTAGTTTACACTCAATCCCTCTTACTGAACACTGGATTCAATCAAAGGGCCCCTGGCATCATTAAAATCAATTAGTAGGTGATATATTTCACTTATATTTATACCTATTAATTCGGTAGCCTAAGTCAATTAAGGCACATTATATGCCTTCGCTACAGCATAAATCGATATGATTTTTTTAAATTCCAAATCTCGAAGCACTGCCTCAATCAAGGCCACATTTAGGGGACTTCTTTGGCATCTTCTTGTTGAGTGGGAGGTTTATAAAGTCCAAGCGACGCGTTGTTTTAAGGTGGCCAAATTTGGGGGTGGCCAAGTACCCCGACGCTAGTCTTACGTACTAGTATAGGGGTATAGGGGCCTTTAAGTCTACCTAGCGTGCATATTTCATAGCGAGGATTTACGACACTAACTAATTCTCAGTCAAAATAATAGCCACTACCGTCTTCCGTACGGTGTATGTTGTTCGAGTAGTACCAGGTACTCCTCGTACCGTATACAATATAGTGGCAGTCGCCTGCGCCCGGTAGAATAAAATATAAGATAGACTCTCCATTTACCAGATGTGTATAAGAAATGTGATGTCTGTGGAGTATTACACGGCTACATTGCTATGACTTGGGCATTGCGGAAAGAGTTCGGCATTGGTGTTCGTAGGTCGTCCCCGCATTAACAGAAATATTTCCGCTTCTCCGAATCCGAAAAGCTGATGATGATAAAAGCGGAAGTTATTATTAATGCTAGTGAATAATTATAATGTATGACTCCCTCCACGTTATTATATAGCCTAAATAAGATTTTTTTTTCTCTTTTCGTTTGTGTTTTTTGAGTGTTCCGTGCTTCAAGTGACTCCGTTTTCTCTGCTGGCGCTTCTTTGTCTACCACAGTATGGGCTTGTCAACTATCGTATCCAAACCAAACCAAAGGACGTGGTGGAAGGATGCAGCGATTTACCAAATTTGGCCAGCGAGCTTTAAAGACTCCAACGCCGATGGTCTTGGTGATATTCAAGGCGTAATCGACAGCCTCGACCATATCTGCAGCCTCGGTGTTGATGCAATATGGCTATCTCCTATTTTTGAAAGTCCCCAAGTTGACTTGGGATATGATATTTCAAATTATGAAAGGATACATGAACCATATGGGACAATATCTGACGTTGAAACCCTTATTCGCGAATGTCATAACCGAGGGCTACGGGTATTGTTCGATCTTGTTATTAATCATACTTCAGACCAGCATGCATGGTTTAAAGAATCCCGGTCGTCAAATTCCAGCGAGAAACGTAACTGGTATATATGGCGTCCTCCAAAGTATGAGGACGGGCAACGCAGACCTCCGAATAACTGGCAGTCCTTTTTCGGGGGCAGTGCATGGGCATGGGATGACACAAGACAAGAATATTATCTCCATTTGTTCGCGGAAAACCAACCAGACGTCAATTGGAATTGCCGAGAGCTTCGCACGGCACTTTATCAGAGCGCTATAGTATTCTGGCTGGACAAAGGAATTGACGGTTTTCGGATAGATGCTATGGGTGTTTGGAGTAAAGATCAATCATTTCCAGATGCACCCGAAACAGATCCATGCGCGCCTTTCAATCACCAGCCCCAGACATTGGAAATTCTTCATGAGATAAATAGCATTCTATCGCGGTACGGTGATATCATGACGGTAGGGGAATTTGGCAGCCTGGACGATACGTCGATCGCATTGAAATACGTTAGCGCTCATGAAAATCGGGTGGGGATGGGCTTTCAGTTCGAAAGCGCGTGTATAGGCTACTCCCTAAGCTCCTTCGACGTCAAGCCATTCACCCTTCTCGACTTCAAGAAGCCTTTTGCTAAATGGCAGCAATTCATTCTTGGTAATGATGGATGGACTACCATGTTTCTGGAAAATCATGATGTCGCACGATCTGTCTCCCGTTTCACATCAGATCATCCCAACTTCCGAGTTGCCGCTGCCAAAATGCTGGCAATGATGCATGTCACAGCCACAGGCACATTATTCTTATATCAAGGCCAAGAAATCGGTATGACAAACATTCCTGCTCACTGGCCTATCGAGGAATACAAAGACATCTCAACCCAACGCTACTGGAACTCCATGACAACAGCAACAAGTGGTTCTGAAACCGACCAATTATCAGGTCGCCGGAAGCTGGCAATGGCTAACATCCTCAAAGTGGCTCGTGACCATTCCCGGACACCTGTACAGTGGAACAACTCTCCGCATGCCGGGTTTACTACAAGCCCAAGTGGCCCATGGATGCGAGTAAATGATAACTTTGTTGACATCAATATCTCCCAACAGAATCAAGACACGGACAGCGTGCTATGCTATTGGAGAAAGTTGATTGCACTACGGAGAGAATATATTGATCTTTTCGCTCATGGCGCATTTCGATATGTCGACGAGGCTAACTCTGAGATAATGAGTTATGTAAAGACATTCGACAAGCAATCTGCATTAGCTGTATTAAATTTTACAGCCATGGACCGGGTATATAGAGTACCTGAGGATTTTCGTACGATGCACTTACACAAGACGAATTATTCAGATGTGCGAGAAGGTATACTCCAGCCATTTGAGTGTCGTTTATACGTAAATGCGTCATGATCTGGCCACTTAAAAGGTGATATCATAAGAATTGGGGTCTCATTAATCCCAGCATTCGAGAGAAGCTGAAAAAGTTCCGATTTACTGTTTGACATATAGTTGGTAGATAGATATACAAAACAGATTGTAATACATACGTATTATTCAATCAAAACGACGATACTATACATGATAACCACTAACACCCACAACTACTAACAGTCCTGAACCTTCATCTGGTAGTTGCTGCACTGATTTTCGCATGTCGCTATACATTTATTGCATAATTAGAACATTTCTGCATCATTTTCCCATTCAGCCGATAATAATGAAAGCCAATCCACACTCGGTTGCTCTCGACCAGAGTTGATATGATCATATACCCAGGAATCCACTGATATTTGAGGCGTTGAAGTAATTGGTTTGGGCACAACCCCGGATGATACTGATGCTGAATTGTGTTCGGTCAGGCACTGATTGAGGTTTGCGGAGCTGGCGAGTAGATCGAGTCGGATCAATGCATGTTTCGTAACACCAAAACCTGGTAGGTGAGCACGTAGAAGGGTTCGGTACTTTGATAACTTATTTATCCAGTAATCATTCTCTCCATCCAAGATGGAGTGAAGGAACATGAATATCATAAAGCTGCCCGCCATTGCGAAGTTGATTTGGGATACTATGTTTGTCGTGAGACCATGAGATACGAAGAGAAAGACCTCCAGTGATGCCTGATTGACCCTGACTTACCTGCCAACCAAAACGCTGACCTACGAGCTACGGACAGCACCTCTAGAAGATGTACCACTGACGATGCAATCTCCATTCCACGCTGGCGGAGTTTGGAAGCAAAGTCTACTGTCTGAGCCTCGAGATGAAAGACAATCCGCACACATGCACGATAGAGAGCTATTTGCACGGCGTAGAAGGCAAGCTCAAGTGACCCTATAATCTCGTTAGACACCGTCGAGGAGAGGGGGACGGAAACAGACCCGTTGGATCTGGGAAGAGTTTTTCTCCTATTAATGGGTCCAGATGACTGGTGCGCCATGTTTCTAGTTTAGCTTCAAATTCGGCACACGAAATCTCAAGCTGTTCTAATCCAATGACTGGGTGCACATGAATTGCTTTCACCGTATAGAAGGCACCAAGAATATTAGATAATATGACACTCAATTCCGTCATTGCAATGAACACTTTAGCTGGGGCCTGATTATCGGGAGTAGGAATTTCCGAGCCTTCAGCTGCAAAGTCCGACAGCTTTAGCATGGCTACATTGGCATCGTTATCGTGAAGATGTGAGGGTCGCCCAAGAGCGAATGCCGTCCTAAAATGTCTTAGCTCGATTGAACAGAGTTTGAAAATGAGAATGACACTTGCCATTTATCTTCATTGAAAGTTCCCCACCAGAGTCGTCTCCGCCTCCTCTTTTCCGAGACTGAGATATCCCAATGTTCCGGATCAACATTCAATCCCAGGTCGTGGCCAATGCCAACCAGCTAGTAAATCTCAGTATTAGTAACGTACAAGGTATCCAGTGTGAAGACTTACACTTCCAACCTCAGAACTCATCCCAGGCATAGTGGGTGCTCTGAAACATATCTCAGAGGTTAGCGTTCTGAGATGTATTTTACAATTTAAATTATAAGGACTAGCTCACCGAATGAGGGAGGCGTGCCGTTGGGCAAATAGTAGAGCAGCTTCCACCGTTTCTAGCTGTGCAGTGTGGGTTTCAATAGGAAGGGCTTGTTTATTGAAATCGGTGAAAAGCCACGGATCAACACTTTGGGCAGGGGGATGATAAGGCTGAGCCAAACAGTAAATGGAAACCATCAGTGTTGGTTGGTTAGAAATGGTAAGAGGAGTCTGCGGGCCAAGCACGGGGAATGATTTGTGAACGACGTCAAAGTAAGCATTGATCAAAGCCTCACGATATGGCTCGATCACGGCTTCAATCTTGTTCTGCGGATAGTACGTTGGACTTGCGTCCAGATGTTCGGCTGGAAACCCCTTGACTGCGGTCAGTGTGAAAGATCAATTTCGATGATTGATGAAAGGTTACCGAAAAGTGAATCGGATAGTGGGAATTTTTGCTGACTCTCTGCCATGCCCAGTGGATAACGCCATCCCGAACAGCACCCTCTTGCGAGCGATGTAGCAAAATAAACGGGTCGTAGTCACCACTTGGCCCAACATATTGGAAAATATGCTCTGAGACCCTCCTTGTAGATGAAGGTATAGTGGTGTTTACATTGAAGTGATCCCTACTAGGTGAAGGATTTAGCGCTGATGCTTTGAAGGTACGAGTCTTCTCCGAAGCGTCTCTTTTCTTTTCTGCAATTGGCTCGACAACGCAGTCCAGACCACGCCTACTGCACAAGGCGCAGGCCGAGTTCCCTTCACGGACGCAGCAAACCCGTCTTTGGCGACATGCCGAACAGGGCTTTTGCCTTTTGGAGCGATAAGGTCGTCCCACTACAGGGGCATGAGCAAGCATGACGAATTGTCTATGATTTGTTTTGAAGCGGATATGCTAATAAAAACAATAATAATAGAGTTGGTTTCCACCTCACATAAGGAACAAACTTGCATATCCTAAGTAGCGGAGGTCTCCATTGGGGTGGTAATGACAGTTACACGGTTTGTTGGGTCCGCTTATCTCGGTGGCAAGAAATTGCCGGCAGTATTTAAACTTTCAAACTTGAAGAATAAAATACTCAGAGCACCTGGCTAAGGCGGTCAGTGAGGCGGTAGAATGGTCTTCTTGTTTTGAGATAAGATTAGGTCTAATTACTAATGATAACAGTCATAATTCCAATAATTCTAGCATCTATATAGATCATCTAATTCATTCAAAACTTTTTCACGAAGCTCGAAACAATCTTTAATCGTGACAAAAATATAACTTTATATATGGATGAATAATGTAAATATACTAAAAGATATTAATTATGGTTGCGTACATGATATAGACGTTCACCAATGCCGAAACGATACTTCCTTATTACATCCGTCGAGTTCGCCATTGGTATACACTTTTAAAGTTCGCCAATGCGGAAATCGTTCGGCTGCCGGGAAGTCACGTGTGTTATATATTGAGTGAATATTAGAGTTTCTGATAACGCAGATAAAGCACTATGGGTTGGATACATGTATGATATTTATGATGATATATATGATGGCAGATCTTGCCTCCATAGGGCAATGTCAAGCATTCACTTCCTGTGGACTTGTATCATACTTATCAGCATTTGACGGGGATATACCGAAGAGAAAGCCATGGATCCGGAAATGGAGTTGATGTCTTCGAAATCGGGGACGACAGTGAAGAAGTCTTTAGAGTTACCAGCAAAACGTGACTTTATCGATCAGGCCCGACATGCTACGGTTGATGAACATGAGATGACTCTTGGCCAAGCTTTCAAGAGATACCCAAAAGCAATATTCTGGTCTATTTTTCTCTCGACTGCTGTTATTATGGAAGGATACGATGCCGATTTGATATATAGTTTCTTTGGCCTGCCCTCCTTTGTGGAAAGATATGGTAGCCTTCAACCGGACGGCACACTCTCTGTTTCTGCACCATGGCAAAGTGCGTTAGGGCAAGGGATAATGATTGGACAATTCTTCGGTTTATTTGTGACTGGCTGGCTCACTGATTCATACGGATTCAAAAAGACAATCGGAGGAGCTTGTATTGTTATCTCTGCCTTCATATTTGTCCTCTTTTTCGCCCCTAATATTGGCACGCTGTTGGCAGGAGAAATCCTTCTCGGGCTTCCTCTTGGTGTCTTCCTCACTTTAACAACCGTTTATGCCACTGAGATCTCTCCTCTCGCCCTGAGGCCATATCTCACAACCTACGTCAACATCTGTTGGAGTATTGGAAAGTTTTTGGCAAGTGCAGTTCTCAAGGGATATGTTAACGATACAACCTCATGGTCTTATCGGGTTCCCTTTGCCGTTCAATGGATGTGGCCTCCCATCATTATGATCGCGGCTCTCTTCGCCCCGGAGTCTCCATGGTGGCTCGTTCGCCAAGATCGACCTGAGGATGCCCGGCGCTCTCTTCAACGCCTTTCGACAAACGCCAGCGCAGAGGACCTGGACAACATGCTAGCCGCGATGGTTCTCACTAACCAGCATGAAAAGACTGTTGAGAATGGTACGTCGTACTTGGACTGCTTCAAAGGCTCTAATTTACGACGAACCGAGATTGCCTGCATGGCACAAACCATGCAACCGCTTGTTGGCTTTTCACTAGTATTATACTCAACTTATTTCTTCCAACTTAATGGCATCAGTGCGAGTGATGCTTTTAGTCTGAGTCTTGGTCAGAACGGCGTTGCCTTGGTCGCTGGAGTTGCAATTTGGTTTCTCTTTTCCAGTGTCGGTCGTCGAACGATATATCTATGGGGCCTTGCAGGTTGTGTTGTAGTCGAATTTACGATTGGAGGACTTGGGGTTCCAGAACCGACAAAAGCCACGTCGTGGTCAACGGGGAGCCTGATCCTAGTATTCTATGCTATCTATTCGCTCTCAATTGGTCCTATGTCCTACATTCTCGGTTTCGAGGTTTCATCAACTCGTCTTCGCAGCAAGACGGCAGTTCTTGGTCGGAACGCTTATCACCTTGGATCAGTATTCAATAACACGCTGACAACGTACATGATAAATTCAACGGCGTGGAATTGGCGTGGCAAGACAGCATTTTTTTGGGGAGGATTTTCCCTTCTTCTCTGGGTTTGGGTCTATTTCCGATTGCCAGAGGTCAAGGATCGGTCATTTGCAGAATTGGATATATTATTTGAGTCTGGAGTCTCCGCCAGGGATTTCAAGAAGACGTCTGTGGAAGCATTTGCTGAAGACAATCATGTATAGCTAATGTAATCCACCACCTACGTCGATCGTCGATCGTCAATCGTCAATTCGCTCTAAGCGCGTTGACTATGCTGATTTAAGGTATCGGTTGGCGATCACATCAGCAATATATTTTATCAAATTAATTAAAACTCAAGGATTCAGAAAAAATAATTATGTATGGTAATATTTATGTGGTCAGTGTTTGACAGTTTATTGTAAATTGTTGAAAATAGACCGCAATTGCCGCCGTTAGGTAGGAATTGAGTGACCAGTTTTATTAAAACACTTGGGAATTTTCCTGATCCCCGTTCAGGCTATAAAGAAATTACCAGCTGACCTACTTGAAGCCCCAACAGGAGTCCAGCGGAAGCGTAATTGGACTTTACTCACGAAGCTTTAGATTATTCTTAGCTCATTTTCCCCGTGTAGACACCCTCCAACGAGCAAAACAGGATACCCCTAGGTGATTAATCAAGTCTCTTGTTTAGAGTGAGAGACCCCTTTTTCTCGTGGAAATCTAATCAGGTGGGGAAAGATAACTGTTGTCCAATCAGAACTGGATTTATTTTGGGATCGCCGTTGACGTCACTTCTGCCAACCCTAAGTCTGTTTAAGGCAGGTGAGCACGTGTCCGTGCCTCAATCAAAATATTTACTCTTGGTCTCAGTCTCTTCTTTTTAAACGCAGTGGCATATCAATTTCTCTTAGCGTATTGTATCCTCCCTATCTGCCAATCATGCTTAGCATTGCGTTATATTTGGGCTTCAGCAGAGGGGAGATTCCGAGATAACCAACACTGTTGGTCCAACAGCGGCAGGCTGAATGGGGTTATGGGGCCGGTTACATTGATATCGGCACTAATTTATTTCGATTTCGTTCAGCTGCAGCAATCAATTCCCTCTTCTCCTCGCGTGTTTCTATTATTCATTCACCTGCGTCGATTTCGGTTTACTCGTACGCCAATTGATATATTATATAGGCAATTGAAAAAAAAAGGCGGGAGAAAATGAAGGCAGTCAACGTCGCCTTCTTGGCCTCGGTGCTCGCGCCGTCCAGCGTCATTGCCGGCAGCCAGACCAGAGATCAGCCATCACCTGGTCCCACCGGCTCAACATACCCGACTGGCTTCGACATGACGACAAGCTGGGGTAATCTGAGCCCATACAAACCAGCCACAGCCTTTGGCGGCTTCGGTCTACCGCAAGGCGTTCCAAAAGGCTGCGAACTGTCACAGGTCCATGTACTGCATCGACATGCGCAGCGATACCCGACAAACTTCGGTGATGGCGCCGTCATGCATGATTTTGCGTACAAAGTCGGCAATTATACCGCCAAACACAAGAACTCCCCTGTCGGCACCGGGCCGCTTGAGTTTCTGAACCATTGGCAGTATAGCATGGGAACCGACTTGCTTTTAGTCAACGGTGCTGCTACGGAGGCTACCTCTGGCGCCTGGTTTTGGAGTAAATACGGCAACCTGCTGTACCGTGCGCCGCCGGGCGTGCCATCGTATACCCCGGATTTGAATACCTATCCTAATGGCACGGCTCGGCCGACGCCAGTCTTTCGTACCACCTCCCAAGCCCGTATCCTCGAGAGTGCACGATGGTGGTTGAGTTCGTTTTACCCCTTTTCTCCTCTGCTGAATGCTCACTGACCAATACACGCAGGTGGGTTTTTTGGAAACGCCGGAGCCAACAGCTCTTACGACCTATACGACTTGGTCATTATCCCCGAAGTTGAGCCCTTCAACAACACCCTGGCCTCGTACGACGCATGTCCCGGGGACGAATCAGAGGGGTAAGTAGCCATCCTCTCCCAATCCCCTCCCCAAACCCCTCACTGACCACCCCAGTGACAAATCCGACCTCATTTTCGGCGCAAAATACACGCAAGCTGCGCTGAAACGCCTATCAGCGCACCTCCCCAAAGGCTTTAACCTGACGGCTCTAGACGTCTATGGCATGCAGAATTTGTGCGCGTACGAATACGCGCTTTTTTCCGGCTCGGCGTTCTGCAGCCTCTTCACCGAGGAGGAATGGTCGGCGTTTGAATACATGCTCGACATTCAGTACTATGGCGACTACGGGTTCGGGTCGCCTACGGGTCGTGCGCATGGTGTTGGCTATGTGCAGGAACTCGCAGCGCGGTTGGAGAATACTCTAATATACTCGAGCGACACTAGTATCAATTACACATACGATGACAACACTAAACAGTTCCCTCTTGGCCAGCCATTCTACATGGACATGTCGCACGACGATACCATCGTCGGCGTGACCACAGCGCTAGGCTTGGACTACTTCAAATTCAGCGACCATGGTCTTCCAGCCAACGTATCCTCGCCGCCAGCGAGTCGAAACTTTCGATTGAATAAAATGACGCCGTTTGGCGCACGCTTTGTGTCGGAGGTCTGGACGTGTCCGGCCAATGACTCGTCGGTTTTCACAGATCTGACGCCGGTTATCTACAAGAATCCGGATTTGTCGGAGGCGAAGGGCACGGCGAGGTACATTCGGTTCGTGTTGAACGATGCGCCGGTGCCAGTGGATGGGATCAAGGCTTGTGAGAACGCGGTGAATGGGTTTTGTGCCGTCAAGGATTTTCTGAAGGATGTACCGCACATGGTTAAGGAGTCGGACTATCAGAGGGCTTGTTTTGCGAATTATACGGTTTCTGGGCAGGTTGGGAATGGCCAGCCGCCTAGCGAGGAATAGTGTTGAAAGTTGTAGTTGGGTATCACGATTGTGGGTGGCTGTATTTGTCATGTCTAAATATTGAATATGAAATCGAACATATGTTACAGATGTTATTATGGAGTAATCAAACCGTATTTTAAAGGAGATTATGCTTTATGTCAGTCAAGCCCGATCCCGCAGTGCTTGTATTTGCGCAACTCGATACTCCGTTTCCCAACCCAACTCCGTCCGCATCTCTCGTATCAGCTCGACAACCTTCCGGCGCGCTTCCGGTCGATCGTCGCATTGACCGACCACAAACAACGGCTGAAGCATATACGTTTGAGTAGCGGCATGCGGCTTTGCAGACGCAATCCCGGCGATTTCGCGCACGCAGCCGTCGACTTCTTTGGTGACTTCTCGGTAGCCTAGGAGGCGGTCACGCGGGGTGCTTTGAGCATCATGAGGGCGGTTCAGAAGCAGGATTATGCGTGCGAAATTGTAGTGTGCGATTGTTGAGGCGTGAGATGAGGTGCTGAACACTAATTCGGGGAAAGGGGCGGCGGGTGACGAAGACGACAAGTCGCGGGGATTTTCAAGGATCAGGTATGGCTGGAACGAGTCTGGAAGAGCAGAGCGCCAGCTGTCAACCTCCTGCGTCAAGCGACGCCATGTGGCGGTCAAGCCGCTGGATTGCGGGATAGGGGCGTCGAATGAAATGTCTGGTGGTGTTGTGGACTGCATGACTGCTTGTTGCATTTCTTTGAATTCTGCGATAAAGTTCATGAGTTGTAGCATGAGAAAGGTCAGGCTGTGAGAAAAAGTTTCGTCTCGGTGTGAGGGTATTGTACGATCGATCATCTCCAGTTGCAGCTTTCCATTGTTATCAATGTGCAGCCCTATGGCTCGAAATAGATCCAGATTAGACGGGTCGATGCGTGGTCGTCTTCGGTTTACATATGATGCGAGGTAGTCAAAGCATGCAAGGGTCCAGAAAGAGGCACGCACTGCATGGGATATCACGGGGCGAGGCTGCTGGTTAGGTAGTAAGATGGAGCATTCTAACAGGACCTGAACGCCAAGCAATCGACTTTTCACAGTCAGTAAAGTTGCATTGCGTGAAAGCTTAGGTGGTACTCACGCTTCCCAATCAGGGCCCTGAGCATCAAGAATGTCATACGCTGTTAGTAACACGGCACCGCACAAAATATCGTCCCAATTCACTAACGTGGCAGTCGAAATAACCGGTTGTCTCTTATCCGTTCTTGTTATATCAAGTCCTAGGATATGACATAGTATCTGAATAGGAGAGGCCGAGACATCAATCTGTTGGAGATCGACGTTTCCCGTGATCGTCTGCATCAAGTACGATATTGATTGAAAGTAGTAATTACTGGCCTTGAAAGACCAATCAACTCCGGCCGTATTTGGATAAGTTTGTGTAATTGCTGGATTGACATTCAAGCCAGTCGATGGCTTGATGCCATTGATTCGGCCTAGATGCTTTGCAGAGACTGCTGAAATTGCGTGCTGTATGAATGGGACATGTCGTGCTCTGCTTGGACAGTATAGTGTGAAGAACCTCTCAGAGTCGTGTAAATCAAACCTTTGATCGTCAATAAATATTACGTACCACGGGTTCAAACATACCAAGGTCCAATGCACTCAGCATAGTGCCTGGTGAGAAAAGTCACTTCTCTTTCGCTGTTCATCATTAGTTCTGAGTAAAAACTGTTCATCTCGTTTCCACTTTGAGAAGACACCAGCGGCGTAGTCGATTGTGGAAGAAGATCTGGTACTAGATTCATATTCCATTGAAAATCGAAAGCATTCTCGTATGGCATCGGATTGTTGATTATGTTTGTATGGTTTAGTTGGTTGGTAGAACTTAGAGAATCCTGCACAGCACTACTGGAACCTCCAGGGTAATTTGAGCCTAGTTGAGAAATTATTTGAGGCTCGTTGGGCCCAGGTTGATTGCTATTCATATCGCGAGGCGTTGTGTCATGTTCCTCGGTTGCGGAGCCGAACCCTGTTGCCGTCTGAACCAATGGGTTTGGAGCCAGGCTGCTTATCGCAGCATCTTCGTCTGTCACTTCATTCGAACTTCCCAGACTTTCATATGCCTCCTATAGAGTTAGCTACTGGTCGTCGATGTGTTTGCTTAGACTCACCGCAGCTCTATTCGATGACTGTCTGGCCACGCCTCTACGATATGGCGTATATCGGCGACGCACAGTTGCGCCTTCGTCAATGAACTTTCGATCCTGAGAGTAGCCAGGGCAATCGATTCCCGCAGCAGCGCACTTTTGACAGCCTGGGCGGGTTTCGTCACACTTGTAGAATTAGAGATGTTTGTTACCACGGCATGCAGGTGGAAGAGCTTACTTTGATGTGGCGTTTTTTACACTGATCGCATGCTTTGTTTGACGGAACGCCAGGCATGGTTCTGGATTGTCCGATTGGTGACGATTTCCGCAAATTTCTGCTTTCGCTTTCTACTTTTTCTGTTTCCTGCTTTTCTACCTTTTCTGCTGTTGGCGCGGACACATTCACTCGGTGTGATTTCGCGACGTGCGGGATCTACACTCGCATCCTATCCCTCCCAGTGGTCCGAAGTGCGCCACACTTTATGATAACCACACCTTCCGGGCATGCAAAACGTTACTCCATTGTCGACGTACTGTATGTATCACTCGAGTATGCCGTGTTAGCGAAATGGCTCGTTGATGGAAGGATCATGATTACATCAAGATCAGCTTTCGTTTAACGTTGGGGATCACGGTGTCGGACTGTTGGCTTGGCATTCATTCCCGGGCCGTTGCTCAGGATGGGTCGGCTCGGCTCTTCTCCGGCATCTGGACCCAGCGCACAATCATCATCATCATCATCATCATCATCATCATCAACAACAGCCACAGGCATCAACCATGCTGCCGCACGCTGATATTTAAATGCAACAGGGACACGGCTGGCTCGAAGACCGATCTGTCTGTATTCCTCAGGGATGACCAGCAACGCGCGGGCTGAGGCTATCCAGCAGGAATGGAGGAGCCGGGGCAAACCGCACAACATCATCTGCTCGCACTGCAGACAGCCCGGCCAGCTCCTGCCCTGCGCGACCTGCTGCCGCGCCCATCACGTGGCCTGCCTGCCCGCGCCGCCGCCTGTAGACGCTGTTGCCACAGGCTCGTGGTCCTGCCCAGCCTGTCTGTCACGTGTCGGGGTGAGCCCTCTCTCGCCATCTCCCAGGCCAGGCTCGCCGAGAAACTGCCAGCGCGCAAGGCAGTTCCTCAGCGAGCATGGCCTTGCTGCAGACTTCTCCGAGAACGGCCTGCTGCAGCTCGAGCAGCTGATCAATAGGGCCGACCAGTCCAGAGAACTAGACCAGTTGCGTAGCGAGAATGCGCTGCTCAAGGCCGAAATCCAACGCCTGAGAGAAAATCCCAGGCAGCATTTGCTTTACGACAGCCCGCTATACGATCGGCGACACAGCCCGTCCGTTCCGCAGGGTCAGGGCTCTGACTTGGACGTTGCGGAGAAATCGTGGGATCGCATCATCAGCGAGGCGTTTTGATCTTAGACTACGACACAAACAGCCTAAAATGGTCTTTTAAGGCTAAAGACGTATAATACAGTCGCTATTGGTGATTCGTGTGTCACTATCCCCACGTGCGTTGATGACACTTATCGATTGATAGTTGGAGACATATCCCAACCATTCCGTCGCGAGACTTTCAAATTCTGATCTCAATCAGACCTATGCCAGCAATAAAGCAAGACTATAAACTGCACTTTAGTATGAAATGTTTATGCTTTATAGAATTTAACACTAATAGTTCTTTTCCAACCAAAGAAAATTTCATAATAATAATATGTTTATTGTTATTAACGACTGATCTCCACACGCAGATTGGAGGTGGAGAGCATTGCATAGAGTGCGGGGAAGGTAACATCTGCAACAGTTCTACTCTGCACGAAATGTTCAATGCGACCTGACTGCGGGCACGAATGCCTTGAATGGGTTCGGTACCGCCTCCTATGGCTGATGAGGACGCAAAACTTTCCTAGCAACTTATCGCAATCGAGCGACTGACAAGGCCCATTCGCTTCAATCCGATTTTATCCAGATCGACTGCGTGTTTTGCCAAAATCCTGCATTATTTAGCCGTGTGGCCCGATGGGGCATTTCCCCTTGCACATCCCCGAGGCACCGCGCGGTCACGGATTACTACTGGCTTCAGTGAGCATGCGCAACCTGCGCTAGATCGAGAGCTTGATTCTTTCTTCGCAGCAAGCATGCAGAACACAGTCAAACTCAACAACAGCTGGATTTTGCAGGATTGCTTGTCTCGACAGGCGGATATCGAATTCCACCGAACTATTGAAATTAAAAACAATTACTTTTGAATCGCGTGTAGAATGTCGGTGCTCGGCAGGTGGAGAGATCTGAGCTAATTAATCACCATGTCGATCCCTGCACGACGAGGTGACACCATGGCTTCTAGCCTTCTACCCCATCTTGTTCGGTCTAATTATCGGCAAACGGCAATAACACATAAGTAGCGCTGGGTCTTCACCCCTGAACGACTTCCGAGACCAATTAATTTGTGCGACTGCAACATCATGAAGGCCTTTACGCAGGTGCTCATAGGCAGCGCGCTTCTTGGCGGCTCTGTCAATGCTAAAAGATTGAATCGGTACAATGCTAATTCATCGTTCGATGTATTGGATTATGTAGACCCGCTGATAGGGACGTCCAATGGAGGTTAGTCCAACTACACATATACTGCAGCGATCGTCGCCGGATCTGACTTGTGACAGGACATGTATTCGCCGGGGCTTCGCTGCCTTTTGGTGAGTACCGAATACTGTCATTTTTATAAATGCTTACTGTCCTAGGCATGGCCAAAGCAGTCGCGGACTCGAATAATGACAATCAAGGTGGCTTCGCTACTGATAGCAGCGGCATAACTGGCTTCTCCCACATGCACGATTCCGGGACTGGTGGTGTAAGTGATGCATTGATAAGCAGTAGAGAGTAGACTATAGTCTAATAACAAAAGGCATCTTCACTCGGAAACTTCCCATTATTTGCCAACCCAGGCTGTCCAGGCGACGACATCAATCAGTGCGTGTACCGGTTCCAGAACAGGTCGGTGAGCTTCAGCAACCAGACGCTTGTCGCCCAGCCAGGGTACTTCAGCATTGATCTTGCTACTGGAATCAAGGGTGAAGCTACCGTGACAAACCACACGGCGCTGTACAGATTTACCTTTCCTAAAGACGCGACTACTGCGCCTATGGTCTTTGCCGATTTGATTGATCTGCCACAGTCCAGAACCAACGGCACGGCTTCGGTTGACCCCGATTCTGGCCGTATTTCCGGTTCCGGCACGTTCAGCCCTAGTTTCGGTATCGGCAGTTATGATCTTCACTTCTGTGCTGATTTTTCAGGCGCTGATATCTACGATACTGGTGTATTCGTCAATGACCGTGCTGGGAATGAGCCCAAGACTGTACACACTCTGAACGACGGGGTGAATGACAACGAATCTCTCTCAGCTGGCGCTTTTGTCCGTTTCAAGGCCGGCACGAGCTCCGTTATTGCTCGCGTCGGGTTGAGTTTTATTAGTGTGGACCAGGCCTGTTCCAATGCCGAGAGGGAGATTGCGAAATTCGACTTTGACTCCACCAAGAAAGCCGCTCAGGATGTGTGGAGGAAAAAGCTGAGTGTTATCAGTATTGATTCCACCGGCGTATCAGCCGATGTGCAAAAAGTATTTTGGAGCGGTGCTTACAGAGCTATGCTCAGTCCACAAGATTATACGGGAGAAAACCCTCTCTGGAATAGCACTGAGCCGTACTATGACAGCTACTACTGGTAAAACCCCCCCAAAATATCATGACACAAGCGGCAACTAACCTTGACAGTATCTGGGATTCATACCGCAGCATCCACCAATTGCTGACCATCGTCGACCCCGTTTCTCAATCCCTCATGATTCGCAGTCTGATTGATATCTACCGACATGAAGGATACCTACCTGACTGCCGCATGTCTCTGTGCAAAGGCTACACGCAAGGCGGCTCCAACGCCGACGTGCTCATCGCCGAAGCCTATCTCAAGAACGTAACCGACATCGACTGGAAAACTGCATATGAAGCCGTCGTCAAAGACGCCGAAGTCCAGCCTGCCAACTGGGCTGTCGAAGGTCGCGGAGGCCTGACCAGCTGGAAGTCCCTTGGGTATATCCCCACCGACGACTTTGATCCGTACGGCCAGGGCCTATTAACACGCAGCGTCTCGCGCACTGTCGAATACGCCTACAACGACTACTGTATCGCCTCTCTCGCCAAGGCCCTCGGCCACTCGAACGATTACCACAAGTATATCAAGCGCGCGACAAACTGGCAGAACATGTTCGACGCCAACACCACCTCTCTCGGATATACAGGCTTCCTGCAGATCAAGTACGCAAATGGAACATGGGGGTATCAAGACCCACAGCTGTGCACACCTTTGCTCGGCTTCCCAGACTGCTATCTCAACCCCGGCGGCCACGAGACGTACGAGGGCAGTCTGTGGCTGTACACTTTCTATGTTCCACAGGATATGGCGTCGCTAGTCACCACACTCGGCGGACGAGACAAGTTCGTAGATCGATTGACGTATTTCCATAATTCGGGACTGCTCTATGTCGGCGATGAACAGGCGTTTCTGACGGTCTACCTATTTCACTATGCGGGACGGCCAGGTCTTTCTGCCAAGCAAGCACATACGTACATTCCATCTCAGTTTAATACTTCTGTCTCCGGCATCCCAGGGAATGATGATAGCGGGGCGATGGGTTCGTTCTCGACGCTGAGTATGATGGGCCTGTGGCCGATTCACGGACAGGATGTGTATCTGATCAACCCGCCGTTCTTTAAAGAGGTGAATGTCACGCATGGGGTTACTGGTAACGTGGCGACGATTCGGAATGTTAATTTCGATCCGACCTACGAGAGTATATATATACAGAATGTGACAAGGAATGGAAAGACGTGGACGAAGAATTGGATAGAACATGATTTCTTTGAGAAGGGTGGTGTTCTGGAGATTACCACGGGCGGGGCGGAGAGCAGCTGGGGGACTGCTGCCGAGGATCTGCCACCCAGTCTGGCGTCGTATACTTTCTAAAATAAATACATCTATGTATGTAATGTGAACTGCGTCAAAATCTGGTTCTGGTTCTTGTGTTATGAGGTAAATCGATGAACAGATCAGGTGTAATAAAGCCCATCCAGCCAATACTATCCTCCCTCTCTACCTTGACGAAGTCTCAAAAACAACACCCGCAAACTCCCACTTTTCCTTGAATTTATCATCCACATTCTCAAAAATCCTCCTAATCTCGGCGCCAAACGTCTCCCAATGCTGATGCTTTGTTCCAGGCTGGACGATCACCACGACGGTTGTGCGAGTGATGTACTCTGCTGCCCAGGAACTGTGATACTTAGGGTTGCCGTCGCGTATTTCGGAGCGATGAATGAAATCTACACCACACAATCTGTGACCCACCTGACGGAATAGCCAGCTTTGAGATTGGTCTAGTTTTTCGGAGAAGATGCGGTGCTGGTCTTTGGTGACCCGCACTGTGTTTGTGCAAGGGGCTTTCTCTGAGAAGAGTACTGGCAGGTTTGGAGATTCGTCGGGCCTTTTGGTGCTTGCGAGGTAGTCTTCAATGGTCACTTGTGGTGGTGAGCGATTGGGATTGACTGAACGAGCCAAGTCGAATGTGCTGGCCTCTGCGTCTCTGGGCAGGCGGAAGTACAGAGAGCGTTCTTGTTTGGCCATCTCGTCTCGCATCATCCTGTATGGCTTGACGGACGCTTTGCCCAGGAGGCCAGTGCGAGGTCGAATCATCTTGGGATGCACTGTTAGCTATCAAGCGGAGAATTGAGTAGCTGATGGTCTCAGATGGTTGTAAAGATGATCCTAGAGCAGTTTCTTAGAGAAGTCCTGCATCCTTTTATACCAGACCAGCCAGCCCCAAACAAAAAGGCCAAGCGGTGCAGTTCATGTTGATCTCTTATATCTTCGAATGCTCCCCAGCATAGGAATGTTGGGCGCTTTGTTACCGATATCGGATGCCATAAAGAGCACCGACAATATACAATATTACATTGTGTGCAAACGGGTAACAACAGACAAAGGATTGTTGAGTGATCCTGGGCAGGAGCAGGTGACCCTCTTTGTCGGCAGCTGCTTCCCATCTCCATCTTTTTCTCCCTCTTTCTCTTTCCATCCCGTCTTATCTTCTCACATCAAGATCCACCAGCATCCCTATTTTATCCAACCACTCTATATCTAAACAGTCTACGCACCATCAGCTACCCTTCTTTCTTTCTTTCTGTGCATCACCATTTATAGTCCTAGCACCGGCCATACTCGACGCATTCCTCGACTATCTCAACCACACCACCATGCGGCATCACCTCATGCTATCCGAACTAGCATCACCCCCTCCCCAAACCGCCGACCAAGTTGTCCAGTCCCTTCAAGCCCTGCATCTCATCGAGGCCGGTTCTCGGCCCAGCCTCGAGGACTACTATCCCAACATCATCCCAATCGAAACATACATCCAAACTCGACCGTCCGCCACGCCCCTGCCCTCATCCATCTTCCTGTATTCCAAAGTCGCAGAGATGCGGAAAACAATATTTGAGCCGGTCCGCGAGAGGCTGGGACAATTGCTGCTGGAGTCGTTAGGGGATAGGCTCAAGGATGCCAGTTATGATATGGTGATGCTGGATAATAAGATCCTGCCATCTGTGTTTATTTTTGTGGAACGTGCGACGGTCTTGGATTGGGCGAGACTGGAGAGTCAGGTTAGAGCGATTCTGGCGCAGGCTGTTGGGAAATGTGGCTTTATGATTGACGTGAAGTTTCACATTGCCCACACATGACTGAGTACGGGAGATAGTATACGTCGGTATATCAGTTACCCTAGTCCTAAGACGGAAAGTAACAGTGTTAGAGGAAAATACAGCATTATCGATTAATCAGTAGTCACATTTAGTATGCCATACATCTGACGCAAGTTGTGACACTCTTTGTTATCCATTGTTAGAAGCAGTTGTTATTCATCACTCATTACATATACTCAAAATGCCTATGTATCATTATCTTTCTCAATATTTACCACTGTTCCGCGAATCCGCGAAATCCAATATGTTAAATACTCAATATCAAAGATAGAGAAGCCCTATTCAGCAACAGTCATCAAGAATAATCACCTTTGCGTAGTACTGTCAAACGACATCCCTCGGAAATAACTTCACATTCAACGCATTCTTCATCCAAAGAGTGTTGCTGCGTTGCTGCAACCATTCCTTGCTCCCAGGCTTCTGCTGCAACTCGACGTCAAAGTTCCAAAAGAACTTGCTCACTGTCAACCTCAGCTCGGCATACGCCAGGCTAAATCCCCTCCATCAGTATGTCTGTCTGTACTATTAATTTAGAGATGCTTACTTTTTGCCAAGACAATTCCTCGGTCCATAGGAAAACGGATGAAATGCGTTCTTATTATCATTCGCGAATCGCTCGTCTTTGCCTGGAATCCAGCGCTCGGGATGAAACTCATCGGGGGCGAAGAAGTTCTTCGAAGAGTGGTAGCACGACCAGTGATGCATTCCGAGCGAAGTCCCGGGAGGAACAAACTGCCCGCAGACAACCACGCCAGGCGCTGGGGCTTTACGGGGCAGGACATTTGGCACGGGAGGGTACATACGCAGGGACTCTTCGATCACGGCGTGAAGATAAGGGAGTGGAGTGACGTTTTGGACATGGATTTCTGTCGAGCTGGTGAATGACGAGCGGATTTCGGTCGTCAAGCGTGTCATTGCGGAGGGGTGTTTTAACAGGTAGTATAGCATGCCGGACAGTAAGGTGGCAGTTGTTTCGCTGCCGGCGACTAGGAGGAGCGTTCCCTGTGAGGTCATTTCCTCAAAGGTGAGTCCACCAGGGCCGATGGCTTCCTGCGAGCCTTTGAGCATATGGTGTACTAGCGGCTAGTTAGCCTTCATCAATATGCCTAGTGATCTAGTCAAGGTACCAAAATCTCGTCTGTCAGTATCAAGAGCGATTCGACGCGACAGCTTATCCTTAGATAAATAATACTGATACATCCGATCCTCCGAGTGATTTTTCGGTACCATATAAGTAGCTAAACCCTTGCACGATTCTGGCAGGATCCGTTTTACATTCCGGTTGAAGGCGCCCCATTCGAGCAGTCCAAGTAGTGAGGTAAGATATCTCTTACAAATCCCATCTTCGAGCAGCGCAAAGCTCTCTCCAAAGGCCAGGTCGCCAATGACGTCAAAGGTCATGAAATTGAACCAATTCACCATATCGACGACACCGTCGCCCTCAGTCGCGCGTTTCCGCAGCTGCGATATGAATAGGTCGACGTAACCCTGGATGCAGGACTCCTGCTCCCGTAACGCCTTGTCAGAGAAGGCGTGTGCTAGAAGACGTCTGAGACGGCGATGCTCTTCGCCTACAGCAGCGACCTGCATTGTACGATATCAGGTCAATCATTTTTAGGTGAATCGGATGGGAGTACTACGCACGATATTTGGCTTTGAATTAGGTTGTTCACCGAAGAATTCTTGGTCTTTATCAAAAAGCTCTTGGTGGCTGGCTTTTCGATGGCCTGGGATAATCTCGTCAGTCCCAATTCATCAAATTAGGAACGGGACGCACCGCAAATCTCCTCCCACGCCTGAGCCGAGTTGTACGACAGACTGTTAGGTGCAGTGCGCACAACTTCGCCGTATGCATCGTGCAATTCTTTTGATTTGGTGTGCAGATCTCCACGATAGTCGAAGAAAGTGCTATACAAGCTGGTAGCCCGCGCAAGAAACGGGCCGGGATAATTGCGCAGTGGATGAAAGTAGAGGTTGTATATTATTTTGCCGATTAGCCATGCGAGAAGAACGGCCACAGTTGCCTGGACCTGGATGTTCAATTAGAGAAATGTTACCGGATCAAATAGGAATGCTCACTGCAAGGAAGAGGTGCAGCTGGAAGGTTAGAGGGTCGTGAGGGGTCATCGTCGGTAACAATTAAGCTTCTCGGGAGGCTCTTTCTGCAACTTTCTTCTCACCACACTTGCTCTATTTTCACTGATTTCACTGATTTCACTGGGCAATACTGTCAAACCCTCTATTCACACCCAAATTCATCAACAATAAATCTAGTCAAGATCCTGCTAGTGACGCCTATGGGTTGCTGCTAACCAACACCTGCTCTCTAGAATCCCCTCTCTCCCCAGTCGAGCGTGCAATCGTAAAATCCTACGGCGGCTGGCCAGGGTTTCTTACAAGCTTCGGTCTGAAGCTCTGGAACGATGAGGATGCCCAGGAGGGAATACAGATCTTGAATGGACTTGTGGCAGTTGACAAGGACGAAGACCCTTACGAAGCACAAAAGTAACTGACGTGCGTCGCACTTTATCTACTTATGATTACTGTATTAAAATATCCGTGCCAGGCCGATCATCCCACCCACGAAGGAGGCCAACGTACGCCAATGATCGTTTGATGGGCCACGCAGACGGCTGATCGGCCTATTCACTGGTCGCTATTCTTTCATGGCTTGAATTCATGATCATTCCGAACGGTGCGCTCGAGACCTAGACCTAGTTATGTCGTATGCATAAATTTATTACTTGATTGTTCATTGAAATAGCTACTGCCGCTACCCGGGCAGTCTCCGCATAACATGATCTTCACGGACTTAGCAGTACGGATATAACTCAACTCTTAACGACAAGAACAAGGGTCTTCCGTACTCTCTGTGTTGCGTATGACACTGTCCTGCGGGGTATGCAGTAGCGCTCCCATTCTGCATGCACTATAAACCCAAGATGGCTTGGCCGAAAAGCAAAAAAAGGCTTTCAAACTTGAGCCTAAGGATTGGCTTAAGTGATTGTCGAATTTAACTACTTTGAGTTGGTGTGGTCTGTAGTATGCTTCACTGAGCAAGGCCGTCATCTCTTGCTCGGACTGTACATTGCACAAGATATATTCCCAATATGCGGCAGACCGTTATATGTAGCTAAGGCGCCAAGGCATGCATCCCATCAATGCGACTAGATAGCAAGGCAGGAAGGCAGCAAGTTAAGCCTTAGGCAGTAAAATCGTGAGATTGAGGTTGTTGTTATATTTATTACGATTATGTATGATTGTTTCTGCTGAAAACACAGCGCTGTCGATGCTGCAGGAAACTGAGCCTCCCACTACTCACTTCTAGAATTAAAATGTTGAAGGCGGAAGTCGGTTTCGCAACCAAGCGCATTATCAATCGATATTTGAGGCCAGCTTTTCTATAAACAATTGAAATTAAACCGATCAAGCCTTCAACTAGTTTACTTGCATTAGTCTTCCCTTCTCCGTTGTGTGTTGACATCTACCAGAGGTGGGTATATTGCAAGGCAAACATGATGACGTCCGCAGCGCAGGCAGCACTGGTGTACGTGTCTCATTGAATAAAAAGTCTGAGCTCTATCAATTTCATCCTGTTACTATTTGGTCAAGAAATAATTAAAGGACATCAAGACTAAAATGTCTGAAATCACACTATATACAGACTCTCGATTCCCTTGTCCTCAACGGTTAGCGCTGGTCATCCACGAGCTAGGGATAAAACCCAAAAACATTCAGGAGACTGACATCCTAAAATCAGAACACAAAGTACAAATCTGAAAATTATTCAAAAGGCATCAGCTAATTATCGCAGACTCCGGAGTTCCTAAAACTCAATCCATCCGGAGCTGTCCCGTGCATTCGAGACGATCAAGAAAACCCGCCACTGCATCTTAGCGAATCTCGAGCTATTGCGAGATATCTAGCCCACCGATATCGATGCAATGGCGATGGCTTATCTGTATTAGTTCCAGACTTTAATGATCCTGTGGCATTGGCCAAGTTTGAAGAGGGTGCATCAATTGAGCTCACCGCATTCGATGCCACTGCCAACAGGCTGGTGTTTGAAGAATACTTCAAGCCGTAAGTGAGGCGACACAACCTTGATTATTCCAACACTCGCTAACTGTAATAAGAACATATTTCCACAGAGACCCTGACAGGTCCATGGCTGAGTCCCTGAGGGTCCAGCTTGGCCATGTGTTTGACACCCTGGAACAACGGCTGAAAGACCAGCCATTCATGGCGGGACAGGTACTATGAACCAACCGACTTATTAAACCGACACATAACTCATTGGTTGCTAGGAGCTCACAGTTGTAGATCTATTCTATCTGCCCTACATGTTCCATCTCACAAGGCAAGTTTGGCAATCCTGTCTAGAGGATCGTCCACGCTTGCAATCCTGGTGGAGCAAAATGACCAAACTAGGTGCTTTCCAAGCTGTCCTTATCAATGCAGTAACGAAATAATATATGAGAATATATGTCCATCTTGCTCTTTGATGATCGCAATCAAATAATTTATATCAAAATGCGGGAAAACAAAGGAAACGGATGGGTTGAAATCGTGCTGAAAAGGGCTTCACTACTTGTCATTGCTAGGTGTCAAACTCACAGATACGAAGATTCTAGCTGTAAATGTCATCTCTTTAACTTTACACTTAGGAAGCTTGCGATGCGCCTAGTTACTGCTATCTTAAAGTACTAAATCGTACGATCGCTATTCGTGGGATTCCACTGATAACGTAGATTTACTAGATAACGTAGCCTTCACAATGTCAACGGTATTATTCTCGGATCATCGGGTAGGCAACTAAGCGATAGCTCTACATAGCTACATAAGACATTAAGCTCTGAAAATATAATAAAACCATGTATTGATGAATTTGGAATGTTCAGAAGCTATCGTCCTAAGAGATCCCAACACGATTGACGATTACTCTAAAATGGTATACTTTAATAATTTCTGAGAATTTCCAAATAAACACAAGTCTAGAAACAAAATATTCTAGATTTGAATATCTAGGGTTCAATCTTCTAAATATACCTCGCATTTATCCAACTCTCCTGCTCCTTACCTGTTCCTGTGTCATATTATGGGAACACAGCAGCCGGGGGCAAAAAGTAGAAGCCGACGGGGTTTAAAATCTGACTGATCAGCAGGAACGCCGACTAATTGCAACCACACGTTCCATCGTGCGAGCAAACGGGCCAATGACCGCTTTTATTTGACCTTGATGAAGCATGACGAGAAGATCTGCGTTACATAAACTAATCAACAGAGCCATAGCCTAGCGGAGGCTCTGTGACCACATTTCGGCTTGCTCGTAATAAATGGTCCTCTCAAATATTTAGAGGCAATATCCTTGTGCCTGCTTATCCTTATCATTTTTTCAAGGCGGCAACATTGGGATATACTGGCTTTACAAATAACATTGAATACGGTCATCGTCTGATTGAGCAGCAAGAGAAGGAACTGCACAAGAACATCTCGAAGAGAAAGAAAGAAAATGAAGGCTTTTCTTCCTCTTGCAGCTTTAATTGCCTGCGTGACTGCTGGTAAAATTCCTCTTGTCAAACTTTTGTTCTACAACAAGTTTTAACTCTACCAGCCCCAGCAGCCCGCGACGCACCGTCCAAATTCAAACTCATCATTTCAGCGTCCGATTCCAGCATAAACAATTGCTCACTGCAAGCCACCAACGACAACGAGGTCGACATCATGGGCACGCTCCAACCTGCGCAGTACCCAGGCGAAGAGGCATCCGTCTTCTACTTTGATTCCGTAACAGGTGATCTCGTCACAGACTCGGACCTCACCGGAAGGAAACGCTATGCATATACTCTCTACTCCAACTACACGAGCAGCCTGCGCTTCGACGTCCAGGGTGCCTGGGATGAAAGTTACTCACCGAAGTTCACCATCGCGAACGATGGCACGTTCAGTCCGCCTAATAACTTGACGTGGTCTTGGTGTCCTGATGATTTTAATGTTGGGAATGGCATCTACTTGCCGGGGAGTATCACTCTCGGTCCTGTTTTCCATGGGTGTGAGGCTTTGTATGGAGTGAAGGCTGTTGCGGCATGATCGTTGTCGTATGTGGTCTGCTCGCATGTCTAGTTGAACTGTAATATTTGAGGCGAATTACACACGGAATCAATTCATTAGGGAGCATGCTCACTACATGTAGTTTAGTAACTTTCAGCATTTTGGTCCCATTGATCTGAATATATCATAACTCAACACTTTGTAAGAATATACAACAGAGCTAACTTGATTAATCCCTAATCTCATTAAATCGCCCTTTTAACATCTTCGGTGAAAAACCATCACCTATCCAATAAACGCACCAACGCTGCAGTTCTGCATCGTTCGATTCCACTGTACATCCGTTTGCGCATATAGACCAATCAGGGTATTAGTATTAATACTCTGGTCTACATAATACGACTTGTTCATGTGATATTTGCCCTTATTGATGCAATTCAAAGCCGGCATGATATACTTCGCTATGTGATCAATAAACACAATGTCATACAACGTCTCATACGTCTGACCAGGAACTGTGACATTGGCTTTGGCATACGCCGGGGGCTGGTAATATGGAACCGGCGCGTGCTGAGTGTCGTCGCCATCATTGCCAAAATCGTCCCCGGTTCTGTATCCTGCAGTCAGCATGCCAGGGGATTGGACACTGCGACGGGAAACACTGCGACGGGACAGCACTTTTTGCTTGGATCCAGTGCCGGAATTCTCCAGTAACATATCGCCGAACGATACGTCGGCTGTTGGGGGGCATTTATTATGTTCAGTGTAATATGTGACCGTGTCATAAAGCTTACTAGCATCTTCAGCAGTAACGCCCGTGGTGAAATTCATATAATCAGCCCAAGGACAAAGAATAAATGAATCGTCGTAGGTGAAGGGCCCTTGCGCAATATCGTATCGAATGCTGTTTTTATTTGAGAAGATGAGTCTTGGGATGTTTTCCCTTTCTTTGGAAACAACTACTTTTGCAAGGGCGTCTTCAAATAAAGTATAAATATTGCCTTCGCTTCCGTATGGCTTGCACGAGATACAGTAAGACCGTGGTGCACAGCCATAATAATCGGTTAGATTATATTCATTCCGAAGCAAGGTGATATTTCTGCTGATCGCAGTGCCATTCGTAGTATCAAATGCTTTATCATCTCCGGCTGTGCCAGTATGATATTGAAATGTCTCGCGGTTCCAGTCGAGGTAGCGACGAGCATATGTTAGATTAGACTTGGGGCTAGTGACTGCATGTCTAGTTGGATTTGGAACATTGGCAGGATACATGGATCCGTTGTAAGTTGGTGAATGAATGCCGCTCATAGCTAGCCATCCAACCGTGTCAGCGTATTTCCCAGACTGCAACGCCGTTGCATTGTCGTTGTACACCATGAAATCGCGGACATGCGAGTGTCCGGCAAACGCCTGCACTGGAATGCCTGGGGTTTTCTTCTGGATTTCTTCAGCGATGAATTTCATGGTGCTATTATTGTCATTGTCGCTCGTGTTCAGTCTGGCTGGATTGTGGCCGACGAGCACGAATAGGTCGACATCCGTGCGTTTGACCGCGGCTTGAAACCAGGTTTCCTGTATCATTGCCTCTGCAAGCTGAACGTTAACGTTCTTTGGAGGGCTCCAATAATCATACATGATCCCAAAAGCCATAATCCGAATTCCCTTCGGGGTGGTGTGATAGTAAGATCTTGATCCAATTGGCTTCGAATTGAGTCCATTCTGGCTCGTGTTCACATTGCTCGTAATGTACTTGTCACCGTAATGATTAGCAAGAATTGTATGTGAGGCTTCTGGCCGGCCTGCATCGGCAAGGTCGTGGTTGCCGACTGTTAGGAGGTCGAAATCAGTCATCATGAAAAGTTTATCAGACTCTTTTCCATCGGGATGCGTCGCGTCACTAAGGCCAGCACCGTCATGCAAGTCCCCTACGAGGAAAGACCAATTACTTTTAATCTTGAGTGTTTGTATGGATCAATACTCACCCGTGTCAACAAGTATCAGATCAACGTCAAGCGTTTTGGCTTTCTCGCGCATATGCTGCGCAAAGGAATAGAAATCTCCCCAGTCGGCGCGAGAGTTGCGTTCCTTCATGTGCCCTTCAAACCACCCGTGCACGTCGGTCGTGTGGATGAAATTGATCTGACCCCATTCCAATTCCTTCAGAGGTCCCACGTCAATAGCATCCTGCTGGATACAGAAAGCACGAGGGACGAGTAGAAATAGCAAATACGTCGTCAGAAGCGCCGACAAGAAAGTCATCGTCGATTGAATATGCTTAGTGTTTGCTTTCACTAGCAATAACAAACACAGAAAATCTTTAAGTGAGATGGTGCCCTCCCGACGACCCAAGATTGTCTTTTATCTATGTCCGTCTACCTTTCGTCTACAGAGCTGATCCACTGTTACTAACTCGCACTGTTGCATATGCAGTGATGGATGTGCTGTCACATATTCCTTTTTCTTGCCCACCGCTGTTGCTCCTCGCCAGAATGTGCCACCTAACAAGTATGCAGCAGTAAGGGACACCCACAGACGTCTAGAGGAAAGAAGGAAGGAAGATAAATTCATACCAGCCATCCAATTCGTTAATTAGCTTGTTGACACATAACGAGCACCTCAATCATGATCAGCTCACGTCTCGCGCCGACTAATAACAACAGTTACTATGTTTTATGCAAGGTTTCCCCAGGACGGGCCGGTCCCTGCTCCAGTTCTGTAACCAACTTGACAAGTGGTTCCACGAATAAGATTAAAGCCAAGAACTCATGCGGGTGTCTGTCCCCTGGTATTGTTCTTATTGGAAGTGGAATATGATCATCTTCGGGTCTTGCTTCATCTGTCTTTTGCGGCTGGCTGAAGGTCTTCCAGACAGCTGTATAAGTCTAAAACATTGGAATTTTTAAGACTTGCTCTTATCCAATAAACCCAGAATCTCTTTGCAGGGGGTAATTCCTTTTGGTTCTCGATGCTTTGAAACTGGTTTTCGGGAATGGCTGGCTGAAATGAATAAAACTCGTTGATGGTGAATAGTAACTCCGAGCCAATTGAATGACCTCATAACCCCGAGCATAAAAAGTTTATCGCTATAGTCAACTTATATATGGTTCTTCATTTTGTAAGAATTCTATTCCTACATCTAAGTGATACCTCTGGGTACTTTAATTCTGCAGCTAGCCCCGAAGCAGTCGGGCTGCCCTCGACCCTCCGGGAACTTCTACGTCAACATCATACATAAAGAATTCCCAGGCTTGGTTTGATGTAGGTGTGGACAAGCCTAAGTATATTCTCTTGAATGACGGCCATAGTCCACCTTTTGGTCCTCGGTGTGCTCTTTGTGAAGGCTTCATAGATTGAAGCTGAACTTCGCGCCTCATGAATGGATTTCCTTCTTATTACCATGTGTAGTTTCTAAAGTCAACTTTTGAATCCAAGATAAGAAAACAGGGAAAATCGGTTGGAAAAAAAGAAAGAAAATTGCAATTATAGAGGTTTTAATCATAAGTAATTTGTTTGTTGGTCAACATGAAAAATATCAAATAGCCAGTCTGGATACATTTCAGATATTCCTTTCTAGAAAGTTTTATTTTCAATGATTCATTTTATCAATTGATATTTTCCTATATTGATATAACATAGAAACTTCGAATAATGATCTATCCATTAAATATAAGGAAAATTTCATGCTTTGACTTTCATATCATATTATTCAGGAAATATAGTTCTAACTTATTCAGTCTGGCAGATGACAAATCAACAAAAGAAATACTGAAATATTATTACGACCTTCCTTCACATATTCGGTCTCAGTAGTCAGGTCGTAAGCACAGCAAGTCTTCTCTCTCAACCAACTGCGCATTGCAACTGCTGAACCGCCACCAGTTGCTTCTCCACCAGCCTAGAATGTTGACCATAGACCATTTCACCGGCGCCGGTAGAGGAGGAAAGCTCTCCCATAGACCATTCTCAAACTTTGTGTCCAGGTTGTACCACAAAACTGGTAGAACGTCTGTTGTAGAATACCTTTTCAAAGCGTATTGTGTGGTGCGATCGCCGATGTCCTTCATGTCAAACGAGTATTTAGAAAGCGAAAGGAGTTTCAACGGCTCGTTGGACATATGCCTGTGGAACTCGGAAGCAAAGCAATCCAACACCTTCACGAACTCGGTGCCACTGAATTTAGACGAGTCCGCGAGACAAGGACTGATGTAAGCTTTAAAATCATCTAGACCATGATGGAAAGTGACTAGTACGTCTTCTATTAGCTAAGCCAGAGGCCGTTTGTCAAGCGGGATTCACCATGCTCCTCAACATCCTCATCCATAATTCCTTTAACGCCGCTTGCAGCTTCGATTTCAGGAAACAGCACCCTCTCCTCACTATCGTGGTGGCCGATGGTAAACTCATACCACGCATCGCAATAGCGCACGAAGTCGGGAATATCAACATCCTTCACTTTTGGAGCTTGGAGGTACATGCTGTTGAAACCTCGGATGATAATATTGTGTACGAGCGCCATATGGGACGCAAACTCGACGAATGGGTCATGCTATCCGCAAAATGTCAATAATTGTTAGTTCAGCATATCGAAAGTCACCAAGATGATGTTGAATTGTAGCAAATATGAAAGTAATGTAAAGCTTACTGGGTCAGCTCCGGGTTCCCCACCTGGAGTTGGGATAAGGCTTAATGGAACATTCGTGGAGCTCATTTTTAGGGTGGATAATATGCCAGGGGAATTTCCAAGAAAAACGAATGATGCAACGAAGGCGTGGTGACTCTGGCGAGGGAGTGATAATTAAATAACAAGTACAGGGTGTACGTAAGTTGGCCAGCCCTAGCAAATAAAGCACGCCAACAAAGGAGGCTTCAGCTATGGAGGGCAGGGATTGTTAGAGACAAACACGTTGGGAGCCACTATTAGATAGTAGCTAATAGGGCGCGAATATCATGCATGCCACGAACATAAACCCATGTCCATGTCATGCTCTATATGGTAAAACCCTAAATAGTAAATAGCAAGCAATAACTGCCGCGATCTTCTTGGTGGACGGTTGAAGCAAAAAATTGCTGATCTAATCTGTTCCTTAGTTACATAACCATGTACATAAGGCTAATGGCTGCAGCGTGCACTGGCCTGTGGATTTTGGGGGCTATTTGGTATAGTCTGGCTGGGAACTGAACTATATTTGAAATTCTTTCATCTACATATGTAACAAATGAGGCTTAACTGCAATATCCTTCGATCCATTCGGTCGTCAATATATCTTTAAGTTATTTAAAATATGTAGAACCAAGACCTAGACTTTTACACCAGAGGAGAAATAATCCACCAAGTGTTGACCCTTTATTATTGAAATGTCAGTTCTCCACAATCAAAAGCTTCTTCTCCATTGAGGCTTGGCTCGTTGCATGCAAGTCCTTTCACCTGGGATTGGGGCCAAAATACAAGATATGCACAGGCTGTGTAAATCGGAAAATAAGTGCCTTGTGATCGTCTTGTTTTTTACAAATACTGCCCGTCCCATTGGCTATTTTTAAGCCGATGTACGGAGTAGTTTTATATGAATACGCATTGGTGGAGTCGATTGTCTTAGCGAACGAGCCGTTGCGCACACGCCCACTCACTAGGGAACAGTAGTAGTAAAAGATGAGTTACTAGGAGGCTAACGAAGAGGATGTGGAATTTTCGCCTTGTTAGAGACGGCAGACTTCCCGAAATAGTCAGGCAACTGACTCGTGTTTCCAATAAAAGTGGCTAGTATCTCTTCACTGTTGGTTGAGCCTGGCACGGGAGCTATCGCGGTCAGATACAAATCCCGGCCATATTAGAGTATCCTATTCTGGTGGTTCCTTTGTAGATCAATGCCTTACCAGGTGGCTATGAACCTATGACGAAGTTGACATGCTTTCAGCCCCATCTTGTCTAATCAGAACTTAAATTAGATCTTGATTCTTCAACATTCCTCTGTATAACCTTAGCGTATTTCACGTGCGATTTCTATCAAACCGTGAGGACATGTTTACGGATGCCCGCTCAGATAATAAGTAGTCTGTAGTATTCCGTGGGTATGTGGAATTCCAGTAAATACCCCTATTAAAATAACATCTAATTTTTTTTAACAATGCCCCGACCCATGTTCTTTGTTGGAAGTACGTTCTTTGTTGGAAGTGGTGACTAGATGCGCCGTCATAGGGACAAAGAGGATTAACCTTATTATTGATCATATTCCGGGTTTCGATAGTAATAATTTCTTGTATTAGTAGTGACTGAGTAGCTGTGAGACGTAAATTGTCCATATTCTGCCAAATAGTGCGGATATGCCGAGGTCATGACTCGCATTTCTACTAAAAGCTCTTTGCAGAGGTGTACCGGTATCAAGATCACAGATCAACTAAACGGGTCTTGCACGGGATAGAGGTAGGATTACATCTGTTTTGTGACACCAGGCCGACATTAATAGGAGTGATATTAACGTGGCTTCTGAAAAACCGCGTGGGGCCCGTCAGTACGGTGAGGGAGATATAGAACGTGTAACTCAAATAACAACCGATAAGCTATTTGGTTGGGTAATTATCATAATATTCGACGATCTCCGGTATTCAGATACAGAATTAATACGAAGACTTGTAACCTATACATGAATGACAGCAGTGGCCCTTCAGATTGAGGGGCTGGGAGGAATAATGGAGACAAGCCCCGACTAATTGGTTTCATCTGAGCTCCAGCCATGACTCTAGAGTAGCGCCAGCCTTTAGTCTACTGGTAGATCTACATGGGCGTCAGTGTTCATGCATAGAAGAATCCTTCTTGGCATTATTGTCAAGGATTGTTGCAATACTAAGAGGAAGCTATTAATCTGACCACCCGGCCGGTACCCACGTGCATCATTCAAGATAGGTACTTGTGAAGCTCTTTTCCAAGGACACCATCCAACGTATTCATTTGCCCTACGCTTTCTCTGTTTCAGAATTACAGCCTTGGTCTGCTAATAGCGAGAGTCTCCAGTGATGGAGGCAGGCCCGACGCTAGCCAACCATGCCGCACCCACATACTCTGGCGTCTGGGTAGTGATGAGTGTGTCGACGATAGCTTTTGGATTACGGCTGTTTTCTAGGGCAAGTATAACATCTGATTTAGGATGGGAGGACTTGGTTATGGCAATTGGTTGGGTATGTCATTTGATTCCTTGCTTTATTACTTGCGACTTGAAAATTTGGCGACCCTAGGTTCATGGATAGTTGCATACTGAATTAACCTTTCCTCTTGTTTAGTGCATTACTCTCGCATCAACCATTGTCTACACTCTCTCAGTCCACGTCAGTGTCATAGCATCAACAAGCACAGAAAATCTGGCCAAATATCTGCCAGATGCCTTGAGACTTAATCTCATTGCAACCGGAATCTCTATCATCGCACTAATGGTGCCAAAGATATCGATTGCCCTTCTACTTACTCGGATTCTTAATTCGACCCGAGTGATGAAGTGGCTCATAATCTCCATTTCCGTTCTAGCATTGGTTATGGGTGTCATCGCAGTGATCATCGAGTTTGAGCAGTGTGACCCAGTTCCAGGTCAATGGGATCCTGAGCGCTACCATCCGAAATGCTGGCCTGCTAGTGTCCAAATGAACTATTCCTACTTTGTCGGTTGTATGTCATTTTGCCCTGTCGGTCTTCTGAAAGCAGAGAGGATAAACATGCAATTGCCAATGATACTGACACGAAATATCCCTCGCAGCATGGTCCGCCTTCTTAGATTTTTTCTATGCGATCTATCCCGCCTCAGTCATCTGGAAATTGAATATGGCCAATTCCCGCAAGATTGATCTCTCCATCTTGATGGGGTTAGGTATTGTGTCTGGGTCCGTGGCCATTTATAAGACAAGCCAATTCCATCTCCTACAGGAGCGTGGAGGCGTTGTTGCAGAGGCTCTCTATGTGATGAGCCAACTTAGTATGTGGACGATTATCGAAACCAACATCACCATCATCGCCGCCTGCATTCCTCTTACCTCTCCTGTCTTCCGTGCCGCCAAGAGGCGTGCTGCACCTTACCTACGAGAGGTGGGCATTAACGTTAGATCAACGAGTACCAGCCAGCGTGCCACCAGAGGCTACTCTGAATTCTCGAAAGGGACAGATAAGCACTCTAACCGCAGCCAGAATGAGCATGAACTCAGCAGCCAGAATCGTACTCAAATCTATGTTCATCACGATATTCAAGTCGAAAGCAATGATGGACGCGAATCAGATCGAATTCCGCTTTCAAGTCATGATTTACCCTGAACTTCCTACTGTCCTGTATGTTCACTTCTTCTTGTATTTCTCCTCAATTTCTCAACAAGCCTAATTGCTCGATATATAGATTGATATTATGTAGCCATTCAATTAAGCCTAATCCCGAAGCGAGATTTGTTAGTGGAGGAAAGTCATCTCGCACTGAAGCAAGCATGATCTATATATCCAGTATTAACAATATCAACATATTGAAGCAAAAAGGTAATAGATGCCCTTGGCTTTGAATCCATTGTAACCATAAATCGATAGAGTCTACATCTTACCATTGTACTTAAACATATTGACTATTCATACTTATTATCTAGGGAAAAGATTATTTTTGAGTAGGTGTACACTTTTGAGAATGTAATTAACTGGTATCTTCAAAACTTCAATTTTTCACAAGTTGGATAATTTACATCTAAGGTCAGAGGTGACTGAAACTGACCAGTCTGCCAGTCAATTGAGTCCACAGGGCCCAGGGCCCTTAGACTAAATTTGTTCCATGGTTTACAGCACTAGAGCAGTATCTGACGAACCTTTATGACGGTTAACTGAAAATGCCATTTAAGGGGATGCCCTTCCCCGAGAGCTGCAGACCGTCCTTTTTTTATGGGTTATCTTTCCCTCAGGACGGACCGTGGCCATGATCCTGGCGCATTCCTTTGGCAAGAGCCGTAATCTCGTATTTTGTAAGTTTTAAGAATATTCTAACAAAGAAAAAGGAATCCGAGTTTCGGTAACACTCAGATTTGGAAAATAAATGCTGTTCTTTGTCCAATTCCAAGCCTTGTGCATGCAGAGAGGGATGCTACATTGGCCAGTAGATAATCCGCGGGCAAAAATCAATAATTGAAGTCCTGGATCATACACGAGCGGGTTTGAATTTAGTTTAACATCGACCCAAATAGCTTTATATTTTTATTGAAAACCTAGAATACTTTTCAAGGAGTTATATATTACAATTAAACCCATTCGAATGGAGATATTTCGGTAGCACGGTCGGCTACTGATCTATACCATCTAATAGATTAATTGTCATTCCGCCATCAATGTGTACCTGAATATGGCAGTGGAGAAGGAATGCTCCGTGATTGACTTGATAGCGCAAAAAAAAGCTACGACCCGTCGCCAGACCCAGCCGGAGTAGAATGTGCCCCGTATCGGCGGGTTATGGGGTTGAAACTTGCGGGTTGGGCTGCAATCTCGTCTGAAGTGGACGAGTAATTGAATGATCCAGTTACTTGACCAAGAACAAAGAACGTTTCGGAATGTTCGTGTATTGGGTGTGGTGGAGTGATACCTTTGATTTTAATGATGAGATCAAACCATGATCTATTTTGTGTATGGGGTTTCCAAGGGGCTGGAGTTCCTTAAAGTTCCCTAATGAGTTTGGGTTGAAGAGTAAAGGCTCATCACCCTTGATTCATAATAATGGGTATTCAGTGCTCCCATGTATCTAGGTATGCAAAGCATTGTACCGAGTAATAGTCAACGTATAGGTCTCGTCCGATTTTAGAGAAGGCGAAATAGGTGGGAAGGGTATTGCTGCAGCCTCGTTGCAGAAAACAATACTTGGCGAAGAAGCACTCCGATTCAGTTTTAAACATATAGAACATCCTCTCAAGGTTGGGTCTCGCCATGGAGCTGAAGCTGCAGTGAGGGTAGTTGCCATCGGCACTGTTATCGTCATTCATGACGGAATATACATACATCAATTGCATTGCAAACGAGGTTAGTGATTGCGATGCCCACAATATTTTGCACTTCAGACTGAGATTGATGAGGTTCCGGACGCTAAACGTGCCTATAGGTAGCCAAACACGTTTTGCGTGTGCTTTATCAACGTCTTGTCGAGATGGTGCTGACAGAATGTGGCAGCAGTAGCTGCTCGTGACCGTCATGGTCACGCTGAGCACATTAATGAGTAGATGAAGCCCAATTTGGCTTTTTTTGGTCTTAGTGCAGGATCCGTGACAGAGCACGAGAGAGCCAAACCCAAGGGTCCTTGTTGCAACTTGGCAACTCCGACCGCAGCAGCGGTGGAAATGACATTGATGAGCAATACCGAGGCATTTGCATAGTCGCACCACATCACTGGTTTAGTCTATTCCCGCTGCGTGGGCTTGACCGGCTCGATCTCGTTGTCAAATTCCGCTTCGCTCTGGTTTTTAATATGCATATATTCAGAAGTGAAGAGATGGCTGTTACTGGAATACGGGTTGCCGGGTTTATCCCATGAGTGGGATCACCCTCATTGTGGCCAAGTCTGCGATATGAAGACGTGTCGACCAGATGGTATCCGACGGGACACAGGCCAAGGAGAAGAAACAAAATATAGAGACGCAATGAAACAAAGTAATGGGATTATTTCCTTTTTGATCTCCGTATGATTCGAGTCAGGACTCTTTACTGTGGATGAAACACCACCTCAATGTGCCACGAAGAAATTCACTCCTATCTGTAGTATAATCTGATAAAAGATTTGCATCAAGGGATTGGCAGGGAAATAAAGTTCTCAACCAAATGAGGATGTTCCCTCGCTTACCACGCTTACCAAAATACCATATTATGTTTTATGTAAACCGTATCCATGAGAGGCTCCTATCCCTTGAACTTGACACACTAGACGAGAAGAGGCGCCAGAGTTGTGGCTTGTACTAGTAGAGCTGAGACCCTTGGCGGGGCTCAATGTTACTCAGCACATTTGTCTTATAGAGCAATACGTTTGATTTCCTTGCAAGATTTGTATTACTATTATAGTGACACGCTGGGGGCGTAGCGCTTTGCTGAACCTTTCTCGATGCTGAACGGAGAGAAAATGATTTCGAAGGAAACAACTGATGGAACAACTCTTCTGTACTTGATACTACCAGTGTATAAATAGGCTTACCTCAAGTTGATCAATCCAAACAATATGCATTAAGGCATTTCTTATGCCACAGAGCACCATGGAGTTTCGCGAGGGCTGCCTCTCCAAGTTTAAAAGAAAGAGTAATCGGCCATTCACCCCTTAAACACCCACTGATCCTACATCGAATATTTACAAGGACTGGTAACAAAGCACTGATTGGCCCTCGGTACCTACCCAAGCAAAGTCCCTAATAACTATGTGGCGTAAAGACTGTAGTAATGCCACCGCTGGATTATTTCTTTTGCCTTTATCAGGGCACCAAGGCGACAGGCTAATCCCAGCACATATTCCTAAACAGGTTAATAATTCTGCAACCCCACTCACTGTACGTAAACTATAGCCTCTAAGGGCCTTTTCGTTTTGTTGTGCTGAGCCGTACCTAACAGGCTCGGCAATTAAAGAGGGTGAAAATCGAGAGGTGAAAACGGATCGGAGAGGGGCCGACGTCTGTTCTAGCAGAAACCCTAAAATTTAACCAGGGCTTTGCCTTAGTTCAAGACTTCAAGTTGAGCAACAAGAAGGCCACTACCACGTTTAAATCGAGAACTGGAATGATAGTCTGTATATATTCCTGTAATTTTATTTGTCAAGCCTCCGACCCTCAAAATAGGAAATAATCTGTCGTTCAAGCGCCTAACAGATAGGATAGGCTATAGGGGGTGGGTTGGGGCTAGGGTACTATATTCTCGGCATACCGTCTTTCAATGGCTGCTGGTTGAATTTCTGCCTGGGCATTTCTTGGCTAGCAAAATTCTGAATCAGATGAGCCATACTTGAGCCTGGATAGAGCGCGAAAACAGGGCTAGGTGGCTGAGCCAACGCGACTGCGCCCACCGGCAACATAGACTCTTCTCTCGTCAAGTGCGCGCATAAGATTATCTTCAGTTGGGACGCAATAAAAGATTTTTCTTAATACCTGTTGACAAAGATGATACATACGAGTATTGCAGATTATGTACCATGTTATTTTCGTTCTGTTTAGTGTATTAAACAAATACCTGGCCTGTTCTTCAAAAGTACTACTAAAATCAAAATGTCCAATCCACATGTAAATTTTACTTCCAAATTTTGCTTAGAGGCGTGGCAGGAGCGGACCCCTACTAATGACCACTTTATTATAAAAACCTGCCTCCCCAGTAGAATTTTATTATCAGGTGCGTCTACCATTTGTCGGTACCGGTCCCTTCATTATGCTATCCTTCAAAAATGTTGACTAGGAAGTCCCGAAAGATTTTCAGAGTTCAACTTATAATTTTCCTCTTTGCTACTTCAGTTCTCGTGTTCACTGTTGTACAACGACAATTAATTTTCCAATCAACCATTGACTCGCTTCTCATTACCTTTGACGACTTTGGTGACGATTATACTAAGGCTCTCAATGTCTCAGTCCTGAACCAACAACCTCTGGTGTACGACCAACCGCCCAGTCAAACGGCCACGATTCCGCGTATTATTCACCAAATATGGATGCTTGATGGAGACGACGAAGAAATTCCGGAAATATGGCAGGGAGCAAGGGATCTTTGCCAACACCACAACCCAAACTATACAATAAATCTTTGGGACAGAACTGCAGCACGAATCTTCATTCAACAAGAATTTGGTTGGTTTCTCCCAACATATGACGGCTACACCTACTCCATACAGAGAATTGATGCTCTGAAATATTTCTTGCTCTGGCGTTATGGAGGAGTCTATATTGACCTGGATGTGAGCTGCCGCAGACCACTTGACGGACTCTTGGATTTCCCGGCATGGTTCCCAAGAACACAGCCAATGGGCGTGAGTAACGATGTTATGGCTGCTTCCCCCGGACATCCGTTCATGAGACTGTTGGTCGAAAGTCTAGAGAGTCATAACAGGTTCTACCTATCCAAATATATAACGGTCTTTTGGAGCACTGGACCAATGTTTGTCAACAATATTTTGGGTACATGGTTTCGCGCAGGAATGGCAAACACCTACATTAGCAATGATGCCACGCTCACTGCGGGAAATTGGTACAATGGGTCGGGATGCAAAGTCAAGCGCCGATTTTGCCATCTTACTGACATTGCCGTACTTCCGTCTATGTTTTACTCAGACAGTAATTACCAATTTTTTGGTCATCGTCCTGGAGGCTCATGGCATGGAAAGGACGTTGCTTTTGTTGCCTGGATATATAAGCGACTTTGGTTGCTACTTGGAATATTTGGAGTCTGTATAGTAGTCACCATCGTTAGGTCAGCTCGCAGACGCCTACAGACTGCAATTAAACCCGTTAGAAAGCATGAGATACCAAGATATGTCACGCACTAGAGCCAAAATTGATCCATTTTATGGGCCATGCATCTTTTCATAGCGTGAGAAGTAGGCCCAGGAGACAAATCAGTCTGCTTACCACCGTACTTACCTAATCTTAACCCAATCAAAGCATTGTTTTCTGAGGTGAAATGGTTGAATGATGCGCCAATGTCGTATCTATGGAAGTGGGAAGGTGGTAAATATCATTTGCGACATTAAGACCTTGTGAGTGAAGAGTTAAAACAATCACAAATACATACTGTGCTTCTAATGGATATATTTATTATCGCCTGTGGTTATCCAGACAAATTAAACATTGAATTTCAATTACCACCACTGTGAGGCAGATGTCTTGTATTGTCGGAACTCTATCATTCATACATAGCATTATTTCCAGTAACTATGTGCAGATACTTTACGGTACGTGGCTTGGCTGTGAGGGTGAAACTTGAAAACACCCAGATTCGATTCTAGCTCACCCACGCCAGTAATGTATTGAATCAATCCTGTAACCAAATATAACTTCTGGCCAGCAATTTCTTTACCACTACCCCGTCTCTGGGTAAACAAGCGTTTGTTTAAACGGAACCCAATCTTTTATTGCATCAAACATACCGCGTAGCCACTTTTATAGCATGTATTATACCGCATATTGATATGTCTCCCAAGCGGTTCTCCCTCTCATAGAACCCGGCTCTGTTCCTCGCACATAAATATCCTGAAATAGGGTTTTTGGTGTTGGTGGCGGGTCATCCATCTTTTTCGCAGCTTCAACTTCCTGATTCACCTGATTTCTTATTTCCTTTTCTATCACTTTAATCTCATCTTCCGTATTGACCTCCAACTCAAGCAGTTTCTTCTTCAACGTAGTGATTGGATCTTCCTTTCGTTTCTCCTGAAGCTCCTCGCGTGTTCGATACGCAATACCGGGATCGGACATGCTATGGCCTGCGTAGCGATACGTGACATATTCATAAAGTATTGGGCCTTGATGGTCGCCGTCTTCGCCGGTAATCAATTGACGGGCATATTTAACCGCGGCCATCACAGCAAGAATGTCCATTCCATTAATCCTGATACCCGGGAAGTATTGGCCCCGTTTGTAATAGTCCGTCATGGCAGATGCCCTCTCGGTAGACGTGCCCATTCCATATTGATTATCTATCAAACTGTTAGCAAGCCACGTCTACGGAAACAAGAAATTCGTGCAGGAGACGTACTTTCACATCCAAACAGAATCGGCAAATTCCACAACTTGGCCATATTAAACGCCTCATGCACCTGTCCTTGATTAGCAGCCCCGTCTCCGTAAATATCCAACGTCATTGTCTTTTTCCCGCTATATTGCTGCGCGAGCCCTATGCCAGCGCCAACGGGAACATGCGCACCAACAATCCCATTTCCACCATAAAAGCCTTTGGCAAACATATGCATGGATCCGCCTTTTCCGTATGATATCCCCTGTTGCTTGCCGAGTAATTCACCGAAAATTGAGCGTAGAGTACCGCCGCGCATGTATGTAAAGCCATGGCTACGGTATGCTGTAATCAGAGGATCATCTTTGGTAATAGAGTGCTCGATGCCGACAGAAACAGCTTCTTGGCCAGTAGACAGATGGCAGAAACCACGGATTTTCCGCTCCTTGTAGAGGCTGTCTGCTGTTAATTCTAGTCTCCTAGATACAAAGATCAATGCTGTTAATATATATATATATAAAGTAACGGGGTCGTATGTACCGGATTACTGTCATGTCTTTGTAAAGCTGCCGTAGTTGATTCTTGGTGGTCTCGAGAGTGTACGGAGGCGGATCGATGTTGTAAGTGTCGTAGGAATCATCGGGAATTGATACTGTGAAAGGTTCATCATCTCCCTGCATGCCGATGAGTTCTATCGGACTAGTTTAAGGAACTGAATTTAGTGAACCTACGCTTGGCAGAGACCCAGCGCTTGCGACTTCCGCCAGTAGACGACGCTGCGTGGACGCCAACAGAACGGAGCCTACGTATTGGGGGCGTTTTTGCCGGATTGAACGAGACAGCATGTTGTAGTGTTAGTTACAGAAGAAAAGAGAAATTTCATCGTTGTTGTGGTTGTGATTGTTGTTGTTGGAAAACAATTGCATAATTCAGCCTGGTGATGTCAATCATCAATTGATGTCATGGTGATGTCGGAGCATTGCAATATTCGAGTATAATTGGCTTGTGCATCCCATTTTCTATTTGCACAACTGATGATTATTTGATCTATAAGTATTCTATATTTGTCCTATAGTATCAGGATATGAAAAAAATCTATACTAGTATTTTCTAATGCCATTGATAATTATTAGTATAATGTTGTTGATTCCTGGAATTAGTGTCGTGTATGACGTCATCTAGGGTTAGCCATAGAGCGTGTATGCGCAGAGACATCAAACAAATCAGTTACAATGCTCATACGAGAATTCTTAACATTCTTAAGCTTTGAAGATGTTGAATATAGAGCAAAAGACAAGGTGGTGATGAGTCATGTCCTGCGTTGTGGTGATTGGTTGCGGCATGGAAGATCGTCGTTCCGATGCATCCCTCCTCCCATTGCTTATCAATATTCAATAATTATCACAACACGCTTTCCAACAATTATATTAAAACGCTTTCTTCATCTTAGTAGAGAAGAGGAGACTAAAAGCGGTATATACGGGTTGCACGTGCTCCAACCAGAAAATGAGAGATACGTAGCCACTGCCTGGGCTGAAAACCATCCCAGCTGATTCGGCATCATGCCTCGGCGCACAACCACATCTGGAGGTGGACGTCAACGCCCATCTGCTCGTGGTCGCAATGATGATATTCCGCAAGTGTATCGGGACATGCTTGCTGAAGCGGATGAGCGAGCTGCCAAAGAGCCACAGACTGATAGGCCGTTGAAGCGGCGCAAGGTTGGGGAAAGGTCGAATGTCCAATCGGCCGGTACTGAAGACGCTGTACCTGCGCCGGCAGAAGGAGTCAGTACAAGGCAAGTGCAGACCACTTATGATTTGGATACATCCTCCGACGAGTCGGACATGGAGTGGGAAGATATCGTTATTCCGGAGCCAGGCACAGGCACGCAAACAAATAATAACGCAGTAACCAACGAGGGGTTGCAAATCACACTTGATAAGTCCGACGACAAGCCAAAAGCTACTGTTAAAAGACGCAAACCAGTCGGGGCCAGTGAGAAGAGTTTACGATTGGTCATTCATAAAGTCCACGTTCTTTGTCTATTAAGCCATGTTTCCATTCGGAATATATGGTGTAATGACGATGAGATTCAAACGTTTCTTAAACAGATGTTGACTAGAAAGGTCATTGGAAATCTGAATCCTCGGGAGACAATGCTGCAGTTCAATCGCTCGACAACATTTATAGACGGCCTCAAGCAAGCTAGCGAGGCCTTTGCGAGGAGGTTCAAGGTAACAGCTCCCGGTCTAAGACGGCCGCACTGGGTAGATGCACAAGACTGCCGGGACAGGGCAGAAGCAATCATGCGCGAAGCAGAGATGTTTCTGTCTCGCGAAGACTATCGCACACAAGCGCGGAAACTGGAGGGTTCTCGTGATTTTGGCGCTCAATTATTCTGCGCTCTCCTACGATCAGCAGCTGTTGAGGCTCGTTTGGTGTGTTCCATACAAGCCTTGCCTTTTTCGGGAGTAGCCAATGAACTGGTTCCTGAAAAGCCAAAACGACAATATATAGTCATATCCTCCGATGATCATGCCAGTTCCAGCGATGATCTATCCGGCCTTCAGCCTAACAGAACAAAAAGACTCTCACAGCCTCAATTTAAGAAAACCGTGCCATCATCGTCATCCTATACTGGTAAGCCACTTTATTTCAGAAATCAACATATATTGACATTAATAGAACGCCCACGACACTTTGCTTCTTCCTCTTACCCGATCTTCTGGGTCGAGGCCTTCAACGAGGCAGTTCAAAAATGGGTCCCTGTAGATCCACTAGTTACAAAATCCGTTGCAAAGCATACCAGATTTGAGCCTCCTACAAGTGACAGACTCAACAACATGTCTTACGTAGTAGCCTTTGAAGAAGATGCATCGGCAAGAGACGTAACTAGGCGGTACGCCAAAGCTTTCAATGCGAAGACTCGCAAAACACGCGTGGAAAGCACCAAGCATGGCGAACGGTGGTGGGCGACAGTTATGGGCCATTTTGAGAAACCGTTTCTGGAAGACCGCGACGAGGTGGAGTTGAGCGAACTCACGGCCAAATCTGCAGCAGAACCAATGCCAAAGAATATACAAGATTTCAAAGACCATCCCATTTATGCACTGGAGAGACATCTTCGACAGAATCAAGTGATTCATCCGAAAAGAGTAACGGGTCAAGTTGAAGTGACCAAGCCAGGCTCTAAGCAGCGGATTCTGGAGCCTGTCTATCGACGAGCTGATGTTCACGTCGTTAGAAGTGCAGATGGATGGTATCGACATGGGAGGGACATCAAGTTGGGAGAACAACCTCTTAAACGCGCGACAGCACGCACACCCAAAAACGAACTGGAGGGCGAATTTGACAATACGGCGGCTAAGGAGTATCCTCTATATGCCATACATCAAACTGAGATCTACCGACCACCGCCAGTAGTCAAAGGCCGAATTCCAAAAAACGCCTTCGGTAATCTAGATATCTACGTGCCTACTATGATACCATCTGGCGGTTTCCATCTAAAACATCCTGCGGCGATTCAAGCAGCGCGTGTCCTCGGTATTGACTATGCAGAAGCCGTAACGGGCTTCAAATTTAACGGTTCTCGTGGAATCGGAGTTTTCAATGGCATTATTGTCGCTTGTGAATATAGAGAAGCACTAGAGGAAGTTATTCGGTGTATGGAGGACGAAAAGGCCGAGGCGGAGGAGGAAAGGAAGTCTCAGGAAGCATTGCGGTTATGGAAGCTTTTCTTGCTTAAGTTGAGAATTGCAGAAAAGGTCAAGCGCTACGTGTTCGAAGGAGAAGAGTCGGAAGATGTAGAGAATGTGCAGCATTCAGATGATGATTATGATGGTGAGACCGACGAGCCGGGGTCTGAAGGAGGTGGATTTCTACCGGATTCAGACAAGGGAATTGCACAGCCTACTAGCCTTTCTCGTGACGAGAAATTTGCTCCTAATACCAATACTGGGGATATTCCAGCCGGTGATGGGGGCGGCTTCATCCGAGACGACGAGGAAATCGACGGCGGAGGCTTTATGGCTGAATCTGAGAATGATGATGCGCTGGAACCTGCTCCAGTCGACGCCATCATACAGCCCACTTCCACGCTGATGAAGCCGAAGAGTAATGTCCCTCGCTATCAGTTGACTGTTATTCCGAATACGAAAAAGTCTGGTACTGTCTCCGACCGACCTAGCGATTCAACAAAAGCTTCAAAGAGAGACCCTCAGGTTAAAGAGACAGCCCAAGAGAACAACGCGCCAGTAGATGATGGTCGACAGTTTTCGAACGATGTATCGGCCGTGGTCGACACATCTACTTGGCTAGTGCCTACATCTGAGAGCGTTGAAGCAATATCCCTAGTTGAATCGAAACCTGCATCTCGTGTTCCATCTCCAGTAGAGGTGGAAGGAGATTCAGATAGCGATATCGAGAAGGTGTCCTTGCTATCGCATGACCCAGAGGACGAGGATGCAGAACCGGATTGGCTCATGTCTGACTGATTGGAGTTAAATATGTATATAGTTGTATACCCTTGTGATAATAGCGAATATTGGAATGATTGAAAATAAAACCACTTTATTTTGTAGACCGATGTGAATGATGTACGATTAATATACCCCAAAGCGGAAAGGTGTGTCCGGAAACGCGTCCCCGAGACGCGTCTTCCATGTCGAAAAGCCGACATCAAGGCATCGAGGCCGCTGTTTTCGCATCTCCAACTGCCAATCACCGGTTGCCCTCACACGCTAAAATGAACGATTACTGAGATGGGGTCAAAAGAGGATCGCAAAACTCAACCTGAACCAGTTCACAGAAACCCCCCAAACCCGCCTAGTACTCCTGTTGAACCCGCAACCAGACGCGCCGCGTACACAAGAGCTGCAGCAACCACAACGAAGGCGAGAAGAACGACAGAAGATGCTGAGGTAGCGTCATCATTTGCTTCGAGTGTGAAACCACGCAGAGCTTGGAGTTTTCGAGATTGGGATAGTCAGATTACTCTCACTCAGATTGTGCCAAAGGCCGAGCCGGTGGATGCGGATGCTGGGCTGTTGGAGTTTGATGATAATGGCAGGGATCGATCGAAGAAGGGTGATATTGAGGTTATTGATTTGGTGGAGGATTCGGATGATGGTGATGACGATACTGAGTACAACCCGTCGTCGAATCGACGCACATCTACAACGAAAAAATATAAAAGGGTACACCTGCCGGACAGCATACCTTCCACCAGGTTTAAGAGTCGAAGGTCCGTTGGATTCGACAGCAGTGCGAAAAAATCTACTGGATTGAAGGGCAGGATTGGGAAGAACCAGCAAAAGGGGAAAGATGGGAATAAAACCCTCACGCAGATGGACTTTGTCCGACGGTATATACCTCTCCCAGAGTCGGACGACGACCTGCAGTCTTATGATGAACCAGCGGCAATCCCAGGGAATGGATATAGTGAAGACATCAAAGACAACATGGGGAAGAGGGAAGAGGAGGAAGAGGATGGACCGACTCCAGGGAAGAAGCGGAGGCTTAATGAGAACTCTGCAGCGGTATCACCACATTCTACGAAACATTCCCCTAGCCAAACCACAAATCGCGCCTCTCCCCCAGCCAACATCAACCCTACAACTCCACAGAAATTACGAATGTTCGAAATACCGTCCTCCCAAACCCCGGAAACACCTCGACAGCTCGCCTCTCCCGAGCTGCACCATGTGCCCCGTTTTCCTTTGGAAGCATTATCATCGAATCCGTCGAATCTAAGTCTGGATAAGTCTGAGAATAAACCTTGCAAGACCCAATCACCGCTATCGCCGGAATTAGATCCACCAATTCCGGACACCAGTGAGAATAATATCGGTGAATCTATAAAACGACACGATGGGAAACCCTTGGATGACGCTGTGGACGCTGCTCTGGATACATCAGTGCCAAGAATAGACGAAACAGATCCATCACATCCTCCCCAGTCGTCCTTCCGTAAAACCGTTGTATACGAAACAGACGCCGATACGGACTATGGAGAATTTGACGAAGATAATCTCCCTCAAGCATCGAGCCCGGCCGACGATCATACCCCCAAAGGCAGCAAAAAAGATATCCTTGAAGAGGATCGGAGTATTCCGAACAGTGATGACTCTGACGACCTTCCCCCTCCCGTGCCTAATTCTGGCACCGACCTTGAAATAAACCAAAATATCTTTTCAGATACTGCATTACCCTCGGATGCATCTTTATATTATCGCCGACCCGCTCTATATACCCAATACCCGACGGAACCTGTGCCGATACTAAACACACAAAAGATGGCAGAGCTATTTCCCACTCAAGAAGGGACCGGAACCCGAACTTCGACATTCAAGGAGTCATCGGCAGGCAAAGAGTTCTTGACGCCTTTGAAGAACCAGCATTCCGACATTATTTGCCCTCATACTCAAACAGAGACGCAGAGCGACGAGGTTGATAAATCAACGCAAATGGTTCCTGAATCATCACCAGTCGCTCGGAACCAGGAGATACGGTCGAGAGACGAGGCAATGCCGCCTCCACAAGAATCCGTTGTCTTGGTGGAGTCATCACAGCTTGTAGACAAGATCAACAGGCAAAACAGCGATGCTGATATGGGACCGGCCTTTCGGAAGCTGCTTTCTGCAGGCGATTTCCTAACAGACAGCGTAATGGAAAGCATTCCACCGCCTCCGTGGGCTCTGAGCCAGGATAGCGTAGGGGAGCCGTATCCTGAGGACAATTCACATAGAAAATAGAATAAACAATTGATGATAATAGATAGATAGTTAAAAGTATAGTGAAGACACTGGAATGTCGACGATATCGTAAATACAGCGGGCGGTCTGATTGGCTGGTAGCTGTAGGGTGAACTACGGACTATCATTGGCCCAGCTGTGGATAGTGGGTTTCCCGCGGCGCTAAAGTTGTCAGCGGAGAACCGATTGTCGTATCTCATGTCTCATCGGGCCATGCTTGCTTTCACCACACATGATCGGGGGGAGAAGTCGGTCATTTCCAGTTACCCGCTTGCTCGCTGCATCTATGTTACCATAATCTCTTTACTCTAACGACCAACCCAAACACTTCACCATGGATTTTGCCTACGACCACATCCAGGAGGAGATCATAGCTTCCAGCGAGCCAACGAAACAACAGGACGGCAGCGCCGCTGAGAACGGCAATCTCAATCTGGGCGCCGAATTCGAAGAGACCTTTCGCGCGTTTTCCAATAGCCCCTGGGGCACCAAGATCGGTGGGCTATGGAGCAATGTCCGTAAACAGGGCGAGAGTTACTACGAGGGTGCCCGCCAGGAGTACGCTGCTGTCAGCGAGGAGGCTACCAAGGGCTTCACTGATCTACGTGAAAGCATTGTCGGGCGCACTCGTGGGCTCTCGCTGGGAGGGGCGCTGTCGTCTATCACCACCGCCAAGGACGGCGATGATGATGCGCCCACCCCGACAACAGCAACAAAAGAAGGCGATGGTGATGCAAGAGAGGACACAACAACAGAAACAGAGGAGGGGGAAGGGTTCATCTCACGGTTCCGTACCGAGGCTGCTAAGAGGTTGAAAGAGCTGGAGAAGGCCGAAGATGCGGCGGACGAGGCGCTGATTCGGTTTGGTACGAATGTTCGCAATTTCCTGCGCGACGCCGTGAGTGTCGCGCCGCCGGAGGAAGGTTCCGATAAGATTTTATTCGAAAGCAAAGATGCAGAGGGCAAGCGAGTCTTCCACGCCACCCGTTTCGAGGCACAGTTGCATGTGATCCATACGAACCTGGAGACTCTGAAGAAAGACCCGGAAAGCGAGCAGTGGACTGCTTTTAAGAATGATTTCAATGTGGATTCACAGACAGATGATATTACTAAGGATTTAGAGAAGTACCCCGAGCTGCGGAGAGCGATGGAGAAGCTCGTCCCGGAGTCTGTTGAATACGCCGAGTTTTGGGCCCGTTATTATTTCCTGCGACTCGCGGTCGAGACAGAGGAGCAGAAGCGCAGGGAGTTACTGAAGGGTAAGAGCTCGCGATATTCATACGAGAAAAATGGACATTTTCTAACAGCTATTTACAGGCGCCAATACAGCCGCCGATGAAGAGGAAGTTGGCTGGGACGAAGACTCTGACTCCGAGTCCGAAAACCCTTCCACCCCTCAAGTGAAAACCAACAAGCAAGGCACAGCATCTTCACAGCATTTGACCGTTACCAACGAGCCTACGACGAAATCCAGCGAGCCTCGTAATTCCAACGACCAACACTCCCAACCAGACAGCGAGTCGAGCTATGACCTCGTCAGCGGCGCTACGAGCCAGACGCCTGCCAGTCCGCGCGAAAAGGTGTCTTCCAAGGCTGAAGATAGCGACGAGGATTGGGAATAATGAGTTATTTTCTCCGCTCATCTTTTTTAAAAAAGACTTCCTTTCGTTTCCTTTCAAGCGGGTGTTTAATTGGAGTCCGAGCCAGACGTGATTCTCTCGCTCTTTCTTGTTGATTATTAGGAATTATTCTTGCAATATGTTACTTGCCACTTCCACCAAATAAGAATATACTATGGTGTAATGACGCTGAACCGCACATGCGCTTAGTAACCTGATCGTTTTACCAGTGGTATCTGAATACGCTGAACGCTGTCAATTCAAGTCTATAAGTCTTGTCCCAAATCATCACTTCCCATTTCTATGACGCGCTTTGACCTCGCGACTCACCCCCCGTTCCAGGACTCGTTCCAAGCCCCTCGTCCGTATTCGCCGTCGTTGGACGTTTCGACAATGGCGATCCCTTGAAGGACACAACCTTTCGCTCCCCTGCCAGTAGCGGCGGACGGGCCGACTGTCTCGGCAGACCTGGGGATGATTCCGGCGTCTGGTATCGAGAAGATCGTATCTGATTCGGCTCATTAGGTGATACGGGATCGACGCTGGACTCTCGATACCCATACCGCGCTGGTGTTCCGGTCGGCGTCCAGTGCCCTTCGTCGGTGTATTGGTATTGGTAGTCTTCGCCGCGCCGCTTGAGTGGTGACTCGTCATACGGATCCCAGCCTACTTTCCGCCGTGCCTCGGCGCGGAGGCGTTGCCGGTGATACTCGTCGCCGCCGGCGCCGGTGCTGGAAGATTCTTCGAGGAAGAAATTGAGGAGCTCGTCGGTGATGGAGAGGTGGGATTGTTGTTGGAATTGTTGGAGAGAGGTGAGGCGGAGGAGTGTTTCGAGGAGGGAAAGCGATGTGCGGATGTTGTTGAATAGGGGATTGAATGTGGTGGACGTGGATATTTCCTGCACTGAGGAGAAGGATACTTGTTGAGACTGTGAGGGGGAGGAGGGTGGTTTCTCCTTGTCGTTGATGGTGAGGTTGGCCATGCGTTTCGGATTAATGGTAGTGTTGGTGTCTGCTTCGTCTTCAGCTTCGGTTTCATCTTCATCGTCGTCTTCCTGTTCCTCATGATAGACCTCAAAGGCAACCCATTCTGGATCTAGGCCCGGGGGGAGCTTCCAAGCGTCCGGTATCTGTCGGTCTGATAGCGATTCGCAATAGCCTTGTTCGGTTGCGTTGTCTGCTCCGTTATTCAATTGGGCATCGAGCTGGGATTGAAGCTCATCCTGTTCTTCGTCTTTGTGGATGGGTAGTTCTGGATCAGTATAATATGTTTCGTCTCTCTCAACCATGCGACGTGGGGGTATAGCATTAATATCTCTTTTCAACAACAACACGGGATTATTTGTCTCCCCTTCACTTCCGATATTGAGCACTTTGCCGGTATCTGCGTAGAATATTTTGGATATTTGGTGGATTGGAATGATTTCTCGGATGCCAGCAAGGTGGATACCTTCATAGGGACCCGGACGCACTGCACCATCGTCGAAGCTGTGAACTCTATCATCATCAAGGTCTTCCACAATTAAAATCTGATATGCAAATTCATCCGCTCTTGCTGTAGCCGGCAGATGAGACCTGCGAGTCTGGCTGTCTGAGGTATCGATAAACACATCCAGTGGAACTCGTCTTATTTTTACACGTGCTTTGTGCATCACCTCTTTCCACGTTGTTTCTCGGACGCTTTCCTCATCATGAGGCCTAATATGCCCACTAAATAGCATATAAACGGACAGCGTAAAAGTCGGACCAACTTGGACTGCTGTGGCAGGAGTCATTGAGTACTGTGTGTCGCAAGCCGTAAGGAAAGTGCTAGCTTGCAGTAAACGCGATGGCGAGATTGTTGACGGCAATGTTGTCGACAAACTTGCCCCGGATGTAGTAATCGCGAGATTCATCAACGGCACGGCATCTTCGATCCGGTTCAGTATCCGTTTGATCTCTCGGATGATGAGCTTGATTTCAGCCTCATTCATAGATCGTGCTGCTGACGAAATTGCTCCTTTTCGAGCTAGTTCTTCTGCAGTGGCGGCTTTTTCTAAACGGCTAGCTAATGACTGGATATCGTATCTGAGGGCCTTGGTGAGAGAGACAGCAGATTCTAAAGATGTATTCCCCCGCGCGGCGATCAACTCGATCATGTCAATTGCTGGTGAGATGACCTGAATAGGTTAATAAGTATTTACGACAGAGGTGTCAAATTGGTTACCCTGATTTTACTTTGGAGGCGCTCCTGCAGAGCAAGCAGTTCGGCTCTGTCCGCGCCACTGACATTCTATCGCCGTTTATCAGTACGTCGACGCACGTTAACAGAAGCTAGAACTGCAGACCTTGAGTAGCCTTGAGGATTGATTAATTGCATATGTTGCTGTGATACTGATGCCAGACCTATGCCTGTCAGTTAGCAGTCAGGTGCATTGAACGGCAGCAACGTGTTTACCTGATGGCAAAGTTCATGGCCTGGCCGGTGACCTGACGCGGCGGTAAGCTCCTGCTCGTCCTGTTTGCGATATAGATGACGAAAACTCACCTTTGAAAGGAACACCTCCATCTTGCAATGTCCCAGCCAGTATTCTCGGCCAGATATTGTGCTGTGGTGTAAACAACCGAGTGTTTAGGGGGGAAGAGGGATAACAGAGAAGGTTGGCGTTTATCGATAGCTGATATCCGCCACTCTGATTAGTGACTACTACTAGCAGAGCTCCCCGCTGTACCTTGCAGTGACGCAATCTAGGGCTTGGGGTACACGTCTTAGGCGTCAATGAATCGTTCCGGATATTATTTAAAAATATAATTGGCAATTTGAAGCCAATTCCAGACTGATAATGTGTTATTGCTAATGAGTTGGCGGATAACTTAGGCACGGGAGGCAAATAACAGGCACTAGAAGTTTGCGTGTCGCATGTTGGGCAGAAAGCTGGGAAAGTAGAATAGAAAAAGGCCCTCTTCCAGCAAGCACAGCCAGTAAACAATATAAAATATAAAAACAAACATCGACAATTTCTATAGCATTCAACAGCCTTGCCCCACCCGCTGACTCAGCTGTGCAGATTCGTGCCCCAATTATCAGGCAGCGAGGCACTAAGGCACCCGGCTAGGGCGCCCCTCCCGAAAATTGGGTGTCGCAGTGCAAGCCTCATAAGAATTTAATCGTTCTTTTTGCAACCTCTCCCCACACCATATCCGCGTGTGTTTCTTCTGGTGGTCGGCTTTTGGTATTCCGCCATTCTCTCTTGTTCTTTGTTACTGTTTTTGTGATACCATCATGGCCGACCAGACTCCCGACTCGTGGGAGGAGGATCTCTCCAGACAGACCGACGGCATGAACCTGAACAACGGCAACTTCCAAGCCCAAGCAGCGTCATTCCAGCCAGGCGCTGCCTCATTCCAACCCGGCGCTGCCGCATTCGTGCCAGGCCAGCAGTTCCAGCAATATAATCAAGGCGCATACCCTCAATACCAGCAATACGGCCAGCAGCAAGGCTATTACCCCGCCTATGGCCAGCAGGGTTACAACCAGTATGGCGGCCAGCCACAGCAACCAGGCAACTTCAATCAGATTTACAACAACAATTATGGTGGTGGATACAACCAATACGCACAGCAACAACCTTCGCAGCAGCAACCACAGCAAGCTCGTCAGGCTCCTGCTCCCGCTCCCGCCCCCGCCGCTCCTAAAGCCGAGAAGTCCTCTGCTCCTCCCAAGGCCAAAGTCCTTTCAATCGGCGGCGATGTGAGCGCTGCCAACGCTGCACCGAAAACAAAAGTCCTCTCCATTGGCACACCTGCCACCGCAAAACCTGCTGCTGCCGCTGCTGGCGATAGCAAGGGCCCAGCTGCTGCGGAAGCCGCCAACAAGGTGACGGCCGCAAAGGCGATTGAAAAGACAGAGAAAAAAGCAGAGGCAAAGGCCGCTAGTACTGGAAAAACAGCGAGCGCCCCTTCATCGGGTCGCAGTAGTCCAGGACGAAGCAGCCCCGCGCGAGGAGAGAAGAAAGTCGGTCGAGATATCGATTCCGTCGCCCGTGAGCAACAAGCCGATGTGGACGAGGCTACCTTGAAGGAAATTTACGGTGAGAAGCGTGAACATGTCAACATTGTATTCATTGGACACGTCGATGCCGGAAAGTCAACTCTTGGAGGTTCCATTTTGTATGTGACCGGTATGGTTGATGAGCGTACGATGGACAAATACAAACGTGATGCCAAGGAAGCTGGTCGTGAGACTTGGTACTTGTCGTGGGCGTTGGACTTGACGAACGAAGAACGTTCTAAGGGTAAGACTGTCGAAGTTGGACGGGCCTTCTTTAAGACGACCCACGATTCCCCTGACGGCCCCATTGAGCGCCACTTCACCATCTTGGATGCCCCAGGACACAAATCGTTTGTACCTCATATGATCGGAGGTGCCTCCCAAGCAGATGTCGGCGTGCTCGTCATCTCCGCTCGTAAGGGCGAGTACGAAACCGGATTTGAAAAAGGCGGTCAGACTCGTGAGCATGCTCTACTGGCGCGAAACTCGGGTGTCCAGAAGCTCGTCGTCGCTGTTAACAAGATGGACGACCCTACCGTAGAGTGGAGCAAAGCCCGCTTTGACGAGTGCACTACCAAGGTTGCCAAATTCTTAGAAGCTCTCGGGTATAAGAAGGCAGACCTTTTGTTCATGCCTATATCCGCACAACGCACTCTCGGCGTCAAAGACCGTGTGCCCAAGGATCTTGCACCGTGGTATGATGGGCCTTCGCTGCTTGAGTATCTCACCGACATGAAGATGCCCGAACGCAAGATCAATGCTCCTTTCATGATGCCTATTAGTGCCAAGTACCGTGACATGGGTACTATGGTTGAGGGCCGTATTGAATCAGGTGTCCTTAAAAAGACCAGCAACTATCTCATGATGCCTAACCGAGACGAAATCTCGATTTCTGCTCTTTATGGCGAGACCGAAGATGAAATTGCCACGGCAACCTGCGGTGACCAGGTTCGTATTCGCTTGCGTGGTATCGAAGAAGAAGATATTCTTCCCGGATTTGTCCTTTGCTCGCCGAAGAGACCTGTTCACTGCGTATCTGAATTTGAGGCCAAGATTCGAATTCTTGAGCTGAAGAGTATTCTCTCAGCCGGTTTCAACTGCGTGCTACACGTCCACTCTGCCATTGAAGAGGTCACATTCGCCTCCCTGTTGCACAAGCTTGAGCCCGGCACTGGCCGCAAGAGCAAGAGGCCCCCAGCTTTTGCCAGCAGGGGTCAAACAATCATTGCTCGGCTGCAAGTCACTGGAACAGCCGGCGCAGTGTGTGTGGAAAGATTCGAAGATTACAACCAACTCGGTCGGTTTACGTTGCGAGACCAGGTGAGTTTTCCAACCCCAAAGACTGGTGCAGCCTAACATTTGTTATAGGGACAAACTATTGCCATTGGTATGATTACCAAGCTGATCACTGAGGAATCGGCATAATGTAAACACGGAGTATATTGACGACGACATATACATCATGACATGGAAAGGCAGGATATCTCTCGTTGGATGACTGAATGAAGCATAAGGCCGGGGGATACGAAATGAACGATTCGCTGCATTTTTTATAGAACCTTGCTCTAAAATATCTGCTTTTGGAATTTATGACCAAATAGCCGAATACCACCATTGCTTTCTATACCACTCAATATATCCCTGTAGTCGTATATAAAGCATAACTATAGACAAAAACCCCCTTCTAGTTCAAAATGTTATCAAACTCATCGCTTCTTCTTCCCAACAACCTTTGTAAACCCATCCTCATCAACCTCTGGCTCAACCCTCTCTCTAGGCTGCCTACTCACCAACGGCGGCGCCTCTCCCATCTCATCATCCTCATCCTCACTCTCGCCCTCCTCCTCATCGGTCTCCTGATCCTCCTCCCTAGTCTCAACCTGCCTGAACAAACCCTGCTGCACATCCCCCCTCCTCTCCATCTTCTCATTATAGTCCAGCCACATCGCATCCACCTCCGTATAATCTTGTTGATCAATCTTCACTTTAGCAGCCATGATCTGATCCGCCACCGCGCCCGCCGACCCGTCATCGACGGCAACGTCGAACTCGTCGTTCATTACCTGGATCAGGATGTCTTCGATATCGTAGGAGTCGGTTTCAGGGCGTGTCGCGAATATCTCGGAGATTGCGCCACAGAGCCACTCGCGTTTGTCGGAGGAGTTGCCGCCGCCCCAGGATGATTGCACGGCGAGCGTTAGAGCCGGCCATGTGTGCAGAAGGATGGTGATGGCGAGGTCGAGCTTTTGCTGTTGTTGGGAGTCTGACGTTGACATTTTGTGTTTCTTCGGGGTATGGAGATGGATGGTTGTTGTCTGCCCCGCCGGACTGGTATCGTCACGAATTGTAGATGGAGTTGCGCAGATTGGACGTCTCACACGCTTCGAATATTAAGTGGAAGTAAAAATTAGGGTATTTTAACCTGTCTCCGTTTTATTGCCTCTGATTCAAATTGGGGGTATATAGACGGTATGCGTGTCTCTGTGTGATTGTCGATATCCAAAAAATTTTATATATCGGGCCCCGCTTATCGGAGTTATCTTATCGGATATCTTATCGTTAATTTTGATGGACGTGAGTGAGATATTGTCAAAGGAGCCAAATGTTATTTTCGTGGTTTTGGTTGGATATTTTTTCTGACAGATATATATAACAGCAGGCCCTCCTCTATCTCAAACTTAGAGATTCGTTTGTAAAAATTATTTAAAAATTTTTTAATTCTAACTATAGCAGACAACCATGCAGTCTCAGTCATGATAAAGGTGCAACGAGGTATCTATGATCCAGGCCAGAAAACGAATATACAATCAACGAAAACCGAGTACATCAACGCCTTCCCGCGCAAAATGACAAATAAATATTCATTACCATTGCCTTACAGTTGTGCCATGTCGTTGAGGATCTTCACTTCCTCTCCAGGTTTGAATGCCGGCAAGCCGATGAATGGGCAAGTGGAACATCGGAACGCATCGCCGAGAGAGCAGCTATTGCACGAGCTCGTTTTGCCTTGCACGGTAAAGTCGATCTCGTCGTTGAGATCGGCGGATTGAAGCTTGAGCACATTCAAGCCGGAGTCTGCTTGTTCACGGCGCGTTTGGTCTTCGGCTTCGAGTTCGGCGGCTAATCCGCAGGTGCAATCTTTACAGGGACGTCGTCGTTTCTTCTGAGTTTCTGGTTGGCATCTCTCGGCTATCGAGTGTTAAATTAGCAATTGCAATCTCACAACCTCTAGATCTCAAGAGGAATAAATGACTTACGTTGCTGAACGGGCCTCTTCATATCTTCATCCGACAGTAAATCGTCCTCATCGATCAGCTCGTCATCATTAATATTAATCTGAACAGAGCCATTCTGATTAACAGCGGCTACACTCTGAGCACCGCTCTCCTTCTTTTCCTTATTCTTCCTCTTGATACCAAACTTGAGCGGGACGCTGCCTCCTTCATAGGCCGGCTTCTCGAAAGCGCCGTCTTTGAAAACCAACCCAGCCAGTATAGCCTCACGCGCATCAGACTCACCCAGCGCTCCAGTCTGTAGTTTTAACTTCGCACCAGCCTTCATGGACGGAATGAGGCCAGTGAATACATCTCGGTTGAGCAATCGAAGCGCCTCGGTGTGCAGGGCGCCGTCAGTGTCTGTCAGAACGAGGACGAGATCGTATGTCGCGGGCGGAAGGGAAACGAAGCCAGCTGAAAGGCGATCGAGCATCTGCAGGTCGGTGGTCGAGCGGTCGAAGGATGTGAAAAGGGCTCGCAGTTTCTCCTCGTGGGCGGCGATGGAGGGGGGTGCGAGGAGCAGGCTGCGTGCCGACGGTGCAGAACCGACGCCAAAGTCGGCCGTCGTGTCGATTGTGACGGGAAAAGACGGCATTTTCTGCTGCTGTTTTATTTAATTGAAACACGAACAAGAAAAGAAAAGAAAAACCGAAGACTGAAGCGTGGAGAAGAGGAGTATCGAAAGAAGAATTCGGCTTGATTAGTAAAAGCGACAAATCCGACGTCGGCGCGGGTGGGGGAGGTCCGCCGCTTTGTGCCTGGCTTTTCAGGCCAAATTGCCACCCAACTGCTCTTTACATTTATAAAATAAAAAAAAGGGGGGAAATGAGGATAACAGTTTTCAATAATCATCGTTATTTATCTCCAAATTTTCGTATTAAAAGGCATATCCCCAATAATGACACATCTTCTCCGGCCAGCCAATGGACGTGTAGGCAAAGGTCATCTTTCGTATTGACTCATCTGAAGCTAGTCCTTTCTAATCACAAGTCAGCTATAAGCTAAAATAACTAGCCGCTGTGAAGTTCCTCCTATTATATGACATCGTATTACATGTCTGATCGTACTGCCGTACGGTATTCTCCGTAGAAGTTAGTTTATTTGTATATCGTACATTGAACATTGAGCTCTGGACAATCCACTCAACAAGGCTCGCTGCGAATAACATAATTGCAAATGTATGAGTTTTTCACGTTTATATTTTCTCCCCAAAGGCCATGCCCAATGTGTTGAGTAAGATACTGGATTAAACCGAAAGGTTAACCCGACTGATGAATGTATGTCTGATATATCGATCGAGCAAAGGCGCTGTTCCTCAATCTTGTCGGGTTTGTTAGTAATCTTTCTCAGTTTTAGCTTTAGACCCATGGTTCTGGCTTCTATGGCTGAACATTTGGCACAAGGTCTGTTTATCTTCTTTCGGTATGCTTCTATGTTCCGTGGACTACGTTTTTGGCTTCAAAGGAAATTAGCTTGAAGATTATGAGTAACTTTTTCTATTGGTGTCGGAGCTAGTGCATAATATGCTGTATGTAATTTCCTATGATTCGTTGATATAAGAGGTGTACAATTCTTACGTCGAGAACCCCAATTTATACAACATTCCTTCCTCTTTTTGGCTCTGCTATCGGACCTAATCCTGATAGTGTGTGGATCAGTTCTATTAGACGGTATTGTGTATTCTGATTTTGTCAATGGAAAATGTACCACTAGTACTATTTGCGTTTCTGGTCTTTCTGGAAACATATGCTGAAATCATTCTTCACCACAAAGCTAAACGATTGCATGAGCCAACTAGACAAGAGTATTATACCGAGTATGACCGGAACCATGAATTACTCTTAGTATGTTCAGGGACCACTCATCAAGTGTCCTGTGCCCACAGATGCTGCTAAATGAGCGATCTACGCGGGTTGGGTGTAAATCAGCACTGTGCTGAGCGTCTTAGATGTGCCTATTACTTTTACGTAGGCAACACTCTCCATTGAACATTGGTATATAAAAAGAGATATGACATCAGTAACTTGATTAATATATTGAATAAATGTGACTATTAGTCGCTGATGACGGTATATTTACGATTTGTCCCAAGACTCATTTCAGCAAAGCCCTAACTCAATATCACCGGCTGAGCCGCACTCATAAAACAACGCTTCGGACGTCACAATGAGTGTCGATTCTTGCACCATGCCCCTCCGAACTACTTCTATCCTCTTTATTCTTATTTTTATTTTTTTTTTGAAATCGATTTTAAGAACCACTATATTAATGACATAGCAAAGTCTACGTTGTTCTAAGATAATCCATAACAATGAACCCCGTATCCTCCGTCGCGGCGCCAGTCAACATCACCAATCTTACTGCTCCAACGAGCTGTCTCGCTGATTTCTCACTGGTTCCGGTATTACAATCCTCACTTCTCAGGACCCGTCACTTGGATTGCTAACAAAGAATTGAATGCTTGTAGATCGGAGACGGATCGACATCCTTCTCACAACAAATCGCCGCCATCCAGCGCCTGTGTCGGCAGTCTGGGCTGAAGTACGTCATGCATGCAACTGGGACTACCATCGGTACGTCAGTCAAATCTACAATCTGCATAGAGTAGGCAAAGTTGAGGGCTGATGGGTATATAGAAGGACCGTGGGATCAAGTCCATCAGGTCATTGGCTGGGCCCATTCACTTCTTCATCAACAGGGAACTGCTCGAATTCAAACCGACGTCAGGGTCTCAACGAGGTATGTGCACTTTAAATTTTATGAGAACCCCGAACCTGGCTGACTGTAAGATAGAACAGACAAAGTGCAGCTAATGGAGGCGGAAATTACAACTGTGGAGAGAATCCTGGCAGCATGATCTCCCCTATTTAATTTCTTCCGAGAATGATTGTTGAAAGTATGTTAGGAGGGGTTATATGGTGTAATGGATTAATAAACGATTGAATACATCGGATGAGAAGAAGGTGAAGTTAATTCACATGAGAAGTGAGAAAATCATCGTATGGTTAATCATCAAAACATGACACATGAATTGGAATAGAAGATAGTGAAGGAAGTTTCTAAGGTGTAGACAGAAGAAATGGTAATGTTGTCGTATCAACAGTACTTCACGGCCGTGAACTGTGCGTAGATCCGACGCACTGACTATTCGTATTTTGAATAGGAAGTGCAGTGCGTCATACACTCAAAAGTGTACTTCAAGATGGCGCACTCCCCACGAAGACGACGAGGACTGCACAGAATCTGAACACATAAAAATACATTAGTCATTGCCAACACTGTTTTTCAGGTCATACTTACGCCGCGGTTATTGAGAAGACAAAGGCAATATTGTGGCCACTGCTGAGAAGGTGCGTGGTTGCTCCAAGCATAATCGAGAAGACCCATACTATAACGAGGCGAGCCCAAATGGATGGAACGGCATACAAGGCAAACATGGGCGCCACATTTATGGTTGGAGCAACGAAAATTGCAAGCCAGCTAATGCATTCACTGATGGTTTCACGACTCAGGGCAAGGGGTATCGTCTTGTCGTCAATCTCATGTCCGGGAGGCACAAGGCGACGAAGTATAAAGGTTGGAAGGTGCTTTAGGTAAATAAACCTTAGTAATGGTTGTATAGTCAAAAAGAAACGAATATTCCAGCATACCTCAATGACAGTTCTAACTCTTGGATCTTCCCTATGCGCGAGAATCCACCCCAGTAGAAACCCGCTTAACTTATCCAAGGGCTGGGACTTTTTGGGGAATAAATGAACTAGATCATCTTCTTCACTCCACAATCCCTTCGAGGTATCAATGGATTGATCGTATTCAAGCATGCCTTTGAAAGTGGCTAGATCGAATTTATCGGGTCGTGGAAGAGACTGTACATTATGGAAGTGTTCTAGAAGCGTATCTAGTATTGCCGCTCTTCTTAGCAGCGCATACACCGAGAATGCCAATCTTCCTGGTGTATAAGTTGTACTTACAATACGAGATCAACTTCCCCTCCAATTCAGTTATGAGAGCTTCTTGAGCTTCTTTGTCAACCTCACTCTCAGGACTCAAGGTGGCCTCAGAAGCTTGTAAATCGCTATCAAGATCTTCAAGCCTAGTTAAAGTAGCTAGTGCTTGTTCGTACTCTGTGAGTCTTTCACCCAGCTGCGAGTGACGATAGAGCAGCAGGGTGTGTCCCCATTTGGTAAACTTCCGCATTAGGGCAGTATTTCGCTGACGAAGCATTGCCGCTATGCGTGTTTGATTGGTGAAGGTCGCCATTAGTGCCAGATAGAAAACAGATCTACAAAGTTCTGATGAATACTGAAGAGCCATCTTCATAGCGAAAGAGAGCGTTTCCCATTCCTTTATATGTGCAATGAAAGCAGGAAACCAGAATCTTCATTCAGCCTCAATAAGTGCCTTAGACTGATACCCGGGCTCGTAGCAGAGAAGGCTTCGTTCTGCATGTTCCCATGTGCAATTGGGTGTACGGGAATCGGTTCTTGTTGGCCGACTAAGCCATTCGAAAGAGGCCCAATACATCCCTGACATGAACCACTGGATCTCCTTTCCGGATTTTCCATAACCCTGGTCAATCTTCTCTGCATATTCTCTCGAGGCTGGCAGGTGCGCAACGAACGCATATCGTGGCAGACGATTATAGCTTGGGCAAACATGCAGCTGATGCGCGATCGTTATGTCATTTTCTTGCAGGATAACCGACGTCTGACTCGAGCGATGCAACGTTGTCTGAATTTGCTAAGGTGGGTGCTCGTCGACAGCCTTCTATCTCGGCGATCTAATCGAATGGGCATGATTGAGAGGACTATGATATGTGTTAGCTTTGAAGCCTGAAAACGTATCAGAGAAGGCTCGAGGCGACTCTTGTACTTGGCTACAATTTTAAATACCGTCACCCGTTTCAATTAGTGTGTTTCGTTGTACATAGCAAAAGTTGAGGTTATATCCGGATTCACCGCTCTTTCTTACGAGGTGCGATCTCCTATAGCGAAAACGACAGACGATTGGACAAGTAAATATATAAATATAATTGATTTCAAAATATATATCATTACGGCTAAACATAAATGTTTATGTAGGTCCGCTTTACTAGTCAGCCCTGTGTAGACAAGACGTGGCTATATCGAACGTTAAATATGTGGTGAAGTGGTGGAAGAACACTAGGCAGCAAGCCAGTTACTAGCACTAACCCCATCCAGTTTCAAGTGCCGGGCCCGGAATACCATTCTTTCCCTAAGACCTCTTGAGCACCCGACTGTCTGCTTCGAGAATCACAACCCAGGTATATGTTTACCCTCATATACTTGTTGTTTTCGCCATCAAATCGGCACCGGCGGTATTTGTAGACATTGAACCTGCCACAGGAAGTCTCCCCGACAACTCTATCCCGGAAGCGCACCGCAGTGGAGTCTAGTTACTACTAGTAGGCTGTAGCGCTTCCTTCAGCTCTCTAGAGTCCCGGCCCCAGGGGAGTTTATTTCTTCCCGACCGTTCGCGAGCGGCGTTCAGTGGAGCAGGGCCCTGCCTCACCCACTCTATGTCACTGATGACTGGGTTCGTTTTTGATAGAGGCCTGGAAGCCTATCTGAAGAATTTCAATTCCTCTGCTCGGCGTAGCTCTAGTTTGTAGCAGCCATCATTAGACTTTGTAGTACGTTGTGGAGACGCAAACTGAACCCGAGGCGTGCGATTTGACCTGTCGCAAAATTCAAGCTTGGATCGCCCATGATTCGATGGGGACTAGGGACTTCCGAGCTAACACCTAACAGCTGCCAGCCACAGCAGCTACCGAGCGTGTATGCAAGCACATCCGGCGAAACAAGACGAGACAGCCCATTTAGTGGAAGGTCAAGTGAAGCCCTGGCCTGTGCGGTCTAGAGCCCAGTCGCTAAATCCAGACTAAGCCCCAGGCCACAATAATATTGTTGAAGCTGCCAGACTCAAAAGTGTTTGAAGCAGAGATCCCCCCACCCGAGCATATACACACACAGTCCTTTGCTGAACACACTTCTCAGAGAGAACTTTTCAAAGGGAACAACGTGCGTTGCTCAAGAATATCAGCGTATTGTTGAGGTAAGAGAATAGATTGTCAAAGTATTCGCGTTGTTTTGGGTTGCATCGACTCTTCAACGTTTCTTGTTGATGTTCGGCCACTAACCGTCAGTCGAAGACTACTTTAGGACGCGTCGTATAACACATCTATCACCTCAGTAATTCATTCGGTAATCCAAGATGGTGAGTCACGAAAATCCGTTCGCGATTAATCGATTTTGACTGTAAACCGTCGATTTACCACCCCGCTGTTCCGTTTCTACACTGTTCTGCATCAAAGGATCGAGGCATCCCTGAACAGTGAGTGGCTGACACAAAGGTTCGATATTTTGTTATAGGAAACGTGCAATCAGTTGTGTATGCCGAAGTCAAAGGGTAACGAAAATCCAAGCCACGCCGAACGTATCGTCATTTCTTGCTGCTAACTGCAAGTCTCATTAGGCAGCGAAGAAACGTACAAAGCGCCGCCGGCAGATATCATGATATACATTCCCCCAAGGACTTAGGGCAATGATCATTAACTGTTGGAGAAATGCGTCCGGTGGAAGGGAAAATATTCAGGAGAGGCAAGACCATTTTGTTTGTCGTCGATCGAGAAAATGCCTCTGCAATTGATCTTCTTCATGTTCCTCGCGCGTGGAAGCCAAAGAACTTGAGTTGTCTGGTGACGTGACAGTTCAGTCTTCTTAGAAAAATGTTAGACACGGCGAATTCTGTTTGCTTTTGGTGGTTTTATTCTTCTGTCGGCGTGAGCTGAAAATAAAGGGAGGGACAGGAAAAAGAAAAAAAGAGGTCACCAGATTTATCATGGCTAATAATTAGTGTCGTCTTAGATGAATGAACTTCTATTTTCAATCCTGGATTTCCTTGAATGTCATCATTCAGTGAAAGGGAGAAGGAGAATGCAAGTTCATGTCAAGGGACAGATTACTCCTTAACTTGGAATGGGGCAGCCTCTTTTCAGATCGAACCTATCAACAGCGCCACATGGACAGTATATCCTTGATGGAGTTGGGCCAAGACTGGCGATTGGCCATGTGCCAGATCTTGTGGACATGTGGTGTGATTCATCCTATGGGAGCGATAAGCTGCAGGTTAGTGCGAGCCCTCTGTCTTTCTGTGTCCCTGGTTTTGCTCTTCTATGGTTCTTCGTGATGCGAGCACGTCTACCACCGCCGAACCCTGTGGAGTGTTGTATAGAGAACCCATGCTTGATGACTCGCGATTGCTACCGCATGTATCTATTGGTAATCTACTGGCATTCGGGCATCGATATTAATTCTTCGAGTGATGAACTTTTAGCCCTAGTGATACGAGTATGCACATGAGAATATCCTCGGCTAATGCGCATCATCGAAATATAGCATCGATGCCGCCAACTGGTGACTTGCGTGGCTAGCGCTTCAGTAGGAATAAAACCCTTGTTCACTTGTTCATCATGTCATATCCATTGATCCTTCGAATATCGGTCTCGAAGGCTACACGCGTATAGATAGTTGACATCAATTGATGGATATGGCGGTGCTGAACTGGCTCCATGTCAAATGCTGGCAGCACAATCCATAACTGGCAAACGGGGTGCCGTATAAAAAGAACTTTGGGTTTTGAAGTCTGCGTATAATCACCTTCCCTGTCGAGTTGGTGCGGAGCGGCACGGAGTTCACCGGCCTAGACTGTCCGCCCGTGTTTTCACTGTCCTAGCTTGCAGGTAGCACACTATGGTCTGCCTGCATGCATCCGCATTCATACAAAGCGCGATAATAGCGTCGAAATCCCCCTCAAGAAACTACCGGTGCCCGAAGGATCGCCGAATGTGCCCAAGGTTTGTTTTTGGGCAATCTGCTGGAAGACATATACATACAGCTCCTTTTCACACGCCTATCCACACCAGATTGCATCGGAGGACTGTAACGAAACGAATATCGCGGACGCAAGGGAAGCCAGGGAATAGGAACTGTCCGGGCTGTTCTGTTTTTTTCCGTCTGCAGGCATTACTGTGGGTGGTTCTGCAAAATAGACGGATATACTAACTGTTTGATTGGACCAGAACACAGCCATTAGGAGGGACATTGGAAACACTCGATCAGTTCTGCCTGCGTCCTAGTAATCTGGTCTGCATATCTGCTTCTGGGGATCCAGCATGATAGAGAGGAATGGCATCCAGTAGTATACTACTAGCAAGAGATTTTTTTAAACACAGGCTACTTAGCTAGCCTATCAATTCTAGTGCGATCGAATAGACGCTCCCGCAGGCATCACTAATATATGTCGATGCTTTGTCTTTCTATAAAAAAGAAACTATCGAATGTGATTCGGTTTCCGCCTCACTCCCTGAGGCGAATGTTGGCCTCTATCCTTCGGTATTTTAGCCCCGTCAGCATCATATTATTAAACGACTGGGCATCATATTATCAGTGTTACAATCGAAACACACACATCCGTACCGGCTTCGTCTGCTCGAATTCAATGTACCCGATCAAACGCTCCGTTCTGGTTTGCGATGAGGGATGATCTTCGATTTTGAGTATGGTCTTATTGCCGAGTTTCACATTCGCAGTCTCATCCCGCAGCTCCAGCCCCCATTTTCTTCAAGGAAATTTCCCATCGCCTTGGAAATATTGGAATCATTCAAGTTCAAAGCTACCTTGAATAACAAAATTGATCGTGATAGACCGTGTTTGATGACAAGCAAAGGCTGATCCCTGAAGACTAGTGATAGGTTTACCTAGTCTTCCTCGATATTGATGCCTCGTAGGTCCATAACCACACAATGATTCGAAGAACCACGCCTCTTACCTTCATGAAATGTCTAAACCTCACTTCTAGCATCGTTCACTACCCATTGTGTCCATAACCTCCCCTTTACGTTCTAACATCGGGCGCACGAGTCACCGTGACAAGCGAATATCGCCGTGAGATCTCGAAGAAGTTCATATCCGAAATTGTTGGTCCTTATGCACTGGATGTTATCAATGGCCATTCTGGGATCAATCAGCTAGAGATGAGTGCGGTGCAGGCCGGGTTTTCTCATAGCCTTGCCTACAGCCCTCATCATAGCTACTGCATTGCGTCAACCGAGTTGGTACTACTTCGGAGTCTCAGAACAGACGTACATGCAAAGCGATATAGATGGTCGGTAAGAATGGCGGCAATACTCGTCGATTCCCGAACGCAGTGTCATCATCACACGTACCACACCATGCGTAAACTCAATTGAGTAATTTAGAAGGTTTAATCAACGCCGAGGTTTACTCCAGCGGATTCGGTATTTGCTGAACATCCAAGACGTTTGGGACAAAGATAACCAGGAATGGGTTCGTCTTCTTTGGCTTCAGTCTATTCATCCATGTTCAACCCCAAATTTCGTGCCAAGTCTTCATCGACGTCATCGCGAAGAACTCTGCGGAAGAGAGACTTTTCACGTCACAGACTTTGCTGTATAGGCCACGATATACCACCGAAGTTAATCGAGCATTGAGATTGCTTTGATGATCCTCCATAATGTTTCCAGCGTCGAGTGGTGACATCTGTAGCGATTGCAACACGCTCAACGGTATGCTGCGAATTTTCATCGATGCGACACTGTGTGTACAACCAAGTAGTCATTGATTGATTAATTTATTGTTCTACAGCAGTTCAATCTCACCGATATCGTGCCGCCGGAGTTCTGCGTTGAATGCTCAAAGTCATATCCCTGAAGCACATGCTCCAAGATCAGCTTCGTCTCCTGAAATAAGGACAAACAACCCAAATGGTTGCTTGGTCGTGATTGAGGCCATCTACGAGTTGAGCATCGTCTGACACCGAATTTCATACTCTCCTTGCTCTTTCTTCCCTGGAGTAACAGCTGCGTAACATTGAGATTCGGGAATAATGACAATTAACTCTGCGATTGCCAATAAGATGAATCATGTTATACTACATTTGTTGACGCCAAATAGATCCACTACCATGTACGTAATCAAAACCCGATGAGGCAAACATGTCTCTTGTCCTCTCGAAACGTCGAGTCCGCCTTCTGATATCGCCCTACCAAATCTGTCCATAGTCCTCATCCTCTTTGAAGCGTCGAGACATCCTACAAATCGCCCACGTCTAATAGTCGGAACTTTTTCTTTCCTTTTTCATCGAGATTGGCCCAAGATATATGCCACTGCATATTTGAAACTTGCATTTGCATATAGCGAGAGACTCTCACAAGTTTTTGGCTGTTGTGCTTGATGTGACAGATACATGACTTCTAGTGCCCTGGGGTTTCGTTCTCGACAGAGAGGCCATTGGAGGTTGTTATCAGGTTGTGATCACTCTGTATGATTTGAAGCCTTGAAGTCAACCCATGTCACCTTAATTGAGTCGAAAGCTACTAACCAGCCAATGTACTTACAAAGAAATATTTCAGTTTCCCCCCTCCTTCTGTCACATACCACTAGAAGTGAGCAGCGGTCAGAGTGTTCTGGATACTTTCAGAAATTTCAATTTCCTCTGACGATATGGCTATGACTATTTGATCTATACAGTAAACCGACTATCGAGCTTAGCTTGACTTTAGTCGCACATATGCATCTACATCCTTAAATTAATAGTATTGCAAATCAAAGTTCGTATCTGACTCCTCTATAACATCGCCACGGTCGACCTTATTCTTCATTCTGGGTCAATGTTCCTCGCACGAGCGATATTGAGATTCATGCGACGCTAGATAGAGTCAGACCCTCGACCTGAGCCCCCCTCCTCCCCCCATTCCCAGCCAACCCATGGAACTTACGCCGACTATAGAGACGGACCAAGTTGTACCTAACATGGCAGTCCCATGACTGAGGATGTGGTGATAAAAGTAGTGAATGGTATTCAAACAATGAGTTTTATAATGCAGAGAGAATTGCCGCGTATTCTCGAGAACAGTGGATCGAACTAGGTGACAATTTGCCTAGAGCTCTTTAGCTTTTCTGTGCAAACTATGCTGCTTAGATTGTGAATTTTGAAATTCCAACACTGAAAGGAACTCTTCTATAGTAAGTGCTGTTCTTGGGGTTTAATACTCTATATACATGTCGCCTACGCGAACGTCATGAAGATAAAAAAACAAAATTACGCTATGAAAAGCTTGAGACTTATTATAGAATCAGCTATCCTATTATGTCCTAACGTCCTTCTCCATCAGTTTTCATGAACTGGATCAAATGCACTACTTGATAAATTGATGTTATTTATTTGACTTGAACAACGGAGTGCAGGGCCAGGATAACCGCGAACTTAAGAAGGGGAGAAAAAGTGGTGGTCGGGTGAATTCACAGAAAGTTAACAGATAGGAGGTTCACTCTGGACAAGTGCTTCATAACAGGGAGCAGGTTCTAATGTCTGGGGGAAGCGATTTTGTTCGCTTGCAATCTGGTCGACGTTCGTATCCACAGACGTTGAAACACCACAACTATCCATACCAGTAGATCCTAAAAGCCTTGGATGAATACTATGACTGCCGTATGGGGGCGGTGGATCGATGTTATGTTGAATAAGTTTACCGCACACTGTTGCATCCTGCCCTATCACGTTGGGTGTCATGTAAATGACAAATGGAATGGTATTCGCAATCTAGTAGCAGCTCAGTCAGTAGATTCCTCTCGGCTGCTAGAATAAATGGCTTACCTGGTCTAGGACCTGCCCATTCAGATCTTGGAATACCGCATTGATGATCAACAAGTGCCTTATTTCAATGGCATTGGTCGAAATACTTTGCGAGCAAGAGTCAAACGTCTGAGGCAGACAAACAAGCTTACATATACAACATTCAGTATCGGTGGGGTCGACTATAGAAAATTCACTTCGTTTGGGGAAGTTGAATGTCTCCACAAAGACGGTGTAAGCCCTTTCTGATCTTACAGAATAGATATTGAGAGCGTATTGAGCTGCGGTGGCGTCCAGTCGAATATTGTGCTTCTCAACCACCTCCATTTTAATGGACTTCAGTACAATATTTTTGGATGGCGTCGTAAACAAGAACTGCACTGGGAAAGTTGATCCGAAGGCGATATTTCGATTCGGTATCGATATCTGATACTGGATATTCTGATTCGATTCACCTTCAATGTTCTAACGATGGGTGTCAGCTTCTTTGTACTATCATGTGAGGCAAGGCGGGATATATACTAGTGTAGTTTGTGGTTCTAGGTAATTTGTCTCCAGTCCAGAAATCTTATATATCCTGAGCGGTTTTGATAACACAATAGCCCTTCTGTAGCGACGTTCGATAACAGCATCTATTTGGTACGAGTGGTATTGATGTTTGGGTCCAGTAAGAGTTTCAGTCAGTTTACTTGATAATGAGATATTGAAAACGAATTCGTAATTCCCTGCTTGCATTTGAAAGGAACGGAGCGTTTTAGATGACGCCAGACCCTGATAGCTTTCGAAAGTAATATGTTCACGGTCTTCTGGAATCGAGAAGCCATCGCGAGAACTAAGGGAACAAATGATTAAAAAACAGCCAATAAGTCCTATGTAATGAATGGAGCTTCTTACACTCTGAGAAGGCCCCTCAATCTCACTTTTATACTTTTAATAAAGGTTATATCGCTAAAAGAGACGCATAATTTCCCAGTTACCGAAGCGGTAGACTGAGCATGCCCCATTCCTGTGAGGAATACGCAAGATTGATCAACCCTAAGTGACGGCAACCCTATTAGAATCGGAGATCAGGCAACAAAAAGTGGTCCAAAGGTTCTGTAATACCTTAGGTCATAGCTTGACGTGTCCCTGAGAAACATCATTTTGTCGGCGAGACCTCCGTCTGTACAGAGTCAAACCAGTGGTTCAATTGGCAAGTAAATAATAGGCCAACTCAAATATTTATTACCAGATGTGATTTCTTCGGTCAATCCGACACAGCTGGGTTGTACTTGATTTACTTATACTACTTCAGAGCACATGGTCATTTGCACTAGCTGGCGGACTTGCCTAAACGGGGTCGGAACTCCATAATGTTTGGCAACTTTGGTTGACGGTTATTTTCCGCGTTAAGAAGGTCACCGCCTCGCAAAGTGGGTCGGCGGCGACTTTCCTTTTCCTTCCCGGAAGACTATCCAAGCCAACATTTGCAGTTGGAAGTTCACGTAGTAGTGTATCACGGTCAGCGAGGCACCTTCAAATGGAACTGACATTTTTGATTGGGCACGACGGTGCAAATATAAAACGGGAACATTCACGTCGAGCGTGTACCCCATGTCGCCAGAAAAAGGTATGTGCATTCTGCGAACTATCATTGCTCGGCTGATAAACGGATTGGCCACCGAGATAGAAGCGATGTTTCCACAATAGATCGAATACTCTGAAACGGCCTATTCAAGCAGATGAATTTCGTCTACGTCGGGCGGGAGCTTACACACAGGATGGATCAGATACGTCGTTGCGGCATGTGTCCGTCTCAGAGTCTCCTACTCACGAAAGACCGAATACTTCGTCACCTCGAGGGATCGCAGAACAGCAGCCTTCTTGTCAACCCACCTCAAGTGTACTGAATACCGATGAACCGAAACCAGATTCTCATCACTTTTCCTGTGACTCTAATCCCATCGTGACATTGATAGACAGCCCGGAGACAAGACTCCAGAATGGCCACTCTCAAAGAGGGGATGTTGGGGCATGGCTGTATGACAAGCGCACCACCGCTCCAGTAAATAAAACCAAATATTTTCCCACCCTTGCAGGATTTTATCCATACCAGTCAACAGGTGAAGGTAGCCTTTTGCCGTCAAAGCAAAGTCAAGAAGTATTGATTGACATTTATTTTCGTCGGATACATCCTGTATTACCACTGCTCGACGAGGATGAAACGCGGTCTCAGTTCACGAACGGCACCATTTCTCTACCCCTTCTCCAATCTATCTGTCTAACTTCCTCAAAAGACCTGAGCGCAGTATCTCTTCTAAATGTCGGCTCTGATACAGCAGTACTACCGCTTGAAAAATTCTGCGAACTAATCTACAATGACATTATGAAAAACATGCTTAGGGGTGAGGAGAAGAAAAAAACTGTTATAATACAGATTTTAACGCTTCTGTCACTTCATGAGTGGGGCCCTGATGGCTCCGAATACTGCTCTTTAAGCTTGAGCCAAGCCATCCACCACGCGCAGACTCTCGGTTTGCATTTACTAAAGGCTCATGATCCATCAAAGTTTTCTTTGAGAGCTTTATTCTGGTGCTTATGGAGTCTTGATAAATGGAATGCCGCCATCAATGGAAGACCGGTCATGATTCACGACTGTGATATGGGCCAAGATGTTGCCGACGTTATTCCATTATTTGAACCACCTTTTCGCATCTGGCTTCGTCTCGCGGATCAACTTGGGGAAGTAATCAGGTTCTATCGACCAATGAAGAATAAAATATTTGAACAGGATCTCGAAATTCCCACCTTTGAGGAAATTGTCGGAAGCTCTGACGCGTGGGATACAAATATTGAACATCTCAGTAAGCTAACCGGAGCACTTATTTGAACAACTTTTAACGTAAAAAAAATCAGATTCTCTTGAGCTTTTCTATCACGCAATTGTTGTCCTCTTTACCCATTCAAAAGGCTTACAAGGCCGTTCTCATTCTCGAATATCAAAGATTCGTCAAAGCCAATCGATTATGATGATTAATACCCTCGTCCGAAATAACCGGATGGAGGATCTGTTGCCGATACCTATGTCTGCATATACACTGTCACTCGCCTTTTCGATAACTTATATTCAGTTTAAAGAAAGCAAATTGTCGAGTTCTCGAGTTCTGGCAACAGAAAATCTCGAGCTATTCTATAAGCACCTGAAATCATTAAGCGATACATGGTGGTTAGCGAGTGTGATGATGCGCCTGGGCAAGCGTGCTTTGGACTTTATTCGCCGGCGGATAGTACAGGAAGAGCCCCATGGTTTCCAAACAGATGCAGCACAGTTGAATATAGAGACTTGCATCAGATTTCCGTCTCTTAACGGAGTGTCCTCTGCTCCTTGCACTAGGTCGCAAGATACCGCTAGCAGCCTTCAAAGGCAGGGTAATGCTGAGGACAACATTAAATCGCCTGAAAACAGTCTCTTCGGGTCAGCTATTTTATCCGAGTTTTCCAGGACCTTGGAAAATTCCACTACGTCATCCTCGGATGAGGGATACTTTGATACATTTTTTGAAAACTTTGCAGATGTCAACTTCCCCAGTGCTTCATGCGATCAGTCATTTTGGTACCCTGAGTTGGCAGTTTGAGATTTACGTAGGTTAAATATGTACCTATTAATGGAAGAACGCTACTAGCTCATCCAAGTATTTGGTATATACAGGAGGCGAGGTTATACCAATATCAACTAATAGGTTGATACAACACATGTCTAGCTAAAAGTCGACCTCAATGTGCTAGAATATTGTAAAATTCTACATATCAATATGTCTTGGTCATACATACACCACTTTTAATTATCTTCATATTGCTCAAATGTATTTATGGAACAATGTAAGTAAAGGAATGGAGGACCCCATATGCGACATCTACTCCCCGGCGATAAGCGACGAGGTTGCCTCCCGGATCTGACTCTTTAAACTTTTCCTATCATGCCAATAGTCGTTAGAGTAGTGAAGTACACCTAAATCCTTCATTACCATCAGTACTAGTGCGCAGAACTAGGACAAATGAGAGTTCACTAGATACTATTGCGAAATATGTAGCGAATGTGATAGTTCGCTGACAACGTTCTTCTTTCTGGCCTGCAGACATGATATTACTTACCTATATCATGTGTTTTTTAATGCTGTAGTTTGAAACGCTTTGATATAACCGTTGAATGTTTATTTCTAGCCAGGAGCTGGAATAACAAATGGTGCGGCATAGTCGCATCCAATTTGTCCTATTAATGAATACGAATTGATCAATTGATATTCTAGGTTTTTATAATTGCTTGTGTACTGCGGTGTGTTTCATTACTCCTAATAGCTTGATACCTGACGCATAATTATAAGATTAAAGCATTAATTGATACCATTGACCAATTGATATAATATCACATAGTGGTCCCTATTTTTAGTGTTGACCATTGAAAGGGATCAGAGGACATTATAAATTTCGGCAGCATCAACAATTGATGGACGCGCGTATAAAATCTTAAAATATACATCGAACGTCTGGTAGACTATAGACTATCGTAGATGGTCCAAGCCCTTAGCATTTACAGTTTAACCACCAACCAGGAAATCTTTTTGCAGATTGGCCAGTCCCTATATCCAACACGCTAGCTTCCCAAAGTCAATGTTAAATTCGAATCCAGCGAATTTCGATTGTATGGCACAGTGCCACACAACAACTCTATCCACGAGTCATACTTTCTAAAGTTATACGTAAAGTAAAGTAATTAGTCTCCAGTAGTATGAGCACGTCTACGCTGGGGTCTAAGTAAAAGGATAACGCGTTATAGTGTTGCCCATCAATAAGTATTAATATGGAGCCCAGGCCGGGGGGCAGGGGGGGCGGGAGGGGCAAATAGCTCATAGCGCACCACAACACGCAGTAACAAGCATGTAAAATCAGTTTACTAGAACATCTTAGTAGCTGGTGGTCTCTAGCTAAGTGAGTGGTATATGCTGGTACGGATATCGGATTGTGGGATGTGGCGTAAATGATCCGCCCGGCTGGGCCCACAGCTGACAGGACCGAAATTTTGCCAGGATTGGCAGGATTTCTTGTCACTAAATGCTTAAATCAATTGGAGAATCGGGACCTGCGTCGCGATCTCAAAGTTTCTTAGTAAACTAGTGTAGTACGAGATAGGGTTAGGCTTACGGATGCCCGAAGCATTGGATGGATGAACGCCCTGTGAAGTCAATGCATGACTCAAGGTTGTGTTTATTGATTCATTCGTTCTATAGCTTAGGATTTAAGAATGAAGTGGGCCAGGTAGGATATGCCATCGCCATCCTTAAATGTATGTCTGATGATTTGAGTTTTCAGGACATGACTAGAGATTTGCTGCCTAGGTGGTGTCGGCCAGCCCTGGTCCCCCCCCCGCCCTCGTATTCGACGGACAATTGCACTTCCCAAAATTCTACAAATGACGATATATACACCTTAGTTGGCGTAAATCATCAAACTCAAATTTCCGGCCGTGGCGTTCAACATGCCCTGTGCGCAGTCCCGAACTTTAGCATCGTGATCGCATCATGCCAGCAGCCAATCCAAAACTTATTAAAGTTCTGATGTCCGTGCGACCTGCGGACTCCGTCGTTAGTACAGCGAGCCAGTAACAGATATCTTCGCCCGACTGAGTTGTCTGTTCTTTATCGACTGCAAAAACGTTGTTTAAAGGGACCATTGGTTGGCTCGTAGAGCTAGTAATCCTCCGGATTCTGACAGCAGCTATCCGCGAATGCAATGCAACCTGGCTATAGCTTGACTGGGAAAATAGAATATTTCTTCATTTTGGACCCCATAGAGTATTTCAAATATCAACACATGCTTACCACATTTGGATAGGGCATCCACTATAACCGTGTCCTGCAAAATGTTTTCTAGATAAGGCATCCGACCAGTTTTATGCTTTCAGGTATGCATTGATCTTCCAAAGGATTCAGTATAACAAAATTGGAGACCACCAACCCGACAAGGGCAAGAAAGCCTTAAAACCGTCGTTCATAGAGTTTCCTGAGCCCTTTTGTTGTCTATTCACTAGTCAGAGCCAATATTTAGTGCTGTACCTGGGGCTAGGTGGTCTATCAACTATAATGGCCTTGTCCATGACTCTTATAGCGCGAAATAGCGGCGCCAGGTGCAAGCACGGACTGATCTTCAACATCTGGGAATACATATATGGTGATAAGTGTGATTCCCTGGTGACCCACCATATTTGACAACAGCCTAATTATATAACAATCTGACGTTTGCCGCCCCTCACTCCTGAAGGAATCATTGACACCTTTTACACTCGTCAGGCTTGATCAGTTGATGAAACAACAAGGCAGTATAGTTCAGAATATCCAAGTCACTATCAAAATATAGAACTATGACGGTATGCCTTCAGTGTTCCGATAGCATATGCAAATCATATTCTAAACGGCTTGCTGTTAGAACCGAGAAACACAGGCGCCTATAGTGCTAGGCGTTACGTGCACTTTCTGGTCCCTAGCTGTCATTATTGTCGTGCTTAGAGTATTTGCGAGAACACGAGTCCTTAAGGCTTTAGGCCCTGACGACTGGTGGATGCTGGCCGCTATTGTGAGTAGGCCGTATACTGGACAATAACCAAGACACCAGAACTAACAGTGAGAATAACGGAAGCTTTTTTCCACGCTTGATCAATCCCTGAAAATAGCATGTTAGTTTGATACCTCGACTTCTGCAAAAACAAATCAGTCTCTCATATTGCATAGGGTGTATGCATGGATTGGGAAAGCATATGAAAACAGTCGGAGAATATGACATGGCCATCTTCCTGAAGGTATAGTACTTACTTCCTATTCTTTCATTCCTGAACCTTCTTAACACTGTCTTGAATCCAGCTCAGCTACATCGTTCCAGTGCAATACCCTTTCGCTCTGGGATTCGTCAAGATGTCAGTCGTTAGCTTCTATCTTCGCGTTTTTCCACAGAAAATATTCCGTCACATCTGCTATGTCGTTATGGGTATCGTTGCTGCAGCAACGCTATCTATCGCTTTCGCACAAGCATTTGCTTGCAGGCCTATAAGTGATGCCTGGAAAGGCGCTCCTACTGGATACTGTGTCAATAGGGAAGCGTTACAAATCGCAGGCAGTGTGATAAATCTCGCCACAGACTTAATAGTCCTCATGCTACCTTTGAAGTATTTATACGGTATGCACTGCCCTATGTATCTTAGATGAGTTCAACGACTAATTTTGGTATGCGATAAACAGCTATGGCCCTGGACAAAGCCCGACGATACGGAATTATAGCCTTGTTTTCTTTGGGGTCAATGTAAGCACCACAGCCTTCAAACTAGAATGTCATTGACTCATTCCCATTTAGCACATGCATAGCTTCTGCGTACCGTCTCTCGACAATTCCTGGCTTTTACGCAGGAGGTGACCAAACATGTAAGTCTCTCTAATAGCATAACATTCGGCTTTTTCCCTATACCATCATTGCCCAGAAGTATGAACAACTGCTAACCCGCTGTGTTATCTTCAGGGGACGCATCCGGTCTCTGCATCTGGTCCGGCATTGAGATCAACCTATCAATTATCACGGCATCTATCCCAGCTATAAAGACTTTGATTTCAAACTGTATGAAAAAGTCATCTAAGATTGGATCTTCACGGAGCTATGGAGCCTATGTGACCTCGTCAAGCTCCAAGCGGCCGTTAGGGCGCGAAGAAGATGGATGGGAGCTTTTCGAGCGGGTGGATGCGGTTCATGTTAAAAGAGATATTCATGTTCAAACTGAAATGAAAGTGTAACCATATAAATGTAGATTTAATGAATTTTCTTCTAGCTATTTGACTAAATCCCGTGCGTATAAACATAACTACCAAAATGAGGAAAAGGGTCTGTGACTTTTAAGTCGCAGAACCTTCGATCAAAGTGATTCAACTTGCGAACTAGCAAGAATCTTTTACTCAATACTACCTAGCTCTCGAACAACCCCTGACGGTCTAGATTGTGGAAACCCAGCAGTGACTTTCATTACCAGAAACTATCCTCTCAGCACCTTCCACAAACATTGGCCAGGCCATTCTAATGATTCACTCAGCCCTTCAAAGTGTCCGCAAACTCTTATTCTTTTTTTTATGTATGTTAAATGTAAAGCTGGAGTTGTCAGGAACCGAAAAGGTACCTATTAGGTACCAAGATCCGTGCCTTAGTTTTCGCTGGTATGCGCATACTTCGTGCGCCCAAAAGTTCGACTTCAACCAGGAGCACCATGGGCGGCCCAAGTCAGATACCTCCAGTGTGCCAATTTACTACTACCATGACTATGGGACTATGGGTGGGTTGAACGCGATAAATTTGTAGTAATTGAGTCATTCTCCATAGATCAATAGCTATTGTGGTACATTTGTATGTCTAAATAGGAATCTCCACGGAGTTTTTCAGCGGCTTGGTAGTAGTGAGTCTGGAATGGATACCTCCACCTGACCAAGTTTGTCTCCCTTTATCGATTGCAACAAAACTCTTGTTTAAATGGTGGTAGGCTCGATCAACTAGTATCTCTCTTGGAACTTCTCGGGATACTAGTAATAGGTATCCGCGCAGGCTTGTACTCCTAATCCAACCGAATTTGCTTCGATTCCCAATTGGTTGCTTAAACGATTTCTTTGCTCAACTGGGCAAGGCGCTTGATTTGCTCGGAGCGGCTTTACCTTATTCCTGCTGTCTGGCTTGGCGGTGTTTTTAGGGATCGATTGGCTCTGATCTATCGGTTCATTTAATAGAACCCTAACATAACGCCATTTCAATTAACATATAGAAAACTAACAGAAGCGACATGCAATATACCAAAGCGCTCTGCGAAACCATGACATAAAATACCAACGAGTCAGGTTTATCTGCTCAGTTGTGAGAGCCATGGCGCACATATTCCATCCTGTAGCCAACTGGACTAAAAGAACTGCGACTGCTTTTCGAAAACGATTCTCTGAAGCGTCTCACATAGAGCCATCAGAAAACATCCAGAACGTGGCTGTGCCGAGCGTTGACAGTGAGGACCTGCGTTTCCCTAACTGGCCACCACCAAATCCGCGAGAAATTCTCTCGCGCCGGGAATTCTACAGAGATCGCATGAAATACCGCAAGTACCGAGCCCCCATGCGCGTCTTTGAAGATTCGCCATTGTACGCCCTCTACCGTTTATATGAATGGATCATGGTTGACCACACCGTCAACATGCGGAACGAGCTCGAATTATTCTGGTGGAATCGCTGGCCGGTCTCAAGCATTCCAGATCCCGGTGAGAACGGTGACGCTGAGCGCTACGCGGTCCTAGCTTGTATTCCAGCGCTCATTGTGACGAGCTTTAACGAGCGTATTAATCAAGGATTGCGCCGCGAAGAACCACACTCGATCCTGTCGGCTGAGGAGCAACGGTACTGGGCGGCTACACCTAAGAATTACGAGATGGAACCATCGTGGACGGAAAGCGTTGCGCCGTTGGAGTCGACCTTGCATATACCACATAGCCAACCATGGTCTCCTCAGCTGACTACATTGGACGATCCTGAGGCTAGCCCCGAGTTTAAGAAGAAGAATATCCTGGCGATCAAACCTCACATTCATTTCATATAAATCGCAGCTCGCGTACTTTACGATATGTTCTCTGAACATGTCCTCACCAAATTGTTTAAACTGCAGCCAAGCTTTTCTGTTAGAGGAGAGTGAGAACTTTAGAGATAAGGCCGCTGAACTTTCGTATTAACTCCATACAGCGGCTTTCGAGAAGAACAGACAATTTGATATGCGGCCATGGCGGTTCTATCTAATATCACACCTGTGAAATACTAACCATCGCGTTGCTAGTTATATAGTACAATTCCCAAGTCGGGAAATATCCAAATGTAGTCTTGCTTCTTGCTAAAAAAGACAGCTTTGATAGTCATATATGAGCAGTCAAGGATTATTGCGTTAGGTAAGGCTCTACCGTCGACGGCCGGGTCCCCCTCGGCTTGGTCCAGTACGGCTAGGTCGAGCAGGACTTGAAAAAACAAGGCCATCCGCCCCATAAGTTCGCCGGTAGAGGTCGTTGATCTGCTGCAGAACTTGAACCGGGCAAAGTGCCTTATACCGTTTTCCCCAGCCCTCAACCTGGGCCACTGTAATAGGTCGATTTCCATTTGTGCGGATGATGTATTGGTGTAGATATGCGACAGCATCCGCGCCATCGTACGGACGGCCTGTCCCCTGCGTGATGCGGCTTACTTTCTTGATGAAGGAGTAATCCCAGGGTGCGGCCACTACCGTAAGTCCAGGTGCTCGCATGAGAACGACGTTCTGGGCGACGGCAGTTTGAATAAGGTGGTCAATATTCTCCACTACTCCTGGCATTCTAGCTGTTGCGTTATTGAGCCAGTCTCTGCTCAGTGCGGCAGAGCTACGTTCAATGGCGTACAGCCCTGCTTCGCGAAGAATGTCGAGGTGAGGCTGAGCAAAGATATGGGAGAAGAAGTCCACGTCATGGGTAGTCGCCCGAGATTGTAATACCACGGTGTTTACTGCTCCACCAACTGCAACCAAGGTCACGTTCTCTCCGCGGCGATGAAGGTATTGTCCGACGTAGCCAAGTGCAGCTAGGATATTTTGTCGGTTAAGCTTGGTCTGCTCGTACTGGACCCAGAGACCATTATTGTCTCGCTCCAGAGCGGGAACCTGACCAGGCGGCGTCACAGGTCCACTGATGGACATGTTTTGCATAGGAATATTCTGTCGCCTGTTGTTCTCTCTCCGCTGACGCTGTGCTCGTGATGGTTGAGCATCTACGTCTCCTGATCCAAAACACATAATGAATCAGTTAAGAGAGTAGTGCTTTGGAGGAATGCTAATGCCTGTTATATACTAAAACAGCAGTGCAGAGAAGCTGTGGAGAGTTTTGATATATTTGCTTTCACCCTGAGAGTGCCATGTCCCCAACGTCCTCTTATAAGTGGCTCTGGCTAGGAGAAGTACGCGAAATCCCTTGCCCCTGGTACTATACTGTGGTGACGGTGAAGCGCCAAGGCTTCCTTGCGGCGAGATTCACAACCCATTTCCATTGGACTTGAAATTCGTGTCCTGAAACTATACGCGCCGTGTTGGTTCTCTGGAGGTCTCTTACAGGTAACCGTGCCACAGGAGATTACAGAGATGTGCATATTAGCATGATTTTTTGCTCCTCCTTCCGTAGTTATCTTGGCGGCTGTACTAACTAGTATGTAGCCTAGTTTAAGAGTTTCGTTTGCCGCTGAAAATAGGATAAGTTGGTGGTTATCTTCGTTGATTGGTACGTATTGGAGTGTCAGACTAAAAGCGCGCGGCACCCCTGCAGCTCAGGCGTCACAGATGGCCACCCTTTTTTCTTGAAAATATATATAAGCATAAATCATAAACCTCTGAAATATTCTCCAGAAACAAAACTAATTTGAAACTATTCGGTGGTGTGTGTACCTATATGTGCTGCTGCTGGAATTTGAAGGAAGAATAAGAGCAGATTGCTGGGGAAAAGCGCGTAATGTGGGTACTCCACCTTAGCCGCGCTCAAACGTTTCAGGCTCACTGTGCCTTCATCGACGACGATTTTTGACATGTCGAACTTTTAACCGCCTTGCAGTTGCTGCTGCTGCTGTTTTGCTGCTCATGTTTACTGACAAGACACGTCGTAGACCTCTGCTATTCTCGCGACCGACACTCTCCCCAACATGCCGGTGGAAACAATTAGCCGCCCCATGGTTGGGCCCCCCGCAAAGAAGCGCCTCGTCCAGCAGCTTGCCGTGAAGCTGTACTCGAAAGTTCGGCAAATACAAGACTTAACTACCAAGCAAGGTCCAAATTCGCCGCGGCCTACCATAGAGTCACCCGTGACGCTAGTCTGTCTTTCCGACACGCACAATAGTAAACCTGCATCACTGCCCCCAGGAGACATACTCGTGCACGCCGGCGACCTATCGCAGTTTGGCACATTCCCCGAGATCCAGGCACAGCTCACGTGGCTGTCGGCGCAGCCTCATCGCCACAAAGTGGTCGTTGCTGGGAACCACGATCTTCTCCTAGATCGAAACTTTGTAGCCGCACACCCTGACCGCGAACTAGACAAGCACGCAGACCTAGAGTGGGGCGATGGTAATTATTCCCTGCACTATCTCGAGCACGAGACTATAGAATTTGCCGTTGAGAGCCCTAATGATGGAGAGCCAAGGCGTGTCTCCGTGTTTGGCAGCCCTTGGACACCGCGGTGTGGAAACTGGGCCTTTCAGTACCAAAGCGGAAAAGATGCTCAATTTGATTGGATTGGCGTGATCCCGAATGATACGGATATCGCCGTACTGCATGGGCCACCTAAGGGCCATCTTGACGACGGTGGCAAGGGATGTGGGATGCTCCTCGAGGAACTTTGGAGGGCCCGACCAGCCGTTGTTGTTTGCGGACATATTCATCCTGGTAGGGGTGAGGAATGGCTTTGGTATGATAATATACAGCGGTGGTATGACAATGTGATTCTAGAAAGAAAGCAGTGGGTGTCGGTTTTATGTTTAGCAGTAGTATATGTTTGGGTCTTAATTCAGTGGGCAGTTGGAAAGCCGGGAAAAGGCAGGAGTCCTGAACGGCAGTACACACGTCTCATAAACGCAGCTGTAGTGGGGAGCCATGGTGGAGGGGCTATGATCGCAACTATATAGAGCTAATTCCTGTCCCTGGTTCAAAAGTTCTACCACCTTCCGTTTTGTGCTTTTTTTCGTGGCGCTTCTTTCCTCTACGCACACGTAGACTTTATCACTACCTCCTTACTCGCACCTCCTTACTCGCATATAGTCGACCTCTTTACCTTTTACACTCTGAAGTACCATTTTAACTGGCTCCATCTCTGCTCAGAAGTTTTATAGAAACCGACACCGCTTCTTGATATATTGTCATTGTCCAATCGACATCTGGACCTTCACCCCTCTTTTTGTCACATCCTCGTAAGCGGGGGTATTCGTTCACTCAGCCGCTATGCTAAAGGACTAGGGCATTGAGGATATTGAATCCTTACAACAACTCACTTATATGATAAAGGATTATTAGAGTTATTATACATACATTATTGCCTATAAATATAAGACTTCGTCCTAAAGCCTGATATGATCCTTAGGAGCTTCAAATGTTATTATCCAGTTAGGTATTATATACTCTCCTTGTCGAACTATATGTAAGTCCTCTTTTATAGATTATAATAATACTATTCAGATTAGCTTTATAGTTAGAATCCAATAAGAAAATAGATGTTCACTAATTTATTTTTTTAATAGAATATTTATATATAACATTGAACTAAATTTAAATCTTCAAGTAAACTATTCTTCATGGGCATATACTTACTAAGCTTGTGATATGCAGTTGTAATATTTGGGTGTCTTAGGGATGATTTATATATCTACTTCATTGTACACCCCTATTGTTTATTTCGGGTAAATATGCATAATGCATAATCATCATGCAGCTGGGCAGCCTCGTCCACGTCACCTGACCATTACCCCCCCAAGGCTGAATTGAAATCCAAGGCTGAATAGAAAGCTATATAATTCAGCTTCTTGTTTCTATCTTCTCAGTTCATAATCTTATTATCGACATCAATACGTCCATTCCCCAGTCAAAATGCGTATCCTCAACTCAACTCTTCTGTTGCTTGGTATATTCTCTTCTGCGAGTGCCGGGCCATTGCTCGACAACCTTCAGCAATCAGCTTCGAGTCTGGCGTCTGTAAGCGGCAAAGTTATCGGATCTGGTATCACTGAAGCCGGAAAGATAGCTGCAACATACGGTCCGGTGGTCGCTCAAAAGGCGGAAGAATTCTCTGAGACAACGAGGATCGGCGTGGTCAATGTTTGTTTCTCTCTGAACAGCCTCGTTATCTGCTATACTAACAGTTCGTCAAAAGGTAGCCAAGTGGAGTTATTCCAACCCAGCTCTGGCAACTTGTGTCGTCACAGGTGGTGTATTCATTGCTGCTCCGGGAGTCGTGTCAGCCCCGCTTCTTACCGCCGCAGGGTTCATGGGGTCTGGAGTGCAGGCCGGTAAGCCGAAGGAATACATGCCATATTACATACTAGTGTGGCGATCCTCGATCTAACTTGATTTTCTTAATATTAGGTTCCGCGGGTGCCGCTGTCCATGCGACAATTGGAAACGTTGCTGCCGATAGTTATTTTGCTATCCTACAAAGTGCCGGTGCTGGGGGCGTCGCAGCTCTCGGAGCTGTGAATGGAGCGATACAGGCTTCTGGTGCAGCAATAGCTGCTTCTAGTGGAGGATTATATCTCAAGTCAAAATTATGATGACAGCATGGATTATTTGTATTGTTTGATGGCAGGCGAATTGAGAGCTCGCAGCACTACTACATCTGTAATGATTGCTTTTCTGAACTCGTGGCCAATTTTTAGAGTGTTCAGTCTCGCTACCAAGTAGAGTTGCCAGCCTCATGGTGGCAATCGACCTAGACAGTCAGGGGCCCTCGACTAGGTCCTCACATCAATGTTATTATAAAATATAAATTTCATCTCGTCAAATTGGATAAAACTATACACCTTTATTGCAAGAGCTAATAGGGTCCTTGAGTTATAATTATACTAATTGTACGCAGCCGAATGAAGGCCTATCGCCTAGTATTTGAAATATATCAATTGATACGTTATATGAACTTTAAATATCCCTAGCCCTTACGTTACATGATGCGCCTGTTCGCCCTCCGAACTCTCAGAACCCGCCTGCGTCTGACTGTGTGTTGTCTGCAATTCTTGGGCGGATCTCAACGCCGTCGATGAGCCCATTCCAGGCTTCAAGTCGCCCAGGTTAACTCTATTCGTCGTAATCTCATTATCCTCATAATCACCCATATCCGTATCCCCCGGCTGATTCCTTCTGCGGCTGCTGTGTTGCTTGCTGTTAAAAAACCGGTTGCTTGAGGTTTCCCCCGAGGTGTTGTTATATCGACCTGCCTCGCGAGCGCCGCGCCAGAAGCCGTAGATTACCGGCGCATTGGCAACTATTGCGGCTGTTAGGAGCTCGGTTGAGGCCCATGTTGTACGGTTAACCTGCAGGGCTGAGTTTTGGGCGTTTTGGGGCAGACGGATGATAGTTATGGCTACGATGAAGAGGCCGAGAGCGAAGAGGCCACCGAGTTGGAATTTTCTATAATTTTTTTAGTAACAGGCATCCAATTGGAGGAGATATTGAAGGACGCACTGTGTAAATGACCGCCGAACCATGATGAGGACAGGGATCGGCAGGATGATGAGCATGACGTCGGTGACAATGTTCAGCACACCGAGTACGATGAGCTGAACCTGAGCACGGCAGCAGGGGCCTATTTGCAATGGTGTTGGTTTCTGGTAGGTTGATATACTAAGTATAGAAGGGCGTACCTGGGTCTGGCAAGACAATCCAGTAGCGGTCGAACGGATGGCATTCAGTAAAGGTAACGGTCTGTACGACCACATATGTTGCAGCAAAGACGACCCCGTAGGCCCAGAGGGTGATTTTCTCCCAGGACATGTGGCGGATAAGGCGGCGATAGGTGTCGAGTAGGACCAGTTTTTGTAACCAGAGACTATATACACAGCCTGTTACCACAAGTCAGCGGGGATAGGTGGTGAACACATACTATGAGTTATAAAATACCCGATCGGTAAGAATAAGCTTGCTTCCGGTCTCGCGCTGGTAGATCTCTGTTGACGTGAAGAGGTGCGACTGGCGGTATGAGTCGGGCATGTTATTTGTGCCCCAGATCAAGACTACATGGATGATAGGTAATCGCACAAGCACGCAGAACATCGCACCGATGGCGAGGTAGTCGCCGAGTGTGAATTTGTAGTTGATGTACCTTTTCGCAAAGAGGCGCAGGACAATCAGCCCGATTGCGATGATGCTGAAGATCCAGTGTATGATCAATGTTGTTGTGTTCGCCATGGCGACTCAGTATGGAGGCGCACATAGAAAAAGTCGTTTAGCAATTAAGATAAGAAAAGCTCATAGGTCGCATACAGACACCAGAGACATGCGATCACTGCCATCGGACATGAACGTAACTAATACTTTCGAGTTTCATCTGGCGAGGAAGAAACGGATAACAGGAGATCCTGTCCCGCTTGGATCTGGCTAGTAATAGTGCCGATAGGATTGCAAGACATGAGTTAATGTTAATTATTCTGACTTTTCTTCTGGCTTCGCTACCAAGACAAGGATGGCAATGTTTGTGATGATCCCAAGGGTAAGGCCACCAGACTCCGCCACATGCGGAAAATGGAGTTTCATGGCAAAAGCTAATACCGCGACCCTTTTTGAGGGATTAAAGGAGTAAATATAAAGTTAACAGTGAAATAAAGGAGTAAAGAAAAAAGCCAATCCCGTATTTCTCAGTGTCATAATATGTATATGTGTGTATGCACAAGCTTCTCCTAACCTCGTATTGACCATCTTAGATCCGACCTACAGCCCGTGGTGGAGCAGGCCCCATCAATCACAGCCACGCGAGAAGAAGTAAGATCGGACGTTGGCCGATGTTCTGCATGGTATCAAGAACTAGGATCCTTCCCGGACCAGTCGAGTTCTGACATTTCTTTAATAATAATAATCCTCCGATTCCTCCCCCTGCAGCCCAAAAGGCTAAAAATTGTCTCGGCACTTTCACCTGCCAAGATACGACGCGAGACGATGCATTGGATACGACACCTCTGCCTGTCACTTTTCGCGGCCAATGGCGTGCTGGCGGCCTTCACCACAAGCGAGACCTTTGCCCAGCGTAGCTATGCGTATTTCGGTGGCCAGTATGTCGATAACGGCGCTGGACAGCATGTATTCACAGACCAGCTGTACGTCGAGCATCTCAGCCCGCCCGTGGACAAGTCCAAAGTCAAGCCATACCCGATTGTGTTTATCCACGGCCAGGCTCAGACGGGAACCGTATGCTCTCCATTCCCTCTTATAGTTTATTATCCGCTGACAAGATAGAACTGGCTGAATAAGCCCGACGGAAGCAAAGGCTGGGCCTCATACTACCTATCGCAGGGATATGAGGTCTACCTGCTCGACCAGACCTTCCGTGGCCGTAGCCCTTGGTTTCCTGGCAATGGCACGCTAAGCACATACAGCGCCGAGGTGCTGCAGCAGCGCTTCACCGCGCCAGAGCGCTACAACCTCTGGCCCCAGGCCAAACTGCACACCCAGTGGCCTGGCTCCGGTGTCATGGGCGACGAGATCTTCGACACATACTACTCCTCCACCGTCCAGTTTCTCGGCTCGGCGACCGGCCAGCAGCAAACCGTTCAGGCCGCTGGTGCTAAACTCCTCGACGCAATCGGGAAGCCCGTCATCCTGCTCTCGCACTCCCAAGGCGGCCTGATGCCCTGGCTGATCGCCGACGTCAGGAAGGACCTGGTCCATTCGATCGTCTCGCTGGAGCCAACCGGTCCGCCGTTCCAAGAAGCCATCTTTTCAAACACCTCTGCTAGGCCGTATGGCTTGACTGATATCCCGCTCACCTACTCCCCAGCCGTGACGGACCCAAGCACTGATCTCGTTCGGCGCACGATCCCGTCCAACTCGTCCGCGGTGTCCCCGTGCATTCTGCAGGCAGACAGCCCGCCGCCGCGGCAGCTGGTCAACCTGAAGAACATTCCTGTCTTGGTTGTCACCACCGAGGCCTCCTACCACGTGCCGTACGATTGGTGCACGGTCGAATACCTCAAACAGGCAGGCGTTCCCACCAAGCATCTCAATTTGCCTGACGTTGGCATCCACGGTAACGCGCATATGGTTTTCATGGAGAAGAATAGCGATGAGGTTGCTGCTACGCTGCAGAAGTGGATGGAGGGCAAGTGATGTTGTCCAGTACCAGGTCGCTAGATAATTGGTGGTTTTGTACATATCCTCCCTTGGTAGTTAATATAAGAATAAAATGGCACTTTGTATCATTTGACGTCTTGAAGAAAGGTTTCCACATCGGGCCAGCCTGAGGCGCGTGAGATGTGTAGCCCTAAGCCGGTTAACCCCCGGCAAAACGAATACAACATAAACATCGATATAACTAAGTTCCAGCAGGTTGTCCATGGTCTATTCATTCGTCTCAGCAACATTCTTGAATAATCTCTGCATACTCTCCATCGCCTTCTTCGCATACTGATTCACCTCGTGCTCTTTACCCTTCCCCTCAGGTCCGCTATCAAAAATCTCCATGGAGAAGTATCCCCTAAACCCCGTTTTCAGCACCGCCTTGGTCACATCTTCAATAGGCAGATACCCGCCAGCATAGGGCATGGGTCTGTACGCATGACTCCACTGCGCACGCGGCCTCAACCCATCTTTCGCTTCATTCTCAATCGCCTTTGCCGGTTTATACGCATCAGAGACCTGCAGAAGAAATATCTTCGTTCCTGGAATTGTCTGCGATAGTTTCAGCATATTCTCTTTCCACCTCCTTTCCAATTCTGGCTTCGGGATACCCTCAAGCAGACCGGACGGAGAGCGCGGGTCAGCCCATTCGCTACCCGCCGTTTGAAATGTGTCCAGACATAACCCAACGTTAGGTCTGTCGACCTCCTTCACTATCTCCCATACATCCTTCCACGTCCGTGCGTGCGTCGACCAGCACCAGTTCTCATACGCCATACGCATGTTTTGTTTCGCCAGCATATCGGCGAGTTCTCGCAGATCGCGCACGATGTCGGCACGATTCGTTGATATGCTTTCTTCCAGGCTGTCTGTTGATCCGACCTACACCTATCAGCCAGCATCAAAGAAAAAAATATATTTGTGAAAATTACCTGTAGTAAATCCGTCCCACACGCCTCCATCAACTGCATCCACGCCTTGGCCTTCAAGAACACCTGCTCTCTCTCCACCGAGCCCCTCGGCCATCCCTCAAAATTCGAGAAAGGCTGCAACATCATAATCTCGAGATTCAACTTCTTACACAACTTGGCAATATCACGCGCCGCAAGGGTCAATTCTGCATAACTGTCGGAGGCAACTTCCCGGTTGTGGAGTTTTTCGGCGTGTTGCTGGATGTCCGGGAATGAGAGCTCGATGGCGGTGAAGCCCGCGTTGGAGATGGCAAGGAGTTTGTCTGGGAGCGTGTCCGAGGGGGAGCTGCCGATTGAGCAGGTGGCATAGGCGAGGGGGACGGAGCGGAGGGAGGCTAGTGTTATTGGGGCAGGCATTTTCTTTTTTCTCTAGTATTAGATTGTGTGCATATCAATTCAGCGATGAATATCTGGTCACTTCGTTATATATCAATTGTGTAGAAATTAATGTATTTTAATAATGACCAGCTATGACGTTAAGCTGACGCCCATCTGCCCTTACAGTTATGTCAACATTTGAAGGCCGAGACCAATGAGAGGTGTGTCAGTATGAGTCAATAAAGGAACATTCAACTCTATGTTGTCGACATGGCGTTTCAATTGGTCAACATCAAGAAATATATACAAGTGATGACATCTTTCCGTTTGTAGTAACCCCGCCGTAGCCCGCGATACACATTTGAAGCCTTCAACAGTTTTTTCATTTCAGTCATTCTATTGAAACTCAATCCACTCATATTGTAAAATAGGATCACATAGTTTGAGCATAATGGAAGAACCAGACTGCTATTTAGACGACACGTATTTGGCTTACGAGTAAAGTAATCAGCTCTCAATCGTCACCATTAACATATCAACAGCATTCTCGGCCGTATACCCCTCCACAAAGCGCTCGCCAAAGTCTCTCACAAAGTTATCATAGGTCGTCTGGGGCTTTTTCTCACATAGGCCACACAGTATCTTCTTAACCGATTCCTTAAAATCGCACAAGGGCAGCTCCTTGATGACACTATTGTACTCATCCTTGGAAATCAGACCACCGGGAAAACGAGGACCGAGGAAGTCAGCGAAAACGCCCATCGCACAGAGGGCAACTTCAGGCTCTTTATGTTGCGCAATGCTAGGCGTGGTATGCAGCGCAATACTGTCCCAGACAAGCTGACGCTGGCGAGGGGCGAAATGCGGTGCGGCTTGGTCGAGAAATGTGCGAGCGGCATTGGCCCCGTCGACTTCGAAGCGTTTGTCTGGTGTAGAGAAAGGGCTGTCACAGTGCCATGCGAGATCGTGGAGAAGAGCCGACGCGGCGTGCACCTCAAAATCAATTTCGGCTTCGGCGAACGTCGGGATTTTCGAGGCAAGTAAGGCGCCGAAAACCCAAGAACGATAGACATGATTGAAGGACACTTCGTCATGGCTCTCCTTGGCCAGTTTAAGGGATGCTTGGACCAGCTGGCTATCTACCAGGGAGACGCCGCAGAAGGAACGAGTAGAAGTCATGATTGAGCCTAATGTGATGAGGTTGGAGAAGAAGTTCAATAAGTTCAAGAAGAAGTTCAAATGATTTTACAGCAGGGTATCACTGGGTTTATATTCCATTCTACCGCTGCAAATGTGAGTTAAATATCACAAGATATTTTCCTCATCGGGTAACCTGATTTGACTTACTTCACTGATTAGTGCCGTATGAGTGCTAGACGGAACACATAGCGCATGCAGATCCAGCCGGCGCGGTCCGATATGTCGAATTAGGTTAGTATACGCCAAATTAGGTTACCTGTCTCCAGCAGTATGTTTATCGGCCTTTTCGATAATCAGAATTATTCAGGCATAACGATATATTGGCTGAAGATGTACCAAGTGGCGACCTCGCTATAATACCAAGGTCATTATACAGGTAGTTGCTCTGCGTGAGATATTGCATAAGCACTCCGGCCTCCGATCCTGTACTATTTAAAATTTTTAATTCATTTCAGAAGTTAAATAATATTCAAATCATAACCTTAAAACTTCAATTGACAGGAGTATTCCTCACTCCATTATGGAGACACTTGAATAGCCGCTTCAGTCAGGACACTCTGGTCTAGATTATATCGTGAGGCAACCTAATATTGAACCACAGCGAAATGTAGCTACAGTAACATAAGGTCCAGCAAGGGTTGTTTGCATGTGCGACAACAATAGTATGCACGACCAGTGTGACAGCCTTGTTTTGCTAAATTTAGAGAGCTGAGCCAAGAATGGCTAGAATTCTCTGTTCATTAAGAAATAAGGCTATCCAGGCCAAGACCATCGATGGTATAATTCAACTAGCCAAATATTAATTCTATATCAATTCAAAAGAGGATATGGAACAGCCGTGGGCACTATCTCAAGTGCTTTCCTGGTCATGATTAGTATTAGACCTGGATCATAACCCTAGCCAGACTATCTTATCAGTGGACAAGCAAGTCATCGGCCAGCAGTCCGCGGTCTCACACGGAATATATTTCCGGATTGGTCGAGTGTCGTAATGCCCGCATCATGCCATTCAATGTTATAAAGATGAATGTGATGTCACTGCCTCAATTACCTTTTCAATACAGTTAAATATGTACTCTACCTTTTTAACGGATGCTAGCTTATAAGAGTCTACATGTATACATAATGCCAGACCCCATCCAACAATGGAAATCCATCGGCGTCGTTGGCGCCGGCAGCATGGGCTCAATGATGACCTTTGCATTCGCCGAACTGGGCCTCGACGTGTCCGTCTGGGACGTGGATGGCCGGAATGTTGACAAAGTGATGAACTTGATCAAAACCTCGAAAGAACAGTTCAAGGGAACGATCACAGGATACAAAACCATTGACGAATTTGTCCGCAGTCTCGACGGCGGTCGGCGCAGGCTTTTCATGTTTTCGATCACGCATGGAAAACCGGCGGATGAAGTTCTGGGTCGGATAAAGAAGGATCTCAAGAAAGGAGATGTTATTCTCGATGGCGGGAATGAGTATTATCGTCGCACGGAGAGACGGCAGGAGGAGCTGAGGCCGCTTGGGGTGAATTGGATTGGGATGGGAGTGTCGGGGGGATACCAGTCAGCGCGCAGAGGGCCGAGTTTGTCGCCGGGAGGAGACAGGCAGGCGATCGAACAGGTGCTGCCGTTGCTAGAGCTGTATGCCGCAAAGGATAAGAAATCAGGGAAACCGTGCGTAACATACATCGGGCCCGGCGGAGCTGGACATTATGTGAAAATGTGCCATAATGGGATTGAAGGGGGGATGCTGTCGGCTATCTGCGAGGCATGGGTGATTATGCACCAGGGGCTGGGCATGGGCTACGATGAGATCGGGGATGCGTTTACGCAGTGGTCGAAGAGCGGCGAGTTGAGGAATACATTTCTGCTCGATATCGGGGCCGATATCTGCCATAGAAGGAAAACCGCCCGCGGTGTTGGTAGGGGCGAAGGCGTTGATCCGGCTGGCGGATATGTGCTGGACGATGTGCTTGATAAAGTCGTTCAGGACGATGATGATACCGAGGGGACACCGTTATGGGCGATCATGGAGACAGCGTCCCGGCACGTCTCTGCGCCGACGTTGGCAGCTGCACACTACCTTCGTATCGCCAGTGGAAACCGTAATCAACGTCTGCGAGTAACGAAGAAGCTGGACATCCATGGCTGCAGGCCTTTCCAGATGCGAGACAAAAAGACATTCATTGAGACCTTACGGCGAGCAGTCTATGCCGCAATTCTTGCCTCGTACTGCCAGGGCCTGGAGCTTATCGCCCGCGCTTCGAAGCAGGAGAAATGGGACGTCGATCTAGGGAAATGCATTCAGATCTGGCGAGCAGGCTGTATTATCCAGTCAGAGGCGATTGCCGACATGTTGCAGCCTGTTCTGTTGCAAGATGTCCAGATTATGAACATAAAGCTGATCGATGAAGTGTCTAGAGACCTGCACGGCAGCTACGAGGCCTTGAAGGAGGTTGTCCTCAAATGCACCGAGATGGACGCGTGTGTGCCAGCACTGTCGGCATCGCTGGAGTACATCAAGTACGAGGGCAGCACGAGTCTGCCCACGCAGTTTATGGAGGCTGAGATGGACTACTTTGGCGCGCATGCGTACTGGAAGGCTGGCCAGCCAGGCGAGGATCCAGGGCTGGTCAAGAAGGGGCCGCACCACTACGAGTGGAAGCCTGCTTGATAGCTATACAGCCAAGGGCCGATATGATATAGATTTCAAAAATAAAACAATTGAGATAAATTAGGTGAAGTTGAAGTTAGTTAACGTAGATGTAGTAAGCTTTATAAGCATGCGGGGAGCAGCAGCCAATGGGCGACTCCCCCGCGGTCACGCCAGATTATTCTCTGCGCTGCCCCTCTCCATCTCAACATTTTTGTACACTTTGCATCCTCCAGCATTGGCGTATTGAGATGGCTGCTCTCCCCAGCGAATACAAGGGTATGTGTATTTCTGTATTTCTACATGCAGTGGTGTATTCTCTAACCTAACCACCTATTCCAGACCACGTCCGCATCGCCGTCATCGGCGGCACAGGCATCCAAGACCTGCCCGGCTTCACCAAAGTCGCGTCCCTCGACATCGACACCCCCTGGGGCAAGCCCTCCTCACCCATAACAATCCTGCACCACCAATGCAGCGTATCCGGAAAAGACGTGCCTGTCGCCTTTCTCAGCCGCCACGGCACACACCATCAGATCGCCCCGCATGAGGTGCCCAACAGAGCGAATATTGCTGCGCTGCGTAGCGTAGGCGTTAGAACCGTGATTGCCTTTTCAGCCGTGGGCAGTCTGCAGGAAGCCATCAAGCCGCGTGATTTCGTTGTGCCGGACCAGATCATTGACCGGACGAAAGGTGTTAGGCCCTTTACCTTCTTCGAGGGCGGTGTCGTGGCCCATGTCCCATTTGGGGATCCGTTTGATGAGAATGTGGCCAAGGTTGTGCGCGCATGTGGACATAGTCTAGAGGGCGAGGGTGTGGTGTTGCATGATCGGGGAACGCTCGTTTGCATGGGTATGAAATCTTCCTCACCATGACATATCTACATTACTTACTTTATATATAGAAGGTCCCCAATTCTCGACTCGCGCCGAGAGCAACATGTACCGCTCCTTCGGCGGCTCCGTGATCAACATGTCTGCGCTGCCCGAGTCCAAGCTGGCGCGTGAGGCTGAGCTCGCGTACCAGATGATCTGCATGTCGACAGACTACGACTGCTGGCACGAGTCGACCGCCGACGTGACGGTGGAAATGGTCATGGGGAATATGAAAGCCAACGCCGTCAATGCCAGGCGGTTCGTCGGCGCGGTGCTCGATGCTTTGGCGCTTGATTCTAATGCGGAAACGGTTAACGCTAAGCATTTGGAAGGGGGCGTCAAGTTCGGCATCAGCACGCCTCAGACAGCGTGGAGCGAGGATGCGAAGAAAAGGATGGACTGGTTGTTTCCTGGGTATTTCACCTAGCTTCACTACTTCAACTATGGTATGACATGCTATGATGTAGATATGATATTTTTAACAAATGTTCGTTGTAAATGGCCTGCATTCATCTGCATTCATCATACAGATGATTACGAAATATATAGAATTATAGCATACAACTCCAGTCAACTGGTCTTCAATTTACATACAACACTTGATCCATTCAATGCAATCTCACTTGATATCTGAACAGCCTAAAGCGCTCGATGTGAATATCACTATACATCAATTGATATATGACTACACCAGCTTTGTCAACAACTTCCCCATAGACTGCCCATCAAAAAGCCTCATCCATGTCTTCGGCACATCCTCAAACCTCGCCTCCACAATCGTCTGACCCTCCTCCGTCAGTTTTATCTTGCCCTCCCCATACCCCTGAATCAGCGCATTCGTAATCTCCGCCCATCTCGCCGGCGTCGCATCCGTCACCACCAACCCCCTAATACTCAACCTCATAGCAATAACATCATACCAATTCATAATCCCCTTCCTCCCCTCGCCATGAGTATTATAATCCGCCATCGCACCACACGCCGCCACCCTCCCGTCCTTTGCAAGCCTCTTGAGCATCAAATCCAACACCTCCCCACCCACATTATCAAAATACACCTCCACAAACGGCTCCGTCGCCCGAGCCAGCGCCTCCTGAAACCCTTCACTCTTGTAATTCAAGCACACATCCGCACCCAACGATTCCACCCATCGACACTTCTCATCCGTCCCTGCAATCCCAACTACCTTCTTGCACCCTAGCACATGCTTCGCGATTTGTACCGCCGCAGACCCAACTGCCCCGGCCGCACCACTAATCACAACCGCATCATTGGGCCCAACCTGCACGGTGTCGACAAGACCGTAATACGCCGTCACCCCGGCCACTCCGAACACACCTGAGAAGTGTGTTGGCGACACATTCGGTATTTTCGGAAGCACCATGCACTCTGCCGCCGGCACGACGGCGTACTCGCACCACCCAGTCCCACAGGACACCAGATCGCCCACCTGCAACAGCTCAGACTTTGATTCAACAACCTCTGCAATGGAGCTGTAGGAGCGCATCGTCTCGCCGACCTCCACGGGCGTCGTGTAGAGACGTGCAGGCGATATGTTGGCGTGGATCCAGAGGCGTTGGGCCGGGTCGTTCGAGAAATAGAGGACTTTGAGGAGGACGTCGGACGATTCTAACGGGGGGATGGGTTTGGTGATGAGTTGGAAGATGGAGTTGGACCCGGAAATTACAGGGCGGCCAACGGATTTTTGGGATAGGACCCAGTGGCGCGTTGTTGTTGGCGTCATTGTTGATGATGAAACTGAGTTTTGGAAAATTAAGGAGAAGGGGTGATGATGTTTTATGAAGGTGTATGATTGAGGAGGAGCTGTCCCGGCGAGCCTATTTATATTCCATGTAGGAATACGGATTGATGCTGTAGTAGTTATCAATTGATATTTATGTCATAGGGGAAGCTATCACCGCAGCTGCGGACCACCGCACATCATTTTGCGGACCATGCGAGAAACCGATCGGGATTCAGGAAGTGTGTTGGTCATTAATAATCTCTATTCTCTAAAAGATGCCTAGCGTCAATCATGGTTTACTTGCATGATGATAAATTGATATGAAAATTGTTGCCGACAAACACTAATCAATGATTTCTAATATGTATGTAATAAATGTAACTCTACTTGACGGTCATATAGCGATAATTAAGTGGGGGTGAGTAGTTCAATTAAACCCTGTAACCGGTAGATACTGTTTCCGACCCAAACCCAAAAAGGCCCTATTTTCCCCTCAGCCACCTGTCAAAAACAAGTTGTATCTGCATCTTTTCTGATTCATCGGTGTCTGCATAGTCGTCTGATACTTCAGTGCCCGTAAATCCCGTCAGCCATGCATGGCAATCGTTCCGGTCAATCATGATATCGAACGGATTGATGTCTATCCCAAGAGTAGAAACTCCATAACGATGAAGCTCCCTTGTCAATCGGACCACCTAGTTCTGCCACTTAGTATGATTGGATTCATTTCTCACGGCAAAATGGTGGATAGCACTTTGGCCAGAATTTGCCAGACGGAAACCATCAATCCATTCAAGAACAATGCCTGCCACCTGCTTTTTTTCATTTTCATTTTTTTTTTCATTTTCTTCTTCTTCTTCTTCTTCATCCCTCTGTATGTTAGTGGCAGGATGACCCCCGTCAAGTACAATCCCAAAGTACTTTCGGGATGCGTGCGCAAGCATCGAGACGTGGAATCTGCAAAGAGTATAAGAGGAGGTAAGAAGCATTCGATTGATGCGACTCATTAATGTTGATAGCATTAGACCTCCCCGGGCCCTCCCAGCGTTGTATCCAAATTTTGCAGGGGATAAAAAAGGCCACGTTTCCGTCTGGAAGACGGACCCTTTTAGGAGGATTTTTAAAATCATCCTTGTGATCCAGAGGAATAATTGATTTGGAATCAAATACTGGTAAATCATCTGGGATGGCGATTGTATTATATGGTGCTGGTTGCATCTCATAAGCGTGTATATTTGTTGGGCCCTCGATTATCCGTGGAATTACATTCGATCCTGTGATACCATAGAGACCATTAATATAAGATGGATTATAGAAGTAATCATGGATATTGGTCCAGCATGGCGCATTCGGAGCCAACTCTTGGAAGACTTTTATGCAGTGCGAAATGACTAAATCACAGAGTTGGTTCCAGCGATCTCCATATGACTGAATCGGCTCTGGATCGAGAAGAGGAATCCATTGTTGCTCAAAATCAGTTCCTCTGATGTTATCATGGCTAACTTTGATCTTGAAATGCACACCATTTCTCCAAACTTGCATTTCGCTCCTGCCGGAGTTCTGGCTAGTCATGCCAAATCGAATGATGTGTGGTGCATCAAAGTATTTGATAACAGTCATTATTGGCAATGATGCGAGTTTCTCCAATGCATTAAATGTAGTTATTCCAGATAGTGAAGGTGAATAAAGAATGAAGTTGAGAGGAGTGTAATTTCAGGTTATATTAATACTGCTGATCGCATCCTGAGCCTTCCCTGCCTAGTTGGACTAACCTGAACTAGAAGGCTGTGAGACAGTCCACACTAATCTATGCAAGAAAGACTGGTTCTAACCTAAGTGTGATAGGGTGTAGTCACATTATTAGTGACGGCCACATCGAATGCAATATCAGGTTCCGTGACCTTGAAAACGATGTCGTCGCTGCACATACTTCGTTGATCTCTACTCTTCTTTCCCTCCTTGTCTTCTACCCCCTCCCACTAGGCCTCGCTGGCCTGTGTCAACCGCGCAATGATATTTCCTGCCTTCTCATTCCTATTAAGCTCTTTGATACCCTCAAGAAAAGTCTCAGTTTTCCCCACCCGCTCATATTCCTATATTCGTCAGCAAGATCTAAAAATATTTCAACAGCACATACCTCCCAATCCCCCCAGCTAATCAAACCCAGAAACGTCCCGCTATCATTCTCTACGCCTTTCGCGTGCTGAAACCTCGACGAGTGCCCGACTACCTTCCCTAGCGCTTTCCATGCCTCCTCCGTTCCGTCATTTTGCTTGACTCGGATAACCTGCATCAACGCCGAGAATGTGCTTGGTGTCGACTCTTCATACAATTCCGGCGTCGCGGGACCGGTCAGGAACGGTTTTACGATATTTACAAAGGCGCCGAATTGTGCGGATTTCGGGTAGAAGGCGTGGAAGGAGGAGATGTCGGTCCATTCTGTCGTAGCTTGTTAGCAATAATACTGTGATGGAGTGAGGTGTATAGGAACGTACTGAGGATGAGAATGCGTTTCATGCTCTCTGGCTTGAAGGAAATACCATCTTCTTCTAAGATTTCTGCATGGTGGAAGTTCGATAGACCATCGATGTTCGTGAAGGATTGGATGATTTGATTCTGTCTCTCTTTCAGGCCGGCGATGCTCTCCGGGTCTTGTTTGTATGCTGGGAATACAAGCTCTGTGATAGGCATGTTGAGAGTGCGAGGTTTGACAAAGCTGTGTTTTGATATTAGCAAGGTAAACTGATATGCGCACGAACTGCTAATTCCGAATGATGGTGTAAACGTGCCTTTGTGAGAATATGCGGAAAGGAACAGCGGTTCTTCGTCCAGCCATTTGAGATTATAGAATTAAAGGACACAATTCTGGTGTAATCTTACCTATATATACGAAAATATATTTTAAATGTGCGGTAGTCCGGACGTGGTTGGTTTTGAAGTCCGCAGCGGATACCATGCGGTGCTCACATGCGGAGCTCCGCATATAGGGCTTCTCTCTAACCGGCACTCCGCGTAGAACGGTCCAACCCCAAAAAGTTGAGTAAAGTTTTGCGATTACAGATGACGACTTATTCCGAACATCCGCAGCAAAAACTATGTCTTGATCAAGCCAGACTATCAGGACAACTAAGTGCCTCGACCGCCTCTATCCCCTTGCACGCCACCAAAACCAGCTTCTCAAATGGATCCAGTATCCTAGGCGGCGATGCCAACCAGAGCGAGGTAAAATCCGGGTATTTCACAATCTGCTCTTCAGTAGAATGCAGCAAGTATGTTGTTTCGGAGGTCCAGAATTCCTGCTTCAGGGAAACCGGTAGAATGGATAGCGTAGGGAGCTCTGGGCACACCCCATGCTTGGAAATAGAGTAGACGGAGAAGACTAGAAAAGCAATCATGACCGTCCGGCGGATGCTCTCAGCCAAGACCCATATTTCCCATGTCGCTGGCGTAGCATCAAGCTCAACATTAGCGCGGTGCAGAAGACGGAGTGCTGATGCTGCTATGTGGTCGTGGTGCTGCTCGACAATCGCTTGCTGTTTAGTATCCCCGTAGAACAGACGGATGATTTGGTATAATACAATAGCCTGCATTCTTGACAGATCTGCCCTAAGCGAGTTTCTCACAGTTAGATCGAGCAGATTCGCCATCTCTATATCCAAAGCCGCAAAGAGCATCGATTGATTAACCTCGTTCATACAGACGCATCCAGCGCAGATCCCGAACGCCGTCCTAACAAGCTCCCCACCCAAACCGTGATCAAAAGTCTTATGTATAAACGGGGTTTCTGCATGCTGCACGAATTCTCCAGGGTATTGTTTCAACTGCCTAATTACCCATTTCCAGCTCCGCGTGGTGCCGGCGACGGGCTGCACATCGCCGAGCTCGCCGAGCATGTTCGGGATATTCTGTGTTAACAATTCCCCAATGAGTCTGCTATCGTTAAGACAGAAATCAATAGCAAAGTCGTCAGAGGACCAGGAGTGTAGATCCAGCTCGGTTGTCGAGCTCGGTGGTCGGTGATGATAAATATTGCTACTGTGATCTGACTCGTCAGCGTGGGATTGTGGCGTGGATGCGTATTTGCATTCTTTCTTGTTTCGCTGGCATCTTCCGCAGACCGGAAATGCGAGATCACATTTGCGGCGCCCGCTAAAGCACGCGTCGCATGATTTGCGGCGGAATGGCATTTAGATCTAGATATTCGTAGATTTCAATAGATGAGTTGTAACTTTGGAATCGAGCGACGTATGGAAGGGTAGTTAATATATACCCCGATTTATAATCTGGACGGAGGGTATTTGTCATCCAATGCTGTGCTTCTTCCACTAGTGAATCTTGATGATATTAGATAGAAGTAGGCATGTACAACATGTCGTATCCTTAATACTAGCAGAAGAATAGATTGTATCACAGCAAGATTGGGAGGAGTATAACACACTAGACCATTTATGTATTAGCGCGCGGAGATATCGCTGCGGCGGAAATAGCGACTTCAACTTTGTTCGCCATTGCATCTGCACCTACATTTGCATCTTGTGTCAACGACACTTCGGTGGAAGACACACGCCACTCTCTATGCTAGTACTAGTATAACCACAACACAGCGGTGGAGTGAAATTCTCTACCTCACCGACATCATGCAAGGCTTCAGTATGCACCCCTCTCAACCGCGTCAGATGTCTATACCGTACTAACCTCCCTCCCTCTCAGACATGGGACGCTACGTCCCTCCCGACCAGGAAGGTCTCACAACCGGCAACAAGCTCGCCGGCAAAAACGCCCTCGGCGCTCGTGCCCGCCACCTACATACCAAAGGTGCACTGATCGTCCGCTTCGAGATGCCGTTTGCGATCTGGTGCACAAACTGCAAACCACACGAAACGATCATCGGGCAGGGTGTGCGCTTCAATGCCGAGAAGAAGAAAGTCGGGAATTACTACTCTACGCCTATTTATAGCTTTCGCATGAAACATACGGTTTGTGGGCAGTGGATTGAGATTAGGACGGATCCGAAGACTACGGCGTATATAGTGACGGAGGGGGCGAGGAAGAGGGACACAGGCGAGGATAAAGAGAGTGAGCCAGGGGAGATTAAGCTTAGGCTTGGGTTGCCGGATCGGGCGGATGGGGAGAAGGATGCGTTTGCACGGTTAGAAGGCAAAGTGGAGGATAAGCGCCAATTTGATACGGCGGAAAGCAGGGTCCGGGAGTTGCAGAAACGGCAGAATAGGGATTGGGATGATCCGTATGAGCAGTCGAGAAGGCTGCGCAGGACATTTCGGCAGGAGCGGAAGAGGCTTGAAAAGGTTGGAAAGGAGAGTGAGGCACTGAGGGATAGGATGAGTCTGGGGATTGAATTGTTGGAGGAGACTGAAGAAGATCGTCTACGAGCTGGACTTGTGGATTTTGGGCCTTCTGAGGATGTGAATTTGGTTACGAAAACGCGTGCTAGACCGATGTTTGATAGTGGTCATCCGAAAGAATCTATCGCGGTGGCGAAGACGACTCATGGAAGTCGGAAGGGGAGATTGAAATCGGAATTAGCCGCATCGGAGCGCAAGGCTTTGTTGGGTAGTGAATTGCGTGGCAATACTCGAGCTGCGGTGGATCCGTTCTTGAATGGAGACACAAAGGCATGGCAGCCAGCACAGTTGAAGACCCGGAAAAGTCGCGGTCAAAAGGTTTCCGATGATACTGATGAAGTAGAGCAAAAACCGGTAGATGGGATTACGGCTGTTGTGAAACCTACGGCGCTGGTAGCATACGAGTCTGACTCGGAATCGTGAAAAACTCTTGTATACTAGCTCTGTTATGAAGTGATACCCATGCATTTGTATTGATTATTTATATCTATCATAAAATCATAATCCTCATTACCACCATACTTTCAATGTTACTCGAATTCCTAAATATATCACGGGGGGTTCGCCCACGGTGCTCGTGTTGGCTGAGTTGCGGCTGACGAATCATTACTTTGAGGTTGGGCCCAAGGAGCCCGTGTAGGCGTCATCGGACCTGGAGGATTTCTTGAGGTATCAGGTAACGAAGTCCTAACAGGCAGCTGGGTAGCTGAAGCAGGGTTCGGATTAGGATTCCGTGCTGTTGCCCACGGGGCCGCTGTCGGTCCAGGGAGAGCCGTATTTGGTTGGGGTGTATTTGCCCACGGTGCTCTCGTCCCTACTGAGCGAGCCTCGGGAGAAGGTGTGACTGATGTATTTGGTTGCTGTGGCTGGGATATAGAATGAGCAGTGGGTGCAGGAGCGACAGCATTAGGATCTTGGTCCCAGCTGAATAAAGACCCCATTGGAAAGTGCTGCACTACAGGGAATTTTGAGAGAACCTCTGCGTTATACATTTTGATCATACCCTGATATGCTATTAGAACAAAGTGCAAACACTGAAATCTTACTTACCTTGTTAATCTTTCCCCAGCCAGCTTTGATACCGGATATATCAAACAGCAAAGGGCTGTGTTCCCAGAACGGTCCCTTCTTAACATCATAAATAAAGCCTATGGCAGAAAAGTATATATTTGTTTTTCTTTCTCTCTCCACAACTAGAGCTTTGACCACGCTATTTGGAGATGGGGCATCTGGCAATGAGCCTTCTACCGGCGTATCGTCCGACTCTGCAATGGCGGGAGAGTATTGCGCGGAGCCTAATATATAAGGAATAAAAGAATGATCATCAAGACCCCACACACCATGTGAGCCCGCAGGCTCTAATGTGTATGTTGTTATTAGTCTTCGGACAAGCTCCAAGTATCTGAGAGAAAGAAAGTAATGCTCAGCCCGGATGCATACTATTAAGTAGAAGTGACGTACGGTTCTATAACTCCCAGGACAATGCCTCGTTCTTCCACCCCTGCATCGGCTTGTGGGAAGCCATTAAGTTTCCAAATACAGCCCAGAAAGGCAAGAAAGCTGAGTTCGTGCCCGGTGCCATAGTCTAACCTCTGCGAACTCCCGAAGCTGCCCAGAAAATAGGCCGTCAGCTCCGTTCTCGCCGTCGGTGTATCTGATGCCGAATCGCCCGTGTACAGCACTTCAGACGAAATAGCTTCATCTAATAGCTCTGGCGCCCGATCGGTCACGATCTGGTACCACCTTCGGAAACTTATATTTCCAAACCGCCTCGGCCCTGAGTCCGGTGGCACCTCGTCGATGAAACCCACAAGTTTCGAGAGTAGAAGCTGCAATCGACGAACGGGTTCGGAGAACTCCACATCGAGCGATTGCAGTGGCCATGTCAGGGTGCTATCGTTGTCCTTTCGGCGCGGAAACATGGCTCTGTTGAGCTGCAGCAGAAACGTCATGATGTCACGATACGCCTTGGAGGTTAAGAACGCTTGGACGTCGCCACCCTCGTGGATTTTCTTGCTGGGTTCAAGGAATACATGCTTGCTTTTGTCGATGCGTTCGAGCAGCGGGATAGATCGGGGACCGTCAAACGCCATACTCGATAATCGATCAATGCAAAGTAAATTGCTGTATCAATGTTGTTGTGATGTTGAACTAACTGTCTGGTGGGGGAAGGAAGCTGCCAGGCGGAGCAGGTGGGGCGCTAGGGAGCTTCCGACTCTAGGTCTTACAGCCTTGACGCCTTAACGCCTCGACGCCTTAAGCTACTACGCGCCAGCCGTCATTCTTGCTCATCCTCAATCACACCATGCCACGGTCGGCACACCTGGCGCGCCGGCGGGCGAAGAAAGACAGCACGAAACTGTCGGTCGATTTCATCAACGACCTGTCGTGGAACCTCGATGAGGAGGCCGGCAATGATGGAAGCCCGCACCCCGACGAAGAGCAGCATGCGACTTTAGCCAACCACGACACCAATGCTGACGATACATATGTTCGCTCAAAACCACACAGAGAACTGTCACCAAATGACTCGCGACGGGAGAATTTATTCGAATTAACCCAGCCTCCAAAACCCGCTGCTGTACCAATCAGGCGTTCGTCGCGTCTCAATCAGAATGCACCAGCTATACAGGCATCATCGGATGAGACCAAATATCGTATGAGTTTGATTCAAGATGGTAGCCCGCCGTTTGTCGACGATCAAGATGAAGAGGATGACGAAGAAGACGATCAAGAACAAGAAGAGGGTACAGGTGAAGAGAATGGAGTGGAAGATCAGTATGAAGGGAACGTGGAGGTGAAGGAGAGTCAGGCTGAGGGAGAAGATGAGAGCAGCAGTGGAAGGGAAGATGAGGAACACCAGCCGTCTTCTGATAGCATCAGCATCATATCGGAGTCGGCCAAGCAACTAAGCCAAGCTCTTGACGCTGATGGTATTCGCGCTACTGAAGCCGCATTCGAGTCTCAAGCTACTGTCAGGGAGACTGAAAGAGTGCCTGATCGTGTTGTAGTTGTAGTTGGCAATACAATGGATACTCGACACGACGACGACGATAATCAAACCGATGGACGCGATTTTGCTCAAGCGGGCCAAGATGGAACGCAGCAATCGGAAGATGAAGAATCATCGGACGAGGAGTATTCTGCCGAAGAAAACGAATCTGAGGATGGGCAATCTGACAGGGACCAAGGAAGCTTCAGAACCCCGCCCCAGCAACACGGGGATCGTGGGAAACGAAGAGCTGACTGTGAACCTGCACTGGAAGTGAATGTTGTGAATAGCAACGGTTTCCGAATGAGTTCGCAGAATGGATATATGAGACAAATATACGAAACAGGATTCTCAACAGTCCAGTCTACAGGCACGAAAAGAAAGGCTGAGCAGCCCGTGAACACACTAGCATCGAAGAGCCAGCGTATATATAGTCAAACAGGCAATGCAGCTCCATCTAGTTCGAGAGTCCAGCAGACCCAAGTACTAGCTGACTGGGGGGACGAAGAGCAAGAGACCAGGAGTGACCAGGCGGTGGATGCCCCAGATTCACTCTTCGAGGTTGCGGCCCAGGTAATGGGTCTTCGACGAAGCTGGAAGCGTTTTCTAGACGCTTGCCACGATATACAAACAAGGAACTCCCATAGTACGCAGCGATATCTTAGCATACAGAGCCTTCAACAACAGATATCTACCCTGCGAGGGGTCTACAAACAAGTGCAACGAGATCGGTCCGCTGGAATAGTTTATATCGACTTGTGGGATGATCTCCAGTCTCAACTTGAGCTCGTGAGGAACAAATCTGACCTCGTTCTCTCCAGGACTATTAAACGGGCCAATGCTGCTGCACAGTCGAACGACTGGGAGATGAAGAAAGAAGCGTCTGCACTCGGCCAGCAAATTTCCGTGCATATTGTTACTGATCTGGGTGATTTGGCTAAGGAGTGTTTGAAGGCGCACTATTCGGACTCAACGCTCACGGATGGGGGATTTACTGCAGTACTGAACATTCTGAGCATTATTTACCGGCTTGACAGCAAGATTTTCTCCATGAGAAGCTGCTCACTGATCAATACCATTGACGTTTGTCGGGAGATGCGCGCGTCACTGAGCAGTCTTTGGGCAAGACTGAGCGAGGGAGAATACCATGCCAACCGCCAGAGAACCTCACAACCACCTCTCCCTCGACAGCGATGGACAGAAGAAAAGGAAATTGCTATTATTGATGGCCTACGAGAGTACGAAGGCGATGGTCTCCGGTACCAGTACCTCGTGGAAGACTACCCCGATCTCGCTGTACACACGGAGCAAGAACTGCGGATGAAAGCCAAGGAGCTGTATGACAGTTATCTCGAGGCGAAAAACATACCTTTGACATGGCTGCTTTGAGTGGTATAAGCGCTGGCGTTCTGGTTTACGTACTTGATACCCTTTCCCTTAGTCTATTTGCAAACTGAATTATCTACTTCGATACAGCATACTCGCAGCCTGCAGTAGCATAGCATATATTTCGTGTCTGTTCACTCCCTAGTACAGGGTAAAGCGTAGACTCTCTAGTCAGGAACAGACTTTGGCGGTCTCCACTACCAACCAGGGTTCCTGAGCGGCACCATTATTCTACCATCACTCTACCTCGTTGCTACTGCGGTCCTATCTAGAAGGTCATATGTATTGTATATGATGAGGATATCGGCCTAGCCTCGCAATGGCTATGATAATATGATTTACCTAATCGACTCGCTGTGCTGTGCTGTAGCGTGTCGATCTGCGCCAGCTGGCACGATGCGTGGCTCCAATGCTTGCCACCGAGCCGTGTTTCGCTGTCACGAGCAGATACGAGAAGCAGGAGTCGTCACAAGAATCGTACAGGACCGTAAATGGAGAAAATATAATTAATCTTAATAATCATCACTCTCATACAGTTATGCGGCCACAGTGTTTGGCGCTAGCCCCTCTCGGTTAGCCCGCCAAAGCTTACTAGCTCTGCCCCTTATGAGGGGACGGACCGCCTGCCTCGCGGTGCTTGCGCAGCAGTTTTCCCTTGAAGACCTCGAAGACCCTCACCAGCGTCCTACCTTGCTACCTACATCCATTTCATCCTTTGATTTGCCTGACCCGCTGACGAGGCAGTAGTCGTCCATTGGCCCAGCTGCATCCCTCGGCCATCAGCAATACAACATCCCACTAGCTTCTGAGGTACTTTGGACCCTCTATTCTGCCGTGTTGTCCGTGCGTTGCGGCAGGCGGGAAAAAAATAAGGGAGATTGACAAATAGCATACTCAGTGCACTGTCACAGACCACGTCTCGCCATAATCATATCATCATCTTTGAAGCCCATCGCTGTTATCGCTCCATACTTCTCGGGCATCCGGCTGACGAGACTGGGAAAGACACGGTCACGACAGGGAATCATCCGTACAGAGTGGAGTGTATGAGTGAGTTCAATAGTGTACGTACTCCAACATATCCCCCTCTCCCCCAGAAAACAAACCCCTGCATCTTGCGCCGTTGAGCTTGCTCAGCAAAGCTGCCTGGACCAGGCTACACGGTCAGAGGTGCCGTGCGAGCATCAGAGCTGCCACGAGGGCCGCTGGACTTGTCGAGCATTGGCTACTAGGCGGCAAGGGGCCATCCTCACGCAGTCCTATGCCAGCTCGTCCCCAGGCTCGTCTTGCTCCTGCTTCCATTCGAAAGTGGGGGGTATATTACGCGGTCACTCGCACTAGTTTATGCAAAACATTTTACTCTACTTGCAGTATATGAGTTTGAGCTCTTGTCGACGGCCGCGAAAAAAGACCTTCTGCCTAGGTCAAGGTTGATCGAGGACAAAGCTAACTTTATGCGCATGTAGCAGTTCGAACTATAACTTATCTTGCGTATACACCTACCGGCGAATAACCGTCTCGGCTAGTCGAAACAATGGCGTCCACGGAAGACCCAATTCCTACTGCTCCTGAGGCCACCGAGTCTGTTTCCGCCGACCCTGCTGCTTCAGCTCCGGAGACTACAGAGCATCCTCCACCGGCAACGCCCGTAGACTCGGCCCTGCTCTCGGGCTCAGAAGCCATAACCAGCCCGGAAACAGGCAAGGAAAATGCGTCTCCGTTGAAGAAGACTACTGCCCCAGCGAGTGCCACCAAGAGGCCTACCTCCAGTACGACAACGACAAAGCGACCTGTAGGATCGACGGCGACATCGGCTACGAAATCAACAGCGCGAACCAGTACTGGTAGCACTTTGAACAAGCCTCCCACGCGCCCTACCACCACTACTACGAGCACTGTGCGCCGACCTCCCAGCACAAGCACTACGGCCACCCATCGGTCCCGAGCATCCATCAGCAGCTCCGCCGATGAAAAATCTTCCAAAGTAGCCAGCTCTGGTGATGAAAAAAAGGGTATCTCGAGCGCTGCCAAGCGCATGTCTCTAGCTGGTACCCCTTCTACTCGTGCCCCGACAAAGACGACGACCTCAACGGCGGATCGTCGTACCAGCGTGATAGGTTCTGCTGTCGACAAAAAGCCCTCAACAATTACTCCCCGAACTACCACTACTACTAGACCAACGACTACCACAACCCGGACTCCGACTACAAGCACTTCCACCGCTCGAACTGCAACCCGACCAACTTCAACAGCTACCCGGCCAACAACGTCATCTGCAACCGATGCTAAGAAGAAATTGAGCACTGTTTCAGGCGCGCGACCGGCCGGTGATGCCGTTGACTCCGCGAAGCTAGCCGAGTTGCGGGAGAAACTAACCGCAAACGAAGCCACGATAGCAAGCTTGAAAACTGAGTTAGAAAGCGCCCAGACAAAACTAGCTACTTCTGCTCAGTCAGCAGAGGATGAGTCATCCAAGGCTGCGACTGCAACTGCGACAGATGAAATCAAAGCAGAGCATGCCGCTCAGATTGACAAACTTTCTCTTGAACACGGTCAAGCCATCCAAGCTCTACAGGAGAAACTTGAGGCCGCGGAAACCAAACACAAAGAACTTGAAGTCAAATCTGTGGAAGATCTGGAAGAAGCTAGGAAGTCCGCATTAGATCAAAATGACTCGCAAACAGTCTCAATGTTGGAGGAAATCAAGGCATCGCATCAAGCAGAATTGGAGAATCTGCAGAAAGAGCTAGAGGCCGAGAAAACCGCGGCGGCCGAGACTAGATTGCAGATTGACCAATTGACAGAGGAGCTGCAGACCCAGAAAACGGCATCGGAAGAGGCTTCCAAGGTTGCCCAGGAAAAAGAGGCCACTACTCTTGATAAGCACAATGGTGTTGTTGAACAGCTAGAAAGGGAATTGAAGGGACGGGACCAGGTTGTTGAGAATCTTGAAGGTGAATTGAAGAAACTCACCGATACGAAAGACAAGGAAATCGCCGCAGAGAAGGAGGCTATCGCTGACAAGACATCTTCACTTGAGTCCAAGATTGCTGAACTTGAAAGCCAACTCTCTAATGCCATGTCTGCCCAACAAGACTCTGACAAGGTTATCAAGCAGCTCAACGAAAAGGATAGTGAGATCGCCGAACAGAACGAAGTCATCAAGGCATTGAAAGCTGAAATTGACCAGCACAAGGAGACGTCTGGGTCGTTGAAAGCTGAGATTGAAGGTTTGCAAGCGAAGTCTAGCGAGGCAGATGACAAGAGTCGAGACCTGAGTGTTTCACACGAACGTGCTCTGGCAGAAATCAAAGCTGAACACGATTCCAATACCGCCACTCTCGCTGCCAACCATGCTCAGGCGCTCACAGAAGCCAGCCAGACTGCCGAAGCGTCCAGGAATGAGCTTCAGCAGAAACTTGACGCAGCTGAGGAATCCACCAAGCAGACGCAAGAGAAGCTTGCCGCTGCCGAGCAGGCCCTTGCGGATGCTCAGCACAAGTACGAAGAAAGCGCTGGCTCGGCCAGTGAGGCTGCGAAGCGGGAAGTTGAGTCATTGAAGGAGAAGGTCGTCTCTCTGGAGGAAAAACTCAACTCTAGTAACGAAAAGATCCAAACCCTTGACGCCGATTTGAAGGCCAAGCGCGAACAGCTCAACTTGCTCCAGCAAAAGTTGCAAGACGAAGCCACTGCCAACTCGCGATCTGCAGAAGAGCTATCGGCGGAACTGGCACGTCTTACCGAGGAGCACGCACGTGCTATTGAGGCTTTCAAGGCTGGCCACTCAGCTGAGATTGAAAAGCTGACTGCGTCTCATACGGAAGCGCTTGGGGCTATTCAATCCAAGCATGATGAACTTCTTTCTTCTCGAGGGGACCTTGAGTCAAGCCATGCTGAGAAACTTCAAGCTCTACAGTTGAAGCATGATGAGCTTCTTTCAACCAAAGCTGACCTCGAATCGAACCATGCTAAGGAGCTCGACGCTCTGCTATCGAAGCATGACGCGCTTCTTGCCTCTCAGGGTGAGGCTGAATCGAACCATGCTAAGGAGCTACAAGCTCTGCAATCGAAACACGACGCGCTTCTTGCCTCCCAACGCGATGCAGAATCGAGCCATACCGAGAAGCTTCAAGCTCTTCAAGTACAGTTAGCTGCAGCCCAGGAAGAGAGTTCATCCCAGGTGACATCTCTAACCGAATCTCATAAAGCGGAGATCGCGGCTTTGACTAAAGAGTTTGAGGGAAAACAGGCTAAGTTGAAAGAAGAATTGGAGAGCTCCCAAGCGTCCAAGTCCGCAGAGCTCGACTCTGATCACAGCAATGCCATCGAGGAACTTCTCACCGCTCACGACGCCAAACTGACAAGCCTTCGAAGTGATCTGGAGGCATCACACCGGGAGAAAGTTGACTCTCTGCAAAAGTCTCACGAGGCAGTCCTTGCCGATGTGAACGAACAACTCGCTGTGGCTAGCTCAACGGCCGCGGATACCTCTGTTGTTGATGGCTTGAAGCAGCAGATTGCTGACCTAGAAGCGAAACTCGCTACCGCGAACGACAAGCTAGCTGCTGCTGAGCAGAAATCTACTGCGGCCAGTGAAGAACTTGCCAGTAAGCATGGCGAACAACTCGCCAACCTCCAAAAAGAGAAGAATGAGGTAGTTGAAAAGCACCAAGCGGTGGCGTCTCAGTTAGAAGAAGCTCAGAAATCACTAACGGAGCACGAGAGCACAAAATCACATCTCGAGTCGATCTCTCAACAGCTGTCAAGTGTTCAAGAAGAGCTGAACACTCTCAAATCTACACATGAGCAGACCATCAGCGAGCTCGAATCCGCCAAGAGCCACAAAACCGCCATGGAGGAACAGATCGTCAAGGGCGAAAAGGAACTCACCAGCCAGATTGAAAAGAACATGTCCCTCTTGACACAACTGACAGAAGTTGACTCTGCAATCTCAAACAACCGCAAGCGCGTTCGCGAACTCGAGGCCGAATTAGCATTGCTCAAGGAGGGAAAGAATGAGACAAGCAAATCGGGAGATCTGTCGGCGAGCAAATGGGCTACTGCAGATGACGAGGCTGATGACAAGAACGCGGCAGCTGAGGAAGGTGAGAAGCTTGGTTCTTCCATTGAGGGAACGGTGGGGAGTCCCCGTTGATATACCTCATTGACTCTGCGGGACATGACTGACAGCGCGACAGATGGCAAGCATTCAGGAGCAGCTTAAGCAGATCCGGGCTACTAGTGACGATTGGTACGACGAGCACCGGAGGTAAGTTCATACCTTCTTTTATACTTGTTTAACACTTACTAATACCTTCTAGAATCATCGGTGAACTCGTACAGGTTTCTCGCGGCACGACTCCAGAACCGTCAAAGACCACAGCCGGAAAGTCGCCGACTGCATCAACCATCCAAGAAGCAGCCGAAAGCTCTCAGACTGAGTAGATTTGACGTGTTGAGTGTGTGTTAGATTTCTTATGTACTTTCCTTGCGCTTGACAAAGCTGTAAATATTATCCCACGCTGTTTGGATACCCTTGTCTGTGTGTTCTTTTATGCGTGAGGGGCTTATGTGATTTGAACCGCCTGCCCATATTGAAATGTTTCCTAATCGTTGTATAATTTCCGTTCTGGAATGTTCCCCCGTAATGCTTCCATAATACACCATTATCTATACCCGTCTTGACTGTCAACTACTCCTACATTTCCACAATTTGAGATATGTTGTTGGTTTGATATGATGCTTCGAGGCAAATCAATGTTTAAAACAATTATTAACTTGCTATCTTGAAATTATCTCCAATGGATCATTACTCAACGGTGACTTTTTCAAACATATATTTACAAATTCTCATCAATTCTACCAACTTAATATTAACATCAAGAAATTAAAAGCAAGACACCTTAGATCTTCACAACAGTCGAGTTCCGCTCAACATTCAGCGTTGGATCGGATCCACTAACCATCACGTAAGAAACGTCTTGAGTAATAGGGAAAACAGTCTCGAAGCCCATCTTCCTGATCGCGCCAAGGAACTGCATATCATCCTCCGACGCTCCTCCATACAGCGAGTACGAGCTCACGTCCGTTGCGCCGTTCCAGCTCACATACCCGAGCGTCGCGTTCGTCGCGTTTGTGCATCCGGACAATCCAGCCGGCACCTCGCCCTGCGCAACCACAAAACTGGGAGGAATCGTGGGCAGCCCGTGCCAGACTTGCTTGAAGGCCCGGTAGCTGTCACCGCCGCCGATGCTGTCGAATTGTGCGCTCCAGCGCACATCTTGGCCGGTCGCGGCGTCGGGGCCGTACTCCTTCATGATCGCCGAGGAACCGTAGCCCATAAACCAGTTCCCGTTGCTGAGCTGCATTGTCGAGCCTTCAGCCCACGCGTTGAGGGGGTCAGAGGCATCGTGGAGACTGGCAAGCAGCTTGGGAGGGGTTTTGGGGTTGGGTGGTAGAGTCAATTGCAGCGCGAGACCGGTCGAAACGGCCACTTTGCCTGGTTGGTTGTTGTCGTTGTTGAAGTATGTCAGGATTGCCTCTGTCGCCGAGACATTGGTGATACGAGCGTGATGTTGCCATTTCTAAACGCACTGGTTAGTACAGTCTCTCTAGAATCCGGATGGAGGGATACTCACGAATGTGCCGTTTGCTGGGAGAGATCCGAAATCTCCGCCAGTCTGTCCGTCGATGGTCCATTCGATCTCGCCCGTCTTGCGGTTGACCAGGTATGTGGACCAGGTATGGCGGCAGTTGATCAGCATATAATCGCCGTACGACTGGATCGAGTTCATGTGGTAGAGATCAATAGCGCCGCTCTTCGGGACCCCAGTCTTCGGGACTCCCGCATGGGACTGGTTGGTAGGGATATGATCGAGGGCGCTCCAGACAGACAGAATATTGCCGGATTTAATGTCAACCTCGACCGCGAGCGCATCAATGACCCAGTCATTCGCCGTTCCGCCCACAGACGTCAGATCCCACTGCGTCAGGTTGAATGCCGTAACATACATAGTGTTCTCGGGAGTGATGTAGTGCTCGTGTAGATCCGAGTCGCAGATGGACGTTACTCCATCGCCCTTGGTCAGGTTTAGTTGGGGGCAGATGGTGTAGATTTCCGTGTAGGTTTTGTCGACGACATGCACCTCGCCCCAGCCAATGCCAGCGAAGCTTTGCGGCCCGACGGGCGTGTAGTATGTGAAGACTGGCTCGCCGTCGAGTGTCTGCACCTTGATATCCGTGGCGCCGCGGGGGTTCGGGTTCGCCCAGACCAGCTCGCCGGCGCTGGTCATGATGAAGTTGTTCACTTCCTTAGGTTTACCCTGGCCGCTCTCGCTGCCGGGGCTGAAGAAGAGCAGCCCATCGCCAAGCTCCTTGCCGTTGGTGGTGATGTTCAGCTGTGGCGGCGTGCTGCCGAACGACTGGAAGGTCTGGAACGGCCAGAACGTGGTCGAGTTATCGACGACATTCACGGCGCTGGTCGCGCAGATGCTTGATGCCCTGGCGTGGTGGTTGTGATGGCGGACATGGTGGCTGTTGCTTGCCAGAGACAGAGGAGCTTGGAGGCAGAGCAGCGCCGTGAGAGACGCGAATGTGGAGAGCGTTGAAGTCATTCTGATATCAATATCACGTCTTCGGACCCTGAGAAGGTGTGATAGCTCGCACGCAATCTGTTAACTCTCTGATGCAATTGCGCCATCGCTGGCTATTTAAATGCTTGATTTTTTAGGGCAGGCCAAGACGCAAGTCATCCCCATGTAGTTGCATCGCTCTGCTCGGCGGCTCCGAATGCCACTGAAACAGCATAATCATCAAGGCTAGTGGACAGCCAAGACATTCGGGGTGTTGAATAATTAGATAGAGGTAGCCAGAAGAGCTATGCAGGACGCACGTTGGATAGGCCACGCACCCTCGACATATTGAGATCTTCCTGGCGGATGTGTTGGGCCCAATCGCAGCGCCACGATCCCCTAATGGATCAGCTCTAGCGTGGTGTTTAACGGCCTACGGTAATGATTGTCAATCAGCAGTTTCCAGTGTAACCGCGGCAAGCCAAGTGCGCAATGATCGGCGCTGCTATCAGCCTGTTCCTGAATCCCACCTGCAATTTCGAGCTGGTCTGGGGGGACATGTCATCCTCCTGCTGCATGCAGTGTGCCGGATGGCTAGGTAGAGTCAAAGAATCAAAGAACCATGCGAGATTTCGATCCAGGCAAGTTAATTATATCCGTGAATCTGAGATACTAGGGGCTTGGAACTCAGTCTATGACTCCATGATATTTGTTCTTAAAATGCTGTCGCACGCTTCAATGCCAACGCTTCGTGGTAAGTAACACGTCAGCTTAGAGAGTAGACACGGTTTATGAAATACCGCCAACAATTGAACTGGCATTGTACAAAAAACAATTGTTACAGACATAATTTAGAGTATGGTGGGAAAGGAAAGCAAATTAGGAAGGAAGCAATCGATAGTAGATCGCGCTTCGCTATTTGAAACGCCTCTAGAAGCTACAGCCCTGTGCTTACTTGTCATCCATGTTCGATGCATCTGACCAACAAGCCACAATAATTTACCATGCCCAGCTGATCTGGCAGTTGACAACACCCGAATAGAAGTTCTAACACCTTCCTAATCCATTTCAATGGAAGACAAGAGACAGAATAAAGCTTGGTTGAACTGCACTGCCTTTACATGTGAAAGCACAAGACTTACTAAAATTCATTCAGATTTGAAAATTCATACCAAAATTGATATTATTGATGCTACATGCCTTGTAAGGCGGATATTCTATTACCCAGAGAAGTTGAAACTGAGTCCAAGCTGAAGAAGCCAGTAATGAATGTCGGGTTTAGCTATTAGCTTTGGTAAGTTACTAGTTAGACAGAACGCATTTATTAGTTACATTTATTGAACCTGGTGTCCTCCGCAATAACAAGTTTCAAGCCTTTGCATTCGCACGAGGATATGGGAAAACCCTTGTTACGTGGGAAAACCATATCAAGGCTTACACGAAACGTTTTCCGCATTACTATACGATACTGCAGGTATCTTTTTTAGGACATCGATTAAGAGTGATTCCTTTCCCATTGGCAAACGACAAATAAAGAGAGTTCCTGTTGGACCCACGAATTCTTTGCCCTAAATTGTAACCGTCAATCCCATCGTAAGCCATTGATTAACGATCGACTCACTTAATTAGCAAAAACACCGCCTAGAGCATCAATATCCGAACCAGCCCGTCCCGTTAATCCAACAAATGTACCATTCCCGACCGTTTGATGCGTAGGGTGAGCCTGTGAATTGCCACCAAGCAAGACATTTTGTTGCTTGGTGGTATTAAATCCAATCCCAGTGACGAATCCACCGTGTATGCCGCTAACGCTTTCCTCAGTTCCCCAGATGTCCATACTAGTGACTTTCTCGCCGGGATCAAAGTCGTAATGCGCGTCGGGGGAACCTTTGGCGGTACCATACTGGGTCAGATCTCGGGATCGGAATCTGAGACGCAGGCCGCGTAGGTCTAGGACCCCATCGGGATATCCGTACCAAGCATCAATGCCTGCGAGCTGGGGGAATTGGTATTTTTCAAAGTCATCACCACCGGTGCCTGGTGAAGGGGTATTCTTAACGACTTGAGACATGTTAGGAGAGTATATGCCTGGATGTGCAGAAACGATGTGTGGTTATTGAATACTTTTAAATCAATCAATTGATCAGCTTGAAAATCTCATCAAAGGTTAGGACGGAAATCACCGTTTATATATTCAAATGCCAATAGATGAAAAATCTAATGCATTGATCAAATTTCCACATTAAACCCACTGTCTAACACCGAAAATTCGTTCTTGATGTAGTCTATGACGCATGCAAGATTTTGTCTTCATCTATTTCGCTTAATGACCATAACTTTCACTACTCATCTCACCATGGATTGATTTGCCGATATACAGGTAAGATCGATTGATGCATGCAGCAATGTCGAATATAGCTCATTTCCTAATAAGTATCAAACGAGTGGATTGCAGCCATTTTATTATCCATGGCTCCTAATTATCGATGTCTTGAAACTCATTGCCAGTTAACTTTCAAACCCAACCAAAACACATCCAACATCTATTACCAATGTGTGTATGCCTTTTTTGGGGTTGCTTAATGGAGTTGTTACTGTAGGCTGTAAAGCCATATTTAACCTTTGAGAGGCGACGCTCTCCAACCATGGTTCACAAAATGGAACGGGTCTCTTCCGACACGGGCAGTAACTCGCCACCGAGGATGTTGAAAATATGGGGTGATTTAATACGGCTGAAGTTGACAGTCACAGAAAAAACTATTTTGTGTAATAATTGCCTGTAGCTGGCGTCCTATACGTAGACCAGTTGACGTCTTTCTCTGTTAGTTGTATCGATGCAAATGGTTCTTTCCGTATGATCAACAAGAAATAGTTGTGAATTACGGATGATTATTCGATCTTCTTGCATATTGATGTCATTTTAAACAAAAAAGCAAGTAATATCGTTAAAAGTGGAGCAATCATTACCAATGGGTTATTAATTCATCAATGGTCCGTACCGGCTGCTCACGGCACGATCCTTAACTGTAGGTCCACTAACCCCACGTCGCTGGTGGGTCATATCATATATGACAGTATGACATTTCGCTTTATTCAGTGGATCAAAAATGCAATATATACATATGTTGATGTCTTGGGCAATAGGGTCGCATCGTTTTGTTTTTGTTCCATGTTATGCATACTGCTATGCATACTGCTATGTGAGTCGCAGCAGGCGTCTGCTTGCGTTGATAGGCATTTGATATCGTAATCATCAGCGCCATTAATAGAGTGGAAGAAGCCTAGTTCCTCTTCTGGTATGGAACCTATCAATTACTAATGTTGCTGATCTAAGGCTGTTAATATGAGGTATTTTTAAAATTTAGAGATGTGAGTACTATAACATCATACGAAAACCATTGTATAGTTAGTGTGTATTTCGATGATTTTATGCTAAACCAATCTAGTGTAGCTAATTAGATGCTCGGACAGTTATTAAGTCCATTTCGCTAGGCTTTCGATTCTTAAGCTGGGGTTAAGCTTATAGCAAATCCGCTAGAGTGGGCTAGGAGGATATTGACAACAAACGGGGTTTCCCACAAGCCATTTTACTCTGCTAATAGTTGATATGGATTAATATGACTCTAGTATCATAATCAATGTTGCTACACTTAATTAACAGTAATGCAACCAAAAGTATTGATTACTTAAAGATGCTTCCAGATCATTCAACATCTGTAAGATTTCTCAAGGATATAGTATTCCAGCCTACTCTGACCCTGGTCTCGATTTCAAATTCCACGTGCCTTACTGTGACTTCAAAACATGACTATACCCTAATTAGTTAATAAACGCATCAGTGCAGCTTTTGTTGAAGTACAAAGTCAAAAGATTTATCTAAAATCTCAAGACCCTCCTCAATCTCCTCGGCAGATACGGTAACAGGCGGCGCCAGACGAAATACACCACCCATTCCAGGAAGATTGACAACGTTACAAGAAAGGCCGCAGGTTAAAGCCCTGTCACAGACAGCCTGACCCAACTCTATACCAGGAGCTTTACTCTTAGCGTCTGATATAATTTCAATACCTTGTAGTAATCCACGGCCGCGGACGTCCCCAATACACCAATACTTCTTCTGAAGCCTAAGTAGACCTTCCCTCAGCTGCGCACCATGCTCAGCTGCTGCCTCACAGATATTATCCCGCTCCACGATTTCCAAAACTTTATTGCCCACTGCAGCAGTGAGAGGATCATTCAAATGAGTGGTAAGCCACAAAAACCCTGCTTCTTTACAACCACGCTCAATCTCCGCGGTAGTACTAACTGAAGCCAAGGGAAGGCCACATCCAAGGGTTTTCGATAGTGCAAGGATATCGGGTACAATATTGCCGTGTTCAAAAGCAAACATTCGGCCAGTGCGGCCTACTCCGGTTTGAGCTTCATCCATAATGATAAGCATCCCACGCTTCTTACACTCAATGCTCATGCGCTGAAGATACCCATGAGGTGGCTCAAGGATACCTCCGGTGGAAAGGATGGGCTCCATGATGAAAGCAGCCAGAGATCCAACGCTTTGGCAGTCAATCATAGACCAGCCAAAATCCATTTCTGCTTCCCAGTCGTAGGAACCATCGGGCTTACGGAAAGGGGATCGATAGCCGTACGGCGCTGGAAACGCAAGCTGGCCTGGTATACATGGGCCACCGTTCCTTCTTCCAGCTGAATACGTTGCAGAGCCTGAGCCTTGGGTCAGGCCATGGTAACTGGCAGCGAAGGCGACAATTTCGAATCTTCCGGTGTATAATTTAGCGATTTTGATGGCCGCTTCGGTTGACTCGGAACCGGTATTAAGGAAGAAAGATTTCTCTAGAGGCAGAGGAAGAAAACGAGATAGGCGTTCGGCCAAGTCCACGACGGGATGAGTGATCATATTACTTAGGAGATGATCAAGCTCCGCAACGTACTTTCGAACCACTTCGATGATTTCGGGGTGAGAATGACCCAGCAGAGAACTCATTTGACCAGACGTGAAGTCAAGGATCTGCCTATTGTTGACATCGAAGAGTCGAATCCCTTTGGCCTTTACGATGATTGTGGGAGAAAAAGGAACCCCTGTTCGCATCAGATATTTGTCTGCCTTAGCAAAAAACATAGCTTGTTCTTCTGTGGCCATTATGACCTCTACAAAATGAGAGAGAACGACGTCAATAGAAAAATATACTTGAAAAAATCCAAGATTTGAATTCGACTTTAACAAACAGTGTCTTATCTACTCTGGTATTTATAATATCTGCCAGTGGGCGTTCCTGCAGTCCAAGATACCATATCTTTATACTAAACAATCTCTGATTGGTCGAGTTGGCCGCGGAACTCTATTTATGGTTATCGCCGCGGGGTTTTCCGCGCATCGATTCTCCTCGAAACCCAATGCGAGAATCTTCAAACATGGAGATAGAAGATAGGAGCCACAGGATTACCAAGAGGCCTCATAGGTCTCATTTGTTTCCAGCTTGTATACCCTGCAAAAAACGCAAGTCTCGATGTAAGACGACAGATCCCCAGGGCAACTGCATCATGTGCCAGGTTCATGGCACAGAATGCATATTCCCACAGGCAAATGGAAACATTCGAAGAACAAATACAGACCCAGTTCGTCGATTGGCAGCTAAAACAAGCAACAGTCAACCAATACGAAGCCAGCCGTTTTCTTTCACCCCAACTGAGCATTCTAACTACCAAGAACAGTCTCGGCCAGCGGGAAGTTCGAACGTTGGTTTCATGGACAGGGAATACCACCATGTTGAGAATAATGCCGTCGGTGAATTTTCGAATACGGTTGGAATCGTTGCCGAGGCTGGGAATAACAGCTCCCATATAGTTAGTCCGGCTGTTGCAGAGGATAACGAGGTTTTGGAAAGCTATCTCTCAAGTATTCCGAATGGCCGAAGGCGGAATATCATTCAGCCAAATTTGACTGCAAATCGATCCTTACGGCCTGTACTGTTTAATACTGTTCTGAGACGCCCATTGGGGCAATCCAATCAATCCCTATCAGCCATGAAATGCGAGATCATTGAGAAATGCCTGGAACATGTATCAAACGATGTTGTCGATCTGTAAGTGATGTTCTAATAATTTGAGGTCTGTTACTTTTCAGCATACAACAATTAACTAAGTATAATCAAGGTTTTTTCGGTATGCAAATATATGTTTCCCTGTTGTCGACGAAATCTCCTTTCGGAACGTCTATTCCACGCACAAAGGCCGTATTTCCCCGGCTCTTCTCAGCAATCTCTATTCAAATGCGCTTATCTACTGGAAAAACTCCCCATGTTTGAATTCCGGTCGCTCACCTGATGTTCGTTATATCTGGAACCAGGCAAATGAAGCGTTACATTCTGAATTATATCTATCTCCAGGCATATCAACTGTGATGGCCATTATTCTGAATGTTTGTGGTAGACCGAGTACCTCTATATTTGGTAATGGAGGGATGATTGGAAATGCAGTGGCCTTGTCCAATGCTCTGGGTTTAAATCGAGACCCATCCGGTTGGAATATTTCTCCATTAGAGAAAAAGTTTCGCGTTAGGATTTGGTGGTTGGTAGTTGTGCATGATCGATGGTATTTTTTACTATCATTTAAATTCCTGCATCGAATATATTCTAATGGTTTGATAAAGGTGCAGTTTAGCATATGGAACACCTCTCCAAATCCATCGCGCGCAGTACGATGTACCATTTCCAACGGTAGACGATATATGCTATCCAGATTCCTCTCATGATCACAAGGCCTCCGCTGAGATATTCGTTGCCTTGACCACGCTGACCGAGGTCTTGGCCGAGTATTTGGTACAGGTGTATAAAGTATCTAAGAACATATTGTATCCACCGGATGCCTCTGCATTGGATCTAGAATATGTTCTTCGCGATTGGGAGGATTCCTTGAGTGACAACATCCGTCGAATCATTCTTCGTGGAACAGATCTGAGAATACCCGGGGCTGCCAATCTCCGGTTGGCATATCTTGCGGTCAAGCTTTTATTAAGACGTCTACAGCTTAATAGCGACAAGACATATACAATCGCCGAAGACGAAAGTTCTAGCCTATTCTATGGGCAGACTCAGAGGGCGGCGGAGGAAATTCTTCACCTCGTGCAAGAATTAGATGAAGACCACTGTCGTGGATTTTGGCTTCCTGTTAATTCATTTTCTTTGACGTCTGCTACTACCTTCCTTCTTCGAAGTGGACTCCAGAACAGGAATTCAGATATCAACACACCAATGAAGATTGCGAAAAATATGATCGACTCACTCTGGTCTCACCGCCGAAGTTACGACTGGGATATTGCAGATGATTGTTTGGCTAACTGTAGTGACTTGGTCGAGAGAATTACACTGAATTTGGCCGCGACTGAAAACTGCAATATGCCCTTCAATACTATGGATACATCCTCTCTAGAACAGCTTGGTTAAATCAATCAATTCTGGACGAGTTGCTGATAAAATTTCCGGAAATCGCAGATACAAATGGACTTTGATTATGGCATTAATGTCAGCAGTGCCAATTGGTTTAGAGGTTAAATTCAACCTAGAGTTTTTTGTTGGATACGATAACTACTAGCACAACTTTCCCAGCTACTCTAGTCGTGTTGCTTGTTTTGTATCTGGGGCTCTAGGATGTCTGCTGATAGTGGCCTAGTACCAACAATTGGTTATGAGTATGGAATTTTCTACGAGGGCTTCTTTGGACAAGTCATTTACGACGAAAAACTTTTCTAAATTGTGTATTTGCACTACTCGTCAATATTCAGTCGTTGCTAAAATGTGCTAGCTCAGACGACGGGACCATAAAAACATGAGAAAACTTTTGGCTGACTATATAATCAATCATAAACAATCAAGTAACTAGCATCTGCCACAATTTCATATTCATCCAAGTAGTACGTATTATTGTTGGTCGACAACATGTGTGACAGTGTGCCAATCGCAAACCAAGTGGAAACAAGTGCGGGTGCGGTGGCTGTATTTGGAAATTAGGGCTCGGCGCCTAAATTGCCGGCTTATTTGCCGAACGGCCGGCCCATCGTCCATGATGAGGTTAGTATAGATCAGCTTGGCTGGGGACGCGTGTGAGACCCATCCGATGACCTCTCATTGTTCAACGTGGCTTGTGCTGCGATGAAAAAGGCCCATGCAGTTATATTATTCGGCGATAACTTAACCATTTTCGTTCATTAACCCTTCGTCCCCGCTGGATCGCATATTTTTCCACGTGGGTTTTTATCTTCCTTCAGGCTTGGATACAGTTTCAGTATTTTGGGATAAGATCCCTGTCCATTCATTATTTGCTTTTCGTTTCTTGTTACTGTGACAATAGACAAACGGAATGAGAGGCATTATGGGAGGTTCCATTGGAGTCGGTCTGCTCGGTCTTGTCCTGTCTGTGACTGCTCAATGTAGTTTATCGCCGGGTGACTCTAACTACAGAATTGACGTCCACTCACATGCTGTGCCAGACGTATGGCGCGCTGCACTCGTCCAGGCTGGATATCCCGTCAAAAATGGGACACTTTATACGGACGGCTTCCCTGTGTCTAACTGGACTTTGGAAGGGCACCTCGAAGCGATGACTGCTAATAGCGTCAACTATACGACATTGAGTATTAGCGCTCCTGGTGTTACGTTTCTGGCACACGATGCTACCAAAGCCAAGAATTTGGCTCGCAAGGTCAACTTGGCTATGCATCAATACACCCAACAGCACCCTGAAAAACTGGGTGCAATGTGCCTGCTGCCTCTCCCTCATGTCAAAGGAGCTATTGCTGAGATTAAGGTACAGATACATCGATAAGTGCAAAACGAAAACCTTTTAGAAATAGTCGTTAACTAGTCTACAGTTCTGTTTGGATACTTTGGGCTTCGACGGGGTAGGTATGTATACCAATTCTAATGGCACTTATCTCGGCGACTCTTCTTTGGATCCGATTTTCGAACTTCTGCAAGAGCGCAATGCCACCGTTTTCGTCCACCCAGCTGCTCCGGGCTGTGAGTCTGCCGGTATGGGATGGCCCTCACCAATGACCGAATATCCGTTCGACAGCGTTCGTGCCATGGAGAACATGCTCTTGAGTGGCCAACGTGCATCGTACCCGAATGTGACCATGATATTTCCTCATGGCGGCGGTGCAATGCCTTATCTCGCCACCCGCATTGCTGGCATGTCTTCTCTACCATTTTTAGGTGGCTTGTCTGTGCCCGAGTCTCTTGCTCAGCTTGCGGGTTACTACTTTGATACTGCTTCAGCCACCTCAGCCATTCAATTGAATGCCATGAAATCTTTCATTGGCATAGATCGTATATTGATCGGCACAGACTGTATGTCGAATATTCTATCCTTTCTTGTGGTTTGCTATTGGGACTGACTTGTCGACTAGATCCTTACGTGCCTGTGGCTCAGTCTGAACCGGCCTTGGCGGCTATCCAGACCAACGGCAATTTTACCAGCACCGAAATGGCGCAAATCAACAGCAAGAATACCCTGTCTGTCTTCCCTCGTATATCCGCGAAATTGGGGTGGTAGACAGGAAATCCGTTTGTGAACTAGATTAATATGCTAGAGTATACATAATGTAATATTTGCCCACAATGTTAAGTTGCGGGGTACATATATAGAGATTATAGAATAGTTTTGATAATACATGTAATACTACTATTTATATCTCTTTCCCTCTATATAACTCAAACAATATAATGGATGTTAGAATGAGTCCAAATTCTTCCAGAGGTTGTGACAGGTAATCAATAAGATTACATGGTATATTCCGTCCCATAACTAATTTCACCACCAGATAGTCCCTGGAGAAAGAAGACACACACATAACTTGGACTACTCTTCTATTTGCCAATATCAAAAATTTCAATTCAATAATCATGGTGGGTCCCCACGCCTCAAAGCATGTGGAGCCAACTACCTGACTCGTGAAAATATTTGGCCTACCCAACAATTTTCAGGGAGCGCTACTTGCATGAAAAAGTCTAATACTGGTGTAAAGTAACTAACTAAAGCTAAATTACGATAAGTCCGTCGTACATTAGTCAATGTCTGTCTAGAAAAAGCATGGTCATGCTTGTCGGAAATTTACAAACTGCGAGTTTTCTCGACAAGTCGGCTTAGGCCGCCTCCATCGCGAATATAGCTACTATTTTCCTAACTTAATCACATATTTGCGTAGTATTATAGGCAATCATCCCTTCATTCCTAGCTATATATACCAGTGCACTGTAAGTGTTGCGGGCTGGAAGTGAATAGAATTTAACATTTTCTGTTATATATGCTCGACTTCCAAAAAGGGGAGGGGTAAAGAAAAGAAAAAGTGGCTCGACAAACACCCGTATACACGGCTTAACCTTGCCCTCGAAAGTTCAAGTTCAAGTACGTTAAAAAGTGGATTTGATGGAAGGCTTTGGAAACGTTAATATTTCCGTTCTATCCGGAGAGCATCGCTCACGACATCATTAACAATTGTTTCGTATTTCACTTTGTTCAGTCGCTTCTCTATGGTCTGCTTTGGGTTGAATAACGTGACAAGGCCTAGGCTATGTTAATTAATTTATCCCGACGGAGTCACCGGGAAAGGTATGTGTATTCGTATTAGTTTTTGTTTCCTCCTGTTCTTTTCCCCCCTCATTTGTGTAGCCGCCGGAAATCTTCCAGGACCGGATGAATATTAGTTCTAGGAGTTACACATGATCTCTATAGCCTTCTGATCTGATTGTCGTGAAGGAAATTTTGTCATTATTTTGATTGGCTTTGAATGTCTAAGTCTCTCGGCTAAGAAAAAATCACAAGTCTAAAATTCAATGCTCATTTAGAACGTAACATGCGTGATATTCCCGTCAATGAAAAAACAGTTCAGCCAAGCCTAACCTTACAATAAACCCCTTAAATAGCCGTTTCCCCCATAATTAATATCGAGTAAATCCAGTCAACAACTATTTTACTGACGGTAGTGTACCGCTTCCGACGATGTCGAAATATTGTATTGTACCGATATGCCATTTGCAGGATGATGGTTACCGTTTCTGTCACTGGAATTTGAGTCGGATCCCGACCCAACCGTGACTTCATTAGCATATGCTCTTGTAATCGTCTTTGTAGAATCATTATCGGTGTTATCGACATTCTCCTCGTCTATACCTGATATTGAAGAAAGTGGGATAGAGCGCCCTTGCTGATGATTGCTGTTGTTTCTCCCGTTCGTATTATTTTGACCTGATGAACGGGCTCCTTTTGATTGATCGTAGTGGTTCGCGTAGGTTCCGCCTCGACTACTACGTAGAAAGCGAGGCGCAATGACGTCCACCGCTGGTTTGATGCCGGGAATGCAGTTTGCGATGATGGCGACTGCGAGCTCGACTCCGGACCAAATCGAGACGCCGTATGTGTCCCACGTGGGATCTTTGCTGCGATAGAGCTTGACAATGTAGACCATTCGTACGATACTTGCGACGCAGGCACTACATACGGACTTAGTTAATATCACTTAATCTCGAACGGATGCAGTACTGACAATGCACCGAGCGACAGAATGCCAATGAGAATTATTTTGCTTCTTCGAGACATTTGAAGACCTTGAAAGAAAAGTCAGCATCATTTCCCCCCATTTCTTTAAGGCTAGAAGCATTTCATGGATGAGATGGAAGGAAATATACCTATAATCGTCGGAATAGGTAATGCCAGGATCCAAAAATCAGTTACTAGCGACAAAGCTGCTGTCGAATACCAAAATGGAATGGAGGGGAAACAGTAATAATGCGCATATTTGCTCGAATCATAGACAGCGTCAATCGGTTGACATTGGAATAATGTTGCTAGGACGATAGCCACACTCATCACAGCAATGAAGACAATTGTGCCCCAGATCACATTTCGCAGATTGAGGAAGACATGCTTGTAGAGGAGGAGAGTGGAAACCTTGATCAGTCCACTGATGACCGTATAGATAATATGTGTTACCCAACGAAGCTATTGTTTATATCCACCAATCAATATTCAAGTTTTGAGGAAAGGGAAAACCCAAATAAAGTCATACCTTAGCCGCAGGTAATGCATCTGACTTTTCCAATTGGCCTATATGTTTTCCTGTGCCATATTTTACTCCTTCGCGACAGAGAGGATTAGTTACTAAACCACTAATGTATTTCAACATTGAAACATACCCAGACCAGCAACTACGATGTTCAAAATCGCAAAAATGGTTGCTGCAATGATTGTCCAGTCATCAGAACTAGGGCGTCTTTTCAGGATGATGACTTTGCTAATGAGACGAAGGAGAACGAATATTGTCGCAACGGCTTGAATAGTAGCATTGACAATGATAATTGTCGGTCCACGACCAGGCTGTTCAAAATTAGTTTATACGGATTATTTTCAAACATGATTTCTTTTGATTCTTGGAAAAGGCGCAAGGAAAGAAAAACATACCCCTGCCATCTTCAAGCAGCTTTCTGCTCAAGTGTGAACCCGAGACTCGAAATTCACGCGCGTGCCGCTCCATAAATAGTAAAATCCCAAATATAGTGGGATTCACGATTCTAATCAGACGAGAAAATCGATCGATGGATCTAATCGGAATCGGAATATTGTATGTGGAGCTGCTACCCTGTCCAGCATTTGACTCTTTAGTCCTTAGTCCTTACGCCAAGAAATGACGGATTAACTAACTTTCGTCAATTAGCCGGATACGGCGAAAAGCCTTTCCAACACAGTGGCGTGCGATCTATTGGAAGAGCTGGAACGCGTCGACCTGGTTCTCCTGGATATAGTGGATTCTCCCTACCCGAAGCGGATAATATTCTGGTCAATTGGTGCGTGGTGTTAGCAGTCAATGAGCCTCAAATTGTCACCTTAAATTTTCTCTTCTAGTATCAGGCACCAGCAGTATAAGTTGGTCTTATCGAATAAAAATCCCAGCTTGGACCTTGTATTATCCTTCATCAATTTCTCTAGGTTAGTACATTTTAGGTGCGCATATACAGATGCTCTCGGTTGCCAGACTATCCCAGCCAGCGGATCAAGCTGCTTCAAAGCGCCCAAATGCATAGTACATGATCCACTATGAGTTGGTTGCTTGGTTGCCCCAAGTCAAACGGCAAGGTAGACATGCCAAAGACGCACCCCGAATGCATGCATTATGAAAACTGAAAGAGAGTTTACATGTGAGTACAGGCCTCCAAGCTTAGGAAATCACATGTAATGTTGCTATTTTGGTAGTACATTTATCTCCTGTCCGTAATTGAACAACAGCAGGCATGCACGGGCGCGTTGACGCGTCCCGGACTTCTACACAACATTGTCACTGGCAAAGATATTTTCCATTGAGGACACCCAAAACAAATTATGAGATTACATGACACACCACATCATACAAAGGACCGAAATTTGGCTAAAATACATGTAAAGACTTCTTCAGCTATACATATAGTCATTGTGTACACAATGAACGATGTAAAGTGTCGCAGAATGATGTCCAATCCAACATAGAGGAGCTCACTAAAATCGCCGCAGAGTCTCTCAGTTTGGAGCGTAATGTCCGTGTAAAAAGTTTAGCAATGGACTGTTAACAAAACCTTCCTTCTCACTATACATGATGATAAATAAATTGTTAAGAAAGTCCCGAATCCAGACACAGAACAACCATACTACACTACAGCTAGCAGGATCGCTACCATGGAATTTGTGATGCAATCTGACACATTAATGTCTCTATTCTTCGCTGACCAATAATTTAGGCCAGGAGTGTTCTTGGGACCCCGGTTCCAAAGGTTCTGAAAGACCGACCTTCTGGAAGTAGATGTATTCTTCTTGTTTCTGGAGAAATATTCCCAAACGACGACCTTCTCCAGATCCATTTACCGGCTATCCCATATATTGTGCAGTACATCAACTGCGTTAATGATCTGCCCCCGTTTTACAGAGAGGTAGATGAACGAGTTAACTTTATAAGGAATTATGCGAGAGCTAAAAACATATCGGATTTTCGGTCTTTGGAAATTTATTCGCAGGAAAACAGTTACCATTTTTCATACCATATATGATATTATCTTACAGAATGAGGTTATGAAGGAGCACTCGCCTTGAGGCATTTATATCTGGATACGTCACTTTTCATATGTGTTCTCGGAGATATAAGCTCGCTGAATTACAAATTCCCGAGGGTTTAGAAGCAAAGAAATCTTTTTTCTCTACCGTAAATTCAGACTAGAACAAATCCCTGCACACTATAGAGGAATAAGACATTCTCTATTGAGATATACGTAGCACTTGAACTTATCAAAACATATATATCAGTAAAAGAAAACCTCTTTGAATTCCTCATCCACACAACTTATTGAATTCACGTACGAGAAATATTGAAATATGAAACATGATAGAAAGGCCCCACCAAAATTGTTGTCAAGATCGAATAAAGATTCCACACTGTACCCTCTGAGCTTGGTATAGACATGTACATGTATAGCAATTGATATCGTTTCTGGGTTTACTTTGACCATATCAATGCATGTATGTAGTTGATATGCGGTAGACAAAAATCCTTTAGACTTTTCACATGATTGTCTTAACCGGTTTTTGTTGTAGGTGTAGCCTGACACATATGTACAAGCTTTGTTTAAGTGAAATTAAAATTAAGCCGATTAACTTGTATAGTACATAGGAGTATTGGTGACTTTCAAGTAGTGTATGCATTTCTGGTACAGAAAAATGTAACAATTCGAGTCAAGCTTCGGTGAATAATTTGTTCAGATGGATTGACGAGTAGAAGGTTTGCTTATATCGTGTCTATGTATGAATTGCTGGTCTCATTTAGACAACTGCAGGTCATTGAGAATTCTGCACAGGAGCAAGGCCAGCGACAAAATCCGCAGCCTGGCTTGCCATTCCGTTATTCCCGTAGGTAAAGTGCTGGGGTGTGAGCATTAACCGAACGAACTGTTGAGGAGTCAAGTTTGACACAAATGCCTCCCAGCTGGCCGCCAATTCGGCAGGAAACTTTATAGCCAAGTTTGCCGCTGCTTCTGCTTGTTGGATACCCACTGCAACGTTTGGTAATGATGCAAATGGACCAACAATGTCGGAAAGAGAAGTTGGGAACTTGAAGTCACTCGGTATTTGGGCGCAAAGTGGATCAAATATAGTTCCAGTGACACAAGAGGTGGAAAAGCTGCTACTAGGAATAGATTCTGGAAGAGCGGTATTGTTCCATACGCCATTGGGGTCTCCGAATGTTACAAGGGCAGCTGTCTTGTCGAGGGCTGTGGATGATATTTGCTCAAGAGCTTTGTGTGCAACAAGAGCGCCTTGACTGCATTTTCGAAATCTATTGTTAGTAGCTATTTCAAAAAGTAATTCACATTCCTCTCTATTTGTACGATGCAAAGTTTACAATGGTAGAGCACGCTTACCTCCAGCCAGATATAACGATTACACTATCAGGGCATTTAGAATTGTAGTCATTGACAGTCGAAGCAAGCGATACAGCACCATCATCACTACCACCCTCGGACAGATAGCCATATAAATCCGCTTTATATGCATCTGGATCGACACCTTGCAACGCGGCAGAAGGCACGCGGGAGGATAGTTCTTCGAAAAATTGAGGGCCAACCCACACGCCAATATTGCTATAAGTGATTTTTATATGTTAGCGAATCGCACTTCTAAATAATAAATTGGACTTGAAAAGGATAGCGTGTAAACATACCCAGAGTCAAATGTGCCTCTAGCGAAAATAACAGCTATCGATGCACACTCCGCATTCCCTTCAATTATATCAATCATCCCGTTGGAGTTATCGTTTACTTTCTGGGTTGCGACGGTCATTCCCAGCGCACCGCATGCAGCTAGGTAAAATATAATCGACATCATATTTATTTTCGTTCGTTTCTTCACAGATAAGAAATAGGTTCACTCTGCACAATGTGACCCAAGTAATCGGGAAATGGCCGCGTTTTATAAACGACTCTGACTTTATTCTAATAACCCAGAAAATTTAGACTAAATAGAGCAAGTTCCATGCTTAAAATAAGTTCATTACGGGAGTTAACTCTTTCCCCCCTGCTTCTATGATGGATGATTGCCGTTAATATCTTCCGCAGGATCGGCCCCACGCTTTGAAGACAGTTACATACGAGATTACTAGACCCATTAACGTCGTCACCAAGCTTCTTCGTTGAAACCTCAATTAATTAGCGCTTAAGTCAGCGAGAATATCGATATCTAAGCCCCTATTCTCGATCCGTAACCATGTATTTGCCCCTCATGCTTTCTAATGTTGGTATAAATCTAAATCCAAGCACGTAATGTATTAGTATAGCAAATGTGAGCGGGATTCTCGCTCTCTATATGCCATAAACTTCAATATTAATGACCACATTATTCAATAGAAATCTTCAGATATTGTTCTATTCTATAAAATGCCCAATGACATCGTTTGAAGAATAATGATAAAAAAATTAATAACAAAGAAAATTAAATAACCTCATTGTCTAACGCTCATAGCCAAACTTTCATAGCTTTGCTAATAATGTGAACTAGCTACATGACCGGAAAATTTATCATCAACTTAACTCATAGCTTATTTTTATTAATAAATTCAAACAAACGATTTCCCTCAGCAAATTTACGAAGTCAATGCTGTCACAGTAGTGCATGACCCATTTCCTTAGACGCTAGTCAACATACTGTCTAGGTCGTTCAATCTCAACCTATACCAGTATTGGATTAGCATCCGGTCACCAATATGATGCTTCTGAGAAAGCTGAATCCTCAGCTCGCATCCGACGGCTATTGTTTGATATCCCATGGTATAGTGAAGGAAACTGGAAAAGTCTTGATGAAAAAGATATCAAACCTCTCCCCCAATTGCACCCTTCTTGTCTGCCGATTATTGATGATTTAACCGATTTCAAAGCCGGATTGAAGCGTGCCGCCACCCGACAGACATCTTCGCCGTTGATTATGTATGAAAGTAGTGTAAGGAACAGACCTGAAAGTAAGACAGGCCGGCGTGTCACCAAAGCCTACCATAAAAAGTCTCGAAATGGGTGCAAGGAATGTAAAATTCGTAGAGTGAAAGTAAGTATCATTTTTCAGATTTTGACTTTTTGACTTTTTATAATTTGAAGACATCCTAAACAATATACTTACAAACCCCTTCACAGTGTGACGAGAAGCAGCCGACTTGTAGTAATTGCGAGCGTCGTGCAGAAACCTGTGTGTTCTTGAACGCCTCACAAGAACAAAGTGACCAAGACGAAACGACAGTCGCAAAGCAGACTTCGGATTCACTTGATTCGGCATCTCTTCTATCACCGACTTTGTCTGGCGACTCCGATTCACAGACAAACTATCACTCCATTTATAGCGATATCGGCGATTTTCAGCTTCCAGAATCCAGATCAAGACGTCTCCTTGAACTTCGATTACTTGATTTCTACAAAGATCACAGCGCCAACCCCCTTCCAGACCTCCCCAAGTCCGACGTGGTGACGGCATGGTCTAGTCAAGTTCCTCAACTAGCACTCAAATATGATAATGTGCAGTATATGATGTTTTGCCTTGCATCATGTCAGCTTCTCCGATCCGAGCCCGGCAATTTTGAGCTACTAAATGCCCAACGAGTGTATTTAGGATTAGCAATGCATGAGCAGCAAATGGCTGTTTCTCAACTAAACCTTGAGAATTGCGACTCTGTCTCTTATACTGGAATGTTGCTTCTAATAACGGCGATTGCCCGCCTTTGGAGACGCCCTATGAATCCATATGTTCCACCTACAGAGTGTCTAAGACTAGGAAATGGAGTGGGAGCTGTGTTGGAGAGAGCGAAGGTGATGCTCAAAGAAAAAAAGGATGCAAAGATGTGGCTATTTATAAATGCACCGCCAGTGTTTGATAGGAATATTATCTTCGCTAAAGAAAATCGAATTCCGTTTCAAAGGCTACTGGACCCTAATATTCAGCCATCGAACCCGGATACCCACGAAGCTTACGAAAAAGCCGTCGCCTACCTGGGATATCTACATAAGTCAATTCAGGAGAATGAGCCAGTGTATATATTTGGTCGAAAAGTGATGTCGTTCTCCATCTTCGTTCCAAGAGAATACATTGATCTTGTTGAGGAACAGAGATATCGAGCCTTGGTCGTTCTCGCGCATTACTTTGGCTTTATGTCCAGGGCTAAATCGCTTTGGTGGGCAGTGGAGACTCCAGAACAGGAAATTCGCGCAATCCAAAACATCCTGCCCCAAGAGTGGCAGGGTTACATGCGTTGGCCACTGATGATGACAGGCCAAACAATCATTTAAGGAGTCAAGACATATCAAAGACGCAGGTTAGAAGCATAGCCGGGCTAACTTGGCTAAAATTCCGTTTTGTCTGTACCATTTGAGCTAGCCTATTGATCTATTAGCTTTCCTTGTTTTTTCCTGCTATTTTTAGCGTTTGACATGGTATACACGAGTAATATGAAATTTTCAGAGGAATACAAACGGCCTAATGAAGGCACATATATATATATATGTACCATAGATTTGTAAAGGTCAATGGGCACATGAATCAATTGATGTAGAAAATAACTATACCGAACAGCTTTTATCTATGCTACGTGTAGCATTTCTATTTATAACCTTCTACATTTTAATGTTGGATGAAAGGCATTTTATTGTCATATGAAGGTTTGATATCCATAGACTTTTGTTTATCCATACCTCTCAACTAACATCCTGGTGTCTGTGTTCAGCTTCGGTTTTCTAAAGAGCTGCCCAAATGCTAACATTGCAAGCCGTGGACGAGTCAATGCTCGAAGGACAGATAGGCACAAAACACATCAAGGTAATCCCTCTAGAAGTATTATATATAATTGTCAAAGACCATGCCTGAATAGGCGGACTTTGCCGGATATACGTCTTTGCTGACTGTTAGATGAGTATCACAGCCATTCTGTGGAGGATCATAAAGGCAACAATCACCCCGTGATGACAACACCGACAGAAGTGGCATGTTTACGACCGTCTGAAACAATAATATGTTTTCCATCACAACTGAAGAGTTTAGAACACTCTGTTGAAAAACTTGCAGAGTGCCTCGCGACCATACAGATTGATCTTAATCGCGAGAGGGAGCCGAAGATGATTCCCGACATTTTCATCGAAAATTCGTCATACATAATGTGTCAAAGCTGAAATTCTATAGCGTGTTGATTATCTTTCGGAGGAAGGACATTACGAAGCCCTTGTGCAATTACGTCTGCGGGCGTTGACAGTTTCTGCGATCTCTTCGCAGGCAGTAGAGAATATACTAAATTCCTCCAAAGATGCCCAGCCATCGATCTCCAGTTTCAATTCGAAGATTCACTCGAGGCAATCTAGTTCCCCGTTATATCTTTGAACAACCACAATTTTTACATAATATCCGGGCCCCTTATTTCAAAGAGCATTCTGTGTTATTGAAGCACTGTGAGTTTTATTTACATATTGATTAGCTTCTTTTCCAACTCTTAGCTCGTTGCTGGATTTTTGTTCGCACTAATGTGCCGACTTGAAGGGAACGAACTGTTAGTCTCTGCTGGCTTTGGGTTCGGCCTAGCAAAGTCCGCAAAACCCAACATCATCGCATTCGAAATGGAATCAATCTGGCTTCCGAATGCTCTACAAGATCCAACTTTATTCCATACCACTGTTTTCGTTATATCATATCATACGGATATGGTGTGTGGTACCCTAATAGTATTAACATCCTAAATAAGAAGGAAATGGCATTCCAACTCATTAACAACCGGCTTCAACAAGGTTGAGGTGATTGATGATGCCGTAATCCTTTCCATACTTGCGTTGTGGTTTCACGAGGTACTGTGTTCCTAAACCTTCCTTTCACATTTATTCTTAACCAACCTAATGTAAGTCCCTGCTTTAAGTACTTGCTGGCCTCTCATCGTCACATTACCATAGAGAGGGTATTGCACTTATGATTACCCTCAGGGGTGGACTAGACAACCTGGGATTTCAAGGCGTACTTATGTATGCTTCTATAATGTATGTCTTACTCTTTTTCGATCCACATGGATATACTTTACAGGCTCCACGGTTAAGCCCACTGACGTTGTTTCTGACAGTAACTTTGTTTTCCGATGCTATAGTCTTGGACTTGAGTCAGCCCTCGTCAGTGGTAGAAACCCCAGCCTAACGAATACTGCAGTCTGTATACTACTTACACGTGCCCTAAGCAGAACCCGTCTACATGACGAAGATGCAATCAGCGCTGCTCTCTAAGCTCCATTTGAAAGGATTCATAATAACATGGAAATCTTTGAGCAATATATATCCTCTCAGCTTCCTTATAATTCTGATTATACCAGTTTTTGCCTACCATATCAGATCGGACAACATTTCGAGAAGGTTACGGCTGCGGCTGTTATAAATATTTTATCGACTGCTTTGTTCGCTACGGAAGTTTTCCCCAGTCTATTGCGTGTGCACGACAGTTATAACCGTGATAAATTTCAAGACTCTCGGAGATCGCTTCATGACACCATGCTTCAAACATTCGCTAAAGCCAATAGACTAGAGTGGGCTGCTGCTTCCCCAGAGACATATTAGTGGGTATGTGTTTTGGGGGCAGCGGTATTAGATGATGAAGATTCGAGAAGATTTGGGTTGCCGAAATGATCCCTGTGACATTGATGTTACAAGCGGATGAGATGAAGGGATTGTATTTGGATGCGTGGTTGCATTTCAGGTGGTTGAGGGGGGTTCATGTGAAACTTGGATTAATGATTGACATGCGAGCAGATTGAGAAACCTCAATGACACTAAAATGCTGGCTCCGATCTAGACATACAAGAACAAATTTGGCTGCCCATTAGAGTGAACAATCAAAAGATGCAGAATCCCAAAATACCGATTTCTATTCTGAGATATCCGTAAGAACCCTGGCTTAAGATCCTAAGCTAGACGACATACATATCCACAGAATTTGGCCAAACAACGTCTTCTAGTCATGGAGCAAAGGCTGGATCTCGTCACTAGTCGCTAGTGACCAACCCGAATGTCGAGTTACTAGCCACAATATTGCTGCTTGGCCGACGGCGAATATGGCGTTGTCGAAGATAATCCATCCAACCATCTGATACCAGGAGACCCAGGCAGAAATTCTCAACATATCAAACATATCGTATGGAAAAGGAAGCCGGAAAGTCAACGTTATAGCAACTACAATAAACACGACAGCCTGAGATGCTAGCCCAATGATGCTAAAGGCTTGAGCCGATAGGCGATTCGAGAAAATTTCACGAGCTTGACAGTACACGGCGATGACACCCATAAGCATCACAATCCAATTCAAGAATAAGACATGTAAACCAAGGAATAACGAGAGCTTCCAGCTGTGGTCTGGATCTTCGAGGCCACGGCTAAGTCTGATTGCATTTACGAAAGCCGGAACCAAGGAGATGAGTAGAAAGGCGGCATAGGTGCCGAAGACAAAGCGCTTGCGACCAGGACTACCCTTGGAAGGGAGATATAGGCATTCCAAAAAGCTGATTAAGTTAGTCCATTTTGACCATATGTTTATTCCTCAAAATGATGAAGCTGTCTTACTAGAAAAGAGATAGCAACCAGACCACAGTGACTTGACCCAGATTGATCCAGTCCCCCGTAGTAGGGGGGTCGTGGACAAAAAAGTCTGACCCTTGTGTATTGTTGATCAAAGCGGTAAAAGTAATGGTTAACTGTTCTGTAGCACTGATGAGATTGTAGAAAACATAATAGAGTGAGATTCCGGTCGCATCCTTTCTGATCCACAAATGACGAAGCTGTGGAAGAAAGGATAACAAACTCAATATGGGTAGGAGTCTGGACTTGTCAGTTCAAGTTATGTATCTCATACAAAACAGACATACATTGGGAAGTATTTAGAAAATGAATCTGTCATTGTTGATAACATTGAAGATGTGTGTAGTAGTTTGGTCGGGAAAATGGCCCGCCCCGAAAATGAAGGACAACGGCCAAATGGGGGTGGCTGTACTACGACTACGGCGGACTATACGTACAACCTTACCAAAATTCATTTTTGTAATATAGTATTTTTTATAAAAAATTTTAAGTTTTATTTTTTTACGCGAATTATATAGTCTTTTTTACAGTAAAATACTTCATAATATATATAAATAGCATAAATCCCTGGAAACTGTTCAAAGCAGGATTGTTTAGTCAATCTGATCTCAATGTAGGTTACTTGGAGAGTGGAGTGAGTAGAACAAGGCACTCAGATAATGAGAGGCAAATGTGAATAACTTCACTTGAGTGGAGCCAATATAAATCATGTTAGAGTTATTTCCTTCGCAGTTCATCAGTCGCCTGTCAATCGGTTCGTCAGCTTATATGAAATCAACTTTCAAATAGAACTTATAGAAGTGCAATATTTTAGTACTACTACATCTGCAATTTGTGAATATAGATGGATGCTAGAGAATACTGTTTTGATATTGATTGATAATAATGATTACCAACATGGTTGATTAGACAGTCGACTACTCGCAAGAAAATCCGCTAATCATAATGTTCAGAACGCCTTTAATGCATTAAACAAATCATCCGATGCTTCCATAACACGCAACATCAGAATAATAGCTCATTTCACAGTTTCAAAATAGAATCGCTAGTTCTGGTTGCTCGGGTAGGCAACCTGGTAGGTGGGCGTGAATTCCTCTTTAATCGATCTCAGGCTTACAAAGCGAGACAGCAAGTTTACACTTCCAGCCTTGTCGTTTGTGCCACTCGCACGAGCACCGCCAAACGGCTGCTGTCCTACAACGGCGCCCGTGCTTTTGCAGTTGATATAGAAATTACCAGCTGCATTCCGAAGAGCGTCTTCAGCAAAACGGATAGCGTTACGGTCTTGCGCAAAAACGGAACCCGTTAGTCCATATTCGCTTGTTTTTTCAATGGTTGAGCAGATATCTGCAAAGGCGGATTCAGGAGCATCATCATAAACATGAAGAACCACAACAGGTCCAAAGAGCTCTCGAGAAAGTAAAGGATGGTTAGAGTTCTGTGTTAGGTACACAGTAGGCTGGATAAACCAGCCTTTAGATGAATCATATGTTCCACCAGCTAGAAGTTCAAGTTCAGGGTCTTTTTTGGCTTCTTCAATCACTTTAGTGAGCTTTTTGAAGGACGCCTCGTGGATGACAGGACCACAGAAGTTTGTGAAGTCGGTAGGATCTCCAACCTTGAGCTTCTTCACTTCCTCTACAATCTGGGATGTGAAATCATCCGCAATCGATGATGCGATGTAAGCACGCGAAGTCGCGCTACATTTCTGGCCTTGATATTCAAATGCACCCCGTACAGTCTGGACGACTGCATTCCTCACATCGGCAGTCTTGTGGATCAGATGGAAGTTCTTGCCACCAGTCTCCCCAACAATACGCGGGTAGCTCTTGTATTTGCCTTCTGCGACACCACTGGCAATCTTCCCATATAGAGACCTGAACACCGCCGTGCTTCCAGTGTAATGCAGTGCAGAAAACTCGGGGTGATTGAGAACAGTGCTAGTAACTTCCTCCGCGTCTCCAGGTACAAATTGGATAACGTCTTTAGGGAGACCAGCCTCGATAAGAATTTGGTGGACCAGATGATTAGACGCAATAGCGGATGGTGAAGGTTTCCAAACAACAACATTACCCATCAATGCTGGCGCGCCGGCAAGGTTACCCCCGATCGCAGTAAAGTTAAAAGGACTAATAGCATATACAAAACCTTCTAGTGGGCGGTATTCGAGACGGCTATGGCCAGTTAGCTCAAGCTCCTTAGCAACTACAACCACAACTTACTTCCACACTCCAGAAGCGTGATGGGCGGGTTGTTGCGAATAAACCTCTTCGGCGTATTTCACCCCAAATCTTGTTCGCAATTAGCTTTAAAGCCAGAATGAAAGATCCCAATGACAAGATCCTTACCTAAAGAAATCGCACAGTTCCGCCGCTGAGTCGATCTCGGCCTGCCACGCATTTTTGCCCTGACCAGTCATTGTTAATGCCATGATTTCGTAGCGATACTTGGTTGAAATGAGATCTGCCGCTTTCAGGAAAATGCTTGCTCGATCTGCCCATGGCGTCGCAGCCCAGTCTTTCCGTGCGGCAAGAGCAGACTTGACCGCCGCCTCCACATCAGCTTTGGAAGCATTTGAGTACTGGGCAATGGTTTTGTGTGTCGACGGGTCGTATTGCGATAAAACATTTGACGTATTTATCTAAACCATATTAGATGCTTCGCATGGAATTGATTGCACTTGTAGTCTCACTTCTTTGCCACCAATCAAGAGTGGAATGTTCCTCGCGCCTGACTGTTTCACCTCAGCAAGAGCACTCTCAAGTCCTTTGCGGTCCGGTGTTCCCGGAATATAGTGTTTCTATATAAATATTACTGTTAGAAGTCCTCTAGCCTCCAGAATATAGTTTCACATACGTTAGGCTCATTGTTGATGGTTGGAATTTTGAAGTTGGCATAGCTTCCTATACCCCGCACGGAAGCCCGCGCGCAGACAGGGAGCTTGCGAAGGCCGCTAGATCGGATGGAAAGCGCTGGAGATAGACCCATGGTGTGTCTGACGAATTTTTACAGCTTCGAAGCAATGGAAGAGGAAAGAAAAACCATCACCTTGACCAGGTTGAAGAAGTAGAGAGCGGCAAGCAGTGGCGCCCCATAATAATCGACCGCGCCGGTGACGCAGTGCCGCTGATAAGCTATCACGCTATCCGTTCTGGGCGGAGGCCCACTATAGCTGTCTCTTGGTCCCCATTGGTCAAAAGCATCAGGTACTGGATCCAGGTCACCGGCCCGGTGGCCAATGGCGAATTTTGATTGGCCTCGGCTACCGTCGGTATGTTCTAGTCTCTGATTGGCTATTACTGCCTTTCTATATAGTATTAGCATTGTATGTACAGACTGCATGCTTCCTAGTATCTTTATTTCGGTCTAGGCTATTTCAATCGACCGTCATTAGAAAAAGAGAAGAAGTAGAAGTTTTTTCAAACAATTGCACCACTGTCAGCAAGGAAGCACCACTTCCGGTTTTACGGCCCGGAAAGATTAGCCTTCCGTGACTATCAAAATACCGGCATTCGCCAAGCAAGGGGGTGGACTATGGAAAGAGACTCGGTACATGGGTTCCATGAGAAATGGTAGACGAAAGTAGATGACACAGTCTCAGATCAGAAAATAGGCTTCTGAATATTCGTCTACTAATGCCATGGGAATACAGAGTTCAGGGATATAGCAACACTAATCACCTTTCGTGCCAGGTCTGCAGGTTTGATCTCCTCTAGAACAGCTAGAATGCGAGTATAAATTTGACAAGGAGTTAATTCGGGGAAGTTGTGCTAGTTGTTACCTAATTAGGATCTCCTAACGTTGAATTTTATATCCCATATCGGTTCCCCACGCTGTCAGTCCCATGATCAGTTTATAAACACGCGAGGCACCCACAGTAAGAGTTGTTGGCCTGTTTCCAAAATTTCTGGTTATGCCACGGATTTTTCGACACCTCAAGGCGATACTCGCCATACGGACTGGTTGCTACCACCTGATTGACGGCACTGTTCCGGTGCCACCACATCCGAACGTACCACCGTGCAATGGACCGCCATGTACCACTTCAGGCATTGTACAAAATTGTCTAATTACATTGACAAAGAAGACACCAGCAGAGATTAATACCATTCGAAATTACAGTACGTTGGTTGAGTTAAAATTTTTGTCTCAAATATTAAGAAACGAGCCTCTAGGATACCAAAGGATAGGTGAGTAAATGTGCGACAAACAGAATGGCAGATACAGCCGGTTTCAACACTCTGGATAAACAGTACCCCTTTCAGCTACGCGACTACGGCTTACTGCACTCGGATTGCTACATCAACGGATCGTGGGTACCGTCAGTCTCGGGAAAGCGGTTTACGGTGGAAGATCCTGGCAGTTTGCGCTTGTGGACTTCATGTCCTGACTGCGTACCAGAAGATGTTGACAGGGCTGTACAAACCACATACACTGCCTTTCAATCCTACTCGAAATTTACTCCACGCAAACGGGCCCAATTATTGGCAGAATGGCATAGGCTCATACTAGCAGCACGCGATGACCTAGCCAAAATTTTGGTTTACGAGACAGGGAAACCATTGCACGAGGCATACGGTGAGATTGATTACGGGCTGACTTTCAGCTGGTGGTTTAGCGGCGAAGCAGATCGCATTCAAGGGGTGACAGCATCTAGCTCAACCCAGGATCGCCGGGTAGTTACTATCAAACAGCCCATCGGCGTTGCTGTTGCCCTCGTGCCTTGGAACTTTCCCATCGCTTTAGTCATGCGCAAGGTTAGCGCTGCTTTGGCCGCTGGGTGTACAATGGTCGTCAAACCATCACCAGAAACCCCTGTTACTGCTCTTGTTCTCGCAAACCTCGCTTCTCGAGCCGGATTTCCACCCGGGGCGTTCAACGTGCTGACAACGAGCCTCGAAAATACACCAGCAGTCTCAAAGGCCCTCTGTATTCATCCGCTGGTTAAGAAGGTCACATTTACAGGAAGCAGCAGGGTTGGGAAAATTATTTCTGGCCTATGTTCTGAGAATTTGAAGAAGTCGACACTTGAACTGGGTGGTAACTGTCCTTTTATTGTTTTCGAAGATGCGAATCTTGATCTAGCCGTCGAACAGCTAATGGCGCTGAAATGGCGACATGCTGGTCAGGCATGTGTTGCAGCGAATAGAGTTTTCGTGCAGCGGGGAATTTATGATAAACTTGTATGTCGTGTGGTCCAAAAAACGAAGAATCTCGTCGTGGGACATGGCATGGACCCCAAAACAACTCTGGGTCCAGTAACAGTTGCTCGCAGCCTCGATAAAGTGGAAGAGATTGTGAGAGATGCAATCGCCAAGGGAGCACAACTAGCTTTGGGTAGTGGCCGTAGACTCGAATTTGTTGATGGAAGTTTGAACAAGGGATATTACGTGGCACCCTCAATTCTGATAAACATGAATGATGAGATGTTAATGAGCGCCGAAGAAACCTTTGGTCCTGTCCTAGGAATTTACCCTTTTGATTCAGAGGAGGAGGTCACTCGGCGCGCCAACAATACACCTTCCGGCCTTGCAAGTTATGTTTTCACGGAAAATGTCAGTCGACTCTGGAGAATGTTGGAGAATCTTGAAACAGGCATGATCGGTCTAGTATGTTTTTCTCCTACCTTTCTAAGAACGGCAGAACTTAAACTTGCACTGATTTTCATAAATCCCACTAACAATCTCTATAGAACGCTGGGAACAACTCTGCAGCCGAAGCACCATTCGGTGGAATCAAAGAGAGCGGTTGGGGCAAGGAAAGTGGCAAGGATGTTGCTGTGGATGAGTTTTTAATTTCAAAGACTGGAACGCTCACACTTACGGGCCATTATTGAGTAATTCTAATGAATTTCTCATGTCAACCTTGCAGTAAATAATTGTTTATCTTCTTAGACCTATGCGGTTATGCCCCCCTATTCATACACTTTAGACTTTAGCCATTTATGAAACGTAATTCCCCGTCTGTAGCCTTTAGTAACATGTATCTCTCGGCCGCTCACATGCAAATTCCTATATCAAATTCCTGTATCAATTGACAAACGGGGCATGCCATTGGACATGTTGAGTACGGATTACATTTTTTATTATGAAGCCACCTATAAAGTTCATGTCATACCTAGTACTGCAAGTTAGACCAATTTTCTTTATGAAAAGTATCCTTGTGATATAAACATTTCGAAGATGGCGCCTGGAGCGTGCCGCCAAAGCGGGGACAATGTAGTACGGACAACTTTATTGCATGCCATCAAATGTGGGGAATGTGTGAATATGGTATCGATTTTCCATACTCTTTATCTCTTATTGTTCTTCTTCATGAATAAAAATAAGGATTCCCATTCATGCTGTTGACTGATTTGTTCCAAGATGACATTAGGTATGCCAATAGCCAATAACTTAAAACACAATATGAGAGAGCTGTTGACAGTCGATGCAGTAGACGAGCTAGTTTCGTCAAAAGAAGAAATCCTTGCTCTCCATAGATGTCCCTACGACCAGTTGCCTAATCCAAAGCGAGTCTGGCAAGGTGAACCCAATTCACGAGATGAGGGCCTCGGTCGGTTGGTGATTTTAACACCAGAGATTGTCAAAGCAGCTACAGGAAGCATCAAATCGGGACGTCGTGTCTCTTTAAGCTGGGGGATGGACAAACTTGACATTGCAAATTTTAACCGCCACCCGAGTCAGCATCATGTCGTGCCGTTGATGAACGGCTCTGCTTTTGACGACATCTATATCTTTAACCCTCAGCAGTCCAGCCAATGGGATGGGCTGCGACATTTCAGTGCTCCTTCTATAAATGGTTCCCCTAGGCGAGTGTTCTATGGGGGTGTAGAGTCTTCTGAAATCATGGATAGGAGAAGTACCAGAATTGGACTACAGTATTGGGCGAAGGAAGGCATCTGCGGCCGCGGAGTCTTGCTAGATTACGTGGAGTATGCAGCCAGACGTGAGATCAAATATTCCTTATTCTCAGATCATGCTATTCCATTGTCGATTCTCCAAGATATCGCAAAAGAACAGGGCGTTACCTTTCAATATGGAGACCTGCTTTTCGTCCGCATCGGACTGGTCCAGGAGTGGGATACAAGAATGACGATGAGCGATAAGATTAATTATGCATCCTCAACAAAGCCCTTGCATGCTGGTGTTGAAGGAACAGAAGAAATGCTGCGTTGGATATGGGACACTGGGTTTGCCGCTGTTGCCAGTGATGCCATTTCATTCGAAGTCTTCCCGCCACAGAAATCCTATCCAAGGAAAGATGGAGATTCTGCAGTGGAAGGAGTATTCATGCATGAGGTCATTCTCGCGGGATGGGGAATGCCTATCGGGGAACTATTTGACCTGGAGGGGCTTGCACAGATTTGTAGAGAAGAGAAACGATGGGAGTTTTTTATCGCAAGCGCGCCTCTTAATATGCCAGGAGGTATAAGTACCCCTCCTAATTGCATAGCAATATTTTGAATGGATAAAGTGACATAAAAGAGGCGCTCATAAAAATACACGACGTAAAGGATAGGGAAACAAGAAACAGTTTTTCTTATCACGTTTTTTTTTTTTTGGAAATATTCAACATTTTTTATTATATTGTACAAATACAAATAGAAAGATATCTAGCTTTCGATATTTTGGAAGATTTGAAGAATTTGACTGAACTTCTGTGACAGCCCCCAGAAATGAACTTTCCGCAATAAAGCTTGGGTATGATTGCTAATATGGGCGACAAATTCCCACGAAGTGGTGGCCTCCATACCAGCAATAGTGGCTATTCCGCCATGTCGAATCCAAGCGTCAACAAGTTCGGTTTGCCCTAGGTCTTTGCTGATTCGGTCTAATTTGATGGTTCTGGAGGAACTTGTCCCCGCCACCACCGGTGAATATTTAGCAAAGGCTATAAGAAATATGCAACCCATAAAAACCCGCAATATCTCGCATGGTGCAGAAACCATGTATTCATGAGCAACGCCAATAATCTGTGCGGCGTGCCACACAAGTTTCCGTGTCATGCAAAGGTCCGAATCGAAGCTTAGCCGAAGCTGTCGCTTTGCAGCGTCCACATTTCCTTCACTAGGCGACACGCCCTTCGTAGCAGAAACACGGACGAGGTAGACCACTAGTTCCATCACATTTTCGGCACTGTTAAGGAAGGAATAATGGATAATTAGTTGAGTAATACTGCATCCAGTTAGCTGCCAAGATTATAATACCAAATATATTTGACGATGGTGTGCATACTTGAAGTCAATAATCTCCTTTGTAGATTCGGGGGCTTGAATTTCGGTTACTAGTTTGTCAAATGTTTGGAGTAGTGTGTTCTTGGTGTGGTTCTCAAGTGACATGGGCCGTGGAAGTCCTAAACACCTGAGTATGGACATGCCCTCCATTTGCTTCAGATCCCAGAGTAGTCGGCCTATGATCTGACTGCATAGCCGTTTACCCCATGAAGATAATCCGGGAGGCAACTTCTTCCCAGCCGTGATGACGCGAATAGCGGGCATTAGCGAAGGCCCAGATGCGACCGCTGATAAACGGGAAGAGAGGGTCCTCCATGCCTCCGCCGAAGGAGCCTCCCACAGGGCCTCAATACAGGGCAGCCTAGATGGCAACTCGCCAATATCTACCATACCTCGACGATTGGTCAAGGTGCAAAGGCTACAATCGTATTCAAAGACAGACCAGGCCAGTCGCTGTTCCTGCTCTTGGTCTCTCCATCGGAGCCAGCTTGCCTGTATTTCAGTCATTCCGGCTTGCACCTGCAGATGAGAGCTCCTATCTACTTCGCAGGGGACTTGGGATTGAAATAACCCCAAGCCTCGGAGACTGCCAATGAGAACCCCACGAAAGCGATCGGCGTCCTGATACAACTGCCGGTTTCCAGAACCTAAACAATATATCTGGTAGAGACAGCACGCAGCCAGATAATCCAGGTCACAGTAGCTACTGGCATCAGAAACTCCCTAAAATCATATTCTGTCAGTATGAAGTATTTTCAAAATTGCAGATTCAGGCTGACTAACTAGCCAAATTATCACTGTTTCGCATATTTTGCTAAATACCTCAGCTTTATCAAGCGCATCAGCATCTTCTAAGAGCATCGCCCCGATACATGCCATACTTTCTACGAGAACCGCAGGGCAAGTTGATAGCCTGAAAGTCGGTATATGAATCATAGGAAGAACACTATGAAATCGAGATATGAAGGAATCGATAGCTCTTTGTAGAAGATGCATTGACCGTAGGGTTTCGTAATCATTGGTGTCCTCGTCTAGTTTTGGAACATATTTGTTCGAAAGTAAATTAACAAGGCTTACCGTCAACTTCTGACATCCATTCGAGGTAGTTCTCAGACTTCCATGAAGAAATTCGCGTAAAGATGACAGGCGATACCCCTGGTGAACCTGCTCACGAGTGCTGTCGAATGGCCACTGCTGTGTGTTCGGCTGAGAAGAGCTAGACCTCGGAGCTACGAAGTTAATCGATATATTTTGTGGCCGGGTGTCATTATTCCAAGCTCGTGTGGGTGGCAAGGGAAAACCGTATTCATTGGGACCACATAGGTTCGTCGGTGGTGTTATAATGGGTTCCTTGGAATAGCCAGTGTTCGTAGGCAACAACTGATCTTGGAGCTGAATATCCAACCAGTCTAAGCCACCGTAGCCAAGTGATACATCATTTGTCAGCAAATCAGTAATTTCGCTGCCTATGTAGGGTCCAGAAGTGATATATTGATCACCAATATTCGGCGAAACGGCGTGAGGGTTCAGATCCGGTTCTGTGTCATTGTTCAAAAGGGTAGTCCCAGTGCCTTCTTCCATTGATAGGTCTTCTGAGTTGTCTTGCGGAAAGTTAGTCACATTCATCGATTCTCTGCACAGAAGATAATGATTACTTCGAGCGTTGTCTAATACATCTTCCGAATATTGATGCTGCAGGTTTACATGTTGAGGTGGTTCTGATTCCGGAGTATTCACGGCTGAAAAAGCATTGGTTCGCTGGTATTGGGTGTTATCATGCTTATAAAGACACTTCGACTGCGTCACGATACAGGACTGACAAGGATGGGCTCGATCGCACTTCATTTTCTTGGCGACGCAACGCAAGCAAGATCTCTGGGCACTTCCTTTTCCAGTTATGACTTTTTGGTGGACACTGCGTAAATGCCGCAAGAGAATGTCTTTTCGAAAGAACTTCTTATCACATTCTGTGCAGTTGTATGAAGAGCTGTGATCATTTCTAGATCTATGTGACAAGGCATGGCGTGTAAGATGGCTCGGGCGACTAAATGACATAGGGCATTCATCGCATTGGTGGCTATTCTGCTTTTTCTAAGTATCCCATTTTAGTTCGGTCAAAATATATACGATTAGAACGAGCTGACAGGGCGTTTCCATACATTATATTTCTTGCCATGGTTCTGAGTCAGGAGAAAGGAATCCGCATCAACCATTTCGCATAGATTTCCGATCCTCTGCATTAAAGAAGCATGAGGACCCAACTTTAGAGAAGGGGTCTTGTATTTTTCTTCTCCAGCCTTTCCAGAAACTTTATAGTTCGATTCTGGATGAAAGATATTGGTTTCATGTAGAATGCATCAAGATGCGGGGTTAGATGAGGTTGACTGCAAAGTTTCGAGTCCGATGGGGAAACGCTGGGCGAGAGAGTAACGCGCTAAACCAGTAGGGGAAAGCAATGACCAACTCGGGGTTACTACTTGTGAAAGGAAAATACGTAACATTCTCCAGACAAAAAAATATTAAGCTTTCGTAGCTATCGTTCAGTCGCTACTACCTACTTTACTGATTTGATTTATTAAGGGCAGACATCTGTAGTTGCAAAGATACATATATAAGACAAATAAGATCCGCTTGGACGTATCTACCGCTGCATAGAAGTCAGAGCATCTCCAAGTGAAAGCATTTGTCAGGAGCACCTAATATAGAGTGGAAATAAGCCAATTAGTTGAATAGTCCTAGACCATTCAATCGATTGCTCATGATCCATAGAGTAGAAAAGTGTTCCCTCAGAAGGATTCAAACTGATGAGTTGGGGCTGAGGCCCGAAACTTATCCCCTAACACGATTTAGCGCCGGAGCGTACCACCATCCCCTTCAAACTTCATGGTCTTAGTCTATGTAGACTTTATGAAAAATAGAAAACAAGTGACTTGGCTCCATGCTATTACTACGCTTATTGATTTGAAACTTTCTTAATATAGTTAATAGTTTCGAAGAAAATTCTCGAGCACCTCTCGAGCCATCATTGACGATTTTGTGGAATAAAAATCTTAATGAAAGTATCCGGAAGTTTCCTTGAATGAAGATTAAATACCGAAAAAAGGTGTTAAGATGATCTCCTTTTAGAGAACAATCCTTTCTTATTATCTATTTACGGATATGGAAATGACCCCATTGTTATCTCTATTGAAGGCTGCCTATTTTATCAAAGAGCTTGGTTCAATGAGATTTTTTATCGACTAACTCAAGGTCGTTCGCTCCCTTACAGACATTTGGAAGCCTTGAAATCGGAAATGAGACGACTCTGTGAGATGAACCGGATTTTATTTAATAAGAATATGTGAATTTGTATTACTTATTTTTGTATTATCCTCACTGTAATGAAGAATATCTGTCAACTATTTTTCAACTCCTCATCTTATATTCCTTACTAATTCCGATTCGTAAGTCATATTTTCTCTCAGAGCAACCACAATACAAACTATTAGGTATTGAGGGGGAAAGAAGAAAATGAAGCAGCTCCCGCTTCAAGAGATAGCGAAAGATGCTGCATCAAGGCAAACTGCTCGAATGACTGCTGGGTATACCGTCGATCTCAAACCTGCAAGCATGGAACTGTGGTGAGAACTAATCGGCTTCCCTCGACTGAGGTCAGTGAGTACAGCAAGCACATTTTCCAGGTTACCCATAAACTTGGGAGCTGTGGAAATTGCATAATCAACAATGTTCTCCTCAACTTGGTCGGCCAAACCGGTTCGACGTGAGAAATGGATATAGCCAAAGCCGAAACCCACAATAAGGTGGATGATCTAGAAGAGAAACTGTTTGATACGGTTGAGAATTTCGTGGATGTTCCTGAAGAAAACACAAATGCGCTGCATACCTTTGGAAGACCTCTGCTTCCGCGAGAAATATATCATCGAACGACTAATAGACCACAAAATAACGAGTTAGGGGATTAGGGTTCCTACGACCATAGTTAATGAAATGCATTGAGATGCGATACAATTTGAATGAGGTGTTTAAAGCCGAAGATGATGTTGTGGACTTCATTTGGATGGTAGCAACAGAATATCCAGAAATTATTCTAATATTCAAGGCGAGGAAAAACATCGAGTATCTGCAAAAGCAGAGAGAGGCGGGCAGATGTTTTAGTGAACTGGGAATAACGTATTTAATTGTCGTGTATTAGTCAATTTCAATATTCCATTTTAAGACATACACTTCAAATGTTGTTCTATTGACTTGATTAAAGTGAAAATATCAATATTCTTATTTCTTGATGTCCTATGATCATATGTGTAGAATAGAGAAAGCGGATTTACATGTAGTCAATTTTTGAGTATATATTTCCACAAAAATATCGTTCAGTAATTTACCTCATATAATTGACTTGGGAGGATGTCTAGATATCAGTCTTACAAATGTCAGGTCAGTTACAAGGTACGGCGAAAAGGCACTGGGACGGAAAGAAAGAAAGAAAGACGTGGATAAAAGTTATCTAGGAACTAATGTCACAGGTAAGTTTGAAAGGAGCGTATTTCATCGTGGTTATGGCTGGACGACTTCTTCTATGTGGGTTATATCCTTTTCTCTAAGGAATTCGTCCAACTCCCGACGCTGGTCCTCTGGAAGTCCATGAATTTGGACCGCAACGTCGTCGCCAAATTGAGAGGCGATTTCTTCCAGAGACAGGCGTGCTGTTTCGGGCCAGAAGAAGTAAACAACGGGTATGAAGAAGATGCACCAACATATAATGACTAAGTAGTATTTCCAACCCACATTTTGGATTCCAATGGGCGCTGTTTGTAACAGGACAAGTGTTGCTGCAAATTGTCCAAAGAGAGAAAACCCCATACCAATGCCGCGGATCTCCATTGGAAAAATCTCGCTGATATAGAGATACATTGTTGTATCACAACAAGTTCTATTTATGAAAACCATGTGTAAGTGCTTCAATCACTGAAGATGTTGCAGAGTTTATAGTACTTACCCTTGAAACGCAAGGTAGAGAAAGATGAAGAAAAGGCCGGCTGCGTTTCCAGCCTTGTTGGAAGTTCCAGAATACTGAGCGATGCATCCAGCGAGACCAGAAGTTGTCACTAAACAACCAATGAAGCCGATAATGAACATCCACCGACGAGAGTTCACCTGATCGTGAAGCCAAGCTCCAAAGGGGTTATAGAATAGACCTGTCAAGGTTAAAAATTCAATATGCCTAATAATCATTGTCTGAAATGACTGAACCCACCAGCTGTGGTAAGCCAAAGCGCGGAAAGAAGTAGTGGCATATAGCCTGTCTGACCCAAATTTGTGCACAAAATGACGAAATAATTATTCTGATGTGGTACAAATTAGTTTCGAATGAGCTCATTAATATATAATATTTCCTCGCTACACTGAGCTCAACTCACAATGACAAGAGGCCCACCAAACTCAGCTCCCCACTGAGTCAAAAAGCCGATGATCATTCGTTTTCGGTAGCTGCTCTTCTTGATAACGGCAGTCCACGGGCCGCATCCTGCGGCTTGAAGTTTTGCTTGCTCAAGAGCTAACTGTTGCTTTATTTGGTACATCTCTTCTCTGATGGCGAGATCGTCTGGATCGTCTGGATCTGATCTTACTTTTTTCAACACCGACCAAGCTTCCTCTGGTTTCCCTTGCTGGAGGAGCCAGCGAGATGAGTCTGTAATGAAAATGGACGATAGGAACAATACAAAGGGACCGAAACACTGCATGCTCAAAGGAAATCGCCATGCAAATGAAGGATTTTTCTCCGTTGCAAAGTAGCAAGCAAAGCCAAGCCAAGCACTAAGCATGTACCCAAATACAAGGAAAATAGCATGATGTCCAACTAGGAACCCCCGGTTTTGTGGAGGAGATATTTCAGATAGATACATTGGACATATGGTGACGAGAATTCCGACACCAAGTCCTGCTATAAAGCGGCCAGCTTGAAACATGCTAATTTAGTCAGCTTATATTCAGCTTTTCAAGCAATAGGCGACATACTTTAGGTTGGCAGCTCCAGCCTGTAGAGCCCCTCCCAGCAAAACCAGAAGAGAACCTAGTTGAATATTTCTTTTACGTCCAATAGCACTAGCAGACCACATGATGAAGATACTACCGACGGCACCACCGGCACTGTATAGCCCATTTGCCGTTGCAATTGCATTGGTGGTCGTGGTCCCGTAGCCAGGCTGTCCTTCGCTGGGCAGGTTGAAGAAGGAATACCACCCAGGTTGCCCTATTGTGCTTCCGATAATCGAGGATGAATAGCCATATGTCTGTGGTTATCAGTATAATAATGAGTACTTTCAGGGGGGGCGCAGATATACCAGGGATCCAAAAGACACAGCAATAGTCACCAAATGTTGATGAAAATTTAATCCACCAGATCGCTTTCCTGTTGCCATTGTGATATATACGAAGTTGCTATAATGTTCTCCAAGGAATTGAAGTCTGCATATTAAGCCCAATAGCGCGGTCTTCAAGGGACAAAACAGCTGATCAAAATGCGGAGTATGGCCCACTATTAATTGTGAACTGCTTTTACGATCGACAAAGATTCTTCATACCCCGCATGGAGAAGTCGTTGCGTAAACTCTAGATCTGGAGCGTGCCATCGATTTGCGGCACCGGTAGGAGTGTACCACATGTGCGGAGTCTAGCGGTGGGATCTTATTTGTCAGTCCACATCGCGTACGACGGCGATGGGAGGACCTGGTAGGTAATATCAGCATAAGAGAAAACACATAATGTAGTTCACTAATACAGCGCAGATGAATGGAAGAATCCAATAATTATACCTCGGCAGACTTTGCACCGCTATTTACAACCTGTAAGATATTGTAGTGGGTTTAGAATTTGGCGCGTAAGTACGGTCACAGGAAGAACAGTGTATTTTGGGGGCTTGCTATATTGTGTTAGCTGATGTATCTACTACTTCTAATTGACACTTCAATACACGAATCTAGCCTAGGCATTGCTCGCACATTCATCCATATATAGTTTGGAAGCCCGAACGATAAACAGCACATATTGCGTCTCCAACCTCCTTGGTCGAAGCTGAGCCTCCGAGGTCAGGAGTTCTGATTCCGAGCCCCTGATACTCACTCGAATCTAGGACTACTTGTATAGCATTTTCGAGCCGCGTTGCTTCGTCGGACATTTCGAATGAAAACCTGAGTAGGAGCACTAGGCTTAGAATCTGTCCAACAGGATTGGCAATACCTTTGCCTGAGATATCCGGTGCGCTTCCATGAACGGCTTCATATATCCCTTTGCAGGGACCTTGGCCTGGCACGGAGGAAATACTGGCACTTGGGAGAACACCTAAGGATCCAATAAGTCCCCCTGAGATGTCAGACAGAATGTCACCAAAGGTGTTATCCGTATGGATTATCCCGTTGAATTTGGTGGGCGATTTCACCAACAGCATGGCCATGCTGTCTGCCAGTTGATCCTGCAACTCAAGTTCAGGAAATTCTCGACTGAAAGTTTCATGTGTTATTCTTCGCCAGATACGGCTGCTGGCAAGAACATTGGCCTTGTCTGCATTCCACACAATGTGTTTTTCTCCAGAATGACTGGGTTGCATAGCCAATGCGGCGGAGACACGGGCACAGCGTTCAATTTCTGCCCTTCGATAAACCCAAAGGTCGGAGCCTATTTCCTCCCGTTCATCCTTACTCCCGAAATATGCACCCCCGCAGTTTTCTCGAACAATAATGAAATTGACGCCTGCTACAATCTCGGGCTTTAATGGAGATCGATTAATCAGACTGGTCGCGAAAAACCGACAAGGCCTGATATTGGCAAAAGCGTTAAGGCGCGCCCGAAGTTTTAAAATACCAATTTCTGGCCTCAAGTGACCTGGGAAGTGTTCCCACTCTGGTCCTCCAACAGACCCCAATAGTACCGCGTCACTTGAGGCAGCCTTTTCAAGAGTCTGATCAGAAATGGGGAGGCCATAAGCGTTCAAGCTTGTGCCACCAATCAAACCATATTCTATATCAATTTCTATATCTGGGCGAAATTCTGCGACCACATCTAAGACCTTAATAGCCTCCTTGATAATTTCAGGACCAACGTGATCTCCAGAAAGAACTAAGAGCTTCTTTCGATTTGCCATTGTAGATAATATTTGAAGGACGCTGTGTTATGGAAGGAATAAGGCAAATCTTTAGAGCGTGCAAATACGGACCAGTGAGCTGGTAATTCTGAAGAGTTTGAGTTCATCTCTGAAAGACTGATTCTGGGGTATTTACGGTGGTGGTACTCTCCGGTTGATCTTGATGATTTGTTGACACCAGACCAGAATATCGGTTCGGACAATCTTCGGGGAAGCTAAAGAAGCGAGTTATACTAAAAGTTTCGAATGAATAAGAAATTCTTTTTTTTCTCTCGTTTGAAAGATATTGAAACAGACTAAGGCGAAGCCGCCTGGATTACTAGAAAAAATTCACTCAAATACTCCAATTGTCTAAATTCAATATGCCGGGAAGACTTGCTGGAAAGGTTGCAATTGTGACTGGAGCAGCTTCTGGTTTCGGCAAGGGAATCGCAGCAAAATTCGTTGAAGAAGGTGGAAGGGTAATAATTGCAGATTTGTCAGAAAATGCCGGCCTGAAAGCCGCAGAAGATCTCAAATGTAGCTTCTTTAAGGCTGATGTGACAAAGCGAGATGATTGGCAATCCCTTCTAAACGAGACACTCAACATGTATGGCGGCCTGGATATCGTCGTTAATAATGCCGGGGCCACATACGCCAACAAACCTACCGGCTCAGTGACAGACAAAGATTTTGACCTGGTATGGAACGTTAATGTGAAATCAATCTATCTTTCGTCTAATGTGATTGTACCTTACTTCATCAACAACAATCGACCAGGGGCATTCATTCAGATCAGCTCTACCGCCGCACTACGCCCCCGTCCAGGGCTCACATGGTATAATGCGTCTAAGGGTGCCGTTAGCATTGCGACAAAGACAATGGCAGTTGAGTATGGACCTAATCAGATTCGTTTCAATTCGGTCTGCCCGGTAGTTGGAAGCACAGGCATGTGAGTTTCATCCTCAACATTTCTGAGATCAGCGTGTTTTCTCTCAAGGGTGTAGTTGACTAAGTTTTCCACGCCATAGGACCCATCTTTTTATAGGAAAGCCGGATACAGAGAACAATCGATCATCATTTGTATCTACTATCCCATTAGGTCGACCATCAACGCCTGCTGACGTTGCTAACGCGTGTTGCTACTTGGCCAGTGACGAAGCTTCTTTCATTACTGGAGTGGATCTGGAGGTAAGTAGCTGTGATATTTCGTTTCCTTCGGCTTGGACTCCTAGCGGCCTCTTATGTTGATCCCAGTTGACGTGATTAATATAGGTCGATGGTGGACGCTGCGTGTAAATATCAAGTGGAATGAAGCGCTTCGAGTTGTGTAGCTACCACATTATAATAAAGAAAAAATAGCTTATTTACTAGCTATTTGCATATAGGAAATTATCAGTCTTGTAAAAACTTTCACGTGTTTTCTTTGAGTCGCGTTAATGTGGCCCGCTGTACGTCTTCAAGGCTTCATGTGCTCCCCTGCTAAGGGTTAATTCGCATTTACATAATGAGAGAAAGAACGACCCAGACTCTAATAGTATTATGCAATGTACAATAAAGAATACAGAAACGCTATATGACGTCATAAAAGACTAGTTAGCATTAACTTATCATTAAGACCAAATCAAACGACAAGAAAAAGATAGATTCTAAGAGAATAATATACCAAAAAATGCTTTCCAGAGCTCGTCTCGTTACTCGTCAGGATTCTTGTCATTCGATTCTAGATATGAGGCTCGGAGTCTCATATCCCAAAGGTCTTTCACGAACTTGTCCGCTGGTCGACAGATAAAGCAGAACTCTTTCAAAAGCAGTCTTAGGTCGTCAAATTCTTGCAGGCGCAAGCTCTTGGCAGCGTCTATGGTACCCGAAGCAAACCACTCATGATGCTCACGCCCCTGTTTTTGGGACGCTATTGCTCCGATAAAATATATCCAAAAAAGTAAGTCGGGGGCACTTCTTTGAAGAATAAAGAGTTTTCTTTCCAAACTTGATCTCAGAGCGTCCACAAGCCTTTGTACGCATGGACATCCATCAAGGTTCCATATTCGAATTGAAGAATATGTTAAAAGTGCAAGTCTTAAAGTGTCTTGAAAACCAATAGCTCCAGTTTCATCTAAAAATGACAACAATTGATGACTCCAAAGAATCAAGAAGTCACATTCCATCGGCATTGAAGTCGCGGTCCCTTGAAAAATACCCTCGCAGCGAAAGACTATTAACTTGAAATTTTGAAGAATAAGTTTGAACCCCGGCTGAAGACCTCTGGACCACGAAGATTCTGAGAAGCGCTTTCCGAATCTGCCAAGGTGTTGATTATTATAGCTTTTTTTAAGGGCTTTTGATGCCTCAAGAACCTCATGCTTCCAAATCGTACTTATTGGGAAAAAGGGTAGGCAATTCTTTGATACACAACGCATATATTCAGCACTGCATGCGCAAGGTCAGTGGAAAGTTTTCGGAAACGTTGTATTCAGATTTTGTCTCACCAGTAAATGCCCGAGACAGTCAAGTGATCCAAGTTCTCCAAACCGCCTAGCAGGTAAACAAATTTCCTAAGACCCTCCATGTGCACATCGATGGTCTCCATATTTGCATCAGCTCCCTAGAATAATCAAGTTAGTAACGCTTATTTTAGCTTACAGTGACAAAATAAGGGCAGTCCTTCGATAGGTTAATCAAGATTAACGGTAGTTCTCACCTCTACGCAAATCATATTTATTACGACTAATACTACCATCTCCAGCCCGTATTTAGGCGTCTGGTGTATAAGTTGCTGTAGTGACTGGATTGTCTGTTGCCGAAATTTAAGAGAATGCCAGACAAACTTCTGTGTGGCTTCCGTGGAAGCCGAATCTAGCGTTATACCAGCTCTGTGGAGGGCACAAGTTGCCAATATAATATATACTAAAGCCGGTTGGTCAATTGCCTTCTGCCACCACCACATACCCATCTCGTTGTAGTTGAACGGATAGCATGACTTTGAACATGTGGACTTGTCTGAGTCAAGTATTAACGAGGCACAGAGCGATAATTGCGGCAGATGAGATCAAGGGAACACAAACAAGCCGGCAAAGATAACTTACAATAATTGAAGTAGAAATTCATTTCGCGGGTGACTGGGGTTGGCAAAGAAGAGAATGAATCCAGAAACCCCGGGTCAAAATCTCGGCTTATTGAGGGTACAACCAATGGGTGCCTTAACTCTTGATAATCATGTTCCTCTGCCAACTCAACCGGGTCGGAATGTGCACGAGAGGCCATATTTGTGAGACAGAATGGTTGAATCGACCTGCGTAATTCATATAACTTTTTCTCTCTTTTAAGTCGATGACTATTTCTCTTGATGAAAGCGTGCTTCGCACTGTGCTTGTCGCCTCGAGAGTCTACCCAGAAGACATCTGATGGCGGCATTTTTGAAGCAATTATGGCCTTCATTCAGCAACGGCTAATCACATTCATCTCGTCCCCGATTGATTAGTGATGAGGCGTCATGCTGCTCGTGTGCTATTTTGTGAGATAATCTAACAATGTGCACCATAAGCATGCATCAAATATCGTCAAACTATCAACGTAAAGGTCGTTGGGTTGTCCCAAGGATTTTAGTGAGCCGACTACGCGGATCCAGCTGGGGTGGGTCTACATGAATCGGATTTAGTGCAGCCTGGAATTGGTTTCTCGTTGGTTAGTGTTAATATTCCACCGCCAACACTCGACAATAGTATATCAATAATATCGTGAAATATATATGCCACCTTAAACAGGTAGACAGTTTCTTCCGTTGTATCGAGATACATCGTAGTTATGTTTCCGATCTCTGGACACTCGCGACCTTCGTTCTGGGCTTAAACATTTGTCTTCAGCTATAAAAGCTAGGCCTAATTAGGAGAAGGTAAAGCTGTTGATGATTGGCCATTGAAGATATAATTTGTCATCAGCCTTTTTGGCCAATTAACTATGCAGCCAGAACAACGCTCGGCGCAAGCTTTTTATAGTCTTTGACTTTGTCTTCAAGTAATTAAACTCAGCCCGCGCTACGTATTATTCCTGAGACTATTTGACTCGTCACTTCAACTGTGTAAGTTTGTGTTGGCCGAGGGTTTATCCTTATTGATGAGTAGGGCGGCTTAGTGGTAATATATCAATTTAGAGTTTGTTTTCTATAAGCATAGATCGAGACAAGTAATGAAGTAAAGAAATTGCATTCATTCAGCTAAACTGGTACGACTTCCAAAATACTGTCCTGTAAGCTTTCGGTATACGTATAGATACGATTAATTTTCAAGCCGGCTTTCTGCATAAGTTCGGACCACGCTTCCACTGTGCGTTCTCTGGACGCCAATGCTGACATCATTGTAATATCGATTTGTGTTGCCTGCCAGTGTACTTTAGAATCCGGGAGAACCATGTCATCGATGAGAATCACCGAGTCGGGTCCCAGAGCTGCGATTATGTTCTTAAGAATGGCAACTGCTTTATCATCGGGATAGTCGTGCATAATATTTCGGAAGTAATATATTCGGGCCCCTTACTCTGAGTCAGTAATCTCATTCGTCGACCTACATAAGTTGAGCGTACCTTTGATAGGTTGGGGTTGGTAAAAGTCATAGACTGTAGGTTCCACCCCTTCGTGAACAATGGCATGGGCAATAACCACTTCCATATCTTGAACAATAATCCTATTCTTAATGTCGGGCAGCCGTTTCCGCAGGGCAACGGATTGATGACCAATGCCCCCACCAACATCAACGAATAGGACTTGTTCTGGTTCGAGATTTTGAATCTTCTCTTCAATTGGATAAACATCTAACCATTGGCGCATGTCGCGATGCTGGGCCTCCATGAATCGGTTAAAATGAGCGTGGTTTTCCGGTCGTGAAGGAATCCACAGAAAAGCGGGAAGATTTGTCTTCCACGCTTTTTGTAGCGGTGTGTGTAATGGATTGGTGAAATTTTGATATTTGATTTCAGCTAGAAACTCTGGCAGCTCAAATATAATCGGTGCTATAGTGTCATTGCTGTAACGTTTCATGTTTAGCGTGTGATAAGAGGGGGACGGTGCCAAATAGCAATGCGCAAAGATGGACACGTACTTATGGTAAATAGCGCTCTGGATTCCCGGATCAGACAAGTAAGTCGTAATATTGTTGGCAGTGAATTCATCCTTTCCTGTTTCTTTGATAGTTCCGACTGAAGCCAAGTAGCGAAGAATACGTCCTGGAACCCCATATATTAGCCTTAATGAAAAGAGATCTCTATTTCCTTTCTCAAACTTACCGAGGAGCAATGGGGCGGCACTTGTCTTCGCGGAGAGCTGGTCTAAAGTCAAAGGATCTTTGTTGTCGGTTAGAATATTGAAAAGCTTCAGGTCACAGCCAATTCGGACCAAGATCGGTTGAAGGTGCTAAATTCGTATTAAGAACTTTGATCAGTCAGTCAAAAATCGAGGTGCACATACTAGATATGATATCCGTTGCATAGCATCTTGAGGTGTCTCGAGGGATATGCTGAGGTCGCGCAGACGATCCAAAATATCTTTCCGACTCTTGTCATCTGCATTCTTGGCCAGTGATTGAACCTTTTCAACGATCGCATCCATCTTTTGACGCTTTGATAGAGCTGTAAGGAGAATTTATTGTCGAGGGCTTGATCAAAGAGTTTGAAGTGAAATTTGGTCGATGAGGACGAAGCTTCTCTCATCTTGAAGAAATGGACGTCTCTTATAGAGCTTCAAACTAATCCAAATATGATAGTAGAGAACAAATCAGAGTCATGTTTACTATTTCCTTTTTTGGATTTCTAAAGTTCGGAAAGAATGGGCCACATTATTACAAATATGAAATACCATCAGGCGCTAAATAGGGCTGAACCTTGCTGATGTGGTGTCACTGTCCGCGTAAATTATAGTGATGCGACTTATAACTACTAAGAAGCCACTAGCCGTATGAGGTAGTTTTTTCATCGGAGCTTTATTTGGTTGGGTCTTTTAAGAGCCCCTGCTACAAGGCTGATACTTGTGTATTGACTTTAGTCTTTACAGTATTTCTTCCGTATCGTGTAAGTGTCTTAACCTAATAGTCTCGTGATTTCTGTTTATTGCAGAATAAGGATAGCTCTAAGAGGCGATATATTAATGTTATTTCAGTATGACAGATGTTTCTTAGTACTGGGGTTTCAGTTATTTCAGTTAATTGGCTTTAAATCTATCATATAATCACCAGCTCTTATGGTGGCAGAAGGTCACAGAACTTTCTAAGGGCCATGTAGCAAACACTGAAGTCATGAACAGAATTTTCCTATGTGAGATAAAGTTTTGTAAGAACAAATCAATATATCCGGGCGAATATACAAAAATCCATTCAAATTTTTTCTTTGTCCGATGAGGCTAGGACATTACGACTATCTGTGGAAGGTATATGACCCAAATTTATTCATGGTAAGATTGATCCCAAAGGGTCTGCACCGAAACACCCTCCACGGATTTCCCATCCATCTCCGTAAAACCAATCGCTTTCGGTTTCCCAGGTATAAGCAAGAAAGAATTCTCATCAAAGTAACCAGCGAACCCGGCAGGGTAATCAAGCCAGGTATACAGTGCGACACCCTTGGTCGCCTCGAGGACATATTTCTTATTTGTATTGTCATAGCTGGATTTGAGGACTGGGTTAACAAGCTTTGCTTCATTCAGATAGACTGGGGTGAAAAAGTTCTCGTGTGTAAATTGGACTTCGGTGTCATTGTTTGGTAGATGGCCGGAAGCCTCTAGGGAAAGCACAAGGATGGCATCTTTCAGATCTGGGATGGAGAGGTCTTTGATGTTGGTACTGATTATGTCGGTGATATTGAGTGGTCCAACATGGAATGGGACGGAAGAAGGTGTCTTTGCATTGTTGCTTAGTAGCTCGCCTTTCAGGTTGTACCATGTCAGATTCACCGTTCCTGAGATGGACTCCCATAAGTCGGATATCACGGTGACATTCAAATCGCCGGTCGAGGAGTTCCAGTACGGGGCAACGATAACGGGTTTGTAGATGTCCCTGGCGACATAGTGCAGCACCTTCCAGCGGCCATCGTATTCAATCCCTGCCCATGATGGTGCCTGCCAGATATCCTCCAATTGCCAATACAGCGACCCGAGCTGACGCTCAGGACGTCCACTTCCACGCCGGTAGAATTGAATTTCGGACTTGTACATGTCGGCTTGAAAGCGCTGGGTGGCGAGACACCAGACACTAAAGTTCGCAACGCTATCTGGCCGCGACGGTATTGGGTAGTACCGTTCTACTGCAGTAGTCATCTCGCCCATACCTTTCGCGCTGTTTGTGGTGTTTGTTGATAGACCACCTGGTGGGTAATGATGGTTCCGAAGCAATATAACGTTATTGTTGAATTGCAGGTTTTCATCAGCCACGGCCTGTTGCCAGGTCTGAACACTGGGCATGCTGTGAAAGCCAAACTCATTGGCAAATCGATTCACGGGGTAATTGCTCAGGTTAAAGGCCTGGCTGCTATCGTAATTGTAGTAGTCACTATCGCCATAGTAGCTACCGGAAGTTATGTTAAGATAGCGCTCCACCATGGGGACAGGAAGAGAAAAGTCAATTTTGGTGTATCCATTCCCGGTTGATGTGGGAGTGTAACTGATTGAACGGCTGTTTTCATACACTATCGGCAGTATCAAGCTGATGAATAGCTTTTCATACTCACCAACATATTTAGCATAGCCATCCGGGTCGCTTTCGGCGGCTAGTGGCAGCTCCAAGCTTTCCAGCTCGTTTCCGCCGGCCCAAAGTGCCAGCGATGGGTGATGGTTTAGTCGGCGAACTTGGTACGTAATTTCAGCAGCCACATTGTCCAGGAAATCTTTATTCACTGGATAGAGAGCATCACTGAATTCGAACTCGCTCCACAGAAGCACACCACGTTCATCCGCGATGTCATAAATGAAGTCTGGGAGATAGGCTCCTGAAGACCAGACTCTCAGCATGTTCTGGTTTCCATTAACAATAGAATCAAATAATTTGTTCATGCGATCTTCAGTGACACGTGGCCAAAATGCATCTGGTGGGATAAAATTCGAACCCTTCGCGTAGAATTCATGGCCATTGACCTCAAAATGCCAGTTCGCACCGGGTGCGATTCCCTGTGCTAGTTGGGCATCAGTGATGTTGGTTTGATTGAGTATTATTGTGCGGAAACCGGATCTTTTGGTAACCGTTGCTAAGGTCTTGTTGTTGATGTCGACAATATTCACTGTGATATAGTAGAGGTTCTGCTCCCCTAAGCCCGTGGGCCACCATATCTTAGGGGCATCCGCATCGACAGTGGTGATTCCTGTAATAGTATTTCCGTTGGCGGTGATACCACTTAGCGACCCCGACGCAATGATTGACTTATTTTGTGAATCTTTGATGTCCATGGTCAAGGATGAGCCCTTGGGAAGGGTTCCTAAATAGTCAATGCTTGCGTTGACCACCCACGGCTTGGTCTGATCGGCTTGCAAGTGATTGATTTGTCCTTCACGATGAATATCAATGTCGGTATTGAGCACATAAACGCCATCTTTCGGTTTAAATTGCACCAAGTATGCCGGCTGCCAAGGTCCGGCTGGGGCAAAAGCAGGGCCCCAGTCCCAGCCAAAGTCGGATTGTTCCTTACGAATAAACCATCGGTTATCAAACTCGAATAGTCCCTGAACACCATCAGGCCATGCTATAGCGAGGTTAGAGAGGTCCAAGCCGAGTAGAGGCTCTGTTACTTACTTTCTTGGCCAGGCTCGCTGGCTATCGAATTTGCGGTAGCTGGAGCACTGGAAAAGTTGATAATAACTACGGGGTCGTTTATGCATGCCTGCAAAGCCTCTGTGATGTCGAATTGCCATTGGCGGAATTGATTGTTCGCCGTTCCGACAACTTGATCACACAATTGAACTGTCGCGAAGGTGTCCAAACCGTCGAATACAAGCCAACTACTTTCCGAATGATTTAGTCTGTAGTTCTTTGTTAGCAGAAATTTAGCTTGCTACGCGGTGTGCACCTACAGCCCCCTGATAGGCTTGCTGGTGTACGTCCAGTTCGACCAAGCTACCCAGCGAAGGTCAATCTCGTTCGTATCATTGTACCTAGACAATTGTTATTACAGTGCCACGATAATTATACGTCTGATTCGCTTACGGATCCGCTGAAATCGCCTGTTAGTATATGATGATAAGTCACAGAAATTCGAAGAGAGACCACTTACGGATCACTCCCGCGGCATGCAAATCCAAATGTACAAGCGACGGAAAAGAACCTGGCACTGTAACATTCCCCTGTGTATTTGTCAAAGTCCATCCCGTTCCGCTGAGGTCGACGACATTTTGTGCCGAAGTCAGCTGCAGAAGCCCTCCAGCAAGCAGCAATCCAGCGAGGAACATACTGTCACAGTTTCCTCAAATTAGACTTGACTTCATAGCAAAGTACTATTATTGCGTCGGCACGCAATCGGTACTATTTAAACAAAACATTGACGCTTGGCATACTGCTGTCCAATTGCATGTTGTGACTAAAAGCAGTAAATGATCGGCGTTGTCTTGGATCTGCAGCTGGCTGTACCAATGCCAGCGAGGCACTTTGTTGGAACATGGAGATGTGTGTATATTCGGCTATGTATGTACCCTCTTTTACCGAAGGAAGCTGGGAAGTTTGTTCAACCTTGTTGACTGTGGAGAAAACGCATCCCTATTGCACTGCCAGAATGACATCAGTCTCACCCCGGCTATTTAGTGTGATCAAGCAGTGTGAAGCACTGTGCGGGGGACAAAACATGACCAATAATTGTGAATACTATTATTGACTAGAAAATTAGCCATTTACTAGGGAAAATCCATACCTAAATCTTCAATTACCCGGTCTGATGATCTGCAGCACGCAGAAACTCAATGGAACACGACAAACAATACTTGTTGCCATTGGCCGTCACTTCATTGATGTCGCGATAACCCGATACCGGAAGTGATGTAATATCCAATTTAAGAATCTGGTCACATAGAGCCTGTTGAGTTAGGTTTGTCGTGTTTTATGTTTTTCTCAATGGTGCATGTAGCATACAACCTGGCATAGACAATGAACTAGCAGTTGACACCTGACTGGCTCATTGGCTTGTTTGTTTGGTTCGGTACGGCGTACAGCATTGATAATTCTTTAAGCCGCAATGCGAAATCAGATTAAAGAGCAATTTCCAAGTTGCATAATAGATGCAACTCGTTTATTCCATTAAATCATCATAGATTGATTTAAGGTTCCTTTGTTGACGCACATCTCTGCCCGAGGGCCTAACAACCACGGCAAGTACATCGTCGTCTTAGCAGAAGCAATCTTCTTAGTTTTTTGCTAGAAAGTTAGCCTCACAATATTCAAATATTCCTATGTACTCTATACTTCATATTTAGTGTTATCTTTGAACTTTCTAGAATGTTTTTGTGGCACTTATCCCCAGTTGCATCAATTCAATGTTGACATAGGAACTTCCACATTTGAAATGTTTTCTGACGAAATATATATTGGGTTTTAGCGCCGGCTGGTGCTCGGGTGACCATCTGATCCTTTAACTACATGTACAAATGTTTGTAACCAAACAGCAGCATAAAAAAAAAGCCGATAATACATGTATACTAGATGTATTGTTTTGGAAATATTTGTTTCTTGCATATATATATGTAAAGGTGATGTTTTCGGCTGACGTTTCAAATGTCCTGATGTACGTGTAGGTCGGTATAACCACCAGCCATCACACGTACAGTCAGTGCTCTTTTCCCCCTCGTATATGCAGTTGTGAAAAATGAAGAGCATAATATTTCTATGGAAATTTTTAATAATTCAATTGGAGTGTTGAAACCACTCAATGGATAATATTTCACTCGTCGAGCATGAATGTCCGTCGCACAAACCAAGTCTAAACACAACGAATCATCACGTTCATCCTCTGCAATTCGCAATTAAAGAATTCCCAGCTTTCTTCAAATGTTGTTTAAAATACAATCGAACGATAAGGGATGGGAAATGACTACGACCAAATGCTTACTTAACTAAAGGACGCCAGCACTCTTCGCGCTATGCTTGTTGAAACAATAGAAATTTTATTTCCCTCTGGAGGAATTATCCCATTGTAGTTTCGCAGGTCTTTATATACAGCTAGGACATAACATAGGAAAGTATTCGGAAGTCTAGGGTTACATAATTTTGGGGTTTATTTCTTTTCTTCTGGTTTCTCTTCCGGCTTGGGGGTAGGTAGTTTGAACTGAATCGCGCAGATGTCAATAAAAAATCGCATAGCATTGATATTATGAGACTTACCGAGTCCGGTTTGCGATCAGTACCGCTTCCAACCTGCTCCCAGCTGGCAGAACCTCCCTCGAAGTTGCGGAAAGCCTGAGTAAGTTCGAGAGGCTCATACACAATGCGCTTCTTCTCCTCATCGTAGCGAACCTCGGTGTAACCAGTCAAAGGGAAATCTTTGCGCAGAGGATGACCATCGAATCCGTAATCGGTCATGATACGACGAAGATCGGGGTGACCGGTAAAGAAGACGCCAAACATGTCGTAGACTTCGCGCTCATACCACATAGCACCTTCAAAGAGACCGGTCACACTGGGAACGGGTTGAGCCTCATCGGCATATGTCTTGACGCGAATGCGAGAGTTGTGTCGGACACTAAGCATGTTGTACACAACCTCAAATCGCTGGTCCCGGGTTGGGTAGTCGACGGCCGTGATGTCGGAAATTTGAGTGTATTCGGCGGCAGTGTGGTATTTAAGGAAGGTCATGAGCGGCAGGAGACCCGATGGCGCGACAAAAATAGTCAACTCGTCTTTCCACACGGAGAACTGCTGTACATATTTGGGCAAGCAGGACATGACATATTGGCCATATTTGTGCAAGCCGTCTGCCTTGTCGTGATACTTGTCGGCTGGGTTGATTAGGGGGGCTCGGAGCTCTCCCTGGGCTAGAATTCAAATATTGGTTAGTCATTGAGACATGAAATATATCCAAGGGCACAGCGGATTTGCCTGCGGTAACGTACGAGGACGAGTAGCATTTCTCATATTGGGGACAGGATCCTCCTCAGCAACTCGCTGGAAACGGGTCGAGGAGAAGGCGCGGACGCATACCGCCGGCCTGGAAGCCGATCCCAGGGAGCGGCTGCTCCCAAGGCGCAGTAGAGAGCGTGTAGCCGCCATCGTCAGGACGCAATTGGAGACGGGGTGTCGTGGGAGGGAGCCGTGATGGGCCGCCGGTGGTGAAGTTAGTTGCTGCAGGGCCGGTGCACGTGATCAGTTATATAAGCAGTGTTTCACGTGACTGTCCCGCGCGGCAACAACGACGGCCAACCAATCAACGGCGCGTCCGTAGCAGGCAGGCCAGCGCGGCAGCCAAGGTTCTTCTCCATTCTCTTCCTCTGGTCCCTTCGACAAACACCTGAACCGTCCTCACCAGCCCTTTTGCCTCTCGCGCGGAGACATTTTTTCTTTGCTGTTGATATTTTATTCCTGTTCTCACCCCCCCGTTTTTTCTCTTCTGCATCCTTTTTCTCCTCTAAATACCCTTTGAGCGCGTGTACACGCCTTCACGTCTTTACGGGGAGTTATCTTTTCATCGTTGCACACATCCTCGACCACCATGTCGAATCGCAATCAGATCGATTCAGTCATCGATGATGACGAAGAAACTTGGTAAGTGATACATTGTAGCCATCCGCCGCAGACGAAATTTGCATAAACTGACGCTTCGGTCTGACGTAGTCCACTCTGTATCGAAGAGTTCGATCTGTCAGACAAAAATTTCAGGCCCTGCCCTTGCGGATACCAGGTGAGTCCTCCTTCATTCGCACAACTCGCACATTCTGATCTCATTCCTTTGACGATATACGTGCTTCGAATCGTTGTCTAACAAACCCGTAGATCTGCCAGTTTTGCTACAACAATATCAAAACTCACAACGAGGAAGGTCGATGTCCGAACTGTAGACGGGTCTACGACGAAAGTACTATTCAGTACAAGGTACCTGATGCAGATGAGTATGTTTCCCCTACGTCGTAAAATACGCCACAGTACTAAAGTGTTTTGCGTCACAGGTTCAAAGCAGATCTGGCGTTGAAGCACCGAAAGGCGGCAGCCGCAAAGAAGAAAGAAGTTGAAAAGCGGGAAATCGAAGCCTCCAGTCGAAAGAATCTGGATGGAGTGCGAGTCGTGCAGAAAAACCTAGTCTACGTGATTGGTTTGAATCCTACGATACGCGATGAAGGCCAGCTTTTGCAGACGCTGCGGGGCCCAGATTACTTTGGCCAATATGGTGAGATAGACAAGATTGTTGTCAGCAAAGCAAAGCCGGGTGGCAACCCGAACCAAGGTATCGGCGTCTACGTGACATTCGCTCGCAAGATCGATGCAGCTACCTGTATTGCCGCTGTCGACGGATCTCAAAATGGGGATCGACTTCTTAGGTACGTCCACTTTCTTTTCGACTTTTTTATGATGTCGCTCACCTCTACTTTGCAGGGCGCAGTATGGCACAACCAAGTACTGTTCGTCTTTCCTTCGCAACGAGCAATGCAATAACCGCAACTGTACATTTTTGCATGAAACCGGAGAAGACAGTGAGAGCTACAGCAGACAAGATTTGTCCTCCATGAACACTGCTCAGAGGCATGGTTATCACACTGGAGCGGCAGTAGGAAGTCGGCCTTTCGCTCAGAATCTACAGTCTCACCAAATGCGACGTCAAACTAGTAAAGATGACGTCTCCAAGCAAATACTAGACGGCCCTGCCCTCCCCTCCTCTGCAAGTTGGGCGAACAAAGATACCCCCATCAACCGTGCTAGACGTGTTAGTGCCAGTGGCAGCAGGTCTTCACCGAGTCCTATACCCACAAACGTCACAATTCTTGCGAAGAGTGAAGAATCGAAGAAACAGACTGGTTCTGGCTTCGATTCCCGACGATCTACCCCTGCACCACAAACACAACCTGCGGCCCAGCCAACGCAGTCGCAAGCGCAAGAACCACCATCTAAAGATGTGGTCCTCGACTCTCTTCTAAAGGCCGTGAACTCTCCCGATTTCCGCTTTGTTTTCTCCACCGAGGGCTTGTCCAGTGAAGATATCAAATACATTGAGAACGGGCCTTCATTCATTGACCCATATGGCGGAGTGAAGCGTAGGGCAATGCGCGAGAAAGCAGAACAAGAGCGTGCAAAACAAGAGGTCGAGGCCCAGTCGCTATTACAATCGACTGTGCCCGATGAAGAAGCTAGAGAGAGCGGTAGCTTGCAGTTGGGAGGTGAGCCCGATGACGCACATCCTCCAAGAGGCACTGGTACACACAGCCGAGAAAACCATGGCGCTATTCAACCTCCCTCTCAGCAAGGTACTGCCGATAACTCAACTGTGGGATCCCCTTTGTCACTGAGCCAACAGTTCCACAACTTAAACATGAATACGAGGAGCTTGACTCCACTCCAGCAACAGCAACTCATGTTACTCAAATCTTCAAATGATCAACAAGTCGGTGTAATTGACCATCTTGGGTCTGCCTTTGACCAGGGGCCTCAGAGCCGCCAAGGCCTTTTCCAAGGCACAATGCCTCAGGGCGGGGTGGGTGGACACGCTCGCCAAACTTCCCGCTTTTCGTTTGCTAACGACTCTGCAAAGAACGTATCAACTTCAAGGACCCTTGGCCAGCAAGCACCGCTTACACCTAACCCGCTTGGTACACCTGCTCCTCAACAGAATGTGTCGAACCAATTCTATACAAGCAGTGTGCAGGGTCCGCCTCCCGGTCTAAAGACCGCTGGCACACCACCAATCAGCGGGGGTGGGATGTTTGCTCAAGGTCACGGCTTCACCTCTAACACAAGTCTCGGCCTAGGCACCAATGTCGGCAAGCAGGAGGCAAGCCCCGATTTGATGCGCGAGTTGCTGCGAGGTCGCAGTGGAACTGGTGGAACAGGTGGTGTACAGGGTCACGAAGCTGCTAAGCGTGAGTTCATGTTTCCCTTCATTCAACAACACAATACCCCCCTCCCCTGGCTCCCGCTACTGGCCTTCTTAACGCCTTCTATGGTTCCCAAGCCGGCATTTTTGCCGACTCAGGGCCACAGAAGCAGAAGAAGAAGGGGAAGAAGCACAGACACGCTAACACTTCCTCCGGTGGAGGCGGTGTAGTTGATCTTGCGGACCCGAGCATACTGCAGGCGAGAATGCACCAGGCTGGTGTTGGTACGACTGGGCAAGTGCTGTACGGAAGTCAGGGGCAAGGTGGGTACAACCCCTCTATGATGTATGGTACTGGATTTAGCCGGTGGTGATTGTCGCGATCCCGTGTTTGAGTCGATTTTCGGGGGCTGCCATCGATCTCGTTTATCCCTTTTCAATCCTAACCATTTGCATGGTGTTTCATATGGAAAAGAGACAAAACATTCCCTTTGCATGATTTCCCCTTCTTTTTATCTCTTTTCATGACATGAATTCTCTTGAGATGTCTTTCTGGTACGCAGTGATCCTTGATATTTGCAGTGGCAACCCTTTCGGCTTGCGATTGTTTTTTGTTTTACATGTATTTCAACCCCCCTTTCTTTATTGCAGCGAGCATTTGGCAAATGGCCCTTGAAAGGTGGGCCTATGTGTGCCTTTGGCGTTTTATTTGTGGGATTCCCAACTGTCACATTTTGAAATGTGGTGTTGGATTTGGCGTCACTGCATTCTCACTGGCGATCTCTGTGTTCTGGGTTTCTGTTCCTCCAGCCAGCGTTGTTGAGCAGGCTCTTTTCTTTCTCAACATTCGGCCATCTCGACGTTTCCCTCATCGGAAATATCATGTACGTTAATCCTCCCTGCCCTGTCCTCTACTCATGGCAGGATCAATATGTTGAAACAAGTTCTCACAAATAATGTCCTTAGACATTATCCTGTCAGTCCCTGGTCGAGTGCCTGATTAAGATTGCCAAGATACTCTTGTAAATACAATGCCCTTGTACCGTATATTGTGACAGCGATTTCTCTTTTTGTCCAGTCTAGAGTCGATGGCAGCCGTTATACCCATTCATTTTTTGTTTTGTTTTACGTCATCACCTTCAACGAGCATTGCTTTTCGAGGACTTACTGACAAAGAATCTATTCATAGTTGACGATGATGAATTTCCACCTCTTAGTGCTAGCACAAAGGAGAAGACGGAATTTCCGTTTCGTCCCTTCTTGCCTAGAGACCCGCCAGATCTCTCTACTCGTTCTGGGACGCCGACTTTACCACCTGGATTACCACTCCCCCAAGGCCATCCAGCTGCCGCTCTTTTTCTGGGCGAGTCAACCCCACAGAGCCCGGCATCGTCAATTAACCTTCCAACACATCCTCCAGGGCTGCCAAGTTCGCGCCACGGCACCCCATTTCAAAAATCTTTGGATAGTATATCTAGGCGCCAAACCCCAATGGTGCGAGATGCATCTGATGAGAATTCATCAGAAAAGACTCGAAACTTTGGTGATATCTCGTTCGGCTCTCCAAAAGAAAGGTCATCCAAGAAGACCAGTGTCATAACCAACGAAGACAGAACTGCAGTTGATACTGATGAGGTTTCACATAATGACTCAGTCAAAGAAATGCAAAAACGAACGAAACCCGTCAAGCTAGATTTGTCCATACCCTCCACGGAGTCAATTCCTCCATCACCTGTCAAAGATATGGTTTCTTCTATCGTTGGTGCTCCGGGCGTACTCTCTCATTCAGCCGCTGGAGGTTCGCGCCCTGGCACGCCTATGACAGGGCTTTCTCGGAACTCAGACTCCTCTGGAAGTCGTCAGCCACGGGTACTTCGAGTTGTGGATACTCCCAAGACAGAGACGCCACCACCTGTGTCTGCTTCTCAAGTTGCTCCAACCCTGCCTTCAATGGCTCAAACAAGAGTTCTTTCAAGGCAACCGAGCTTGTCATCATCTGGGAGACCTACAACCCCTGCCGATTTTGGATCTGATTATGAGCAAACGACCTCAGCCTCGGTTTCTCGCGCAGACTCTCCTCCTCCTAGAATCGGTACTGCACCTGTTCGTGCTATGACTAAAAATCAAGCAAAGAAGGAACGCAGACTCAAAGCTAAACAGGCCGAGGAGGCGCTTAAGGAAGAGACCGCTACCACAACGACTGAAGAAACTGTGCAAGCACCTATTATTGGCCGCAAACGCAAGACGAAGAAGACACCTACTACTTCCTCCGAACAATCCATACCTGCCACAACCGTGGATCCTCCTAAGAACGATATTCAGGGCATAGAGGTTTCTGCTGTCCATGTGGACGATGTTAAATCGCACGTGGACCGCGAGAATACCAAAAACAAGGAAGAAGACACGCCTAGAAGCGGGAGACAAGCCCCAATTACAACTAATATCCATAAACCCGTACCTGAACATTGGCGGGCTAAAAATACGATCTCGCAATTATTCGAGGATGTTGAGGCGAGTGGCGTCTCTCTGAAGGATCTATACCAGGAGCGAAGCCTGCCATTGCATCTTTTGCTCGCACAACTTCATGAAGACGGCGTAATTGACCTCAACACACACCCTCTTTTCAACCCACCACCTCTCAACCAGCGTACAGATATGAAGTGTACAGCCGAAGATTACTTCCGTTTGCAAGAGTCGGTTGAACTTGCGAAGGAGGACTTATTTAAAGCAGTTAAGGAGGTCAAGCCAATACGAATCAACAATGGCTTCAAGGATTTGAAAGATCGCTGCATAATAACTCCTAATGGTCGGGTACTGCGTCATCTCTCTGCCGAAGAAGAAGATCGCGTGTTGGAGTTGGAGCGTCGTGTAGATATATTCACTTGCCGTGAGGAACCGCCTCTTTATTTGGGGGAGCGGGATCGTTGGGACGCAAGCTGCGGCCTAAACATTCTCTGTGAACATCCGGAAAAATTCAAGGTTCGCTGGTTGAATGAAACACCAAGCCTTCCTACACCCCCACCTGTGGTTACCAACGAGGACCGCCCACCAGCAGAGTCGGGCAGTGGACGTCAACCTATCACTATTAAACCAGCTGCTGAATTAGAAACAAGCCGTCCTCGCAACACACACAAGGCGGATGCTGCCAATGTCTCAACACACGATTCTGAGACCGAATCCGTGGTCAGACCTGCTACGATCGACCCTGATAAGCAGGCACTGGAAACCGGGAGAGTGGCATTCGGAGAGATTGGGGAAATTGACAACATCCCTGCCCTCAACACTACGGAGCTTCGCGAATATATCACACAATCACAGAAGGAGTACGAGCTCTCTCGCAAGGATTTTGAAGCCATTGATAAGAAGTTTAACGCTCTTATTAAACGCAACAAAAAGCTTGTTCAGCAAGCCTTGGGAGCTGCGATTGAGGTTGGGAAATAAGTCATAGTGATGTCGATTCCGCTCTTGTTACCAGTATGGATCATACCCGTGGCCTGTATGTATTATTATATTATTACGATTATGATTATTGTTACTATCACAGTCGTACCACCGTAGCCTCTTTTAAGTCTCGGATTTGTCCGTCAAGCGTATTAAGGCAGTATACTCTTCTGGATATGTCAATTTTAGCAAGATGATTGCTTCTATTATTTTGTTTTATGTATTATTCCTCGTTGAAATAAATTATCACTACTATTAATCTTCGTCACTGCGGAGAACGTGAATTCTTTGATGGTGTTTTGTAGCCAGCGGCAAGCGTCGGCGCGGCACCTCCTGCGGCGCCGATTGTAGCCGGTCCGCTGCTACTGCCCGCAACTGATAGCATCTAGTACGATTCCACTTCCCTCTCAAACTCTCTGTTTCTGATTTTCAATTGAATCACTTTACGAAGGAATGGTATAATACAACAACAGATAAAACATGGCTTCGTCGCTAGCCGGTCGGTGTATCGCCCGTTCTGCCCGTCGCCACTCGAGCGTCAAGGTTTCCAATGTAAGATGGAGCAGCTCTATCTCGCAGCGACCTGGGTCGGATCAGTGAGTCAATACTATCAATATCCAACACAGGGACAACTCCATGCTAATTCCTGCTTCAAAGTGTACGATTTCCTGGTGCTGTCAACAATAAATTTACCTCCGATATGTCGTTCTCCCGACCGTCGACTCTCCCTGCAATGGCTACATACCGCGTGATGGATTCAGATGGCGTTATTGTGGACAAAGCACACGAACCGACAGATGTCTCCAACGAGGAGATTCTGACATGGTATAAGAACATGTTAACAGGTAGGCAGCGACTGTTGGATCGCGGGGTATAGTCTTTCAACGCTGATTTTCGGCATAGTCAACATCATGGATATCATTATGTTTGAGGCTCAGCGGCAAGGTCGCCTAAGCTTTTATATGGTACGGGACTATACGTTTCCATTTAATTTCTTCCATTCTCTTGCTGATTGTGATCTGTATTGCGAGGATATAGGTTTCCGCTGGTGAGGAAGGCATCGCTGTCGGGTCTGCTTCTGCATTAACTGAGCACGACGTAATATACTGTCAATATCGAGAAGCAGGAGTATTCCAACAGCGTGGATTCACACTCAAGCAGTTTATGAGTCAGCTATTTTCCAATAAAAACGACTCTGGCCACGGGCGAAATATGCCTGTGCATTACGGCCTTCAACACCCTCGAATCGTAAGTTAGCTGCGGATAGAATGCACGACAGATATGAAACTGACGAGATTGTATAGTTCACAATTTCTTCTCCATTAGCAACACAAATCCCACAAGCAACTGGATCTGCATATGCCCTAAAAGTCCAGGCTCTCCAAAATCCAAATCATCCATCTCGCGTCGTTGCCTGCTACTTTGGCGAAGGTGCAGCTAGTGAAGGCGACTTTCATGCCGCGTTAAATATGGCGGCAACCCGATCTTGCCCTATTGTGTTTGTCTGCCGAAATAACGGGTTTGCAATTTCCACGCCAACTCTGGAGCAATACCGTGGCGATGGTATCGCTAGTCGAGGTGTTGGGTATGGTATCGATACAATCCGCGTAGACGGAAATGATATTTTTGCTATGCGTGAGGCTACCAAGGAAGCCCGACGCATGGCTCTTAAAGATGGGGGTCGCCCTGTTCTTATTGAGGCTATGAGCTACCGAGTGTCACATCATAGTACTAGCGATGACAGTTTCGCGTACCGCGCCAGGGTTGAAGTAGAGGACTGGAAACGTCGCGACAACCCCATCATCCGTCTCCGCAAATGGCTCGAAAATAAAGGCCTGTGGAACGAAGAACTAGAGCAACAGACACGGAAGGATCTCCGTGCAGATATCTTGAAGGAATTCAATGCAGCCGAACGCGAGAAGAAGCCTGCTTTGAAGGAAATGTTTACAGATGTTTATGAAACCTTGACAGAAGAGCAAGAAGCTCAACGCGAAGAACTAAGGAAGCACCTGCAGAAATATCCAGAAGAATATAACTTGAACAGCCATGATGGTGGTATCAAGGGGTTATAGATATGAATGACTTCATTGTTTCTTTAGACGGGCGGATCGATTCAAATTTCAATGTTATGAATACCTGCTTTTCGTGGTCTTGAACGTTAATCATGATATGTACATGAAAGAACCAGAGTTAGTTTTACATATAGAACAGCAGGCATCAATACAATGTGGACACTTTCTGATATTCGTGTCTGTAATTCATTGTCAAAACCTATGCAGCAAAGATTCGACCGACGATGAGATTCAATGTTTTCTTATATTGACAACAATCCAACCTTTGCAAAGTCTAGCAATTTCTGTAAGCATTGAATGCATGATTGTCGAATAGGAATACATGTATGTATTCATATAATCTTTCTTTTGATGACGTAGCGCGGTTTACACGTATTTTAAATGAGACTGCATGCATGTAAAATAAAAGAAATACCACCAGTAGACATGGTTTACATCCCAACGGACCTGCGCGAGATTTGCCGAACACTGATCAATTGTTTAAGATAAAAGTCTAAGTATTAGTTGAAAGGAGTTTGGAATACAGAACGACTTTGCCGAGAATTTTACAACCCTGCTGATTGTGGAAGCTAAATTACAGTAACTAACCGGTTGAAGTAATTTAAGCACTGAAGGAAGTAATGATCATACTTCAGCCATTCTGACTTGCGCTGATCAATTAGTTCATACATAAGTTCTGGCTGCGTAACATCTTCACAGCTTGGGATTAGTCTCCATAGACAGTTCGAGGTGTGAAATAGCTCTGAAAAAGGCAAAAAGCCAGAATACTAGAAAAAGCATATTGCAGAACTCAATTATTCCCCTTAAAACAGATGACTGTTCATTTGTGAAGAAGACATAATGGAAGAAGTCATCGATCACAGGCTCTTCTTAGCTGCACTCTTGATGATTTCGTCCTCCAGGACCAACTCATCCCTTTCCCAGACCAACTGCACTGCGGTACCAACTGGTCCAGTCAGGAGCAAGAAATTGGCGATTTTGAAAAGGAAGCCGATCCAGCCAATCTTTCCTTGAACTTTGCTACGGGCTAGCGCGTTCACGCTCGCTGCCCAGAAGAGAACGCCGAATGTACCAGCAAGGAAGTCCCATTGCAAGAAAATATGAACACCTTGGCCAATATCCTGGACCTGCAGGTCGGCATTTGCGAAGGGGTTGTAAGGTCCAAAGACCTGGCTTGGGTGCAATAACGACAAGTATTTCTCGCTGAAGAATTCAGGCTTGACGACTGATGTCAGAGAAATGGTCCATGTAATAACATGGTTAAGAGAAGCGTTGGCAAGAGCAAAAGTGTAGACTGTTCGAAGAGACTTCCGTAGCTGGGAGGGCGAGCTGTCGCTTCCAGAACTAGTGCACACTAGCGAGACCACAGTGGTGAGGATAGAAACGTATACTGGCCAAGGCTGCCAGAGTGCAATAAGAAGCTGCTTCTGGTCGAATGTGATTGTCCCAGGAGCAGGGATTAGCATAGCTAAGCTGGGCACTTGATAAGCGAGAACGAAGATCAATGGGATCGATTTTACCACTGCACTTGGAATCGCAATGTTCTTTGCTGTGGGCTGGAATGATGTATTAGATCCCAGGAGTTGCAGACCCAGATATAGAGGGGTAGACACAGCAAAAGTTGCCACTTGAGCGCCAATACCAAAGATCGAGGGGCTAGCATAGCTTTCAATTAACCTGTCGATTTGGACATCAAAACGCGGTAAAGACTTACAAAGAAAAGAGTTTCCCCGAGTTGCCTTTTCTCCATGCTTCTAAGACAACCAAAACCCAGGCCGAGCCGAAAGCTCCAGTGAAATTAACCGAGTGCAGCAGAAGTGAGGGGTTGCTTCCATCAACAACAGGGATAAAGAAGACTGTTAAAGTAGCTAATAGGCGGTCGATGGGCTCAATTCCCGTAAAGCTGGTTTTCAAAGGTTCGCCGGAGCCCGGCAGGACCTTGCTTGTTCCGAAATGCTCGACGAGCTTAAGAGTGCCATTTCTGTCTGAAAAAGCGAAGATGGCGAACCCGGCATAGGCGGAAAAGAGGAAAAGCGCGAGCGGCAGGTAGTACTTTGAGGCCATGCTCACGGTTGGTTGGTGTTATTATGAAAGCGCCAGTCTAAAGAGATCCGAAGAGTAATGATAAAGTAGTAAGATACCAGTACAATATAACAGGCAGAATTGGGATCAATTGGATCTATTGATGTTTTAAAGATCGGATAAAGGCAGCAATGTAGTACGTTGCACGAATTCCGGGCTTTCGTCGGGCCGACCAGAGGGAAGAATGTCCAATAGCTTCGCTCGCAGAGAATACGAATAAAAGTAGACGGTGCAGAACGATGCAGAATGGAGTAATGCCGAATGGAGTAATGCAGCTCGGGTTGTGTCACGTGAATGAGCCGAGGCTTTGCCGTATTGGGGAAAGCGCCAGAAAGCTGGGATCACCGGGCGGGGGCCAATAAAAACGCTTTGCTGCGATTCCCCATCAAAAATTTACACGCGGAGAACGAACGCCGAGGCTGAGACCGGCTGCAAATCGCACAGTTGCAACATCAGACTAGCCGAAGGCCGACAAGATGTCGAAGCGAAAGCACTCTGAGATCGAGGACAGCTTGCGGCATGACGACAGCCGAGATGACAGGGCCAATAACGTGAAGGCAATGCGATTACGCTTCAAATTCGAGCGTGGGACTCAGCTTCTGTTTCGCGCATTGAAAACCGCGCGGGGATTCGAGAGACAGAAACTCGGCCGACGACAAAAGAATTCGAAGAAGGATGAAGATAGCAAGGCCTTTGAGCGACAAATTGGGGAGGTACAAGCCTTGAAGGTACGCGCACACAAGCTGTATTTGTGTTTCCAAACTGTACTGATTTGAAAATCCGCAGAACCTGAATCTAGAAGAGACAGCACATCGATATCTATTCAAGCAACTAGCCAAGATAAAACGGATTGCTGAATCGCCTGAGTTTGCACGGTTGAAGAAGACCACTTCAGTATCTACAACTGGGCCGCGAGACCCTGCCGAAGCCAATGTCACGGCGAGATTATTTAAGTCTAACCCGGTCCAAAATGTTCTCCCGGAAATTCTAGATGGTATTCGAAGCGTGCTAGGTGTGGAAGAGACCCAGAAGAAAGAATCCGCGAACAAAACAGCCGGAAAGGTCTTGGGAACAACAAAGGAGCCAAAACAGGGAGCCCAGAAGCAGCAGAAACATGCAGCACTATCTGATAATGAACCGGACAGCAATTCAGATGCGGAACTTACAAGGTTGGAAGGCGTAAGCATGGGCGGGGGTTCTGACGATGAAAGTATGGATCTGGCACAATTCAATGGCCGTCTCGCTGCGGCCTCAGATGAATCAGATATAGATGCAGATTCTGAGATAGACATCAAAAAGTCTCGAAATTCAGCGGCTAAACGATATGACGCGGTAGACGATCCATCACCTTCCGCGTCCGGTTCCGAATCAAGAAGCATTTCAGTGTCCCCACCGCCACCGAAGGTGAAAGGTAGACAAAAGCTTCAGGCTGGCGTTCCAGCTAAGGATACAACTTTCCTACCATCACTTATGATGGGGGCTACTGGTCAGGATCTGAATCAGGGGATGAGATTGATACCCCTAAACCGGAACCCCCCCGCAAAAATCGGATGGGCCAACAAGCACGCCGGGCGTTGTGGGAAAAGAAATATGGCAACAAAGCCAATCATCTTCACGATGATAAAAACAAAGGCAAAGATAATAAGAATTCCGGATGGGACATGCGCAGAGGCGCAACAGATGGGACTGATAATCAGCCTAGATGGGCCAAACGAGGGGCTGCCCAGTCTTTCCGCGGAAAGGAAGATGTACGTGGGAATAATAAAGGACCAAGCAACCGGACCCAGCCGAGTAAAACGAGTAAACAGGAAAAAGCAAACGCACCATTGCACCCATCATGGGAAGCAGCTCGCAAGGCTAAACAAGAAAAGGCACAGGCTTCTTTTCAGGGAAAGAAAATTGTGTTTGATTAGTGTGGCCGACCTCGGGTTCGTACTACTTTCATGTATCCTGCATATAATTTTCCATATTAGATAGAATTAATTTATGCTACCTCTTGAAAGTACAGCTGAATTTATGTTATCATATTCCACGTTCAAACTCATCAACTGGTGTGGATGAACATACCTACATGTACATGTAATGATGTTAACTATAGCATGCCAATGATTTCGAGGTGCCTTGAAATGCTCCCAGAAAAAATATTACTTCTGAGGATGTCATTTGTGTATTTGCGAGTTAGTACATGATATCTGGATGGTTCTCTTACATGTAGCTGTCAACAGTTGCATTAAATCGATCTAGACATAGAACTACCCGCGGGATTGATTGATTCAAATTGAAAATTGCTCATTGTGATAGAAATAACTATCTGTTTGCCATGTGTTGTGAAACATTACCTGTAGAACTCAAGTTCCGTAGTACGTAGAGATAGAGGAAGAAATGTATCGAATAGTATATCTCCGTTTGCTATTTCGTGTACATGATGACAATAGAAACCCTAGCTACTGGACTGAGAGCTAGTTACATGATGGAATAACTGACCCTCACTGAGACGGAAAGTCGAAGACCTGACTGACACCAGATACAAAGAGCGAGCAGATTTCCAGAATCAAATTTCTCCTTCAGCATGGGCTTTCTTGGAGGCGTTGTCGAGTATGGAAATGTCCTCATTGTAGTATTCGCATACTATTTCCGGTCCCCACTCAAGCTCTACATTTTGAACAGGCAAGTCCTAGGCGCTTGCGTCCTCTAGCTTCTCTTTGGACCGAATGTTCAGCAACTTTACATGGATAACAACCTTGTTACCACTCGGACAATTTTCCTGTAATTTCAATAGCCGAAGGTATAAAAAGATCCCACGACCGTTCCCCCCTTCACCTGACACTTTTTCTGAGTAATATGTTTCCGCCGGAGCTTTTTCTTTCGGCGACTTTGCTTCAACGAGGAATGTGTACATAAGACTATTAGGCCAGGGAGGCCAATCTGGATAGAGTTTAAGACCGTAAGGTGAGGGAGGAGCCGGAGTTGTGAGAGTCAGTGCGATGTGTATTACGGATTAAAAGGTCAGTTCACCCAAAAGTCCGTATGATTTAGGATCGGTAGAGTTTGCCAACAAAGGGGCGTCCACTGGACATGAATAATTTGGGGAAGTCGATGAGTGCCGGAGCTCTACCATGTTGATGAATCTAGAGTTACATGAGTTTTGGAAGGCTCTAAGGGACGAAAAACAACTCACCAGATGAGATCGAACACTCTTTTATAATCTAAGTAATGAAAGATATGCTAGCTTCTGTAAATGGAGACTCAGCAGTATGTGTCTTGAAAGTAAAATGAAAAGAAAAGAAAATTCGGGCTAGGAAAGGGGACTTTTAAAGAAAACATTTGACTCATAAAGCAATCCTTTGACTGTTGATTGTTACTCAATCGGCCCTTCTGTCAGACGACTTATGATTGAGTCAGTGGCATTCCTACCTGAGGTTATCGTCTCGCAAAGTGAGCTTATCCGTTAAAGGATGGGAAATACTGGCATGACGTGAAAACCTATTACAGTTGTCTGGAGCTTACAATAGTTTGAGGACATCTCTATTTTAAGAATTATTATAAATACATGTAGAAATTAGGGGTTTAGCCTTTCACTAATTTATTGAGTCTCAGATACAAGAATCTCTATATTCAGACTGATACACACAGCTAGCAGATTTCCACTATTAAAGCTCCCCTGCGTTCTGGGGCAACTCAAATTCCTTGTTGGTATTGTCGGTGAAGCGACCGTTCACGGATCTAATTCGTGCGATTTCATCTAAGGTTTCCGGACCAAAGTCTAGCTTCACTTCTTGAATGCGTCGATCCTGGATCGACGGATCTTCGTCGTGCATGCTTTTGGACCTTATCTTCACCAATTCCACAGAGATATAAAACTTCTCGTGCTCTGGATATCCTTGGTCCAATTTGAAGTGCGGAACCTTCATCTGGTGGCGGTGACTGTAACCCAGCTCACACGGCAGCTCTTCCGAGTAATAGGTATTTGACCCAGATGTCACTATGACTTTGAAAAAGTATACAAAGTTATGTGGCCATGCATGGCACATCAAGGGGGGAGGGGAAGTCTGATTTGTGAGATACAGTATGATATGTATCATTTTTTTGTCTTCGGTACGTTCAATGTCGATTTCACCCCAAACCCGTAATTGAGCATTAGCGCCGGCAGAGTTGTATACCAGAGGTGTGAACTCTGGTGAAGCTGTTGCAAGATCTCGTGCCCTACGTTCTGCCATTATGAATACTAAAGCCATGTCAGTCTGTGGAGATCCTTGGACACTAGAAAAATCTCACCAAACGAGATCGTACACTCTTTATGATGTAAGTGTTAAAATTTTACCTTTCTGCAAATAGAGTACTAAATAGTATGTGTTTAGGAAGTAAAATAATCAGGAAAAGGAAAGTGATCCTTTTAAAGCAAAGCTTTGAGTCAAGATTGTTACTCATTCAGCCTTTCTGTCATATGCATTATGATTCAAAATGTTGACTCAACGGCATTCATGCCCGAGGTTGTCATCCAGCACAATTAACTTTAGGACCTGTAACTATTTCTAGAGAGTTGGTAGTTTACCATGAAAACCTATTACAGTGGCTTAGTGTTTACAAGAGTTGGAGGATATCCGGTGTCTATTTCGAGAATTACTAAAGGATGGAATTTAGGGTGTGGCCTTGCGCTGACTTCTCAAGTCCTAGATATAAGAATCGGCATAAAATTCAAAATAAAAACGACGGAACAGATGAGATGAAGAGGGGATCTTGGTGTCTTATATTTTATCAAGCAGTGTTAGAAGACCTGTTGTAATTATATTTTTTATCTTAGCTATTTCTGAATGTGTGTTATATTTTGCTGTTGTCCCCAAGAAGTGATCTATACTTTCGCCTCTTAGAATTTACTATCACGAACGTTTGAATGCTCTTATTGCAAGTAGGCATGACTCCGACATCTATGATCCGATATTTCTTCAGTCATTTTCCCAGAAATAAGAAACTCACTTTCCCCGCGGTTTCAAATTTCATTTTTGTGAACGTCACACCAAATTAATGTCCCTCTTCGATTGTGAGTAACTTGTCGATTATGGCCATCCTCATATAAGCTTGTACATTGTGTCAAAAGAAGAGCCAAGTAATTTGAGCTTACATATAATAAGTAAATTAATATACTTTATTTCGTCTAGGCATACTCTAATATTTTCTCTAGTATAAACGTAATATTAACTCCTTGAATTGACTAGGAATTCAGGGAACAGCAACTTATTCTGGGCTATACCTACTTCTCCGTCTAATTGCGGGGCCATATTTATAAAATGTATAAGGAATCAAAACCAACACGCCACTCAAGCTTCCAAGAATCGTCAATGTATATGCCACCCCATGTTTCGATAGAACGGGATGGAGATTTCAATGAATGCGCCTGCTATGATATACCGAATCAGAGTAATACTAGCCAAAGCACTGGCAGCATATACTTCATATGCATCTATGACGTATTGATAAGCAGTCATGAAGACACACAATATGCCGAAACCGAACAAAACAGAGGCAAGAAGTGGTGACCAGATAGAAATGTCTGGTCGCGCAGTCCAACCCATCCAGAACAGACTGATTGGGATTGCCGGAGCGCCAAGCATGGCCCAGTATAAACGTGACTCGGGAGCAACTTTGACATCAGGGCCAAGCACTCTGGCTCGTGCAATATCTCGTTTGCGGAGATGGGCGTTGAGAGGGATGAAGGCTCCGCAGGATAAGACTCCAATCATCTGCCCGACGAAACAAACTCCAGTCATCCCCTGGGAGAGGCCATATATATCGGTAAAAATAAACGTATATCCAGTAAGGAAAGTAAAGAGAACAATGTAAATGGTCGAGAGATATAAACCGAAGAGAATGATAATGGGTTCCCGAATGAACATCAAAACCGGCCGATATATTGCTCGCACGAGTCGGGTTGCTAAAGGGGTTTTTCTGATTTCGATACCACCACGGTATCGTTTATCTCCGGTCAACCGACGCAAGTGTTCGGCTTTCCACTTAAGGAGGATGGGATGATATGTCTCTGGTTGAATGAGAACTACAATGGACAAAATAACGCCCGAAGCAATTAATGTTATCCATTCAGTCCAGCGCCAACTCAGGGTATTACTCTCCCCAACCCAACCTCCCACGACAGGGCCGATGAGCGGACCGAGAAATGAAAAGCAGGCGAACATGGGGAATGCAAAGACTCGTTCAGCAGGTGTCCATAGATCCGAAAGCGAGCCTCCCGCGCATACAAGAGGCGTGGCACCAAATATACCCGCAAAAAATCGACAAGCGAGCTGGGCCGAAATATTCGGCGCGGCTCCTGCGCCAACGAGGAATACCATATACAAGGCCATAGTTAGGATATAAATCGGATTACGTCCAACAGTCTCGGAGAATGGGCCAGCTATTAGAGCACCGGCACCGAAGCCGATCAAAAATATCCCTACATGTAAGCGGAAGTGTGAGCTCACATAGGAAACATTGAAGTGTATGAAGCATTTAGAAACATACCAGTTGCAAGTGACTCTGCCACTTGACTCACGCCAAACTCTGCCATCGCTTGGGGAATAACGGCTGAATCTACAGCACTCGCGAATCCGACAATGCCACCAATAAGTGATAGGGTCATCGTCGCTGTTGTACGCTTGAGAAAGCTCCAGTTTTGAGGATTCATCGGGTCCTGGGCATTTTCAAAGGAAACCACGAACACTTTTCCTAGCTCTGGCCCCCCTTCTCTCGTCGTCCGTTCGCGAACTTGGATTCCAGTCAACGCATGACCTAGGGTCGTCCCTGTAGTACTTTGTGTAGGAATTATTTGAAGTTCGTCGGATTCGATATCTGGAATAGCCGCTTGCTCGATGTCATGTTCAGCGACAGGACGCTCTTCTAAGGATTGTGATGGGGGACTTGTTATCAAATGATTATTTTGGAATTTATGATCCGCTTCATCTTCTTCAATTGGACCGGCCTCTAGATCCTTTTCCTGTGACAATGCGAGGTTTCTGGACGTTAAAATGCTCTTTTGGAGACCATTCTTCCGCTGCTGGCGCAGTTTAGTGACTTTCTCACCGCTGCGCTCTAGTTGAGCTTCGAGTATTTTGCCGAAGCGCCGATACTGGAGAAATGACTGCATTCCGCCTGGCCTTCAACCAATACTTGCTATAACTCGGTATATAGTATGAGGTTTCCGAAAATGCCCTGGTACTGTTAGAAGATAAAACTAAGCTGATCTAGCGGATGTTTATGGCAGTTGAGAAATTATTGGCCTATAAGCATTACTGAGCATCAACTAAAGCTATATCGTGGAGACGAGTTGGTTAATACAGCAAAATAATAGCTGCCCAAACTGCTGGAAGGATTTCCGAGCTTTTTCGGATAGAAGTCCGAACGGTCAGCATCTTGTATTATTAATCGTCCTAATGGATTGGGCTGGAGCATAATGATTCACTATTCACCATCCTACTAGGTTAGTCCTAATGACGATAAAAATAATGTAAATTTACGCAAATAGGTGAATATATTCAATGTTTAATTGGTGAAAATCTGTATCTGGCTTATTAGCTAGACTTGGCATTTTGTAAAAAGTTGTGAAGACTAGGCTTCTTAAATATGTTTAATGTTGAGTTGTTAAGTACCGCAAAATATATGATAATTTGTAGTGTTTCTAAAAGTTTGAGTTATTTGATCGGTTTGCTGATGTTTTTATCTATGGGTTTGTGGGTCTAACCGATGATATCGAAGTATTTGTTGAGTCTTCTCGGGCCAAACGATTATTCTTTTAGTTTCGTCAGTGATGGTGATAATAAAAAAGTTTAGACAAAACAGATTAAGCACCAAAAATAAAAATTTTATTGTCACATTCACTGCGGCTTGTTGTTATTTGCATATGCTCGCGCATTCGCTTTAGCGATTGCCCAATATAAAACAGCCAGACCCCTGTCAACAGGGGTGGGTTGAGATTTTAAGAATAATTAACCAATCAAGTTACAATTGAGAAGTTTGTTCGTTTTTTTAGCATTTAGGTTCATCCTGCATAGCGATCAGTTATCTCGGGAATATGTTAAGCCCCTAACATTTTTGGAGAGTCTTCCTGTTAGCCGATTCTCGTTTAATCCCCTTTTGTTAGTCTGCTCGTTCGGGTTGAATTCTTTTATTTTTCTATCCATTGCCCTCCATGTTCCAGATGTCCTGTGGATACCGGGATCCATATACTAATTGATATTCGTTTTGCTCTCGGCGTAACTATTTTTTGCCATTTTTCATGTTCTTTCCGTGAATTTCGAGGCAAATCTAGAATATACCAATGAAAATAAACCCCCAGTTACGATTGTCTATTCAACGGTCCATTTTGTCTTCAGCTTGGATTAAGAACTTCAAAGAGCAAGGAGTTCAATATTCATCTCGGGTTGCCGAAACGCGAACTACTTACTGCGTCAATTCTGGAAAGCAACATAGGTTTCCATTACCCCGATAACCCCGCGTGTGAGCATATCCAGTACCAAAAGCTCCATGGAGAATGATGGAGAGCCAAGGAATCCTACGGTCCTCGAATCCTCAACTTATAACCAACCAACAAATGAATTCGCATTGGTGGAGAATAACTCCCCGCCGATTCTCATTGATGGAAATCCTCAATAAAGTCCTGAAAGAGGCGGGGGTGGCGTTGTCGATCATTGCGTCAGTCACCGAGACAAGGGGCCAGTATGAAGAAGCAAGTCTGCGTTAGTGAGTGTTGGCTATTTTTCTAGCTTTTCAGAGCGGTCGGGTTACGACTGCTCTTCAGTTGGTAAACTCTTCGCAGATAGTAGAAGACAATAATTTTAATTACCAGTGATTAAATTGCCATATTGCGTAAGTAGAACTTCTGTATATGAAATATTAGAATAATATAATCACTCTATCGGAAAAAATCGAACGAAAGGAGAAATTATAAGAACAATAGCGAGTGCGGATGCATGCTATTCCCAGCCGGATAATTTGCAGCTGCATTTGGAGTTCAGCTTAATTTAACTTTATGCGGCGTGGAAGTATTAAGAAACAGCATAATATTGCATATACTAAACTAGTCTAACTGAAGGAATAGCTTTATTAATACGTGGTGATGGAGGCGACGTTCCTTCTATCAGTGGCGCATCTTTGTCTTTCCTTCCGTCTGGCAATGCGTGCCTGTGTTTGAACAGGAATGTAGCAATGTCGCCTGCACTGCGAAAAACGTTATCCTTACTCTCGCGCTTGTTATCTGTTTCGCTATCTGTACTGCTATGTGCTAGTCTTTTCGATCTCGCAATTGCCTCGGCACCGCCGAATCCGTATCCCCCAGGCCACAGGTCAAGTTCAGATCCGCTCGAGGTGGACTTGGGGTATGCAACGTATCGCGGGGTAGCCAGTGGATTGAATGAATGGTTTGGGTAGGTCTTCGTCTCGGGTTCTTCATCTTCGAACGGTTTGATATTAAGTCTATGCATTTATCAGAATTCGTTACGCTGAAGCGCCGATTGGACCTTTGCGTTGGCAGCGCTCTCTTGCACCTACACCGACCAGTAACGGCACTGTTATCAATGCTACTACCGCAGCATCAATTTGTCCCCAGGCGCCTCAATATGCTACGTAAGGGCTGGAATGATTCGTAGCCCATGAAGACGTATAAAGCTGATGATAAAGCAGAACGCCGACGCCATTCTCTCCCTCTTCAAGAGAAAATGAAGACTGTTTGTTCTTAAATATGTGGGCGCCGCCAAATGCGACGAACCTGCCAGTTCTTGTCTGGATTCGTGAGTGCTCCTTTTTTTCTTTTGGCGTTAATCGTGTCATATTATATACAGTGCTAAGGACAACTAGACGGAGGAGGATATGGCGGAGGTGACGCCGAGTACGACATGCCTTTCATGATAAACAGTTCTAAAGAGAAGTTCATCGGCGTGGCAATTCAGTACCGAGTATGAACTTGTCAATTTCACATTGGATCGGGAGATATACTAAATATTTTCTAAAGCTTGGCGCGTTCGGCTGGCTGGCATCTGAGGATGTCAAAAAGTTTGGATCTCCGAATGCAGGCTTGTATGACCAATATCTTGCGCTGCAATGGGTGCATAATTATATCTCCCTCTTCGGTGGAGATCGATCCCAGGTCACAATTGCAGGAGAATCTGCGGGTATTATTCGAAAGTTAAGAAGTGATGTTAGGGACAATGGCTGACATGCTGCAGGTGCTGGCTCGGTTATGTTGCATTCAATGGCGTTTGGAGGGACACTTAAAGAGAGTTTATTTAGCCGGGTATGTCAATCGTTCATATTTTATGATCGACTGAGAACTTCTTCTCATATGAGCAGGTTTGGGCGGCGAGTCCATATCTTCCCCAACAATACAGCTATGCCGACGCTGTTCCTTCGCAAGGGTACTATAGATTTGCCGAGGAGGCTAAATGTTTCAACAGTACCTCTTCAAAGTCGACTGAGCACGTTTTCCAGTGTCTAGTCAACCAAGAGTCTGAGGTCCTGCAAAATGCCTCTTACACCATCAGCACCACCTACAAATTCGGCGAATGGGCTTTTCTGCCAGTGACAGACGGCGATATACTAGAGGAACGACCAAGTATCCAGCTCACCAGTGGAAAGGTCAATGGAAAGCAGGCATTGATAGGTGTATGTTACCTAAATATTTCAATTGGCGTTTTCTAATATAAATACCAGAACAATGCCGACGAGGGAGAGATGTTCACACCGCAAAACGTGACTTCAGAGAAGGACTTTATTGATTTTGTTCATTGGCTGTTCCCACTGTTCGATGATGTCGATGTTCAGAAAGTGTTGGAACATTATCCAATTGCCACAACCAAAGCTGTGGACGATATTAGGTTCGCGACAGATGGAACCGACAACTACTCAACTGCAGTGACTGAAAGCCCCTTTGCAACTGGACAGCAACAGCGGGCTAATGTAATTTTCCGCCATTTCATTACATCCACCGTCCTCGTGCTGATTCTATACAGAACTTATATGCAGAAACAACATTTGTTTGTCCTGCACAATGGATGACCGAAGGTTTTAGCACCGATGGTCACGAGAGTCACAAATATCAATACTCTATCATTCCGGCCCTGCATGGCGACGATCTATTTGCATACTTTAACTTTTCTGGTTCGCTGCCTGACAATATGGGTCAACCTTTCAGAGATTCCGTTGTTTGTAAGTGCTTTCATATTCCACCATTGCATATTACTGCGTGTTAACAACGAATAAAAGCATTTATAAACAGCTTCGTCGTCACTGGTACCCCGACAACACAAGGCGTCTACAACTCCACTGTTCCCAGTGACACCGCTAACCTGCTGGGCTCGTGGCCAGCATACAGCCGCGAAAAACCAGTTCAGGCGAATCTGAATCAAACTGGCGGCATTCTCACGACAGGAACTGATCCGAGAGATCCATTCGATTATCAAATCCAGATGTATGTGAATCCTGGCCTGCAGCCAAAGTTTGACTTGGTGGATGCATACACCTGGGAAGGCGGGAGAGGCGCTAGATGTGATTTTTGGAAGACCGTAGGCACGAAAGTGCCTGAGAAGAGAAGCTGAGACAAGACCGCATATCTGTACATAAAGTACAATGTAAAGAAATGGAATTTCATATGCAACTACCGCATCATCATACAGCCATTCAATGGGTCGAGGAGAGATTATCCTATAGAAAAGATGTCACGTGCAGCATTCAAATCTATCTATGATTTACAACTGTCAGCTGACCTGCATTGTGTAATGAAGAATAATGCGAAGAATAGTGCGGCCCGGGGAAGCACTGTTTGGGGATCCACCGGCAAGCGTGCCGGCAGCCAATCAGAAGCTCGGCCCAGCCGGCCCGAGCCAGGGAGTGATCCGGTCGCCGTGTCTAGCCGTGCCGGTTGGGCCTTTGTCTGAAGCCTTCAGTGACTACAAGGGGCGTGAGGGTGACACTAGCCTCAGTGTGACTGAATACAGAGTAACATGGAGTCGTGCTCGCAACCTAAGATTCATAGCACAGAATGCTACCAAAAGATAAGCCGTGTGGCCAATCGTGTTGAGCATCCTGTAACTTAAAGCAGTACTTAGAGTCATAGACCGATAGAGGTAGTAGATGGTAGATAGTATATCGATAACACGGACCCACCCGCCACCTGCCTGTCCGGGGCTCCTGCCACTAGAGGCTGATGATGCATCCCGCCGCACCGGGACGGGCTGAAAGTGGCCATTTATTACTCTTCTCTGGCCCTGACTGCTGCGTTGTCTTCTTATCTTCGTACTACACATCATTCTATCGCATACCGCTTCATACATCGTACGATGAACCCTACACGCACTCTTCGTGCATTCTCCAAACCACCGTCTTACCTACTCATCCACCCCAGACATGTTAGTACGACAAAGACCACCAAGTCATCCGCGGTCGTGACTGCATCACCAGCAGCTGCAGGAAGCACTGCCAGCAACGTTCTGCAAACAACATTCCCACAACAGATCGAAAGTCTGAACGACGTTGCGAAGCCTCAGCCAGAATCGCCGTTGGCGAAGCTACCGTTGTCGAATGTCTTGCGGTCATTGCTTATCTTATCCGTCTCATCCGCCCCATTCCTGCTCAAACCATGCATATACACACTCTCGGCCCTGGCACATCCTAAGACAGCCCTAACGGATGTTGACCGAAATCCGGTTCTGCATTGGCTTATCAAGAAAACTATATATAAGCAGTTCAATGCGGGAGAGAACAAGTCTGAAGTGCAGGGGTCGATTACGGAGATAAAGAACTTGGGATTCCGTGGTGTGCTGCTTGGATATGCACGAGAAGTACTCACGGGAGAGGGCAAGACTAGCACGCATGACGAAAAGGTGGCACAGCAGGAGGTAGATGCATGGCTGAAAGGCACCTTGCAAGGCGTCGAAATGGCTACAGAGGGTGATTTCGTAGCCCTGAAGTATGTTTCCTGTCTTTCACTTACAAACCTAAGCTAAAAGTCATCAAGGTTCACAGGAATGGGCACTCAGGCTGTTGAGCTTTTGCAAAAGCGTCTTCCTCCGTCTGAATATATAGATGCTGCCATTCGAAAAGCATGTGACGCTACTATTGCTAAAGGCACACGTCTTCTTGTCGACGCCGAAGAACAAGCTGTACAGCCTGGGATTGAGGACTGGGTGATGAGATACCAGAATTACTGCAGTCAGCAAACTCCGGGTCGCGCAACGGTTTACTGCACATACCAGGCCTATCTGAAATCAACACCAGCAACTATCGCGAAGCATTTGGCTATGTCTGAGAGAGATGGCTATACCCTCGGTGTCAAGCTTGTCCGTGGGGCATACATGAAGATTGAGCAACGCCATTTGATCTGGGACACCAAGGAAGACACAGATATTTGCTACGATGGCGTGGTCGAAGCTCTTTTAAACCGACGCTACAATTCTATGCTTGCTCCTGCTGTGGATAGTGTGGACAAGCAGACAGTCCCCCCTGTTGGTCTCATCATTGCGACACATAATCGTGAGTCGGTCCAGAAGGCACACTCTATCCGCCTGAACCAGGCGAAGGAGAACCTTCCGCGAATTGAACTGTCCTATGCCCAGCTCCAGGGCATGGCCGATGAGGTCAGCTGTGACCTAATCAATGGCTTCGAGGATGCGGCTCGTGGCCATCCACATCAAGCTCTTGAATTGCCGAATGTCTATAAATTATTGACGTGGGGCTCGGTACAAGAGTGCATGGGGTTCTTATTGCGCCGAGCACTCGAAAACACTGAAGCTGTGGCGCGAACAAAGGACTCCCAGAGAGCTATGATGACTGAATTATGGAGGAGGATGAAGGCAGTTCTAACTATTAAAAACTGATAAATGATGATTTAGAGCGTATTGATTGAGTATGGTGGTTTTGGTTTCTGTTGTTTTCATAACTTGTGCAGCTTGACATAGCGTGGCGTAGCGGGCATAGCGTTGAATATAATTGCTAGTATTATCCATTAATTATACCGGTCAGCCTATATGACAAGAATTCCAAATATATCATCTCCATACATAAGAGAGGGTGAAACATCAGCGTGGTTCCCATGTGATAAGAAGGGTGCGGGGAACACCGCGTCTTTCCGGCATCGGCTGCCAACCTATCGTAAATACTATTAATAGTTGACGCGCCTCTTGATGAACTGTAATTTGCTCATACATGTACCCGGACTCTTCTCATCTTCACCAATTTAATAAGCATCCCACATCGCCATGCTCGTCCTCCCAGAAGAACAACTAAGCGAACTTCTCCAAAATCTCAACCGACCCAAATGCGAGCTCCTTCTCCGCAATCTTTCTAACGCTTTGGCTGCATCCTCTGCCCAAAGGTCCTCCCAAAAACAACATTTAATCCACCAGCCAATACGCAGCAGTATCGTGACTACAAATGGCGACACAACTCTTTTCATGCCAGTGTCTGATACACAATCCACTGGCTTCAAAGTCGTCGCTGTTCCCCACAATGCGCCTATTCGAGGTGTAATTAACCTGCTCTCTCCCGAAGGGGCCTTGCTAGGCGTGATCAGCGCTGCAGAAGTAACCGCTTTTCGTACGGCGTTGGCAACAATGACATTGTTTACTCGATGTACTTGGATATCCAAGAAGCACGTACTTGTTTTCGGCGCTGGACGACAAGCAGAGTGGCATGCTCGTTTGGCTCTTTTGCTTTGCAATACCGGTCTTATAGAAGCCATTACATTCATTAATCGCAGCCAAGACCGTCTGGACACATTGATGGATTATCTTCTACCGGATTTACAGCGGCGATATCCGGATGTTAAGATTTCCTCGTATTCAAAGTCATCCCTACAGCCTGATGAATATGCGGCCCGGCTCGGTGCTGATTTGGCTACGAGTAATGTCTTATTTTGTTGCACTCCATCGGTCGAACCTTTATTCAGCTATAATGCAATTGCAGACCAAAATCAGAGATTCATTTCACTGATTGGCTCGTACAAGCCACATATGCAAGAAATCGACTCGCAGACGCTGCTCTCTGGGAGGGAGGGAAAGATTTACGTAGATTCGGTGGAAGCATGTCAGAAAGAGGCCGGAGAGCTAATCAAAGCTGGGGTGAAGGAGGATCAACTCATCGAAATTGGGGACATTTTTTCAGCAGATCCGGATTCACAATCGAAGAAAATTCATAGTGGGATTGGTAACGTTGTATTCAAGTGTGTTGGCATGGGGATTATGGACCTGGTGGTCGCGAAGACCCTGCTTGAGATGGCTGAAGAGAAAGGGCTTGGAACGACAGTGGCATTCTGAGTATATGTAGTAGTTGCAAAGGATGATATATATATCCAATCCCCATTCTCGTCAACGCCATCAATTGATGCTTTATAATGTAGAAATAGCGAGGGGGTAGGCTCTGCGCGCGGTGATTGGCCCAGAAGCTGCCTTATCTGGTTCGGGCTAGCCTGTCTGGCCCCAACCGGCACTCTCCGGACTAATCCCATTTAGGAATGGCCGGTGCGATTTCCCCTCGTGCGTTTTGCCGCTATGCCACATCGGACGGTTTCCCTTTCGTTATCTCAAACCTCCACGATTGTTCGCAGTCCCGGACCTTCCATGCATTTGCGAGCGCCGTGGCCCTTCCTCCTACTGATTGGTCTTTCTGTTTCAACTCTGTTCAGAATCTTACTTTTCGTCCCTGGCACTTTGACTTCATGTTTGCAGCCATAGCTTCCTCATCCCCGCACGAAATGAGCCATGGAACACCGCCAGTACAGTCCCAGCAGAGCCAAGCGACCCCGGGTTGCTGAAGAAAACCGCAAAAGGGCTGTGCGAGCGTATGTTTTAATCCAATCTCTTTAAAACCGCTGGACAACCTTGAATCGTGTGCTAAATATTCCGCAGATGCGATGGATGTCGCAGAGTCAAGGAGAAATGCGAAGGCGGAGTTCCGTGTCGGAGATGCACTCGCTATCATCGCCAGTGTGTCTTTAACACGCCGCCCGACCAAAATGACAAATTGAACCGGTTTGCTCGCCGAACTTATAAACTTCAAGTGTATCGCTTTTCTAATGCCGATTTTAGCCTCCATAATCGAGCTGGTAGCTTCAGTCGTGATGACGACGCAGAAGCTGAGCGCGTCCGTTACATGGAGCGTATACTATCATATTACATGCCTAACACAACATTTGATATTCCGTCGCTGCGTAAAGCTGCTGAAGATTTGCAGAAGCGCCATCGCGGACTGTCGGAGTCTGATGGGCCTCCGACCCAGGTAGAGGCCGATGATTTGGATGATCTGGCCATCGACGAAGAGGACTTTAGTATCCGTGCTTTTCCGGATAATACTACTCGTATGCTCATGACTTGGCTTTATATTTTGCTTGTTTTAAGCGTAAAAGAATATACTGATGTATATGCAGAATACTCTGGAGAATTTTCATATTTGAACTTTTCTATGAAAATCAGACGAAAGATCGACGAGTGGATGCAAACTGCCGCGCCAGAGGTATGGTTCTGAATTATCAACTCCTAGTTCTAGTAACTGACTTAAATAGGACAACTCGGAGGCGGTTCCCTTCGAGGAGCGGTGGCGAGGGACTCAGCTGCAATCAGGCTCATCGCTCGTTTCCGCGGCCATTACATGTCTACCGCCTCGTTATGTTGCTGATTTCCTCGTCAGTGCGGCATTCAAATATGCCAAAACAAACAACTTTTATATCGAAGAAGACTGGCTGCGCGACAAGCTGGCTATCTGTTACAACAACCCGAGCAGTCTAACGTCGGTGGATGCCGCGTCAGTTTGCGCCATCCTGATGATCTTGGCCATAGGAACACAATTTGCTCACATGGAATCTCCAACCCCTGTCAATAAGATAACTAGAGAAGGATCAGCAAATGACGACCATCGGTTTTCTGAAGACGAGGTCGGCTTGACTTTTTATCATTTTGCATCTAAACTCCTCCCGGATATCATTGCCACCGCATCTGTCAGAAGTGTCCAAGCGTGTCTGTTGATTGGTACATATTTGCTGCCACTTGATACCTCGGGCCTCTCATATACCTATTTTGGGCTAGCTATAAAAATGGCCATCCAAAATGGCATGCATAGGAAATACGCAGCCGAAGGACTGGACACCCATATGCAGGAAGTCCGGAACCGTGTATTCTGGACTGCCTTTACTATTGAGAAGTGGGAATATCATAATATTGGTAACTACAAATGCTAACATAGATGCAGACGAATCAGCATTTTGCATGGCAGACCGGCTTCTATCATTGATTCCGACGTCGACGCAGATTTACCAGTTGATATACCAAGTCTGGTTTCTTCTTCTGCTCCAAACAACTATACAAATATGGTGGCCCTTATAACCTTGACTTTGAAACTCGGAGAATTTGTGTCTGAAATGTGAGTGCAAGAACTTGACTGATATGGTAACGGCCGTATTGATAGTTTTAGATCGTCACTACGAAGATGTCGAAAATGGCAGCAACCGGAATGTCTCGAAAAGCTTCTTACGCTACGCCGACACCTAATCGAATGGTGGTCCAGTCTTCCAGAGGAAACATCTTGCCGTGATCTCAACCCAAGCGGCCCCCTGTTTCGCCCTAACGTACATTTGAAGTTGGATTACTGCCTGGCTAGGATATTTATTGGAAGACCGTTCCTCTTCAGCAATGTCAAGGGTATTAATTTCGCCCCATCCCAGCAAAAGTCGTCAGCAAGTCGATCAATAAGAACGATCTTAGTAAGCGACTGTGTGGAAGCGGCCCTTGAAATTGTTGATTTGTGTCGACTGTTACGAGACGAAACTGGGCTCGCTCGAGCATCGTACACTGAATTTAGCTCTTGCCGAGCCGCCCTTCTCGTAATCCTTGCCCAAAGCTTAACCAAACGCACCGAGCGACTGGGGAATGCTTTATCTCAAGGAATGGGCCTCATTAAGATCATGTCTATGGGTGTCGGCTCCGCCAAGTCTGCTGTTAGCGTCATTGAGGCACTAGAGCGCGCTATCCGTCGTCTAGAGGACTGGAGTCAGTCCCAAGCACAAAGTCGCCAAGAAGCTCTCGACTCAGGCTATGAACGATTCAAAAATTGGGAAATGCTGTGGAAGACGGGACCCTTATCCCCAACAACAGGAAATGGAACACCCACCAGCGTCATTAACCAAAATAACATCGCATCCCAACTTCCTCTACCCAACAACCCTTTCTCATCCTCTACCGCAAATTTCCCTCCTGGAAACAGTGATATAACCACCCGCTCACAACTTCCCAATAACCACCAGCTCATTAGCCAAAACATAAAAATGGATGGAACCAGCGACAGCAGCCCCAATAATGCTGGAACACCGCTCCCCCACCACCAATTTGATATTGCACACTCACCCAACACCGCGGGGCTGCCACAAACACCGCATTTTGGTTTTGAAGGTTTTGTTTCAAATTTCCCACAAGAATTGGATGAATTTACTGCTATCCCATGTTTCGATGCTGAGGTTATTGGACCAGGTGCAGGAACAAGTATCAATTTGGATAGTACATTGAATGGACCCCATGGATCTGGCGATGGGTGGGTGTTATGAGTTATGAAATTGAATCACAGCGAAGTTTTATCATCTGTATATATTCCTTAACCTTGGGATTGTCTCTTTATAGTTGATTATTCAAGCAAGGGAGAATTTAAAGGTATTTCACGAGGCCGACTCATCTTTTCGAGAGCGGTTTTCCAGATTGAAATATCTTAACAATTCGCGCCTCCATTTAAGTATCGCAAAATAAACGTATGATCCATGCATTATAAACAAACTATTCCTTGAAGGATTCATTTTGGGAAACCAGAAGCCCAGCAAGAAAAGAAAAGAAAACAGCTTTCTTCCTACTCCAAATCATCATCGGAATAGTGTCCTCGCACTGACGAGGTACATGTATCATTTCTCGATATTCTCGGGGGGAGGGGGTTCCGTGCAGTCGCCACGCCGCTTCATTAATCCGTCAGCTCCTGGAATCTAAAGGAGCTTTGAGTTTTTAGAGATTCTAAATCTCTGCCATGTCTTAAATGATTCTAAGCTCCTGGGGCGGTAGGGGTTGGAGACCGGGCCTCGTACTTTTCTATGCGATTGTAAGTACTACCAGGCTGTGAAGCTCTGGTGAGCTCGGGGACTACAGTAGCCCTCTACCCTGTACTCTTTGGCTTTGCCCCAGATGGGTCCGTGCGCTTGGGATGTTCAGACCGCCTAGTAGATTGTAATGGGCAAACAGGCCACGGAGTCCTGGGGGTCTCTGTATTCTCAGCGGGTCTTGATCGGACATAGGAATAGGTCGAAGAGGAGGGTTTTGTAGGTGACAAGGAGGTCAAAGAGGTTGAACTTGGAAAGCAGCCGGACGTCTTCTCACGTTTTGGCAATGCTGGCTTCGAATGTCCGGCTACTTCTGACTCACTGGAAGGATCTGATGGCCTATAAGGAGGAGGCGGTGAAGTGAAAAATTGTGTAGTCGCGTCAGGCATGGGAGAATTAGGCGGTCTAGATCGCACGTAGGAATGGACAGAGTTGAAAGAAGACGCTGACGATGTTGATTCAGAACTAGGTTCATCCTCCGGAGGCGAAAATTTGACAGATTGGGCTCGCCGGCGGGGTTGTGGCCTGGCGGAAGGGGGGCTTGGGAAGCGATGGCTTTCTGAAGTGTTTGCTGACTCTGAGGACGAAGGTTCGTAAAATAATACGTCCATAGAGGTGGATCTGGAAGATGGTGGGTCTGGATGGAGGAGGTACGAGCGGAACCTTTGACGATGATCAGAATTGGAGTTTTGGGGGTGCAAGGGCTCCGGAGGGCTGAGATTCATATGATTGAGAATGAGAGTCTGAAGGCCGGTCTGGCGATTGATATCTAGAATCCCTCAGTGATCCATGTTCTGATGACCTCAACCGCTGTGAATATCTCGTGCTCGATCGAGAAGGGGGCCCAGGTCTGTCATACTCAAGATCGCTCAATCGTGTGCCCCTTTTGGTTGGCCGAGAGGATTCATTGTCGGAAGAATTAAAGTGATCAACGAAACGTTCATAACCTGTATGTCTGGCCGAATGCGGCTCTTCGGACTTCCATAAATTTGGAACGGGTTTCTAGGAAGTCTGCGATCTGGCAGCTGAGCGCCGTCTTCGTCTTGAGGAACTCTAGGATCAACAGGTACCTCATACGGTCTGTAAGCTCCGAGGGGATTTAAACAGTCTCTGACGCCACCTTTTCCAGGTCTGTCTTCTACTTTATCACGAAGCTCGTTAGGTTCTCTTTCAGTTTCGCAGGTGCCAAATCGGTGTCTAGCGCCTCTGTTGTAGTCTGGTCGATAAATCTCTCGACTTTCATAAAATCTAGTCTGAGGATCTTCCGTCATACCCAGCGATATCCGTTGTTTCTGCTCCCTTCTCACTTGATACTCCCTCGTGGCCTCGGTTCCTATTCTCTCCACGGGCCCCTTAGTTGTTATAGGCTTCCTTGTTTCCGTCGAAGTCCGTCGTTTTTCTTCCCTCCTCGGTGGGAACTCCCTCCAAGTTGCATATTCCGCTGTCTCCATAGGCACCCTAATTGTTATAGGTTCCCTACTTCTTCTCGACTCCGCTCTCTTCGTTTCAGACACCTCCTTATGCTCAGTGGTCAATCTGGGTCTATCGGATGGCCGAGATGCAGGGTGATTCCTTCTTTGCCTTTGGGGATTCTCTGATTCTGTACCCAGTAAATCTCTTCCATATTGGTCCATCAAATCCTTGGGTAACCCGGTCGACTTCCAGCATTCCTTCATCACACCAACACTACCTCGGTCTAGCATGGATGGTTGTCGCCGTCTTAAGAGCATCTCAGTCTCTTCGACGTACAACTTTCACCTACTAGAAGACTACCCTGAAGCAAGGCGAACTTGCTCCTCACATTTTGGGCTTTCCTCTCTAAATCGAGAATCCTCTTCTTGAGCAGGATTTTGCGATTTACTCCTGCGTCTATCATTCCGTCGGCCCTCATTAGGGGGTATGAAGAACGGCCGTTTTACGCTAGATGATCTTGGCTGGGATCCGTTTTCATCTTCTAAATCATTTTCTGGGAATTTCTGCGTGAAGCTTCTCAAAATCACCACTTAGCTCAGCGACACCTTGTCTCCTTGAATACAGCTCCTTCATAACAGTAGGAATGAAAGTGGATAGAATCATATCTCTGCTATGAAAACCTAGGATAAGGCAGAGAATTTCAAACTAGAAAATAGAAGGTAGACAGTAATGTATGAAGTACAAGATTTCATATTAAAGTAATTGAAATATAACTCACTGTTTCCGCTGGATTTGGTTTTATAGCTGCTTTTACTGGCCATGTATAAATTCTCTCAAATTTGGCACCAAGGCAATGGTCTTCTTCTGATAGTAAAGTTGAAGGGGTTATGATAACATAAAACGCTGTGTTTGGTAGATGCTTTTCATTCAAAGCTCTTTGAAAGTTACCATGACTTCTGTCAGACTTATAAGCAGATTTAAAAGACTGTGAAAGAAAAATATTTTGGAAAATTCCTAATGAATCTTGTTGTTGCTGTTTTTTCACTTCCAGTTTTCTCATACCAGCGCGCAAATATGTTAATTTCCGGTGCAGGTCGTAGTTGTACATTAATTATGCACCAGATATTCATGGTTGGAACTGAGAAGAGAACACAGAATAGACAATAAAGCTGTATCTGCAAATTTTTGACCTAAATATGTACATTTAAAGTAATTTAGATAATATGGAGCATTTACAATTCATAAAGGAAATGGGATTGAAGAGAATATTGGAATCTGTCTCTTATAAACTTCTTATATTCGCGTGTTTTGCATTTCGAACACTCTGGGTCTCTTAGTAGTCATTTGTAGGTCAGAATAGTGTCCCTATATTATAATGTCTGTAGAAAGAGTTATAGGATTAAAATAGCTAGCAATCTATTAGAGGTATTGAAATTCAATAACATACACGATTAAACTTCACAATTGCAATCTGAAAGAAAAGAAACCATTGATAGTCGTGCGAGCAATTATAAAATCGCCGTACTTCTAAAGCTTGAACTTCGACCAATTTGGGAAAAAGATTAAAATGGAAATCGACTGCATCTCAAAACGACGTCGCTTGGAATCTCGAATTACTAGCCCGTTTCGAGAATGAGAGATGCTAGCTTTTTGGGTACAAGATTTACGAGACCCAGACTAGGAAGCAAGAAGATGGAGAATTACTATCAGCATGATAATGGGATACTTTATGATGGGTTAGATACCTGAGAAGAGTTTGTTGAAGACTGCTGTGGGCGGACTATTTGGCTTTTCCACGTTGTTCCTTCACTTTCATTATGCGTTCATCATTCTCGTGTGTAGCTTTCGCCCTCTTTTCTGGTGAGGCGTTGGCGATCCACCCGATAGCTTTCACCACTCTGGGGTTGTACGGCTTTTTCTTATTATTAGATGGCCTGGACGGTGAGGCTATGTATACACCAGTCAACAATTACACATCAATTGATATGCATGAAATGTGAAGTGGTCTTAGAGTTATTGATTGCGAAAGAACATGCATTGGACCATAGAAAAATGGAAGGAAAGAGCACTAACATTTTGTCAATGGTGCAGGTGCAGGCCCCAAGTCAATGAATCTGCCCTTCGACGACTTCACATAACAGATCTTGGAACCTGTAACTCCCCATATTCCAGAGCGAAGTTTATCCAAAGATACAACGAATTTACCACCCTGGGAGAGGAACCAGTCCTTTTGGTCTGTTTCAAACGGCATGTACAACAATTTGCCATCCTCGATTTCATAATTCCCAGGGGGGAGTGTATCAACATTCTTATATCTGTCTTGGTCCAAAGCTTTGCAGTTTGTCAGCGTCTATTGAAGAATGGAGATAGAATGTCAAAGAGAGATGATAGGCAACAAGTTGAGCTATTATACCTTCGTCACTGTCTTTGGACTCATAGTATTCAGGAGTATCCCTCATAACTGCCTCTGCGGTGGTACCAACATTCTTATGTCTGTCTTGGTCCAAAGCTTTGCAGTTATGTTAGCATCTATTAAAGAATGGAGATAGAATATCAAATAAGAGATAATAAGCAACAATTTAAGCTGCTATACCTTTGTCACTGTCTTTGGACTCATAGTATTTAGGAGTGTTCATCATAACTGCCTCTGCGGTGGTACCAAAAAAGGGTTTGAGTTGTAAAATGCGATTATTGAGGATGAGGAGAAAGAAATTTACAAGATTGTAAATTTTGGAAATTGACTGTTTAAATATCGTATAAAGTCTGGTTGTAACTCATCATGACACATAACTTGAGCTAAATTTATGATATAGTCATCATAATGCACATAGAGCATCAATGAGAATTTTCTTTGTGGAATTCAGCTCACATCTCAAGTAGAACGAGTCATGCCAATGAGTAATTAAAATTTGGCCTATAATGTACTTTCACTAGCAACGAAAAGGCAGAAGAAGACTCTAATTGACTCAAAAGAACGTTCGAGCTCGGAAGAGAAGACAGTCATGTCGCTTGTGATTCACTATCAACAGCCCAGTCATCCCGAAGAACTCATTTAACCCCCAGATGCAGCATCCTCATTCTACCAGGCAACTTATTTGCTGTTAGATGCTTGACCTTCTTTTTTGATCGTTTTTTTGGATCGCTTGTCTAAGTTGCTTGATCGTGCATTCCTTAAATACGCATTTGAGTCGCTCGATCACGTTCTTCTTAAATAGTTGTCTAGGTTGCTTAGCCCTTCATCGATGTTTTTCCCTTTCTCCTTCTTGATGCCAGAAGTTCCTGTCTCTCTTCCTCGGCTTCAGTTTCGTTAGCCTAATGCCTACTTCGCGCTTCACGAGGTAGCGAGCCCTTCTTCAATGCAGAGCGCCGTTGCTCTATCTCATCTAATAACTTGCCCAACTCTTTCTCCAGTTTCTTTCTCTTCCCTGCCACTTCCTGAATCTTTTTCTTCTCCCGGTGACTAGCTAATTGATTAAAGTGTGTTTCCTTGAACTTGTCAAGTTTGGGTTTCATCTTGCCGTGAGAAACACTATTGGATACACCGGTTATAACGCACAATGTGGCGACATCTACCCAGGAGGGCTTCAATTTCTCTGCAGATTTTGACCTCTGTTAGCATGTAGTCCGTCTAATTCAAAAATATTGATAAACTAAGAATCCATATAATATCTAGGTCATCACAGCGCCAGCTGGACAGGAAAGATAAGGCTCTTACTCTTTTTATTGGGCATTCTGTCTTTTCGAGGCCGAACTATCTGGCCTAGCTTCGTTGGTTGTATTCGGAGACGTTATATGTACCTTCGGTGGTGTGGGATGGTGTTCAATGTATTAGAAGAATCGTAAGAGAATGGAGTTGATAGCTTTCTGGGAGAATAATGGGCGTTGGAGGCAATATTAATATATGTAAATTACTTCATGCTACCTTAGTTTTGATGGCCTTGTTGGTGTTTGACTTTTAGTTATAGTAAAAATGATTGAATTACACTTTTATATAAAGGTATTTTGATGTAAATGTTAGTCAAAATTTTTTAAGAGCTTTTGTCTTGAATATATCAAAGGCTTTGTCAAACATTTTGAATGGCATATTCAAACCTGTATCTATCAACCGACAAAAAAATATAACAAACAATTTTTTTTCTTTTTGTTTCCAACGCAATCTTTTGCACGAGTCCAAGAGTAAGTTGAAGGTTCATTCATTACCAGCTATATTGAAGATTCAAATCCACCGAATGTCTACGGTTTTAGATGAAATTAATATGTATAGTAATGGGTCCTTGTTATAAGTAATATGTAAATGTCATTACAATGTCTTCAGTAGAATGTATTTATATTGTAGTAATATTATTAAAGGATATGTGCTAGCTTTGTATGAGTTAATTAGGGATAAAATTTTCTACAACATCATACTCATACATTTTTAACGGAGTCTTAGCAAGTGGATAAGAAGCATAGCTGCTATATATTGATATAAGATAATCAAGAACAAAGTATCCAATGGGTTAATCTCGGCCCATGATGCCTAGCATAGATCATTTTCTTTTACCTCACTTCATAGATCAACACCAACATTCAAATAATATCATACAATTGATATACATATTACAGATACCCTCATTGTTATACGGAAGTACCTAGAATCTGCTTCAAAGTATCTTCCTCTCAGTAGATTCCTTGATTTATAAATATTAATTGACGTGCGTAATAAAGTGGATAGCAGAATTAATTATATTTACGCACATATATATCAACTAATTCCCTTTCAAGTAAACAAAAATCAAAACCTTTGTTCTTCATTGGATTTAACGTCGGTGTCTGAAATAAAAATTACCCGCGAGAACGTTAGGGGTGCCATCTTCCTCTCGCGTCATCCACATATCCACATCCCCCTCCATATTTTCACCGGTGAAATGACGTCTAAGTACTTGACGCCGAGGGTCATCGCTGGTGGTATCTATGGAGTAATGAACTTGTTCTTCATCGTCATCTTCATCGACATAATTGCTTGATCGACCCGTGGGAGATTCGTAGTCACTAGATGATATTTCACGCCGCCAATCGGGGTCTTCCCTCCGGTCATTACTGCTCCGGGTTGAGCGACCGGATGATCCAGACTCTGTATAATAATCGTTACTGGCAGGGCCTATATCAAGCCTAGAAAAGAGATCGGACAAGTCATCGAGTCTCGAGGGCCCGGAATAGTTCCGATCACTCGATGTGGAATAATAATCATCGCCTCGAGAACTACTTTGATATCGTTCCTCGTCAGCACGGCCTCTGCGGTCTCGGTCACTCATTGGTGAGTAGCTTGACGATCTATGATGGTTAGAGGCTCCTAGCCGACGGGAAGAGCTACGGTAGCTGCCATAGTCGCTGTCGTCGTCATAAGAATAGACAACTCTGTAACCGGGAGATGAATGGCTGCTAGAACCGATACGAGTGCTAGTTCGATAGCTACTGTTATTACTGGAACTTTCTCGACTGCCGTGTCTTCCACTAGCCCCGGAGTAAGTGCGGATGTATGTCGGCATAATTGCAGTGTCTTTAATTGCTTTGGGCCCAGACCTGTTGGGTGGAGAAGCGTATAGGAGTACTGACGAGATTTCGCGAGAAATGAACGTTGAGATTGACGAAGGCAGGCGTTTCTTCGGTTTTTAAAACAAATAAGGTAAGAATGTTTTCTTTTATTTGAATTACCGTTGATATGGAAATTCAACATTCACTAGGCACAGACAGCTTTTAACCCGGAGATTTCTTGTGACAAAGTGCAAATGGGACCTATAAACAATGCTTGTTCCCGATTTCCCTCTGGTCAAGCCCAGTATTTGAAAGGTTGAAGGAAACAATACGATTATGCTTTCTCTGAATTCATTCCACCGTCAATAGGAATAACAATGATCTTTAAACACAAGTGATTGTCGACTAAGCCAAAGATTCTGACAATGCAACTTCTGACTCCATTCAAATCAACATTGACTTCGATGGTTCACCTGTCAGCCTGTATCGTGCCATCTTTCAAATAATGACACCCTCTAGATCAGTTTGAGTGGAAATTTTTCATATTGACTTGGAGAATACGTAAATTACTATTTAATTCATGCACCAACTCAACACCCATTCAGCTCCACAGTGAAACAAAGACTAACCTGTGGACACGAAAATTGAGACAATGCTGGATTTCAGGGATTTTGACCACCTTCAATGTTGATAGAAAGAACGCATATATGTAGCAGGAGGAGAGAGTTGCATACTCCATGAAGCCGTCAACTGGTTTGCTGTTCTACAAACTGACTCGGTTACTGGCCAATGATGACGTGCCATGGTATTTATCAGGTCGTCGAGTCCACATCTTGCCGAGTTCGACGTTGAAATAAAAACGTCAGCTTTGTTGACAGGACGCGACACCGATCAGCAATCTAGCACTCCGCAGTACGGCCGTATGTGGCGATTATGAGTAATTTTCCAAATGCCGAGCGGCGCTGCGGACCGCCGGGATCTTGCGCGAGACGGAGAACGGGAGAATTTCACACCTCGGTGCGATCCAGACGCCCAAATGCGTTTGTCAGCTACAAAGCTTCTTGAGGTAACTATATCAATTGGTAATATTATGCAAGCATGAAACAACCTCGCTGCGTGGCGAGCCTAGACCAGACTACCACGACGTCGACTTCCGAGAGCCGAGGTCACATGACTGGCGTGGCCAAATGTATCCCTGCAAAATCCACGCTGCGACTTCTGCCTATATTCATTGATTGCATCGCCTGTCGGCTTACGCGAGTAGGACTGACACCGCGACCCAGAAGTCGTGGGACAACTGTCTCTCGGGCGTCGAAGAAAATCGCCGAGCGCGATCGAATATACAACTGACATGGCAGAGTCGGCAACCGTGTTGCGGCCGAGGATTTCCAAATCGTGCGACCAGTGCAAGGCACGCAAAGTGCGATGCATACGTATGAGGCACATGACTCGTCTAATCTGATGACTGCAATTATTGACACTCTCATAGGAGATAAACCCGATTCCCAGACTTGTAACAATTGCCTCGTAAGTATTGCCCGTAACCTGTGGCTGGTTCCCTTGGCCAATCATACGGTGTGGTGCACAGAAACGGCGCCAGCAATGCCATTTCAGCCAAACAAAACGGAAATTGAGGCTGCCAGAGTCTGAAAATCCTCCAAGCCATGGTGAGTTGTGAATACAATCTACATTTTCCGTTGTCTCATAGATCATTGTTAGACCGTCCTTTGAGTCAGTTACCCGTCATCCAGACACCAAGCGACGCTAGCTTGGGGGAGTCTGCTCCAAGATGGGAGCATCCGCAGACAATCTACATTGATCATCTTCTAGAGAAGAGATACATTGACGGTGTTGGTGGCTGGAGAAACGAGTCTTCAATTGTCAAGGTGAGTAAAAACATAGACAAAAAGTATCATAGATGGCCGTTAACAATTGCAAACAGGCTGCTGAGCACTATGGTATTTGCTGGTTCTTCTTAATTACCACCCGCATAATAGGCTGATGAAAACCTCGGATCAGTTGCAAGCGCTAGTCTTGCCTTCTTCTCTGAAAGCAGAATCCGATCATTGTCCGAGCGGCTAGGGCACAGCAAGCTCCGGGACCTTATCGAGGCAATTGGCTGCGTCATTAATGCTAGAATGAATCGTAGCAACGATATTTACGAATGGAAGGGCCCCGGTGCAATGATCAAATTCAAAAGTCCGGCCACGCCAGAGCAAGTCTCGGCGGAGGCTGCCGCGGGGTATATAGCAGGTATGGCTCAATCATGCTCGCCTTGGATTACCTCTAGTTCTAACTTTCCTTTGAAGTATATTTTGAACAAGTTCATCCGATCTATCCATTTCTCGATCGGCAAAGCTTTGAGGAGAAAGCCCACAGTCGGGACTTGCCCACCCATCTGTCTGCAAGTGCGGCCTTTTCTGCTTTGTATCATTCTGTGCTAGCTCTAGGTTGCCAGTACACGGAAGGTGGATCTTTCGAGACAGGCAAAGGCAAAGCGTGGAAGCTATATCAAATTGCTCTGGGCTTGTTTCCAGACCTTCTTCTCCCACGAGAGGCTTTGGAAAACCTTCAAGTGAGTTCCCCCAAAAGACAGATTTTTGCAAGAGGCGCTGACATTTTTCAGGCTATCACTGCTATGGTAAAAACCAAAAATTAACCTCACGCGATCGGCAGCCTGTAGCTAACAGTGTCATAGACCATATTTGCCTTAAACCTTTCTTGCATACAGATCGAAGAGACATTAATTTCCGAAGCGGCAAGGATGGCCCAAGCATTGGGATATAATAGAGCCACAAGTGTCGACGCGGGCCATAGGACTTTCTGGGTTATATATACCTTAGAAAAGACCACATGCTTCTTCGCCGGCACCAGTTCGGTAAAGAATTCATCACCAAGTAAACGGCGCCCCGTTGCTAATGTCCATTCAGGGATTGAGTGACTTCGACATTGGCTGCCCTCTTCCAGAAATCCCCGAAACTGTATTTGGAGGTGTCGATTGGTTCCTTTCGTCAGCTCGGTTTGCCCGTCTGGTTTCACGGGCCTATGAAATGCTGTTCTCAGTCACAGCTACGATGAAGACGCCTGAGCAGTACTTTTCTGCTATCGACCAGGTGAATGATGATTTAGACCAATGGAGAAACTCGCTCCCAGTAGAATTTCGACCTGGTGACCCATTTCGACCCGGAGGAAGTAACACGTCCTGGACTCTGCTGGTCGCTCTGCGAGCACATTTCTTCTACCATGCCGTGGTCATCGCCCTATGCAGGCTCACACTACATGTCGGCGCTGGCACAGCATCTGGGCGTATGGAAGACGCCAAAAAGAGGCTCATGTACACCGCACGTCAAATTATCGAAAACACACGGTATATTGATGCTGAGCCTTACACGCCAATCTGGTATTCTACTCCCTAGTCCTTTCTTTCTCATAAATTTGTTGACGTGGCTGCGCTAATTGCGATAGGATGCTTGGTGTAATTCCACTTTCGGCATTGTTCATTCTTTTCGACTTTGTCGTCCACAATCCCTCCCATCCGGAAACTAGCACCAATCTAGCTCTTTTAGACGTTGCTGGCGGTTACTTTAGTCGGCTCGAGTATGCAACTGGAGGTTCTCTTCCTAGCTCCTTGCTTTCAGACTTTGCTCACATTGCACGCCAATTCGTCCGAGACATCAATCCTGAACAGCGCATGGCTGCTGAATCTGTCACTAGATATACCCCATATCTCTCTACGAAATCTTTCGAAGGGATGTCACAGGCACCTCAGCCAATGACATATCTGCCTACCCATTTAGTAAGGACACATTACCTTTGGAAACATCAAAAGATTTATAAGATCTAACAACCTGCATTAGCCGACGAACCAAATGCCTATCCATGGTGAAATACCTAATCAAGTCTCTGTACCTTACACAGATCAACTATTTTATCCCACTACTGACCTACAGCCTCTCATGGGTGGCAATATTCCTTCTGGCTTCGATATCACAAACCTTTTCGACGCTGTTATTCCCGAGTTTCCGAACCTCTAGCTGCGTTGAGGTGAATTAAAGCTAATGGATATTTCACATTTCGACTACAAAATGTGGATATCCCCAATTTTGCAGTCAAACTCTGCGAGGCATCTTGTGGACCAAGGCCGTCGGTGGTAGATACAGAGCTAGTCAGCTTTGTCTCATTATCTATCGAATTGAAGCAACACACATGAAGGAATGGTCAGTGATCTACAATTATACAACATCAGTCCGATTTGATTCACTCGAAGCTAGTCACTTTGTGTGGGTCCTTCATAGGCCAACACAGACACATGAAACATCCGCCCAGCGTCTCACCTCGATTCATAAAGCCTGTCGTGTCATAGCTGTTTCTTAGAAATGGTGTACTGGGATATAATGCACTTTTCAGCAGCGTCTCAGGTTTCAGGCCTTGATCAGCAGCTTCTCAACCATGAGTCCACATAAAGTCAATCTATGAACTCCAAAGCCACTTCGGCTCTGACTTGAATGCATCACATGCATCTATGAGTGTTTCATATATGCTTTTGTTAATGCTTTTTTCTAAAGCTTGTTTTGTACAAGATACCAGCATGGCTCTCGACGCCGAGGTCGATACCACGATACAACCTAAGATGATCGTCATTCGCAATAGCAGAATTTCGACAGCGTCATCCCTTGCGATTGCCTGTATATTCATTGAAAAGGAAAGGGATAAGAAAGTATACTATGTAATGAAATCCGATTTGATGCAAGTAAGCACCTAATAATTAGTATACATGTAGTTTTACAGCATGCTTTTTGGAATATTATCGCCATCCAACTTGCCTTTGTACTGATCCTCAACCTGTCGTAGCATTCCATCAATGTCAAAATGCCATATTTTATGCGATCGCCATTTAATCTCCTCATATATCTTATCCATATCATTGCCTGTTTCCGCGTTATTCAATTCGTACACATTGCATATCATCCGGCTACTTCCCACAAACCATTGCGTGCGCTCACGACGAACAGCATCGAAAGCTGCAAATGCCGCAGTCAGAGCTTCTTGCTTTGAAGCACGACCACCCTTTTCCATCGACTCTGTGACCAACTCTAGCAACCTTGATAGCGCAAGCGCATCTTCGACTCCGATTCCAGCACCTGCACCATGATGTGGCGAAGCTGCATGGGCTGCATCACCTGCGATACAGACACGACCACTTGCATATTTGGGAGCTGGATGGTCGTTTGTATCGAATATGAACCATTTATCCATCTCGTCATCCAGAAGGTTTGTGATTGTGCGAACGGTGGGTCCCCAACTTGCAAAGGCCTGGACAACTTCTTGCTTGCTCCCCGGCTCCGAAAGCCTCGATGAGTAAGATCGCTCGGTTGAATCATCCAAGAATGCAACAACGTTCAAAAGGCTCTGGTGAGCGACTGGGAAGTGTAATAAATGGGCGCTTGGTCCGAGATGCATGCGTTGATTCCTTGCTAACTCGTCGCCTAATGCAGAAGCGGCCCTATCCATTGGAATCAAGGCGCGAAATGCAGATTTGTGACTATATGTTGGATATGACGCCGGATTTTCTTCCCCTAACAAAATGCGACGCACTTTGGACTTGATTCCATCACACCCAATGACTATACGAAGTTATGAATGAGTATGGGTCTTCATGAGGGTGTGTTGGATGACTCACCTGCGTCTGCTTCTGCGGTCGAACCATCTTCAAAGTACAACTTCAGTTTGCCTTCATCCCCGGGGTCGACGTAATGATCCAGTCGCTTACAGAACCGGACGACGTTATCTGGAACTAATTTGACAAGCTCGTCCAATAGATGGGCACGATGACATCCTTCAAAGCCACGGTAGCCAGCGTACAATTTGAAGATGATTTTCGATTCTTCGTCCTCCTTTTGATTAAATCCGTCAGCAAACTGGAGATAGTCATTTGGATCGTCAGGATTGCCGTTAGATGTAGCAACTGTTTTCAAAGCATCAACTATTCCTGGATGTATTAAACGCATGCATTGAATCGCATTGGCAGTGAAGGCAACACCGGCTCCTATTTCGCGAAAGCTTTGCGACTGTTCATAAATCGTGATTTTGACATTTCGCTTCAACAGCCCAATTGCTAAAATCAAGCCACAAATGCCCCCGCCAACAATAGCTATCTCGAATTGTTCCTCATGGGAGGTCGAATGCGACTCCTTTTTGCTCATGCAGTTGCCCATTGAGGCTTTTCTTGGCAATCGCGAGTTTTTTCTAATTCGTGAATGTCAAACATTGATTTTACTCTCCGGTGGATACTGGTTTGTTAGCATCTTTATATGTCACTTTTGTGCTAGGGTAATACCATATACTCCGATAACCCGAGAAAAAACTCCAGACCTCTCTTGATTGTCTTCACTCCGAGAAATGCCACTCGGAGGATCCGATTTATATGGCCAAACAATAGCCCATTGTTAGATAACGTTTCATCTTTAAACCCGACAGTCAACGTCAGACCGTTCGAGACATTCGTATTCTGTGACCTAGGATAGTTATCTTACGGGGGACTAGTAGAACTATGGCTTTAGAGTTCTCGTCACCTTACCAGAGAAGTCACGTCAAAATTCCGAGAGCTTAATTTTTAAAACTTCTTTTTTATTAATGCTCAAACCCTTTTCATTTTTATACCACTCTTTATTCTAATAGCCGTCAGATGGGTGGGGGATCGCGGCTATTTCAAGTTCTCCGTCCTGATTTCTATGGCGATGATCGTTCACGGCAATCATGACTCGGAGTTTCAATATCGGAGTTGTGCATCCTATGCAGGCATTAATCCCACGCGCTGGAGTTTAAAAGCATGGTTGTGTCAACCTCGACCTGTATGGCCATATCCGCAATTGCACTGAATTTATGCTTTTCTGTTCTTCAACAAGAGTCACCATGGATATGATCATTGGCATACTAGAGCGCATGATGCTCTACTTTGCACCAAATTCGAACCAAGACTCTCCAAATCCCGTGCAGGTAGACAAGGAAAAGGAATGGCAGGATTTGAATCGTTATCAAGACGTATTCGGCCAGCTGCCAATGCTTCAGGCATATAGCCATATCATTCTGACTTTCTCCATGCCGCAGAACGTCTCGCAGGAGGAAATCATCAAAGATATCGAAAATGCAATGAGAAAAGTCGAAGAAAAGGTTCCGTGGATGGCGGCCCAGATCGTCAATGTAGGCAAAGCACCAGGGTATTCGGGCGTTAATAAATACGCCCCCTGCCCTCCTGCAGAACGTCCAGTCGTCGTCAAGGATGTCTCAGACGCATTCCCAACATATGCAGAGGTAAAACGCTTGAAGGCTCCAATTAATATGTTAGATTCAGCATTTCTCTCCCCCTGCTCATCATTCCCGCAACCATTTCACGGATCCGAGGAGGATCCAGCTCGAGTTATTCGGCTGCAGGTTAGCTTTATCAACGGAGGAATATTTTTGAATTTCGTTCTTCACCACGCCACGGGTGACGCGGGTGGTCATTTCTGGTTGGCACGCATGATCGCCATGGCAATGCGAGGAGAAGAATTCCCAGAGTCTTTCCTGGAAGAAGCCAATAGAGACCGCAGAAAGCTTTTCCCTCTCCTTGGTCCGGATGAGCCGATGCTAGATCATAGCCATCTCCTCCGTCCCCCAATCACAGCAGATAATCCAATAGTAACCCCAACTACAACAACCTGGCACTTCTTCCGCCTCACCGCAGCAAAAATGGCCAAATTAAAGGATCTTGCTAGCCAGAAAGAAGGCTTTGAGCCCGGTGTTCCATATATTACGACAGATGATGCAATTAGTGCCTTCTGTTGGCAACGATTTATCACTGCCCGTCTTCCACGTCTTGATCTTAATACGGTTGCTAAGTTTTCTCGCACGATCGACGGCCGAAAGTCACTGGGCATTTCATCCAATTATTTGGGCGACGTGATTCATAATGTGCAGACACACGTTTCTGTCAAGGATCTGACTGAGAAGCCCCTTTCGACGATTGCATCGCGTATGCGTAAGCGCTTGAACGAGGTCAGCAACGCCTACCATGTGCGCAGTTTCGCATCATTTATTATGAGCCAACCGGATAAGTCTACCATTACCTACGGTGGTCGTGTCAATACAGAAACAGACATTGGTTCATCTTCAGTTCGTGCTGCAGAGCTGTACTTTGATTTTGGAAAGCTGGGCAGACCGGATTTCGTCAGACGGCCGTGCCTCAAAGGCGTGTCGTGCCCAGGGCTTCTAGCCTTTTTACCCCAGAATCCAGATGGCGATTGTGACTTTATTGCGGCATTGACCGAAGCAGATGTCGCGGTCTTGAATAAAGACCCAGTTTGGACGAGTTATGTTGAATATATTGGTTGATTATATAATTTCTATATGTATGCATTAGTGAGGGGTTTGAGGCAAGAAAGGGATCTTATCATGGTAATAATAATTTAAATATATTGTGAAATTGAAAGCTATTTATCAAAAATGATATCGCTCTGGAAGATTTTTTTTCTTTATTGAGGCATCCATAGGAACTATAGGAAGCTGAATGTCAACTTTATCAATTGATATATATATGTAAAGCAGGCCAGTTGCCAGGTGAAATAAAAGAGAATTTAGAATGTTATTAACTTTTGTTCTATGAGCAGTTTTATTTGGTATTTATCCAGCTCCTATTTTAGATGGTTTACATTATCCAGCATCTTCTTAATATATAATATAAATAAAATATTTTTTTCATTCTTAAACCCCGGTATGTACTGAAACCGATTTTTTTAAAAATAAGTGCTGAAAAAGTGAAATACTAGCCCCAAAACTGTTTCGGGGATGCCAATAAAACTTGAAATTTGCTTTATGTCTATCTATTAGTGCAGCAATGCTCTTTCCTCTGAGTTGTCTGTCCTGGTTCAATTGGTCTCTGCCTGACCGCCCAGGCAGCGATCACCTGACCATCGATTGCCGCACAAATAAGATCTCCAAGCCTCATGTAATATAGATTCATTCCTCATGCTTAGAGTTTTAACCGAATCAACACCATAAATTTACTTTATGACTGGTCCCTCAAACCAGCAATCCTCGAAGCGTTGGCATCGAGCCTGTGAGAATTGCAGGTACGCTTTGAAAGCTATGTGGACTTTCATCCGGAACTAATACTGATCTTCGGCAGGCGGAAGAAGACTCGATGTCCAGGTGAAAGGCCTTCTTGTTCAACGTGTACGCGACTTGTACAAGTTTGCCGATATGGCGATGAGGCCGTACTCGCAGTTCCATCGGGAAAAGAAAATGGGAAGAATATCGTGGGATTCACCGCTTTTTTGCTTTATTTTTTATCGTACTGACCTTTCTGTAGGAGGGGCGCTTGGCACAGCTGGAAGAGAAGATGGAATTGATGCTTGAAAGAGTAAAGTATGTATATTTACGCTTTAAATATTTACTTATTATCGACTTTGTTCCTCAAAGCTGAATCTTCAAGCCCGGTGCCGTCAACTCAAGAGCAGATATCCCGATTGTCTAGTCATTCGCAGTCACCTATTCATCAAGTAACACATACTGTGTCTCATGATCAACCGCCGAAATCAACCGGAACAGAGTAGGCTATCCATCGTCCATTAAAAGTGATGGTTTGTTGATAACACTGATACAGACCTCTCCCGCCGACAGATATTATTGTAGAAATTATTCGTCTCTATTTCCAATACTGTCATCGCCAGCCGCTCTGGCTATTCGAGCGTGAGGATCTTTCTTCGCCTCAAACACTACCAGAAGAGGTTATTTACTCACTTTTGGCACTTGCTATTCGCTTTTCGAATCGAGAATTCTTTGCCAGCGGCTCGGAGAAACTGTCGCAGAAATACGCGGAAGTTGCCCGTGGCCATATCATGTTTAGAGTCGCGCAAGGTGGTGTGAAATTGTCAACCATACAGAGTTTATGCTTGCTAGCCTTTTCAAATTTCGTTGGTAGGATGCTCTATTCATATGGGAGGCTTACTCATAGCTGACTGTGAACAAGCTCAGGACACTCATCTTTCTTGGCTTCACATCAATTTAGCAAATGCTCTCTCTACAGGTGCCGATATGGATATAGAGAAGAACAGCGAAGTCTATTCCCCAAATGCAGAGGCAAAAAGAAGAGTTTTCTACAGCATACATCTGCTGAATCAACTTTATGCACCACGCTTAATGATGTTGAATATGCTAGATGATATCGACGACCCGAGATATATGGAACCTAAACGAGATTCGTTAAGGGAATCAGGTAGACCACCACCATTAACACCACAAGATTCAGCAACTATCACAAGGACCGAACGCGGTGCTATATGGACATATATGGTTCAACAATCGTCCTTGTGGCGGGAAGTTCGAGGCTACGTTGCGCAGTGTGCAGATGGCAATCCAAAGCCTCCTTGGTCTCCAGAGTCCGACTATGCAATCATAGGCGCGCATTTAATGGAAGTTGAGACTCGTTTTCCAACATATCATCGCTACGACGCGGTGAGATTTCTCGACCGTTCTAACGAAGAGCTGCAGAGCAATCGCGACTTCTGGAGCCCCTGGTTGTATCTGCAATTCGCGTATCACGCCATTCATAGCATGCTTAATCATCCATTTCTATATTCGTCACGCCCGCATCAGTCTATTCAAATGTCTGTTCCCAATACCTTTTGGAAAACATCATCTGAATTAGCAATGCTTCATTCGACATGGACAGCTCGATTGATTGACATGGTATGGGAGAAAGACTATCGAGTTTCGGACCCATTTATCGGTTACTGCGCTGCCATTGCTGCCACTATACATATATACTATTGCCGCGCTGCCGATATCCGAGTCCGCACTTCAGCGCAGAGTAAGCTTGCCAAATGCATGCGATTTGTTGACGAGTTGGGCACAGTGTGGCCGGTTTGTCAGTGGATGGTAAGTTCAAGATAAAACTGTGCTGAAAGAACATCCTCTTAACACGCAAACAGTACGACTGTTTAGACACATTAGTTCAATCGGCGTTTAAATCGACTCACCATACGGATGAACTAGACACCAGCCGCAGGACTGTCTCTATAAACACATCTTTAATGTGGGACATTCTCGATTATACCTGTCCGAAGAAATCCTCACACAAACCAGGACGAGGTCTTTTTGATTCTTCGTTCATCAATGATCCTACAGACCATGGAGAACTCAAAGATAACGAGGACGACGAGGGCAATACCGTCGAAACACAAATCTTCCATCGTCCAAACCCCGCCGCTGAAGTCGACACGTCCAACGGGGGCCAGGAATTTCCGCCCTTTTCTGATGCTGCTGTACGCGGCAACACTACTAGAGTAGCACCAGGGCGGACTGGATATTCAGCGATGGCTGAGGAGCGTCTTGCACTGCAGCAACAGCATCAAACCGACCTTTCTGTATGGTCGGGAGCTGAAATGATGGAGAATTCGGCCGTTATGGATATCAGTTATGATCCTTTCTTTCAGTTTCAAGACCAGGCCGGCCATCACACTGGCTTCTGGGAGGTTGGCAACTTATAACAGAAAGCAAACTCTTGTATATGTCGATTGATCAGATGAGGAATGGATAAGCCTCGATTATCGGATAGAGAGACTATACTTGGCCAATGGGGACTGACTAATCATGTGACCAACCTCGATAAGGTCTACGTCATATCCGGGGACTAGCCTGCACAGCTCCGCTAATCCGCCGGATATTACATCATGCTTAGTGGTGCTTACTGATGGATGCTTTGACGATGTTTTGAGCCAATCAGAGACGCTGCTCGATTTCCCCGGCTTCTCGTAGCTCGGATCGGATATATGAGATACGCTTCACAGCGCCGAGTAATTGCAAATAAGCGATTGATCAGCAGGAGAAGGGAAAGTTTACCGGAATATTCACGAGCATACTGGATCTTGAGGTCGCGAATATATATATGTTCCATCGAAACGCCGTCTTAGTCTTGCTGCTCGCAATTATCGCATCACTTCTTTCACCACATCTATTGTTGTCGCTAGATAAGATCAAGAGCTTCTTCGACAGAACCATTCACACAAATATCACTCCCGAATCTATGACAACAGCAAAGGCTAGTGTCGCTACTGGTGCAGTCTTGAAAAACACCATGTCTAAACTGACTCACGCAACCATCGTCCCACGTCGCTCGTCTGCCCGTGGCCACGCGGACCACGGCTGGCTGAACACCTATCACACATTCAGCTTTGCCGACTATTATGATCCTGCCAATATGCACTTTGGAGCTCTGCGAGTGCTCAACGAGGATCGCGTCGCCCCTGGTAGTGGCTTCCCTACACATCCGCATCGTGATGCAGAGATCTTCAGCTATATTCTGAGAGGCGAGCTCACACATCGAGATAGTATGATACAAAAAGGAGCCGAGGGAAAGCAAGGGAAACAGTTTTATCGGATGAAGAGAGGTGATGTTCAGTTCACAACTGGCGGGTCTGGTCAGTATTTCGCCCAATAATGAATACATCATACATCTTACTAACATTTTATACCTCAGGCATTGCACATTCCGAACAAAACGAACATAAATCAGAACCAGTACATTTCCTTCAAATCTGGGCTACACCTTGGCGCAGAGGACTGCTTCCGCAGTATCATACACTTTCTTTCGACGATAAATTGAAGCAGAAGGCGTTCCTTCCAATTCTATCGCCATTGGCGGCAGGCGAGAACGCCACGGCAGCTGAGGAAAAAGAAGCAACCCCAAAGATTCCAGGAACAATCCCAATTCATGCCGATTTCGTTATGGGAGCCGGATTAATTGGGGTTGATAAACGGTTTAAATGGAGAGTCGGAGGACCTACTGATGACGTTGTCAAGAGTCAAAGCGATCGAAATGTCTACATCCATTTACCCATGACCAAGGGTGGAAATGCGAAGATCCGACTAGATGGAAGAGAGGATGTAGTGCTATCGGAAGGAGACGGTGCATTTGTGAAGGGAGTAAATGTTGGGGATGAACTTAGTGTGGAGAGTATAGGCGAGGCAGAGGCAGAGGTCATTGTTCTAGACAGTAATTAATCAGACGATAATCGGTTATAATACAATTGCTTCTTTTATTGGTCAATTTCATCCATTTCTGAAGGCTAAGCTGGTGTCTTGCATGTGCCATTTCATCAAAATATTGTCCTTTAGTCAGCAGTATCACTTTAGGGCTTCTGATGAAATAAATAGGAAGCTTTAGCAAGTTAAAGTCAATAGGCCAATCATCGGTGAGTATGTTGCATATCCTCATGCAGTGTGCTGATCTCCGATTCTATGACCCATGCTCATCAATTGGTTGTTACACGAGATCAGTAAGCACTTGCATTGCCACGTCGTGCTCCCCGCTTCAACAACTCCGATCAGTAGCTATAAAGATAGCAGCGCGGGGTCTTCATCGTAATTCGTTCTTAACCCCAAAATATAACATTAGTACCATATTAACGAAAACTATTAAATATCAAAACTAATATCTGACAAAATGGGCCTATTTCCAGCACCCCGTCGAGTAGTCACCGGCCACGACGACAATGGAAACGCAGTTTATGTCGATGATAAACAGATTGTCCCCGAGCCAACTGGCTTCGACTGCGACTTTGCTGTTTTGTACGAAACCCATCAATTTCCAGCATCAAATGACAAATGGGAAGACCCGATTTTGGAGTCAACGAAGTCGCTGGCGAATGGCAAGGGCGTGGTCATTCGTGTGGTAGATTTTAAGCCAAACACGAAGACTGTATGTTTTTTTAATTTAATTTCACATTTATTCTCCACGTGGAAAGTCATATTTGCATCACAATAATCGAACTTGTCAGCTAATAGCCAATGTAGCGCTTTCATCGAACCATGTCGCTCGATTTCGGAATTATATTCGAAGGAGAAATGATCTGGTAAGGAGGATGAAAATTATTCAGTGTAATCAACGTGATGGCGATGTTGCTAAAGTAATTCAGCTACCTCGATAACGGTGTCGAACTAAGTCTCAAACGGGGTGATGTCTGTGTTCAACGGGGAACCATCCATGGATGGGAGAACAGGACAGACAAGCCTGCTCGGATATACTTTGTCCTTACAGGTGAGTGTTCAATTTTGAGTTGTACTCGGAATTAAATTTTCTAACTTGCACATTTCATAGCTGCCGACCCGGTCAATGTGAATGGAAAACTACTCACAACTGCCGGCTTCCATGATCAAGAAGCTGAGTCAGGAGGGAAATAGGGAAGGAAAATAGAATAAATCTAGAGGCTAGATTCAAAATTAGGGGCTTCAATATTTGTTGGATAAATGTCAAGAAAATAAGTAAATTACTTGAGAACATCAATCATTGATATTTAGGACAAGTGTGATACGTAGTTTGAAGCCTAGTTATTGACAACTTAAATGAGGACAAGGATCAATCTTATGCCGAAGATCTCTAATCTTAAACAAAGGCGATCAGTCTGGGCATGGACTAGCTCCTACTCGTCTAGGTTTCGCTTCGTTACAAGTGCCGGATGGGCTCATGGGTCTTCTCGTTACATCGCAATTTTATTCCCTAGTCTCGCTTCAATTATCGTTTAGAAAGACTCTTTAGGATACTGCTGTATTGATTTTACTATAACAGAGTTCTTTGTCGACAAATTATTTCAGTTTCTGTAAGCAATGAGCTAGGTCGATTCTATTCTAAGAAATCATACGTGGGTTGACTAATTGTAGGTTATTTTAGTTACGTGAAAAGTAATCCTCGATTCTTGATAATTCGGCTCCAGGCCCGCATTCATGCAATATATTCATTCGATCGAAGGAGCTTTAGGCATCAAATGTTTAAATCAAGTATGCTGACAAGGTTACATACGTGTTACGGCGAATACATTAATTTACCTAAATCGCATTGACACATGGGATAAAAGAATTATTCATCCTTGTACATACAGTATAACTAATCCAATCCATTATGGTTGTAGCAAGAGATTAAGGTAGGAGTGTGAATTCCGGATCTACGATACATAAAGCAAAGCATACGAATCTTGCATGATGGCGTCTAAATTAAGGATGGGGTAGGAATTTCAAAAGCCAATTATCGTTATGAGTGACTAAACTTCAGTTGATCCATACTGGAACTGAAACGGCTAATTTTAGAAACGCTTGCGATGTTTGATACAGTAACAGGTTTGCTACGCTATATTGATAATCAATGCAAATCAGTATCTTAATCAAATCGAAGACACATTTCAAATAGCACACTGCGTAAACGCTTCAGATAAAGTTGTTATCCTGCACAGTCACGTCCTAGGCAACCTGGGGGCCGAAGCAACAGGGGCGATAGAATGCACTGTAAGAACATAATTCGCAGAAGCCGTACTCGAGTATTATTCAAGACTGGTGAACTTTACATTTTCTGCGAATTAATTTTTCGTACACCTTATCTGAAGGCTATATACGGATACGTCTGTCTGAGAATAGCAGCCGAACTTCTTCGTCATTTTCTTTTTCCAACATCAGACAACAAGGGGGGGCCAACTGAAATAACGCCACGGTTTGGGGCCAAAACACCGGGACTTTTTCTGAATCCACAAAAACCCAACACTTGCAACAGGGGCACGCCAATCACAATCTCTAAAGCGTAATAAGCTCATCTTAGCTTCTCTGATGACTGTCATAAAAGGACTAACTAATACAACCTTCCAGAAACCGGCAATGGTGGGTAAAATGAAACACTACTCCTCTTTTCTCCCAATGCGCCAGCCAGCCAGAAGAGACAGCGAGAAAGCCCCCCTTTCCCATGAGATCGTCGTACTCGTCAGCTTGTCAATATGGTTAACTCAAGCTTGTCATGTCGCCAAATACGTGCTAGGCCCCGTGCATTCGCTATATTTCACGTCAAAATTCTAGCGAGGCTATACATCCAGAAGTTAAGGCGAACAGTCCATGTAGCAGAAGCCCTGGTAGCTATAAAACTGTACCTTGGTCCACTGCGTGTCAAAGTAAAATTTCTGCCCACCAACTCAATTCCTACCTCGACATAAACAGTCAGTACACAATGACGCGTCTCTCGTCTTCTTTGGCCTCGGCCGCTGCAGCTGCAGCATTGTACAGCAGTGGCGTGTCTGCGCAAAAGCTGGTCTTTGCCCACGTCGTCGTTGGTGACACTGCATCCCATAATCAGTCAACATGGGAAAATGATATCAAGCTCGCTTCTGCCGCAGCTATTGATGCTTTCGCCCTAAATGGTGGCTACCCGGACTCTAATATTCCTATTCAGGTCGCTAATGCATTCGCCGCTTGTGAGGCGCTCGACAACGGTTTCAAGTTGTTTTTCTCATTCGACTACCTCGGTGGTGGTCAACCATGGCCGGCTACCGGCGATAACTCCGTTGCCTCTTACCTTGCCAATTACACAAAATCCTCTTGCTACCAGAATTATAACAACCTGCCTTTCGTTTCCACTTTCGAGGGCACCAAAAATATCGACGACTGGGCCCCAGGTGGATCAATTCGATCCGCCGCCGGTGATGTCTACTTTGTGCCAGACTGGACCAGCCTAGGCACTTCAGGAATCACGGCTCACCTGGACAACATTGAGGGATTCTGTAAGCTGAATTGCTTTTCGAGTATACAAAAGAAATTCTGCTAACAGAAAAATCACAGTCAGCTGGAACATGTGGCCCGATGGAGCTAACAACTTGACCGACGACGGAGATAAGGCATGGCAGAGCGCCATCGGCTCCAAGTCTTACATGATGGGAGTTTCTCCGTGGTTCTTCCACAGCGGCAGTTCTTCAGGCACCAACTGGGTCTGGCGCGGAGATGACCTCTGGGCTGATCGCTGGCAGGAGGTCTTTGATGTCGACCCCCAATTCGTTGAGTATGTGTCATCTCCTCCCTAATATCGTATCCCACAATGCTAACCATACCACAGGATCGTTACCTGGAATGACTGGGGCGAGGCTTCTTACATCGGACCCTTCGTCAGTGACAACGAAGTTCCAACTACCTCTGCTCCCTACGTCGACAATATGCCTCACGAGAGCTTCCGGGACTTCCTCCCCTACTACATCGCCACCTTCAAGGGATCAAACTTTACTATCTCAAAGGACCAGATGCAGTACTGGTATCGTCTTGCCCCAGCTGCCGGTGGAAGCGCGTGCGGTGTTGACGGCAACGACCCTGACCAGGGCCAGACCGAGGTTGACCCCAACACCATTGTCCAGGACAAGGTCTTCTTCAGCGCTCTTCTGACCTCTGCTGCTACCGTGCAAGTGCAGATCGGAAGCAACTCGCCCACTCAGTTCGATGGTTCCCAAGGTCTCAACCACTTCTCCCAGCCATTTAATGGTCAAACCGGTGAAGTCACTTTCAGCATCATCCGCAACGGTGAGACCGTCGGCAATGGCACTGGAGCTGCTATCACCTCGTCAACGAGCTTGTCGAATGGCTGCACCAACTACAATGCCTGGGCAGGCAGCTTCTAAGCATTTGTCCATATTTTGTTAAATAAATGTATATATGGCTCCCGAGCCGGTTTATTTGTATCTAAATGTATATAGAAATTAAGGACTTGAGATGGTCAGGCAGCGCATAAGTATAGAGGTTGATTATTCGAATACCTACAGATTGTGTAATATGTATTCAAGGTGGGGGTAAATCAGCTTGAGACATGATGCATAAATGGGACGTTTTCAAGTAGGCCAAGCTAAGAATTCTCCCTAGAAAAGTGATTATTAGCCAAGAAATCAGTAATGGGGTTTAATGGGCCGTTCTTTCAACCAACAATCATTTCCAATGTTACACATTACCTTTTGTGGAAAAAATGTCCTCTAGCCGTACATATCCACCCGTTGCCACCTTATCATGATAGCAGTATTCTGCATATTTAGCGGAGCTCTTGGCTCTTTCTATGGTAGTTGGGAGACATCGTATCTTAGCGGTTATCGGAAAATGTTTTCATCATAGATAGATGTTGGAGAAGGCTGCTGATATCATAGACTAAAAAGATTTACGATCGTTATATTGTCAACGTAATTGTTCCGGAAGAAAGATCGACTTCACATCCTCCTCTTGTCTGCTTGTGCCCGGCGGCTCAATCCAGACCAATGTTTTCGCTGATTAGCGGGCACGTGGCAAATAGCTAGCTTCATGGAGGACGGCTGAGATGATGAGAGAGCAAATCCCTTAATTTCGCCAGCACTGAGCGTCACATAAGCGCCATTGAAGCAACATATACACGCCCACAAAGTACATCACGTGGCTGTACCGATACAAGGCCATCTGCCAGCGTTAGTATGCCCTCATATGCGACCAGACACATGCCTGGGTTGTTTACAACATATGTAGTTGAGCTAAGCATGACGCCGAGGAAGTTAGGGCTATCGCCGGCAAGAGTCTCAGAATACGAATGAAAGGCGTTGTACATTGGGCCATCCTGTCGAATATTGCTCAGCGGTCCAGTTATTCCGGCATAACCACTCGAAGGATGTGAGTGTCATTCGGAATTGTTTGAGAATAGGTAACACGTTTAAGCTAAAACCGTACTGGTGGATCATCCGCTCGATACGTTGGAGTGCATAATTGTATAAAGGATACCCACATATTATTTGTTATCGCTAGGTAACAGGAGAAGAACAGGAGAGCATACATAAAATCCCAGTAACAACGAGCGTTTCAATTCTAGCCCTAGTGAGGAATAGTAGCTATATAATCTAGGATACTGTTCAGTCTTTGTTGCCGTATTCTTAGAGTTGGAATAACTATCAGACGGTTAAAAAAGAGGTCTCCGAGAAAGTACAGTTCTGAAAGAATTATTTATACTTACTTGCTCCAGCAGTAGACACCCTCCTGGCCTGTAGAATCCAAGGCTTTCTCACTGCCAAAATGCTCCGTTTCCTCATGTTGTAAATTCCTGCGGGGTTGCCCCGAACTTGAATTCTGTAACGGGACATTATAGTCAGAAGAGGCTGATATACACCTCAGTCTGGATAATTAGTACCAATCTCTCTGTTCACTAGCATCAATTAACCTTTAACGAAGATGCCTCGTACTGTTGTGGGGTGTCGGTCCAATAACCGAGATCGCCATGAATTATCCGCATGACTTGTACATTCGAAAACACGGCCATTGCTAGCTCCACCAATGAAAGTACTCAAGTTAAGAATAAGAACCTTGATTATTTCTTGATTTTGGGCTGGCAGCTTTTGCAGAGCTTGCAGTGGAGCGAGGTGAAAGAGCAACAAGGAGGCGGTGTAAGAGACAAGGAAGGCGCGTCGGGTGCGTTAACAGAGCATCCATTTTGCCACCTGACTGGCCCCTTGTGTTCTCTTCCATCAACCCAACAACCGATATCCCGTCAATTGACCAGTACTTGGCACGAGCCATGGCACATAGATTCGGGTCGGGACCTGTCTCAATCTTAGATGGTTGCTAGCCTGCCCACTTGGCTCTCCCGGCTCTTCCAAGAAGGGTCTGAGCTGAGTGAGATAAGTCGGGGCGCCGAACTGAGATCGAATGACCCGCATGTAGGCGATATCTTGGGTCAGATGCAAGAAACCGGACCCGTTCCAGTCCGCTGGGAAAAGGAATGAGTACTTAACGAATTGAGAGCTGATCGTCAGGACTATAATTCCCTAGGATGTGGCTAGCCTAGCAAAGGGCTAGTGGCGCATGCGCTTGGCTGGCGATCGATGATCTCATCTCACGATCCAATACCCAATATTGGGGCAAGCATCGGCATTGCGCTTGCATCAAGATGCATGCTAGGTGTGACTGTCATGCAGATAGCACGATCGGTAGACGCCATCCGTGGCGCATGTGAACGGATCTTTCGGCTTGGAGCATGAACCCAGATCCAACCAGAAAACCAACGAGACTAGCCTATGCATGAGCGGACGAACAGCCGGCAATCGATTCAAAGCCAGGCCAAATAATGGGGGCAGCTGCGCAAGGGCCGTGCAAGGCTCGCTGTTCTATTGACAGATGCACCAATCACAAAGAAGTTGTTCGAAGAGGCACGAGCCCGGCCGGGCCTTCCATCGACTATTATTGCTTTGATTTGATATGACTCTTTGAATCTCCATCGCCATCCGCCACTATCTGCAGGTTTAGCTTCTTCCGGTGCAGTTGAGTCGCCAACATGCTATTTTTCGAAAGGACAAAGGCAAAAACTGCTTCACGTGAAGCTAGTGTGGGTGTATGAAAAGGCGTAATGTAAATTTACCATTCCTATGTGAAGTAGACGGGCAGTGTCTTTTCCAGACTGCATTCCAATTCCAATTCCCTCTTTGCGTATGCCAAATCCCTCTTTCCATGTTCCTTGAAATACTGCCCAACGAGAGAATAAGAAGATTATCCAGTTGAATCCCGAATCTGGCCAATATAATCACAACGAGATCCTCTGGAATATCAAACCCAGTCAAAATTCGAGTCCAGACAAGAATCTGAATCGCGCCACAGCACAATGATATCAATTGAAAATGCACTGACTTGCATAGTGGGCATTGCAACTCATTTGCTCTACTTTAATCGTGGGGAACACCACCTTCATCCACAGCGATACCTGCAAGCTTTCATCTTTACTTCCGTTGCTGTCGCCGCATTTCTCAGTCTTCGGCACAGCTTCCCATTTTACCATGCAGTTAGGGTCACTGCTATCTTAGATTTGTATTTTTTGGGCGGCCTGTATGCGAGCCTACTAGTATATCGCCAATTTTTCCACCCTTTAAACAAGTTTCCAGGCCCTTTTGGAACCCGCGTCTCCGGGTTTTTCCTGTCCCTAAAATTCCTCAAGGCCGACAGTGCCTTCCAGTATCTTCGTCTACATCAAAAATATGGATATTTCGTTCGTGTGGGATCTTCCGATTTGTCGATCACTCATCCCAAAGGAATGTCAGCCGTCTATGGCCCTGGAAGCAGCTGTACCAAGGGTGATGCTTACGACGTGACTAACCCAGTTGTGTCACTACACAGTTTCCGAAACAGGCAATCGCATGATAATCGCCGCCGTGTATGGAGTTCAGCCTTTGGCGACACCGCACTTCGCGGTTATGAGAAACGCATTCGCCAGTATCGAGATATGCTAATGTCAACATTTGCCGAAACCAAAGGCAGGCCAATCAACGTCACCCAGTGGTTCAATAACTACTCCTTCGATGTTGTCGGTGATCTTGCCTTTGGACGGTCGTTTGACATGCTCAAGAATGACAACGATCATTGGGCGGTCGTATTGTTGGCCGAAGGTTTTAAGCCTCTAGCCTTGTCACCTCCCACCTGGCTATTTCGGCTGGCTCAACATATTCCCGGGGCGACGAAAGACTGGTTCAGGTTTCTGGACTTTTGCCGCCGTAGGATACTAAAAAGAATGCAGGTTTGTTCTTGATTTCCGTTGTAGATTTAACATGATTGCGGCTCAAGTCGATTAACACGTCTTCAGAATAAACCGGATATTCCTGATATCACGTCTACTCTTTTAGCCCCTCTCGAGGGAAGAGAGCCAACGACCGAGGATTTAAACTTGCTAGTCGGCGATTCTCAGTTGATGATGGCTGCAGGAGGGTAACGATCCCTGGTTCGTCCAATCGTATGAAAAACTAATTCATTCGCCTTCTAGTGACACAACAGCAACAACACTGTCCAGCATTATTTACGAGCTGTGTCTTCATCCTGAACAAATCGAGCAGCTTCGACAGCTAGTCGGCCCATACATGACTGATCCTTCGGGCGACGTACTGAGCGAGAAAATAGCGCATATAGAACACCTCAACGGTGTAATATACGAGGCTCTCCGACTGCACCCCCCAGTGCCTGCCATAATCCAACGCAAGACGCCACCAGAGGGGATTTGGGTGGATGATGTATTTGTGCCTGGGGAGACGAGCGTGTTCTGTCCGCAGTATGCGCTCGGAAGAAGTGAGAACCCGTTTCTCAATATATACCCCATTGATAATTCCAGAATTGTTAACAATTCACAGGTACGGACATATATGTGAACCCCGAAGCGTTTATCCCAGAACGCTGGTACTCACGTCCAGAACTTGTCAAGGAAAAGAGTGCATTTGCACCTTTCTTGTCCGGTAAATCTGTCAATCATTATGGAGCCGTCATATTCTAATCACTACTAGGAACCTACGGCTGCATCGGACGCCCACTTGCCATGATGAACTTACGAAGCACTCTAGCCCGCCTGATCACCACATTCGACATCAAATTTGGCGAGGGCGAGGACGGCAGCAGTTTTGAGGGCAAGTCGACCAACCACTTTTTGTGGTGCCCTGGTGATTTATATATTTCGTTTACCCGACGAACAGCAGTTGGCACGAAATTGTTCATTTGATTATGGGATTGATAGTAACGAGGAAGTCCTATTCATTCATCGCGAGAACAGGGGGCGGAGGCTGTTAGTAGGCACTGCCTGCCCTAGGTTTGCTAGACTACTAGGCATAGTTGGCGGTACCTCGCCGCCAAGACTGGCAGAAAATGCGGGCTAGAGCCTAACGTAATTAGTTCCTTCCCTGAACCACCTGAGCCTGCTAGATTAGTTAAATATTTTGCCCGATCAACACCTCTAAGCTTAGCCCTGCATGTCCAATTGTACTGCCATGGCTTCGAAATCTGCATGGCGAAGTCTGCACCACAGCGCCAAACGTCGCAATGTCCTCTCCACAGCGCCGTATCGCTGCTTCTCGTGCTCCCTGCGATCCGCTCAGAACCCGCCGGGCAGACCCGACGACAGCTCGCGAATGACGCATTTCGGCTTCGAGACGATCCCAGAGGGAGAGAAGGAGTCTAAGGGTGAGTTCGCATCATAGTACAGCTTTGAGATGGTTATTTACTAATGCACTCCCCCCAGTCGGTGCCGTGTTCAGCTCGGTCGCCAGCTCCTACGACACCATGAACGACCTGATGTCGCTTGGCATCCATCGTCTTTGGAAAGACCACTTCGTCCGATCGCTCAACCCCGGCTCACCATTGGCATCTCGAAGCGGAGACGCGTCCAGCAAGGGTTGGAATATTCTTGACATTGCAGGCGGATCTGGCGACATTGCGTTCCGCCTGCTCGACCACGCAACCAACATCAACAACGACCGCGAGACCCGCGTCACGGTGGCTGATATCAACGCCGATATGCTGTCCGAGGGCCGCAAACGAAGCATCGACACTCCTTACTACAACACCAAGCGCCTCTCATTCATGGTCGCCAACGCACAGCACATGCCGTCGGTCCCAGATAACTCGGTGGATTTGTACACGGTCTCCTTTGGCATCCGCAACTTCACGGACAAGCAGGCGGCTCTGCACGAGGCGTACCGGGTGCTGAAGCCCGGCGGCGTGTTTGCGTGCTTGGAGTTTAGCAAAGTAGACAACACGCTTCTCAACGAGGTGTACAAACGATGGAGCTTTGGTGCGATCCCGTTGATTGGGCAGGTGGTTGCGGGCGATCGCGCCAGCTACCAGTATCTCGTCGAAAGCATTGAGCGTTTCCCCAGCCAGGAAGAGTTCAAGGAGATGATCCGCACCGCAGGGTTTATGATTCCAGGGCGAGGGTTTGAGAATCTCTCGCTTGGCATTGCGGCTATCCACAAGGGCGTCAAGCCGGTTGACGCGTGAGAGTGTACATTACCATTAATATTATACATGTATTTTAGGAAATAATAGAGCATCATACCCAATGATTCAGTGAACAGAAGGTACACACACGTACAGCGGGACGGCTCGCCAAGTGCAACGCCAATGCCCGATTGCAACAGGATGATGCGATCCCGAGCACGCTTTCGCCATTCTTAGCAACTGCCCATGCATCGCGCAGGCTACAAGGTTACAGGGCCGGTTGCGCCGTCGTGATAGGCTGCGGGGGCCCGTGGTCCCGCTCCGGGTTGTTCCATCCAAATCATTATTTCTAATCTGGCCTCCACCTCCACCACGGAGTCGTTGATTACTATTATTATTATTAAGTCAAGATGAAGATCTGATTGTGTTGTGTACCTGTGGCGCTCTAGTCGGATCTCCGCCTGCTGTCACCCCGTCCTGCACTAATAGACCAATACCGTCTCTTCCTCTTCCTCTTCCTCTTCCCCGACTTTTTTTTTCGATTATCAGCATGGTCACATTCGTTATCGCGGAGGCCTGGTGCGTCGATGAACCCCTCCTCCGCTGATTCCTCTGACTCGCGACCATCAATCGCCGTCGTGGGCTGATCCGGAGTTTCTTCATCCTCGTCTGGCGCTCGCAACAGCACACATATCTGATATCATTGTATAAGACCCAAGCTGCCCCTCCACCCGCCAACAAGAAGACGGCATACACACCAGCAGCAATGGTGTGCTTCCACGACCACTCGCCTACAGAGCAAACAGCTCAAGACGCCGTTGACGCGATCACAACGGCCCTACATGTCATCGCTACCGAGCGCGATGCCCTCACCAACCTCGAGTCCATCTACCGCAACGACCCACTCGCCCAGAAGAGCATCCAGCGCGCCGTCGCCGAGCTGGTGCAGACCATCAAGCGAGGTGGAAAGCTGGTGATATGCGGTGTTGGAAAAAGCGGCAAGATCGGCCACAAGCTCGAAGCTACCATGAACAGTGTCGGCATACACAGTGTCTTTCTGCATCCGACGGAGGCGCTGCATGGGGATTTGGGGATGATCAGACCGGTATGCAATAACTTGTACTATCTACCAAGTATCAGAACCCAGCTAATATGACTAGATCGATACGCTTCTCTTGATATCTTTCTCTGGCCGCACCGCTGAGCTGCTCCTCATGCTCCCTCATATCCCACGCACGGTGCCAGTCATCGCCATCACCTCGCACACACACCCATCTAGCTGCCCACTGCTGTCATACAACACCTCCGACATGGGCATCCTCCTCCCAGCGCCCCTGCACATTGATGAAGAAACCTCCTTCGGCCTCTCCGCTCCCACAAGCTCAACAACAGTTGCCCTAGCCCTCGGCGACGCCCTTGCCCTGGCTGCCGCTCGCAATCTGCACACTTTACCGGGCCAAGGCCCAGCAGAAGTCTTCAAAGGCTTCCACCCCGGCGGTGCCATCGGTGCTGCCACCGCCGCTTCCTCCGCCATCTCAACCCCCAAATCCTCCCTATCCTCCTCCTCCTCATCCTCATCTCCCTCGTGTCCATGTACATCCGCCACCTCTCCCAGCCTCTCCTCGCTCGACGGGCCCACGAAACTCACCCTCGATGAACCTGCTCCAAAAGAAATAGCACCAATAACCATCTCCGACTTTCTTGTGCCCCTCGACACAATCCCCATCGCACAAGCCTCCTCTGCCCCGCAAATCCGTATCCTCGATGTCCTCCTAACCGCTATCCAAAACCCAGCCGCGAAGTCGTGGGTCCGTCTATCCTCCACCGAAATCATCCCGCCGTACCGCGTCCGCTCAATAACCACAGCTAATCACACCTCCACTTCCTCAATCATCAACGTCGACACCCCACTCTCGGCTCTCCCCGAACAAGTCGCGGTCAGCGACGAACATTGGCTCCCCGTGCGAGCCTCCAGCACGATCGACGATGTGCGGGTGTGGGTGGAGGAAGCAATCGCGAAATCTGCCTTAGTATCTCCTTTGCCTGTTGTTATTAGTGTCGTTGACGATATCGAGGAGGATAAAGTTCTTGGCTTTGTGGCGGCGGATGATATTGTTCCTTTTTAAATATAGTATTGGTTTGAAGCTGCTGGTACAGATTCTGCCATATACATACATATATACGTATATCTCCTTTCCATCATGGTTTACAGGTAGTTGTTATACATACGGGTGGAATTTTGAGTCGGTTGCTCTAGATACCTCGCTTCGCGTTGGGATGACGCAGGCATATGATGATGTGTGTTGGTTTTTATTTCATACTTTACTGGTCTATCGGGTAGATATTGGAGGTCCAATTGATATTTACGTGCGCTTCTACGCGTACTCCTTACTCTGCTCAACACGTCGCTAGCAGGTTGAATTCGGCTAACAACTGTGGTCAAAGGTTTAATCATTTTTGTCACTATCCTATACAAAACTATCCACTACACCAACTTGAAACCTGGCAGGTTTGTATGACGTCTGTCGTTATGTTTGTGATAAAAATAGACAATTTCAGGGGACTCCCTCGGGCGTTTCCCGAACATTATTGAACGACAATTCTGAATCAGAGCATAAAAAAAAGTCCGGCAATCCATCCAAACCCAAACGCAGCTCCAGTGTTGATTGCTTCGAGTACCGGGGCGCCTCCAGTACTTGTGGCCTGTGCTGATGGACTGGGTGTCTTGGTGATCTTATGAGCGCCGCCGCCAACGCCTCCAGCATTGTGAGCCCGGGTGTTGGTCCATGTCGAATGTGAGGTAGTTGGCGAGCTAGCTGGCCTTCTAGATGGGGTTGGTGACAGTCTAAGCCCGCCTTTTCCACTCTGAGTAGATCGAACGGTGGTCGTCGGGTCGTTGGCGAGAGTGCTATCAGGCAAGGAACTAGCCACGGAAGTAGTATCAACCGCAGAAGTAGGGTCATATGCAGAAACTGTGGCCGGGCCACTAGTTGTGGGCGTGAAGGCAGGGAGCTTGGCGATTTCTTTGGGACCAGGCGTGCAGAAGTCGTTGGTCAATCCACAGACATAACCAACTTGACAGCAACCGCCGTTGATACACTTGGGTCCAGCACCACATAGCTCGTCACATACAGGGAGCTGGCTGGAATAGGTGCAGGCAGCACCTCTAGGACAACATCCGATGCCATCAGGACAGGCAGTTTGAGATGAAGCAGGGCATAAACCACCCAATTTGCGGGCATTAAGAGTGTCCTGAACTGCTAGAGCAGTGATAGGGGCGAACGCGAGGATCGAGTCGCCGAGGGTAGAGGTTGTAAAGAACAGGGCGGCAAAGAAGAGGAGATACATGGTTGGAAATTCGCCAACGGGTAAGAAACGATGTTTGGAAAGAGTCACAAGTAGTATGACAATACACTTGGTTATCGACACAGTGGTATGTGGATGGAGATTGTTCTTCGTAGCTATGTATGCTGGCAGAGTATCGAGAAGATGGTTGAAGTAGGAAGAAAGAATGGTGCAAGAAGGGCCAGGCAGAGGGGAGGAAATATCCCCTCTCTCCTCTGTTGCTGGCGCCTTCCCTGGGCGCAGTCTGTGTCGTGTGCAGGAATAGAAGGTACGACGGACCAGCACAAATGGCAGCTGCGACCCAGTCGGACTACGTGAGAGACATTTCTTCGGCATAAAGCAGAGAATCATCACTTGTCTGTTTGTCAACTCGCATCGCCAATCCGCTACCCGCCAGCTGGTGGTTTCGTCTATTTTCTTCAGTCGCAGAACCAGAATTATCTATCGACTATTTCTGAAGATAGACAATGCGGAGCCCAATTATGGCTGCCCTAGGGGTTTGATGAAACAGCTGCTGGACAATGAACAGGTTCTCCGAATAGAACAACCCGAATGGTTTGTATTAAGAATAGACCCTCGCTTTTCGATATTGTGTAGTAGCCGGCTCTTTGTCTTATCCCCACAAGTATGAATACCCTCCTGTAATACCTTGTTATAGAAGCATAGGGCAACAGGCAGCGCGGTGAGATGGTCATGATTACGCGGCAGAAGTAATGTGCCCTAGAATAGGCTCGCTAGGCCATGCGAAATATATCACTTGTTCCCAATGGTAAGACTCGGATCGCGAGATATGTTATGACTTTGGCTAGCTACAGGGTCATAAGGAGGTTCGTAATATGTTGCGGATGTATAAACAGGTTCATGACCGGCCTGGGCCGCCTGATAATAGACTTCTCGTCTATACCTCGACCGCTCGTAGAGCCGACCTAGCTAATCCGTCTCTCCTAAACATGCAGCTTTGTTTCATTTTGACTCCGATCTGGGAGCGTAAAAGCCGTAATACCAGACGAGCTACGTGTACAGAAATTACACTTGATTTAGTGATGCTGAGACTATAATCCGGAATAAAATTGTCTCGATCCTTGCACCGAAAATATTGGACTAGTTGGGTAGTTCCGAACCCTAACCCTAATTTTTTGTTACGCTTGTCTTCACAGCTTGAATTTTTGATATTCATGTCATTGGTTTACTTTGGGTTGATCACTTTGTGAATAGTTCCATATGAGAATACTATTGCTGACTCAATGAAATTTCAACCACTCCTTGAACGAAACAGCACCAACACCACGCAGACTCAAGTATTTTAAACATTACTCGCGCGAGTCAACTTGAAACAACAACTATCACGCACACTCAAAACTACGCACACAAACTATCAAACTAGGTACTAATTACGAGATTGAATCAACAGCTGTATTATAACCTTATTGTTTATTGAATTCATTAGATCAATTAACTCATGAGCCAAAGCCAAAGCCTACTTTTCGTGCCCATAGTCGATTGCACGGTTCCATGGTGGTATATAGGATAATGTCTTCTGGAAATACCTCGCCAAGGAGTTGACATGGCAAGCGTTCAATTAACTTGACGTATAGCTATCTATTCCAATAATTCTAAGCATAGGCAAAAAGAGAAATAGATAAATCAATTCACAGAATAGTGAGATTTCGCGTGGTCATTGACCATGGATTCAGTAGGTAGGTCGTTCCTTGCTTCTCAAGGCAGGGGCACGGTTCATTAGCTTACAAGGTGTTGTGAGGAAGGGTTGGTTCAGGTGAGGTAATTGAGAATCTTAGACAGGACAATGTTTGACTCGACGGCATATGATTGGACTTTCACAATCGCGATTCTTTATATCTAGTTCAGAACGTGGAGCGCTTCGAGTGCTATCCCTGCCAGCTGGGAGCAGTGCCTAGACCCAATTAGACTCCTTGATATAGTTGCAGATAAAAGTAGCACCGTGTTGTTGGGTGGCAAGTAATGTCTTGAAGTAATGATTGGCGACCCATCTGTGCAAGGCCCAGAAATGCACCTGCAACTTTTCCAACTATAATTATGGGTAATCAATTAAATCAGGCCGGAGTTGCAGTTTCTTTATCCTTTCCTTTATCGAGCGCAGTGGTGCTTCCTGAGCCGTCATCTTCATATAGGTGATGTTGTTCGATATAAGTGATCACAGGGGTCGGAATTAAATATCGAACGCTCATTTCTCGTCGTAAGAAGAGCCTGATCTTGGTGCTGCTTACGTCGTTTTGTATTAATTGCTGAATGACATGGATATTGTCGCGCCACGGCTGCAATGCTGCTAGCGCCTCATCAATATCAGTGCCGTTGCGCTCAACAATAAAAGCCTAACTTGGAGTTAGCAAATATAACAAAGGCCTCCATGTAGAACTTACCCCGTATCGTCCTAGAATATGATCTAGATCTTTGTCACTCCATACACCTGGCGTCGACATTGTGTGGATCAAGTCAGCGCCTGCGAGAAGGGCTACGCGAACTGGTTTGCGGGTTCCATCTCCGCAGTCAACGCCCTGACGGACGACATTAATCTCGTGGTCGAAATGGTCCAGCACTACCGCGGTAGGCTGATATTCTTTATGGAAGGCTTCCCAGGGATCAATCATTAGCCACTCAGAGCCTTCATCCACGGCGAGTCGACACATGGAAATTCTATCAACTTAATTAGTCACTAGTTGCTTTGCTTAGATACAAGGTATAATGAATGACTCACCGATCCTCTGCACTAGCCAGTCCTGCCTTTCTGTAAGCATCCGATACTGGCGACAAGTAACCTCCCATGAGCTCAAAATTAGTATTGAATTTAGCATAATCAGCAGCCATTTCTCTGCGATATCATCAGTATCTGTCTGAAAAGGTCGAGGGGGCCACTTACTGCATTCGCAGGTGTAGGTATGTTGGAGGGCTGAAACTACCAGCAGAAACCAAAACAAGGGGCGTCTTGCTTGGGTCCTTCATGACTCTCTTGAGCCTATGTTCAGGGAATTTGTATGTCTCTAGGCTTTCCACGTTTGGAGCCATTTCGACGTTGTCGGTAGAATTTGAGGCCGACATTTCTTTTTCTTTGTTTTTTTTACTGCCCGAAAAAATCGGGAAACAGTAATTGAACAAAAAACGAAACGCAACGATGGATTATTGTGGAGGGAAGATTGACGGTGGCGAGGCGGCCGTGGCTATACCGATGACGCAGCACGAGGGCGCTCGGCTGGCACGAGGTTTCGCAACTACTGTGTCGAACACAATACGGTGAAAAGAGGTAGGATAGGACTTGTTGAATATATGATACGAGCGACTGGTTTTCCACAGCCAAATAGGTAGGCTCGATAGAAGCGATCGTATAAGGGCAGGAATACCGCGGTTGGAGGACGCTCGGGTTTTCTCGCTCGGCACAACGGAATCTGGTGGACAGCAGCGGCTCACGAAGCAGGGAGGGGTGTGTTAAGAGGGGTAGAGGGGGCTAGAGGAAAGCAGAAGAGGAGGAGAGATTGTCGGGGTAAGGTTGTCGGTTTAATAAGCAGGCTGGTCACAAAACAGAACAGAATTGGCGTCGGAGACCTCTCCATGGCCAGCAATTAATGCTGCGATTGCGGAAGGGAGGTGGGGTGAATGCAAACGGTGTCTGGAAGGGGAAGTGCGGAATTTGCATTTGCCCCATTTGTCTCTTTTTTGCTTTTTGCGCTCTTTTTTGCACAGAATTTGCGCAAACCATGATATTTGCTATTCTTTGTCGAGAATACTGTATAAGAGTACATGTGTAGTATAAGATCTCTAGCAACACTACGGTTCGGCTATTGTATGATTATTGTTATTGTATTAACTATTTATTATGAATTATTAATCTTGCAATGACGAACCTTCCTTATCAGATTTACCATTTTAGCGCCCGGAATCCATCGTCACAGCACTTCGGTGTGGGGAGGAAGAAAAGCAATTGCTAGTACGATTAACGATCTCTCGTAACCCATAGAGCATACATGCTCTATGGGCTACGGTGTCAGCCCCAGCAGCCTGGCATGGCTGATGGGCAGACCAATATCAAGCTCAACAACAAGGAACACAGGCTGGCATTGAAACCCCGCCGGAAGCGGAGAGCCGGCACTGAGAGCCTCGTCGTAGCAGCAGGCCTGTGTCGGTTGTGGCTGGAGAAGAGCTTTCTAGCTGTTATTCATGTGTTTTGGGATCTCAGTAATAATAACAACCAGAGCTCGTAGTGAGATGGGCGTCTGCTCGGCGGATATACAGAGACCTGCGGTGCATGACGTGACTGGGGTCGTACCGAGAGGAGCAGTCACTCACTAGCGAGCAATGCTCAAGCGTAGACCAACATATCGATCTGGCAATCTCCTCCTGTTAATGCAATAGTATAATACGGCCGAGGAGCATATTTCCCTGCTGCCTTATCGTTGCAAATCCAGCAAGAATCGTTGTCTATCTATGTCGTGTGGTTGTTGCACTTCGGCCTCTTGACGCTCTCCGAACAAGGCCAGCCAACATCCTCGGGCAGCCCGAACCAGCCTGATCCCACTCTCCTGCAACTCCAACCACCACCCTAGACCGGCCCTCCATCATCAACATCTGCATGTTGACTGCATTGGCCGTCTGCCAGGCGATTTATATATCCAGCAACAGCAACAGCGTCTGCATCCATCCATATCCCTCCATAGTCCGCGGACGTTCGTCGCTCCACCTGTACTTCTCGGTCCGCTCTGAAGAGCTGCGGATGGCGGGTTGACAGTGATCACGACGAGCGACTTCAACCAGCTCCAGATACTTATGGCCAGACGAACGACTGCTGCCGACGACCACCAGGACTCGCTCGAGCCATATCCTCCATCCCCCCCGCCTTCTCCGCTCCGCTGTCCTTCCAGGCCACCGCCGCCGCCGCCAGTCCTATATTGAGGTATGCCCATGCAAATTGCCGCCCATCTCCCCCACTGGCCAGGAGAGCGCAAATCTAGCTGGAATACTTGTGTCAGACTGTCAGTGTGTGCACGCTTTGCAGCGGAACAGCAGGAGATTACCTGCCGAAGACTGCTGCAGCTGGGGAAGCTCCTTCCGCCATCGACTGGACGACGCTAGTTTGCGCTCGACAACAACCCTGGACTATCCAGACTCCCCTCTCTCTCCTAGCACCTCCCCATACCAGCCCTGTCTACTTTTTCAGTCATTGCACTCTCTATTTAACCCGCTACCTTTGCTTTCCTCGCCTTGCTGTGCCTACCATGTTCGACGCCATCTAACATCGCTCATGCATACTAGAAACACTCGCTCTGCTGCACGCCACGCTGCAGCTGATACTGCTTCCAATAGCACCGTCGAGCCCCCAGGGAGTCGTCTAGCGACAAACCCCTCGTCACGAAAACGCAAAGCCACTGTGCAACGTGACAAAGCGCACGAGGACGCAGAGCCTCCTGCCCAACCTACTTCGCCATCGAGAAAAACCAAGAAACAGCGCACAGCGTCAAGCCTTACAGAGTCGAGCACTCCTGTCTCTGCTCCTGCTGCTGGATCGCGGCGAACGGCTAGAAATCGTCCAGCAATGTCACAACCTGGGTTTGTTGATCCTGACGTTTCCGCTCACTTTCATGTGTTGGTGGAGAAATTGACTAACTTGATGATCTTTTCTTAGCTCGTCGTCTCAGCCCTCTGATACGACGTCTAGAGTACGAACTTCCTCCTCCTCCACGACGAGACGGAAATCAAGTAAAAATGGAAAAACACGCCCTGGTGATAAGGATTCCTTGCCATTAAGGTCTAGTAGTCGGATGGAGGTCTCTGAGTCGCCTTTCACAGCAGATGGTGAGGCGCGAAATAATCAATCGTCCCACCGTCGACAAAAGAAACGCTCGCCAAAGCAAAGTCCGGATATTCCCATGCGAGACACTGATGAAGAGCCGAGCGAACAAGATCCTCCCAGGGAAGACGACGATGCGGAATCTTCACCACCCAGTGAAAGCAACGACGGCATGCATCCACCCGGCCTGATGGATGACGATGATACAGATCCTTTCCGTAGCGGCCTATTTGGGTCTCGTACCCCCCTCGGCCTGCAAAACACCCTCAGAGCTCTGACAGGAATGATGACGGGCATGTCTTCACGGTTACGTGAGATACTATCCCAATTAAGAATGAAAGAGGACCCCTCCATACAACTCATTGCCTTACAAGAGCTTTCTGATCTTCTACTCGTCTCCAATGAAGATAACTTGTCCGGTCAATTTTCGCCAGATCCGTACGTCAAGGAGCTGGTAGCTCTTATGCAGCCAAGTGAGATGGGAGAAGAAAACCCTGAGATTATGCTGTTGGCTTGTAGATGCCTCGCCAATCTCATGGAGGCTCTTCGCGGTTCTGTCGCCAATGTTGTCTACGGTGGAGCAGTCCCAGTCTTGTGTCAGAAGTTATTAGATATTCAATTTATCGATCTTGCTGAACAAGCACTGAGTGTAAGTTTGCCGTCTCCCCCCTTTTAGTTTACCTCTCAACATAATTTTCAAATATCCTTTCTGACTGGGCTTATCTACTAGACTTTGGCGAAAATCTCGGTTGATTTCCCTGCATCCATTGTCCGTGAAGGCGGTCTTACTGCTTGCTTGACCTATCTAGACTTTTTCCCTACAAGCACTCAACGTACAGCTGTGACGACCGCTGCCAACTGCTGCCGTAGCCTCCCAGGCGATTCGTTTCCCGTTGTCAAAGATGTCATGCCGACGCTGCTCAACGTTCTCTCGAGCAGTGACCAAAAAGTCGTTGAGCAGGCTTGTCTATGCGTGTGCAGAATTGTGGAAAGTTTTAAATATAAGCCCGAGAAACTGGAAGAACTCATTGAGCCGGCTATGCTCAAGGCAATCCTTCGCCTTCTCCTACCGGGTACTACCAACTTAATAGGGCCTCATATCCACACCCAGTTTTTGCGAGTTCTAGGCATCGTTGCTCAAGCCAGTCCTCGATTATCCGTCGAATTGCTTCGAATGGATGTTGTAGACACTCTCTACCAGATTCTGACAGATGTTTCTGCTCCACGCGAGGTTGAAAGCGGTGTCAAAATCGACAACGTCGTCATCATGCAAGCATTGATACATCGTCCACGAGAGCAGGTTTTCGAAAGCTTAAGTGTCATTTGCGAGCTTCTTCCTAGCAGCAGCCACAGTCCTACTTCTTCCACCCGATTTGACGATGCTTTGATCACCGCCGGAATTCGAAGCCGTGTCAGCTCACAATCTTCCTCCAGAGCTAAAGAGTCCGCTGAAAAGAGGCGCAGTCTATTTGCAGATTGCAGGGCTGAATTGAAACGTTTTGCGATGGTGCTGCTTCCAACTCTGACGGATGCATATTCAAGTACTGTGAATTTGGGCGTCCGTGAGAAGGTCCTTCACGCGCAGCTCAAAATGCTCCAAAATATCGATGCGCATGTGATCAAGGATGCTCTTCGCACGGTTCCTTACGCCTCATTCTTGGCTGCGATTCTATCTCAGAAAGACCATCCTGTTCTGGTTTCGAGTGCTTTGCAATGTGCCGAACTACTTTTTGAACGTTTACAGGAAATCTATCAATATCAATTCCATCGGGAAGGTGTGATATCCGAGATAGCGGAATTGGCTGAAAAACCTTTGTCCATCGAAAGAACGGCCAGTCTTCCACCAACTAAGCCTTTGGAAGATATTACAATGCCCGATCGAGACGTAGGTCAGTCGGATTCTAGAGCAACCAGCGAAGATATTAGCGCAATACGTGATGACAACCATGATGATGATCAGGAAGAGGACGAAGACGACAAGAACCAGAATGACCGGGATGAAGATGAAGATGAAGATGAAGATGAGGACGACGAAGACAATGATAATGACGACATTTCCGAGTCCGAGAGCTCCACATCGTTCACTACTCCTCGTCAGCTTTCTCAGACCATGGACGCTGTAATGAATGATAATGTCACACTTGCCGCTCGCGCTTTTCTTCAGGTGTACGAAAAGTCGGAGAGCACCAAGTCGATGGCAGAAAAGGCGACCAATATTCTCAATGAATTACAACGCTTGGCATCTGATATCAAGTCTGTGTACTTCGGAGATCGAGCGGAGGACCCTGTGAACCTGTTCCAGAGGCTTGCATCCTACTTTGAGGGCGATGCATTGGAGAATATCACTAGCTCTGAGCTCCTCAAATCAGGAATTATTGACGTTCTTCTCGAAATATTTAGTTCCAACTCATCTGCACGCGATGCACGGACAAGCTTTGTGCAAGCCTTTTTGGGTACGACCATTCCAGAAGCAGCCCGTAGTCAGACATCATCCAAGACTGCCTTCAGTGTGTTTGTCCAAAAGCTTCACGACCTCTTCAGCCGTACAGAACATTTCGAAGTAATTACTGTTGGTCACAATTCTCTTGAAAACACACGAAGCAACGCCACATACATGCTTGGCAAACAAGTCCGGCTGAAACTAATCGCCGACGATGCCTCTGAAATCCCCCGCCCGTATAAGAACATTATGGTCTCAATTCATGCAATTGCGACGTTCAAGTCTCTCGACGACTTTTTACGCCCTCGGATCAGCTTGTCAGACCGTCCGCGAGTTTCACGTAATCGTGACCTTTTATCACATCTCACCGGAGGGGAAAGGTTCCGCGAATCACCCAGCCAAGACAATGATTCTCGGGGTTCAGCCTTACAATCTTCCCGAACGGACACCACACCGCATCATGGACGATCGTCAGACAATTCAAAGAATGCAGGTGGTAGCCAACGCACACCAGTTGCCGGACGTGATCGCAGAGTCGGAACCCGCCGGTCTAGTCGAAACCAACCCTCTAGTGTGGATGGTGATGAGCTTCACGATGACCGTCCCTTAGAATGTGCTGATGAGAAACAGCTTAGCGAGGAGGACAATGAGGATGAAGAGTCCGATGATAACGGCGATGAAGAGCTGAACGCTATTGTTGACGATCTGGAGGATGAGCTTTCTGACGATCCTGGCCCTGAGCCTACTGCTGTCAATATGGAAGTCGCATCTACAGGTAAAGTCACTGCTCGCAAAGACGATGGAACTCGTGTCGCAACCCCATCTCAATCACAAACACTTGACCGGAGCTCGTCTTCCAACTCGGTTCCAGCCCTCGCTGCTGTGGGTGGCGGTTCGTTAGCTATGGCAGGTAGACCTTTTCCATCCTACGCCGCCGCAATGGCATCTATCCCTCAGGACTGGCACATCGAGTTCAGCATTGATGATCAGCCAATCACGAATGAGACTACGATCTACCGTGCAATTCACCACAGTCGAGACCATATTGACGACGGTGGCCGAAATATTTGGGCTGCGATACACACAGTGAAATTCCGTCGTGTTCCGGGGCCACCACCGGCGGAAACATCCTCCCTAGCATCCGGTTCACAAGATACAGCCGCTAGAGATGAGAAGACAGGCCTTCCCCAATCCCTGAGCAAAGACTCTACTACTGCATCTATCTTGCAATTATTGCGAGTACTACATGAAATTAACGCCCATCTTGACGATCTCATTGCCGAGAGCAAGGAACTGATTGCAGTCACAGCCGAACCGCTGTCGCAATTCATCAACACTAAATTGACCGCCAAATTGAACCGTCAATTGGAAGAGCCGCTGGTTGTTGCAAGTAGTTGCCTTCCAAGTTGGAGTGAGGATCTCGCTCGCGAGTTCCCATTCTTGTTTCCATTTGAAACTCGACATCTCTTCCTGCAGTCTACTGCATTTGGCTATTCTCGTTCGATGATGCGTTGGCAGAATTCTCAACTTGAAGACAGCCGTCGGGATCAACGCCGTGATGATCGCCCATTCCTTGGTCGTCTCCAGCGACAGAAAGTCCGGATCTCGAGATCCCGTATCCTCGAGTCGGCCATGAAAGTTATGGAATTATATGGATCTTCTGCTAGCATACTTGAGGTTGAGTATTTCGAAGAGGTGGGAACCGGTCTCGGCCCCACTCTCGAGTTCTACTCTTCTGTCTCTAAAGAGTTTTCAAGAAAGAAGTTCAAACTTTGGCGGGAAAATGACTCCGACACTAAAAGTGACTACGCTTTTGGAAAGCATGGCTTGTTTCCGGCACCCATGAGTAATCGGCAAGCCGAATCGGAGTCTGGCAAACGGCAACTTCAGCTATTCAAAGCTCTCGGCAAGTTTGTGGCTCGCTCTATGCTAGATTCGCGGATAATCGACATCAACTTTAATCCTACCTTTTTCCGAGTAACTTCAACCTCGTTTACCCCCTCCTTAGGAACCGTGAAAACTGTGGATCGAGATCTCGCAAACTCGCTGCTTCTAGTCAAACATTTCGTCAATGCGAAGAAACGCCTTTTCAAAAATTCATTGCTCTCTACCAGTCAAAAGGCCCAGATCGCCCAAAACATTGAAGTCGATGGCGTTCGTGTTGATGATTTGGGCTTGGACTTTACCTTGCCTGGATATCCATCTATCGAAATGATTGCCAATGGATCCAACATTGCGGTTACCATTGATAATGTAGATATGTACCTAGATCGTGTCATTGATTTTACCTTGGGCAGCGGAGTTCGTCAACAAGTCGAAGCATTTCGATCTGGATTTTCACAGGTGTTCCCATATTCAGCGTTACGAGCTTTTACTCCCAATGAGCTTGTAATGTTATTTGGACGAGTCGAAGAGGACTGGTCTATTGAAAGTAAGTACTGTTCAAGGCGTGTTTTTGGTACTAGACTAACCTTTTCTAGCACTCATGGACTCTATAAAAGCAGACCATGGCTTCAACATGGATAGCAAGAGTGTGCGAAACTTGCTGCAAACTATGAGTGAACTGGACGCACAGCAGCGTCGAGATTTCTTGCAATTTGTCACTGGAAGCCCGAAGCTTCCGATAGGAGGTAAGCCATGTCTCGTGATTGCTATTGATCTATCTAACAATTGTACAGGCTTCAAGAGTCTCACGCCTATGTTTACGGTAGTGTGCCGTCCAAGCGAACCTCCATATACGTCAGACGATTACCTACCCAGTGTAATGACTTGTGTCAATTACCTCAAATTACCTGACTACAGTAGCCTAGAGGTTCTTCGTGAGCGCCTTATTGTGGCTATCCAGGAAGGCCAAGGGGCTTTCCACCTTTCATGAGCTTTACGTCAAATCAATCTAGATATTTACTTGCTTCTCCCGTTTGTTCTTTTTACTCATAATGTGTGCTGTTTGCATGGTGATCTCGACCCATCATTAAATACCCAGCAGAATGAATGACATGTGACAGGGCGGCATTATTGGCGGGTCTCGGTTTCGGTAAAGAACAAGCTAGTATTTGAAGCTTGTAGGCGTCTGGGTTTTCTGCTAGTACCTGGTTGACGGTTGTAATTTCTAGATGGCAATGAATCGTTTACAAGTTTGTAATTCCACAATAAATACTCATTGTCTATCATAACATTTGAAACCAGTGATCTACTGCGGGTGTCATTGAGGTTTTACCAACCCTATAAAAGATTAAATCTAGAGATTTGACCAAATCCTAATGGCATTGCTATCTTTCTAAATGTCAATCTTACTACAAGTAACGGACGGATATTGAATACATATAACGAACGGATAAGCATAATGTAAACAACAGTAATACCAAATCAATTTTCAAGAAAGTTAGATTCAACGTCATAACATTGCAACCTGATCGCAGGTTCCAGCTAGCATGTCATGAGACTTCTACCAATTCACAGCCATCCATTCAAGCAGTTGGCTGCGCGGCCACTGCAGCTGGGGTTAATGAAGCTGCCGCTACTCCCAAGGATGGTGTAGCAGAGCAGGTTGTGACATGCAACCCTGATGTAAGCGATGCAATGCCAGCACTGCCGAGCGGATCGCTGAAGCCCGCTGGGAGGGATCCAACTAGATAGGTACACATATCAGCAGCTCATTCGATAGAATGTACTTTTATTCTCAGATAATATCCGTGACATACCATATGCATTGAAGTTGTACAACCCGCACACGCACCCATCGATAATCGGCTTCAAGCTCTTGCCACTGAAAACAGTCTTACCGCTACGAGTCACGGAAAAGCTCTGGTCTCCGACACCCATGGGCACAGTGTAGATGTTGGCACCTGCTTTGGCGTCGATGGATTGCGTGTTGTTGCCGGACGTTACCTGGATAGTGGCAGCGCTGGTGAAAAGCGACACGACGAATACGCTGTCATTCATATCCTCCCACCCATTGGGGCGTCCCATAAAGTAGTTTCCGCTCGTATTGCTTGCAGTCACCATACAGGTGTCGGTTGAATCGCAGTTAACGCCGCGTGGTGTTGGGCGGTACCAGTAGATCAGTTCGTCTGAGGTAACGTAGCTATCGACGGATTTGGCGCCGGCTTTGAACGCGGCGATGAATGGTTTTGCCATGTCGAGCCAGCCGTTGTGAGGCCTTCAAAATGTATGAGTATGTCAGGGTTTTTATTTGATGAGCGAGAGTGGGTTGACTTACATATCATTCACCCACTTCGACGCACCGTCGTCGGTATGCGGAGAACTCAGTGGTCCAATATAGTGAGACTCGCCGTAATCGTTCCAAGTGACTATTTCAACGAAGCGAGGGCCAAGGGCCAAAATCTCATTCCAGCGGTCGAACCAGAGGCTGTCAGATGGGAAGACCCAGTTCTTGCTATAGGACACTTCGGGGCCAAAGTGGGTTGAGAACCAGGCCGAGGCGGCTATAAAAGATACATATTAACTTCAGTATATAAAGCTTAACGGTGTGTTTGTAAAGAGATAAGGGAGACGTACGGGCAATGTAAGCCTTGTTTCCAAGAGCCTTGGTGTACGCCTCGTCGCCTGCTTGCACGGTGACATTGGCTCCTGGGGTCGGTGCCTTGTTGTTGCCGTTATTCGGCCATGCCATCCAGTTCAGCAATCCATCGACGCCGGACAAATCAGTGCCCAACGCAGGATGAAAGTTTGGTGCAAAGAACAGCTCCACACCGGTAGCTGCCGAGCGCAACGCAGCCACATCAAGACCGTCGCCAGAAAAGGACGAGACAAAGACCTTGTTGTCGATCTTGAGCTGTGCGGGCTTCACGCCGTATTGAGCAATCTTTTGGCCAATTTCGCTGGCCTGAGAGGTGTGCCACCAGTTGAAGTCGAAGGAGATGAATACTGACATCCCATTCTTTGCTGCTGAGTCGTAAGCGTATCCAAGCTGCGTGTCTGTATACGGGTCAACACCGATGTTCAGGGCAAAAGCGTCGATGCCGATTGATTTGGCACGTTTCATGTCATCGTCATAGTCATTGGCGCTGGTGCGGTCACTAGTAATGCCGATCTGGGATGGTAAGCATTGAAGTTTAACTTGTTTTGAGAATTGACAATGGCTTACCATGAAGTGAGCAAAGACCAGTCGGTCTGTTGCGCTCGAGTTTCTCTTGTCCATAGTTGTGTCCGGATTTGGATACGCTTCGACCAGCGAACCCAGGCCTGTCAAGGCTGCGAGAAGGATTTGGGATGCCCTCATGACGTTCACACTTCAGTAGACTTGGAGATATGCCTTGATAAGAATGGACTGACAAGAAAGGATTGCTGAGAATGGGCTGCTGTGGCCTGCCTTTTAAACCCTTTTCACAAGAATCATTAGGCCCATATTCTACCAGAAAGTACTATCCTTATATAGATAATTGCCATTACTGCTGATGCAACTATATGACTATGGTCCAGTCACCATACCGTCGTCAGGGCGGAGACGAATATCCAAGTGATTGGACCCACGGTCCGTGTAAAAAGCTGGAGGACACCTGCAGAAGCAAATCATCCCCCAAAATGGAGCAGTAACTTCATAAGAGCACATTCCAGACACGACAGTACTGACTAGTCTATAGATGTTGAACAGCTAGAATGCACGCTCGAGCTTAGCAGAGCCGACGGCTTGATGAAACAAACCTAGCGAAATGTAACAGCATATGCCGCGGACCATGGCGGCTGATTGGAAAACGAAACAAGATACTATTTCCTAGCGTGACACCTTCGTCAGTGGTACGTACCCTCCATGGCCTCGATCCCTTGTCCAGATACTAGTAGGTAGGGCTGCCATGGTCGAGAGCCCCTGTCCACGAGGCTCAGTCAGATGTCAGATACGTGCCACAATTTTCTTCCCGGCTGCTCTGGCACTTCTATTCATCCTCTCGTTGTAATTACCGCACCGTGGGGAAAAGACGGAGTTGAATTGTTGGCGAATGCGGGGTGAGAGTTGGTGATGGTAAATGATCAACGGAGCTCACACGCGCGATGCGGCTGACACCAACCTTTTCCTCTCACAATATCACATTCAAGAAGCATGATCTCTTTGTCATTATTTGCTGATTCATTGAGATATTATTTCTTCTCTGTCAATCTTGTCTGCAAATCACCTAATTCCTAATTCAATATGCTCGCATGATTTTCGAAGCAGTTGACCTATTGGTCTGGTATGTCGGAGATGGTCTCCCTGCCCATCCAATTACTCGGCTGCGTATCCATGAATAAACATCAAATGACGAGGGCGTTGCATTCGGTTTTTAATTTCCAAACTGCCGATCGTTGTGGCGTCGACTAAAGCATAACTATATTTCACTTGCCGAGCTCGAAGGGAAGATCTTGAATTTGATCGGCTATCGGTATTTGATCGTTGGCGCTGGTCGTCATCCTCGGCAGAAATCCCAGACAAATAAATTAATGCAATATAGCAATGGCTTGAAATAAGATGTCATCAAGTGCAGCCACGGCCGCAGTTGTATGGCTCGAAAGGCAGAAGCCGTAAGGCCGAATTAGGGCAAGCTACTGTTGCATTCCTAGTCCGTATTCAACTCGTTTTGAAACTACACTAAGCAATTACCAACCAAAAGAGAGCGAGAAATTGGCCGATATTCTGAGCGAGCTGCTAAGTCGACTAGATGTGAATAGTAACTGTATAATTTTAATAGCAGAGATATAACCTATGCGGGGAGTTTAACCCTAGTCCTTCCAATTTAACATGGATGGCTCGAAACGACATGCAAGAACGATTTGGCGGAGAGTAAATGTCAATAGTATTAATTCATCATCGTCTAGACCGACCAATAATTTTATTTATGCGCTTTAGTAGATATAGATAATACAAGCCAATATTAAGCTATGTTTTTCAGATCCTAGTAATGGGAAACAAATCGCTATCTTTCTTTTGAATGAACTTTTCCGCTCAGCGCCATGTGTTAGGAACTAACATTAAAATAGACTCAATTCCCAAGTCGTTTACTACGTTGTTACAAAGGAGTCCTTTCCACCAGAAGAACACTCGAAGGACATCATTCTTTTCCGTATAAGTAACAGGGACTAATCCGACATATTACCGCCCGCGATCGACATAAGCTAGAAACAACCTGGGGTTCTTGCAATAAAAAAATAACAATCAAGAAGATCAATCTTTACAAATATCATCAAGACTCATAGATAACATTAAATTGCTACCGTCGCATTCATGTAGATAAATGATCTCAATCTATCGGCGTTACTCACAGACGAAAACGTCCCAGAAAGACAATGGAGCTATCACACCTATGTAAAGCACACTAGTCAAAAGGTACAAAGGTCCGTCCCTCCGGTATAGACCAATTTTGGCGAAGATATACCATTTGACCTATATAAATGCAAGGTTTCCGGTTAACGATGCAACATAGAAATGATCCTAGGGAAGCGAACTACTCAATTTCAACTGATTTTGCTCTCGGTGAACTAATGGGCCAATTAATTGAGAGGATGTCGTCTGATCGACAGCTCATACCTCGTATCCAATAATTAAATGATTGAATCACGGCAGGTGAAACTCTTGCTGCAGGAATTCTGGCGAAGGTAAGATACAACTTGATGGAGTGTCTACTTTGGACAAAACTCAGATATGCAGTAGCGGCGAGGTAACAACGGTAGACATCAAGGAGAAATTATTTAGTGATCAGCGCAACTGATCGAGTTTAGGTTCTGATGAGTGATATGATATTGTCAGGCATCTGAATTACCCACCTCCTCGACCTGTTGTAGCAATCAATTGCAAATAGACTAGTGGTGATGGGGTTTAGTGAACGTCAAGTTTATGAACCTAGATGCCGGATAACGCAGTGAGTAATACTTCTCCGCATACTTCTAAATATCCATGGACATTTTATGGACCTTTTGTAGACATATATTTTTGCCCAAGGAACTCGATGATGTGTAGAGCAAAGAGCAAACGTGCGGCGCGCTTTCATGTCAAATCCGCCCCACCCCCCCCCTCCTCCCCCCCAATTTAAACCTTTCATCATCTCAGTCTATTACCCAAATATCGGCATATTGTATCTACATGCGTTTTATCTCAATTTCTGTAGTCCGGTTACAAGGATCGAGGAGTCTAAGTACTCCCGGCCTCCACGTAAACTACCATACTGATGAGATGGTATTCGCTGGTACTTGAACACTCCATCTCTTTCATTAAAATTATCATCACTATCTTATCATCGCCGCCGCCGCCGCTCCCAACGGTGAGTAATAAGTCTGTGCAAGGTTCAATATCAATACGCGTGTATAATATCCAATATTCATTCCACATATCAACGATTTGACAATGAGTATAGGACTAGTTGGACTTCTATATGAAGAGGAGGAAGAGAATGAGAAGGACAACCCCTTTTCGGTGTCTCATCGATGACGGCGATGATGAAGATGAGGAGGCAAACCTCGTAAAAGGCAAAGTCCGTCATTCTGCCAGCAAGAGAAATGTACTAACAGATGCTCAAAATCGGTGGAAGAAAGATCTCGAGGAGAGCAATGGAGCAGAAATTGCTCAAAGAAAATCGGAACGGTACGAGCTTGGAAAAGCTCATAAGGAAATAGAACGCTTAGACAAGTCAATTGACAGATTGAAGACAAAGGTGATGAATATCCATAAAATTTAAATATTTCTACCAGCGGTAGTCAAATGTGACTTTAAAAATTGGAGTAGAGACACCAAAGCGAACAGTCAAAGAGAGGCAAAGATCGATGGATGAAAGGTCATACGGCAAGGAATATTCGTGAATTTCAGGTATATAGCACTGTTATCATCCATGGCCAAGTATAGCCTTGAAGGATCAAATTCTTATTCAAGTAACTCGGCTGCTTTCCTCAAATTTTCATTAAATTGATACTGTTCTTGATACTAACCCTATTTAAGTCGCCGCCATCATCAGTCATCATCACAACTACCGTCGGTAAGCGGCATATAAACTGCTCGCTGTTGAAGGTTCATTTCACGTGGATGTGATGTCGCAACAATAACGAGAGTGTGAACGCTAGCTAACATTGGGGTTGTTATTAGAGCTATATCATCATCGTGTCAGGCGGGCGTCACCGGTCTTAAATAGAGGGAATTGGTGATCATTGGTGTGGAATGAGCGAGATATCCATTGATTGCTCGAAAGGTAGAAAGGCTAGATGAAGCAATTTAAGCAGAGGAAGAAAGTATTGAGTTGAAGATAGGGCAAGTCACGTTCATCAATTCTAGATATGTTTCCTAATGCAACTGAGCAACCAACATGAGACGACCAAGTGATACCAAAAACAACATAGGGGGAATAAGTGATAAAGCATAGCACAAATATACTTCGAAGAAATATGTACAGTAAACCGAGGATTCAGGCGAAAGAAAGGAGATACAAATGAAATTAGTAAATAGGCCGGCCCTCATCCCACTTCCTAGATTCTCGTGGACTACGAGCAATGTGTTTATCTTCGGATTCGGCCGAGAGAGTCTCATCCGCTGGAGAGAGAGAAAATCGGACCCGGCCACTTTCTCGACGAGGTCCATCGATGTGGTTTCCAAGACTACCAATCCATTCCCAGACGCGGGCAACATCGCCGCCACGCCCCTCACGAACAGCAGCTCGAACATTGGCATTACCTTCGACCACGGCACGAACACGTTTCCATAATTCCTCTCGACGACTACCCCGCAATTCAGAACGTAAAACGTCATCCCGCAGTTGACCAATAGATACCCACGGTTCAGGAGCTTCACCACGGGCATATAAAGCCGCTTGAGTTGCAAGACGGTCAAGAGTCGTCCCCACGAGATCGGGTACACGAGCAGCGTCGGACTTCCGTGCAATGAACTGGGCTCTAATGTACACTAGGCTGGTCAAAGCAAGCACTACAGCTGAAAGAGGGAGTCGATACGCGACGAGAGAGAGTCGGAGGTGGCGGCGGAATGAGCAGCCGACGGGGAGTCTGGAGAGTGAGGTGGACGCGAAAGTATGGTATGAAGGTCTGTTAAAGTGAGGTGATCACTGTTAGTGTTCAGACCACTGTCAGAACCCATATACTTAAAGAAGAGCGACAACTTGAGGATACAGATCAAAAGCATTGGAAAACATCAGAAAGCACTCACCCTTCGTTGATAGTCACTTCTTCTCTAGCAATTATTTCGCCGATTGCAGCCGCCCACAGTTCGTCAAATTCAGCATCACTCATCTTAACACGGCGTTGGCTAGCCACAGCTTCCTTCAACTCGGGTTCGGGAATGAAGGGCGATTTAGCTTCCTCTCCATCACCACATTCGTACTTAGCCCTGCGTTGTCGCAACTCTTCGACAGCTTTGTTAGCCACGGAGAGAATACGGCTCGTCTTCTCGCTATCAGGTTCGCATGTCGGGGGAATTGGGATGAAGCCATTAAGCGATAGAGGGTGGTGCTTCAAAACGAAGTCATTGTCACATTGAACTTCGAAATTCTCATAGCAGTAAGCATGTGATGGACACGGTTCGCATTGAGGTTCCAAAACTCTGGCCCACTCAGGCACATTTGTGTCTGCGAGAGACCAGGTAGGCTTTCCAACTCCACAAAAGCCAATATCAATCTTCTCTTGGCGCCACCATGCCCCAAAGCTGGCCAAAAGGACCAGCATTACTATTGATGGCAATTTGTATGAAAGACCCTTCTGGCTAGGTCTAGCCACAGCAGAGTTTGATTGAGCATCGGCAGTTTCCAGAGCCAATTGCTCCTCGGCAGTAAATTCATCCACATCAACATCATCATCATCATCTTCTTCTTCTTCTTCCTCCTCTCCTTCGTCCTCCAACTTAGGGGTAGGTGTTCTGAGACGCGAGATAGGGAACTCGAAGGTTGACTTTCTCGGAGTCAGCTCTTGTTTAACATTGATCGGGACACCCGATACCCGACTTCGTCGCTTTTCGTTTGCTGATAGGCCTTCAGCTGATACGCGAGGTGTACTCTTTCGTTTCGCTTCTCCGCTGACTGTACGGGCTCTTGGTGTCTGTTCAAATGTAGTGGGTGAGCTTCCACTTTGGAACGGATTCTCATCGGTGAAGATGCTGCTGGCACGACTCTCTGTCTTGATGCTCGGAGATTGTTCAATGGTTTCCAGAGATGGTATGGCTTCACTCTTCCGTGTCTTACGAGCAGTCGATCGACGTTGTGGCGTGGTGTCTGGAATAGATGGTGTAAAGAGGTTTTCGTCTGTCACATTGCCATCTGAGGCACGAGTACTCTTGCTAGAACGCACTCGACGTTTCGGGGTTGCTTCAGAAATCACACTATCTTCAGTTTCGACCGTGGACGCTCGAGTGCTCTGTCTTGACCGCCCGCGTCGCGAACCTGTGGTAGTCGCCACCGTTGATGGCGTTGGGGGTGGCGGCATAGAGTCCCGCTCTTGAATATCTTCGTCATTGACTTCGGAGTTGGACTGACTGCTCATGTCGGTAATTCCAGCACTTGTTCGACGAACACGTTCCCTTTCCCGCAGTAGTTTCCTCGCTTTGGGCAGGACCTCATCTTCCAAGATTTTGATGAGCTGGCTTTTCTTAGCAGAGGATGGGTAAGGAATGTCATGGCTGACGAGAATCGCTCGTAGACGAGGCACGGTGAGAGAGCCGAGATCAAAGTCAGGTGAGAGGTAGTCGAGGTCATCTAGTCCCGATGCCATTTTGATGACGTTGACAAAGTTGTGGATAACTTTGTACTGCGGGCGCAAGGATTTTCTGAAATGGCAAAAGCACACGTGCCAAGGCTGAAGGATAGCAAGTCCAAACGCAGACAAGAGCACAGACTTTACCCCTTTGAACGATAATCTAAAGCGAAGTAAACGATTATGCAAGGCTATCTGAAACGATTTTGTTGTGTGTGAAAAATGCGGAAAGTTAGTGACACTGCCAGTGGCGGTATCCCGGGCAACAAGCTGGCTTCAATTATCAGACTGCCCGGTGGGGACAATAAGGCTTTGCCAACAGCAGCAGCGTACGAGATTTGAAAGACTGTCAAAGCAAAGGAATTATTATCACCAGAATCCTCGATTCAACGTACGTAAATAGACGCGATGTTGTCTGGCAGAAGAACCAAGCAAGGGCAGGTGAAGGGCAGGTGGGGAGCAGGAAAACAGAAAGGAAACGACGTCAGTAAACAATGGATTAGGCTGCCGCGTCACGTGATTGAAAACGCCACATCGAAATTGCCACTATCTGGCTGCACCGCCACCGTACATCCATTAAGGGCTACATAATACATGCAACGTCAGTTCTATTACCTATGTTTGAGCTATCAAGAGGATTATCAATGATTTTTTTTGATAATTATATCAATAATGCAAACTATTTGACGCAGAATGGTATGTCCATTGTGATTTACATTTCTAGATATTTCTTAGAAAGATTTACTAGCCATGCCATAAGATACTTTCGTCCTGCTAAGATGATAACGGCAATATTTGATATTGCACAACCTAAATAGCAGCTTGAGTTGCTAGTTCTGGTTGCTTATACATGGCGCTATTTATACATTTTTAACAAAGAAAACTCGTGCGCCGAGACTGAGTGAATTTCTCAAATATTTCAAAACTATTGTCAAATAGATCGACCTCGAGATTATACATTTCATTTTATCGAAATTATTCACACCCATCATGAAAGTGCCACAAGCCATGCTTCCAACTGCTTCGCATCAACCGGCCTAATATCAACAGTATCCCTACTAACCGTCAACACATTTCCTTGTGAGAATTTGTGCACAGGACCTTTTTCGGAAAGTATTTCAAAGAAGTTGACTAATGGAAGAGCTGGGAGAAGCTCCAGATTGTAGTTGAGGTCGTGGCTCTGAGCTTTTAAGAATGTGATCCAGTCTCTTAAGGGTTTGACTGCGACAGATGTAGATCCACCGCACCAATCTTGAATAGTGGGCATTGCTTCTAGCCAGGACGTTGGATTGGGGTTCATCAAATTATAGAACTGAACTTTACCAGAGACAGCTGTTGAGTAACGATCGTGGCGTATGATTGCCTGGATTAAGTCAACAACGGTATTAACGGGTAGCCAGTCGATATCCATCAGATCATTTGGCACCGTTTTAATGGCTTTACATGTCTTCAACAACACTGTCAATGCATCGCTTGCAGGCCAGATTATTTTGTCAAAGGTAGCCAATGATGCCGGTGCAATCTGTCCAACTCTAAGTATACTTGCGGCAATACCTGATTTAGCACTCGCAGCGTTGACAAGATGCTCTGCCACGTATTTTGACTCTCCGTAGCCATTATTCAAGGGTTCATTAGCATTATTAAGTAACTCTTCGGGAACCAGCTTCTGACTTGACGAGTGATTTTGTTCAAAGACACCAGTAGCAGATATTGACGAGATATATAGGAAATGCGGTTGTCGTTTTGAAAATGTGGCAAGGGTGATTGAATTCACCAGACCAGTAAAGCTATCCTTGAAAGCGTCTAATGGCAGTATGAAATGGACCTGCCATGCAGAATGTATAATGACATCACACTCTTCTTTCAACTTGCTGTACACATTTTCCGAAAGTCCGAACTCCGGTTTTGTGAAATCCACCTGAATGAAAGTAATCTTACTCTCCAGTTCCTGGTTTCTAGCACTTCCATTTGCAGATAAAAAGACTCCCCATCTCTCAGGTGCAGTGGAGGAACGATTGAGGCATATGACTCGGCCAATGTTTGGATCTCGACAAAGTGATGAAAGTAGGTATTGCCCCAAATAGCCCGTTGAGCCTATCAGAATAACATTCAAGGGCTTTCGAGAGTTCTTATCAGGAGTCTCCGAGGAAAGAGATATGTTTGGCAAAGACTTTTCATACTGGTTGAAGGTTTCTCTCATCTTAGCAGCTCTGTCCATCTGCTTTGGATACACACCTTTATTCAGCCAGTCTAGTAAAATGGCTGCGAGATCGTTGATCAATGGATAAGTATAGAGTACCTCTGGTGTCAGCCACGCCAAAGACTGACTTGCATGATACGGCTTGAGACTTTCTTTCAGTTGCGACACTGTTTCCAGAGACCTGACTGAATCCAATCCTTGGAGATATAGATTCTCCGAGTCGCTGACACTCTCACCATCGAGAGCATCCTCAACAATTGATTGAACAAGACTCTTCACATCTTCCAGGCGGAACGCCGTGGGTTGCAGGAGCCTTGGCTGCGCTCGCTGTCGGTTAGAGCCTTTGAATAACGCGTTTAATTCAGACTCATAAGATTCTATGCTTAATTTACGAACAATGGTACCCTTCCCGCCTCTGGTGAGAGGCTTTTCGCTATTAGCGATTAGTATCATCGATCGTGAGACACGACCAGGACCGGCAGTATTTGTATTTAACTTCGTAATCCACGGCCAGAGGCCATCTACAGGATTAGTTCCTAGATCGTGGTCTGCTCGTAGCTCGACAATTAAGGCCACTCGTGGCTGTCCTTGACCAACAATCAAGGCTCCCGCAACACCGGGAATTGCCTCAATGCCACTCTCCAGCGGAATGGGATTGAATTTCTCTCCGTTAGAGAGAACGATAATGTCATCCCGTCGAGAATAGAACTTCCATAGTCCAGGAACAGTTGGATGTGGCTTGAATAAATCGTTTGTCCGATACTCACGAACACCAGGCATGTTGTGAGGCAAGATTGAAATATCTTCCATATTTTCATCAGCATGAACAACCAATTCAAAGGTATCATCTCCGACTGGATCAAATGTAACTGATGCCTGTGGGTGAAATTCAAGGTATTGCCAGTTCTCCTGTCGCGGCTGAAGTTGTCGAATTTGACCTATTTCCGTAGAGCCATAATATTCGCAAACTCTCACATGTTTGACCAGTTCATTTCCAACAGCTTCTAGTAATGGCCCTCCTGCATAGCAGAGCACATCAAGTTTCTTCAGCAAGTCCGGGCCATCTGGCTCCTTATACAATTCGGCAGCGATTGTAGGAGGTAGAAAACATCCTCTGACATCTAGAAGGCGTAGAATCTGCACCGCAAGACTTCCAGTTGGAATTCTCGTTGGAGGCCCGAAGATTGGGACTGTAGTAGAGTAAACAGGCAACATAATACTATTGAAAAATCCGAGTAAATGGAATAACGGATATGGTGAGTATATACAGCTACCTGGAGGGAAATCCCACGTTGTCAAGTCATGATTGCGGCGCCCGGGGACACTCGTGGCATTGCGGTCGTTATCCGTAACGGCGAAAGTGCCGTGTGTCATTTGAACTGGTTTTGGGAGGCCTGTTGATCCAGATGAATGTAATATAAGGATAGGTTCTCGTCGGGCTTCAAAAAATTCAAGTGCATAAGGAACAGGTTCTGATTGCTCTGTCAGAAGCTCTTCTAGGGTGGGAATCTCGAAGGAATGTAACGAGTTGTAGATTTTCTGAAGGGCATGCACAACTGGTGTCATTTCTGAAGAATAGGCTAGTTTTGTACATTGGGTTTGCGTGAAGAGGGATTTATTGGCAGCAGGGGGGTTGCGAGGCGATGGAAGAAGGACCTATCTCAATTTTAAAACATGACAATTAAATCCCGGCTCCAATGACTTGGAAGAATTTATTCAACCTCATACCTTCAGACGAAGCTTCAGAGAAGCATAGAAAAATACATTATACCTCAAATCCGATACCCCTACGTAAGAAACAGTCTCATGTACAGAAGTCTCCCCAAAATTATCTCGAATCCAGTGAACCGTCCAGTCAATAGCAACTTTGATTTGCTTAAAAGTGACCGGACGAAACCCGTCCTGCAGATCCGAGGTCTTGGGAATCCAAGCAAAAACACGATCCGGGTTATATTTAGCCTCCTCCTCAATGACACTCACGAGAAGGCGACGTCCGTATTGCGCGATCATTTTTTGGGCGAAAAGTGGATTCTTTGTTAAACAAAAAAAGAATAGTGCATGTATATTTTAACCGTATTGACCCTTGTTTCCAGAGATGAGACTATTTGAAGGCTAAGGAATCTAGCTAGCTGCGTTAGCGTACGTAAGCCTTCCTGGCTATACCGGACCCCTCACCGTCGATGCTACACCTGTGCAACAAAAAGAACATCGGCATCCTTGTAGTCACCAGTTGACATTTGAAGATCAAAGTGTGGAAATACATATCCGGGTTATTTCCGGCGTATGAATCGCAAACTTATCCATCTTGCCTATTTCTGTCCGATTATTGATGTGGTATCAATAATCGGCGTATCAAGCCAACCATGGGTTTAGTTTAATACATGTATTGAAGAGCTGGAACTATCAATTGGTCTCAATATCAATACTATTGAGCGTCGTCAAGGTGATCACGTGGTACACGTGCACCATCAATTAATGACAGGTTACCAACGATTAGATAGATGGTCGTTGCTCAGAAAGTACGCGCTTCAATCTTAGTTTGCTGTGTCTAGAACTCGGAGAGCAAGTGGGTTTGAAAATCATTCATGTATAGAAATTCGATTCCAAATTAATTTACAACAATAACATATGCATAAATAGGTATCCGACATCACAATAACTACAAAACATGTCAGGCCGTCATTCGAGTATATCCACCAAGACAAAGAAATGACAAGTTTGTGCGCCAGAAGTACCCGATCCCAAGGTATATAGATATGCCCATGCGATAAAAGCCAAAGAGAAATAATGCCCAGTTACTCATATTTGAAACCCAATTGCCTCCCAATAAATGTCAAGCGAAAGCCGTTTTCACGATGCTGCAAGGGTGGTTTTTGGTGGAAAAACACAATATAATTAACATAATAATTCGAAAGTGGCTGCTCAGTTGCACTGGAATAGGGGTCAATTTTCACTACGCCACAAATGCGTTGTGATATTAAAATGGACGGTAAATCAAAAGTTTAGGTGTAAATGTTGTGATAACCATAGTCTGATCGGCAAGCCGATGCGAAATCATTGCTCCGGGTTGGTAGAATTTAGAAGCAGTCATGCATGCGATGAAGTAGACGAGTTGACACCGCTGCTATGAGCACTCGGTGTTTTGAAGTCCAGCCCTATGCGGGTCACAGGATCAGGAACGCCATTTGCAGCATAATCGAGTGATTCCTTAAGCGCTTGAAATTCAGCTAGCTGACTCTGGAGCTGCGAGAGAACTTCACCCATAGGCATGGCGTAGTCGTGCAGGTGGTTGCCTTGTTTAAAGGGTCGCATCATGTGACGCAGCGCGAGAGTATTGATACATGTCTAGTAATAATGTCAGTAATAGATTAATCTAGTCGAAAACCAAATCATACCTCAATCCTTGTGACCTGCATATCCAACAGGCCTAGGACAGCTACATCTGCCAGTTCTCCGCCTCCTTTCTGTATCAACTGCATCAAAGATCGGTTAGGGCTGTTAAGATGGATCTGATCTGGCGTCTCCAGGGCACTGCAAATGCATTCCAGGCGAAGCGTTATATCCCACAGATTCCAAATGAGATTTGGATCAATATCGAGGTGGGAGCCCTGTTGCAAAGTGACAGGAACGATTTCTTCGCTCGGCGGGGTGCCCTCCTGGAACGCTAGACGGCCCGAAAGAGCAGTAGGACAGACCAAGTACACAGGCTCCGGATTTTCAAGTCCCTTCAGCTTACGCTCACCTTGATCTCTAACTTCAAAGCCCTGGATATTAAGCTGTTGCAATTCGCGACGTATACCCTGGAACGGGTCTCCAATGTCACTTGCAGACCCGATAGAAGCGGATCGTTCGCTTTCCGCATAGTATTGTTGTGTGCGGCTAAGTTCACTCATGAAATCGGAAGATACAAATATCTGACCACCATCGGCAACTGCAGAGATACGCGATGCACGGTTCACCATAGGACCAAAGTAATCCATACGATTTGTCACTGGGTCTTTCTCGCACACTGGTTCGCCCCAGTGACTACCCATTCGGACTGACAAACCTCTGAAAATGAGATTTCCATCCTGGTCGTACAATTCTTTGCACTGAGGTTGCTCCAAAATCTCTTTGGGCCATTCCGCATCCAAGAGTTGCGTTTGACAGTTAAAACACCACAAGAGGGCCGCACTGGGCGTTGAAAATGCCACCATAAAAGCATCCCCTTCAGTCTTAACTTCGTATCCACCAACTATACCCAACTGTCGTCGCAATACATCGTTGTGTATCTGAATAGCGGAGCGCATAGCATCCGGACAGGTCTCCCACAGAGATGTTGACTTCTTGATATCGGTGAATATGATAGCGAGTTCACCAATGGGCGCATCCACGTAGTCGAAGCGTGCAAGTCTTGAATCGCCGATAGCGTCGCGGTGTCTCCTTGGGCGTTTCGGCATAAGAGCTTCTTCTGCAAATACACTTTGATTGAGAGACATGCTGGGGTGATTCCTCTTCTCACGCTTCTTCAGCTCACTAATGCCAAGTATCATTACCATCAACTTGTTAGAAGCTCCAAAGGCAATCGCTAAATCCCGAATTTTCTGTCCTGCAATCATCAAGTCTCTTCGTTCGGCTCGAGCTACGTCGACGGCAAGATCAAAAGTAACATATTCCCAAACCTCTTTCGATGCCACAATAATCAATTCATCTTGTTCGGTCAACGTGAAGTGAGATGTATGAGGGGCAGCAATGACAGAAGGCATCAACGGGAAGTAGCCAAACGCGCGGGAAACAGGTAGAACGTCGTTCAATTTTCCGTTGCGGGACACGAAGCCACCTGCGTCTCGGATACGTGCCCTTTCTTCAGGGTGCGCTGGGTCATGATTGAACGTAAGCATTCTAAGACTGCCATCTGCTTTGACCAGGACTGCTTGCGCATCACCCACGTTCGCAACATACAAATCCATATTATTCAAATACAAGACAGTTACAACACCACCGGAATGGATATCATCTTGGTTTAGCAGTTTTGCGGCAACTGAACCGCTTACAACTTGGCGAACCTCTCTGTCGTCAACAGATTTGTATGCAGCTGCTGCCATATCTTTGTTGAGGGTAAGGAACGCGCGCCTTAGTGCATCCAACGGCGTTTCATGGTCTAGCGATAGCTTCTTAAGCTCGTCGACAAAGCAGTGTGTGAAGTTTTCGTGCAAGAACTTAGCAATTTTAGAACCACCGATTGACTGGCTTTGTCCGTCAAACATGCCAACAAGAGTCTCCATATTATCAGAGCGAAGCCGCGGTACCATCATGTCTATAATAGACAGATGCTCGTTCTTTCCTAATGAGTCTGCCATACCATATGCCAAAGATCCTGCGAGGGATGCCGAAGTCCTGACACGACGGTCCTCTGTTTCTTCTGGTATTGTCTTAATGGTTAATGTGACATCCATCAAACCCAAAACACGCAGGTGCGTCAGCGAATTGAAACCAGTCAAATCCGTTCCGTTGATAGAAGATGATCCCAGTGAGGCGATATTTGGCTTGATCTCCAGTCGTTTGTTGCCAGAGAAATTGAGATACCTCAAGTTACGGTTCCAGTTCCAATTCCAGTCATACGGCCAATTGGAAACATTGTATTTGAGCGAGTTGCTACCAACATCTAGAACAGCAAGTTTGCTGACTTTGCACAGCTCAGCTGGTAGAACTTGAAATCTATTTCCATTTATGTGCAAGGTTTTCAGATTGCTGGTCTCCTCAAGATCGTCTGACGGAAGTGCTGTAAATTCATTACCAGAGATGAAGAGATCAGAAAGATGCTGCCATCTTTTCAAAATACCGTGGGGCATCTCTGACAATGCATTGTAGGATAAATTGAGCACACGCAATTCCGGCAAGAAAGCAAGCTGGCTGAAGATATCATCGTCTAGACGATTGTCCGCAAGATATAGGTCACGCAAAGAGCCAGAGAATGTAGTTGCCAGGCGCTGTGAGAAGTTCGAATCTTTCCGCGTAGATGTGGACACATCAGTGTAGGCTCTGGAAGCTGTCGAGGCTTTGCGGCCGCCAGAGATGTAGTTCGATACAACCGAATTATTCCGACCAGTCGCGGGTGATGAGCTCAAGTTAAGTAGTGTGCTTGATGTCTGACTAGGCCGACGTGACTGTAATTCTCCAAGAGCGTTCATGTTCTCATAACTCGGTGTATTAGAGAGCCCAGGGGTTGTGGCTGGCGATGCAGAGACGTATTCACCTGGTGCCAAGGGCGCCTGACCAGTATGTTTAGGAAAACTGCCAAGGAGGTTAGATGACACATTCAGCGTCTCCAACTTCAAGCAAAACCATATTTCGGATGGTAAGCGATCAAGGTTGCACTCTCTCAAATTAAGGTACTTGAGTTCAGTCAAGCAACCGATCGTAGGTGGTAACGATGAAAGGGGGTTTTTGATCATACTGAAATGTTCCAATCGACGTAGCTTTCCGATGTTTTGTGAAAGGGATGAAAAGTGATTCTTGTCCAAAATTAACTTGGACAAGTTAACGAGGTTGTCGAATGTAGAATCCTTGAACTGCACGAGCTTAGCCGATGCTATGTTCAAGGACGTTAGTGTGTAAATAGGACCATCCAACTCAAATTGAGTGATAGGGCAATGGTCAAGTTGTAGGGTTCGCAGTTTAGGGAAAGACCCTTTGAATTTCGTCACTGCATTGTGCCCTAGTAACAGCTGTTCCAAGCGAGGCAGTTGCATGATGCTGTCGACATTGGAGATTTCGTTAAACCGAGCGTCAATTTCTTTGATACTCTTCAGATTCTGAAAGGACTTATCTAAAGGTCCTTCGAGCATGTTGTTCGTCACCCAAAGACGCTCAAGTTGTCTCAATCGACCGATGTTGGGTAATTCGCGGATACTATTGAAACTAATATCGAGATCGACTAAGTTTGGAAGGTTGCAGAGGAAGTCGGGGAAAACATGAAAGTTATTTGAAGATAATGTCAAGCTCCGTAGGGACACGTAATTGGTGAAATATGAGGGCAACGCCGATAAATTGTTGTTGGCGATCTTGATGCTGACTAGACCTCGCAGTTCTCCCAGATTAGTCTGATCTAGTTGCTCGAGCCGGTTATTAGAAATATCGAGATATGTTAGTCGAGTTGCCAGGCCAAAGCTAGGGGGCAATCGCCAAGCCTCGTTGCTCATAAACTTGATTTCACGCAAATTTAGACAGCTTGTTATGAAGTCCGAAGGCACTTCCAGGGAAAGATTGCGTGACAAATTAAGAGAAATAATCTCCGACGCTCTTCTGTAGAGCGTAAGGGGGATAGTGACCAGACTGCGACCTTGGAGATCGACATGACTGAACTTCTGACTCCTATTAAACCCGGGGTCGGCATCTAGACTAGCATAACCACTCAGCTTCGTAGGCAGGAAGATGAATCGACATAGATAGCTGTGATCTTCACGTCCAATATCTTCGATATGATCCGAAGCGTGGTAACCAACCTGCTCAAGGAGTCTTTTTTGAATCAGAATCGGCCGTTCTCCGTGCTCAAGTTGGCGAGATAAATCGTTCTTCCGCATGACAATCTCGTAATTAACCAGGTCATCCTGCAGAAACGATTTTTTACCGAGCAAAGCAAGTATATGTGCAACAGTAGCGTTGACAGGGGCGTAAAGGGTTGCGAAGGTTGAGTCAATGCGGAAAACGCGAATGAAATACATCACGCCATCATCACGTGCAGCGGCATCGATCTCGTTATCGATTTCTGGAAGGGCTCGCACCAGGTCATCGCCAGCTCTTTTGACACCCCAACTGTCAGGAGGGTTCCAATACTCGACATCGTGATCATCCTTCACTGGCGCATGCTCTTGAGCATTACCATCAAATATACCTTGGTCAGTAGGTGATAAAGGTCGCGGATCACCCAAAATGCCATCCATATCTGTAAAATTCGTGTCCAAAGTATATATGCTCTCTTGTTGTGGCGGTTGCGGTTTGTTTGACGAGAACAACGCATCACCACCGAAAGGTCGCCGGGTACGAAACTTGGGTCCGGAAATGCCCAGCCCTTTCGTAGGTTCCTTCCTGCGGTCAAATTCCAAGCTATCGCTATGTCGTATTGATCCATTTCCATCTACACTACCTTGCCGATTTCTCCAAGCAGGAGATAGATCTCGCTTGGCCATTTTGGCCGCATTCTTATGTGGATCTTGTAAAGATCTGCTAGATCCAGGCAAATTTCTCAATGCATGGTGACTCTTGTTGGGTCGAAGAATCTTACCCAAAATGCCTCGCCCATGTCGCGGAGAATCATGACCTAAGTGATGGTCACGAAGCATCGCACTGTGCGTACTTGGAGAAGGACTCGTCGGGCGACCGGCAAGCGTGCTTGATGAGCTCATTGCAGTGGATGTTAACAGTCCTCCAGCATCTTGAAAAGTATCGCCTGGAGTAGTGGTAGAACCGCCAAGATTTGGAACGGAAAGGTTGGGAACGGACTCGATCGAGCCTGAAGAAGGGGGTTTTCCATCTTTACTGCGAGAATGGCGGCGGCCGGTGAAATGGGGGAACCTGTGTGTTTCTTTCCGGTCTCCGTGACCAGCTGAGTTACTTTTAGTGAGATAGCGTTGACTATCAGGATCTATAGGCTCTTTTCGCACAGGAGCTTGGCCGAACTGTGGGATATCCTAGATAAAAGTGACGTCAGAGACATTTTATACGATTCACTGTAGATAGACATACCCTAAATTGTTGATACATCCACGGGGCGACATCAGAGGAAGGAAGTGGAGTTCGTGGTCTTGAGGCACTGGGCGAGCCACCTCGAGTTCTAGCATGTTCTGAAAGATGCTTCGAGCTCGTAGAATCATTTCGAGCACGGGTGAAATGTTGCTCACGCGACCCAGTGTGATGCAAGCTCAGGTCCGAATCGCCTCGAGAGCCGTTCTCCGCGTCTTTGCTGCTAAGAAGTCCTTGAAGTTTACGGATTCCTCCTTGACCCTGACTTGACTTGGAATTGCTGCTTCCCGCGGTCGTTATGCTTGCAGCAGAGTGTCGTCTGTAGTCCCGGTAACCAAAATCACGAACATCAGAGGTGGTGGTGTTTCCATTGCCAGATCGGAATGCGGGTGTGATGGGCGATACTTCGCTTTCAGAGGCATCTCGAAGGAATGTGACTGAGTTGGGGTTCGGCGATTCATTCTGTATTGGTGATGACGAGGACCAGGATGTGTTGAAAGGGTCATGAGCGATAGGATTCAAAGCCAGTTTGTAAGGCCCAGAAGTGGCGGGTTGCGGTGGTGGTTGAGAATTGGGGGAGAAGTAATCATCAGCGCCCAGCACAGCCAACGCCTTACGGTGACTCCCGAGAGCAGCAGGCTTTCGTTCGTCGGTAGGCGATATGGACGGCGAGTCGACGAACATGGCGCTATATAACTCCGGACTAACATCTGCACTCGACGGTGGTCTGTCGACTTCTATCAGCATAACTTCATTGAACCAATCATATCCACAACAACCCAACTCGGAATTTCCAAGTAGCTTAGTATTACATTCCAGATATCAAGAATATCCACCATTTAAAAGAACAAGATTTTAGCAAAAGTTTCAGCAGTACCTATTGTTGGTCCCATTTCCACCCGAATTGTTGCGTCTTGGATATTCCGTCTCCGACCTGTCATCCTTCACAGTCGATTGTGAATGCCAACTGCTGGTGGAACTCTCAGAGCCATGTCGCCCACTGAGCGGCGCATGGTCGCCGTTCCTTCTCGCCATGTGGTGGGTTGTTGGCGAGGGGCTCACCAGCAACAGCAAATAAACTGAGGCGAGAGGATCTTGATAGGCAATCAGACTATCGAAGCTGGGTTATAGGTCATCTGCAGCGGACTAGCGGCGGTCGGATTGAGGGTGGGGAGCGGGTCGTTCAACGGCAAAACTCGAAAGCCCAGTTTCAATGCGATGACGTTATGAAGGTGGTGGATATCGTCGCGTATTATTTCGTGCTCTATCGAAAAGCACGGCAGTGAGGGCAGAGAGCGATCCTCGGAAGGCGGATGTGGTTAAAAAGCTGGACCGGCAGGAAGAGACAAGGCGAGCTCGGTATACGGACGGTCAGCGCAACAGTGCGACAGCATCGCTACATGGCTGATTTGCACACGCGGAAACGGGTGTCGAGGGTGAGGATAGCGACTGCAAAGGGGGACTATTATGGAGTCGATAGCAATGGGTGTCGTCGATGGGCGTTCACGATCTGGAGGACGAGGACGGTGACGGACGAGGATCGTTTAGAAGCAAGCACGATGGCGGTGGTGGAAGCAAGTGAGAGCGAGCTGAGCTGACCTGCTTAGTCGTGCTGGCTGCCTCAGGCTTACTCGACGTGGCTCCATTCCCAAAGCGGCTTAGTCTTCCGCTCTTGGAGCAAGTATCGGCTAGTCCCTGTTGTCCCCCAACAGTTACCAATCACTCACTCACTTCTTCTCGAATTCTTCATTGCTTAGTCGACGAGCGCTTTTCTGCAGAAATATCAGTGCTGATGATGACGCTACTCCGGCGCGTATCGCATCTACTAACCGCAACAAACACTGGCTCCCCAGCTCTCCGTTCCCAGAGCAAACTTGGTAAAACATCGGGAATAACGCAAGCGCGCAACTTGCATGAACAATGCATGCTTAGATGCATCGACAATCTCACTAATTGGCCGTTGGCCACCTGCAGGTTTCGGAGCTTAGCTGGAATTGGTTATCAGAGCATAATCTGGTGCGACGAATGAGCAGTTTTCAACTATCCATCCACCAACAGTCAACTACCCGGATATAACGACTAATCCTCCAAGGCTATTTGCAGATGGCACTCTAGCTTAGCAGCGACTAACTTATTGGTTTGATATGACCAATAAGCAGACCACATATGCCACAAAAGGTGAAAAATTTACACGGTGTTGCTGCATCCACTAGCCAACGAGTCATGCGACGGCTGAAGTCTCTACCGACGGGATAAGTTAGTACCTAATTATTTAATCACCAACATCAAGTGCTAGTCTAACCCAAACACCTACTGCCACACTCTCTCTGGCAGGTGCATTCCATCTTGCAGCGGACACTAATATTGGCGGCTAAATAATTAGACATCGATATGCACAATAACAAACTACCTAACCCTTGCCACAGTAGCTTAAAGCCATGCGAACGTGCTAGGTTGTTCATTGGTTACATGCTCCCTTGGCATTGACGAGGGCAAAAAAAAAAGACAAAAGGGATCGTTCGTGACAAAGTTTCGGCACATTTTTCCAGGGTCTTTATTATCACCGACCTGAGTGGACGATGTAGCTCCTCATTCTTACTGCGGAATTATTTGGTGAAAGACTCGCGGAAGGCACGACGCTAACTGTGCCTCCGACGCTTAGATGAATTTGTTGGTTGGCTTGAAGAAAATCCCTCGGCGGGATCCAACATAGATGAGTACATCTGCAGGACGCGATCTTGACACGCTGACTCCTGCGGCTGAATGGACCCCGCCATCTGCAGATAATCCTTGCAAAACTGAATGGACTCATAAAATAGTCGGTGTAACCGGCAATCTTGTCCGAGCAGAAACATAAAGGATACCCAATATCCAACTATACAAACTGACTAATTATCGATTCACTATTGTTTTTGGCCAAAAATAATAGTACGTGGTGCAGGATGGATTAACAATAACCAATATCATATTAGGTTACTAGCATTATGTATGAAAGAAGGAATAGTAAACAAGAAATAAAGGTATTTATTTCACTGTCGTATTATTTCTTCTAAATAACATGGAACTATTGCCAACATTGAAATTTTTGCCGTCTGGCTTTTTGCGATCTAGAACATAGGACTAAGTTGACATGGCTGGGTTTAATATATTTTTCAAACGTTATATTGCATGGCATAATTACGTTTAAGTCTAGATTTTCCATCTGGCCAGGTATAGATTGATGTGAATGCAGACGAAAGTACTATGTTCAAACTTTTTTAAAAGATAGGAGCCAGAGCGTGACTTTCCTGATTCTTATATTGAATAGGGTTCTCTCCTACATAGTAGAATATGGGGGTAGCTATTTGTTGCCCCCTTACTAAGGCTCGTCGGCCTATCCAATGGAGTGTGTAAGGATCATGTGTGGCTTATAGTTCAACGCCAACAATCCAGCATTCGCATAGCAGCGTTACAACGAATAACTATACAATTGCATTCATTTTACCTATATCTTGGCTATATGTCATATACACACCCCACATATTAGGCGTTCATTTCGTATAAATACTTAGGTTGACGCAATGGCTTGTTGCTGCATGGTCTGTTTGAAAACCTGTAGCGCGGTCTCTGGCTCTGCTATTCATCAGTATCACAATCAACCAGCGACAAAGATTGACAAAACATACGGTAGTATGGAACTTCGTGCCCCGCACCAAAGACCTGCAGGTAAGAAAAGTTATCGACATTCTTGTACAAGCCCTTCTTGGCTCCGTTCACAGTGTACGATTGCAACGAGGCACTGGCAAATTTGGATGAACCGCTGAAGCTGACTGCATTAGCAACGCGCTGGACTCCAATATAGTTGCAGATCCAGTCCGCGTCGCCAGCTAGAGTTGAATTAGAGAGTCAGTAATGGTACCGAATGATGGGGGACAATCTGAGGGAACAGAAAGGGAGCTGACGACATACCCCAAACGAGTACTTGGATACCGGACTGAACGACAGAGGACAATTGACTGAGGAAAGAACGGGAGTCTATAAACCGAAAAAAATTAGTATATAAAAGTGACCAATTAAAAGACCGATATGCTCACTGTCGCCGGTAGAGGAAAACTTGTTGTATGGGCCATTTGGACATTCTTGATAGGTAGACTTGGCACCAATGGCCTTGACGACACTAGAGTCCGTCAAGTAGGTGCTATAGGTTGAGGGTGGGTAGGGATCATTGGACGGCTCGCGGACATCATAGGGGTCGAAATCAGCAGCTTCCTGGATGGAGGATTCGATTTGTCCGCAAGTATCACCGGCATTGGAACAATCTGAATCTGATCCAGATGATGCACATTGCTTGATAGCTGGAAGACAGTCGTTGTTATAGCTGTCTAAAAGTGAGGAACGCTGACTGGAGCTGATAAGTTGCCTGTAGCTGTTGTTGTAGGCATAGTCAATGTAAGCCTTCTCTTGAAGCTGGGAGCTGAACCAGCCATTATTGATACCGAGAGCAATCAAGTTGATGTTTTCGCCAGTGACACTACCATTCTTAACACCGGCATTTTGTCCTTGAATGTAGTGGGCGAATTCGGGTCCGTAGTGTCCACCGTAAGACTAAAAACTGTTGGCCGAAGTAATACAAATATTTACAGAATCTAGCTTACCTCTGTGAAAATACCGAAATCACGGCTCTTGTACTGCGGGAATTGAGCATAGAATGCCTGGATCAGCTTCCAGACGTAGGGGGCAGCAGAGTCGGTACTATCGACATCATCTGTGCCGTAGGAAAATCCCACACCGATGGGCTGGTCCACGTAGATGACGTTGGCGAAATTATTAAAGCTGTTGTTGTTCAAAGATGGCGTTGATTCGCCATTAACGAAGTGGCAAGGGCCGTTTTCTTGGAACAATCCGATCATAGATGAACACCCAGGACCGCCATTGAACCAGGCTGCGAGAGGAGCACTGCTCGCGTTGTTACGGGCCTCGAAGAACCTATTGGGTTTAATTAGCACGAACAGGCTACATGTAGACCGCACACAGAACTCACCAGAACCACATGTTCATGTTATTTCCAACGGAGAGATATCCCGAGTATTGGTTGACGCCGGGTGTGGTCTCGCAAATGCCCGAGTTCTTCACAAATTCCATCTTAGCCCCTGTAGCGGCGTGCTCAAAGACATTGTAAGTGACGCCATCGCGCTCAACGATGGATCTCTTGTCCTTGTGTTGCACGGCAGCGGCATTTACAGCCAAGCCATGAGCGGCGGCCGACAACAGAAGAGTACGTGAGAGAAGCTGCATGTTGCAAGAAGTCAATCAACTCAATCTTGATCTTGACAGTGGCTAGAAGTAACTCACAGGATTTCCCCTCGGCTATATATAGCTGGAAACGACTGATCGACACCGGACGATCCGTTTATTCTGGCGTAGACCCTCCAGTAGCTCACCCAATCAAGCCAGAGCGCGAAGGCGCGATAACGCAGATTGCAATGCTGTCTGCGGTGCGGCTGTCGATCATGCGCCAGAGACTCGAAAAAGGAAGGTTGTTGATGGAGAAGATACGACCTCGCTATCGAGGCTAATGCGGCTCCGGCTTAGGCATCCAGGAACCAGCTAATCAGCAGCTGCCAATATCGGGCTAAGCTGAATCTAGCTTCGTCGTCCGCGGTAGAGTTGCAGCTGCCAAGCTTGAGTGGGCCAATGAAAGCAGCACCGCTGGCTGGGAGCTTGTATTTGCTGGGCTTGATTCTTTTGATACTCGCATCATCTAGTCTGACAATGTCTATAATTATGAGAGAGAATGTACGCCATAATAGAACCGCAGAAAGGCTAGGAACTAGTCATACCCCATGTGTTTAGCTTCGATTTAGCATCTTGATCTACATTCTATCGAGGCGCCGTGGCGTATCGATAAGCATAATCAGGCCTATGACGTGGGTTGGATAAGGTTACATGCCAATGCCGAACCTAAGCGGAATCCTCATGAAGTTTAAAAAACAGGTGCATACAAATCAGTCAAGAGATTAATGGCACCTGCTGAATTAGGCATGACGATGGGTTATTAATGCCCCGGGCAGCAGTATGAAAATGGAAGCTCATTTCATTGTTCCATGTGAAGTTAATCATCTTGCCACAGGCGATTTGTAGAGCTTAATTTTAAATTCCCCAGTACCAAGGATAATCATCTCTAGATGATAACTATCAACTAGGCAGCACTATTCTAGAGGCCAAGGTAGGAGCAGCTGCCGGTCAAAGCCGCATTTGCGATCGGCGGATCCTGACGACAATTGTTGAAACACCCGTCAGGCTGTGGAAACACTGTTGTAATTCAACATCTTATGGAAGAGGTTGGATTGAGAGATTATGTATAACAATAGTCATAACAAAGAATAATAAGAAGCACCAGCAGGAATTACTAACAGAATTGAGAATTATAAAGGCTGGGCCCCATGTGGTGGCTCGTGCGCAACCGGCCTCGCGGATTATGGACCAATCATGCTTGTCAATACGCCCGCCTCTTGGCAATAGGTGTGAAATCTCTATCGTGATTCGCTGCTGGCTGAAACCGCATGCAGAGAGTCCAGAGAACGTATCCGTAGAATACTACGAGCTATCAATTAATGACTGCGTGATGACATGGCTTCGTCGGAGCAGCCAGCCTCTATGATTTCTGGTCTTTTCCAGCACGGTAATACCGACGTCCCAGTGGCAGTGCTGTTGAGAAGTAGAGACATGTTGCTATAAAGAGAGCCTTATATAGGGGGATCGATTGCACGTGCGTAACTTGAGAAGAAACAGATCATCGGCAATACTTTTGATGTATTTGAAGCAATAATGAGATAAGAATCACGCAACAACAAAAGGAAGCGTCTTTCTAAGATCCTGCCGCTTCTGGCCTAGTGCCGTCCGAGCGGGTCATCCGGGGGCTGGTAATTCGGCAGGCTGGGGATGGCCGTCATCCCATTGGCTACCAGCTGATTAGGCTCTGTGGCGCTGAAACAGCGAGGCTGGGTAGCTGCTTTGTTGCCCAGTGACCAACTTATATATACCAGCAAGGTGCAATGCGCCTGTCGGTACCCGTCTTTTCTTTCTTTACACACACCTTCAAATTTATTTGCAAACCCTTCTCGATTGGGAAGCTGTACAATTTGTCTACTGCATCGATTTCCATCACAGAGTCGATTACGGTCGGTCGAATAAGATAATCTTGTCGACCTTTCAGGCGACTGCGCTGGCAGGATTCTTGGCAAGCAATAGATTTTCATTTTCAACATGAAGTTCTCCATCACAGCAGCCACAGCGGCCTTGTTGCCTCTGGCTGCTGCTCAAACTTACACAAACTGCAACCCCAGAGAAAGCAGCAGTAAGTTGTTTGGTGCCATGAATACAGCTGCCTTTGTAATTCGCTAACTCCCAATAGACTGCCCTGCTGATCCAGCTCTCGGCAAAGCTGCGACTTATGATTTCACCAAAGGTGCTCCTACTGGATGGACAGCCTCAGGAACCATCGACTATAGCAGCAAAGGTGGCGCTTTCACCGTTGCCAAACAAGGGGACAGCCCTCTCATCACTTCGGACTTCTACATCATGTGGGGCCATGTTGAGTTTGTCCTGCAAGCTGTGAGTACCATCTATCATACTATAATCCTGGAATATGTTCCCTAACCGTATATAGGCCCCAGGCACTGGCATAGTAAGCAGCGCTGTGATGCAGTCAGACACTTTGGACGAAATCGATTGGGAGTTTCTTGGTGGTGATTCTGGCACTGTCCAGACCAATTATTTCGGCCATGGTGACACTTCAGTGTACAATCGCGAACAGACTTTCTCGACACCAGACAATCAAGCTGGTGTTCACACCTACGCTGTTGACTGGACGGCCGATCGCATTGTTTGGCAAATTGACGGCACAACTGTACGCACCCTCACCCCATCGAATGCGGATTCTGGCCAGTATCCCCAGACCCCAATGATGATAAAGGTTGGAATCTGGGCCGGAGGTGATCCTAGTAACCCTCAGGGTACGATAAGTAAGCACATCCCATTCCTGCTAACAAAGAAAACCTTGCCTAACGGAAACTAGATTGGGCCGGTGGTGTAACCGATTATAGTAAAGGACCCTTTACAATGTACTGCCAATCGATCTTAGTCACCGACTATTCAACTGGCAGCGAGTATAAATATACTAGCGAAAGCGGTACTTCGGATTCAATTTCAGCCGTGGGTGGCAGCGTTGGCGGTAATGCGGGTGCAACTGCTTCTGTGTCTACAGAGGCTGCGTCCCCTACCATCACTTCTACGAATAGCGATGCCCCCATGCCCTGGAGCGGAACCCACAGGGATACCTCCACAGTCGCTCATAGCGTCTGGCCATGGGTGTCGACAGCTACCGCATCTCTGACGAGTGATCCCTCAGACTGGTCTACTAGTGCCGGTAGTGCGTCGGCACCCCCCACGGTTTCTGTAAGTGAGCATTTCCCTATGCTTTTTACTTTGCTGCCACGGAGCTGACTGTTTTCGTTAGAGTACCTCCCCGCCTACAGTGCCGCCATCTGTCTCGTCTTCGGTTTCGTCCTCCCCTTTTGGGGCTGAGACCACGACATCTATTCCAGTAGCAACCACCACCACACACACACCTCAATTCCCCTCGTCGATTCGCATCCCCCCATTATCTACTTTGCCATCGACATTTGCTACGTCGACCTCTGGAACTGCACCGCAGTCAATTGGCACCACCCCGACGTCGAGCCCTGGGGGCGGATCGGCTCCATCCAGCACGTCTGCTGGTAGCAGCGCTACATCGACCCCTCCAGCTCCTTCGCTGAGCAGTGCGAATCGGCAGTTTACTGTCAGGATGGGAGCCATTTCACTTGCATTTGGAAGTGTGATGATTTTGCTATAATCTTTTCCGTCTTTAGAGTTGTTTTTCGGTTCTGTTTTTGACAGCGGCATATTGCATTGATTGGGCATGGAGTTTTATGATAAATTGGCATGGCATGATTATGGACTACGAGTATCTATTGGACACGCTTTTAATAACAAGGTCGGATTTGGCCGTGATAGGAGGGCAATATATGATCAGAATGTGTATGATATCAAGTGATAATGGAGAATGATTATAATATATTGGTATATTTTATCTTAACAATTCAACTGCAATTCTGTTCTCTTGCAAATGATTATGTGCCAATCCTACAATTGACAACAGTAAACTCGCATTCAAAAGCCGTCTTGCAAACTGTAATGGGCGAAGGCGATAGAGCACGGATACGAAAAGGTGAATTTTAGTTGTCCATTCTATCTCATAATGTAATTGTACTAATATCATTGTCTGAAGGGTTACGAGCCTAGGGTGCTGGGACTGGATGACGCAAGGATTCCGGCATCAGAACTCCAGCGGCAATACGGAAAGTGCGACATTGTAATAGTGTCTTGTAACTTTGAAGCGCAAACTACCGCTTATTCGAACAACAAAACCAGAAAATTTGTGATTTCAAAGACGGTTATTGGCGCGCACCGGCTCAGCCGGTGGCTGCTTTGCTATCCGAATACTGGAAATTGGTCAATCGTCCATTCGAGAGAGTGATTCTAGATGCATGTCAGTTGGTTAAAAAGACAAATGGGGCATTTTACAATGCTGTTCAATCGGACGGCAGCGATCATGTTGTCAGGAACCATTCTAAGCAATCGGTGGACCGATGTGGGTAGCCTATCACCATGTTGTAGGGCCACTACTTCACCACGAAAGAGAAGTTTATTCGAGAGTCTTCTTTCCCACCGAGCAAGAACAGGTCCCTTGATTCCGCTCTACCAGATATCAATTCGATTCAGCGCTTTCTACAAGACCTTCCACTTGCTTGAAGCTGCCCAGTTCAAAATCGAGTAATGCCGACAATATTGAAAGCGTTTGTCTTCCCCACTAGCTGCTTAGGTACACCATCATTATACCTGGACACCATCGTCCAGTTTGTGCAACTCAAGGTTTTGAATCTGTCACTTGCCTGAATATATCACATATTAAATGAAGAAAGCTTTAACAAACTAAGACAAAAGTTGATCACCTACTTTTGCTCAGTACGTGTGGCATATGTGGGTTCAAATCATTAAATATGATGTGGGTGGATGTCCCATCATGATCCATAGATTCTTGCATATCTGGCGAACGGTCCATGCACTTATCGATCAGGACATGAGCATAAAGCGGTGTGACGTGAGCGATTTAGGGCCGTACATTTCATTTATGTGGGTAATAGCATATTTTCCTATTATTTGGATCTGGGGTAATGTATCAACGGAGACCAAGCTATATTAGGTGCTAGAGCGATATTACGTATAAATCTAGACTACTTCGGTCCATTTGTCTCTCTGGACATCACTCCAAATGTTGGTTTCGGCTCATCTAGTTCGTATATGGATCACACCACACTGCGGTGAATGGCTGTTGACTGTTGCGGAAGTATAATTCTCTTGACTCCTACCCACGGCGTGTTGACCGGGCTTTCATCCACATACAGAAACATATCATAAAGCCAGCCACCGAATGTAGTGCCAAAAAAGGGGGCAACCATGGGGACCTATATGTATAACACTATCGTTAGTAGATATTACCAATCTAGCCAAGTAAGCTGCGGAGTCCATCATACCCAGAAATAATAATTCCCCGCCGCCCAGACGTTATGGCCGTAACCGATCATGTACGAGACCAGTCTAGGACCAAAGTCCCTTGCCAGGTTAATAGCATAGCCAGTCTCCCAGCCAAAGCACGCACCGATACCAAAAATCAGAAAAAACAGCGCCAGCGGCGTTAACGGCCCCGCGCCGATATTTTTGTCATCCTTGAGCGCGAAAATCATAAACATCAAGATCGAGCTCGCTACAAACTCGGAAAAGAACTGGCCTGTCTTGGTCATAAATGCTGCGGGATACGTACAGAATATGCCCGCCGTCGCGGTGGATGAATAGCCCGGCACAGTGCGAATATGGGACCCTCCTTCGTACGTATCAATTGCAGATTTGTAGTTCCCGTATACTATCGCGGCGCCGCTCATTGCGCCTAGCACTTGGGCAAGCATGTACACGGGGAATTTGCGCCAGGGGAATTTCCGAAATACGCAGTTAGCGAATGTCACAGCGGGATTAATGTGTGCGCCGGATATCCCACTTGCATAAACACCAAGCATGACGCCGATTCTAATTCATTATCAGAAAGAGAGGGAGGGACGGAGGTTAGCTGTAGCATAAAGCAAATGAAAAAGTCTTACCCCCAGCCCCATGAAATAGACTGATAATCCCCCTTCTGATCTTGACTCAGAGTGACCTGCGCAACCACACCGTCGCCGAAGAGAATCAGGATCATGGTGCCAAAGAACTCTGACAATGGCTCGCGGAGGGTATGTCGGATACGACTCCAGAAGAGCCCCTTCCGGTATGTCTCTTCTGAGACATCGGCAAGACTTGAGACTGTCTGGGTTGCCGTAACGGTGCTGTCAGTGCTGGTTGCGGGCTTCATTATTTCGTTGACAGTGTGCTTGGTAGCCATGTTACAGTGGGATATAGTTGGAGTCTATTTGTGATATATCGCTAGGGTAAGATCATTATGAATCCAGCGAACTACGACAGTACCGTACTTATACACAGCACTTATACACAGTGAGTGTCTTGAGCTATTACACAGTCAACACACTGAGTAGTTCTATGTTCTTGCTACAAATCAGCTTGAGCATCAAAGGTTGCACCAGTAAGACGACGTACTTGTGTGCCGCTCAAATCCAAGCCACAATGGCCATGCCTACGAATTGGAGTACAGCAGTCTCACAAATGACTAAGGACGTGAGAGAGCCAGGCGTTGGTGGCGACTTGCGTATGGGACAGTAACATAGCAGCCGTTCCTCGCAGCACACACCATTCCCGAACGGCCATGGCTTGCTCGGCGCAGTGCTATCTCACTCTCTGATGCTCGTGAATGTCACATAAACCCCGCAGCATATGCTGGAAATGGCGTCCGGAAGGGTCGGGTGAAACATAGCTGCAGGTCGGGGGAAGAGAAGTCGCTGTGTATTGGTTTGGCCTTGCATAGGCGAGTCCTGCGCAACCATTCAAGAGGAGTCAAAACAGCCATCGGGATGGTAGCACACCATGCCACCCGGATATCCCTGATGGATGCGTAGTTTGCCTGTGACAGCCTGACGGGAGATCAAGGAAAGCAACACCCGTACGCATACACTCGGAATCACATAGACCGAGATATACCCGATTTCATCTCGTGAAAAAGACCAGATAAAAAGATCAAAGATCAGACAATGATCAGGCAATGATCAGGCATGTGCATGGAGCATCGTGTTTTTTACCCCGGATTGTCGGGCCTGGATCGCATACTACCCCGGACCCATTATTATTGACACGCACATGCGAACCGCACTTTGTTTAGTGGAGAGAAATCTACATGCGAATAATATTAATAACAACGGACAAAGTCGCTGCCGATCGCGAGAGGGTGCACAGCCTGGTGTCGCACTAGAACCCGAATGAAATACTGCAAATGCCCACTGCGGGGTCATCGGCCAAAGAATTAGTAATAAAAGTAATAAGCGCAATAAAATGCCAACTATTATCGTGACGGATCGCGATTTGCGGCATCAGTGGATGCAGAGCGCCAGGATGTGCGACTCCTGCATGCAGAGGTCTGCAGCTGTGAGTCTTTTGGCGAAAAGGTTCTTGGAGACGATTAAGAATAACTAATAGCTCGTGTTCACGGAGAAATGCTGCACCGAGGGCAGCCTGAGGCGCCAATAAGTCGTCTAAGCGTCGGCGCCATCTCCGCCGTCAACTCGTCTTCTCCCCCAACTGGTTGAGGATGGCCAGACCGGCTGGGCGACATGGGGTTAGTTTCTCCCCCAGTCACACAGGCCACTTCCGTGGAGCATCGTGTTGGTGTCGCTTGGGACACCATATCAGTCGCGGACTCGCAGATGGCCTGTCGCAATCCTCTCTAGTGTCGATTAGAGTCCCCACGGAGCCCCCCGGGGGACGCTCAGGTCTTACTCTCGGCCTTGCTCTCGGCCTGTTAACTAATGTTAGGTCCTGCATGCTACGGAGCTTTAAAGGCACCGTTGTCGGTCGTAAATTGACATGCTGTCGTGTTCCTCAAGCCCAGGCAAGCTGCTGCTGACGCCTTCATCGCATGTCAATATACGCCAGCATCTTCAGTAAAATTAGCACTCCTGCGCGATGACTGGCCTCACCGACGTTTTTGTTGGTTCCATTGACCAGGGAACTACAAGCACCCGTTTTCTGATTTTCAATAAAGACGGAGAGCCGGTGGCCTCTCATCAAATCGAGTTTACTCAAATCTACCCCAACTCAGGGCAAGCACTTCGTTCAGGCACACTCGAGATTGGATGTGAACTAATAATTGCATACAGCTGGCATGAGCATGATCCCCTCGAGCTCGTATCCTCCGTCGAAGCGTGTATTGACGAAGCAGTCAAGAGATTCGAAGACCAGGGTCACTCAAGACACAACATCAAGGCGGTGGGGATAACAAACCAGAGAGAAACCACGGTTTTATGGGATTCCGAGACAGGAGAGCCGCTGCACAATGCCATCGTGTGGACAGATACACGTGCTCAGTCCATTGTGCAAGATCTGAAGTCGAGAAAAGGCGCAGATGAGCTGCAAAATATCTGCGGTCTCCCCCTGTCAACATATCCATCTTCCACAAAATTGCTATGGATGCTGCAGCACGTCCCAAAAGTAAAGGAAGCTTATGATAAAGGCAGACTAGCTTTTGGCACAGTCGATTCGTGGCTCGTGTATCGCCTGAATGGCGGTGCGGCTGCAAATGTGTTTGTCTCCGACCCGACAAATGCATCCAGAACGATGTTTATGAATCTCGAAACCCTACAATATGACGACCGTCTCCTAGACTTCTTTGGCATAAAGGGTAAAATACATCTCCCCAAAGTTGTTCCATCTTCAGATAAGACAGCATACGGTGCTATTTCGTCTGGCGTGCTCGAGGGCATCCCTATAATGGGCTGCTTAGGAGATCAGTCTTCTGCCCTCGTTGGACAAAAGGGATTTTACCCGGGTTTAGCCAAAAACACATACGGGACGGGGTGTTTTCTGCTGTACAATGTCGGCGAGAAGCCTGTGATTTCGAAGCACGGGCTCCTAGCGACTGTGGCTTTCCAATTCGATGGCAAACCGGTTTATGCACTAGAAGGCAGCATTGCTGTAGCAGGGTCTGGAATCAAGTTCCTTCAAAACAACCTCAGTCTCTTTCAAGAGTCTAAGGAAGTAAACGAATTGGCTGCGTCTGTGGATGACAATGGAGGTTGCGTATTCGTCACCGCTTTTAGTGGGCTTTTTGCCCCTTATTGGATTGACGATGCAAAAGGAACTATTTGTGAGTGACTTGCAAGATCGAATATGTAGATCCTATTACTAACTGTCTATAGTTGGGATTACCCAGTATACCCAAAAGGGACATATTGCACGCGCAACATTAGAAGCAACATGCTATCAGACAAAGGCGATATTAGACGCCATGGAAAAAGACAGTGGCCACGCACTTTCCGAGCTTGCGGTCGATGGAGGCGTCAGCAATTCAGATCTAGCGATGCAAGTAAGTCTGCACTATCTAACCTGCCCGCGAGAAAATAAGAGAGTAAAAGCTTACGGGCTCAGATACAAGCCGATTTGATATCAATCCCGGTCTACCGTCCCAAAATGCGCGAAACCACTGCTCTCGGTGCTGCCATTGCAGCTGGATTGGCACTTGGTCTGTGGCGCAACTTCACCGAATTAAGAGACATAAATCGTGCTGGAGGCGTTGTTTTCGAGCCCAACGTACCACGCGAGAAGGGCGCAGAGATGTTTTCGCTATGGGAGAAAGCTGTGCAGATGTCCCGAGGATGGGTGGAGAAAGAGAAGCAGGGGGATAGCGATTCAACTAGCATTATGAAAAAACCAAGGAAACCATCTGTAGTAATCAACGGGACCCCGCTGGAACCGAATATTGTCTCGAGAAATATCTTCGAGGATCTGGATGAGGCTGATGAAGAGGACATGTTATTGGAATTGAGGAAGATTGAGATTCAGCAACGGCTGAAACGGCTTAGGAGAGTCAAAGTATGAGCCCGTGTGTGCTAGGACTTCATTCGGGAAATGAGGTCTCTATATAACTGGTTGTTCTAGTCTTTTATGATTATACGACATTCTAATGAACAACTTGCCAATGTGACGGATTTCGACTGAGATTAATAGTAAGTGTATGGTGGTGTGACTTTTGTAAGTTTTCATATTACCCAATGCTTGAACTCTGTTGTAGACCAATTATTGCCCAAGTATGTTGAAAGGTAGGTATGAGATCACTATAGTACGGTCTTTCGTTTCATTAGAATGTTGTTTTCCGCCTGATGGCCTTGGAGCAGTCCGCGGCTATTCTGCTGGAGGTTGTTTTACGAGTATAAGGGGATATTGGTTAAAATGTCAAGTCAAACGAGATACTAAAGCTACCGAGTCATTTCAAGTCAATGAAACAACTTGACATATTACGAGCTAAGTCTTGTCTAAGTAGGCAACAAAAAGAAGTTAGGAGACGGGCCGATGAGTCTTCTATTTGCAACTCTATTCTTCCCCTCTTCCGACGCTATCAGCCATAGCTGTGGTCATCTGTTTTTCCCAATTTACATTATTTCAGGAATTGTCACATTCAACAGACTATCATCAAATGGGGCCTTTCGTAACATAGAACCAGGGAAGCTTTCCGATTGGCCAAACTAGAACTGAAGTAGAGACACATTTCCGTTTTGAGCGGCATTTCAGAACCCCAAAAGCCAAAACATCTAAATTACTTCCCTAAAATTTTCAATAACATTCAACGAAGCCTCCAGTGCTGGTATGTCGTGTACATTTTGCGTCGTCATGCGTACACTGATAGAGATAAAATCCCATCTATCTTTTCGAGTCTCATTGTGACTACTGAGATGGTTCCTGAAGGAGGTTCCAAAGATATCCCAAACAAGCCTAAATTTCGCATTTACAGTAAAGGACTGGGGTCCACGGTTGTGAATTTGGTAACTCCTTCCGATAATAGTATTCTCCGAGTGCGGATCAGTGGAGCCGCCAAATGCTTTGAGCCGTCAATGATCATTCCATTAGCGTTTTCCAGCTACGTACGAGCGAGCGGCCTATCCAACGATGGCGTTAGAAAGCGAAGGCAAATAAAAATACCGATCTCGGTAATGTTCATGTCAGGTTGATCGGTGACGCGCGCCATGTTATGCTTCATGGACGGTAGAAGTATATAGGTGTTTACTCCTGGAAATTCCATTTCTTTCTAGCTGATATTGCTAACACAGATTTTTGAAGTGGTATGTATGGGATGCAATCAGGCCATACGAGACTCTGTGGGTATGCTTCCGGCCATCCTTGATCTCACAAAAAAGTCAAAGACAAACAGTTAGTAAGTTATTCAAATCATGAATTATAGAGCCTCCGGCTTTGAAGGGAACCGAAAAAACAAAATCTAAACAGGTCGCGCCCAATCTCGACGGCATACAGGGGTGAGTAGGTGTATTTCTCTCATTTCACGGGCGCTCGACCTAGCCTGACTGTACGGAACTGTGCTGGATTTCTTCGATCTTGGTCCAAAATATGACGCCTCTGAGCTAATTAATTAGATGAGCACTATCTTTGTGACATCTTCAACGCACAATATCAACAGGTAAAAGACTATCTGCTAGCAAATGCAGACTTGGGAAGCGGTGTTATAGATGATGCGAGAAGGACTTTTACTCCTTCGAAACGGCGAAAGCTTACAAAACCAAAGGTCAAAGCGGTTGTATTAGGAGCATTAATAATTGTCGATCGCACTTTCAGAACTTCTCCCACTCCATTGTGAAGTTTAGATAGACGGTCAGAACATGCTAAGGATTAGCCCACAGGTTAAAGAAATCGTTGCATTCACATCAAGTAATTAATACAATTTCAAGTACATTGTTGTTGATCATAACTCAAAAAACTTATAAGATTCTTGACATTACATGGCCTCTCAAAACAATCTTCATGCTGATATGTTTTATCAAAATTGTTTTTCGCCCTCTCTCAAAAACACGCAGTTCATTTCTTCACCTGGACTAAGGGTGACTTCGAAGCGAAGACGAGGGTCTTCAACGGAGTCACGGCCCGTGACTGGCACGGCAATAATCCGTTCGAATGCTTGGAAAATGCGCACAAGCGTGTAGCCCATCTCCAGCATCGCGAATTGCTGTCCAATACAGATACGGGGTCCGCCGTTAAACGGGATAAACTGCCATGGCTTCGGCTGCCAGCCTGATGTCCAACGCTCTGGAATCCATTTGCTGGGGTCGTAGTACTTTTCAGAATCGACGTCATCGTAGAGAGAGGCTAGGCGTTGCATGATAATTGTGGAGTAGACGACTCGAGTGTCGCCGCGAACACCTATCGGTGACCTGCCATCAGGGCCGCCGCCACGAGGCAGTGTTGTGTTGTGTAAACTGTAACGAACATTGAACGGAACCACGGGATAGAACCGTAGTGTTTCGTTGATGACTGCTGTGAGATATTTCATGTCTTTCAAGTCATTGTATGTCGGTTTCTGAGCATCGGCGCCAAGACCGAGACGTTCTTGAATCTCTGCTCTCAGTTTGGCAACAGCGTCGGGATTCCGAGATAGTTCATATGTACAGAAAGAGAGTGTTCCGGCAGTAGTGTCACGACCGGCAAGAAGCACAGCAACGAGTTGATCGCGTAAGACACGTGGGTCACGCGTGAATCGTGCCAAAGCATCGAGGAATGTATCACGCTTGGATAGTTTCTTGTCTAACTCGTCAGGGCTGAGGGACAAAACGGTTTCAATATAAGGTCGAATGAAATCGTCCATAATCTTGAGCTCTTTGCGAAATTTCTTCCGTGACATAAATACATTCAGTGGGCTAAATTTTCTTAGTTGGTATTTAGATATGCAACGTAGGTATTGTAGAAGCTTACCCCATTCTAAAGTAATCCGCTTGCCTAGCTTGCACATAGCGGAAAGCTTCGGCGAACCGTGTTGTAGGGTTCTCCAAGCTATCTGTTCCCTGGCCCAAAAGGTAATCTGTGGCCGCATCGAGAGTATAGCGGAAATATAGCCCACCAATATCGACAATCTTGCTTCCATTCGGAGATGAGCTGCCGCCGAACAATTTGATGAGTTTCTGGACATTGGTCTCAAAAATTTCCGTGTCAACAATCCGATCACGAACAAACATAGGCCTGATCAGGTGACGAGATGCAGACCACAGCTCGCCATCAGTGGCGAAGATACTATCACCGAGAAACTCCCGCCACTCCCGATGGAATGTTTCGCCTTTACCAAAGTCATTAAACTGACCCGTCAACAAGGCTTTGATATTCTCCGGGTCAACGGTGAAAATAATACGGTTCGACGCCATGGAGTTAATCTCTGCCGTGAGAGGGAGAAAAGGTAGTTTATTTTTTGTCTGTGCCAGAGCCATACTGTTCTCCCAGAACTGAAGATCCTTGAATTGTTTCCGTGCCTCCATCGACCGAAAGATGAAATCGGCCGCTGACTGATCAGCTGTGTTTAGTCACGGCCACAAGTATGTATTAACTTACCTACAGGCAGGTATGTAGGCATCTGCGGTGACTTGCCCCCTAAATTGTGGATTTCCCTGGCGACCAGGAATTTTTTGATGTAGAAGAGGGCAACGAGGAGAAAGCCTAGCCCGAAGGCAGCCTTCTCCAGCGAGAGATTTGCGAATGTTTCCTCAATCATACTGTCCGGAGCAGTGGTCAAGGCTATCACAGCGACGATAATGATCAAAGCAGTTCTTTTAGATTATATCGCAGCGCCTAGGGGGCTTAAGTAGAGGCCAACCACCTGGGCCCCCCGCAATTGATGTGAATTGCTGGTCAGACAGTGAACGCTGATCAGTCATTCCTTTAGAACGAGTCCCGAAGCCCGAACGAGCGTTCTAACGTGGCGCACGAGTGGTGACGCTAAGCTATAGCAAACCGTCGCTAATATCAAATACTTCTGAGTCACGACGATTAGTTTCAAGTTGTCTCACCCAGAACAGTCATGACAGCAGTGGATGAGAAAAGCGCCTGCTGCCCATCTAGTACGAGGAAGCATCATGGTAGAGTTCGTTCCAGGAGTATATCAGTACATGTCATCAGTATGATCAGTAGTAAGTAAGTATACTTGACAGCACCCGCCCCCATCATGGAGAACCCCGCATGAACCGAGGCCCGAAAGCCGAAAGCTGGGGCTCATCTCTATCATAATAATGCTTGATAATACTGAACAATGTGGTTGCATGTGGGTTTAGAATAGATGATGGTGCTATGTTGTGGCAACAACATGGTTGTTTGCTGGGCTATGATAACAACACCATTCATGCATCTAGCCAGTCGCGCACGTGGTAACAGGGATACATCATTACATATTGGTATCATATGCATGGGATAAGTCCGCCAGTTAACCTGACACGAGTCAATTTTTGTTGATGATTTTTTTGGCGCATTTACTCTTGTATTCCAGTTCCTCACTGGGTAACCGAAAATACTATATATAGCCCAGGTGAATAATCGACTTCCTTTGTTGTAAAATGTATTTAGCAGTCTATTTTTTTATGTGAAATTTCAAGGTGACTGAAAGAAACCTTACTTCTCATGTCAGGATGGGGGGGTGGTGTTATTGTTAGTATAGCTACGTGACCTCGCTTGATCGATATGACAGCAGTTACACTCTCCTTCTTTCAGATAGTCAATAAAGCTTCGAATTATCATATTTTTACCTCTCAAGAAATCATCTTAATGTGCACCTGTATCAACGCCATTCCCGGAATGAATTACGGCGTCTTTTTTTAACGAGTGATATCATAGTAGCTTAGATAGAGAACTGGTCTGTTTCTTGAAGACAATGTTGAAGCATTTTATCGGCTTTGTCATGACGGTGGCGACGCGGCGAGACACGGGTCACGTGACGACTTTGTCTGCGGCGCTGTGGCGTGGCGGCGGTTTCTTCTTGGCGCGCGTTGCTTCCTCTATCGCCCTCGCAGTCAGCTCTCTTCCCTCGATACTTCCTCCACTCTTCCGGCTCGTGATAACATAGACACGTCCTCTGTGGCTTCGGCTGTATCCCTTCTTTTATATCGCATCGCCCCGGTGGCGCTCAGGAATCATTGTCATTACCGATTCGCAGCATCGTGGTGGAGGCAAAGAAAATTATGGCAACAACGGTTGTTATAGGCACGCCGCTGGCCGAGGCCCTAAGCAATGTGGTGCAGCCTAAACTGGTGGAAATGGGATGGAGCGCAGATGGTGGGGAGGACTCGGCGCTGACCGAGTATGTGATTCTCATGCTTGTCAATGGCAAGACTCAGGAACAAATCGCCGAAGAGTTGTCGAATGATCTCCTTAACCTCGGTGAGGGCGATACACAGGCTCTCGATTTTTCGCGCTGGCTTTTTGAGCAGGTCGAGATTCTCAACAAAAATATCAATGGCTTGACGTCTATCCCCGATGCACCGCAACCGACTTCCTTTGGCAACGACCAGAACGCCAATCAGTCCGAAGGACAGCAAGATGCCGACATGAGTGATTCTCTAGGCCAAGACTCCATGTATGTGCATCCCAACTATATATTTCTTGCTATAAAGTTACTAACTAGTATGCTTTTTTAGACCAACAGGACCTCGTGCTATGCGCAACAACGTCCAGCGTGGCAAAGGACGGCTGCTCAATCAAATCAATAGAAATCTGGAGCGTGGTCCCGATGCTGCGCTTCACCGTGTTCGCGGCCAGCAAGGTGGAGGACGAATTAACACACATGGACAAAACTTCCAGAAGGGTCAACGCGGTCAACACGGGGCTGGGCGCATGGGTCATGGGCATGGGCGACAAATGGGTCCGGGTCAAATGCATGGACCAGCAGCTGGGAATATGCAAATGACTCCAGAAAACCAGATGCAACTCATGGCTCTTCTCGAAGAACAAGCCCGGATGATGTCTCAACTCATGCCTGGTTTCATGCCTCCTGCCGTCAACCCCAACTTCCAGCAACAACAGCAACAGGGCCGGTCATTATTCGATCGCATTGAACGCCCAGGACAGAAACAGAGTGGCGGAGATTTTAAATCTCGTGGGGCTCAAAATGGAATATCAATCAAGGCCAATGAGGATACCGAAATGGACACCTCAGGTGATCAGCCACAGGCCACCGCAGATGGCGTATGCCGTTTTAATCTTCGTTGTACGAGGAAAGACTGCCCATACGCACATCAATCACCAGCCGCCCCTGAAGGCGCACCAATCGATGTTAACGATAGTTGTCCATTCGGGGCCGCCTGCAAGAACAAAAAATGCACAGGAAAGCACCCATCCCCAGCCGTGAAAGCGTCGCATCAAGCAGACGAGATATGCCGCTTCTTCCCACACTGTGCAAACCCAAATTGTTCCTTCAAACACCCCAGCATGCCGCTCTGTCGAAATGGAGCCGACTGCACCGCTGCTGGTTGCAAATTTACCCACTTGACTACGGCGTGCAAATTCAACCCATGCATGAATAGGAATTGCCCTTACAAACACTCTGAAGGTCAGCAAGCCAGTTTCCCCGACAAAGTATGGGTTGCTGGGCAAGAGAAAACCCATGTCAGTGAAAGGAAATTTATTCAAGATGAAAATGAGGAGGAAGAGCTCATCAAGCCCGAAATGGCCACAGAGGGAGCACAGCCGGAGGAAGTCATCACATAGAGGGTTGGGATTTTCTTTTCCTATGATGATTTTGCTGAGTCGCATTTTAAGTTGAATCCTACATTCGGACATGTACTCTAATTTATATAATGCGTGGCGGTACTGGATAAAATGGCGTTCGAGATTGTAATGTATATTAAACACGGTTTGAGCTGGTTAAGTATTTGTTATGAAAATTGGCTTCAGACATGTATGCTTCCTACCAGTTATGAGTAGTAAACGAGATTATTCTTATAGAAGAACATTTGCAAAGTAAAGCACCGTCCCTAACTAGTTATCGGGTTAATGCAGGTAACTGACATATCAAGTTGGGGGCGAGAGGTCTCTCCGCAGTGCGGAATCCCCACAAGGCATTGCTTAATTGAGGTACCTCCGCAGTTCCACGCTTGAGGTAATTATCACCCCTCGCCATCTATGTTTTGACACACCTGCCCCCCCTTTACACTAGTCGACGCACACTTCTCCGCTTATGACCCGTGTCAATGCGTACAAGACAGCAGCAATGCGAAGATCCTGTCTCACCCATGTTCTTCAATCGAGTCCGAAGCGCGTGACACCCATCACGATCTGGAGCCAACAAGCTCGGTTCGCACACACCGAAGTCAAACCATACAATGCCGCGGTGATCGGCGGTGGTATTACGGGGATGACGGCAGCCTGGAGGCTCTGTCAAGATCCGAAATGTACCAATGTCACTCTCTACGAGAAAGCGCCCACGCTCGGCGGTTGGCTACAGTCTGAAACGGTCGAGGTGGATGGTGGACGAGTTGTGTTTGAATACGGGCCACGAACAATACGAGCCAGTCAGCCTGCTGTACTGCCTATGTTGGACTTGGTAAGGGCTTCTTTTCATGCTTGTGCTTTATCTGTGTCTAGGTGCAATTAGCTGATAGCCACACTCTAGCTGTTGAGTTTAGATATGGAAGACCAACTACTGCTCATCAACGAAAATTCTCCTGCGGCAACCAATCGATATATATACTACCCCGACCACCTCGTACGTCTTCCAGGCAAGTCACCTCAAGACATGGGTGGATTTCCAGCTTTTTTGCAAATGTTGTACAACCTATTTCGCGAACCCCTCAATCGAAGCTTAATACTACCCATCGTCAACGAGATCCGTATACCGCGACGCGAAGGTGACTCAGACGAATCAATAGGAGAATTCGCCACGCGAAGGATGGGGAAGGACATAGCGGATAATTTGGTATCAGCCGTGTTTCATGGAATATATGCCGGCGACATCTACAAGCTGAGCAGTAAGACCTTATTAGGGGGCTCGCGTATGCTCGAGAGCAAGTTCGGGTCGGTCACTAAAGGAGCTTTTGAGGCCTCGAAACAAAACAAGAAGATCGTTGGCCTGGACAATCTTCTCGCTCAGTGGTCGGTTACAAATGATCGACCTAAGAACCACTTCAAGCGTCTTGCGAGGTTAATGAAATCCTCCAATGTGTTCACATTCAAGGATGGGTTGGCCGATATAACCTCGAGGTTTCATGAAAAGTTTATGGAGCAACAGTCCAAAATCACAGTTGTCACAGATGCTCAAATTGATGCTATCAAACGGCACAGCAGTGAGGATATTATAGTAAGCTTTTGCTGTCCATCAATAATACTAATACACCGGAACTAATCAATTTGACTATTTAGATTCAGACATCGTCTAAAGAGGACAAAACAGTAGAACCTCAAACTTTCAATAGGGTCATCGCAACAATACCGCCGCCTACGTTAAGCAAACTCATTGACGCAGGCTCGGCAAAGGACCAGGAGAGGCCCACTCACTCAATAGCATATCTCAGAGACCATGACTATGCGGTGAATGTGATGGTTGTCAACTTATACTACAACCAGCCTAATCTAGTGCGCTACCGAGGTTTTGGCTACCTCATCCCTCAAAGCATCCCACTTGAGCAAAATCCAGAGAGGGCGCTCGGGGTGATTTTCGGCTCTGAAACTAGCGAAGGCCAAGATACAGCGCCAGGCACAAAACTCACGGTGATGATGGGTGGTCATTGGTGGGATCACCGGTCTCCATCGGAAATTCCCACCCCAGACGAAGCTATATCTATGTCTCAGAAACTACTCGAGCGGCATCTGGGTATTAAAGCTACCCCAGCCGTTGCACGAGCGCGGTTACAGCGTGATGCAATCCCTCAATGCACAGTCAACCATTTGGAAAGGATGAATACTTTATCAGAAGCAGTGCGCCGAGACTTCAAGTCTCGTCTTACCCTTGCAGGAAACTGGTATAGCATGCATAGTGTCGGTCTTAATGACTGCGTCGTTCAAGCTTATCTAGCAGCTACGTATGGTGTGGGCTCATTCCCACAGCAGTTTGGGAAAGCCAAGCCTGAAAGCTGGATGGCTGCTATGGAGGATCAAGTGGGAGGTATAACGTTTCTACCTGAACGCTACGCATGGAGAGGTCCGGGCACGAAGAGTCCCAACAGTGTACAAAAATAGATCAATATTGTAGCAAAAATGGAGCGAGGTCTTGAAAAACTGTATATAATATATTACAATGGTATCTTTCAGCGCAATACCTCTAATAAGCACAACATGGAATCAATATTCTGAAGAATAGGAACCCTGATTCTTCACCACATAACGGCGTTTGTTCAGTCAAATCGTTTGCATCTTGTCCAAGCTCGCGAACGAAAGTGTCTTCCTACTGTGAAAGTCACGAATATCTGAACGCTTGTCACCACAGCAATTTTACATCAAAGTATCGTGAAAACCATGGTTTAAACACTCTTCTAATAGACCATCCTTCGTTCGTCTTCCACTGACTGGTGTACCGCTGTGTGATAGACAATACTCTGGCCGTGTTCTTGTCACACTCGATAGCTGATAGCCTTGGATACCGTAGCTGGTAGATAATACTGATTCTGAAAGAGCACTTGCTCTATTCCATCACTCCGATGAGCCCATTTCGAGCAATCATACTCATGGCTTCGTATCCCCATCCGAGTCAAAGCCCAAGGAGTCTAGTTCCCGGATGAGCTCATTGATTTTAATGATTTTCGCCAACTGTTCTGGAAGAAGGGATTCGCCCTTGTCTTTCTTGTCACGAAGATCGCGCGCTTGTCGAAGTTTCTTTTTCAAATTGCGAGCCTTCTTTTCCTTTTCGGCTTCAGGGTCCAGCGGTTTCTGAGCAACCTCTTCTTTGCCAGCATCTAGCCCAGCTACGCCGGGCTTATTTTCATCGTCTGCTTTCTCCTCAGATTTAGCCTTCTTCTTCGCCTCTCGACGTTTTGCATTCTTGTTGCTTGCAGCGCTTGCAGCTGGACTGCCACCGCTAGTACCGAGCCCTTCAGCGCCTGGAACACCGCCTTTTCCCCGAGTCTGCCATGCGGCTGCCGACGGGTTCTTATAGACCTTGACGTCTTCTGGAGGCTGATATCCTGGGCGAATACGGATTTCCTTGCGCTTTGAGCCGTCCGCACGGGTCGAGGATGGGACATGGCGTTCGCCTGTCGCTGTGTCGACCACAATGCCGGAAGAAGCGGCTGATTCTTTGTTGGACATTTTGTATGACGATTCGATGAGTAGCACACAGAGGAATGTAAACGCAGACTAAGAAAACAGAATGAAAATGTCGAGCACAGACTACCAGGACAGCGCAGCAACTTGTCCTGGCTCACGGCGAGAGTGTTGCCAGGTGAATACGTTTCTTTGGCGAAATCTGACGCTGTGACTGTCTCGTCTGCAGACGGAGCGCCGACCAATGAGGGCGCCGGAGATTCTCGGGTTCTCTGGCGGCAGCGACCTCAAACCTCAACCGCCAAGCACATCGCTCCTACAACTCTCCATACTCTCTGCGCGATCGTGCTCTCCCCTCCTCTGCAAACTTCGCAAGACAGAATCTCATCACTCACAATGGCTGGGGTAAGCGACTCAATCGTCCAATTGTGTGCTAGTACAGATCAATGGCTAACGTGACGACTTTACGCTGCAGCTTTCGAATGCCATCTACCGGCAAGTCCCCCGACCGAGACACCACGAACACTGTCCCTAGCAATGCAAACAGCCATGCTGACGAGATATTTTTCAACTCTACAGGACGTTCTTCCAGAGGAATGCGGTTTACCTGACCTCCATCTTCGCCGGTGCCTTCGCTTTCGAGATGTAGGTGGAACCACGCTTGCGGACCCTCCGATACTCGATCTTTAGCATGCTAGGAATATCTTACTGATACTGAATCTACAGCGCATTCGACTCTGTCTCCAACAAGGTCTGGGACTCTATCAACCGAGGCGTACGTGCATTATCGATAGCATTCCAACTCGTGAAATGGTTGTACTGATAATTTCTACAGCGCCAATGGAAGGATATCCGCCACCTATACATCCAGAAGGCTGAGGAGGAAGATGAGGAGTAAAGCAGCTCTTTTCGCTTGATGATTAATTTGGATCCTTGTGGTGTGGTGGCAAGATAGGACTTGACTCCGTGTACCTACTATGTAGAAATTAGTGTGGGCAAAAGCAAATAGAGGCTCACGCCATTTTTTTATATGTGATAACAATACCAAGATATAAAACAAACTAACTAGAAAGGCTTGATGAGGGTAGAAAGCGGCAGGACACTGGGAGAAATGAGACCGTAGAAGGCCGTCGGTAGAAAGCGGAATAGCAGCACTGAGAGTAGATTGCACGGTACTGGCCGAGACAGACCAAAACTTACTGCCTTCGAAATCACTAATTGATATTAAAATATTAGAAATAACATTAATTGGTACCAAAAACGTCTCTATACGTAAATGGGGGACCCTCAAACATTCGGTAGTTATCAACATATTTTTCAGATATATATCTTTTTAGGTTATACAATGGCCTCTATACACACACCAGACATACACCCCCCCAAGCTTCCATGAATATTATAAACAAATTAACTGTGCAAATTATAACCATAATAGAGATTAATGCTGCACAGCAATTATTTTGCCATTTAATGTTAGGGAGGATAAAATGTTATTCTTGATGTTTTTGTTTAAAAGGGACACCCGTGCATGAACAATTACGAAACCAACCTACATAACGCTAAGTTTACACCAAGCCTGAAGAGGACAGGTTCATTATTAAAGCAGCTAACACCACATCAATCCATTTCCACAGCGGTGCACGACTTTCACAATAGGAACATGGGACTGTAGGATCATGTGACTTTATATATGGATGTACACATTGAAGTGTAGTAAAACAGGGTATAAGGCACTCCTTTCAACTAGGCAGCTGGTCAGGAAGCAGTCGAGAACCTTAGGCGAGCATGGCGCTGTACAGAGGACTTGCGTGGAGCAAGTCCTCTGCCACCGACTGCCTAATTGAGAAACTCTAGGATCCGAAGCCTTTCTAATGTAGGAGTAGATTTATTGAAGAAGGAGAACTTGTTTAATTATGCAATCCCCGGATTTAGGCTATTTATCTAACGTACATGCTGACCAATAGACCCAGGTCATTTGGGTCAGTGGCAAGCTTGTATACGAGTAAGAATGGTGATTAGATGTACGATCCGTATACACTCGGAGTATCCTCGGAACCCCTGTGTAGTACAACCATCGCATCCCACCTCGACAGTCAGTGACAGTTAAGGTGGATCCAGGTCTCCCCTTTCATAGGAGATTGGCACACTTTTAGTGGTATCACCAATCTACTGTACCTTGCGAAAGTCGTCTTGTCGGGTCTTTGCGCTATGCCTTGATACATGTATACTCTGCTACCATCTCCACCAAACAATTAAAACCCCTCCACCCCCCCCCCTCCCTCGAACCGGAGTCGATGTCAGCGACTTCTCGATGCCTGAAAACCATTGCAGTCGAGCGTTATAGACCAACTTCTATGGAACAGCGACATAAATCAATAATTTCAGTCTTTGTTTCATCTGAAGTTTAACTACAGGTTTTGAATTAGTATAAAAATCCGTCTCAATTCAGCTTATTGTTGGTAATCCTAATGGGGTTAGTTCCCGTTATCTTGCACTAATCGTAATTTGATTGCACTAAAGCCTTGTTACGAAACCAACATATGCAAAGCTAAGGACAGATTAGGATGTCTTAAGCCACTTCAGGGCAAGTGTCTGTTAAAGCGGCTAACACCACGGCCAACCAGTTACCACGACCACACACAGCCCGTTTGCTACTCACACGGGATTACACATTACATAAGCAACTACACTCGGGTATACAATAAGAGTGTAGGAGAAGTGTAGGAAAAGACAAGAAGGTGATTGGATATACAATCTGTATACGGACAGATTGTAGGGATATTGTAGGAACGACATCTATATAAACACACCCATTTGCATGTATCTAGTTTACCTTAGCATAGTTCTTTAACATAAGTCACTACGATTATTACTATCAGTTACACTGTAAGGGTCAGCAAGGCAATCCCACTTGAAGTACTACGGCACTTCAAGGCATCGCTCCTACTTTAGTTGTGTCTTACCCTCACCTTTACCCTTCGGCAACCTTTGTACTTCGTTACTAGTTACCCTCAAGGAACCTCTGTGTGGTTCAACACATCGTATCGCTCCTCGACACAGCCAGTGACAACTAGAGTGGGTCCCGGTGCGTGACAAAAGAACTATCGTCTTGACCCCGAGGAACGATACGGGACAAGTACTATCAAGCAGGGCCAATTACTACATTAGGAAAGTATTACCCCAACAAGACTACTAATCATGGCAGGCAACAATGCAACTCCAACACCCAGTACCACTGGAGGACAAACACCCAGTGTTCAATCCGTAATGGCAGTCAATCAACAATTACGTGAACGAATTAGCCAATTGGAGAATGCATCACACGCAAGGATTAAGATCAACAAACCAACTCCGTTCAAAGGAGATAGGACCAAGCTGAGGAGTTACCTAGCACAAATGCAGTTGTACTTTTCTGTCAACTCGCACTTGCTGCATGGGGAACCAGACAAGGTCTTGACAGCTTCAACGTTCCTAGAAGGAGAAGCTATGGATTGGTTTGAACCCTATGTACGGGCATGGTTTGAGATAGCCCCAGATGACAGGGAAGACGAGATCGATGAAACCTTTGCGGACTACAATGTATTCGTCAGAAAAATCAAATCAACCTTTGGAGAAATCGATGAGAGAAATAACGCAGCTCAGAAAATTCAACGTCTGAAGCAGATCACATCAGCCTCAGACTATGCGTCGAAATTCTACCAGATCAGCTCTCATCTCGGATGGGATGATGAGGCCAAAGCAGATCGATTCTACCAAGGACTGAAAGACGACATCAAGGATGAGATAGCCAGAATACCCACTAGGCCAGACAATCTCACGGACATGATTGATGTAGCAGTCAAACTCGACAATAGGCTCTACGAACGACGTATGGAAAAGAAATACGGCGGAAACTGGAGCAGTGGCAAGAAACCATACCACCACAAGAAAAGGGAGGACCCGTATGGACCTCGACCTATGGAACTTGATGCCACTCAAGAACAGCCAAAAACGAAATTCGACAAGTCAAAGATAAAGTGTTACAACTGTGGGAAGACGGGCCACTTCAGGAGAGAGTGTAGAGTCAAACCACAAGGACGACAATTGAATGCGACAAATGAGGAAGACAGAGAGTCTTACCCGAAATACGACTATGACGACGCGGAACAGTATGAATCGGGAGACACCGAAGAGTTCCCAGAAATGGACGAAATCCCAGAAAGCCAAGGGTGGCGACAGTACGAAGGGATGAGTCAGGTCGAAAAGATAGAAAGCCAATTGAACGAAGCTCTGAACGACATCGAGAGTTCAAAGACGGCTGACAAAGAAAAAGGAAAGCAGAAGCTTTACGAAGTTCGGACACACCTCGAGAACAAGTGTGGAGCCGAGTGCAGGGTAATCTTTGAAGAGAAAGACCACCCAGGGCACGGATTATTACATTGGACCTTTTGCACAATGGATTCATGCACAATCCATGGGGAAGCAAAAGAAAGCCAGGGCTACTTCCCAAGAAAGAGGAAGCAAGCGAAGATATCAAACTGCGAATGGAAATTGACGCAGGAATGGAACACCATCAGCCCCTCGAAGAAAAAGGTGGTGCAGCTCAGTGAAGCTGGGAGTTTCGAAGAAACTCGTAACCCCGAAATAGGCAGAAAAGACGATGATCCACGAGATGGATTCGTAAAAGCCTGGATGAACGACTACATTCAACTACCTTATGGCGAAGACCCGAAGAATCAGCCATGTGTCCATACCAACCATGACCTCACCAGAATTGAAAGGATGCAGTGCATCATAACACCATGGTATGAGAAAGAAGGAAGAATGAGCGTAACGAAACAAATGAAGGAATGGAAATGCCAGACGGCATGGTGCAATTGCTTACAGCTTGAGCAACATCCAAAGCATCGGATGTTATCATGGAAAATCTGCTACAATGACGAATGTATAACGCACGTACACCCTAAAATTAGGGCTGGGGAATTTCCAAAAGGGAAATGGCCGCAGCATGCGGACAACTGTGCATACGAAAGGGCAGAACTCAACGCAACGGCTTGTGGAAGGCAACTAAGAACCACAGTGGCCATATACGGAATAGAGATCGAAGCAATGGTCGATTCGGGAGCAACGCACAACTTCATGGATAAAGAAACAAAACGAACATTGAAAATCTTGGGAAGGAAGAAACCCCAAGCAGTACCCATCACAGGACTCAGCGGGGTGAGCCTGCAAGAAGGGGGAGTCACACATGAAACAGGGTGGTTGTCCATGGTATTAGGAAACCATCACGAGATGATCAACTTTGACGTCGCAGAACTGGGACCAAACGACATAGTTCTTGGAATCCCATGGCTCAAGGTTCATAACCCGGAGATAAACTGGGGAACTGGCGAAATCAAAATGAATCGTTGTAATTGTGGACAGATATCTCAGGTAGATGAAGTCACCGGACAGGCGGGAGACTTGAGTACGACGGAAGAAGCAGACGACTTGACTTCCTCGTGGACTCTTATACGGAATGGGACCAAAGGGGAGGCCATTACCGAACACCTGAAAGAGGAGTGTCAGATCGCGGCAACCGCAGAACCTGAACTACCTAAAGAATATGAACGATTCAAGGAATTGTTCAACGGAACATACAAGAAATTACCTGAACACAGTGAATGGGACCATACCATCCCATTGAAAGAAAACGAAGAACCAAGACCTCAACGAATCTACCCCATGTCAGAAAATGAGACGGCAGCACTTAAGAAGTACCTGAATGAAAGCTTGGAAAAGGGATACATCAGACCCTCAAGCTCGCCAGCAGGATACTCCGTACTCTTTGTGGGAAAGAAGGGGACTACTGACCTACGACCATGTATAGACTACCGACAACTGAACAAAATCACTATACGAGACAGTCACCCATTACCCCTGATTTCGGAAATACAAGACAAAATACGAGGAAAGAAATGGTTTACGAAACTCGATATTACGGACGCGTACAACAGACTGAGAATCAAGGAAGGAGAAGAATGGAAAACTGCATTCAAGACCAAGTTTGGACATTACGAATATCTGGTTATGCCTTTCGGATT